AAACCCAAACCCAAACCCAAGCAAACCCAAACCCAAAACCCAAACCCAAACCCGCAAACCCAAACCCAAACCCAAAACCCAAACCCAAACCTTAAACCCAAACAAACAAACAAGCAAACCCAGCCCAAACCCAAACCCAAACCCAAACCCAAACCCAAACCCAAACCCAAACCCAAACCCAAACCCAAACCCAAACCCAAACCCAAACCCAAACCCAAACCCAAACCCAAACCCAAACCCAAACCCAAACCCAAACCCAAACCCAAACCCAAACCCAAACCCAAACCCAAACCCAAACCCAAACCCAAACCCAAACCCAAACCCAAACCCAAACCCAAACCCAAACCCAAACCCAAACCCAAACCCAAACCCAAACCCAAACCCAAACCCAAACCCAAACCCAAACCCAAACCCAAACCCAAACCCAAACCCAAACCCAAACCCAAACCCAAACCCAAACCCAAACCCAAACCCAAACCCAAACCCAAACCCACAACCCAAACCCAAACCCAAACCCAAACCCAAACCCAAACCCAAACCCAAACCCAAACCCAAACCCAAACCCAAACCCAAACCCAAACCCAAACCCAAACCCAAACCCAAACCCAAACCCAAACCCAAACCCAAACCCAAACCCAAACCCAAACCCAAACCCAAACCCAAACCCAAACCCAAACCCAAACCCAAACCCAAACCCAAACCCAAACCCAAACCCAAACCCAAACCCAAACCCAAACCCAAACCCAAACCCAAACCCAAACCCAAACCCAAACCCAAACCCAAACCCAAACCCAAACCCAAACCCAAACCCAAACCCAAACCCAAACCCAAACCCAAACCCAAACCCAAACCCAAACCCAAACCCAAACCCAAACCCAAACCCAAACCCAAACCCAAACCCAAACCCAAACCCAAACCCAAACCCAAACCCAAACCCAAACCCAAACCCAAACCCAAACCCAAACCCAAACCCAAACCCAAACCCAAACCCAAACCCAAACCCAAACCCAAACCCAAACCCAAACCCAAACCCAAACCCAAACCCAAACCCAAACCCAAACCCAAACCCAAACCCAAACCCAAACCCAAACCCAAACCCAAACCCAAACCCAAACCCAAACCCAAACCCAAACCCAAACCCAAACCCAAACCCAAACCCAAACCCAAACCCAAACCCAAACCCAAACCCAAACCCAAACCCAAACCCAAACCCAAACCCAAACCCAAACCCAAACCCAAACCCAAACCCAAACCCAAACCCAAACCCAAACCCAAACCCAAACCCAAACCCAAACCCAAACCCAAACCCAAACCCAAACCCAAACCCAAACCCAAACCCAAACCCAAACCCAAACCCAAACCCAAACCCAAACCCAAACCCAAACCCAAACCCAAACCCAAACCCAAAGGATTATGGGGCATGATTGCATGTCTGCTTCAATTTTTTTAATATATCAACCTGAGGGCTATGAAATTTACTGTCGCACAAGTTCCAGCGAAAACGTGATATTTTTTTCTTTCTTGTGAACAACATATCAGAACAAATAACCGAGCAAGATCCTATCGTTATAGGTCCTAAAACAACTAAATATGTTGTTTATTTGAAATTTACAAATTTTTGGGATCACTGAATGGGCGATATTCCCAAACCCAAACCCAGACATAATAGATTTACTTGAATGTCATTTCAAAAATATTACAAGGAGAATCGATGGTCCTTCACAATTCTTGATTTCACCTCCATGGCATATCCAAATGTCTTATACTCATCTGTGAAAACAAATCTCGAAAAGGTATCATTAAGATTCATCACCACTTGATGATGCAAGGATTCAAAACATTCCCTAACTGTAAGTTCATAGTCTTTCCACATCACGGAATTTGCGGACGATGATGCTGCAGCGGTTGTTGTATTGGCCAATGACGATGAATTTGTCGTCTTTGTTGAGTCAACGTGATGGATCGCTGATGATGCAGGTTGCTTGTTTTCATCCATTACAATTACATTCACAGAATCTTGTTTGATAAGTGATTTAGAACTGGTGCTTTGAATGGCATGTAAAGCTTTCTTATTCAATTCTTGCTTAATGAATTCGTTGTATTTGCTGTCACAGAATGGTCGATTACCTGCTGATTCCATCACCAACTTGAACAATATAAAGAAATCCTTTTTGGTTCTTGATGGAATATTCACTTCCAAACTTGCTCCTTCCTTAATATATACCTCAAAGATGGAAACACAAAAAATGTAGATTTGTTGAAGGAATCTTTCTGAATCTTCCATAATATATGGTAGTTTTCTTTCAAAAGATTCCAGATCAAGATAAATATATAAATTTTCAATACTCCATTCTTTCTTGCAATACTCTTCAAAAACAGCAAATCCTTCGTTGTCATGAATTAATTGATATAATTCTTCGTTATAGTCATCATTGTCATCCATTGTTTCCTTATTGTTTTGAAGAGATATTCCTGATTTTATGGCACTTTTGTTGAGCATTCTTCTTTGTTTGTTTCTTTCAATCTGTCGAATCAGATGTTTCATATAATTCACTACAGATACAATTGCAGCAAAACCACCAAATGCTAACACATAGAACACAATATATACCACCTCGAATGCAAAACGAGCAGTATCTGCATAGAGCCCCTTTTTAAATTGTTCCTCGCTGACAAAACGGCTCTCCAATGTGGAAATTCCAGTCGCTTGGGAAATGATAAGGAAAATAAAGAATACCACAAAGAAGACCATTTCTAAACGAAAATAGAGTGGTCTGTCTCTTCTAAGGAACCATCTCCAAGCTTGTCGAATGAGAGTGGAAATTTGGATGGTCTGTGAATTGTCGTCCTTTCTTTTTAATCCACTAAATCCAGAATTTTGAAGAGTTTTTCCATCATTCACAGATCCTAATTTAGTAATTTGATCTGCTAAGCTTTGAGAAATAGACACGTCAATACGCTCACTATCAAACTTTAAAGTCAAGACAATATCCACAATAAACACTAAAGTAATCAAAACTCCAAATGTTAAAATAATGACCATGTATGTAATGGATACCACTGATGTGTATGCAAATGGTGAGATGACTCCCATAAATTTCAAAATAAAGAATAGCAACCAGTACAAGACGTTCATGAAGGCAAATGCAACCAAAACAATATTATTAGCTGCTCGAGAAGTCATTGTTTTGAGAAGTCGGATTTTTCGTTCATAGCTTTTCAATCGATCCTGAATACTCATGTCTGAATTGGGTTTTAAACGTCTCAACAAATTATACAAATTTTTCATAAGTTGGAATCTTGTCACTTGCAGCAGGAATGACAGAATGGCTGTCAAATTAAGAGTGTTTACCACAATCGTTGCAATTCCACCAAACCAATTCACAACATTACTGACATCTTGATCGTAAGATGAGCTCTTAAGACTATTTGATTTGATTTCGTTCACTAAAATGGATTGTTGAATGATCAAAATAAGCACGCATTCGACCAATAGTGCAACAATTCCAAGATAAGGAGTACAGATTCTGCTCTTAATCGGTTGCTTCTCTCTGAAAATGATCAATAATGTTAATACCGTAAATGCAATAACTCCATAGATAATACCAAATACAATTGATGCGATATAATAATCTGCCAGTGTTAATTTGATAAAATCTGATTGTCCCTTCAATTGTGAAATGTTGTATTGCAAAAATGTGGCAAATAAGGTGGTGTGATTACATGCACAAGTTAGCGTAGAATTACCATTGCTACTATACAAATAACATCCATTTTCAAGCCATGCACTTTGAGTGACATTCCAATATTTGCATGATAACGTTATATTCGTTGCGTTTGAAACTGATGTCAAAATTCTTGAATCAATTTCAAAATTCAACAAGATCGGTTCATTGATGTTATTCAATGCAACTTCAGTATCATCCTTCCTTACAGTGAAATGACTCACCGGTGACAGAACAGGATACATTTTTGTCATTGAATCTGATCGAGTATTTCTTGATAATGAAATGAATGAGAAACTCAATGACTGGATCGTTTCACCAGTTGAAACGTGGTTAGAAATTGAAAATAAATCTAATTGAATGGTATTTCTTCCGTTTGAAAGGCTTTGATTTTGATTTGGAAGGATATTCTTGTTTAAGGTGAACACAGAGAGTGTCATGTTGATAGATCCAGAATTGAAAAGCAGCACAGGCAATGAAGTATTGGCACCAAGAGTGGAAGGAAGTTCTGCCATTGTGGTGATGGACGCCAATTTGACAATATTATCATCGGTTGAGTCTGCATTCAACCCAGAGTTCAATAAATTGGAGAGCAGTGAAATTGTGGAAAGAGTATCAGAATTTGATAAAATGACGTTCTTGACATAGGAAAATTGATTTTTTTCATCTTGATAAATGACTGACACGTTATTCATAAAGGATGCCAATTTAGCATTGGCAGCTTTCACTACTTCAGAGCTCAATGAGTTAGAATCTTGAGTTAAGGAAATTAGTGAGTTCAAAGCTATTGAAGGATTCTTCATGTCAAATTCAATCTTTTCCAATAATTTGAGTTGTAACTCTGTGTTCGTACTATTTGTGGATTGTAATGATTTGTCATACGAAAGAATTACCAAATCTTGAGAGGAAAACATTTCAACATTTTGCAACAATTCGCTTGATGTTCCATTGTACGGTGCCACTGCAACTTGTTCTGTAAGTCTCCAATCAATATTTCCAAATTTATCCACTACAAACACCACCAATTGAACAGTTATGTGTTGAGCAGATATGTGACGGCTTGTTTGTTTTTTAGAGACAGATTCTGTGATAAATGGCAAAAATGTCGACATGTTCGTATTTGTTGAGAATTGTGACAATCTCACAGGTATTTTCAATGTTGAGTCATAAAATCCAACAGCGTACTGAAGAGGTTGTAAAGTGACTGGAGCGGTCCATTCTTCGATGTGAATACTAAATCGATCCAACAAGGCAACACCATTTTTTGGGTAGACATCGAGGAGAGGTTGAGTCATGTTTCCAATTTCAATGTTAGGAGGTGTAGCAGGAAGAACAATGGGAATTATAGAGGATGTTGTGAAATTCTTTCCAGTTATGGTATTTTCAAAAATGATGACAAACTCCAGATATTGAAGGTCGGAAGAGTTACTACTCAAGGTTTGATTCCATGCTTGGAGGTTGTTTCGCAAGTCATAGGTGAATGAGGGCATTGGAGTGAAAGTAATACTCGTCTTTTTGCTATTTGCTGTTGCTGTCACATTCGATTCAAAGGTAGCAAGTTCAATCCATGAGGTCGAATTTCTAAATATCAAAATACTTCGATAAGAAACCACTGTTGGTTCACAAACAGTTTCCCAAGTTGTTGATGTGACATTTTCCAATAACGATTGATTCACTTGCAATGTATGACATCCAAGAAATCTGAAAATGATACTCTCATTCATTGAGGCAAAAGGGACAGATGTGGTCAAAGTAGAAACCTTGTCTGAAATGACAATGGCAGATGGAATACCCGTCACAGCGACATTGTACACTTCAGGAACCATAAATAACCGCACCACAACAGAGAGTAATGGAGCATTTCGTCGATATATCACATGATTCTCTGAAAATTCTACATAGGCTCTCACTGTGAAAATAAATGTTCCAAATGGCAAATTGTTAATATCAATAGAAAGTGTGGAAGATGAATTTCCATTCAGGAAAATTCTTGATTGTGTTGTATTCTCGCCACAATTTGAACAATTCCATTGATAAATGACTGAACTTTCAATATATGGATAAATAGATTCTGTGAACATGGTTTCAATGTTGAGCACTGAAATGTTGTTGAATACATCCATAGCATTGGGACCAACACTATATCGATTGCTCTTAATTGTTAATGGCAATTCGCTCAATGAAATGTTGCAATTCATACCAGAAAACAAAGAATTTGTACAATGACAATTATTTGGTGACAAACAAAGTCCTCTGCCTGAGCATACATTTGGAGACGAAGAGTCCAATTCGTAGCATTGAATAAATTCGCAATTCGATCCAACATAACCTGCCTGGCATGAGCAATTATCATGAGAGAAGCAAACACCTTTCCCAGAACAAACTGAAGGGCTTTGATAGAAAATTCCGTAACAATCAAAGTGAGTGCAATTTGGTCCATAATAATAGGGAGAAGTACAGTAGCAAACATCAGGAGCAATACAGACACCATAACCATTGCAAACATTAGTATCATTGGCAGTTCTGTTAAAACAGATTGGTTGATTACAAATTCCAGTATTTGAAAAACCTGACAAACATTCACAATGATGTGGACCTACACATGACCCATTTCGACTGCAAACATCTGGGTCAATGGCTAACTTTCCATAACAATTGAAAATATCACATTTTGGTCCTCCGTAACCATCCATACAGGAACAAATATTTGGTCCAATACAATTTCCATGAGAGCTGCATGAAGCAACCAATTCACATGAAAAAGCCGAACAATTCTTATTACCCTTATAACCATCAGCACAGAGACATGTGTTATTTCCAATGCATGAACCATGTAAAGAACATTCATTCACACCGTCACATGAAAAAATTCCACAATTTGCTGAACCTTTCCAACCGGATTGGCATTGACAGGTGTTATTGGCAACACACAATCCTTGAAGAGGGCCTCCGCATTCATTGACACCATTGCAATTGAAAATACTACAGTCTGGTCCTCCCCATCCACTCGCACATTGACAAGTGTTATTTCCAATACATAGACCATTTCCACTACATTGATTGACACCATCACACGAAAAGAGAGTACAATCAAGGGATCCTTTCCAACCGGATTGACACTGACAGGTGTTGTTGGAAACACAAACACCTTTCAATGCTCCTCCGCAATGATTGAGACCATCACATGAAATGGCAGAACAATTGGCATTACCTTTCCATCCTGAGAGACAGGAACAAGTATTGTTTGAAACACAAACACCGTTTGATGAACACTGATTCCGACCTAAACAGTTGAATGTGTTACAGTCGAGACCTTCCCATCCAAAATTGCATGAACAAGTGTTATTAGAAACACACTGTCCATGGTTCGAGCAATTACCAAAAATGGAGCAAGAAAAAACAGAACAGTCACTCGAAGAAGTCCATCCCACATTACACAAACAAAGATTTGGTCCTACACAAGTACCATGATCACCTGAACAGTTGTTTCTTCCGTCACAGGTGAAAATTGAGCAATCATTAGATCCCTTGTATCCACTTTTACAGGAACATGTGTTATTCGAGACACAAGTTCCCTTTATCGAACCACCACAATTTCCCAAAGCATCACAAGAGAAGGCTGAACATGTAGTATTTCCTTGCCAACCTGAATCACATTGACAAGTATTGGCTCCAATGCATTGGCCATGTCCATTACAATATCCTTTGCCATCACATGTGAAGGCACTGCAAGTAGAGTTTCCTTTCCATCCAGAGTTGCAACTACACACATTGGGTCCACTACATGATCCTTTACCGTTACAGTTTTCTGCTAACTCACAACTGTATGCATTACAGTTGAGATTTCCCTTATATCCAGCATCACCTAAATTGGATTTCAATGATAAATATTTCAATAATAATAATTTCAATAAAATTGTGAATTTCAATCATTGATGGGATCAAAAATTTCAATATTAATAATTATAAAAATAAATAATACAAATTTCAATATTAATCATTTTAAAAAATCTCCAAACCTACAGGCACAAGTATTAGGTCCAATACAAACTCCATGACCACTACAATAATTAGTTGCATCACAAGAGAATAAAGTACAATTCGCATTTCCTTTCCAACCTGAGCTACAGGTACAAACATTTTCACCTGTACATGATCCTTTACCATTACAATTTCCAAGCAACTCACAACTCACTGCACTGCATTGACTATTTCCCTTCCAACCATCATCGCCTTTTTTAATAAAAGGTGAAAATGATCAAAAAATACATTGAACAAGAGAAATACTTACAACTACACATATTGGGGCCAATACAAACACCATGTCCACTGCAATAATTCTGTCCATCACAACTATACATGCTACAATTGGAATTACCTCTCCAACCAGTTGGACATGAACATTGATTGGCGTAGGTACATGTACCTCTTCCAGAACAAACATTAGAAGTGTCATTGGCTGGAAATCCAAAACAAATTGGAGTGCTACAATCAAGTCCTGTCCAATCGGTATCACATTTGCAGGTTAGAGGTGACTATGTCGAGGTATCCATTCGGGGAGGAAAAAAAGGCATGTGACCATTTAAAACAAGTTTAAAGAAGAATTCATCAGGATGTTGTTTCTTGTCATGTTGTTTGTTCCATTCCATTACTTACCAAACAAAAGCCATGTCTTCGATTGCATTTAAATCCAGAAGAACACAGTTCAAAAGAGCAGTCATATCCAGTAAAGTTTGGAACTGTGCAATTACAATTATTGGGACCAATACAGTCACCATGCTGATTCCAACAAACACTCAAACTTGTAGAAGAGATTCCATAACAAATGTTATATTCGCATTGAAGGCCATTGTATCCGTAATTACATGAACAAGTGTTATTTGAAACACAAGTTCCTCTTACAGAGCCTGAACATGAATGGACAGTGTCATTGGATGGAATTCCATAACACACGGGATACTAATTTAAGTAAACGTAGAAGGGCATAAACAGAATATCACAATATCATTCAACGATACAACCAAATTAAAGAGAACAAAAAATTCCTTACCTGACATGCAACTCCAACATAACCACTTGTACATTGACAAGTGTCAGGTGCCACACAAAGTCCCTTCCCGCCATTACACACTGAGCTTGGCACAGAGGAATTTCCTCCAAAACATTGGACATACTGACATTGTGATCCCATATACCCAGCGTCGCAGGTACAATTATTTGGTGAAGAACAAGTACCATGTGATGAGCAGACATTACTGGCATTTCCAGCAATTCCATAACACTTTGGAATTTCACATTGTACTCCAGTATAATTTAAAGAAGGAGTACATTGACAGATATCGGTCTGGACACAACTTCCATGTCCACTACAAACAAGTGAGGTTTCATTTTGTAATATTGAAAAACATTCCGTAATATTGCAATTGGATCCATGCCATTGAGGATCACATTGACACTTATTGAAATCTGTACACGTTCCATGTCCAGAACAAACCATTCCTGTTAAATTTGCTTGTATGCCATAACAAGTGAAATTTTGACATTCATCTCCAAAATATCCCAAAACAAGACACGAACAATTGTTATCTCCAATGCATGGACCTCTACCATTGCAAACATTGGAATCGTTAGAGAGTTTTCCGAAGCAATTATAAACGTTGATGGTGTTGAGAGTATCTCCATTGACAAACACAAATATTGAATTTCCGTCATCATTGCTCCGTATGACCCAATGGATCCAATGGTCATCATTGGATATCTTGTTAGAATGAACTAGTGGGTGATGATGAAATTCATCGAACATTATAGTAGGTAGAGAAAGGATGATGACCAAGATCACAACATGAAACAAGACAAAAAAAGGACCACTCAATGCAAGCCCTCTTTGAGAAAAACTTCCGAGTTTTAGTGTGCGTTTCGTTTGGATGTTGTTGTGATTCACCACCATTATGGTGTGGTGACTCTTTGGAGAAGCGATTTTATGGCTGGATTCATCAACCAGCTGCAGTTGAGAGAGAATGTCGATACTAGTAGATGGTGGGTTCAGTGCCATTTTCTCGCGTGTGAGAGTTTTTTTGTTTGGGATTGACCCAGAGAGATCGTTCGGAATAATCAAAAACGTCAACCATCACGAAAGGTTGCGCTTTCCTTCTTGATTTGAATCTCAACGGGATAACAAAGGAAACAATGGGAATATAAGGGCACTCAACTGAGAGCAAAACAGCGAATCTTTCATGTCTCTTTAGCTCAAAGAGATGCAACTATGAATACATTAAGGGTTAAAGAAAGGTTCTTTTCACAATGTGTTTTGATTATCTTATTATATTTCACTTAAAAAGACACGGAAACGAGAGGTATGAGGGAGATACGTTCAAGTGTGACAGATCAATCATAAATGCTCAAAACAGCCGCTTCAATGAAAGACTATTGGCTTGTTCAATAATCAAATAAGTTAGTTTAATTAGTAGATTATCGTTAGGTTCGTGAGGACTCTTTCCAAAATTGTGCAAAATTGAAGTATGTACAAATTCCGCATTTAAGTCAAGTTCCCAGTATCATCAAAGGGTACGTTGGTTTAACTTTGCATGATAGCACTTTTGAAGTGTGGTGGTGGTTTGATGAAGGTTGGAGCATGTTCTTTGAACGCATGGTCAACCGGTGATCATTGTGGTCAACCCAAACAACAACATTTAAAAGTACATGTATCCTCCACCTCCAAAGTGTGTCTTGTCAGAGGAAAACAACGCAGTAAATCTATGAGATGCTTTATATTGTTGTTTGGTCACATTGTGTTCATCGGCAGAATAACTTGCCTTCTTCTTTCGTGAGGAAGGTGAAGAAGAAGGAGAGGATGAATCTTCTCGTTGCAATCCAGTCAATTTGTGTTGAGCGATCTTTGCATAGTATGTTTCGGGATCCATATATTCACTCGCATCGTAGGACATATCAAAAGGAGAATAATCTGGCGAAGAAGAGGCTTTTGCTTGTGGTTTTCGTGAATGATGTTTTTGTTGTTGTTGTTGTTTTTCATTCTTCTTCTTCTTGATGATGGACATTAATTGTTCACTATCATTACGGGAAATTGATAGACTTTCTCTCACAAAATCATCTGAATCATCGAAAGAAAGCACTTCATCGTCGTTGTGTTTGTGCTTTTTCCGTTGTTTATAATGTGAGATGAGTTGGCCCATTTTGTTAGTTGCAGACTTAAAATGTTTTTGTAAGGCAACTATGGATGTGAAAGAGTGGTGTTGAAAGAGATAAAGAGCGACACAAAAAGGGTACCAAAAGTTAATTCACTCTAGTGTATTGAACAAGAGTGGCAATTGTGGATGGGTTTCAATTATGCGCAATATCCTTTTTGTACGCAAAATATTTTTGACCAGAAGACGGACTATATTTAAAGACAAGGCAGACAATGCGATCTGAAGTCCTTTCTTTGTCTGTGAGGTGTTGTTGTTTTTTTTGAATGTTTTTGGTTTGAAAAGAATCTGATCAGCTTCAAGCTGATGTTTGGCGGTATTTTTGAGGTGAATTCACTTCCAAATGAGAAAGGTGGATAGCGATCAATGAAAAATGTTGTTATGGGCAGAAATGAGCCGACAGTCCATGACATCATAACCTTGTGACTGTTCTCTCATAAAACTCGTCTCATTGCATCAAATAAGGAAGCATGAAAGGACCACAACTTCTGTCATGAACATGAAATTAGATGTATATTATGGAAAGTTGTCATCTCTTCACGACTCTCTCAGTGTTTTGAAATATCTCAATCCTTTTTATTCTAGTCAAATCGTGTTGTGGTTACAGTCAGTTACTGATGAATTAAATTTGACTCTATTGTTTGGCAAGGGTTGGAATCATATTATGAACTTGAATTAGATTTTCTTGGCGTTGTTTTTGAGCACCCTCGTAATAGATTCGTTTTTCATCTTCACTCAAGCTCTTCCATGAATCGGCAACCTTTCTTGACAATAAGTGAATATTAAGATCTGGATATTTCTTTTTGAAAATTTCAAACTGACTCTTGCAGAAAATGTTATACGCAGACAAGGGTTTCTTCACGACAGGTTGTGAATTCTTTTTTGACTGATCTATATAAGGCTGCCTTTCTTCTTTGGAAAGAGATTTCCATTTCTCTCCAATATATTTTGAAATCTGGTTGATAGTACAATCAGGGTACTGTTGCTGAAATTCTGGAAAGTGTGTTTTGCAAAAGATATTGTATGCATTCAATGGGCGTTTCAATCTAGAATACTTTCCTACCAGAGAATTACTATTATCCTTTTCTGAAAATTCTTCAATGTAGTCAACATTTGTCATTAACGTTCCATCACCAGCATTGGAATTTTCAAGAGTACTCATAACAACTACGGATCTCTTATAACGCTCTCGTTCTTCGTGTGGAAGAAGTCTCCATTGTTCTCTCAATAAAATCATATTTGAAGCTGTATCTTTGTGAATTGGAACAGTCTCACTACAATAGAGCTCAAATGCCAAGCGATCATGTTCATCCGTTCCATTAGAGTACTCTGAACTCAAAGTACTCGTATGAGGTGATGAAGAATTGGAATGGTGTTGATCAATGCTACCACTAGTGCTGCTATTGCCACCAAATAATGCAATGCTGTCATTGTTGTTACTAATCGAGCACTGTTGGCTTTCCATGGGTGTATTAACATTTCCTTCATGCAAAGTAGTATTGGTAGCAATATTGGATGATGATCCTGTGGCATGTTCATGTGGAGTTATTAATGTGGCTAATCTTGCTCGATCTCTTGAAGAAAATAAAAATTGACCTGACTTTGGGTCCTTTCTGAATAGACCACTCTTGATATACTTTCGCTTCTTCTTAATACCCTTCTTGTTGTTTGTCTTTTTGTAATTATTGGTTGTATTGCCTTGTTGTTGTTGTGTATTGTCTTTTGTGTGCGAGTCGCCAGATGAGCAAACTGCATTGCAGGTCTCAGATGATGTCTGACAAGATGAAGTCACGTCTTGGTTACTCTCCTCAAAAATGATCGAACAATCTTCATCTTGCTCAAGTCGCTCAGATAGATCTTTCATATTCTCACTACTTCTGCTGCTTCCGGTTAACAATGGTTCATTGTTATGATGATGTTGGATGGAGTCGACAAGCAACATGTTTGCATTGTGATACTGAGACTGGCTCAAAACCTCATTTGCATTGGAAGAATGACAGTTCATGAATATATTGTCGTAACTTGACGATGGTTGTTGTTGTATGATGAATGGTTCCAAGTCGTCAGAGTTCACAACCAATTTTAAGTTCAATCCAGATGAATGAGAATGCATTTGTTGTGGAAATGTACCAATGAATGACGGAGGCTGCGCCAATGATGTCAATGGATGCAGAACAGAAACAAGTGATGGTTGTTGCAGAGGAGTAAAGAGTGCTTGTTTGATATGTTCCAGAATTGGCTCTAAGAATCTTTGAAAGACACTAGTTGGCATGACCACAATCTTGGTTTGTTTGGTTTCATCTGCATTCAACACATTGATAGGTCCAAAAATCTTGTTTTCATCAACAATACATCCTTCTACACTGTGGTATGTGATGATTTGTTGTTGTGGCAGTTTTGGAGACAGGCCGTGATGCTGGCAGGATGGTATTTGCATGATCGAAGAAGAGCTCTGCTGGAGGGCAAATTGATGTTGTTCTTGTTGCTGATTCAGCAAGTACTGTTGTGAAAGCAACAATGCATTCATGGAATTGGTAAATTCGGAATGAGAAGTCATAGTATTCTGTGCACATTGGTGATTATCATGATTCATCATTGAAGATGCCATTTCCATTCCTCCTGTATTGATATTTGTGGCGGAAGCAACAACAGCGTCATTCATCACCAGTTTTTGTTGTTTTTGTTGTTGATTCATCATTATGGATTGCTGGACCTGGTTCAGTAAACGTAAATGCTCACCAAAGGATGGCAAGCTATTCCCGCGTTGTTGTTGGTGATGATGATGGTTTGGTGCTGCCTTAGCAGAATTGTTAGTAGAAGTAGTAGGGATGTTTGGCTCATCATGATGGCTCCTGTGTGTTACAATGGTAGTAGATGAAGAAGAGCCTTCATTCAGTTGTTGTTGTTGATACTGAGATGTTGGAACAAGGGCTATTTGATGATTATTAAAGGCATGATAGTTATTGAAATTGGATTTGATTGATTGTGTGGATGGTGATGCAAGAGTATTCATAATGGCAACAAGTCAGGCCGAGAGAAAGAATCGATGCAAGAAATTCACGACGACGTTATTGAATATAATTGTTAATATAATTCTTATTGAAATGATGGCTGTTCCGATTGCTACAAATAAATTCTACAATAATAGCAATATGAACTTGATGTGAATCGATTGAGAACGAAGAGAATCCGATTGTTGTTGTTTGCCAGGTAGTAAGCTGTTTTTTATAAGCTTGGTGCCTTCGACAAGCTGTTTGGGAGAAAATGCTGCTGTGAGAAGTGTTTTGCAACAAAAAACTGATGAAATTCTCAACGCACAACAAGATTCATAAAAGATTGCGATCATGGCAAACGGTTCATCATCCAAGTTCGAATATTTTGGTGCATGAAAAGCCTTTCAGAAGCGAGCAATCTTGTGAAAGATAAAACGTACCTTTCTCAATTTTTTTTAGGGTGAAAATCTACGTTGCTGGCTTCAGGAATGCACGCTCCGTAACAGGAGTGCACAAACGGAATTTTTGGCCAAGAAAGAGTGATCGTGATTACAGTTCTTGAAACCGGATTTTTGGTCGCTAAGCCTAGCAGCACACATCCCTCAAGTGAGATTTTGTAAAATAAATTTCATTTTGTGAAAACCAAACACATTTGTACAATGAAATGATGCGATGATGATCAGGCGAGATTCAATCTTTGGAAAGTGAGAAAAAGTATGAAGAATGGTCTTGGTCGGTCACATGCTGCACACAACGAAGCCCCACTACTATGGAAGTGATCATTAAAAACAACAACGAAAAGAGATCTTGATGTTATTAAAAAGAGGTGTATAGCATTCGATGACTTGATTCACTCATTGTTGGCGTTCAATTTCAAAAATCTTTTCAATTGCTTTAACAACACGGTTGTGTTCAATTCTTGCCTTAAAAATTCACTCTTTTGCATTCTGAGAGATTCCACTCCAATGTGATCACTTTCACTGCAAGGTATCTTTTTGACAGCCTTGAAAAAGCGTTTCAATGTCGAATTAAGATTATCAATGGCAATGCATAACACGTCGACTTCCTTTTCGTCTAAGAGTTGATCCTCTTCAAATTGAAAAATAAAAGCTTGTAATTCGATCCATAAATTTTCTTCATCTTCGTTGTTGTCTTTATCCTTGGCTTGATAATTGTCAATAACACTGTGAGGTGTTGGAAGATCGCTTGCTGATGAAGAGCTAAAGTTTGATTGGAAAGATTGTGACAATTCCCGTTTGTGAAGTGGCTCCAAAACTTGCTGAAATAATTTTGCATCAGACTCGGATGAAATGCAATGTTGTTCCACTTCTCGAAATTCCTTCTCGTACAGCTCTTGCAGATCATCGTGATGAATGAAAAGATTATTTTCACTCTTTTGATTCTCAACTTGATTTCGTGCGGTTGACGTTGATAAAGACATTTTTGCATCGGTTGAGGTCTTCTGTAGATCTGTATTCTCACTTGTACTACTGGAACCAACAAGGTTGTCAACGACATTTGGAGTTTCTTTTTCTGCTAACGAAAACACATTACGTGGTGGACTTTGTGCTTGTTCTCTAATTTTTTGCAACCTTTCCTCATTCGCTTTTTTCACCTTCTCCAACAATAATTCGAGTCGATGAACAATTTGAGATGCTGAGGGTCTCTTGTCGGGCTCTTGTTCAATACAATCCAAAGTTAATTGTAACCATTCTTCCTTTCCTACAAGTTTGTCCACATTTAAATAGCTGCTGCTATCGTTAAGGTTGGTTGATTTGCTCGATTTGGGATGAAATAGTTCAATTAATTGTTTCTTTTGAGAAGGCAACTTCATATCAATTCTCAATTTCGCTTGGAATAAACAAAATGCAATAATGCAACCAAATGACCACACATCTACTTTTTCTGAATATGTCTCTTCGCTGTAGATTTCAGGAGCAACATAAAGCATTGTACCGCATGTAGTTTTTGCAAGAGAACTTGAGACATTCTTGGCCAGTCCAAAATCTGATATTTTTAAAACAATGTTCTGTGTTTGAGGAGTGTTTGCAGACATGCTGTCCTCGGTTGTGCTGCCTTCCTTACTATTGTCGTATGTGACAAAAATATTACTTGGTTTTAGGTCTCTATGAATGATATTTTTGGAGTGAATATATTCAAGACCTCTTGCAATTTGCAGCAACCATGAAATAACGTCACACTCATCCCAAAATATTCCAATTTTTTGCCACTGATAACTTCTTCGAGCAAAGAAGGCACTAAAATCTCCAGCTTCGCAATACGGCATTAATATGTTCAAGTTCAGTATGAAATCGTTAGAATTTGAAAATTCTTCCATTTTCTTCTCCAAAAAGAAGGAATAAGTTGGCAACACGTTCTCATGCTTCAATTGTTGGACAATAAAAATTTCATTAAAAACCATGTCACTAGCAACGGCTTTGTTTCTACCAACGTCATCTGAGAAATTAATTGTCATTCGTTTCAATGCATAGTACTTGTTTTCTGATGTCACAGATTCATCTTTAACAAGAAAGACTTGTCCTTGACCACCAGTACCCAATAGTCGTTCAATTAAATAATTGGAACCAATTCGTTTTTCATTGATGAAACCAATCTTTGAGAGATTAGAGTCAGATTTTAGTTTGAGATTTGTCTCAATCATCCAAATATCGTTTGCTCTCGCTACTAATTTATCTTTTTCGACGATTCCTCCAAATACGATCGCTGATGTAGGATTTAGTGCCTACAATTAATGGATTATTAAAAATCATTTAAATGCAAGAATAAGGAGCTTCAAATCATGTTTCAAAAATTGTTACAGTACCTGAATAGAAAAGCTAGTTCCTGGCATCAATTTAGTGGTTTCACCATGATTAGTTACATTCGAATATTTTCTCCAAGTGAACTTTTCCAAATCCAAAACAAAGGTATCATGTAAGTAGGTCTTTTTGTGAACTCCGCCAGTAAGCAACAAATATTTTCCCAAAATGGCACATTTGTGATCACTTCTACGTTCTGGATATTCTTCCGAATTTGTCACATCTCTATCTTCTAACAAACATCTCCAACGATAAGAATCAATATCAAAATACCACACATCATTGGTTTGTACCTTCTTATCGAGAACTCCTCCAACAAGTAACATTTTGTCTTTTAACATGCCACACCAATGGTTATATCTGGGAGAAGGCCATGGAAATTTGTGAATTACAGAATCTTGTTTTGAAAGTTCAATTTTCTTCCATTCAAAAATAAAGTTCTTTCGATCCAATATTTTCAAGAGCCACAAATCACTTAGAATTGCACCATCATATCCTCCAAAAAGTATTAATGTAGAATCATTCACAGCAACCATTGAATGATAATATCTTGGGGTTGGAATTTTAATTCCCAAATTAATAGCACAGCCATCTTTTGTTGAAAAATGTGAGTCTATGGAAGCGAAAGGAGAAATCCAAGTGGAAGTGTGAGCTTTTTTGATACATGAATATTCGGTAGCATTTTCAGGAGGCACTTCGACATTGTAACCATTTAATCTTCCTTCATGCCACATCATGGTGTCAATATTTAGAAACCATACATCATTGAGACGTATTTTTTTATCGGCAATTCCTCCCATAATCACTATCAATCGAGAATCAGAGGATTGCTTTTTTGGAATTAAACACATGCAGTGACGTTCTCTCGGTATTGGAAAATTGTAAATGACAGATCTTGAAACATATTGTTGCGATAAGAGAGATGTGAATGAGGTGAATGGAATTTTCATTTTGCTCAAATTCTGCATTTCTTCAAACGTATTAGAAGCAATTTTCTTCAAATATTCCAATAATTTGTTTTGATAATTTTTGTAATGAATATCGAATGTGGATAATGATTCCACTTTAGAATTTTCTGAGATCATCACTACATTTTGTGAGTTTCCACTACTGCTACCACTTGAAATGTCCAGATTATCGTTGGATCTCGAAGAAGATTTCTTTTTCTTTAAATTAGGAAATAATTTTAGTGACGAAGAAAGGTAGCTCTCAGAATTCGACAGATGAGACAAGTCCGCAGCAGAAATATTATTAATTAAATTCGTTAGATATGAATGAAAGAGAGTGAGATAGTGTTTCTTGTTCGTGCTTTGAGAATTATTGATGGACTTGTCATCCGTTTGTGAAAATTCCATAATTTGAATTGGATCTGGAAATTCGTACTTTCTAATTTGAAGTGTTTCTTAATTTCCAAAGTCATGTTTCATTTGTTCAAGAATTTGAATAGTACCTACTCGGAGAGAATATCCATATCGTGTTTACTCCTATAATGTCATGTCAAAATATAATTTTAAAATTGTAAATGGCGATCAATTATTATGAACCAATCCCATCATATGGTAGATCACTTACTTTTAAATCCAACACTAATTCCTCCCATGATAATTAATTCATTATAATTTTCAATGACATCCTCTTGATTTTTCTCGTCCAATACAATTGCACAACAAGCATGTCCAGACAATGGAGGAGGTAAATGAGATTTTGACCAATCGAAATTTTCAAATTTTGATGATGAAACGGACGATCCATTCGATTGAGACTCAATAATAGAAGAAGGTTTGTATTTCTCTCCCTTGTTAAGTTCGGAGAGAGGAATTGGTTTGAAAGTGAGAGTCAAATCTTCGAGAGAGGCCATTTTTTTATCTTGTCAATCGTGTGACAAGTGGCAGCAGAGCTTCTTGGAGATAACACTCCACTCTTGAAATGTCACTTAAGATTGACGCGATTAATGACAATTCAAGGAAAGTAATGGATGTTTGTTGTTTCAGTGTTGATATTGATCTTTCTGTTTTATTGGTGTGTTAGTGCTTCAACACATAATGTGACAAATATTTATCAATTAGAATCAACAATTTATCCAACAACTTGTTCATTGTTAGGAATGACAGCAGGACGAGCAACAGTTCCCTTTGGCTTCAAGTACTTCTTTACAACTTGAAGTGTGACAGAAAGTCTCTCTTCAATCGTTTGTCCTTGAGCATTCTTAACAGTGTCTTGAGTTTGGGTCTTACTTTGAGTAGTAATGACACCATTTTCCTTATCCTCAACAACAGTGGTTTCAGTTGGAGAAGTCACTGAGGCAGTTTGTGATTGTTCTTGAGGAACACCTGGTTGTTGAACTGATGGTTGTTCAGTAGGTTGTTGTGGTTGTCCACTTGGGCCAGATGGTTGTTGTGGTTGTGGTTGATCAACTGGACCAGAAACAGGTTGTTGTGGTTGTTGAACTGGAACTTCAGGTTGTCCACTTGGACCAGATGGTTGTTGACCAGTTGGTTGATCCGCTGGTGGTTGTTGAACTGGTTGTTCTGGTTGAGCTGGTGGTTGTTGATCCACTGGTGGTTGCTCTGGTTGCTGTGGTTGCTCAGGTTGTTGTTGACCAGGTTGCTCTTGTGGTTGTTCAGGTTGTTGTGGTCCTTCTTGTGGTTGTTGAGCTCCATTGTCACCACCGGCTGGTCCTTGATCATCACCACCACCGACTGGTCCATTATTTTCACCTCTTCCTCCCTTCTTTCCATCCTTACCTCCTTTCTTACCACCTTTCTTTCCTCCTTTACCACCCTTCTTGTCACCTTTACCTCCTCTCTTTCCTCCCTTCTTTCCTTGTTTTCCACCTCTCTTTCCACCTCTTTTACCACCAGCATTACCACCACGTCTTCCTCCTCGGTTACCTCCTCTTCTGCCAGCACCTCGATGACCTCCTCTTCTGGAGACTGCTCCTCCTCGTTACCTCTTCTGAATCCACCAGCAGCTGCGCCTCCTCTTCGTGAAACAGCACCTCGTCTGGCACCATTACCACCTCTTCTGAAACCACCACTACCTCTTCCTCTACGAGAAACAGCACCACCACGGAAAAAACCTCCTCCTCTTCTGAATCCACCGCCGCCACGGAAACCACCTCCTCCTCTTCTGAAATCGGCGAGGGTGGCCATGTCGAAAAGATCACCTAGTTCTTCATTGGTCCATTCTGCAGAGACAGAAAGTGTCGCTCCCAAGAAGAGAAGACACAAGGCTCCTACAAGGAAAAACGCTGTTTGCTTCATTTTTTGTTGCATGATGATCCTATTTTTGATTCTGTGTTTTCACATTATAATGGTGCGATGAAAGCTGACAGATGGGAGTAAGATAATCATCATGTTGAAAGTGGTGTGATCTGACAATAATGGCAACGTTGCATACCACTCAATCGCTTTACAACAGAAATCAAGAGGAGAGTTATCTCTCTTGTTACAAGGTCAGTTTATCAAAATCTTCGAATAAATTGCTCAAAAACTTAAATGGCAAACCACAGAGTCAAGAAGATAGTCAAACCAATCAATACTCCACTCAAAAAGAAAATTCCACATCTAAAACAAAAATGTGACAACAATGCATTTTTCCAATTCACTTTTCTATAAGTATCATAGTTCAATACATCGTCATCCTCCTCGTCTGCCTCATTCGTTGTCACAATCGCTTTCTGTGATGAAACAGATCCGTCCTGAGTCGAAGTATTCCAATTTGAGGAATTCAAATTTCTTTGTTGAATCGATTCAAATATTTCTCGATTCGTAAGAGAGCTAGGATCCTTATGAGATGATTGTGGAATAAATGGAGAAACTTCATCCTGAAAAGAATCTTCAGAAGAATATCCATGAAGATCTTCATGATGATCCTTAATCCCAATATCTGTTGGATGTGAGTTTCCTGAATTCAAGATGGGTTCATTATTTTTCTTCGAGTTGCTCCTCCTGATATTCACTTGATTATAATCAACATTCTTTTTGTTTTCGTCGTCTCCTGCATCAGACTCATACTCATTCATAATTCGATTGAGGAGAGTTTGTTCATCATCTTCCTTATTCTTACGAACAGTGGTGGTATTATTTTTTGTATTTCTCATGTTTTCCGAGGGGGATAACGACAGAGAGGTGGTTGTTGGTGAGGCGATATTGACCTGTGTGGTGATGACAGGTGGCAGTGTCGTGACGACATTGGTAAAATTATTATTGGTAGAATTTTCAAAATCAACTACATTGTGTTTTAAATCATCATGACTCGAACCCATTTGTGTTGTAGTTGTTGACTGAAGTCGATTATTGTCACTTGCCTCATCATGATGAAGACTTTCAAAATCATCGTCCGATGAAGATCCATATTGTTCAACGGCTGTGGCGTTGGAAAGGACCACCGAATGGTGATTCGAATTGGATGTCGACGGAGAAGAAGGTGTCCTATTTGATGGTTCTGGAGTACTTTTACGTTTGTTGATGTCCGAAGCTTTTCGACTGACACTTCGAGAAGACATTTTTTTTCGTTCGTGAAAATATCACTCGTGTGAAAATGGTAATGATTTTGTGAACACACAATGAACGATATTTGGAGTACTGCTATCTCATAAACGATTTCTTCAGTCAAAAGACCCATCTCCATTTACATGAATTTCATGTTGGATGACAAGGTTTAAGTCAAAAAAATTCAGGGATGGGTTTATTCGATGATAAACGTTGTTCGATGGTTTTATGTACATTATTTACAAGCCGAACGTAAGATACGTAGTGACTTCCTAGCAGGCACCCCGGAAGTAAAGGTGTTTAAACTGCTCACGATAACAGCAGCAACCCCTGGGATTCGAACGCTGGACCAGTTGGCTGCCACAGTTCCAGGTTTAAGTCAAAAAAAAATGAAATCGCTGTTGAAAGCCTCTCACGCGTGCTTGCATCATCATTCTTTGATGGGAACACTTCGTTCAAGAACTTCTTCGCGAGGAGGTTCCTCTCATTCCTGCATCATTCAATTACTTGATGCATCGTTAACGTCGAGTAATCATCATGTTGGAAGATTCGGGCACTCAACAATGTCATATTTCCGATCCTTTTCAACCATCGTGAATCGGACTCAAAAATCTTCATCATCTACAACGGGAAAGAAAGGAAGTAATTTTAGTGATAACAGTGATGACGATGGAGAAGATATATTTGATAAATTAAAGAAGCTCGGGTTTTTAGGACAAGGCTCTCCCGAAGTGAAAAAACATTTGGAAAATATGATGGATTTCATGCTCAAGCCTGGAAAATCTATGCCAACATCTTCATCTTCGTCGACAATGACACCCGAAAGCTCTGAAGCCAAGAAAGAGGAAAAACCGAAACCTCTCAATACATTCCTGGAGGATGAAGAAAAATTAATAGAGAGTTTTAATAGAGTTGTTTTTGAAGCTTATAAATTACATAGAAACAGTTTTGAATCTCAATTAACACCAGAGGAAATTGTGAATAGTTTGGATAAACATATAGTTGGACAAAGGGATGCAAAGAGAGCGGTTGCGATTGCTCTCCGAAATAGGTTTAGAAGAAAGACTCTTATTGAATGGTACAATGACAAGAGTAGACCAAAAACAACTTTGGATCCCAGTGAAATTATTCCAAAGAACATTTTAATGATTGGCCCAACAGGGTATGTACCAGTGTGCATTTTGAAAAACAAATGTTGCACGATTCTTACTACTGTGATTACTGAATTTGTGACGAATTAATTCTTCATGAACAATTAATTCCTATGCAATAATATTCACTGTAACATGCATTGAATGGTAACCATAGTTGCGGAAAAACAGAAATTGCACGTCGAATTTCTAAGCTTGTTTCAGCTCCTTTTTTAAAAGTAGAAGCCACAAAATATACTGAGCTTGGTTATCACGGTAGAGATGTGGATACAATTGCTCGTGATTTAATTGATGTTTCTATTAACTTGTTGAAAAATAATCTCTCTGAGTTGTTTAAAGGTTATTTAAATGCTCCATTAAAGAATGAGGAGGCAGATCCTGGAGCTGTACTGTTTCATTCCTACTTGCAACAATTAATTGAAAATAGATTGATTCATCTAATGTTCGGTTCTGAAAGCATTGAAAAAATAAGAGAATCTACACTCAGAGACTATTTGAACATGTTGAGAAATGGAGAGTTGGATGATCGTCATGTTGAAATTGAAGTTCCAGTTGCGTCGTCCAAAAGAGGCTCTGGAATGTCTGCCCTGAGCGATCTATTTGATGCTGTTAAGAATAATTTTACACCTCAAAATTCCAAATTTACAATACCAGATATTGCAGAATTAAGCAATCATCAAACACCATTTGATACCATGCTCATCGAGTCACCAACTCCTACTGCTTTCAAAAAAGTAAAACTGACCGTCAAAGAGGCCAAGGTAAAGCTTGCTGAGCTTGAGTTAGAAAAATTGATAAATAACCCAATATTCATTGAGGAAGCGAAAAGAATTGCCGAAAGAGAGGGAATTGTTTTCATTGACGAAATTGACAAAATTTGTGGGTATGTACACATTTTTTCATGATAATTCCTTGATCTAAATGTTTTTGGTCGGTCGACTCTAATTCAATGCTGTATGTTCAAACTCTACGGCGCACTCACATTTAAAAACACTAAGTGATCCCAACCAAAAGAGAGGCTCAGCAGATGCATCTGGTGAAGGTGTTCAAAAGGTATGTTTTCATTTTGTAAATTCATCTCATCTTGGTAATTGTGGTGTATGTGATTGTGATATGCGTGGAATTTGGGATAGGACTTGCTGCCGCTTCTCGAAGGTTGTGAAATTCAAACCAAATACGGAACCTTTAAGACAGACCATGTATTATTTATTGCAAGTGGAGCATTTCACGATAAAAAACCTTCAGATCTCATGTCTGAATTGCAAGGAAGATTACCAGTGAGAGTTACCTTAGGCTCACTCAATACAAAAGAAGAGTTGTATCAAGTGTTGACAATTCCAGAATTTAATTTAATACGCCAACATGTGTCACTATTTGAAACGGAAGGAGTTAGACTGAATATCACCGATGAAGCGATCGAGGAAATTGCTACATTCTCAGCAATATGCAACTCTAGTGTGGATAATCTAGGCACTCGTAGACTCATTGGTATCATTGACAAGTGCCTGGAAGAACTCTCCTTTATTATACCTGACCTTGTGAAATCTGACTCAACTACAATAGAGAGTGAATTCAACAAGGTTGGACTACAGGATTGCTATCAGATTATTCCATCAAATGAAGGAACGAGCCAAAAGCAGCTGTTGGAAATCACGATCAATGCACAATTTGTCAAGAAAAAGATCGAATCGAGTCCATTATTCGCAAAAATGGATGTACGAAAGTTTACCATCTAATTTTTGCGAATTGTAACATCATCGTATTGGACAAAATGAAGAGATGATTTAATAATGAAATTACAATATTTGGTCTGTTTTTTTGTTGTGACAATACAAAGATCCACTTGATTCTGGAAGAATAGATTTTTGCGAACAACTCGCCAGCAACGAACAACGACGGGTCTTAAGAGATGAAGTTGAGCAACCATTTGATTGGGGTTTAATCCTTAAAGACTTTAATGAATATTAAAGCATTTTACAGTTTTGATGTTAACAAGTGACTCTTAAGGTTGGTTTCTTGAACGAGAGGTGATGACTTGCTATTCTGATCATTCCAACCTTGACATTGATATGTTGACAACTTGAGAAACATTAAATTTACAAGTTCAATCTTTAACTGATAAAAAAAATTACAAGTCGAGCCAATAGCAATTTATTGGGCCAATCAAAGCGGAAACAAGCAGAGAAGGTTTATCGTTTGTTTTCAATCAATCCTAATACTCTAGTCTCTATTAAATCATCATTACATAATTTGTTACCATTAGCATCGAATACAATACAATCTCTGGCTTCGATTGTGATCTCCGACAAGTACCGTTTCACAGAATTAATTACATCATTTCCGAATATTCTGGGATGTTGCAATATTTGCTTCAATGCAATAACATCACTTTTTGCTCGATGTTGATCTACAATATCACGATCAAATAAGGTTTTGAATATTGTTCCGAGCTTGTAATTTTCTAATTTTTCTAATAATTTTTGTTTGATAATTCCTAAAGAATCTACAAATATCAACCGATTTTCCTTGAAATTAGATTGCAAGAGTTTTTTCTGCCTCCAATACATGTATGCTTTAAATATTGCATCTTTGTCAAATGGAGAATTGTGAGCAATCATAATTATTGCTTTTTTCGGAAGCTCTGCAACCAATCTAGAAATTGCTTGATCTTCATGCACTCCGTTAAGCACCATTTCATTTGAAATATTAGTCAATTCTACGACTGATTTTTCTATTTTTCTTCTAGGACGAATAAATTGTGGAAATTCAATAGTGCTGTTGTTGCTAAGATTGTCTGCATAAAAGTCAGTAAGACTTCTGACTTTGAAATCTGTAGTTTCACAATCTGCAATTATAACTGAATAGTCTTGAAGTGAGTCAATGACTTTGTAATATCGGAAATGATGATTGCAACCTCCTTTGTTTAAACAGCATACTTTGCATAAACCACATTCTTTGCGTCCTTTTAAATTTTTACATTCTGAACATTGAGTTGGTATCCTTGTTTTTTTTGTGCTCTTTTTCAATTTTGCAATTTCTTCGTTTGAAAGTTCAACATTATCGAGTGCTGATAAGGCTTCTTCAATTGATGGAAGTGAGATTTACTTTTGATGAAGTAACTCCTTGGTTTTCTTTTCTTCTGGATCGTAGTTATGTAAATCTTTCAATACATCCCATTGATGGAGTCGCTGTTGACGATGAACTCGTTGTTTCAGAGCATTCACTAATGTTTGAGTTGCGTTTGTTGACTTGCAAATAATTTTTGCTTTGTCTTCATCTATTTTGTGGATGTTGTGTAAATGGTTTTCTAGAGGGCCAATTGTTGCATAAAATTTTCCACAAAATGGACACTCCAAATCAACTGATGTACGTATTACAACAGATGAGTTTGATCTGAGTGTCACGCTTTTTTCTCTGTGATTCAGTGACTGAATTTTTTGTGTCACTTTTTCTCTGTTAATCGTTTCTTGAGTTGGTAGTTTGTTGTCCGGCATTGGAGGAAGACCATTGTACTTAATATTCAACCTATTGTAATGCTTTGAGCAACTTTTTTAGGTAGGGAAAATAGGCGTTGTGTATCTGTTAAATGTTCAATTACAACAAATCGATGTGACTTAAAAAGGATGCTACACAAATCATAAATGCAAAAATTATTACATTTGTGTTGTATCAAACTGAAAATCAATTCTAAACCGTTGCTACTTATTGCACTTGTTAATATTTTTTTCTGATCTTCAACAGGTCTATCTGAGAGCTTGAAAAATTTTTGTCCAGCTTCAATAGCACGTAATTCATCGCTAATTGTAGTGATATTACTGTCTACGGAATCATAACTTAAATCTGAACCAACATCTGGGACATCATCATCATTGTTGTTTTTGTCGACAGTTTGGTCTTGCGTAGAATTTTGTTGTGATGACCAATTTTCATAATTATCGAATGGAAAACAATTATTGCTTTGGTTCTCATTGTCAGAAATAATTGAGTCATTAGAAGGAAATTCAGACAAACTCCATGAATGAAACCATAGTCGTTTCAGCATTCTATATATCTAAACAATGCCCCTTAAAGTTTGATCTGAAATGATATCCAGTTTTGTCTTAAAATATTGAATACAATCATATAAATCATTCAATTTAGCCTCCAATGAAAACTTTTCATCATGACAGGCGTAATAGAATTTTCGAGTATGCCATAAATAATAATACATAGAATCAACAATAGCATATTCTTCTTGGATGGTGAGTGTTGGAATATTGTAATTTTTTTTGAAATACTCATTCAATTGTTTTTCTGTCATTTTGTTTAAATTAGCAACATCAATATCTTTCATAATAAAGTCAGTTATTCCACTCTTATGAATATTCTTGCTGTCACTAAGAACAAAGTTATTGAAGAAATTTGGTACAGAAGGAAGAATATCGTGGAATTCTTCTTTTAAGTTAGATCTAATTGTTTGTAATGCTTGCAATACATCCTCCTTAATGAGATTCAAACAACTTTCTACATTCATTTCATCTTTGACGATTAAATCTGATCTCCTTAACTTTCTATTAAGATTGTCGTACTTGGAAGTCAGATAAATCAAACCCATCATAGATATTGCATGACTGCTGTCAATTAAGGATTTCTTAATCGCTTGAGAATGTGAATGTAACCTTCACAATGAGTCCATTGTTTGCGCTCATTATTGTTGTTCAAAAAATTCTCTACTGTAGCTGGTTCAAACTCACCATCCGTGACAGAACCAATTATACAAAATTTTTCATGAACAGACCATTTTTGATCTATTTCTCTAACCTTGTCCATAATAAAAGAGAACATATTGGAATTTGGAAGAGCAAAGACAGCACAAACATTTGAAAAGTTGCCATATAAATCAATAATTTGAAATACAATAGCCTTCTTCGCAAAATTATCTGACGAATAATTTTCTTGTAAAAATTGTGTTGGATGTTGAAGATGATCTCGCCCTCGGAATTTACTCAGTATTCTCTTTTACGAGACATTTCATGATAATTTCTGCCATCGGAGATCTACAAATATTTCCCAAACAAACAAAGAGAACCGAATGCTGTCGTTGGTGTTGTTCTGAGTGATTACATGAGATGGTTTCGTTGGGTTTTGACATTTTTTTGGGCCAACACGTTTTCAAAAAAATGCCGTAACTGTTCCTGTGTTATGGGAATTCTGGGGGTGGTCCGTGCTATTCACTGAAATACGGCAGGGCAATAACTCCACCCTACATCATAGATCTCATTAACGAACCTACGACACCGGTTGGAGGGTATCTATCATAAGCCTACAAAGGGCAGGAGTCTTACGACGCTAATGTGAAACCACTACCAATGTAATGCTGTGACAAGAGAGGATCGCAACCATTCAATTTTTTTATGTCGGTTTTAAAGACTTTGCATTATCAACAAGACGTTAATAATACGATATTATTAAGCAAATGAAAGAATTTCAAACCTTCTCGTGTTAAAGACTACTCCATAGTAGTGTTTGCATACAAAAATTTGACAGATCAAAAATTCCATGGTGTTGTATTAATGAAGAAAACCAAACAAGTTTGTTTGATTTTAAAAATACTACTGAAAAACTTGTTTTAATAGCATGTGAGCTAATATTCTAGTAAATTAAAGTATATAAGTCGGTAATTAGTACATAAATCCATCTGATCCAACGATGTGGTATCGAAATTAAACAATTGAATTTCCATGAAATCTTATTGTTTGGGAAAATCAATACAGAAAGATCTTCCTAAAAATGCTTGAAATTTTCAAAAGAGAAGAAAAACAACAATATTCAAGAAAAGGAAAGTAGATCAGAGATTCATCACCAACGATATGCCTAATCCCATCGGGCGCTTCCTGAATATGGTTGGAAGTATCTCCAGGGAGCCCTATTAATTTAAATCAAAAGGTACTAAAGATAAATTTTAAGAATACAGATCATGATGCGAAAGAGACCATTTGATTTTCTACTATACTACAGCAGTGGACAACACATGTATCAATATTTAGCTTTAACGTTTAGATTTCATCGTAACTTAGTCTAAATGAATTTTAATGGAAGAGTTTTAACTGAGAAAATTAGCGACGTGTCCGATGCCTAAAAAATTCTTAGATATTTTCAACGTTATAGTAATGCCATCTAATATTCTTGTAAACGAGAGCAGTTCAATATTTATCAAACATAAAAAAGGATATATCCGAAGGACCTCTTATTAAATATAAACAGTTGAATTCCCATGAAACTGTAATAATGAAGAAATTCAACTCTGAATGCACCCCCAGCACTAAAATGCTCCAAAAGCGGTAATGAAAAATAATGCCACTAATATTCTTGTAAACGAGAGCACTTCAGAACTTCATCACAACTTGAGGATACTATACGAATATGTTTAGTTGAATTCCCATTGACCTCTCTTAATAGGCGAACTAGCTATGCGATATATTCTCCTTTGCCTGAAAAAGGTTGTTATCGCGAGTTCAACGAATAAATAGATTCTTTACGAGTTAGACAACTTGTTTTTAAATCTTTATCCTTTGATATGATTGATAAGATTGAAACGAAACCTCAGCTTAGGATGCTTCAATTAAAAAATCTGTACCACCCATTTCCAAATGTTGTGGGCATTTTATGCCACTTCCACTCGTTCGATAGCATTAGCATTGAAGGATTCAAATATATTGCAAACAGTGAAAACTTGTCTGAGCCTACGTTGTTTCATTTGCAATGAAGGATTTAAATATATTTCCAACAGCAATTATTTGAAAAATTTAACCTAAACAAGTAAGATTCGTCAAATGTGCACGATTCGACTTTCACATTTCCAAGTACTGAAATCCTATATCGCCAATGTTGTTGTCATTTAGAGAGAGTGAGGTTGAGTAGCAACAGTATCGGAAAGAAAGGGGCCAAATATATTGCTAAAAGTGAATATTTGACAAACCTTACTTATTTAAACCTGAAGAGAAATGGTATTGATTGTAAAGGGGTCCAATCTCTTGCAAATAGCGTATATTTGATAAATCCTACAGAATTGGATCTAAGCAGTAACCAGATTTCAGACAAGGCAAGAAGAAAGTATATTGAAAACAGTGAATTTTTCCAGAATTTGATGTATTTGGCAATAGATTATGTAGATGATAGTGATGATTATGAGTGGGATCCGAGCCCGTACTGGAATAGCGATTATGACTATTCATCCGAGGAACAATTACCGCCCTCTCCAATTCCAAGAAGGTCCTCGAAAGATGCGAAAATTCGGAAAAAGAACAAGTCCAAACGGCCTTAATTCAATCATTAAATCATATTAAAGGTTGAAAACAGTTTTGCATTGAAAACAACTCACTCAAAAGAAGAGTTGACAATTCCAGAGGGAAGAACTATTGGCTCATTACATTCATCTCATTGACATCTCATTAAGGGGTCACAATTGATATTTTTACTTTGTCATATAGTACATGGCAAGGGCAGATAGCAACATCATTAGGATTGATATCCACCTGGATTGTTTGTTGACACATCCAACCAAAGTGTCTGCTGCGGCATTCGAAGTGTCATTATACTTGTTCAGATTCAAAGTCTTGACTTCAACAGTCAACAAAGTCACGGCATATGGAGGTAAGTTTGGAACAAGGGCTGCTCTTCCAAACAACGAGACACTTCTCGATCGTGCTACAAGACGTGTATTGGCCTGTAAATAACAAACTCTAGGATCCTTGGAGTCGAACATGGCAGAGCTCAATTTGAATGCAAATCCATACAGATTTGATGAAAGAGGGAAAGTGATTGTGGTTGGATCTACACCTGCATAGTTGGAGATGATATGCCTCCATGAATCCATTGTGGAATTATCGAATACGGTACAACCTAATTGTCCACTTGTTGGAGAATAGACTGGTGCCGATCGATACGTTTTGAAGCAACACATGTAAGCACTCTCAACAGCGAGTTGATATCCATTGAACCCTGCACCAGGAGACTGCACCAGCGAGTAGACACTTTCCTCTGTGGAAAAAACCTGTTTCGTTCGCCACATATTATCCGTTGTGGTCATGGACACTTGCAATGTGATATTCTTGTCTGAGGGTGGCACTACAATGGTGTAATCAATCTTGAAAGGTATGAAGGACGTGACAATGAGATTCGAGTCCAAATATTTCAAAGAGGCCTTGAAATAAATCACACCCCTATAATCCGAAACGGCAACGGACGATTGTGTGGTAATGAGATAGTAGGTCTTTGTACCAACCACTGAGGCTTGGGTGGTCTTGGTCACTGTTAACGTGTATGCTGAATTGGAATTGTTGAAATAGGTGAAAGATATTAAGCTCGTATTGGTACTTTCTAAGACGGCATCAAAGGTCAAAAGCCCGTTTGAAGTGGTACCAATGTTTTGAGGATACAACTTGACATCATAACCAAAGGGATTATAGGTCGCGTTGAAAGAAGAGGATGAATAAATTACAATGGGATTAATTTGGAAATAGATCACTTGCGAAGTGGAGTAAGTGATGGCTTCACAAAAACCATTATTTCCCGTTCCATTCATATTGCTTATAGCCATGGACAAGGGAATGGTGAGTTTGATGACATCTCCTAACAATTGTTTCGTAGTGAGGTTGCTGTTGATCAGCATATCAATGGTAAACACTGGGCTCTCATAAACGATTAAACAAGAAACATTGCTGTTTGGGGTGATCTGGCTTAATGACACCACCTGGTTGTTTCCATACAGGGAACACGATGAAGCATTAAACATTGAGTTTCCAACAAACAAATGATGATTGAACGTTATGATAGGATGCTTTTGTACCGTCATGGTAAATTTAATGCTCGACGAGTCGACAATGGTAGAGTCGATGAGAGGAGTTGGTGCTCCCATCACAGTACCCTCAACGGCTTGCTTGGACCACCCACACATGGAGAGGGAGCAGTCAGATCCAGTCCACAAATCACTACACAGACAAGTGCTTGAGGCTGTATCGCAAGTACCATGATCTGCATCGATGCAATTATTGGGACAGGAGGGTTGTGGTGGTGCTCCTGCGGCAAGAACCAACGCTGAATGGAAACCACTCATCATCACAAGCAAGCAAACCAGCGTTGTAAGAATCGCACCAAAGAATAATGCAAGAGATTTCATGTTGGATGAACAATGAGGAATATTGGAGGAGGCTTAGAAAAAGAAGATGGATCAACGAAGGAAAAAACAAACTGCGTTCACGACAAGCTGTACTTTCAAGAGAGTAAAAACGATTATTCGAGCCGAATATACCGTTGAAAAAGTAACGTCGTGTGGCCTTAATAAGGTGAAGCAACTAAGGTGCGGTTAAGGATTTTTTTTTGTTATGTGCAACGAGCTTTTTGCCATCTTTGGAGTCTGATCTGCGCCGTTATTAAATTTGATGTTGCGATCCTTTAGACCTGTTGGTTCACCAAATCAATGGCTGTAAAACCTCTCAACCCGCAATATTATAATAAAATTACAAAAACCTTGCATCATCAATATTGTTGACTTGTGTCGGACCTTTTTTCAATTTCGAAATGCAGGATTTCGAAAATACTTCAAAAGCATGGAAAATCCGAATTATACCGAAAAAACAACCACAAAAAAAAGTAAACAAACACATATCAATGTTCTAAACAACAACAACAATGAACCATCACTACCCCCTCTGAGCCACAACACTGCCATCATCATGATGAAATTCCCCACAACTACCTAGCCCATTAAAATGACAAAGCGCAAACAACATTCCGATCCTGTGCTGATCTTGGTTGCACAATATAGTTTACCTTCGGAGGAAGATCCCAAGATTGCCAAAGAAGTCATTTTGAATCATCTCAATACTTTTCATTACATATCAAAAGGGTTAAAACTCGATAGGGACATGTGTGAATTTGTGTTTCAACTCGTGTCTAACAAGATGCAAAGTCAAGAACCCTCTGAAATTGAATTCATTCAACACGAATTCCTTCCCAAGATGAACATTACCACCAAATATTTTCTGCAATTATTACTGAAACACTATCCAATGCTTTTTGAGTATTTACCATCCAAGTTCAAATCGGATTACATGTTGGCATTACAAGCGGTGAAACGCAATGCAAGCATGATTCGATTTGTTAGCAAAAAAACTCGCTGTTATTACAAGTTGATGGTAGAAGCATTCTCGACCGATTTCTATGTGGCCCAAAACATGGAACTAGGTTGGGGAGTTGAGAAATTTATGAAACCATTTGCTGCAAAAGAATCTCTTCTCATGAAAAAGAAACTCTTCAGCTGCATTTCTAAAGAGAATGCATTTTCAGATATTTCAATTTCCTCTTTGGATGAGAAGGAAATTTATGATTTTCACTTTTACTACATGAATCAATAAATTTTCGAAATGTTCTTATTGAGTCATTGTTGTTCGAATGTGAATCTATTCGCAATAGATCGTTGTTGTTCGAATGTGAATCTAGATTCATAGTTTATAACTCGTATTAAGCATGCAACGAAGAACAATTGTTAGAGTATGAATACGGTGTTGAGTGATGGTGTAACTTGTGGCCATGATTAGAATGTTGTTGAGAGGGCAATCGTTGTTGAGAATGGTGATGATGAGAGGTCACTGTTGAAGAGGATGACAGTTGCTGGCCAACATTCGAGTGTGTATTAACGACACTTTTACTCGTTAAAGGATGAAAGAATTTGCAATGATAGCCATATTTACATCCTTTTCCACTCACATAAAAGGTGCACACTTTGGGTTGATAAAACGAAGGTTCATCCTCGCCATCTTCAAATATTTCACTATACATGGAAACGTTGGCATGACCAGGTGCGATACCTTTTCCGTAAGGTTGAGAAGGATTGTTATTTCGTTGCGAATGAGTGATTCTGAGAGAAGGAGATGATACTTGTTGGGAGTTCGTAGTGCGAGTTGTTGCATTCCTGGATGGAGATGATGAATGTGTGGTACTGAAAAAGTAAGGTTGTTGCTGTTGTTGCTGTTGTGGTTGTGCTGCTGTCCATGAAGATGCTGCTGGTGGGCCACAGTAATACACAGAATTCGTAATATTACTTGAATTAGGAGGTTGCATCATTGTTGGCATGACCATTGGATAGCTCACATAAATTACTGGATGGACTTGTTGTTGAGTTTGCTGTTGTTGTTTCTGAGAATTCAAAATCATTTGATGATAGAAAAACATAAAGGATTGAGGGGAGGTCGGATGATAGAAGGAACACTGATCTCCATTCTTACAGAAACCATTCATGAAATATTTACATGGAATGGTGGAAGGATGGTGATGAGCTGGTGCATCTTGTTGCTGGTGATGATGCTGTTGGTGGTGTTGAAGAGAAGAGTTCTTTTCGGTAGTGCTTTGGTTGCTTCCACTACTACTGCTTGTTGTGGATGAAGTAGAGGAAGTGGAAGAATTTTCAACACAACAGGAATGAGGGTGGTCTTCTTCAAGTTGTTGTTGTTGTTCTGTAAATTGTAATAATTCCTTATTGAAGTCAAGTTCTTGTTGCATTTCTTTTTCGTTTTGGAACAATAAACGCTTGTCGTCGCAGTTGCATACAAATGATGAGTGTGTTGTCAATTCGTCAATAATGCAGAACACAAATGCAATAATGACGAGTCGGTCAGAGGAGTAGTGCAACAACAAGATCACTCGGAGAGAAGACACTTTTTGTGTTTTTTTTGATTGAATGTTGGTCGGCGCTCAATTTTATTGGTCCACATTCGGAGTTTTTTTTTTAAAGTGGCCATTTTGATAGAGTGCACGGAATTGATTGATCTTTGATGCCGAAATGAACAAAAGAGTGATTGTGCATACGAAAAGTCATCACAGAGTTCAATACAACAGTCACAACTCCAACCTCAGCATGGCATTGACAATGTAAGCAAATACCAAATCAATTGATAACACAGAGTTGTGAACTTGGATGAAATTGTTGTTGAATGATGATATGCATTCAATTTTTATTCCTCTTTCTCTTTTCAAAAGCTTGTTTGATTTTGATTCGAGTCATTTCAGGTAATTGCAAAAATCCACTCGAGGTACACAAATCTTCATATCTTGCTAGAATATAGTGTTCACATTCGCTCTCTAATGATTTGTCGTTATAAAGTGTGGCAATTTCAAAAACTGACCAAACAATAGAATTGTCCAACAATGAAACCACCATTCGACGACAACAACTTGCCATGTCAACCAAATCAAGCATGATACAATACACGAGAATTCCCAAACAATTTCTTGGAGTGAGAACAATTGTGTCCGTGTACAAATAATTTAACACTTGCAGCATAACTTCGGTTGAATAGTCACTCAAATGAACAACTTTTTCTTTTGCTTCCAACATTCCAGAAGTGACAAACATTCGAGAAAAGAATGGGCTTCTTGCCATTATCAATCGATGAACTGCAATTCCATTGCTTGTCGTGTTGAGATTTGATGAAGAAGGTTTTGGAAGAGGTGACAATAATTCCGTACCAACGCCATTCTCATCTACTGCGTGTTCTGCAATATCAAAACTAGTTTCTGGAATTTCGAATGGTTCCTCTTCGAAAATCTCATCTCCAGGAGGGATGTGAGCTTGTTGTTGCATGGATGCTCCTCCTTGTTGGTAATCTCCGTCCAAGACCACAACTAAATCGCTATAAGTATGATCATTGATCAGAGAGGAAAAATCTTTGTGGAGTTGAGCAAGAATTTGTTTCGTCATTCCCAAATCTTTTCTCTCATCCAACGAACAAATTCTAGAAATGAATGGATAATGATGAGTTTCAGAGATTTGTTGAACATAGGCAATGAATGATTTCACATCGTCCAAATTGTCTAAATGCATGGAACCAGTATATAGGAAATGAAGATACTGTTCAAAAATGTGAGTGGTGCAAGCGGTAATATCCACGATCGTAATTTCTTCACAATTCTCATTAAATGTACCAGTAAGTCTATGCGTGCTCATCGTTTCGGTGCTTTCCAGAATCTTTTCATGCAATGCTGGACATCTAGCCTTAATGATGGCCTAACATTGTATAAGACAATACGATACAACATCATTTTTGCATCAAAAACCAATGTCATGGTGCAGAATACGACGTCACAAATTCATGTGTCATACATTAGCACTACTGAATTGAATCACAACTATTTCAACTTACCTTATGGGCTAACACATAACTCAAGGAGTCCACTCCTCCTTGGCCGTTTTGCTCACTCTGCTTATGGTCACGCAAACGGAATACAACGTCACACAAAAATCCTTCATCCCTCTTCTTCTCCAAATAAGAGCACAAAGGAATGGGTCTTCCAGGATCAGTCATGTTCAAAATTCTAACACAGGGATCTCCCTTTTTCGAGAGTCCACCAATTCTTAATAACTTTCCTTGTATGGCAAAGCAGGAATGACCAGAGCAAGGAAGCGCCTTATTACTCTCTTCGTCGAGAGATTGTTCTGAAATAATTTCAATCAAATTCCATTTCTTATCTCCAATATCGAATCGATAGAGAGAATCTGAATAGGAATGTTCATGATCATCCTTAAGCTCACCTCCATAAATATAAAAAGATTGGTTGTTGACAGCAAATGACTGATGTTTAAAGAGTGGTGGTGGTAACATGGAGTCACAAACAATTTCTGTCCAAACTTTTGCGGTAGTATCGTACATGTACATATCGTTCAAGAGCTCGTTCTTGGAATTGCGACCTCCAAAAATGAAAATCAAGTTGGAAATAAGGCAACTGGAATGGCCATATCGTGCCGAAGGCCAAACTACAAGATGTTTCTGTTGTTTGGGCTTCTCAATTTGCACCACGTCAAATTGTTTTACATTACTGGTAAAGGTATAAAGATACATGTCATCGACAGCAGTGTTGTTTTTCTATAGTAGAAAGAGGTTAAAATATTAAATTGATAACAATTTGCAACAATTCGATGTATGTGTAAATGAGAAAAGTTTCTCAAAGAACCTACCCTTCCTCCAAATAAATAAACTTCAACTTTTGAAGATCCCAAATTAATTTTAGTGGCAGAAAAGTGATTTCGAGCAGGAACTATCACAGAAGTAGCGCTTCTAATGGGATGAACTTTTCGAGTATATTGCTGAGTGTTGACACCAGGAGCAAAATCGAGTCCATAACCAATCTTTGCGGAATCATGAACATTGCTAATTGCATAAACAAACATTTCGTTGTGCCTGTAAAATTGAGGATGATTTCTGGTATAAGTTGCAGGAAAGTGTTCCTCGATCATTGCATTCATAACATTTGATGGTAGGCCTGTCAAACCTCCAAACAAAAACAATTGGTTTCCACACGAGACCATGTCCGTATTGGCCAAGGGAGGAAGTGGATTGCTGTCATACGAGTCGATATTATGAACATTGATGAAATAGATCACGAATAATATGATGGAAAGAGTAAATAAGGGAATAAAGGTTTCATCATGGCCATATTGAATTGGATCAGATCAAGTACACGTCACACAACACTTACTTTAAGTTTCCATAATAAGATCCCATGTGACTCAAATATTGCAAATTCTTGTAAACTTTCATTTTACCGGTCTGTAAATCGAAAATAATCAAATCATCATGATACACTTGTTCCGTTCTTCCTCCATAAATAAACAAATATCTTTCATCGTAGGACAAGCATGCCAATTGATCTGTTCGGTGCAAAATTTGTTTGGCCATTTGAGTTGCTTTCAATTTGTTTGTGACCTCTTGGGTTTGAAATGGTGGAGCTGCAACCTCACCAGCGATCATTTGGTCCAAATTTCTGTAGACATTTGGTTTTTGTGTATGAATTTCGTATTGATGACGCAAAATATACTTCTTTTGTTCTTCATATTTAGGATTTCCTGTGAGGATGATCACTTCGGTCGGTTTAACCGATTCAAAAAACATTTTAGAGGACTGCAACACATCTAATTTGAAAGAAACTTGTTCACTCCAACCGTCCGTATCGTTCTTCTTCTTTTTTTGGTTGATGCCATGAATTCCGTACAGCTTCAATTGTTGATAATAATCGAGCTCTTCCTGAGTAATTTCCATCACAACATTTTTCTCTTCCTTCTTTTTGTTGGAAGAGGATGAAGCCTTGGATGACTTTTTCTTTTGTTGAGATTTCTTCTCGGAGAGTGAGACGATTTGAATCGAGGAGGATGAGGCAGAGCTCACGGAGGAGGCTTTTGAATCCTGTGTTGGCTCTTGCTGTTCAAATTCACGTGGACTCTCTTCCTGATCTTGTTGAAGATCGTCTTCGTTATCTTCTTCAGACGTATACGAGTCGTATGCATCATCATCCTCATCGACTCCTAGCTCTTTCAAGTAATAAGACATGATGATGTTGCTGTTGTGTGAATTTTTTTGTTCAAAGAATGAACCTTTTGAAAGAGAAGCAATTCAAAGCGAATGGATTTTTTGAAAGTTGCAACTCCAGAAAGATGGTTCTTTCTTTTGATTATTATTGGACAATAAACTGGATTTTGGCCAGCACTATGACTGGATAACACATTCGACTTCATATCTCATCATTAGAGAATTTATAAACTTCAGAGTTTTCTTTTGTTTTCTGCGGAAAACTGTTTTCGGCTGAATTCGCAGTAAAAAAAGTTTATTTTATTGTGTCGCTGTTACAGAGAGCCTGTGAATGTTGGTTGATAATATCCTAAACCTCTTTTCATGTTACAAAATCCGATACCAATACAAATACACAACAACAACTTCTCATCCTTAGTTCTCATCACCATGCTTATTTTCAACAACCACTTGCTCTTGTCTTGAAATAACATCAAACACTCTTTTCGCATCTGTATTCACCGATGGTTTTGGATAACCAGCAACAACATACGGAGCATGATTGAATGCAGTGTCTCCAATCAATAAATAATTTCCCAATATTTTAGCAAATTCTTGATTATAAAGTGCTGATAAATTGTCATGTGATTTTCCTGGTATCATAGTTTTGAACGCCACAATAAATCCTTCAAAGTCCACTAACAGTTGTGTAAGTCTTCCATGCATTGCATAGTGACCATTATATTGCATTCTTTGATGCTTCGTTGGCTTTCTTGTTTTGTGAATTGTATTATCAATCACTCCTCTAATTGAGGAGTGTAATCTACTGTGAGTGTTATTGGTTTATGTGTCCAAAGTATTGCTCATAAGTGGTCCTTTTTGATTTGATTATTCCTTTACCTTCTCCAATATTGGAAATTTGTGCAGCGATTTCCCATGATTCAGGATAAGAACATTCATCATCTCGCAATACAATAATTAGAAAACAGAATTGAGAGAAATATGTTTGAATAGTTGACATTGTACTTAACATGAGTCATAATCGAGAGTTGTCGTGTTCATGAGTAGTTTTCTCTTTTTCGTTGGTTGCAGAATTTTCTTTGGAGTGTGAATTCATACTTGAGATGGATTAATGTTAAAAAGTTTCATCATAATCAAATTATTGAACATTTGTTGCTTTTGAAAAGAATTTGCCATCATGCTCAACACATTATTTTGAAATTTGATAGCTTGTGCTCTTTCCTCTTTTTGGTCTCTAATTTCCTTGATCATCTCGTTGCGTCTCTGAACTGTTTTTTGGATTGAAAGATGTCTAATTTGTCTTGCATTCTTGATATCTTCAATAGTTTCTTGAAGGTCGTTTGAGGAAGCAAGAGATGTAGAATCGATTGAAGATGACATAATACCCTTATCAAATTCGTGCAACCGTGTAGATCTTGGTGAGAGGGGTGGAATGGTGATGTCATGATTTGGTAATGCTCTATCTGCTGTAGATGAAAAATCTTCAATAGTTTCTTGTACATTTCCATCCTTCTCCAACAATGTATTTCTAATATTTGGAATAATTACATTCTCTCTTACATCAAGCCCTGGTTGAGATGGAGCGATTTTCTTGTTTTTTTTGCTTCTGAGATAGTCAATATGGTTCTCGAAATTGTCTCTCGTTCTCTTTAATTGCACAACTTTTGGATCGGTCATGACCAAATCCCAGTTGCCAGTATTATATTCATACGAAACCGGTTTCGTTTTACTTTGTTTTCCGCTGAAAACTAGATTTTATAAATTCTCTATTCACTGGGGAAGTTTGAAAAGATCCTGGTTAATTAAATTACCTCACTGCATTCAGTAAGAATAAAGCAGAGAATAAAGGGATTGCAAGCTGAGTCAGCTGGTCAAAAGTCAATATTCCCAAATAATTGAAAAAATGTCCCAATACAGGTGAGAAATTATTTTGTTTAACAAAGTATGGTTATACGAACTTTCCATTATTTCTGTCCATATTCCAGGACACAAATTCTTATTTGTTTCATGAGAATCATTTGTCGAATATCCTGGTCGTGGTGGATACAGAATTGAACGTTTCCGAGTCGGAATTGAAAAAATGACCAAACTTTCATTCGATCATAGGGCCCTACTTTTGTTATTCTTTCTTTCACTTTCTTCTTTCTTCTTCTTTCAACTAGGAACCAAACCCCTCTCACGTAATACATCCAATGAAATGAAAACCAAGATTTGCCATTCGAAAGGAAACCCCAATCGCAACAACAACCACACCGTTTCGACCTTCATCCCAAACAAACGAAAATTTCGACCGGCTCAATTCATACAACAACAACCCAATCATTCAAAATACAAAAAAACATTCAACAAAATTGCCATCTTGTGGAATGGTTCCGTTCGAACGTTTGGACAAGTCTTCTACTTTTTAAGAAATGAGTTTTTAGCGTTTAATGAATGGCCAGATTTGTATATTTCCATGGTTTATCAAGATGATAGAGAGAAAATGTCATTTGATTCTGTTTCTAGCATGTTGAAGAATGTGATGGTGGCACGAGTGGAAAAATTTGATTTGGAATCATTGAAAGCAAGAGCTCGAAAGGTGTATTCACATTTTCCATTTACGCGAACGGAATGTCAACATTTATTTACGATCGAAAAGTGTAATAACTGGGTTTCTTCCATGTCACTCATTCGAGACTCATTTGAGGACATGAAAAAACATAATGACATGATGAAGGAAAAGTTGCAATTGAATCGTGATTACTACGACATTGTGGTACGGTTGCGTTCTGATGTCTTGTTTGAAAATAGAGTGGATTTATTGAAATTTAAGATCGATGAAAATACTTTGTATACACCATTGGTGTATAACTGGGGAGGTGTGAATGATCAAGTGTCATTTGGCTCGATGAAAGTTATGGACTCTATGTCTCAATTGTTTTTTGAAATTGAGAATATTATGAATGACAACAAAGCAATGCTTCACCCAGAGACTTTCTTGAGTAAGTTCTTGTTCTCATGAATCAAATGACGAAGATAGAATCAATTCAATCGAACTCAATATTGTAAATCTATTGGGAACTATATTGTGATTATGGCATTGGAATTGTGAATAGAAAAACTGATTTTACAACGTCAACACAACATTGTCAATGTTCCTCTTGGTTACCGTTTGATTAGAAATTTGCAATTTGAAAGCCCATCCGACGAAATCAGAGAGCCCTTCGATGAATATGACTTTTCATAATTACAAAGAATGTTCATTCAATACATGTAAGAAATAACTCGCCCAATGAATAATCGTGTTGTGGAACTTGGAATCGTGAAGATTGCTGACAAAGATTTTGTCACACACATGATTCAAAAAGATTTAATTTCCAATCTTTAATTTCTATAACCATTCACCACATCACAACAACAATGAACATGATGACACTCAACAAATTCTGAAAATTCACAACCTTTGAAGAATACGCGTCATTGGCTCTGTTATTATTTGTCGTACCTGCCACATAAGGCTTTTGTCCAATATCATTTCCAGCAGGTGAATAGTCACAAACGACAATGGTGGCTCCATTAAAATCTGGATTTTCATAAACTGTGGAGCATGTTTTTCGGGCACATCCTACCTTCACTGAGGAGGCCCAAATGAGTTGTGTGTAATGGCCACATATTTTCCCCTTTATGAAAAAAGGCGGTGGCAACAGAGATCATGACATGCAAAAAGAATGTGAGAATCCAGGAATGTCACGTCATTACCACACTACTTGTGAAATGAATCAGTCTTCCACGATACTTACGCTTTGACAACCCGAATTAAAATTATAATATTGTTTTTCAGAGGCCCAACTATTCACAGCTGCCGTACCAATTGTTTGAGAATAACCCATATAGATATTCTCACCAACATTTGAACCTCTGTATGCGTTGTGATCAAACACACATTGACTGACATAATTTGCTGCAACAGTCGCCAAGGAGTCATCCCACACCATAGTTTGCATATTTGCTGCTGGAGGAGATAAGGTAGGATCAAACCGAATAGCATTATGAGCATCCACAATGGCTTTCTTCTCAGAGGACGAGAATGCGTTAATAGATTGACATGTGGCGTTAGATGCCAAAAAGAAGACATTCATGACGACCGAGACCCATAATGTGAATATGAGAATGAGACGTGTGTTGAGCATGTTGTGGGGGTGTTCAGAATCGAAATGTGTTTTTTTTTTGAGAGATTATGATCTGACATTGATCTAAGGTCCTGTCGATTCGGTTTGAAGGAGGAGGTTTGAAGGAATTTTTGACTCTAAAATTGTTGTGACAATGAGGAGATTTTTCAATCGAAACTATTGCAAATTAAACATATTGGGAGAATGTGCTTTTTCACTTAATTCTAACGGATCTTTCTATAGCATCAAAAACCTCAAGTTGAAATTTTGAATTTGTTTTAAACAAAAAAATCATCTCCTCGTCTGATTTCTTCAAAATTTGTTCGAGAAAGTCATACAATTCTGAATCATCATCACCATCCGGCCGCCACAAAAAACACAACACCGGCTGCACCTCACACTAGAGTGAGAATCATCACTAATCCCCAACAAGAACAGAAGCGCTGTAAATAATAATATAATTTAATATTTGAAATCTTGTATTGGAATAGAAACAACAATTTTCATCCGATTTGATTAAAAGGATAATCATCATGTCGACCGATCCAGCCGATGATTTTCAACAACATTTGCCTTCTCATTCCTCATCAGAACTAGTGGTACAGGAACGATTAGTGGAGGAAGAATTTGAACAACGACAATTTGCTTTTGAAGAAGAAGACGATTTCAAACAGACATCGGTCAATGATATTCATCATCACCATCATGGATCAACATCACAAAACATGATGATGAATCATGAACCAAATTCACCTCTGGAAGAAGTGGTCATTGATAATGTACAACAAGTGGATGAAAGCGAGGAGTATCTTGATGATGGTAGGAAAAACAGAGTGAATATCAACAACAACCCAATGTCATGTCAAGGTGGCTCAACACCTTTGACACCTTCAAGAACTTCTACAACAGCACCTTCAGTAGGAGTCTCTATCAGCACAACAACAACTTGTAGTACTGCTACACCAAAAACAACAACAACAACATCACCAGTGGTCACTGTACCAACAAGAACCTCATTGGATATGAACCAAGATGTCAGTCATCAAACAACCAGTGCTGTTGGAAGTCCAAGTAACAACAACAAGCCCATTCATACATTCAAGAATCAAGACAATGGAATTTTAGATTTAACACCGATCAATTTAGTGAAATCAAACAACAACAATAGCAACAACATTAATACCATGACTCCACCAGGAACCAGTATTGCTTCTCCGGTCATGATTGGTAGTGCTATGGCTCAAATGGAACAACAATCCACTCTCTCCACGTCTCCAAAACCAATACAAATACAAACTCAAGTCAGAAAAGATTCCTCTCCAACACACCATCCAGTACAAGCCACTCCAGGATCTCCTCAATCCAAGAGAAATAGTTTTATTTTCACACCAGCAAAGGTGGCTCCCTCTTCCTCGTCGTCAGCAACTTCTCAGACCTCTCTATTAGCAAACTCTATCGGATCAGCAATATCTTCAATTGTTTCAATAACTTCGACGTTATCTGCTTCACTTTCTAGCGCTTCCTCCTCCTCTTCATCACATAATCCTTCTTCAAATTCAACTCCTTCAGATACACAACCAAAATCTGCCAGTTCTTCACAGCAATCTCAGCAACAACACGTACCAACGATTAATGATTTTTGTGAAGTTCACAAGGACCAACGACTCAACACATGGTGTCACACGTGTGGAGATGAATTGGTCTGTGCCTTGTGTGCCATCTCAAGACACAAAGGACATGACTATGATTTGGTGGAGGAAGTATTCGAAAAGGAAAAGCAAGGTTTAAAAGATCAAATTGTGCAAATGCAACAAAATATTTCAGAAAAGATGGAAAAATTAGCTAGAGATAAAAATTTAATGGCTCAAACTCATGAAGAAGGAGTTAAAGAAATTAATGAAAATTTCGATAAACTTGAAAAGATTATTGAACAAAAGAGAAAAGAAGTGTTGGAGAAGTGGCGAATTTGTTGTGAAGAGGAAATATCTGAAAAGATACTCACAAGTGGAATGCAACAATTATCTCAAATCAAATTTTTAACGGATGGCTTTTTAGAAAATCTGAGCAAGATGGAAATTTCTGAATTTATTCAATGCAAGACAAGAAAGAGTTTGTTGATTCAAGTTGTGATTCAACAATTTCAGGAAAATCTTAGAAAAATCGATAGAAGTTATCTCTCTGACACATTGAATGTTGGTGTTTCGTTTGAGGCCATGAAAGAAATCACAGATATACTTAACACCAAATTTGGAGTAATTGGGCCAAAAGTTTCAGGCAATGTCTCCACTCCCAACATTTGCAATCATACATCTTCATCCACTTCTTTGCCTTCTTCAGCGTCCTCTACTCCTACCACCGGAAGTAGCTCTTCATTGGTGCAGAGCCCAAACACCCCAGTCGCCATTGAGAAGTGTAGAATTGAAGGCAAATTTGTTTGCAAATTTGGAGGAAAAGGGTCAGAAGATGGCCAATTTTCAAGCCCAACAGATCTTGTTATCGACCCAAATGACAATATTATTGTTTGTGACAATGAAAATAATCGTGTACAAATTTTCTCGAAGGAAGGAAAATTCTTGAGAAAATTCTCTGTACCAAAGCCTTATGGAGTCACCTTTGATTCCAAGGAGGGAACTATTCTTGTCACAAGTGACGACCATTGCGTCTACGCGTTTGATCGATCAGGCATGGAGGTCGGAAAGTTCGGTTCTAAGGGTTCGGACTATGGCATGTTCAGTTACCCAACAGGCATTGTAGTCTCAGAGCCCAAAGATCAGCATGTGCCTGGCAAAATTTTCATTTGTGACCATCATAACCATCGTATTCAGATTTTTGACAAGTATGGATCCTTCATCAAGTCCTTTGGAACCAACGGAACGAATCCGGAGATGGAGGGAGGTTATTTCTACGGACCAAACAGTATTGATATTGACATTGATGGAAATTTGGTGATTACGGATAGATACAATTCACGAGTACAAGTTTTTACACCTGATGGCGTTTTTGTTCGCAAGTTTTCAGTCAAGAAGAGTGAACCTCAAAATTCTGATGGTGATCCCACTGGAATTTGTTGCTTTAAGAGAAATATTGGGCTGAATTATGCTGCCATTTGTGATTACAACAACAATCGTATTTCTATTTGGAATATTAGAGATGGAACCTTAGTCAAACAATTTGGTAGCTATGGCAGTGAAGATGGACTCTTTGATGGACCCAATGGGGTCGGCTTGACAAGTGATGGAAAAATAGTTGTTGTTGATTACCACAACCATCGAGTGCAAATCTTCAAATAGGAGCTATTTTTTATTTGTATAATTATCTGAGCTGAAATAATTACAAGATCAATGAACACGGAATATGTTCTTATTTTGTAACAAGTGTAAGTATATTATTAATTCACTGACATAATATTTAACAACACCAATAGAATGCATAAAGATGGGTTATATTATAATAATATTATTCACATAAAAAAGATTAATAAACTCCATAATAGAAAAGCACTGCAATCAACACAATAAGAATCACATTGATGATCATGACACCAAGATTAGACCATCTGAACACCTCACTATTCCTAATGCGATCATAGACCGATTGTGCCTGTTGTTGAATGACTTGTCCTGTCCTCTTCAATTCCTTGGTTGCTGATTCGAGTGTTGTGTTCACCGTTCCAGTGGCACTTGTGGTACTCCCTAATGCAGGTTCTGTTGAAATCATTGTTTTGCTTGGAATTCCTGTGGCAGAACTGGTAGTTGAGGAAGTTTCTGAGGGAGTCGGAAACACGGTTTCTGCTGAGGTGGTTGTGGATGAGGGACCTCCACTACTACTGGCGACCGTGGTCTGATTGGCTGCATTTTCAGAGAGGACCAGATTCTTTGACTTTTCTTTGCTTTCGTCACCTTCATTGGAGAAGGCCTTGTGCATGGAACTTCCAATATTGGAAGAGCCTCCTGAAGATGAAGGAATGGTGGAGGATTGTGTTTTTGATGTCGGAAAAACTGTACTTGGATTGCTCACTGAGGAGGGACCAGAGGATGTTGGAAAAACAACATTGGGGTTGTGAACGTCAAAAGTCACATCACGGGCGCCTTTGAAAGGATTTGAGGTTTGGTTTAGGCCACCAATGTTGTCGTCTTCGATTAAGTTGCTAAAATCACTTTGTTCCAACTCGTCTTGTTTTGCATTTAATGATTGAAGATTTGGTTGATCTTGATGGGAACGAGAGAAGAGATCTTGGTTGTCCTTTGTTGCGAATGGTTCTCCGGAGGAGAAGGAACTTTGATAATTGAGATTGTTCATGTTGATGTGCAAATAACAGTTATTTGTGAAGATCTAAGATGTTCAATGATTTGTTTTGGGGGTTTGAATGGATGAATTTTTATAACATTGAATGCAGTGTGTGTAATGGAATGGAGATTTTTCAGTTTTGAGTGATTTTCCAAAATCAAATCTGGCAATTTGGCATTTAAGGTCATATGGTGGGGTTGGTAAAACTCAATTAAGAGCAATAAAATTATAATTAAACGTGGTGACCAGCAAGTCGCATCATGAGAGTTTCATGCATGCAAGAAAGAACACAAGTCCTAGAAACAGGCCAGCTATACACGTGGCGTGACGGTTCCATTCCTGCCATACCAACGAGTAACATCAAAGACGATTCCTCTCTAGTTATTCGTTGAGTGTACGATGCTGTACATGACATCGGTCCGCAAAATATATTTAACACCACTCTCAACTTTTTGTCCACAATGCAGCATGTCCATATCTTCCTGTAAAAATACAATGGCTGTTCCAGATGGTTGTACAATTCGTGCCTTTTCACCTCTCTTTCTGTCAAAGAAAATGGTGGCTCCTCCTTTGTAAGCACCTTCCAATTGGGAATTCAAATAAATCATAAAGGTCAAACAACTGACACTATTGGTCTTACGATCTTGATAGGAACCATCGGTATGCACTCCAAAGTAGTGTCCTGGCTTGTATTTACACAATCTCCATCGAGAGTTTAATCCTTTCAATTTCATTCCTGCAATGACTTGTGGTAAATGATCTTTCATTCGATTCCAAATCAGATCAGTGAGGTTTTGATCATCAACCATTAATCTATCATTAAAACGATCATTATATGCAAAACAGTAGGAATCGGCATCTTCATAACCCATTTTCTCACTCAATTCGATCATCAATTGACATTCATCTTTCAATAACACGTTATGAAGTAATAGAACTAGTTTGTGAGGAAGTTCCAATTGCTCAACATGTTCCACTTGAATGGAACATTCTCGTTCGCAATTGTTCTCAGTATTCTGCTGATCTGATGATGAAGAAACAGATGATTTGGTAATTCTGGAGGTGTTCTTTTTCAAGTGTTCCGACAGGGAAATATTTGAAAGGGGAGTCTCGGATTCTGAGATACCATCAGCAATGGGCATCTCCAGAACTTGTTCAGAGAGAAGAGGCTGATACGTGGTGGACTGCCATTTCAGAGATTGAAACATTTTTTAATTGAAACTTTTTACTTTCTTCAAGGAAAAGAGAACTTGAAAAGAACAGTGAACAAGTTTACAATTAACATTATTCAAAAAAATCCAACCAACAAACTCTCTTGCTAGAGTTGAATCACACCTGTGTGTCGCTCTGAATTTCGTTTGAATTGTGACATCTTAAGTTTGTAAAGACTGTCAGTTGTCGATCGAAATCTCTCTTCATCCAATCATTTGGATCAAGAATATTCTTCTCAAGAACCTCCTCCCTTCAAGAAGAAAGATCATGCCCATCACCAATATGCTTCTTCCGACTTGGAATCTCCTTTTGCTAAATTGAGAACTAATGATCCTTTTCTGTTGCAGAAAATATTTTCTTATTGTCATCCACGAGATATTCACAATTCTTTAATGACCGTTTGTTCGGAATGGTATGAACAATATTTTCAAAAGAAACATTTTCAATGGTTTTTGAAAGAATGGCTTTTAGAGAGATGGAACGTGTTGGTGAGGGATTTTGATGAGCTCACGAGTGATGATAAGAGTGAATGGAAATTTCCAATGTTTTTGACTAAATTGGTGGCTGGTCATGATGAAGAATGTTGTGATATTTCTATATTGAAATATGGATTGCGATGGTTGAGATTGTTTCTGGGTGAACATTTGTTTGGCAGCATGGGAAAGAACATTAATGAAGAACAAGTGATCCGCAACGCTGAACAACATGAGAACAATAATAATGTAGCCATTGTTGAGCCAGTTGAGGAAGAATATGAGGATGATGAAGATGATGAAGAAGAAGATGAGAATGATCATGAAGAAGTTAATGATGAGAAATGGATGATCAAACGAGGATCACCAAACTCACATGGCTGCCTCTTGGAAATGATTTTTACAAAAAATTCCATTCTTTATGCATAAAGAAATGGAAAGAAGATTGTTTTTCAATATTTGACAATCATGGGGGCAATATTGTCAACTTTATGAAAAATGGTACACACAATATTCAGGCTAATTTTTATGGAGGTTTCTATTATCCTGATCTTGAAAAATGTGTTTATCGAAGGACTGATTATTGGATGAATTTTAATTGTAGCCATCCTGGAATCGTTACAGAACAATTGAACCATATTTTGGATTTATGGAATATACAAAATACTTACTGCAATGCAATGAATTTAATGAAAACACTTCAGCTCGAGTCTCCAAAATTGTCGAAACGAAATATTTAAATTTTCCTTGGGATGGAGATGGGCAAGGAATTATTGAACAGATTCCATGGGTGATTAATGATTTTATCAAAACTGGAAATGGCGATTTTTATACATGTAACGAAAAGGCTGATATTTCCCCAATAGTTGACGATCGATGTTTTGAGTATTTTTCATGTTTTCTCGCCATGCTGAGAGGTAATGGTGGTTGTATCAAACACTTGTTGCGAGTTGCTCCGTCTAATTTCACTAAAAGTGAGCGCCTAATTCCATTCTTAGGTTATTCTACGTCTGCCTTCAAGTACTTGCATGAATCTCTACGGTATGACAAGAACAAATTACGAAACATGCTAGAGGTGAATGGAAATATTTTGAAATATTTGACATCTATCGAGTATGAGCATGTAGTTTCAATTGACAGAGATTTAGTGGTATTTTGTGTTGTGAACGGATGTAAATTGCATAATATTCCTTCCTTCATTCCGTTTGATAGAGAAATGGCAATTTCAGTACTTCAGAAAATGAAAGAACTTTATGTACATCAACAATCATCCAGATGGCACGACTTGATCGATGAGATGTTTAAACGATTTAGAAATGATTTGGATGTAACATGTGCCATGTTAAAACGAGATTCATTTTTGTCAATACATAGATGCACACAGTTGCTCGAAGACAAAGATGCTCTTTTAGAATTAGTGAAATTTGGACCTATATTGAACAATGTTTCGAAATCCGTTCAAAATGCTCACAGAGAGATCGTTGTTATTTGAAGAAAATATTTGGACCCAACATTGAAGAACTTGGTTATGATGCTGAAATGTTTGTATATCCATAAAATTGGAATTGAGAAGACAGACGAAGAAGTCATTCAACAGTTTGTGTTGCCAGCTCTATATTGAACGTCATTTCTTGGAAGATGATATATCTTTATTAGAATTGATCATGGAGGTTAAACGTTCCTGGATTCATGAAAGACATGAATTGTGACACCACTGCGCAAGACATTAGATGGTTTATTCTAGAAAAATTCCACCTTTGAATTAGGTTCATAGAAATAATCGAAAAAGTAAACTTCTAAAGATCCACCATTGGTAAAGTCTCCACAATGCAAAAGGATATCTCCATTGGTTTTGGGATAGAGAGCTTTCTCTTGAGAATGTGAATCACTCAATACGACAAAACGTTTGAAATGAAGCTTATTGTTATTATTGGAGGTTGGTACAATATTGATATGAAATTCATCATGAAGGATTTTACAAAAAAGAGTTTTAAAGAGATTGAATGAATGTTGTTCATGCTGAGAATTACTTGAAGATTTCATATCAAGGATTGGAAGAAGAAATCGTCGACAATAGTCATCAATGGAATCCATCGGAACATGAACAATACAAAAGTGAGGCGAATGAAGATGAAATTCTTCTTGGGAGGAAATATAGGGAGAGAGGGAGAGTCGTTGTTGAGTGAACCACCCACAGAATTGGTGAGCATGTTGCCGAAGGAGGGAATGTTGTTGTTCTTGTTGTTGCATTTTGTTTCTGGTGTGTGATTCCAACAAAACCTCGAGTTCATGATGAACAGTTTTGGATGCTGGAGTTCCATGTTCGTTTTTTTTGGAATTCTTGGTGTCGTTTTTGGCGCGGTCAACAACAGGTTAAAAATAATTTGAGAAGAAACAAAATGATTTGTTGATTCCTCGATACCCGTATGTCATAAATTCCGAATCTTTTAATTTTTTTTGATTTTGATTTCAATTACCTGATAATTTCACAAACTTTGAGTATGGATGGCAGGTAATGGCTGGTTATTCAAACACTAAAAACAACAGCACAATGCTGTAAATGCTCTCAAGTATTGGATTCCATGGGATCTCACGGTTTCTCTTAGTATTCATCAAGATAATAAAGCACTACTAGAACTTGTCAATTTTTTTTTGAGACTGATTGAGTTTACCTGGTAATTTCACAAACTTTGAGTATGGATGGCAGGTAATGGCAGGTTACTCAAACACTAAAAACAACAGCACAATGCTGTAAATGCTCTCAAGTATTGGATTTCATGGGGTCTCTCGGGATCTCTTTTAATTCATCAAGATAATAGGCTATTTTGTTCAGTAGTAAAATATTATTATTTTTAAACAAATCCTGGTTGCCATCTGGTGAAAGTGTCAGGTAAATGTAAATACAAAATGTGTAAAAAGTGTTGCGATAAGTGTAATGTTGATTGTATTTATCATATCAAGCAAGGGAAGAGTAAACCTATTGCTGGCACTTCATCCGAGAAGCAAATGTAGTCGTTCATCACAGCAAATAAAAACCGCTGAATCATTTGAGGCTTTTTTTTTGAATATTTTATTGTGATTTTGTTGTTTGCTGGTTTGTGTGACCTGGAGCCGCACAACAAGACATACAAAAATCGAGTCATACTAATTGTAAATGAATGATGTCATACAAATGTATTGAGACTAATTATTGGTTTGAAAAGTTCTTCCAAACGAAAGATTAAAAATGTCCAAAAGACTCAGCAGCAAGATCATTCAACTTCCAAAAAGAAAAAGACTTCTTCTTCATCAAATTTCAAACCGCTGTTCCTGCTTCAACATTGGCACAAATGGTTGGTCATGGTGAACCATCGGAAAAGCTTATCGTGATTCCTTGTTGGCTTATTCCGAATTTATCGGAAACACAACTGTTAGACACTTTTGGATTGATCAACACGGTACGATATATTGGAGAAGAGGAAGGAATCTTGAAATTTATTCTTGTATTAACCAATGATCATCAGGATGTTTATGTAGCTTTATGTGTTCGTTCAGATTCGAAAAATCCAGTTTTACTTTTTGTTGAAAGTCTTCCCTATTTTCTGGAAGTACTTGCAGTCAATGAATTGAACACAATGCTTGAAACCAAACAACGAGTGGAGGGTTTTCGTGCAAATCGACAATTTTCTCTTCAAATATTGTTTGAATCTGGCAAAATATCATTGCCAAATGTTCCATACCTCTCACAAGCGAAACGGATACTTCTTTATATAAATCGACGCCCTTTTTATGCCAAAGAAATCAGAGAGAGAGTTCATTTGGAAGAAGGAGATGATAATAATCCTAATAACTTTGGCACAGTAATAATTGGAAATTACATTGAAAGTAGCTCTATATGTTCGGATCAAAATGCATCATTGTCACATCAAGATCCTCCTCCTTCTCCAAACAAAAAAATTTTCTTTAATATTTACATTACTAACAAGAAATTCGTTAAAAAGAAAGTACACCAAAAACCAAACCAAACATATATTCACACCATCCAAAATAATCACACGAATTACAGTCCAGTAGTATAAAGAGGGAAAATACTTTCTACATATGGACTCAAATTCCATTAATTACAAAATTATCAAACCATTAATGTTGTACCACTTTAATTTTACCACATTACTTCGAGGCCTTACCAGATCCAAGCAAGACACAAGATGAGATTAGAACAACGCTGAAAAAGTTGAAATTTTATTTAATTGAAGAACAAGCAAGACAAAAACTCAATGGTAATAGCTCAGCTCCAATTCCTGTATGGACGAACACACACGACAAGCATTGTTTATTTTTAAATGAAAATATGTTTTGCTTTAGTGATGCTCATACTACTACGTCTGAGCTTTGGTTGTGCTTGAATCCGAACGAAGAATATCAATTTAAAATTTATGATGCAAAAATTTTGAATGCCCAACGGTTGACGAATCGTCGTGTATGTCAACTTAAAATTCAATTCAAACAAAGTGCGCAACCAGTAAGGAAATTCATCTTTGAAGTGACGGAACTCTCCACCAAGAAATCAGCTCAGATTTGGTTGTACAGAGTGAATACACCCTTGACGCCATTACTTGAATCGTTGATGAATTATAGCATTCTCAAGGGTGAGAAAGCATGTGAAATGTTCAAACCTTTGAAATTCAAAACTGCATCCATGAAAGAATTTGAACAATTTTCACAAAAATTTAACACTGCCAGTGAATGTGAGTTGGATGAAACGATGATTCATTCGATTCTGAAAAAGATGCTAATATTTTGCAGTGTTGGTTAACCGTCAGTGGTGCTGCAGATCAAATTCAAACACCTATTTTCAAAAATTTGGTGAGATGTCTGTTCATTAGGTTTGAAAAACTTTTGAGTTGTAAAAAAGGTCTGATGAGCTCAATTTTAAATTAAATTGAATCCAAACACATTTACTGATTCGAAATTGAATTTACAGGAGTCAATTATGTTTAAATTTTTTCTCAACATTGTGTTTTTGATATGTCACTCGACGTTAAATGCTATCAAATAGAGTATAAATCAATCATGTTCTCACTCAAATAAAAATGCCAATTCATCTTCAAAATTAAATGTCTTCTTCTTTTGAGGTGGTACTGAAGAATTTCCTTTTCGAGCACTCGTGGGTGTACCTTGTTCTTGATTCGACACCACGAGTGTGGGAGGATTTGTTTGAAACACATTCACACACTGACTGAAAATTCGTTCACGTGGAATTTTCACAATTCCCTCAACACCAGCTTCTCGTTTTCCTCCATAATTGGAAATGACTGAAAAAAGCCATTCTTCAAGAATAAAATTGGTCGATGCTTGTGTTTCTGGAACTCCACTAAAGTAAAATAAAAATTTGTTTTCAGCGAGTGTGAAACTGTGTTCCTTTTGCTGTTGAACATTTTCCAATTCCTTATTTAGCTTGTAACGAGGAGAATCCTTATCCAGATTTGATTTAGAGGATGAAGAACGAATCATCATACTGGAGAGAGGCCCCAAAACGCCATAAAACGAAGAAGGATCCACTCCGTAACTTTCTCGTTCGGCATATTTGAAAAGTTCAATTTCTGGCACGACGATAATTCCCTCTAAACGTTTTTCTAAATCCAATGATGATGCAAGAAGAGTTCCCTTAAAAGAAGTTCGTCGAGCAGAGGAAGGAGAAGTGCCACCTGTCAAAATTTGTGAAGAGGAGAGAGAAATTTGTAAAGGATTTCTCTTTGGTGTTTGAGGTTGTGACGAAGTTTCCAAATTGTCAACACTCGAAGAGTGTGAAAGACCAAGACTACTATTGGGAGTCGGAGATCGACCGTTGCTGCTTGTAGGAGATTGACTTGTCTCTGGAATAACAGTCGTCGTGGAAGAGTCATTGGTCAACTTGAATTCAGAATCCAATGTCAAATGATTGAAAATATACACAAGATGATGTTTGGAAATGTGTGGGCAGACAGCACTTCGTAAGGAATCATCACTCAATACTTGTTTTTGACCTAAAATGCAAACATCACTCAATTCTCGTGAATAGTGGAAGGAAATTAATTGTTGAATGAGTTCAATGTCAGCAATGTTTTTGGAGTGAAACCAATTTTCGAGAAAGACAAGTCCCATTTTCACAGTTAAGGCAACATTGGCTCCAATGGTTTCTTTCACAAGAAAGTGATTGAAAATAACGGCATCGCTCAATTTGGCAAGATTCGAGAAGAAGTGTTGAGTAATTCTTGGCTCGATTCGAAGTTGTTTGAATGTGTCGAAAATTCGATTCAAAAATTGTTGCAATAATCGAGTGTCGAGTCCTCCATCTGTGGATTTCGATGTTGTCAACTTGCTATTGAAAATTGCCTTAATGAGATAAGGTCTCAAACGAATAATGACATGTCTAAAGAATTCCGCATACATTTGTACCAAAATTTCAGAAAGTCTCATCACCAATGAATCAATGCTTGTGACAATGAGGGATTCGTTGGTCACTTTCTCACAATCATAATAATTGACCAAATAGGGCATGGAAACAAATTTAGAGGTTGGAACATCCTCTCCAATTAATAATGCTGGTTCAATTTTGATGAGTTTTTGTGTCACTTGTTCAAAAATTGGTGAGAAATTTGTTTTTCTCTTCAATTCCAAATCATGAATCAATCGGTAGAGAGTATGAATCCAGAATAGTATTAAACAGGTCGAATTTTCTAATTCACCACTCTCGTTAGCACCTGCAGAAAAGTTATTTGGTTTGTTTCGTGTTGTTTTGAATCGTTCCAACAAGTAATTCAAAGAAATTAATAAATTAATTCCAAAGGTCTTTCCAAGAATAATTTTAGAATCGAGTGTGGCAGTTTTAACTTCTTCTGGATTCCATTGAAGAATACATTTGAGAAGAATTTTGGCAGGAGTCGGATAAATCTCGCTCAAAAATTCCTTCACAACAATGTTCTTGAAATAAATCTTTGACAAGTTGTCGAGAACCAGAAAGTCATTCGTTTGACTGTTAAGTACAGTTCGATCGAGAATGAAATGTTCTAAATGGGAGTATTGATTGGCAATCAATTCGATTTTTGTTTTCTCTAACTCTCTCTCAACAACAAGTCGTTCTTGTGAAATTTTGTTTTCTGCATTTTCGAGAGCTTTCTTGTGCGATTCTTCCAATTTTTTCATTTGTTTGTCTTTGTCTTCGATTCGTTTGGAACACTGTTCAATGAGATGATTGAGTTCATTATTCTCATCTTGTAATGTTTGATTTTCTTGTTCTAAATTCTTTAACTTTTCTTCAATTTTCTTTTTGAGTGATTTGAATTTAGAAATTTCATTTTGCAATTCGAGGATTTTTTCGTCCTTTTCGTTGAGTTGGTCTTGAAGTTCTTTTCCAGTGCTTGTTGAAGATTCTTTGAGTTGGCTAATTTGATTTTCTAATTCTTCAATTCTTTCACATTTTTCTTCAATTTCATTTTCCAAGTTTTTGATTGATACTAATGCAGAGGTCAACTTGGAATTTGTTTCTTTAGATTTTTCAATTTCCTGACTCAAAGCATTCTCCTTTTCAGCAAGTGCATTTTCAAGATTGTGAATGGTTTGGTTCAATTCACTAATTTCTTGTTTGAGCTGTGAAATTTGATTTTCCTGGTTTTGCAAACGTTGATTAATTTCTTGAATCAAACGATCCTTCTCTGCCACATCATTCTTGAATTGAACGATTTGTGAATTTAGTTGAGAAATACTTTGAGAGAGTTGCTCTTCTTGTTTCTTCAAATTTTCCAAATCAATGTTAAGATGATTAATTTTGGTGTTGGCAGATTCGAGAGATGCTGATCCTTCATTCTTTGCTTTTTCGAGTTCTGATTTGAGTTTCTTGATTTCATCTTCCTTGTCTTGAAGAGTTTCCTCTGACTTTTTGAGTTGGAAAGTCAGATCAGATTTTTGGATTTCGGTTTTCTGTAAGTCTTGTTGGAGTGAGGTGAGCTTGGAATTGAGAGTTTCTCTTTCATTTTTCAGAGTTTCGAGAAGTTTGGAATTTTCACTGCTTTGAAGGGAGCCCTTCATTTCAGTCTCTGAAAATTTAACCTTCAATTCTTCAATCTCAATGTTCAATAGTTTCTTCTCATTGTTGAGAGTATTTGTGATGTTCTCCTTCTCTTTAATTTCTTTCTCTAGCTTTTGTGACAAGTTGTGGATTTCTTGTTGTCGATCCTTGTACTCGTTTTCAAGTTGAAGGAATTTCTTTGTCACCTCACTCAAATTCTTTTCAAGTTCTAACTTTTTGGCTTCAATCAAACTCTTTTGAGAGTTAATTTCGCTAATTTGTTTTTGCAATTCAATTTGTTCTGCTTCCTTCTTTTTGTTGAGTTCTGAAATTTCAGTTTTGAGTTTTTGAATTTCTTGTTGGAAAGAACTCTGAGAAGATGACATGTTCGAACTGAATCTTTCGTTCGCTTGCTTCAACTCGAGATTCAATCGATCAATCTCTGCTTTAAGGTTCTTCTCCAATTTATCCTTCTCATTTTGTAAATCATTATTTCGTTTTGTCATTTCGTTTTTAACTCTTTCCATTTCAGATTTCAATCGTTCAGTTTCAGTTTCGTGTTGATGTATCATGTCTTGTTCCTTAGTTTTGTATTGTTTTTCTGCCTCTTTGATTTTTTCTTCGACTTGTTTGATTTCCTTATCTGCTTTTGATTGAACCATTTGCATCTTTAACTGAATTTCAAAGAGTTTCGACTCTGCTTGTTGAGCTGCCTCCTGAGTGGTTTCTAAATTAATCTTCAACTGTTCATTTTCCATCCTCACATAATGGAACTTTTCTTCAATTTCTCTCAATCGGAGAGCGTCTAATGAAGCACCTCGGTCATTCAAAGTGACAGGAGGTACCTCTCTAGGACTGATTGATGACCCAACCGTTGGAGCATTGCTTTTTGTTTCATGTTGTGACAGTGGTTCTTCATGATTCTCACTTGAAACATTAGATTTTAGAGTTTGTGCTGTTGACACAGAAGAATATAAACTACTATTCTTGATTAAGGTACTTTCAAAGTCGCGTTCTGCTTCAATGATGTCATCTTCATCTTCAGATTTTTCATCGTCATCCTCTTGTTGTCCTTCCTTGTAGGTTCCTGAATAAGTACTAACATTTTCAAAATCCTCGTCACTGTGGGTACAGATTGAAATGTAAAATTTCAATTATTTGGATTACAATGTGATTGAACACAAAGATGATTTTTCCAAAAAGTATATTCAAGGTCATATAAGATTGTGTCACAAAATTTTTTTTAACAAAAAACTACTCACCCTGGTGAAACATCTTTCAGACATTTACAATTCATCACAAGTTTCACAAGAATCTTCACCCCAGAATTCTTTTTTGATTCAGGTGCTAGCAATAATTCCTTTGTGATTGTTGTTTCTTGAGTCTCATTCACAAACTCTGACAAATCTAGAGCATGTTTTGCTAAAGTGGTGGTCTGGAAATTAGGTTTCTTTTCTTCCTTTTTTTTAGAAGCTAGATCCATAGTCGTGTGATGAGTGTATGAAGAAAGTGTGACACACAGATCCGAATTGAAACACAAATGCGATGCAATGTGAAATAATCATTTTGTGAATAAACATTCGAATGAGTTCCAATTTCGAGTGACAATTACTCACCTTTTTCTTGTTTCTCTTGCTGTAAATATTGATTCCATTGTTTTGCCAATGGAACATCCTTGGATGCCACCTCTTCCAACGTTATTAACATTTCCTTCTTTTGCCATTCATTCTTCTTTTCATTCTTATAGAGAGTTCCTCCGAATCGGAACGCTCGATTGAAAATTACTTTAATTTTTGTGGTTTGTTTGGATCCTGGAGGAGGATGAAGAAATTCAGTTTCTCCTTTTCGTTTTCTACCTCGTTTCCATTGAATCTATTGACAAGATTTGTGTGATCATGTTCATATTCGAACATGAATTGAATGAACATTGATACATCCATTGCAGCAAATTGTTGTGTCACACAAAAGTGACGATCGAATGTCGTGACGTGTGTGGTGCGTGAACAAAGGTTGTGACGGAAATGTTTGGACACATGTGAATCCATTTTGTGTCATTACCGTTTGGGATATTTCATGGATGACCACAAGAGATGAGGATGATTCAGTAAATAATGATATTTCACAATTCATCATTTTGAGAGAGATATCATCAATTTTCATTGTCAACCGTGATGATGATGATGGTTTTGATGATGTTTTGTTCATCCGGATAGAGAGATATTCCAAGAGTTACACCATCATTGAAAGTTATAAACCAGAGAAATCATCATCCATGGTTATGAGACCATTACGGAATGAAGAACAGATAATTCAATAATGAAATTCAATTATTCATAAGGACACACACATACCGAATACATATTCTCATCAATGACAGTAGTGTTGTTACCCATTGTCTCCACAAAGAGATAATCGATTGAAAAATTGAAGACAAATTTGACGGGTTGAAGTTTCTTGGTTAATTTGCCCAACATTTTTTTTCAATTCGTTTTTTCAATAATGAAAGTTGACATGGCCTTGATTTGGAAGAACAATTTACCTCACCTCAAAACATCCAATGTTTCCACACAAGACCTCTTCTCGAGAGATGTATTGATCAAGTTTTTCATTCATATCCAATAGGTACAAAATTCGATTCAATTAGCATCTTTAAATTGCATTCAATAAATTCCATTTGGAAAAAAGAATTAAAAAAAAATGATCGCTAGGCAAGAAGAAACGAATGATGATGGTGGTCATCGAGGTGCCTCCACCATGGCGAGTGTTCTCGTCGGAAGCAGTAATGGTACTTCTGCAGCTCCTTCCTCCCCTTCTTCTTCTTCTTTGTATATGATAAGGATCAATAGGAATAATAATAGTACAACGACAGAAGGCAGTTATAATGCTTGTATTAATAATGATGACGCCCGAGAAGAGTCGGAACATGGTAGGATCATGAAGGAGCGAGGGAATCATGATGATCATGAGAAGGTTGATGGCGATCATGATCGTATGGATTTACGGGATGATGATGATCCATTACAAGAAAAGAACGGAACAACTAATTTGTATTCCTCTACATCACCAAATCGCTCATCATCTTCACCATTGAAAAGCAATCACTCCGATAGGTTTAATGGTAATGATGAACAAGAGATCAACGATAGAATGAGTGACGAAGAAGAAGAAATGCAGCAACATATTTATTACAATAATAATAACGGAGGCTTTAATCAAAACAAGAAGAGGAAAAATTGTGCAATGGATGATCATGCGCAACAATTAACTCTTGAAGAATTTTGTACATTGTTTGTAGATTCCGACTCGGCTGTAAATAACACTTCAAATAACAGTGGCATGAATAACACCAACATTGGAAACACTCCATCCTCACCATCTTACAATAACATTGAAGGTGCTACGTTTGTGGAAAAGATGCGAAAACAGCAAGAATTTATTAAGGACATTGAAAATACGTTATATGAATTTCCATTTGTAGAATCAGAGAACTCATCATCATCAGAAGACGATGATGATCAATCAAGTGATGATTCTTTCCTGCAATCTGAAGAGTCCTCTTATGGATCAGATGATGTAAGCGATCAAGAGGAAAATATCATGAATAACGATGAAGAACCTGGTTATCATTATCGACCCGTTCCAAATAGCTCAAAGTTGAACATCATCACTCTGTCCAGTTTAAAATTTTTACCCTTCGAACATCCTGATCGGTTGGAAATTGAAAACATTTTGTACTTTCATCGATTGTGCAAGTCCATATGGTTTCCACAACACGAACACAACATCACCAATGGCATCAACGATAACGTAGCAAGCAGCAGTAGTGACACTACTCCAGTACACACGAATTTTGTAGATATTGAAGAAATTTTAGAATACTATTACGGTCTTGACATGAATGGAGATAGAAAGAAGAAAATCAAAAATACCAAATATCATTACCAAATACCATCCTTTGTGATTTTTCAAATTATTTTTGCAATTACAGAAAAACTACTCGTGCTTGAACAGGAAGGCAAGTTACAGAAAATTCCAGAGAAAAACCAAGACGAACATCTTTTTAATTTATACAGACGCAGAAATGAAATTGGAAATGTCATTGAAACACTCTTTTTGAATAACGTGATGATATCTCCCAGATTTATGGAACCTGATCGATCTAACTATATTGATACTGCTGATTTCTTACGAGACGATATTGGATTAAGCCAATTCATTGATGTGAAAATTAAGGATTCCTTTGAAGAGACACTTCACAACTTACACATGTGCCAGAGCGACGTTATTTTTTGCATGGGAATATTTGTAATGGAACTTATATTGATGAGAAGAGGTGCCTCGATCCTCAACCGAATTATCTCCACTCCATATAACGAACCTGTGGTATGCGAAATCATTCTCCAACACAACAGGCACAACATCTATTTAATTAGATTTCTTCTTTCCATGCTAAGAATCAATACTGTTTTCAGAGATGAACCACAACTGTCACACAACGATCAAGATACATTTTCTTCTCCTGAACAAGACAAGTATATGGTTCCACGTGTCACCTTGGAAAATCTCATCGGAATTGAAGTTGTACATATAATCTCTTGCATTGCTGAGGATAGAAAAATCTTTGAACACTATACACTCAAATATTTATTGAAGCTCTTTCAAAATCCATCCTATGCATCTCTATTTAATCATGGAGCAAAAAGCAAATACATCAAAAGAACGAGAGAGACCTCAGAACAGGATTTATTATGCGCCTTTTTCAGTGGAATTGCTTTGTATGGAGTGAAAAAACTTGACGACTGTGTCAAGTATTTGCTTGCTTCTGTGTTGCATCCACCTATCGAAGAAGATCAAACTGCCTTATCAATTCTTCAACCTATTAAGGATGCTCAGAAAGAACAAGATTTTCAATTGAAAAATCATGTCGACAAATATATGGATATTTCTCGCCGCGTGTCGGAACATGCTGTCGAAATTGAACAACAGCTGTACGATCGATTGGCGTTTGTCCCATCCGATGTTGTGATCGACAACGTGTCACAATATCAACTTCCCTATTTTACACACGTTGCTTACTCCTTCCTTGGTAAAGCTTTGGCTGAGGTTAAAAACCTTGACACTGCTCTCTACTATACTGAAATTTCAATGATCAGCTCACATGTTCAGGAACGACTCATGCGAAATCACTCTATTTTCAACACCACGGCTGTATTCACAAAAGCGTACATTGTTGACAAGTTAGAAATGTACGAAGAATCAAGTGCACTCTACCGTAAAGTGATTGAAAATTATCGAGGATATTCCATGTCACACAACAACAATGGAATTTGTTTAAAGAGAATGTCAATGCATAAGGAAGCTCAGCAAGAGTATGAAGAAAGTTTGCGTATAGATCCTTCCAATCATCTTACCTACAATAATAGAGCTCTTTATTACAATGACAACGAACATGAGAATGCCATTCTCTATTACAAGTTTGCCATACGTTTAAAGCCAACGTATCATTTACCAATTGCCAATTTGGGATACACCTACTCACAAATGAACAAGTACGATGAAGCCATTGATTTATTCACAAAAGCGCTCTTCCTGGGACCTAACAATATCACAGCTCTTGCCAACAGAGGGTATTGCTACATGAGAAAAAGCCAATACGATGAAGCATCAAAAGATTATCTCAAATTAGTGTTGGAGCTTAAAAGCGAGGAACGAAATATTTTATATAACCTCTCTCTGTGCATGTATCAAAAGAAATTATACAGAGATGCTATTTATTATGCAACCAAAATACTTGCTAAAAATCCAAACGACGAATGGGTGCTTTATAATCGATCTCTATTCTTCGAAAAGGCACAATTATTTGTGGATGCGCTGGAGGACATTGAAAAGTTTTTAACGATCATGCCAAATAATGCAGCAGGCTTGGTTTTACGGCAACGATTGCGAGTTGTTGTGAATAGAATAACACGAGTGTGTTAAGCAAAAATTGATTTGAGTTGTTGACAATTAGTCGCAAAAAAGGTAATGCCGAGCAGCATGAAATTTAGAAAACACAGCGTGATATGTGTAACATGAAATTTAGAAAATCAAAATAGGAAATTTGTTACAAGTCTCACTATTCTTTCAGTTCCGTCGCCGAAGGGCGAGAGAGCACAAATTTCAATTTCTCTTTAAAATATAGAGACACATTGTGTTCCACAAGCCTCGCTCGACTTTTAACCTGGTAATCACTCTGATCGAAGATTGATACTGTCACCAAGGTCAAATGGACCACACATAAAAGAGCTGTTTCAAGAAGATACCAAATTGGAAAAACTTCACTCTAAAAATCATCAAACTCATCCCAATTTTCCTCTTCTTTCTGTTTCTTTAAAGGATTCTCTTTCATATCACTGCTCGGTTGTAATGCCATTCTCAATTTCCTCTTCTTCTTTTGTTCGTCATGAATTTCTTTCATTCTACTTTTATATTCTTCAGGTGTTAATGTTCGCTTCTGGTGTTTCTGGCCTATTGATTTTTCTTTCATGTTGTTTTTAAATTGCTCAATTTGTGCCTTTTTCTGAAGGTCCTCTTGAGTAGATCCAATCTTTGGTAGATTCTTTGTTTTACCCTGTGCACTTGTTTGAATTAAATCATCCAATTGCCGATCAATTGAAAGAGGATTGATCAAGCCTTGTTTGTTCTTTCCAAGGCCGTGACCTGTCTCATAGCCCATCTTTTTCAGCAATTTCAATCCCACTGACTGTGACGCTTCACTTTTTTCTTCTTCCTTTTTGATTAAATTTTGTGAAAGTGAAATCTTGGCCTTTTCCAGCATGCTCTCTCTAATACCATATTCTCGAATTTGTTTTTTCAAATGATGAGCTTTTTTATGTTGTTTTTCCTTCTTTGCAATATTATATTGTTTCAATAATTCAGGAGGAGCATTATAGAAGGAAAGTTTTGTTTCATGATGTGATTGTTGATTGTTTTTTCTTGAAATTTCATCTTGTTCCGATAAATGTTGTAAAAATTTATCATTCATATAATCATTGTGATCTTCGGAAGAGGGTGATGATGTTTCATTTCCGTTTTGTTTGTTCTCCTCTTCATCCGAAGATGATGATGAAAATAATTCATCAAGTGCACTTGGTGTTTTTTCTTGATGATTAGAATTCATTTCCGATTCAGAATTTTGAGGTGTTGGTGTTGAATCATTGTTCTGGTTTTTTTCATGAACTCGATCGGAATGCTCCTCTTTTCTCGCTTCATGTCGCTTTTCCATTTTTTTTATTAATTTAATTTTAAAAGGAATGAAATGAAAGATGTTGTTTGTGGAAAATGTTTGTAATAGCAATTGCAGGCTAACTGATTGCATCACACAGCAATGAACAGAAATTTTTCAATTTTACCAAACGTAATCTTCTCTACAAAGAATTTGTATGCAATTTCTTCTTGTCACCACCAACTTGATAAAATTTTTCATAAAGTCGTTTCACAAGTCCACTGTTTGGTTTCTTGGATTTTCTCATTTCCAACAATTTTGTGAGTATTTCCAACGATGAACCATTGGCTTGTGTGCAACTTTCAAAAAGAGCATGAATAAATATTAATTCAAAGACGTCACGTTGTGCATGACTGCCTCCTATCATTTTCAATTTTCCTGTGAGAACAATATCTTGTAAAAGTTTGGCTGATTCTGTGAAATGCTGTGAATTATAGGCATCAATGGCTTTGCAAATTGGAATTCCAGCTTGTTCGTATACTTTTTTGCAAACATTTTCGAAATGATCCTCACTGTATGATGAATCTTCATTTTGATCAGAATTCACATAATATTCAAGAGTTTGCAACTGTTCATCGACCATTTTGCGAACATTCTCATCCGTTCGGTCATTGTAAACCATTGTGATGTGAGCATCATTGAAAGCAAGGGCATGACTTTGAATCATGGAGGACCAACAGTGACGAACTTTCTTCCATCTTTCATCCTTCTTATCAATAACTCCTTCCAGATACAAACGATACAATAAGGAACTGGCATCGACGAGATCGAGTGGAGCTAATGATTCAATATGCAATGAAATCTTTTCATCATAAATTTTTAACACCTCATCAAAGGAACCCTGATCCATGAGATACAAGCACCAATGCCAATACATGTGACATGCAAGAGCGTGACACGTGGACCAAACGCTCTCTTCGTTGTTCATGAAATCAATTCCATGTGAAGTGTCACCTTCCATTTCTCGAACATGAACCCAGGCATGCATGGCCCAAGCATCGTCCTTATTGATGGCAATGGCCTTAATGGCGACTTGTTCTGCTTGTCGATATTGATGTGTCTCTTCCAAGCCAAAGGCATACATTCCCAATACATAACCATAAATTTCCATGGGTACACATCTCTCATCATTGTAATTTTCAACATGTCTCTCTACAGATTTACAAATATTTTCACTGTCACCCAAGTAAAAGTAGCCATCGTAGGCAAACTTTAAGGCGATGGCATCAAAAGAATCAATTTTTAACAATTCCTCCCAAATGTCAGCGGCATGTTGATATTGTCCTCTCATCCATGCTTGCAATGCTTGAATATGTAATTGAATGACCATTCGTTGATGGTTATTCGGTGTGCTGAAATTTTTGAAAATTGTTAAAATGTGTTGCATTTTCTTGGTATACATTTCGTGATTTAAAGCCAAATCTGTGCGGAGTAAACAAGTTCCTAAATCAATGATGAGAGCCATTAAATTTTCTGGCTGTTCATGGAGACAGTGTTGGAGAGTTTCGGTCATTGAATTTCTCCATCCGAGAAGCTTGTTATAATTTCAAAAACAAATTCAACCATCAGATTTTTCATACAAATGGAAAAAGAAGCATGATCACATGATTTGATTTCGTCATCACGATGCAACGTCCTTCCTGGCAAATAATTCTAAAATTTCAACCTACATCTCTAACTAGTGGATACAAAAACGTTCCGCCTTCTCCCAAATAATAATTGGCGACTTGTGGTGTAGACATTTTTTAATTGGTCACATCATTTGAGTGTGTTTGGGTGTTGTTTGGCCGACAAATGTGGCACTAAAATGTATCAAGCAAAATTGGGTGTTCACAAAAGAGGAATACTCTTAAAGCTTACTAGGATTAATTCCAAAAAAATACAAACTACAATGCATTGTATCAAAATAAGCAAATATTTGGTTGAGAGTAGTAGTAGAGTTTTCACAAAGTTTCACAAAATTCCTAAGCAATCTCCATTCCTTCAATCTTTTCATCAATAATGAGAGTTTCAGGCATCAAAACTTTTCCTGTCGAAATATCAAATACCATCAAATAACTTCTGATGGCTTCGTCAGTTTCCTCGGATTTGACAGCTATCATTTCAGTAGGTCTTCCTGGAATGAACTTGACACTCGAAAAACCTCTAGCTGGAGAAATAATATCCCCAATACGAGCAAACTCAATATGCGAAAAATCTTCAGAGGCTGAAATGACGTAATTTGAGCCACGTTGCTCATCCTTCTTTTCGTCGTAGCTCTCAAAAGATACTCTTCGAGGTAGGAAAAACCATCTCTTATGGAATTCGCTCCATTCGGCAGCCTCATGAACCATGTATCCTTTATCCTTAATTCCAACTGCTCTGAGAAGAGCTTTATAGTTCTTAATCCAATCCACATGCTCCACTTTTCCATTTGCATCAATAGTTTTGACATACATTGGATCATGGTTAAGAACGACTCCGTCTCCTGTTGTCCACTCTTTTCCAATACTTCCAATGTATAGTTTGTTGTCTTTCACAGTGGCCCATTCACACTTGAAGCCCTTGCTTGTTGTTTCTCCATTTCCATCGGGAAGAATATGACGAGGAATGGCCTTCACTTGAATATCACCATTATTGCCACTACTAGTGACCATTATCTGATAAACAATTCCTGTACGATCATCTGCAGAGTACAATTTTCCATTATACATTTTCAATTCTGACAATTCCATTCCTCTACTACCTTCAACGAGTTGACCAACAATTTCCATTGGCTTACCGTTCACTGAAAGAGAATACTCTCCTGTTTGCTCATTTCTCTTCAAAAGACCTCTCACAAGAACGCTCTTCCACAAAGTTCCCTTTTTTTCATCATTCACTTTACTTGCCTTGTCTCGATCAGCCACTAGAAGAATTGGAAACTCCGTTCGAGAGCTTTGGGGTGAAACCGATTTGCCTTTCAGTAGGACAGATGCGTCAATGTGTGCATTGTTGTGTGTTGGAAGAATACTTGCTTCAAGAGACGATGATGAACTTTTACCTGAAGACACCAGCAACACAACGCTCAATCCGATAGCAATTAATGCAATACCGATAAAGAGCGGATACAAAATTCGTTTGTTTTTCACCAGTTGAGTTTGGAGAAGAGTCATGAATGGAACATTGCCCTTGTTATTTGTCGACGACGAGTTGGGAGAGGTATTTCCCTGGCTTTCAATATCTAACATGTTTTTAATAGGTTGAAAGAAGGAGGAAGAAGGAGTTGTTGAAGAGAGCGGAGTACTGAAAAGAGCAGATGCCGATGAAAATTGTTGAATACTTGTGTGGTTGTGATGATGATTTGAATCCGAGGATAATGCTGAGGAGGAAAGAAAAAACGGAGGTGAAGTAGGTCGGTTTATATTTCCGTTGCCAATATATGAAGAAAATTGAGAGTTTGAGGAAGAAGAATTATTGTTGTTGAGATGATTATTATCACTTGTGTGAATTGTGATACCGTTGCTGTTGTTGTTGATATGGGTATTGTTATTATTATTATTTAGGTGATGGTGATGATGATAATTAAATTGTATACTGCCAATGGAAGAAGAATCGCCTTCGGTGTCGTTGATGAATAAGAGATTGGATTGAGAGAAGGTTCTCTTATGCATAACAACTAAATTATAATAATAAAAACAAGAGAAAAAAAGCTGTTGAAGCTGTGGATGGTTGTATGGTTTTCAAAGAACTCTCATCAACCTCTCGGATTGCTCTGAGCTTTTTTGTTTTGGAAATCAATTCAACGTAGAGGTTCCTTTGTCAATCAAGAGGGAGTCCGAGAAAGAAATTGGGTGATGACCCAAAAAGCTTTTTTTTGAGTTTCAACCATAGGACAACGTATTTCTCGATCTTGAGAAGTCAACCTATAAGGCATCAATTGTTAAACCACACAAACACGAATCCTCTCACCTCTTCTCTCAATCATTCAACCATTCAACAAAAAACAAACTCAAAATAACTGCGATCACGAGAATGCAGAAAAGTGGCTCTGACATTACTGTTCAAGTGAGGCTCCTTATTGATAATCTTCTGCCATGAGGAGAACAACTAATGCACTCCATCCAGTGAATGGATAATTACTGAAACCTCTTCCATCGGTGGGATGATACGTCTCATAGACAGCTCCAATTGAATTATCCTCCACATGATGATGACAGTCCATATTGTTTCTCATAATAATACAATCCTCTTGCACATTGAAAAGTAAATGGAGCCCAAAGCGCCTCTCCAATACTATTTGAAAATGCGAATGTTAAATTATTTCACACATCAGGTCAAAAAAAACAAAAAAGTTTGTTCGCTCAATCTATACATATATATTACACCTACCTGTCCAGACCATTCAAAATTTTCATCCTTAAAACTGAGTGATAGCAATCCATGACCTTCTGAAAATAAAAGATTCGAGTCTCCCATTTTAGCAATCGTTTGTTCGACTCGTGTTAAATTGGTTTCCAAATTCAAACAAATAGGAAGCATTCCAATGTATCCAATGTGATGGCCCATACCAAACTTGCTCGACCGATCCGCATAAAAACCCAATGATTCACTCCAAAATAAATCATGCAAATTTTTTGCAATGACTGCCGACAGAGAAGCAAAATAATCAATCAAGTGTTGAGGTTTCGAAAGTAACTTTAATAAATTACTCATCACAAGAGCTGCCTTCGCAAGCCAAGTCTGGATGTCCACATCAATTTCTCCAGGCTCTACTTGTGGAAAACGAGGATAATCATCGAGACCACTATCCAAAGAAAAATTGATAAAATACACGGGAGGATTCATTTGATTGTTTAAGCCGTACCAGGCCCATTCAGGTTGCTGATAGCGAGCTTCCTCTCCAATAAATTGTTCTCGATCAATCCAACCGGAAATTCTGTCTAAAATGGCTTCAAAATGCCAATATCTTGTCACTTCCTCAAAAACATCAGCATTCCACCGCACTTGCATCATTTCCATAAAAGCTTCGTCCCAATAGAATGGGCGAGGGAATGATTGTTTGTTTGGAATGAGTGAAAGGAGTTTTTGATTTTGCATGACAATCACTGGTTGAGCAGGGTCACTCATATTCTTAAAGAAACCGGTTCCTTCAAAGTAAGACCATAAATTAAACTACTCAATACTTGCATTGCAAACTCTCGGTAATGTTCTTTCGAAACTTCTGAAGAGGTGATCGATATTTTGGAAGAAGGAGACATTGTGCTACTCTTCAGGAAATTGAAAACTGGAAATTTCACATCGAAATCTGACTCAAATTGTTGTTTGTACTTTTCATATAAATGGTCAATGTAGGCTGGAGAAAATTCTAAATCAGATAAAGGGTTGGCATTGGGATTGTCAAATGTCACGACCCATTCGAAAGGAGTTTTCAATACTTTTTGAATCACTCCCACGTTACTCGATTTTGCCACCTTTACGTTTGGCAATAAATTGAAATATCCTGTCATTACCAATTGACCATTCTGATCTTGTTTCACATCATTGACTTGTCCTTCTGTAACACCCACATAAAAGTAGACAGAAATATGGTCATCCACTTTTTCCTTTCTTCTTGGATCATAGACCGATTCGCCTGTGATTTTCACAGCCAACGCATTGTTTTTGGATCCTGTGTATTTTACAGTGGTGATATTTAACCGAAAATTGGTCAAATACTGATCAACGACAATGACCTTAGAAAATGAGAGAGGATCCGCTCGTTCAACCTTTACGTAAAGGTTGTGAGAACAAGTGAGGACAGAACCATTATTGAAAAAAAGAAAGGTCACAAAATTGTCAAAGATGTGTGAAAAGTTTGAAATCATCAAGAGACATAATAATTTTCGAAATTAGTTTGAAATTCTTTCGTTTCTACTCACCTTCATGTGTTGAAACGAATATCATCCAAATAGACATTCTCTCTAATTCTGAATCCCCATTGTTGATTATCATACTCATTCCATGCCACACCAAAATAGAGAGGTTTAGAATCCTTGGTTTGAATTCCAGAATACATTTTGGGTCGTGGCAGAAGAAAATCTTGTGGAACAGCTGTGCCATCACCACCATTCATGTGTTCTAAAGATGATCCGAAAGCATTGTCAGCAGCACTTGGTTGAAGCACTTGACGTTTTAAACTCTCATCAATTCTCTCTGCTTTTAATTTCAACCAATCCACACTGTTTGAAGTAGGTTCCGAATGATGATGAAACGGACTCTTGAACTGCTCACTGTGGTGTTTCAAATGGAACAAAATTTCAAATAAAAAGGAGCATGAAAGCGAGAGGCTCTTGATTTATGAGACGGCAAACCGGATGTTGCTCTTCCTTTGAAATTTTGAATGATTTGATAAAAGTCATCATCATGGGCAGCTCCGTTTGTTCTTATTCCAGTTTGATTTCGGAGGATGTTTACTGGACAAGTTGGTTATAATTTTTGTGGTATAAATCTCTGTTGGCTGTTGATCAAAAACATTTACTTTCAACAATTAAACTTTTTTATTACTAATATAATCCGCTGTAGTCTAATGGTTAGGACACAAGGCTCTCACCCTTGAGATCCGGGTTCGATTCCCGGCAGCGGAGCTAATTTTTTCTTTTTTTTTTTTTACCACTTGTAAATCTGAAAATTGGCTGGTGTCGCTTTTGTTGCGCAAACAAGTCTTCATAGTATCAACATTACATGATAGGGATATAAAAAAAGACGACTCAATTGAAAAAACGAGAGCAATTAGATGAATATCTAACCATTCTGAATCTCATGTTGGCTTGAAAATGAGTGAGCAAAGAGAGAGAGACAAAAATTGTTGTCAGTTTCATTTAAACTTCTCCAACAACAAGGAGACTACTTGTTAAACCGTTGTAAATGAATCAGAACGTTGCTTGGTGGTCGTTTCAGCACAGTTGTTCACTCAGTTATAAGAATAGAGAATATCAACTCAAGTTCTACCTTGGAAATAACTTCAAACATCTCCCACAAATCTGTAAATCTCTCCGCGCTAGAAACCAAACCCTGTGTGGTACTTTGTGCGGTCTCATTCTTTTGATCTATCATCCCCTTTTGTTGTGCAGCACTAATATTTCCGTCTACATTTAAACCTCGTCAAAAACATTCCAAGTAATCTCTCTTCTTACATCGTCATCAAGTTGTTCCAAAAATGTCAACCTGAGATTAAAAAAATAATATTCAAAGAGGAATGCTCAGTCCCGATATGATGCGCGCACACTAGTGTACCATAGCTCGCACGCAGAAACAAAGAGTCCTTATACAATAAAAGATTGATGTTTCCTTTTGAACGCTAAGGTCATTTCAAATAAAACCAGGGAGCGAACTGGAGCGAAGGCTTTCTTTTTCTAAACAACAACGAAAAAAACAAATCAATTCATTGAAAGCCTTTTTCCAAAACTCAACATTCCATCACCAAACAACCAACCAACTGATTGAAAGAATGAAGAGCACCTCAACGTTGATCTTTCTCATCCTCTGTATGTTGGCTTTCTTCGCCAACTTTGCCTCTGCTCAATATTATCCTTCTGAGATGCACGATGGAGCTTCTTCCGTGATGAATGGTAGTGGTCTTGTTGGAGTGATGATGTTCTGTTTGGTTGCTTTGTTCGATTTGATCTTCTAACAACCCCACACTCCTCACGAACTCCTCACGAGCCTATGTGGAGAATACTATCTTGTGTAGATATCCAAAACTCTCGCCCAATACTAATCGCTAATGTCCAATTATAATCATTTGTTGATCAACACCTGATCCTCTATGATTCAAATTGAGAACACAATTTGACTCAACCATTTGTAAAAGCATTCAAAAAGCAAATAAACCACCACTCAACTATTATCATCTCTCTTATGCAAAGGTAATAGCTGCCACATGTTTCGTGATAGTGCACGTCCTATCATCAGGACGATTGAATAGTTCTAAGATTACCAATAAGGGCCTTACAAAAAGCTAAAATAGGGCCTTTCATCACCTTGTCAAATAATTTTCATGGAAGTGTCAATGATCTTTTTGTTTATTGTAAATAATAGATCAAAAAAGAACTCGTCCCTGCTTTTGAACACGACACAATTCATTGAAAGATCCTCACACCAAACCAATAACAAAAGCGAGCAACAGATTTGAACCGAGGATGATGCACCAAACCACACTTCTCGACGTCATGTTCCTCACAGATTCTTCACCATTCTTTAATGCTGTAAAAATACCAAATGGAAAAGTCGTTCCAAATGTTTTCACATAACAGGTCGAACAAATATCCTTATGACTCAATCTCCAATTTTCTAAATCGACAGCATCTGAGATTAACGCATGAATTTTCTTCTCTTTCACTAATTGAAATTGTTCATCCACATTATTGACTGGCATTTTCTGAGCGAGTGGTAACGTTGTGTTGACAATTTGGTCATAAATCGTTCCGTAATACCATGACACAATGACATCTGCTCGATTGAGTTGTGTAACCGAGTTAATTCCTGTCAAAGTGGTACTGTTCAATTCTGTTCTTAAAAATCCATCACTACTGTAACCATAACCACACGATGCAAAACTGACAAGTTTCGATCTTTCATCGGTGAAGGTCGTGTCAGAAACGACAATGTCACACACACCATTGTCAACGGCTTGTTTTAAGTTATCGAAATAACCAGTTGTGGTATTAATTCCAAGATATTTTGGAGTCAGAGAAAGTTTGTATTTTGAATTTAAATTGTCAACAATTCCTTGAGCCACTCGACGATACAAAATTGTCCAAACGTCAAATGTCTCTTGCATATGAGTACACATGATCAATTCTTTTATAGAAGATGGAATTGGAGAAGAATAAGGATAATTGATCGAGAAACTGCAATAAGGAACAGAGAATGGATAATTGTCAGAAACAAATTTTTGGAATTCCGAATTAAGAGCGAGTTCAGACATGGCAGAGTTGACAGCTTGACTGAATGCATTGGAAGCAAGTCCTGGAGTGCCTTGAACGATCATCCATGTCGAACAGATGAGTGACAGCAGCAAGAGAAGAATTGTTCTTGTCTGAGGTAATAATTTGGAGTGTGAGTGATAGTGGTTGGGCATTTCAAACAATAAATCTGACTTTTGATAATTTATGTAAACACACTTGGTGAATTGTGGGATTTGACAACAAGATATGACTTGTGTTTTTTTTAATGTGGTGACTTCTGGCGCTGTGGTCATCTCGGCAAGATTAGTCATTAATTTAGCCGCTTCCTTGTAGTGCTGTCAGATGTCTTATTCCAGAGAGATACTCGTTTTTTGTAAATATCTCTTCTTTCAGGCCTTGATTAAGAAAATTTTTTCATTTCAAGATTTCAGTCGACAAATTTGGTAAACATCTAAAGTATGTGGCACATGAATTATTCCTTTAATTTCTTAAATAAACTCTTCAATTTCTCTGTTGGAAATGAAAGTGATCTTCTGTTGTGTGCATTTCGAATTCGATTGTTATAAAAGGATCTTCTGGATGAGTTATTTGGTGTTTGAATTTTTGATGAAGACGTCGATTGAGGTGAATCTTGCAATGAACCAGTCATTGTCGAAACAGAAGGGTTTGGAAATGAGGAAATTGAGGTTACAGAATGATTGAGGAGAGTTGTTGATGTAGGTGTGACAATTGACATTGGTTGAGAAGAAGTGGAAGGTGGTGAAATTGCAACGGAAGAAAGTGTGATAGAACATGCTTGAGGTGATGTAGTAAAGGTGCTCATATCTGCAGTGGCTTGTTCGAAGGCATCTTGTGGACTCGTTGAGGAACATCCATTCGAAAGGATGGATGAAAGAGTGAGAGAAAGTCGTTTCACATTTGACATTTGACTTGTAGAATTTCGATTTCTGGGTCGAACGACATCAATCGAATAACATAAATCCAAATTTTGGCTAAATTCTCTAAAAGATTGACGTTTTCGATTGGTTTCTTCTTCATCAATTTCATCCCAATATTTCATTTTCACTTCTCCGTCTTCCAAAGTGTCACTGCCATGATGCATATGGACATCATCCGATTTACGATTCACATGATGAGTGACAGCAGCACTCGTAAATTGAGAGTTGTTTATCCATGCTGAAACATCTTCTGCTACCCAATTTTTAGATGTTTTTTTACCTCCATTTTGATCCACACCAGCTAGCTCGTTATTAAATCCAAATACAGATTTGAATAAATCTGCTCCACCTGTAATGGTTCTTCGTTTGAGTGCATTTAAGGAATTTCTCTTGTTTCTAACTTGTTGTTGTGACGCATTATGTGTCGTCGATGGTGATCGAGCAGAGGAAACAGAATTAAGACCTTTCAAAGATGATTTTCGATTTCCAATCGTGAGAGGAGGAACCACATTTGGTGATGCAGTCTCTTGGAGTAACAAATTGTTTTTAAATTGTTTCGCAAATTCCTCAAAAGTTAAATCCATCAAACTCGACGACGATGGATCATTTAAATCTTTCGAACTTTGTACATTCAATGAAGATTTCGAAGACGTGACATTCACTTCATTGGTCAAATCGTCATGAAACAATTGTTTCACATGTGAAATGGACGTATCGACCGAGAGCGCCAAACCAAGTGAATTTTTTCTCTCATGTCTTGGTGTCATTAAGGGATTTGAAAAATCAAATGGAATTTCTTCTAAATGTTTTGGAAGTGTCAAAGTTGTAGTGGCAGTGGTCGTAGTGGTGGATACAGCAGTGTTATCTTGTGGAGATTTTATCAGTTGAAATCGATTCGAACCACTTTTTTTGAAATCATTTTGAAGTGAAGTAGGACTCGAAGGATTCATGAATGAATGGGTTTGAGAGCTCGTCGAATGAAATGCATCGTCTTGGTGTTGCAATATGAAAAGACTTTGTGGACTTGAGAGACGTTGTTTGTTCTTTTGATTCGTCGACGAAGAGGTGGAAATTCCACAAAAACTATTCGCAGCGGCATTCAAAGTGTCACCACAGTGATGCATGGTCGGCGAAGACAAGGTGACAATCGAAGTGGAATTTCTCTTATTTTTGCTGAGCTTGACAGCTTCTCGAATGATGGAATTTTCAGAGGATCTCTTTTTTGAGGTATCTTGTGAAGAAGTATTTGTTGTTGATGTTGTTGATGGACTATTCGTTAAATAGGGACTTGTGGAATTAATCACGTCAAAAGTCAATCCAGCAATATATTCATCCAAAACAAACGATTTGGTATTCAGTGATGAAGAAAGAACACTACTCTCAATCGTATTCATATCTAATTCAGAATTTTCACGGATCGATGTTCGATTTCCATTTCCTATTGAGCCATGGTTCATGGTACCTGATGACCATTTGTTGTTGTTCAAATTGTTGTTGTTGTTGTTTAAATTGTTGTTGACACCTGACGTCAAACCACTGAGAGCAAACATCCAATAAGCATCGGATGGCGATTCAATGTGAGGTGTTGGAGTTTGAAGAGATTTTAAATTAGGGAGATGAGTGGTGTTATCTCGGTTAGTAGTGAGGGTCGTTCGACTAGTAATGACGTGATGATCAATCATGACGTTGAGATCGCTCGGATGGTTTGCACCATGATTGGGATCCGATGTCATGGCAAGTGACAGCGAGGGAATGTCTAAGGAGTGTTCACTTTCATCGATAATGACCGTTTCAGCATTTGTTCGAAAGGATTGCAAAGCAAGAAGTTGAGAATTGTGATTCACTTTCGGTGGTGATGAATGCGATGTATTTTTGTTACTTGTTATTTCGACATGATGTGGTTGTTCCTCACCATGATGATGATGATCGTATAACTTTTTTGAATTTCTATTGCCCATATTAGCAAATTTGAATATTAGCGAATGGTTGAATCGTACAATTGAATTGCTGTGAAGAATTACTTGAGAGTCTTGTTGTTCTTGTCACCTAGGTTGAAGATGCTTTTTTTAATTGGGAGGATTTTTGGCAAGAAATCATAATTTCCAACAGTTGTCATTGCAAATTGTGACGTTTGAAACGTTCATGCAGCACAAAACGACAAGAATGGGTGTGCATTTGCCGGGTATGAGGTAAAGTGTATGATAAGTTCTTTTTTGAACCTCAACACTTGACATACATTGAGTGTTCACAGATTTGGCGCACTAGATGAATGATTCGATAATTAAATGTCAATGTTCCGATTTATGTGAGGATTCTCTGAATATATGTTTAGCGAACTGAATCTTGGAGACTATGTTTTGGTGAAAGAGTCTTGAAGACACTTTTCAGTTATACATGTGAGATTGTTTATATATAGTTGTGTTTCAAAAAGGTAATGTCTGAATGTGTCACTCAATGACCAAGTTCCATGAAAGGATGTAAATGGTGTTCAAATATCTTGCCTCTTCTAGATAAATGAGATTAGATTTGGATTTGAATGTTCCGAATGTTCGTTAGTTGTGTGTATGGTCACCGGATTGGCCATGAGTTGAAGGACAACAAAATCAGGAAAAGAGATGAGGAATTTGCAACAATTCTCCAATCATGAAAAGGTAGCCGTGAGAAGACAGAGCAAGATGATGCTTTCAGCACTTCAGTTCATGCTATTGAGTGGCATTGTTGAGTGGCATCAATTCAGGAAAATATGATGTCAACATGATGTCAGTACTTCCTCTTGCTAATGTGCAACATGAGCTCCCTTCACAACGCGTAGCAATTGATAACTTAACTTTACCTCCAAAACAACAAGTAACGAGTTCAATACGAGTACTTTTCTTATTTACGTTCAGCGGTGCGCTTAATACCTTGAGAATTCTAACATGTTTGTCTATACGATTGAAGATTCTAGAAATTCTGAAGGAGTGGTGGGCGGAAAAGATAACTCTGGAACACCTTCTCCACTTTCGGATACCACACCTGGAGAGAAGGGAGACATGGTCACAACGACACGCAAGTCCTTGTTGCTGTTCCTTGAGGAGGATAAAGAGCCTTGTCGAGCTGTCACACTACTTGTTCGAGACAGCTTTACATCACAAAAGTCACTTGGTCTTCTTTGTAGTTCTTCGTCGCCTTTAATGTCATTTCGAATGGAAGTTGCAACATCCGAACTGCAAGTTGTTCTCGTAATAGTTGCTTTGGAATTGAGCTTTTCCAAACGACGATGTGAAACCTTCCTTAGTCCCTCAGCTACAATAAAATCCAATGGTCCAAATGAAAATACCACAACCAGAGAAAACACAACAATATTGAAGGTTTGCAAAAATGATGAAACAATGATCAAATATCGATTAAATAAAGCAAAAACTAGAATAAGGGCTGAAATAACCATGGCAAGCCCTAGAAAAAACTGTCCAGCGCTTAGCAATAAAACTCGACGACAAGCTGCTTGGCGTTGTGCAATGGCAGCTGTACTTGCTAACGGTGAGTTTTGTGACATCATTTTTCTCACGAGCGCCAAGACAAGAACACCATTCACAATGCCTATAAACGTCATGACAATGATGTACAACAATCCAACAAGTGCATCTGATAAGAATCGATCAACGGCTGCTTCTCTAGCCATTTCTTGGTTCACTCCAGGATAATAATAAGCAGTCGCTGTGATGCATACAGTTGGCATGACAATCAACAAGGTTGTTATTCCAAATATTGTCACTATTATTCCAATCATTTTGACAAATCTTCTTCTCCATTTCAATTGACCTTCCCGCACCCATGATTGCTCCTTATTGAAAAAGATCATGTACAAGACTCGAGTGGACATTGTCTTACAAAAGATGGTCAAGCCCAAACTTGCAATCACTCCTTCGTAGTGTAACATGAAGAATGTCATTGTAATGACCTCCTCTGCTTCCAGCAGTGAACAGATAGCATAAACAATTCCAAACAGCATACAAAACAATTGATTCATATTGAGAACCAAGATGAGGAGATACATGAGACGCTTATTCAGCACCATCTTCTTCCATCGACGAATCATTAAAATCAATAAGGCTATGACCATGACCAACAAAAAGGGAACCCAAAACCCATACAGCGAGAGGTAAGTGATACATTTCTGTGTGTCCTGTTCTTTCGTTGTTGTAGAATTGAGTCCATACACGAAAGGGATATATTCGGGAAAGGGAGAAGAAAACTGAGAGGTTGGCGTTCTTTGATTATTATTGAATGCTGATGATGATGATGAAGGTCGGTAATCATCTTGGACCATATCTAAATCATCCATTTGATGATTCGTTTCAAGAAAATTTCTAATAGACTTTAACAGAATCAACAAGTAGGAAGAAGTTGATGATGATGTCATGAAAGAATTGTTAATGTCGGATGAAGCCTCTTTCTCTCCATGGTCATGATGGTGAGTATGGTACCATTTCATTTCAATTTTTGGTCTTGAATTTCATCAGACAATGGAGATACACAATGTAATACGTACGGAATATATGTTGCATGATTGAATATTATTGCGTAGCTTCTAGAGTGTGATGATGACAATGAATGAAGTGATGAAGGATTAGTACGATGATCTCTCGAATGTCTTGTTCTTGTCTCTCTCATTTTCAGTTTTTTCGTCCTCAACATCTCTCCAATAGAGTCAGCCTTATTGATACTATTAGATGGAACTGAATTTCTGTCAGACCATCATTAAGAGCCTTGATTCAACTTCTTCCCCAATTTATTAGCATTAAGGTTGTCTCATAAAAGTCAAATGTCAACGACAAAAAATAGTCTCCGTTTATTACCTGTGTCCACCAACATGCCCATTCTCGAAGGTGATTCTATCCGTATCAATATCATCAAAGCCAATGATCTCATTCCCATGGACGTATCAGGATCATCAGATCCCTATGTCATCCTCTCCTCTGCTCTCAACTTTTACGATGAAATTAAAACCTCCATCGTGAAAAAGAATTTAAATCCAATTTGGGAGAATGAAGAGTATTCATTTCGATCACCCAAAGATCGATCCGAAGGTTGGACCATTAAATTTCGAGTGATGGATTATGATCGTATGAAAAAGGATGATTTTTTAGGAGATGCCGAGTTGGTGATCAACGATGATCGATTCAAAGTGAATAGTGGAAAGGAAGAACAAGTGGTCTTGCCATTGAAAGGTGTCAAGAGTGGAACTTTGACTGTTGGCATTTCTTTGAAGAGATCATCTAATGGTACTTCAACCACTCCAGGTAGTAGTGCAACTGAAAACTCTCCAATTTCATCGCCAAGAGGTTTTTCACATTCCGATTCGTCTGTGTTTCGTGTCGATAATTTTCCTTATTTTATTTTCAAAGTTCCAAAACGATTCAAGTTTGATCCTCTCAATAAGAAGAAGAAGATTCATTCCATTTCGTGTTTTCATCATGTCCTACCAGAAGCAAGTGGTTTATCCGTGTTGAACAGTGGAAGTAGTAGTGGTAGTGGTGATAGTAATAGTATTAACAACAATTCGGACCATCAAAGTGCATGTACGACTCTCTCTGATGATCATTACGAACATTTGACTTTCACATTCAGTGACAATATTTTGCAAGAGATGAATTTGGAAAAAGCCAAGCTCTATACCATATTCAGCCTTAAAAAGACTCACAAGGACTATTCACGCATGGCAGGACATGATTTGATGACTCTTGAAGAGGACCTTGATGTGACATCATTATTCGATTCACAATTTTCAGGAGTCTATCGTTGGCAATGGTTCTTTTGGGACTTTCCAGAGAAGAGAAAGACTCGTGTCATTGTGTACATGATTTTACCTGTTCATACGTGTCGTTCCTTAATTACAGTTGTATATAAAACAACTCTCGCATCAATGACTCAAGAGGAAAAAACGACAAGGAATACTGTCGTTGTGTCAAATCATAATAACAGTACGACAAGTGGCATCAGTAATAGTGGTAGTAGCAATGGTGGTTCCATGGAAGGAGATTTCATGGTTCAATCCATCGTGAAGAGTATCGAAAAGATTGTTCACCTTCATTGAGATGAATATTTTCAAAGCTATTAAGAAGAAGAGGTGGAGGAAGGGTATAATTGGAACGTTTCTTCCGTACGTATCATTTTGTCACAATGACATTGGAGCTCACAACGAAAAGGAAAACCATTCCTATCATTTAATTGATTTTGAATATTGTGGATACAATTACTCTGCATTCGATATTGAAAATTTCTTTTGTGAATTTGGAGGTTTGTGTATCAATCCACACACGCGTTCAATTAAAAACCTCCACCCATGTGGCGATAGTACATGAGCGAAAGGCATCTTTGTGGCAGTGTCTGGCGCCGTGTGTTGAAGGATCACCAAGTCGGCAATTCCAAAAGGGACAAAGTAAGAGAGAGGAACATTTTGATTCCTTCACCGCCGCCCCTTAGAAAAAAACAAGAAGACGTTGAACCGTGATTTAATAACGCTTTAGGTCTCATGCCGAAAGGGCGAAGCCGTTTTTGTTGAAAAGCTTTTACGAACTTGGTCTGGAAATTGAAACAAACCCTCATCACAAAAAAAACAATCCAGACTCAAGAAGCTCAAGACTGCCAGGTGCTGTTGCTATTCAACTCGGAAACTTTAGGCGGAACTCCCATATTGCTTTTCAAGCACCACCAAACGTGTTATATAGCCTCGCTTATCAGCTTTGAATATAACTCTCATGATCTGCAATCTCCTTATTCTTTCCTTTTTCACTCCTTATTATTTATAATCATCATTTATTTTTGTGAATTCAAAAAAGCCTTTTCGTTTATTTGTAAATAGAGATGCCCATTAGCCCCTACAACTCCTCCACCTGGACTCATCATTACCCTGCAAAACCGTTAGCAAGGAAGTTGAGCTGCCCGAGTGCAATGACCCCCTTCACCAAAGGAAGGAACTTCCTCTCTTCATTTTCCACCTCCACCACCTCTTCCTTCTCCACCTATCTTAACTTAAAATCCATGGCTGTGATAGCCATGACCTTACTTCTCCTCATGAATGGAGCCGTGTTGTTCATGTTGATGATGAATGGCGCCTCCTCCGAAAGGACTCTCACTCGTGTCCATCACCATGATGAGAACAGCAAGCAACTTCCTCCGACCATGGCAACCACCAACACTCACTCCCTCAGTGCTGAAGAGAAAGTTTTCTCTTCTTCCTCCACTTCTTCAAAGAAAACAGATACAAAAGATAGCAACACCAAACATACATCACCACCACTCACCTCTACCGATGAATTTCAACTCACCCCAATAACGGTATTGAATGAAGAATTCTATCCCATCACTGTGGCCACCTCCATGAAAGAGGGAAGTTGTAAATTGTTGCATTCGGCCATGAGGCAAGGCATCCAAATGAATGTCATTGGATACGGTTTTAAGGATTTCAAGCTGCAACACAAAGTTGGAATCATTATGGAACAAATTTCAAAAATCAAAAATCCTAACGCATTGCTGCTCTTTGTCGATGCTTATGATGTCTTGTTCTTTCAAAATGCAGAGACCATCGTTGGAAAATATTTGAAATTGTTTGAAAAGAAGAAACCAGTCCTTTCCAAAGAACATGCATCAGAATCCAAAAGACAGGACATGCATGGGCCACCTGACAGCACAAAGAGCAAAGAGGCATCCCCTTCTGATGAGATGATGATTCCATCCAGTTCCAACACGTCTCCGAATGACTCCTCATCATTCATTGCTTACTGTGCTGAAAGAAATTGTCATCCATATGGTCTCATTAATAGTGCTAAAGAGAGGTGGGGTGATGCATTTTGCAACAAATTTCCGTCTGCCCCCAATGGATATCGCTTTCTGAATTCTGGAGCTTTTATGGGAAGAAAAAAAGATATCATTGCACTCTACAACCACATCATAAGTTTGCCAGAGGATGTGAAACATGATCTCTATGGAGATCAAGGGATGACGAGTTATGTTTGGCTCACTACAGAAGAGCTCAAAGATACCATCAAATTGGACTATTGGGGAGAGCTGTTCTTCTCACTGCTCGATGCGAGAATGTCCAATTTAGCTCTCGAACGCCAAGCTCCAAAAGACGAATCTATTGCCAAGAGTTCCAACAGTGGCATTTGGTTTCGTAATGGCGTACACAAGAACTATCCATCTATTGTTCATGGTAATGGATGGGGAAAACATATCCTAAAGAATTTAAATTCGAGACTCACATGGAAGCTCTCAGATTTGGACAAGGAGAAGGCTGTGAACTATTGTTATGTGAATGGTGAAAAGAAACACATTTCAGAATTGTGTAGCTTTCCAAAGTAATAAACCTTGTTCAGAGTGTCTGAGATGAATGAAGACTGTTTAAGGTGGAGCTCAATAAGACACCCTCAACATCAATTACCCAACTTGAGCATTTGACACTGTAAAGGCGGAAGTGCTTCGCCAAATCGAGTCAAAGTCGGCATTTGTTTGTCACCGCAAGCGCCCCTGTCAAGTCGTAATTGCACAAAAAAATTCTGCAATATTCTTTGTTTTGATTCCACTTAATTGTTTGGCATTACCATTATTCTCTCAAAATACTCCTTCTAACATCTCACACAAACGCGTTTGAAACAACAAGTAGAATCCTGTCCAGAGTGGCAGTCATTTGAAACAACAACAACAAGACGCACTCTGCACGAGTGAACAACCCACCACCAGCAATTCTCATTATTACAACAACAAGACTGGGCATCATTGATTCCAAAAAACAGCACCTACATTCATCATAATCCTCCTCCTCAAACGGTTTTCTGTTCTCACTAGATCTCATTCACAAAAATTGATCATTTAACGAATTACTTTTCACACATGCTCTCATCAAAGACATTCATTCCGAATATGATCACAAACACTTCAACAAACACTTCAACAACCACAACAACAACGACTCACAAAAAATCTCTTCTCCACAAGGAATGTTTCAGTTTTTTGAGTTTGGTGAATTTTTCTTCTTCTTCAAGTCGAAATATTTTGGAAAATCGAGAATTTTTTATTGAATTTTTGTATCGAAAAAATAGAAGAGGATTGTGGAATTGTTTTGTGGAATTGGAACAAATTAAGGAACAATTGATGATCATAACGAATTCTGCAGATTCTAAGAGAGAGTCAAATTCATCGGGATTGAAAAAAGTGTCACAATTTAGACAAAGCGATGCACAGCCATTGAAGCAAGATTATTCAGCAATGAATGAAAGTCAGTTGTCAAAAAGTTTAGATGATTCCACGAGTTGTAAAATTTTAATTTCTGTCACCAATGATGCAACAACTAATCATTTGACATCATTGCAATCATTTATCAATGAAGGAAACCTCTCTCCACATGGCGTCACAACTCTTCAAATTTACGACAGAATTATTCGAAAATTTTTTATAAATTTTTCGGATGTGAAAAATTTAAATATTGACACCATCATGACCTCAGCAGTCAATTCCTTACTTGGAATTTCGAGAGAATTACAACGAGAAACGTGTCAAAAATTTGAAAAACATGTCAAATTAATTTCACAACAATTGTCAGGAGGATTGAATTTGTGGAATGAATTATTTTTCACATTGGCCGATGATTCAACTTCTGTCATGAATCACAACAAATCACAAAATCATGACAACTCTCCAAATGTGCATCATGAAACTTCTCCTTCGAAAATGACTTTTGGATTTTTTAGGAAATTAACCATGAAACAACATCATAACAAGACACAATCCGTGTCGTCGTCAGCCTTAATCGATTCACAACAACAACAACATTTGGAGTCTCATTCAGAAACAGCTGTGGTGAATCACAACTCGACAAAAAAGAAACAACCTTCTTTGGGTTTTGGATTTAAGAAATTATCGGATCAAGAAATGACAAGAATTTTGGAAAAATTTCAAGAATGTCATGAACCATCAATCTTATTATTCACTACACATCATTTTCATGAAATTTTTGGAGCTCTTCATTCCGAACTATTTCAGAAATTGAAAACACTCTTCGAACAATACGTCGATGATTCAGAAGAATTTGAAGTGTTACTGATGAGAAGAATAATTTTTACACACAAGAATGAATTTCCAGAAATTTTCAAACGAAGTCACTCTCCCAACACGACAAACCCTCCATCGCTAATCATTCCTCCAAACAGCGCTGTCACAAACACACATACCATCAATACCACAACGATTGGCGCACCAATGACATCAACAGCAAATTCCACTTCGCAATTGACCTCTGCCATTCAGAGTCATACCAATTCCCATGAAAATGCAAGTCATTCTTCCATGATGATCGATGAAGGAACTGCCTCTGAAAAATCAGATCTATCTCCAAGCAGTCCGTTGCCACCTTCTTCTTCTGTCACTACTACTGATTCCAATCTCACCAAAAAAACGAGTTTTAATTTACAAATTCCTTTGAATAACGTATCTCGAACAGCAACCACGGATCAAGGAGGCAATGCAATGACGTCTCGAAGTGTTAGCCCTATCGATGAGTACGGTATGGAGTCACCTCGATCCAAATTAACATCCCTTCTCTCGTTTGATGAAAAAAAGAAGAAGAAAAAGGAGAAGGAAGAAACAGAACGAAAAGTGCAAACCATTCAGGATCAAATGAACAAGTACAACAAGATTATTTCAACACTGTATAAGGATCTCGTTCAACGAGATTTTGAACTTTCTCAGCTCAAAAAACAAGAGATGGAGCTTTTTGATGGTACAGATGAAGAGTCATCAATCAATGATCAAGTCGAACCATTTGAGCTCTATGAAGTAACAACGAAAGAGGAACTGCAGAGTGACAGTGTCAACCATTCATGTCCTCATCCATAATTCAAAATCTCTCCTTAACAATTTTGTATTCAACTAATAATATTATGTTACAATAGTCGCAATTTAAAACAACACTAATGAGAGAAATAAATACAATTTTGAATGCAAATCCAATCTGATTATGAGAGTCTTTCTTGTCGTTGACAATCAATAATTTATAAATTAAATGTCCACACCTAGATTAGCAAGCATGTTTCTCACTGCATTCATTTGCTCTCCTTGTTTGGTGGCATACAGTTGAGTGTTTGTATAACCAAACCAATCCCAACATCCATTACTGTTGCCAGATGATCCTTTGACTTGAGGGAACACAAAAATAATGTTATTGGCCTCAGCATGTTCAAGATAGCCAGCATGTTGAGCATAGACGTCATTCACAAAAGCTCTTCCTTGAAGACAACCATGGAAGACGACATGAACTCGACAAGCAGCACCACTCTTGCAACCGTTTGGAATATAAATGTAACCATAGTCATCAAATGAAGTGGCTGAATAGGCATTGCTTTGAGAAAACAAATGGAAATTGTTATTGATATCAGGTGTGACAACGGTGGAGGTATAATTTTGTGAGCCCAGAATTGTTTCAAGAGTTTTTGAAGCTCCATCCATGTTGCAATTATTAATAAATGGGGACTACTCGTCATGAAAGTACAGGTGTGTTGAATTTTCAAAAGATTCATCATGAGAGACATTATATTGAAACATATAAGATGGGTCAATCATTGACACTTGAATTGTGACACACGTTTCAACTTACACCAAATGCATCACACTTTGCTCCATAATTATTTGTAATCATGGCATGTGAAGCTGGAACATCAAAGTCGCTCACCACCTTCTTCTCTTCCAATCCAAATTGTTTCACATATTGATCTTTCAACTTTTTCATCACCTCAGGAAATACAATATAATCCTTTGTTCCACTAAATAAATACACTCGATGTTGCTGAGCAATATTCGAAATTGGATCAATCAATCCCTTTGTTTGTAGAGAGAGAATATCTTTTTGCAAGGTGTTCAAATCAATCATACTTGCGACCTTCATACAAGCAGCATTGGCCGTTGCAAAATCTCCACGAGCACACAGAAAGGGACCTCCTGAAAAAACACCCACTCCACGATTCGAGGCACTATAAGCCACTGAAAACTGAACAGCCATGTAAGCTCCCGATGATAAGCCTGAAACGGAGAGTGTTTGTGGTTGAATATTAAATTTCGGAAGTGGATAAGGCAAAGGCTGTGCTGCAAAAATTGATGATGATGAACCAAAGATCATCACTAACATCATCATTAGGAAGAAGAAGAAGACAAGAATGTTGATGATGAACGACGGGGAGCTCCTTTTTCTCGTCATTGAAGAATAAGTTTGTTTCTTGCAAGAAGTCATTTTTCGCGTTTTTTTAGAGTTCTGAAAAGTGATGAACCATTTCGCTTTTCACATTTCGAATGAAAGAATCAACAACAAGAAGGATCTTACAATTCTTCTTAAAGGTGATTCATTCGAGTGATGGTTGGTTGGTTGGTTGATTGAGAAGATCGAAGTAGGATTCAATGTTTCTCCAAATTATATTATGAGCTCAGAAGGTGAAAAAAAGATTAAAAAAAATGCCCAAACAAACGCTTGAAGTTGGTAAGTGCAGTTTTTGAGAGTGAAGACTTCATTTGGAAAAAGTATTAACGGAATCGGAATGAATCATGATGAACCCTTGTTTGTTTGTTTTTTATTTATTTAATGGATCGAATCATTTATAGCCATGACCTTGCAAGGCGTGGAGAGAGTAACTATCAATGATCCTGCCAATTTTACTTGGAGGCTTAAAATTAAATGTACTCACTGGTAGGTTTTGAGTAGTTTTCTCTCGTTGGATTGTTTGATCGTTCGAACAATGATAAATATTTCACTAATAATTAATAATTTTTGCCAAAAACTCGCATTTCGGAATGAACTGAAAATTATTGGAAATTAAACTTTAATTCAACACACTACAGCAATACTGAACACACAAAGAATGTTTTTGTTTGTGAAAATGAAAAAGAAGACAAAAACGTAAAATCTGGTAGGTATATTGTGACCCTCTTTATTGCTTAATTTTTGATAATTTCTGAAATTAAGGTACCAGTGAAACCAACTTGAATTTCACCTGCCCCAATTGCAAACGTCAATCTACATTGGACATTGTGAGTGGTAGCTTTAAAGAAATTTCAGAAAGTGAAAAATTCTTTCCAATGATTCAATTTGATGTAAGTGAGCTTGCGACACCTGACATTTATTAATAATTAAACTAATCCTTGAAAATGCAATGATCACCAATAATATATAATAATTCATACATTCTTCATTCGTGTTGATGAATCTATCAATAACAGGGACGTGGAATTGAGGTTGTTAAATGGGAACCAGAAGGTAATGAAGGTCTAGTTGCCTACAATAGTGAGAGAACCAGTTTTGAAGTAAATTTAGAGAATGGTGAATATTATGACTATGACGAAGATACCGAGCAAGAAATCGCAGTAACCAACATCAAGACAAGACTTGCAAAATAAAGATGTAGTCACATAAATTATTAATTTGTACCTCTTGTGTCACTTGGGCCCATGCATTACAATCAGAAAAGCTTCAATTTTTGATTCAAATCGAGCCCTTAAAAAATACAGGAATGGGTTTATTGAAAAATAAACAAATTATAGGTACTCAATTGTCCGACGATAGTGTGTCTAATGGGTGTGTAGGTGTGAGGTGTAGATGTTGTTGGAGTTGAGTTCGCCAAGCTGACTGCTAAATGTTTCCCAAGCAGTTGCAAATTTTGCAGTTTTGGGTTTAATTATATATCCTCTAGCCTTCTTGAGTACAGTTGAACTGTTCCAAGTGGCGTTTTTGTAACAACTGCCAACATAGGCAGCGAATGAGAGATATATTTCATTTAGCCAATCAGTCAAAGCTAGGGGAGATAAGTCTAATTGTTGAAGAGGTTCGTCTTTGATACTACCATTCCAATCCATTGGAATACAAGAGAGAGAATGGTTTGAGGGATGTCTGATAAGAGGGGCATTGAATTTGAGGGAAGTGTTGTCCCATTTTGTGTATAATGATTTGATTTCCGGACCACACATGGTGCATGAGGTGAATACATGTTCCCAGTTGGCTTTGGTATTGCAAATGTGGCAATTAGGGTAATCTTTTCCGAAATTTCTAAGGATTTCTGCTTTGTGTAGGTGAGCAAATAATAGTCGTTGTTGGAAGGGTTTGAGTGAATAATTGCTCCAAAAGGAGATGGCACATGGATGCCAGGTTCTATTATGGTCTAAGATTCCAAGGCCTGAGATACTCATGGTTGATCTATCGTTGTTTAGTAATTCAGTTCTATCGTTGTTTAGTAATTCAGTTATCGAGCCCTTAAAAAATGACTGACGATCATCCCTCATTAATCTACTAAAATTGCGCTCCTTGAAAAATATATTGAATACCTACAATCTACCATGAATGATCTCACTAAAGTAATTAATGATATGATTGAAAAGCAACTGCATGAACCTACTTCTAATCTTAAAATCAATGATAACCCTCCAAATGACGAGTCAGTTATGTCCACTCCAATATTCCCCCAAACACAAATACAAGCACCATCTTCTACACATACACATACACACACATCACACACACTTACACACAACAAAAAAGAACAAATTCCTATGAAGAACAAATACCAAAGCCGTAGATTCAACCAAGAAACAACAACCAATATCAACCTAAACAAGAAAAATCTCTCTTCCAAAGAACCCTAAGGTAAAAAAACCTCAACCAAAAAAAACACCAAAGACCGCAAAAATGCATTGATCAACCCGCCCAACAACTAAGAAATCTATCGACTTCAACAAAGGATTAACAATATACTGCGCAACCAACTTGTACAAAAACAAAGAGGCACTTCAATTTCTCCTCAATCACCTCAAGGCCTCCAAACTTGCGAAGGATCCATGGGTCCCCTCTGAAAGACCATTCATACTCCAAATTGTTCCGTCCTCATCAAGCTCAAGGGACGAAATCATCAAGAACCTCAATACCGCCAAAAGTCAAACAAACTTTAAATACTTTATCTCTGATATGTCTCTCCAAATCACAGAGTTCACCGCTCAACATCTTACTGGAAACGATGAAAACAATATTCTTCATATGATCTCCTGCCTATGCAATTGGCATGAGAAATCTAAAGGTTTAATAGCTATGAGAATTAGTAAACCACCAGACTCAAGCTGCTTCAAAACCACTGTTACAGTTAAGAATTTACAATCACTACAAGAAATCCTCTCTAACACCGAATGGTCTCGCCTCAAAACTTATACTCAACTAGCTGAAGATTCCCGTTTTGAAGTCTTTATCAACCTCTCTACAGATTTTGAAAAACATGAAATCGTAAACGTCGTTAAAGATATCACCACTAAAGCAGGAATTACTATTCACCCAAACTCTATCAAAATCGATGAAAAGGCATCTCCTTTTAATCCTGAAGAATCATATTATAACACCATAGTGACTCTTAAATCTGATACTGAAGTCGATCGTATCTTAGAAGTGGTCCATCCTATTGAAACCAAACATGGCAGAATCATCACAAAATCCTTCAAGTCCAAAGCGCAGTTCTTTAAAGAAAAAGCTATCTCCAAATCAAATCAATCAACAGAGAAAGAAAGCTCTAACTTCTCAATTATTACTACTCCAAATAATTATGAAGCAAGGTTTACCAGCCTTGAAAAAAGAGTCTCCAATATGGAAAGCAATATATCATATATTGCTAAGAATATGGAAACTCTAATGCACAGCGTTAAAACACTCGTCCAAGCTGGAAAGAGAAAGGACATGCATGATGAAGATATTGAATGACTTTTACTATTGCAACCCATTCTTAACTCCGACACATATTTTACAAGAAGAAAACAGGACATCATCAAGTACTGGGTAGACATTCAAGCAATTCTATCGCTCTTGATGGGTAGAGCTTTTAATCAATACTGGGAAAACGAAAGACCTGAGGCACCGAAGGGCCAATAAATATTTTTTCAATTTTTGATTCAAATTCTTGGTGTTCAATTGGCTATGGGAGAATAATCAGCACCACAAAAATGGACCGATTCCCATTTTCATTAAAAAAAGAACAAAAAAATGTCATCACGAGGAGCCAACCATTATTTCGAGGAAGGAGAACACCATCATCACGACATTGAATTACAGGAACCAACATCCACACCATCACCCAGACTGAAATCTAGTCTCAAACGAAATTCAAAATACGGACAAGTAGCATCACCTCAGGAGAAAGATAATTCCTCTCAGGACGATGGCTCGGGAACTCCTTTCAAACAACAACAACAACAACCATTCACCGATGTGGCCAATCATGAAGATTTGGATGAATTTGAAAATAATGGATCTAATATTAACAAATCATCAAATACGAACACACCAATTGATTGGCAAAAACTCAGCAATAGAGCCATCTATTTCTTGATCGGACTCACAATGGCATCACTGCTGACAGGCTTCTCTCTATATTTCATCATTACGGAAATTGTATTCACCAAAGCATTGGTTCCGAAACCTGATAATTTTCAATGTTCGGAATTTTCTGGGAAGGCATTAGAGACACATTTAAATCCAACTTTTTCACCTGGAATCGTTTATTGGAATTCGAGTTTTTTATTAAACGCACCTGGAGATTATGTGTATGCTAGATATGAAACAAGTTCAGTGACTTATTTGAATTACTTTTCGTACGTGAAGGAGTCTATTTGTGATCACTATCCAACGATGGATCCATATTGTAAGACGAATAGCCCTGAAGTTTTGAAATTTCAACTGTATTATGCTCATGGTTCCACAAGAAATCGTAAGTAGAAAGACCTAAATTGGGAAATGTTTCATTAATGTTTACTTGTTTTGACCAAAATACTATCAAAATATTATCATTTCTATTTTCTAATGCTATCAAAAATTTTTATTATTTGCAATTTTCAATCTTCGAACATTCAGATTTTGCCATGCAAATTGGTGATAAAACATCACATTTGGGATTTATCAAGTCACACAAATTCATGGTCTACGACTGTCACGACAATGAAATTGGTTCCATTAAGGAAATTCAAGAAACGACAGTGAGCACTTCGGCCGATGATTCGAACAATGATTTTGTCATCTTCTCAGCCAATGAAACTCAAGTGTTAGCTCTTGTCATTGATCGAATTGTATATCTTCCAAGGCAAAGCAATGATGAACACACCTATGTGGAGTATGTTTACAAGTCGCCACGACATGGCAACATTTACCCAGGTCAAAAGATTGCCTTCATTGAGAGACATAACATTGGAACTATGGATAAGCGATACTGGTACACGATGAAAATTTTCAAACGTGTTGAAAACCCAAATCTCTTTGTTTTATATCATTATATGGTCCCTTATTACTACACACTCTCGACGCAGGGTTAGTTTTGTTAAAACACCTATGACCTGAACAGAGGTGAGACATGAACATTTACAAAAACCTTAACATGATACATTCACCCATATTATTTGTGTCGCCCACATGATAGTGCATGGTTGAGCTCAATGACATCTTGTCATTTGGCAAACACAACCGAATGCGGCGTTTTTTTGTGATTTAAACATTTGATGCCAATGTAGATCCAATTCCTTTTCAGATCAAACTAATTCCCTTTCCTTCCCATAAACTTTGCGTTCTACTTTGTTGCCGGTGCAATTATGCTGCTTCTTTCCTTTCTGCAATGGATCATTTTTCAAGGTCAATTTGTTTTGACAAAGGCGCCCATTTCAAAAAGAATCAACTTCCGATTTGAGAAGAGAGAGGTGACGAGCTTTGTACAAACAACAACGACGAGTGAAAAAGACTTTTCCTTTCTCCTTTTGTCTACAAGAAAAAAAAACCGTAGCATTCACTTTCACTGCCAAGTGTCAATCGATTATTGAAATTTACAGCTGTCATCGTAATCGTTGCACAACAACAAGAACCATCAAATTTTACGACAAGCTCATCATGCCACAAGAGGAATCCAACAAATCAAAGGGTTCATCAACAACTCTCGGAGTGAGCACAAAACTCCAAATTGATTCCTCTGAATCCATTTCTCGTACCTCTCATGATAGTAGCTCGAATCGACATTCGACTTCATCCAATCCATCTCCAAGAGATGGCAACCATGATAGTACCTCTACGGCAAACGGCGGTGACCAGAAGAAAAAGAAGAATATATTTTCCAGAATGTTTGGAAAATCGAACAAGGAAGGTAAAGAGAATAATTCATCATCCTCTGCAACCTCTCATTCAACAACAACAACAACAACATTCGAGGAAAATGTGTCATCATCGACCGCGACGACAACATTAAATGTTTCACAACAAACAAATTCCTCGTCTCCATCAAGAGTATCATTTGCAAATATTCCAAATGAAACAGGCTCCGAGAATGCTCACAGCTCTCCAACTGCTCATCAATCAAGAAGAAGACATGGATCCTTATTTACGCCAGGTAGTAACCATTCAAGTCCTCTTGTATCGAATCGAAATCAACAATCAGTGTTATCCAACACGAGTTCTCCAAATACAACACCAGCTCGATTGGGAGAAGATTCATTGTCTCCTCCTCTTCCTCCACCTACTGTGAGAACTCCACCACAAAATCGAATGACTGTCAATTTGGGTACTGGTGGTCAGATTTTTGAGAGATTACCTGCCATGGTCAATCGACAGAGTGCAAATTTCCAAAAGTTGATGGGTGGAATGTTCGGAAAGAAGGAAACTTTAACAAAAGAAGAGGAAGAAGATAAGCTCATTCGTGAACATCATTTGAATAAGCAAGAACAAGCAGTTTTGAAAGCCATTAACTCAGAACCAACTGTGTTGATTGATAAATTTATGAAAAAAGGTTTTGATTTGAATCACTTGAAAACCCTCAACGAAGTTTTGGATATTGTTTCAAAATTGGCAGCAGCAGAAGAAGGCACAGAAAATGCAGTGACTGAGGACGACTGTAAATATACATTGTGGTTGAATGAATTTTTGGATAAAGGAGGATTGGACGCCATCAACGATTGTTTGGCTTCGTCAGCTCTCATTTCCGCTACATCCAACATTTCCGATGAAGAAAAAGAATTGAAAGAAGTTTATTGTCTCAAAGTTTTGGAAACGATTTTGAACTCTTCCGATTATGCAAGAAAGACATTGATCAAGAAAAAGGATTTGTTGAGAACAATGGTTCTCGTTCTCGATTCAAAATCATTGGATTTGAGAGCACAAATCTTACTCTTACTTTCTGTCATTATGAATTTGACCATTGAAGACATTGATGGCTATGAATTAATTATGGACGCATTCACCAATTTCAAACTCATCAAAAGAGAACCAAAAAGATTTCATTTCATTGTGGATAGCTTGAACTTTTTATCGAGCGAAGAATTGGATGTTGATGACATGTTAAACGGAACCATTGCAAGCTATGTGTTGACATGTCTTGTATTTTTCAATTCACTCATTACCGTTGCTCGAAATGAAGGTGTGAAAATTGCATTGATGCGTGAATTGAGAAAACTCGATCTGCATCTCTGTTTGAAACATATCCAATTGAAGTACGAGGTTCTTCAAGAAGAACAAGCCATTGATCCCGAAGACGATGACTCAACCATTTCCAACATTGTTCTTCAAATTCGATTATTTGATAACGTATTTCATGAAGTTTTTGAAGATGTTGACAACAAAACAGCATTTGTTTTCGAATTGGATAATGTCGACACAAGTGATGCTACCGAAATGACCAGAGCCATTTCCAGCTATTTGTCATCCACTACTGTCTGTACTCCCATCGGTGAAGATGCAATTGTCAATGCCCATGACAGTTTCATCAATATCATGAATTCTCTTTTGAGATTTACTAAATATATTGCAATTAGTCAGAGTAAGGGAGTAAGCGTTGAAGAAGTGAACAATCAATGGAAAACCATTGACATGCTATTGAAAGCAGCCATCAAAGAAGATAAAGCAAGTTTCACAACACCCAAAGAAATCGAATTGGATGGACTCGTCAAGATTCAACAACGAACCATTCTCGACTTGGAAAGCGAAATTAAAAACACAAAGAAGGAACTCTTTCAAGCTCAACAAGAAATTGAAAAACGAAACAAGGAAGAGGAGGCTAAAAAGAAGAAGGAAATGTTCAGCACCTTCATGAATAAGGTTTCTGCCATGTCAAAGGAAGAAGTTCTCAAATCAGAATTGGACAAATTGAAAGAGGAAAATACAAAACTCCAGAGTGACTTGAAAAATCTCACCACCGAGAAGGAAGAAATGGAAACTCGAATCAAGGAAATTCGTGTCATCAATCAACGTGCGTTACGAATGGAAGAATTCTTAAAGTCACGAAATTTAACACTTCCAGATGAAAATGAAAGTGTCACTAGTCATGGAGGATCCGCCGTACCTCCACCTCCAGGCATGGGTAGTAATATTCCTCCACCACCTGGAATGAATGGTGGCGTCTTAGTTCCTCCACCTCCTCCAGGATCAATTCCAATGCCACCTGGAATGAATGGTGGTGTCCCTCCACCACCTGGAATGACTGGAGGCGTGCCTCCTCCTCCACCTGGAATGAACGGTGTTCCTCCTCCACCTCCAGGATCAGTCCCTATGCCACCTGGAATGGGTGGCGGTGTTCCAATGCCACCAGGCGCATTCGGAGGAGCTGCAAAACCAGCTCTTCCAAAACTGCCAACTGTCAAACCAAAGAAAAAGACAAAGGTATTCTTCTTTGATGCAATTCCTTCCTCGAATATTCAACAAACCATTTTCATTAAGAATGGAATTGCACAAAAGACAAATGAATTAATTGCCAAGATGGATCTAGGAAATATTGAGGAAACTTTTGAAAAAGTTGAAGAAAAAGTCATTGATGCCAATGCTCCACCTGGAAGTGCAAAGAAGAAAGTTGAAGAAGTAATTTTAATTGATGGAAAACGTTCAAACAATATTTCTATTCAATTCTCTGCGCTTAGAAAGTTGGACGCTTCTGAATCTGACGAAGATAAATGCAAGAGATATAAAAAGGCAATTATTGCAATGGATGAGAAAACGGTCGACGAAAATAATATTGAAGTGTTGACTGGATGTATGCCACTCGATGAAGAAATTAAGATTGTGAAAGACTATCTCACTAAAAAGGACGAAGAACCTACTTCACCAACCGAAGACGACGGAGTTAAAAAGATTTTACCAATGGCAGAAACATTCTTTACCCATTTGCTTGACATTCCCTCTCCTTTACTTCGTTTGCAATCTTGGGAATTTAAATTGAAGCTAAATTCAAGAATTGGAATTCGTACGAAATTGGATTGTATTATTGATGGTTGCAAGGAATTGCAAGAGAGCACAAAATTGCATGATATTTTGGCCATTATTCTTACCATTGGTAACTATATTAATCAACATTCACCCAACAAGAAATTGCAAAATCTGTATGGATTCAAGATTAGTTCTCTCGAGAAAATGAGTACCATGAAGGGTAGAGATCCAAAACAAAACATGTTGCAATTCCTTGTCCAAGTTTGTGAAGATAATTTCCCAGATTTGATAAGTGTCACAGATGAGCTCAAATCCGTCGGCACTTGCACACGTTTACAATTACCTCCAATCGATCAAGATATTAAGAAATTCCAAGAGGATATCAAGCAAACAAAATCCTTCTTTGACCAAATGTGTAAACTCGATAGAGAAGGAAAGTTAGATCCTGAAGATCGTTTCATTTCAGTCATGGAAGATTCCATCTCTTCCGCACAAAGCCAAATGGAAATTATTGTACAGAAACGTCAAAAAGTTGAAGAAAACTTGAAACTTACAGCAGCATTATTCGATGAAAAAGCTCAAGATCTTCTCGAAAAACCAGATGTCTTCTTCAATCAAATTTATCAATTTTTGGACAATATGAAGAAAGCTCAAATTGAATTGAAAGCCAAACGTGAAAAGGAAGAGAAAGAACAACAAAAGAAAGCTCAAGAAGAAGCTAAAAAGAAGACTGAAAAACAATTAGGACTTGACAAGAAGAAGGAACTTTTAATGCAACGAAAGAAGGCGGCTGCCACCACAACAGCCACCAAATTGCTGACAAGAACAGTGAATCTCACTCCACAATCTCCATCCTATGACATTTCTACAAAAACGAAAAATTCACTACTTTCCACAATTTCCCTAAAATCTCCAATTCCAGAACAAGAAGAACCGTCTCACTTGTTATCAGTTCTTGAAAAACAACAAGAAGAAAAAAAGAAATCGAACAATTTCTTTGCAGGTTTAATGCAAATGTCAAAGAAAGAAGAAAAACCAATTGAAAGAAGACCAACTTTGATGAGTTTGATGGCCAAAGGTTTGACAGATGGTTCTCTCATGAAAGCAAAACAAGAAAAAAAGATGTATTAATCACCTTCGTGTAGAAAATGAAAATGTACATAAACATATGCTCTCGATTTAATGTCACAAAAGATGAGACAGAATATTACTTTTGACAAGTTCACACAAATATTTTCTTAAAAAGTCATTGGGATGACAGAGATGAATGAGAGGTACTGAGAGGTACAACTGCTCTTTCAGTGCTCTCTCATTCCCTTTCAACATTGAAAGTGCCTTATTCGACAGGGTGTCCATCCAATCATCATCCCTTTTACATCCTTTTGAAGGACAACATTTGATTTTTCTTTTCTTCAATCATACATTGAAATTCTCTTGTAGTAGCAAACCATGAGGTTCGACTATTAGGGACTTGATTCTTTTTGGTCATATTCTTCCAAAGCAGAACATTATGGCACCATTTGTGTCCTCAATAAGATAACGCTCGTAAAGTGATTCTCAACATGAACTTTGACACCTCGAGTCAGCTGTTGTTGTTCTTCCCAAACCCACCAAAATTAATTTCAATAACAAAAGAAATTGAAAAAACAAAAGCACAAGTGTCCACAAACGACCACAACAGTTCCATCTTGAAGTTCTCTTTCTAACTTCTCGAACAGTGCAGGACCTTCCCGTAAAATCAGAACAAGCTAAGAGATTCGCAGTTGTGGTCATCCTTCAACTGTCAAACTCAAAAGTTGCCGACTTGACTCTCATTTGGAAGGTGAAACCACAAGTGTTGAATTTCATTCTTCATAAAAAACGGCAACCACAAGAAGAACGATATCTACCACGACCACTGATAGATTGAGAAGAGATTTATCAAGCCGGAAGAGGCTCTTGAAAACATCATCGCAATATCTTTGACTACTGTCAACTGTCAAAAGCAGTCGACACCATCACTTGATTCTATCCTAACCATATTTCTGTATTCAATCATTCGACAACAATTCAACTCCCGTTGAAATGGGTATTCCACAATCCATCTCTCAAGAAGACGACTCTGATTGTTCCATAACACCTGCCACTTGTCGCGCTGCCGAACTTCAAGATTACAACACTCTCCGAAACCCTTCACGATTTCGATTCGGATCCAATAATTCTAACAACAATAACAACAATCAAAGAACCTCGTCTGAAAAAAAAGAAGCCATCGAACGCGTTCGAGATAAGCTCTTAAATGCCTCTTCGAAATGGCTTTCGAATCCTTCTTCTTCTTCCTTTCATTCTCCAAAGACATTTGTTCCTTCTTCTCAACCACAAGATTCACAACCTTCTCAACCATCAAATCGAAAAAAACTATTGAATGGAGTGACAACTAACACTCTTCGGAGACGTGCAGCTTCTTCTCCGGAGGAACGTGACAAAATCATTTCGACATTGGCTTTGTTTTTAAGTGTTCGAGAGAGCATGTTGAAAACGTATTTGGCTTCCGATTGGATGTCTACTGTTTCCATTATTGAACGAATGTTAGTTCCATCGGAATTTACACAATTTATTGAATTGGCAGTTCAGGAAATTGACGACCATTTTGATTTTTCCGAATATGGAGATTCGAGATCGACCGAGGACTCACCCGGAGGTCACAAACACAGTAGAAAACGACGAGGTGGAATTTTATCCTCTGTCTCTCATCATCATCATCGAAGACATCAAATTAACAAGAAGTCTGATGTCATGTCACCTGCCACATCATGTGCTCCTAATTCTTCCAAAATTGTAAATTTAAAATTAATGATAGTACCACCTCTCAAATATCACACACTCGTCGAAGCTTGTTTTCCAGTCATTGAAACATTTCTATTGGATCCTATGGAAATGACCAATTGTTCATTCGGAGTGGCACTTGTGGTCGATCATTGGTTTCTCTATTTCGAACCTGAAACGAATTTAATCATTCCGAAAAAACTCTTTTCGAGAGCAAAAGATTTTGTCGATCAGAACATTCCTACCTTTTTACGAGTTCAACAAAAAGTTAATCAAATTGAGAATTTATTGGCGGCCTGTATTTGTAAATGGAATTCTTCCATGTATTATCAAGCAGCAAAAATGGAATTCCATTCTTGTACGGAGAATTCTCAATGGAATTCTTCATCGCTTCAACCCTTCTCTTCCGATACGAGAGTCTCGTGTTCTTCTCCTACCTTATTGATACCATCGACGTCGTCTTCTTCATCATCAACCATTTCATCTCCATCTTCCTCTTCAATGAAATATTATGGAAATTCAATGGATTTTGTGGAAGACTTTTTTGTCAATTATTTGAAATATGATTACACACAAGTACCTACCTTTAATTATTTGAAATCCATGATGACCAATATTCGAGAAATGGGAAGCAGTGATTTAATATTTGATTTCGACAGTGACCTTTCTAAATTAATATACGAAACGTCCTCTAGTAATCACAATAATATGAACTCACATAGTGAGAATCGACATCATGATTCCACAATAACAACAACCACACATAACGATGAAGTCGAACGAAAGAATTCCTCCTTGACTTTTTTGGATTTTCATGATTTGGAATTATTTATGGACGATTTGTCAATTTCCATGCAAGAGCAACAAGAAGAGTTTCATCTTCAGGAACAGGAATGTGAAACTAATGCTGTTGATAATCCGTTTGTTGCTTTGGAAATTTTAAAGGCGGCGTTTGAAATTCAATATCTTGAAGAAAATGACGACCATGACGGGGAAGGTTCTGTTGATTTCTAAATAAAAACAACAATACAGACAAGGACACTTTATGAATTACAACAGTTCGGAATTCCATGATAGTTCAAAACTGATTACGATTTTTCGGAACGATCATGGTGTGGACACATCAAAAATCCTCCACCTGTCACAACAAAGAATTCCGAAAAATCGTAATCAATTTTGACTATAAAATCAAAAAATGGCTGAAAAATGCATCCAAGATCTAATCGACTACCTAAGAGGTCCTTGTAAATGGTATATTTACAGAAGTTATCGTGATTATATCGCAACAACCTTGGAACTGTATTTGAAAGATTTAGAGTTCAAGAAATCTATTGTTTCTGAAAAGTATTCTCAAGAAGATATCATTTCTCGTACAAAGAACCAATTAGAAGAAGAAAGAGTGAGAGTATTGAAAGCAGAAGAGGATTTCAACAAAGCTAAGCAAGAAATTGATCAATTACGCAAGCAAAAAGAAAAACTCCGCAGTTTTCTTTCTGTCCTTTTGAAGTTTGCCAAAGATAATCAAGACTCTTTGAATGGCTACTTGTTCCGTCATGGTATTCAGTTCGACAATTTTAGATCATTCACTCAATTTATGGAAAAGTTGACTATTGAAGCAATTGAAGAAGAAGAAGAAGAACTTGCATTATTAACCGAGCAATTGGAACAACTAAGATTTATTGAAGAAGAAGAAGGCCCCACCATTGAAGAAGAAAGACCTCACGATGAAGAAGAACGTCAAGATAGAAACCCCAGAAAGGATTGAACCTTCATAATGAGAAGGAATTAATGAGAAGGGTTAATAATAAATTGGAGCAAATGTATCAAAATTTTCAAGTGAAATTGTTTGCATGTCACTGCTAATGCCTCTCAACATACTTCCAATAGTGGTTCCAGCACTGTCAAAGAAAACAAAGTAAACATCATACAAATTCTTGTCGCTGTTAAATGCATAGGCAGCAATAGCTGTTCTTTGATCTGTTGGTGTTAAATTTTGTAATTTGAAATTATTTCCAGAAATGGAACTCACTTGCCAGAGCTTGCCAGAATTTTCTTGATATTTGAGAGGAAGTGAGACCATTGCATTGCTTGTCATTCGAACACCTATGTTTTTTTCCATTTCATTGAGTCTTACCGAGAATCGAGACAATAGTGTGCTCTATGAAATATATTATGGTCACCAAACCACACTTTTAAAACTCACGAAAAATTCCAAATACTTACAAAGGCATGTCCATTTCGTCCCAAGATGGTTGGAGTAGAAAAGCTCAACGCATTCGAAGAGCTGTCAGTGACTAATTTGCATAATTGGTTCTCAAATATCCATCGCTGTATTCATTGGTCCACAAGTAAACTCTTCGAGCCATGGATGTAGAGGCAAAGTTGACCCAACCCATAATGACCAAACCTTCATAATAGGGTGAACTTTGAGATGTTTGCAATTTAAACACATCAGAGGTTCCAACATTGGAGCCAGTGAATGTTGTGGAATCTTCTCGACTGTAAAGACCACCGAAATAAACGGATTGAGAAGTGGTGAAAGGAAGAAGAAATGCAAAGAGAATACACCAAAGAGTGAGTGGGAGGAAGGCCAAATGTTGTGACAACATGTGCAATGATGATGATAACGTGTTCCTTCCTTGTGAACTTGCAATCACGTTACGGTAGATCATGTCGTAGTTGAGATGGAATCTAATATCTAGTTAAAAAATTATCATGTTAAGGAATTCTTTTTAAAATCCTTAGAAAACACTGTTGTTCTGTTGGGAGTAAATTGTGTGTCACCACAACACAAATAAATAATTTAATGACTTTTAGAGTAAAATGGAGAAGAAGGAATTGGACATTGTGAAATCACATAGTCAATATAGACATCGTCAACAACACCATTAAATGGTCTTGGGCTAACTCTCTTAGAATCCATTTGTGTTGCATTTTGATCTGTTGTTGAATTGGATGTTTTTGGAGGAAGCGTAGGAAGAGGTTTTGGATCTCGTTTGGTTGTTGTTGTTGATTGTACAGAAACACTATTGAAGGAATTGGTTGAAGGCGATCCTCCAGAATAGGCGGATGCAACGTTGGGTTGAATAAAACTCTGAGTTCGATGATAGGTCTGATTTTGTTGAGGTAGAGGTGGTAATTGTTGTTGTTGCTGTTGTTGGATTTGTTGTTGGATTTGTTGTTGCTGTTGTGGTTGTGGTTGGGAAAAGGCATTAGGTGAAGAACTTGGATAGCTCGTCGTCGGATTCATCAAAATGTTATTTCCAAATGTTGGAATCACATGATTCTGTTGAACTTGATTCGGAGATGTATTCAATACAACACTCTGTGACCTCATAGTATTATAGGTCTGATGCGATTGTGGAACAAATCCCTGAGGAGAGCTTCCATGATGAAAGGATTGATTCATTGATGATGATTTTTGAAGTGGTGATGATGACTGAATCATTCCAGAATGAGGATTTCCAGATGAGGATGAGGATGATGAGGAATGACTCGAGTAGGTGGAACCAAAATCTAAAGGCTCCAACAAGACAGTGATGGTGCCAGCTGGTCCATTCTTGGAATCCGATAAACAATAGGTTACTATTTGTGGCCTCCTTTCAAGAGCTACTAACGGAATCACTGTAGAACCAATGGGTTTGTTTTTCGTAAAAATGTTGTAGTCCATCACTTCCAAGATCAATTGATCATGATAAATATCTTTTAATTCAACAGTAAATTCATGTTTAATTTTAGCATTTCCATCCCATACGGGGTTGAGTGTCATCATGATAGGCTCTGTTTTAAAGAGAGTTTTTCCATTCAATGTGCAAACCACTAACGGGTCGGAAGTCCCTGTCGAGTCTTTGGCTGGCAAGTTGTTGGCTTGTTTGAGAATGACTTTGAGTGATGGCATTTTTTTTGCGAATGAGAAACTGAAGTTCAGAGATTCTTCCTTTCCAAATTGGGAATAACAAGTTTAACCTCTCATCCATTTTGTTGGAATAAAGCAATAGGATACAAGCGAATATTCTATTCTGGCATTGAAAACTAAGAGAAAACGAGAGGAATTAAATAGTGTCACTCGACCTAAATTTTATCAAAAAATTACAAAATTGAGGTATTAATAATAGAACATGAAACAAAAAAAACCAAAAAAACAACAAAAAAAATATTTCTTTTCTCGGTGAACATGAAACACGAGTGTTCTCGCCATTTCTTTCGTGGCTCATTAAAGGCCTCATCAATTCTCGCAACAACATCCAGATCACTTTCTTTCTCAAGGTTTGAGCAGTAGTTTTTGTGATACACTTGGATCATCAGGTTCTAATCTCTTGCTTGGGCAGTCATTTGTGAGTCATCATCATGTATTGTCCAACGATGATCATCCGACAAGGAACACTTTGATACGCTCATTCCATACACAGTCTTCATGGATGAAGGAGAAGAGCATCGACAAGGCACATGCCAAAGTAACAACTTCTTCCGGAACGGGAGGTAACAGAAGTGGTGCTGAGCACAACCATGTTGAACAACCTACTGATGATTGGAAGTGTTGATTTTGGATGGTGATGTTGGTGGCTCATTGTCCCTTGATGATGTCAAACCTCTCTATGACGCTGGTTTTAAAGGAAACTCTTTGGATAATATCGTTCATGAGATCAAAGAAAATGGAAAATCAAAAGCCGTTGAAAGCATGAAAGAAGATTATGTCACAGTTCCTTCAAGCACTTGCAGGACTGTTGTTAATTGGGTCAATGATACATTACTGCCCAAAATTTTCACGTTATGGAATAAGGATCAAACAAAGGATGCATTATGTCAATCAAAAGTAAAAGGAGGTGCTGGACTAAAAATGGGACAAGTTCAGCCTTTGCACGATGAAGATTTTGATGGAACATCTCTCTCAAATATGATTAACTTGATAGAGAAGGCTCAACAAAGTGGGAATGAACTCTGCAAATGATATAATGAAACAAGTAATTGAAAAAGATGTTGACCCACCTACATGCACAGCGGTAGTGAATTGGATAAAGGATTACTTGATACAAAGAAACAAGATATATAATTGTTAAACTCTGAGACGATAAAACGTAAGTAATTGGATAATGTACAGAGAGTTAGAGATGCCATTCCGAATGTGTTTCTCAATACTTTTGGAAAAAATTTTACTTTTGTGGATAGAGAACAAAGTAACAAACTTATTTTCGACACTTTTGAAGAATATTCGTCACTACTTGATCAACAAGGATATGATATAGATAAAAACAATATCGTACTTCCATTCATTGCAGCAGCTCCAGGAGTTGGCAAATTAAGATTACTGAAAGAGATTGGATCGAGTTTATATCGTAAACATTTCAGAGAATGTGTTACTTGTTATCCTTTATTCGTTTCTTTTGGAAATGGTACCTTGATCACTGACATTGAAAAAGAACAACTATCTATCAACCAATCATTAATTATTAGAGCTATTTTTCATTCATATGTCATATCAATGGAAAAAAAGAAAATTTCGATCCCATTCTAAGCTCTTGGTTAACAACTTTTGAATATCAATCAATAGAACTTCCCGACCTATTGATAGCTATTGCTAATTTGTTGGGGAAGGATAATATTGATTTCTTTGTTGCTATTGATGATGCTCATTTAGTGGATACTAATCAAATTCAAAAAGAACACAATCTCTTGCGTACTCTAATGTCATATTTGGGTCATTTAATGCAACAACCACAAGGCAATTGTTTGAGATTATTTCCTTTATTTGCCGGTACATATCACCATATATTACTTTCAAACTTGCTCGGCAGTACCTATACTCCACTTTTTGTTCCAGTTACCGCATTACTATCTTCCTTAAACGTTGTTAAGATTATTGACGATTTATCAGTCACTTATGCTAAACTGAAGAATTGGAGAACCGACGTTGAGTTTAGGCATTACTTGAGACTCTTTTCTGGATTTCCAAGAGGTTTAGAATATTATCTTGAACAATATTGTAAATCTCAAACTACAGCACGGACTGCATTTGAAACTTCTTTATCCAAATTAGAACAAAATACTCATTACAACTGAATGACAAAATTCGTCATTCTTTGGCTTCAAATGTTTTAACTCGACAACATGTGCGCAAAAGCAGCTATATCGACAACTCTATGAATATCACCTTCTCAGATGCAGAAAATAAGGGCTTTATCATGTTGGATTCGGCCTATGATGATTATTTTACATGTACCTATCCACCGGTTCTGTTGAAAGAGATGATTGATGGAAAATTGGTACCGATTTTCGAAAAGATATTTTTTTCTACCGAAAAAAAAGTGTATGGATTTTCTTGGGAAGACTATGTTTATGATTATCTTTACTTATTTTTAAGTTCGATTTCAAAATGATCAGATTTGTCACTGAAAAATCTGTTTCCATATGCTACAATGTCAGAGAGAACAGCAAAACTTTCATTAGAACAAATATCAAACTGTAAACAATGTTCGGCTAAACATCAAATTCAAGGCACTATGAATGAAAAAATAGAAATGACAGATCATAATATATTGGATATAACAAAGGTTACAGATTGTGTTATCATCAAAAATGCAGCCTCTGCTGAAGCTGGGGATATTTTAATAATTGGTTTAAAATTGAAAGATTCAACTGATGATTATCTGGTTTTTCATATTCAATGCAAATGGGCCGACTCTGCAAAATCTAGTGAAACCTTTACACAAATTTTGCACGAAATAGAAAAGAATCAGAAATTGAACTTTGTTACGAAATCAAAGAAGACAAAAAATATCACAGTGATCGTGAGTGGAAAACCGATTTCAGAACTTCCTAACCACATTCCAGACAATGTCGTTCTTATATGCAAAAATAACTTTGCAAAATATTTTGGAATTTTTGCGGATAGCATGAAATTCTTTTGCAGCAAACAAATTCTTCATGTTAATGAGGTGAACGAATCAGAGTTACAAAGTTTTCCTGGAATCGGAGAAGAAATGGCAAATCATGTGATCAAATCACGACCAGGTTTTAAAAATATGGAAGATATGCGGAAAATGATACGTGCTAAGGTTCCAAATTGGGGAACTGCAACAAGACTAATCAACACTTTCAACGAAATTGAAATAGTTTTCTAGAAGTATTCGCTGTCACATTGAGAATTAAATAATAAAGCGCTGGTAGAAATGTTTCTGGTTTAATTTAAAGGATAAACTCTCGTTATACAAGCGAAAGAATAACCTTTTGTCTTTCCTCACATAATTCACTTCTCGTCGATTCATCTCTATTTTATTAAATACATCAATCATTAATGCAAGAATACATTAAGCATCATCAGATAAGGCAACACTCTTTCTCAACGTGGAGAGTTGAGAGGTAAGATAATTTTCCGACGAGGAATTTGGCGAAAGATTGGTTAATTTTCTCGGTCTGGTCAGTTCTTCGATTTCATTGTCAACTTCTTCATCGTCAACATGAGCGAAAGAACCCTCACTATCCTCTTCTTGGGTATTTTCACCAATTTCCTCGTCGTTGTCCAACATTGCTCTTGTGAGTTCATTGGAATCTGAGGAAGCAGCATCACTTTTTGCGTCATTGTCCTCCTCTTCCTCGTCCTGTTCAGTCGAAGGTTTGTTGATATTTACAAGGATTGTATGATGTATCTTGTCATGTCCTACAGATTTTTCATTGTTGAGCTGGAATTCCACGTCATCATCATCCGCGAGGAATGCACTGTCATTTAACTTGGAATTATTATTGACTGGTTCAATATAGGTAAGGGAAGTATCTCTGTTCATTTCGTCTTCTTGTCTTGCGCTTGTAATATTTTGACCACGATAAAAGTCCACTGTATCCCTTAGGCTTTGGTTATCTACTCGCAAGGTATTGACATGATGTTGTAAGAGCTCATTTTCTTCGGTCAACTTGTTCATTCTCTCTACAATGGCATTGTATTGCTCGAGCTTTTCTTTCAACAGTTCATTCTCGCCCTCAACAAAGCTGATTCTATTCTGCATTTCTTCGAGTTTCTTTACAAATATTTCCTCTCTAGCTTCAGCTTGACTTTCCTTGTTTGTTTGCTGTTCGAGTTGCTCCTTCATCGACTCTGTAATTTCTTCATATTGAGACATTTTCGTTTTGAAAGCTTGATTGAGATTAAAGAGATTCACATTCTTTTCATCGAGCTCTTTAGCAAGTCTATCAATTTGTGCTTGCTTATCTCGTTCAGCATTTTCAAAGGATCGACGTAAAGCGTTTAGATCTTCTTGTTTTTCGAATAATTGTTCTCCAAACTGGGCTAACATGATTTCCTTTTCACTCTCAAACTTTCCAAGTTTTGCTTCCATCGACGTTATTGTTGACTGAAGTTGAAGAATTTTTTGTTGTTGCAACACGTTTGTCCTTTCCAATTTTTGAATTTCCTTGTTGAATTTTTCTGCTTTGGACTCCATTAAACTATTTACATCCTCAATTTCGTCTTTGAGGCGCTTTTCTGACAAAAGGAGATTCTCCTTCTCCTTACTCAAATGCATTAAGGTTTGCTGCATGAGAGCTGTTTGTGTCTGCTGTTCATTCAAAGCTATTTGCAGAGAGTCAATTTTAGACTTGTAGAACTTTTCGCGTTGGGCAGAATTTTGGAATTGTGATGAAAGAGCCAGGTTCTTTTGTTGAAGATCGTCAAAGAGGGCAACTTGTTGCTCCAAATCAGAAATTTGCTTTTTGAAATGAGCCATAATTTGAGAGTGTCGTGCTTTCTCCTTTTCAATGTGCTTGGCCAGCTTGGTCAGTTTCTCTTCATACTTGTCCTGAGTATCTTTGAGAATGTTTCTATGATTCTCCAGTGATTTTTGTTGGTTTCGTTTTTCTTCATTCAATTCTTCTGAAAGGTTTGCGATCTGAGATTTTAGTTGATGAACTTCATCCAAATGTTGTTCGCATTCAGTCTTTTTGGATACAACAACCGTATTCAATTCTGCAATGAGTTGGTTCTTCTCCTTATTCGTTCTCTCTAAATCCTTATTGATCTTTTCGAGAGCCTCCTTCGATTCGAGTAAATTTTTTTCTTTGTGCTCACTCAACTCTAACTGGGATTGAAGTTCCTCAATTTGATTATGTAAATTTCGAGCTTCTTCTTGATATTCTCGCTCTCTCATTCGCCTTTTATCAACTTCTTGGTCAAGCTCCACTCTGGTCACGCGCAACTTTTGCTCAGCATCTCGAAGTTGCTCATTGGCAAATTGCAGCTTAGCCGAATAGGTGTTTAACGAGTCTTGTAGTTGAGCAATCTTAGAGTACATTCTCTGATTGTTTTCTCGCAAGAGTTTGACTTCATCGTCCTCTATTAAAAGAGAAGACCAAGAGGGAAGCTGATCCATCATCATCATCATGGAGGGAGTAGAGCTGAGAGTTGGCATCTCTAAGGATTGATTCATCATCTGAGGGTGCTGTTGATGAGAGTTGATCATGTTATTATTGTTTGTATGATACATGGAAGCAGATGATGCTGGTGTAAGGTTACTACCTCCCGCAGAAGGAACACTACTTCCAAACCCCGACATGGAAAAACGAACGTTTGAGGAGGATGGAACAGTGTTTTGATAATTCTGAGAGATGGAAACACCGCTCGTGTTGTTGCTGCTCATTAAACCATTGCTGCTGTGAGTACTGAGAGGTGAATTTTGCAAGCTACTCATCATGGATTTGAGGCTATGAATTCTCTCATTCAATTCCTTGGCCGTAGTGGAAGCCGAAGACATTTTTTTTTCTAGAAAAAAATTTGCCTTATTTTGCCATTCCCTACATCATGATCCAGCAAGCGGGGTCCCCATTCAGCTATAAATATGAATTGGCTGGATCATAGCAGCTCGATCTTGTCCAAGGAGATATTGTGCCATCACCAGAGGAGAGGTTGTTGTAAGTGTGTTCTTTGTTGGAGGAACTGAGAACTGGTTTGAGAACTGGTTTGAGAACTGGTTTGTGTGAATTCGAGAGAGAGAGAGAGCAACAATCAAGCCATTCAACAAGCAATTCCAACAACAATCACTCCTCTCTAGCACCCCACCGTTCCTACTCCTCTCAAAACCACAAAACCACTACTACAACAAACATATTCCATGTGTTTACACAACCCAGTATCTAAATGGCAACGAAGTAATTCACACTTGGCCAAAATAAGATCAAATCGCTTTAAACGTTCTTTCTGGAAGAAGCGGAGTGAACAATTCGAGATCCTTGTACTCTTTTGCAACGAGATATATATACATTCATGACTAGTTCTGAATCGCAACATCTCCCATACAACTTTTGGCACAATGTCATTAATGAAAGAGACATATGGAGATCCAATTCAGATGCAGCTAGGATGATGAGAATTTAGCAGTGTCAATGCACTTGTCATAGTGTCAAACCTGTCTTTATCAATGCAAATATGAACTGCCTTTTCCTCCATTTTAATTCTTTGTGTTCCATTTGTATTTTGAGAGTTCATATTCACGCATGGTCATAATTCCAAGATAACGCAACTACCAATAAAAGAAGGATTTGACCAAAGTTTCTACGCCTTTCGGCATGAGAACATGTCAAAAAACAATTCTTGTTGTTGTTGATCCAGGAGTTCATAAGAAAGACACAAACAAAATATGCCGCATTATTCGCCTTCATTCCTCTACGAGAATCCCACATTACCATTCTCATTATTGTTTCCTTTGCGTGAAGACATGTCAACTTCCCTTCTCCAAGACAACACTACCTCTCCTCCAATCCCTTCCGTGACCAACACTTCTCAATGGACAGATTCAGTGAAATATAGTTTGTCTGTTGTGTTGACAAGTGGTCCATTCTTTTTAATCTTTTGGACTCTTCTTGTTGTGTCCATTGTCGTGTACGCACTCAAACGAAGAGAAATGAAGAGAAATCAACACATCTTGTTCATATTGACCATTATTTTGGCATCGCATGTGACTGCCAATTTAACATTTAGAATGATTTCTGAATTGGGTAATTTTGCATCCATAGGCATCAACAAACCCTTTAACCTCTATTATTCCATTATAGGTATCATTCAGAGAGTAATTATCAATTATTGGGTTTGGCATCAACTCTTGATGATGGCCTTCCTTTGCAATGTCTTGTAAGTACGACCTAACGCGTTATTTTCTTTTGTACGCTAATATCAGAAATTCATGAACACGATTTACGTACAATTCTCAACAACAGTGTCACGACATGCAGAGAAACAGGTGTCATCTCTCAGAATGAATTCAAACGAATGAGAATGATTCTCGTTTCTACCTTGATCGGTGCAAGTATTTTCTTTGTCATGATCATCATTGCCGTTGTGGTGATGGGTGCTTTGGTGAGTGCCGAAATCATTCATGATGCAACATCAGTTCTCACTCAACAAGTTTCCATTTACTTGGTTGCTACCGTTGTGTTTTTAGTGTTCACTCTCACTTTTTCCATCATGCTTAATGTCACAGGCTACAAATTGAATATTTCCTTGCAAGAGAGTGTGAAAAAGTTGAAAGCTAAGAGGAAGCAAGATCTTTGGGGACTGAGTCCTCCTGAATCTTCTTCATCATCACAGAATGAAACAAGATCAAGTTCTGTCCATTCAAAATCTCAATCGGGAGGAGCTGTGAGTTTTCTTATAGTAGGCACAAACAAGAGAGAACGAGAACATACTCTCGAATTGAAACAAATGGCTCTTCGAAAAACTCGAATTGTGCAGGCAGGTCTCTCTATTGCCTTGATATCGCAAATCATTGGATTTATATTCATTCCATTGATCGTTGCTTGGCAATTTAATACTCTCTTTTTTCACGCCTTCACCAATGTTGGTCTCGCTGTTTTCATTTCATTAATGATCACCATTAACACACCCATGCAAGAGGTTCAACGAATGTTTCGAAGAAATTCACAAATTAGTGTGGAATCGAATGATGGCAATGGTCGTCATGCTGGAGAGTCCTCAAAAAGTGCTGTCATGAAGACATGTTCAACTCCTAGTTCTTCTGTCACCATGATGATAGGAAAGGACATGAATGAAGACAATGACAAGACCAATGATCCTGCTCAATCACAAACACACCACCATCTCTCAACCTCTACGTTCAGTACTAAGAATACACTTTCTTCAGGTAGTATGAGTCATCATGAAATGAAGGATGTTCAATCGCCCTCTTCAACAGAAATGATGGATGTTTCTTTGGATAGTGAAATAGTATCAAGTAGTAGTACCACTCTACATCAGGTTTAGAACATGTTCTACAAAGCGTGAATAAAAATTAATCTTGAAACTAGCTGATCTAGATGTGTGCAGAGTCTCATCGATAGAGAAGAGAATCGACATTCTTGTTTCTTCTTCTCTCACACACAACACATATGACAATTTTAACAATCTTTCATTCATAAAAATCAAAATTCATTTTCATCATATTAATTTTCGGTCAATTTGAATAATAATAATTATTATTTTCATAATATTAATTTTCGGTCAATTTGAATACCAATCATGAGCCGATCCTTCATAATTAATCACATGACGATATCCAAATTCTTCTTTCAATATTTGTTGAACCATTTGACTTCTGACTCCATGTTCACAATACACAATAATACAATCATTTGGTTGTGGCTTGGAAAATCTAAATTCCATTTCAAAGTCCTCATCATCGGCTTCAAACGCACTATATATTAAATTAATTGGAATATGTTTTGCTGTTGGAAGAAGTGGATGATGACCTCTCACTTCTTGATGACTCCTAACATCGAGTAAAAGATAACTTGCAGTTGATGAATGGTGATCACACTGTTGTTGATCTTCATTCCGAGTTGAGGATGTAGTTGTGATTAATTGTTGCAATTCCTGTTTTGAGATTTTTCCACTTTGTAGGATTGAATGATTGAGTGGAAAAGTTGAGAGTGATGATTTTTGAGTGGAATGATCATCATTCGAATGATTACCATTATTAGAAGGGAAAGTGGAGGAAGTTGTAGTTGACATGTTCTTGATCGAGTTATTGTTGTTATAATGCTTCAATGAGAATACCCAATACACGCTATTGCTTGTGTGGTGCTTGGTAATAGATTCCGGTGTGGTAGTACTGAAGGATGTTATGGAAAATCTTCGAAACAATGATTTTTTGGAATTCAAAGACAGACCTCTTCTAAATTTTTTCATTTTTCATCTATCAGAAAGCTGCCCGCATATGGCCGAGTGGTTTTTCTGGAACTGTGGCAGCCAACTGGTCCAGCGTTCGAATCCCAGGGGTTGCTGCTGTTATCGTGAGCAGTTTAAACACCTTTACTTCCGGGGTGCCTGCTAGGAAGTCACTACGTATCTTACGTTCGGCTTGTAAATAATGTACATAAAACCATCGAACAACGTTTATCATCGAATAAACCCATCCCTGAATTTTTCATCTATCAGAAATTCGAACCTCGATGGACAACAGCTAAACGATTTCAGAAAATTCTGTTGAGGAAGCTCTAGATTTTCCTCTTCACATTATAATGAAATCGACAGTATCTGTCTCCAATTAATTCCATAGCTTAATCAATATATGCTAAATAGTTGTAAAAAGTTATACAGCGAACGGGAATCGAACCCATGACCTTCAGCGTGTAAAGCTGACGATCTAACCGACTGATCTACCGCTGCTTACGATTTTATTGACGATGAATCATTAATGTTGAACAACAAAACCCTTTGTGTTGCTACAAGGTTTATTTGAAATCCTCATTCTTGTTCATTCCACTGCTACTCGTATTTTGCATTCCTATTGGTCCGTGAGGAATATCGGAACCAGCATGCTCTCCACTCATGCTTCCTAATCCATGTTGCGACGCAAATGAATGCTCGACCAATCCTCCACTCACATCTCCACTCATACTTGGAGCCCGACTCACTGTTTCTTCTTCCATCTTCTTCATTTCTTGTGTTTTCTCTCCTTGTTCATTGGTGACTGTTCCAGCTGATAGGGTGCTTGATAGGACATCTTTGATTCTCTCCATTTTGATATGCAGGACAGTGATTACCATTCAAATATATATTTCTCTTGTTTTAATTGAAAATTACTAAACAGTTACAATCTTGTGCAGTTGTTAGGAAGGATTGCACTAATTTTATACAAAGATTGAAAAATTAACTTGAAGCCGATTGAATATGAGGATGATCATTGAAAGAGTAAATGACCATATTCATACATTGGTTTCAATTAGGAAATTCGACAAAGTGTGTTCATGTTTTTCACACAAACTCCATAAAAAACAATTCAAACCCAACATTTTAAAAGTCATTCCTTGCAAACTGTACCGTAGCACTCATACACTCGTGTTTCTTTCGATCGGTCAAAAGAGTCCTCTCCTCTCTCGTCTCCCAATCAATTTCACTCTCGTCACAGCTCAAAGAAGGTCCTTCAAAAAGAGGCGAAAGATTCTCTCAAGTCTCCGAATCAACCATCCATAACGGAGCCTCCTCTTACTCGTTCGGGCTTTTTCCTCTTGAAGCGCGTGGGATTCTCTAATAAAAAAACTCATCTTCCTCCTCCATCATCACAATCATGCAAAACTTGAATTCAACCATCAGCAGCAACAGCACCACCACCAACCTTACCTCTTCGTCTTCCTCCTCCTCTTCGATCCATCCTGCGGATAATCATAGTGATGATGAAAATACTGTCTTTGAACTTTTTCATATTGCCACGGTTTGCAAAAATGTCATTCAAGATGGCGAACGTTTGATTGTGAGAGAGAATCGACAGAAACCTCTCACTCCCGAACAACATGCTCATCTCGTACAGACGTGTGTCATGTCCATGTGGAATGGTCCTCAACATGTTCCATGTCTTTCAAAATTGAATTTATATCAACGAAAATCTGAATTGGAATTAATGAATGAGAGAGGAGAAGAGAATCGGGAGGTTTTTCATGCTCGTTCAAGTAGAGCTTCCATGAACAAATCGAATTGGCAATTGAACCCGGAATTTATTCATTCACCTTCAACGAGAGAATTCATCTTTCAAGAAATTGAAAGCTGTCACAAGTCAAGTGATGAATTTAATGAGAAATTTAAAGAATATCATGAATTAGTGAATAATGACTGGATGATGAATGGAACCTTTGCTAAAACATTTCCAAAAGTCGTGGAAAATTTGAGCCAAGTCGACAATTATGATTCAAAAACTCTTTCTTCAATGACTTTTCATCTTCGTGACAAATTCCTTTCTAAATTCAAATCCTCTTCTTCTTCATTAAGTTCTTCAAAGAAACAACAATTGGATGATCTCTCAAAACACTATTACCCACAAGAGAGACAAGAATTAGAAGAATGCATTCAAAGACATGTGTTGTCGTCCACAACATCAAATAATACTTCATTATCCAACACAAACACTTCAACACATAGTACTGACACTTTCACTTCCTTTCATTATCCAAACTTTTTAGAAGATTGCAAATTGCCAATCAATCGATTCTATTTCAAAACTTCGACGCAATATTGTAAAAAACATTTCATGAATTGTGTAGAGAAATCGGGTGAGACTCTGAATCGGTTGTCCATTTTACAATCGATGGATTGTGCATCGAGTCATCACTCGTCTGAAGAAATTCAATGTAAGAATGAATTTTTGCAATATTTTGGAGAATTGATTCAGGAAAATGTTGATTTAGTTCGAAGAGGTTCTGGAGAGACCACAACAACTCATGTTCCAGGTGTGGGAAATGTGATTGAGTAAACATATATGTTCATCAATCATATTAATCATAATAATCATAATAATCATAATATATCATCGAATGAATGTAAATGCATGAATTTGTATGAATTAAATATTTTTGTAAAGTCTTTCATCGAAGGCGCCTTTTTTTGCACACCACAAAAAAATGCCTCCACGCGGATCATCATCACAGCGAAACACAGAGTCCGAAGAAGAAGACGAACGACGAGGTATTGTAAGGCCGAGTGGAGTGCCAAAGGCTATTTCAAAATCAAGAAGAATGGCTGAAGCAGCCGCTGCATCTTCCTCCTCTCAACCCTCTCAACAGCAGACACAGTTGAGGCTTACGAGTTCGGGTGGATTGGCAAGGCCAAGAGGTGGTCGGGAAGAACCATCAACCTCCCGAGGTTCTGAAACAGATGATGAAGCCTCGGATAGAGAAGAGGAGCATCGTGCAACTGGAAGAGTACCACCTACTCAACCTCCACAGCGATCTACTGCATCTTCATCGGGAAGAGCTGGTGCATCGAGGAGTGCAGCTGGAGCATCATCATCAGCAGCCACTACGACAACAACAACCACTAGAAGAAGGCCACCGACAAATAGGCCTCGATCTAGACCTGGTGAGAAGGCTCTTTTGGAAATTCGTCGATTTCAAAAAACAACTCACTATCTAATTCCGAGATTATCTTTTGCTCGTCTTGTGAAGGAAATTTCAGAAATGGTAGCTGTCAATAGTCGCTTGAGATGGCAAGCTCATGCCATTGAAGCTTTACAATCTGCTGCTGAAGATTATTTGATTCATCTTTTTGAAGATTCGTAAGTAATCGAATCTTGATATCACTATTATTTTAGTGACTAATATTACGACAATATTTTTCGATCTTTTAAATTAATTATGACATCTCATTGTTCAACATACATGTAAATATTGGAAACAGTAATCTTTGTGCAGCCCACGGAAAGCGAGTGACTATTATGGTGAAAGATATTCAGCTCACAAGAAGAATTCGTGGTGTTGCACGAGAAGCTGTATATCATTGAATGCAACTCATAATTTCATGTAATACTATTCTCTTGATCTAATTTAACTGTGCTGGAAAACTTATCGCTGCTAGGTACTTTTTAATTTATTTACACTGTGAACACATCCATTGCTACAATGTTCGCCTTAATGTTGGAGAGAAAATGTTGTTTTGAACAAATATTTTAGCATCATACAAACAATAGACCTCACTTGAATGAATTAATAATTATTATTTTAATGAGATTTCAAGAAATGCCAGATTCAACTAATTACTTTTGTTGATTAAAATCTTGCTTCAATTTTGAAAGATAGTCCTCTGGTCTCTGTTGGTTTCTGTTTTGTCTGTGTTTTTCTCTGGCACTCTTAAAGATTGCAGAAGGATTAAAGTCATCTGAGGCCAAATTCACATTATCTGAGGTCGCTGGTGAAATTGTTGAATTGTCTCTTGTTTGTGAAGAAGGCGGTGATGAAACTGGGGCAGTGCTCATATTTGAGGGGGTTCCTGATGAGGAGGAGCCTAGCACTCGGCCACTACCACCGAAATATTTCTGATCGATCTGTGGTTGTTGCTGTTGTGGTTGTCTCTTCTCGTGATGAGGTCTGGGTGGTCTGTCTTGTTTTTGCTTTTGTTGGAATTGAGCGACTTGCTGATCAACGTTATTAACCTCCTTCAAAATCTTAAAGTTATTACCTCCTTGGTTGCCCTTCTTGTTGTTATTGCTGTTGCTAGCTGATGCTCCACCTTGTTTGTTGAAGGGTTGCTTTGTCTTTTGCTGGTTTTGACCCTTTTCAAAGTTGCCATTGCTACCTGTTGGTGTGTTTGAGCTCAATTTTGGCATGTCATAATTGTAGTTGGAGGTGGTGAAGTAGTGTTGTTTGGTATATTCCATCTTGGGCTTTGAATCAAATGAACGTTGCTTGTTACCTTCATCCCAAATTTTCACATACTTCTTATGATCCAAGTTTGCAAGAGTTTTCAAGCTCACAATTCCTCCTCTGCTTGTTTGCAAACGAGATCCAAAGGTTGACCCTCCAACAAACTCCTCATCAAAGATCACTTGTCCATTGTCTCCATCAATACCGACAAGGATACCCTTGGTTCCAAATGGAGCAGATCCTGAGCCACTCATGTGCAATACTCGATTTCCCAATGCAAAATCTGCAACATAGAACAGGTTTGGACAAGGATCTTCTGGCTTGTGAACAAGCAATGGATCAATAATTATGGATTGAGCCACATTAGATGGTTGCTTCTGCTTACTGAATTCAATGGCTGCCTGTTCAATTTCTCTCATGACAGAGACTGGTAGAACATCCTTTTCAATGTCAATAAATGGTAAACTATGATATTCTTGATCTGCAATCCACTTGATAATTTCTGACACCTTTTCTTGGTAGTACTTGTCTCTTTCACTGTCTTTCAAAGTGTTACTGCAAGGGAAAAAGTTTTCACATGTGAAAGGAATATCCATGCCAAGCTTTTCTACGAAATCAGGGAATTGTTGAGCAAAGTTGCCAATAAGAGTGAGTGCCTTATCAGAGAGTTCCCAATCTCCAAATGTTCCACTCACAGAGAATTTGCTTGACGAAGGCTTACTAAATAGATTGGCTCCCGTTTCAAAATTGAGGAAGTAACCCTCATCGAGATTTTGTTCATTGAAGTCACACTTGCAATAACCAACAACTCTCTTGGTTGACTTCTTTGATCTTAATGAAAGACCAAGATTGTGAGTAAGTTTACCATTTGGAAGTTCAAGACGAACTGAGCCAACAATCAATCCGAGAGCTTTCTTTGAGATTTGCAACTTTTTGGCTGCCACATGGAATGGATAGTATTGCTCAGAGGCAAACTTTTCAATACTCTCCTTTGGATACACTGGTCTTGATTCTGTGTCAGTGTATGCATCAGAGATGGTCAATTTGAGCTGGTTCTTTTCATAGCCTGCTACTTTGGCAAGAGATCCATAATTTTGCTCTCCCAAAATCAGCACAGTGCTTGAGATTGGATACTCCTTCTCGATAGCTTGAGGACCAACCTCCAAAAACTTTTGATCCAAAGTAGGATGGTATTCCTCATGTGACATCAGTAAGGATGCAGGATAGGAAAACTCATCTCTATGGAATGACTTTTTGATTCCATACTTATCTTTCTTCATTCCTCTGAATAATTTAATAAATACCAAAACCTTCACATTTCCAACGTCGAGTCCATATCTTCTTAAAAGCACGTTTTTGTGGTAGGAGTATTCTTTTCTGAATTGATCGATTTCTCTCTCGTCATGAGGTTCTCCCTCACCCTTTTCATCATAATAACTTGCTCTCTCATCGGAAATACTCGACAAAATACCAATTCTTGGATATGGATAACCAACGTATACTCTCTTTCCAATTAAATTTCTCAAGCGTTGAGCGACTCTAATGGATTCCTGAACCAAGAAATCCTCATCCATGGTTTGCTCTTTGGAATATTGTGGAGTCAAATTAATGACTAAGCTGGGCTTTCTACTTGGTTGACCAAAAAGTACAATACCAACATCTCTCTCCTCAACTTTTGTCTTCTTACATTCAGGCACTGGGAATCCTTCCAAATTGTGCTTTCCCATTTTTACTCCCTTGCACAATTGAGGAAGGAATTTTTCATACTTGGGTAACTCAATAACTTGTTCTTTCACGTGAGAGTTGATGACACTTGGTAACTCATCGATAATGGTAGTTTCACAAGTCACGCTAACAGATGGGTCATAAGTGAACAATAAATTATTTCCAAAAGTATTTCTCTTTTTCTCAGCATCAGTCAAAAGCGACTCGTCAATCGTCTTTACAGCCTCTAGTAATCTTTGTTCGTCAATAAATGGAAGTAGAGAAACTCCTTCATAGTCATATCTTGTACCCTCGCGGTCAATGATAAATTCTTGTGGATAAAAGTCAAAAATAGGTGAACTCTTGAGATACAACTTTCGGAAGGGCTCAGGAAGGATTTTAGCGCTGCCTTCAGGAAGCACACCCAATAACTGTTCGAATGGACGGAATGGAATACCTGGGTCAGAAAATGTAATTTCACTCGCATACTTGCTAATTTCCACCAAATCAGTTGCAATTGGAGCATAATGGAATGGATAGAACCATCTCCAAGAAACCAATTGGTTATAATAGTATTTGAAGACCCATATCAGTCCTTCAACATACGAGCGTACCACTCTTGACACCGCTTCCTTATTGTCATAATCAATGTTCATCTTTGTGGCATAGTAAGCTTTGTGCCACATGGAGAAATCAAATTCTCCCTCATTCACTGATTTCAACAAAAGATCGTTCACTTCTTCAACTTCGATAGGAGCTTCATCATCCTCATCTTCAAGAGGTTCATCAATACCGTAAGTGCCAGATGTTGGTGCATTAAAGTCCATCAAATTTGATACTCCAACAACGAGACCCATATCTTGTTCAACTTCATCGCCATCAGTAGCAAAGAGTTCTTCTTGTTGTTTGAGTTTAGTCTTTAAGGAATTTGGCGAGAATTCATTTTCAAATGAATCAATGACAGCGCTGGCACTACTTGTCACTGTATTCATAGAATCGACAATAACAGGTTGTGGTTCAGCAGGTGTTGCTTCTGTGCTCGAGTCGCTTACTTGTGGAATTTCAGGGGCCATTAGGGAGTTGATACCAATAAAACCTTCAGAATCCATGGTAACCAATTTGGTTCTTCTTTTTCTTGCCTTTCTGTTTTCCCTCATTCGATTGAGAAATCGTTGTTGCATCATGGATGCTTCTTGCTCAGCGAGAGATTTCACAAATTGTTCAACACGATCCAAATGAACCTCTCCTAGCTCAGTTAAATATCCAGTTAATTTTGGTAAAACTTTTTTGTAAATCTCAATCATGATATTGATACTTCCTTCTTTGATATCGAGAGTTGGCATGTGAGGAAGGAAATCGTTACCCGTGAAAAAGATGAAAAATACAAAGTCATCTACTATACGTTCCAAGTCATATGGGAACGGTAAGTTTTGACCAGTTAGGGCTTCCCTAAATTCAAAGTCTAAATATTGTCGTAATGCATACAAATGCAACAAGTGGAATTTTTCAGCGAAGGGCTTATTCTTTTCCTTTGAATCTTTCTGTCTGTATTGTTCGAATACATCCTCACGAAGAAGCATAAAGTGAGGTTCGTGAGTGACGAGACCTAGACAAATTAAATCAGCATCCAAACCATACAAACAGTGTCTTTCGTTGGGCAAATAATCATCTTGCATTTTTCTTCCTCTAATAAAGTTCATAATTTTGTGTTCACCTTCACCTGGCACTTCATGACCAGATAATATTACTTTACACTTTTGCCATCTAATATCTGTCTTCATCTTGCTGTGAACCATGTATTTCAAATGTTCACTCAATTTAGCCATGAACTCAGTACCAGGAGTGATACAGTTGGAGTCAAACACATCATCCTTCGGAGCCACAACTTCACCCTTCTGCTCCAACTTTTTACGTAACTGTTGTTCATCGTGTACTTTTCTGAAACGTCTCGATCGTTGTTGATTCATTTTGGCTCTAGGTGCCACTCCATCCAATGCTAAGAAGAAATACTTGGAAGGTTTAATCAGCTGAAAAAGTTGGTCAATATAACGGAAAATCTTGAGTATCATTTCTTTCTCGGTGAGTTGGGATTTAATCTCATCATCCTTGTGAGTACAATTGTGGATGATTCCGTTCATGTCAAGATAGAGATTATCTAACGTGATGATAAAGGAGGGTGATGATGAAAATCGAGTTGTTGTAGTATTCAAAGCAAGATTAATTATTAATACGAAGATAATGTTGCGTATTGAATGTTTTCGAAAAGATTATTAACATGATGGTTATTGATTTGATAATATTATAATTGTTGTACGTACCAACTGTTGGAATAGTAGCCTCGGTTAACGAGGTAACAATGCATGGATATCTCTCGGATAGCCATTTGAATAGTCTTGGAACTCCCATATCGGATTCAACTAGATGTTGTGGTGGTGATCAAAAAGGAATAATACAAAAGGTAGATTGATGATACAACACAATATTACTCTAGGTAAAATCGATGATGATTTTAAGAGCTTTCTCTTAATAAATAGTGAATATAACAAATAAAATTGCTCTATATGAATATCCAAAAAGAATTGAACTTTTCGAATTCGCTCACAATATTAAACAACTTTTGCAAGCCAACCAGCTTATCACTAGACGATGAATTTTTTTTTAAAAAATCAAATTTGAACAAAAATATCCTTTGAGGGTGATGATGCTGGATGATGGTCAATCACTCAAGTTGGGAATTGTGAAGCTTGGGATGAAGGTTCAACTTGTAAAATGCATCGAATGTGTTTGATGATATCTATTTTCTGCAAATGACGCCCAGTTGATCGGAATTGTCAATTCTACATTTACAGAATCATGATATTATTCGACAAACCTAATGCACCTTCTAACGGTTTTAACTTTTTGATTTTAGCCATTGGCCATTCCAATATCTTTGTTGATTGAAACAATAACCACATCAACGTCTACGAATAACTCTCTCCCAAAACATTGGAAACACAGAATTATTGTGAACAAACACTATTCCGCAGCCGAAAGCACTGAGAATCATATTTTTCCACAAGAGTAATACACATCGACAGAAACACCATGATTGGAAATCAACAAAGCAATCCCAACCCGAATGATCACCTCCATCAAGATTTAATTTTTGAAGAAGAAGACACTACAACAACACATCATCGTGAAAAAGCAACGACATTTCATCCTCTCAACAACAAGACCATACTTTCTCATCATCAACTTCCAAAACTCTCTCTATTCCCTTCTTTCTCCCGTAAAAATTCCATCTTCACTTCCAATAGCTATTACTCAACTAAAGGCAGTAGTACCGTCACCTCTCATACAGACAAAGCAAATACTATTTGGTGGTGTTGCTCCGAATGCCCAAATGGAGTCAGGATTGTTCATTGCTTGTTACTCGTTTTTATTGTTCAAGGAATTTTAGGCTTATTAACCAGTGTCTTGTTGCTGTATACAAGTGGAAATCAGACACTGTCACGTGTATCTGAAAATCAAGCCTTTCAAACCCAGCTCTTTGTGCAGCTTCATATTTCAACAATTATCGATACCTCTGAGAGCGTGTTGCAACAAGTATACTTGGAGTTGGACTCTGGTTTGGATATTTACAATTTCACCTCATGGATCTTACTTTTCAAGTATATTCGGGGTTTGTACATTCGCACTACTCCCTTAAACATGCTACAAATAGGTACTTTTAACGATTATTATGTGGGGACAAATGAAGTCAATCAAACCTTTTCTGTTCTGGAGTTTCACAATAACACAGACATATTGTATCGATATAGAAATGATGAGAATGATTTGCGTAAAGATCCTCTTTCTGATTCCAATCTACTGAATGCTTCCTATTTTCCGTATAAACCGACAGACAGACCTTGGTATAAAACTTTCAGAGAAAATGTGAGAGGTAGCATTTCACCTCGTTGGTCAGATATCTTTTACTCAGTGCATGGTAAACAGAGTATTAACTTGGTAAGTAGCCATGATGTTTCAATAATATTCCTATTGAACTTACTTTTTGATGAACCATTTGTGGTGGAAAAAGGCCTTTCCAATTTACATACAAGCAAACACTACTGCAGTGAAATTAGGACTCTCTCAAATTACTAGTCCTAACAATTCCATGCTATGTCGCGATAAATCATGTTATACCCCTGACCATTTGTATGGAGCAGTTGGAATCTTGTTTTCACTTAAACAATTAGGAAATTTTTTGAACACAACCTTGCTAAACTATCCCAACCTTAATTATTGTTTCATAATGGATCGAAGTGGCAAAATCATTGCCTCTAGCAAGGGTAACACTACCAATAACAGTACACAACAAGCAACACGTGTGAACGAGGAAATACGGTCATATTCACAACATATTCTGCATAATAATGTGAGCAACACAAAAGCCGAGACTTTCTTCCTGAACGGAAAGAATGTATTTGTTTCCACAATTACGGACAAGTATAACCTCATGTGGAGAGTAGTGATCGTGTATAATCAGTCAGATTTTGTGAAAGAGTTATTCGCAAGTGGAATTACATCTCTCGTGGTGTATATCATTATTATGGTCGGTGGTACCTTGGTTTTGTTCATTCTTGTTCAGGCAATGAATACTCCACTCAGAAATGTAAAGAAAAAACTTGACAAACTTGTCAAGTTGAAAAATATGAATGAGTCAGAAGAGGAAAAACATAGCATATTTTCTGACATTTCATCACTCGAACAAAGCATTTCTGCTCTCCGTCGAGGTATCAACACGTTTAGCAAATATGTGCATCAAAATTTCATGAAGCGTGTGCTTAGTGGTCAATACTTTGCAGAAATTGGAATGGACGTACAGAACATGACCATTCTCTGTTCGGACCTTGTGAGCTTCACAGAACTAGCCGAGTCTACTGATAGTGAAATATTGCTCTCTGTCATGACCGAGTACTTTTCTGCAATGACAACAACCTTGGAACATCATCATGGATTTATTGAAAAATATGTTGGAGATGGAATTCGGGCATTGTGGAGTAGCAATACACACAATGGATTGCTAACGAGAGTGGAAGAGCATGAAATTAGAGCTTGCAGAGCCGTGATAGAAATGTTAGAGGTTTTCCATGATCTTAACAATGCATGGCAAGAGAAAGGTTATCCAAAATTGGACATGCGTGTTGGAATTAATAGTGGTGAAGTGTATTGTGGCTCGATGGGTTGTTTAAGCCGATTGAGTTTTGGAGGTAGGTATTACATTCTTTAGTTCGTGACACATTCATGACTCTGCAATTGACATTTGTATCAATTGAACATTGAATGGTATAATCTATTGTCATTTTTGACATCCCCAAATTTGGTTGGTGATTCAATTTCATGTCCCGCAGTGATTGGCGTCAATGTAAACATTGCTTCCAAGTTGGAGCGATTGAATCGAGAATATTCCACCACAGTACTGATTGGAGAAAGCACTTACAATCATGTGAAAGAACACTTTGTCTGCAATTATGTCGATACTATAGGAATTAGTGGCAAACGTATTGCATTCTTTAGCTTGGAAGGGAGTATTAAGGACGCCACCGATTTACAAATCAAAATTTCGCGTGACTTTCTACTCGTTCAACACTACGCGAAGGAAGGGGATTACACCTCTGTCATTCGAATTTGTCAAAACATTCTCAGTTTGCAAGATTCTCCTGTTGCCACAATCATGCTCTCCAAAGCAAAAGCAAAACTATTCAAGCCCAAAACTGAATAACAGAACTCGTTTCTTACTGTTGTTTCGCTCGTCCGGTTGTTTTGATTGTTCCCATTTCCAGATTGAAAAAAAAAATGTCAGAGGATTCACCTCGAGATGTGTTCTACAACTTGGCTCAATTCATGTCTGGTTTTTCTCATGCAGCCAACATGAGCAGAATGCGAGGAAATTCAAATAATCGAATGTTGATGGATGATGATGATTTTTTCATTCCCGATCATCTCATTGATCAAGACAGCACCACTAACAATGGTCGGCAACGAAGAATTATTTTCATGAATTCTGGTTCTTCATTATTGGAGAGTTTAGCTCTTCAAAATAATGCCATCACGATAAATCCGAGAAATGAATCGTTTGCTCTCAATAATGCTAAACAACTTCCGAGAGCTCAGAATTTGGCGTATGATGAAGAACCAACCAAATTTGTGGATAATCCCTATGCTAAAGATAAACTCGTCGATGCAAAAATTCTAGAGTTGAGGAGATTTGTCTAAAATATATATAATAATGATCATCATGATGATGGAATGAGCAACACCACTAACACCACCACCACCACCACCACGAACACATGATCTCGAATGGACTATTTCACTAACCACAACACCAATTAATTTATTATTATTGCCATTGCTGCTATTATTAACGTTATTCTTGTTGATGAGATGACCTCATGATGACCTGGCACAAGTTCACGCCACGTGCAATATGTTCAAACAAAAAGCAACAAAATATCAAGATTAAAAAAATGATTTCACCATCCTTTCGATCATCCTCTTCCTTTCATGATCGTGCGGTAGATCGGATTGATCATCACGACAGCTCACAAGAGGAGCATGATGATCAAATGGAAGAGAAATACACCCCATTCATTGTTGATAACAAACATATTACATCAGTTCCGGAAGAAATTTTGATTGAAATATTTCAATACTCGGGATCAAGTCCTTTTCAAATCGTACGAATTTCTCATGTCTGTAAAAACTGGGAAGAAATCGTAAATACACAATACAGAGTGTGGCAGTTTGTACCACTCACCATTTCGGAGAAGAAAATTCCAACGGGTAAAGCTGAAGAAATTGGACACCTCTTGTTGAAATACTTTGATCGATTTAGTCCTGTCTATGTCTACACTAGAAAATATGCTCACATCTACAAGGAGTTTGATATTCAATATGAAAGATATGTCAAACAGAAGGTATTTTTCAATCAGATCAAAGAGAGTGAGGCCGCGACCATGTTAAAAGTCTACAAGAAGCCAATCATTGTCTGCAAGAATCAATTTATTGAATTTGTGAAACATGTGAGAAGCGAAAAAGAATATGCCAAACGCCTTCGAAACATGAGAGAATATCTCGATGGATTGGCACCAAAGTTTGAACATTATTCTCTTTATTCATTATTGATGATGGCTGGAATTATTACAGTTGATGCCAATGTTTCTATTGGATTGTTAGGACGCATTCCACCTGAACAAAGAACTCTTGACACTGGTTTGTGGTGGTTACCTTATTCCATCGTGCCCATACATGTATTATCTGGAATGGTATTCATCATTATTTGCACATTGTTTGTGAATGAAGTGTTCAAATTTAAGAGCCGATCTGAAACTGGAATCATGCTCATTTTCTTTGCCATTTGGGGCTTACTGGTTTGGGTTTTTACAGGATTCAAGTATCACATGTATGAGTTGGCTGGATACAAACTGACACATTGGCAATCAAAACTCTTCTCCACTTCAATAGGGGTACATTTAATTCCATTCTTTGCCATTTTTGGTTTCATAACAGCACTATGTTATGCTGATTTGTTTCACGGAAAAATTTCACTCAAGAAAACGTTTCCCTTCATTTCCAAGACATTTAATTGGCGAGATCTCGATGTTCACAAAGTTGTGGCCATGGTTTGTTCAGTTTTGAGTATCATTTCATTGTTGGGATATTCCTGTGAGAATCGTTTTGGGCCTTTTTGGAGTTTTCTTCCAATGATTGTTTCTGGATTTGGAGCTACCCTTCACATTACCTCAGACATTGCAAAGAATAGCTTTTTAGACATGGAAGGCTTATTACGTATGTAGTAATTTGAGTTAATTGTGGAATTCTATGATCAAGATATGTTGTGATGTTCTATCACTGAATACATTTTAATGTGGATTGTGAAAATATTTGAATAGTTGGATTTTTGCCAGCTGCTGGCGCTTTTGGAGTTGCTTGTTTATCATTGGAAAAGTATTCATTCTACTCATTGGCTCCTCTCACTCTTGCCATGGGATCAATTATTGGATATCAAGTTTATAAGCATGGAAAGAGATTGTTGACAGGGTGGTAGCATACAGTATTTTGTATCAATAAATTTAACGAAAAACCAAACACTCCCTTAGACAAGTGACACATCTAAAAAGGCAACCCCTTGTGGAATTATCAAAAAGAAATACAAACACTCCTCTATGCATTCATCCGTTACGATCGTTCTCGATCACTGGCAAGAGCACCATCATTCTTTTCCAGACACCACTCTCCTTCATTGGCTTCGACAAAAACTTTCTTCATCCTCACGTCCTTGCATTCCTTTCAAATGTCATTTCACACTGAAGGGATCGCTTGGTTCGGAATGTTCTTTTGCAACAAACCAAACACATCATCATTTAATGGAGCGTTGCGAAAGCCCTCAAAGTGATTGCTTTTCATTTCCGAGAGACGTGAAAATTTCGTATCGTCACTCATTGGTCCTTGTGAGCGATTACGGACATTTACGAATTCAAATGTTCGACTTGGAGACTCGAAAATATGTGAATTGCATTCCACTGTCGCATCATCCACAATGTCTTGAGCTTGATTCTAATGATTTGGATTCTGTGGTGATCACATTAAGTTATAGCCATGTTTGTAAATTTCGAATGTTGGATCGAAATGAGATTTCATTAAGATGGCAAATTGGAGTTTCGAATGAATCGAATCATGCCAACGAAATTATTGATGATGAAATTCATCAAGACAATCCTGCCGAGTCCACAAATGGAAACACTCTTTTCTATTATCCTATGGGAGTAACAGTTCTTCCAAAACGAAATAACTTTGAACCCAGTGATATTTACGTTTGTGACAGTGGACACCATCGAATTCAAATCATCAACTCTCTGGATGGATCATTCATTCGAAGCATTTCCATGACATGTGAGTTTTCTCCACTCCACCATGGCATGAATATTCATTCATCGATTCATGAACCTTGGTCCATTGCTATTTTGCAAAACAATTTCGCATCATCATCATTGAATGGAGAACCTCAACTCATCATTTCTGAATATTGGAGTTCAAACCTCAAGATTCTTTCTCGGAAACTCATTCCACACAATGGCCACATGGGAAGAGTCGTGGAGCGTTGGGAAGTGAAAGGTCGAATGTCCATACTCTTGGAAGAAGAATCGTCATGGACCTCAATGAATCCATGGACTCGCCATGAAAGGACTCACCAAACCTCTCAGCAGCAAGTGCAATCGCAATCGCAATCTCAACAACAACAACAACACCCTGATTATTTTGTCTGTCCCATGGGTCTCTGTGTGGATCGTGCCTCAGGGAACATTATTGTGAGTGACTCGATGAATCATCGTCTGTTGGTGTTTAATTCTTCAAAGGGTGAGTGGATGAAAAGTTTTGGATCGTTTGGGTTAAATCCTTGTAAAAGTAGTAGTACTCGTAGTGGTGGTATCAATGGTGAGAAAATGTATGCTCCATTTGGAATGTGTGTGAATGAATGGACGGGTGAACTGTTTGTTGTAGATGAAAATAATCATCGAGTGTTAATCTTTGAATAAGGAATTTTGTACATGAATAAGAAGAAGGATCTTGAATATGCTCATGTAATAAGAAACTTTTCAACCTTAATCTTCATGGTTGGAAAATTGTTGTTCTCCCAATAATTAATGCAAGAAGGTATAATGATGAAGGAAGCAAGAACTCCTTCAATTCCATTCAAAAACACCTTAATAGCATGGTGGTGGTCTTGTGAATATCATCATGCTCTTAAAGTTTCATTCACTCTTCGTGAAATGTATATTTTATTTTAAATTAAAATAATTATTAAAAAAAATGGCCACAAGTCGAAATATTTATCTCTACAAGACCATCAACAATCCAGAATTACTCTCACAGGGATTTATTGCTCCTCCTCCTTCTCAGAATCAACAAACATTGCAATCGGATTTGGGAATTGATTTGAAAAATGATCATGAAATGATTGCCTATGTATTTAGTAATCATTCATCGGGAACCACATCATCATTTATGGAATATATTAGTGATGTAGCTTTTGATCAATTGGTAGAACAAGTACAAACACAAAATGAAGCTTATGGATTTTCATTGGATCCAAATTCGTTAATTCCATTGTTGCGAGAATCATCAAGTCTTGTTCGTGTGATTGAAGGAAAAGATCCAACTCCGAATCGAATTTTGGATGAACCTATTGATTTGAAACGAGATACTAACGCAAGAGAAGCCTTCACTTTACAAGAAGGCACATTTCTTTTTCCTCCAATATCGCAACCATTGCTTTTACCAAAACAAGCACCTCAACCACCAACACAAACTCCTCCACAACAAGCCATGCCATCTCCAAATCAACCACTCAATGGGTCAATGGTGAATGTTGGTACTCGAGATGCATTCTCAACTCAGAATCAACAACAACTAATGAGAGGTGCAGACATGTCCTCAGCCACACCACCCACAATGCCATCATCATTTAAAACAATCATCAAACAAGAACCAATTTCAGACAATATTGTCACTCCTTCCACACCATCAGTGGACATTGAGAAAAATATTATTAGGATACCGAACCAACAAGCAAGCGTATCGACACCCATGTCAAGTTCTACGGTGCAGACACCACTTTCAATGGAAAGCTCAATGGATCAATACTCTGCTACAGAAGAAGATGCTGAAAATAGGAAGAAGCGAAAGAAAGAAAAGAAGGAAAAGAAAGAAAAAAAAGAAAAGAAGGATAAAAGCGAAAAAGGTGAAAAAGAAGAAAAGAAAAAAAAGAAAAAGGAAAAGAAAGACAAGGATAAGAAGGAGAAAAAGAAGAGGAAGAAGGATGAAGGTGACAAGTCAGCAAGCAGTAGTGGAACCATCATCACAATACCAATTAATCCTCAATTCCAACATCAATGATGAGAAGTTATTATTGGAATGAATTTTAAATTTTTTAATTTATTTCGAAATACCTTTCCCATATGCATTTGAATGGAATTTATCAAAAATATATTTTTTGAAATTTATAAGCCATTAATTCCTTACATGACATGAAACGACAATTAAGCCATCCTTATTTGGATTAATTTTTTTATTGCCACTAACCCAGCAAAAAAAATGAACTCATCAACACAGCTCGGGAAACTGGCTTTTGATTTGTTTGCCAAAGTTTTAGAATGCAATCGGTCAAACGGAAATAACGATCTGGAAATCAAACATCATAATGATGAAATCTATGAAGATGACGAATTTTTATTGTTGTTTAATATTCACCAAATTAAAACGAAAATTCTTTTCCGAAGCCAAAGTGTTCATCTACTGCTGGATCTACTATTTAAACATCTTTTAATGGAAATTGAACAACAAGATGATCAAAATTTACCATGTTCTGACCAGGAACAAAAGATTCAACAATTGCTGGATCAATTGATGGAAATTTCTTGGACTCAGCTTCATACAGGTCATTGGTCCGATGTGTGTCCAGAATGGAGAAGCCTATTTGGACTGATCAGTTTATTACATGTTGCATTTAATATTTACAAAAGATCAGAGCATATTTTGAATGGTAACAAAGAATTGGACCCTCAATTCATGAAACAATTGTTGAAAAAGTGTGATGAAGGCCTAATGATGGGAGATGACACCTATCGCCAATATATTCATAATTTTGCAGACTCAATTCATGATTTTTTGATTGAAAAACTGGGAATTCCTCCTTTAACATGTGGAAATGATAAAAACAAAGATGATGAGATGGAAAATGAAGAGAACACTTCTTCCAAAAAAAGAAAAAAAGAAAACTATCACAAGATTTAAGGTCTCAAGTAATTTTCTCATCTCCACCCAAACCTATACAGGTGGTAGATGCCATTAGTGTGATGGAATTTAAAGCAAAATATTTTGACAAGCAACTGCCTTGTATCATCAAGAATGCCGCAACAGAATGGACTGCCTATAAAAATTGGAGAAACATTGACCATCTGTTACAGAAAGCAGCGTATCGGGTGGTTCCTGTTGAAGTTGGTGAATTTTATACCTCTGAAGATTGGTCACAACGCTTAATGCCATTTCATGAATATGTGAAAACCTATGTCTTGCAGATGGATCAAGAAGAATCCGCCAACACTGTCAACAATAGAAATATTGGATATCTTGCACAACATCCGCTCTTTGAACAAATTAATGTATTGAGGAAAGATATTCAAGAACCCATCTATTGCATGTTGGGTGAAAATGGTGAAGTCACGTCAGTCAATGCATGGTTTGGCCCATGCAACACAATTTCACCGCTCCATACAGATCCCTATGACAACATACTGGTACAAGTATGCGGTCACAAGTACGTTCGAATTTATCATCCTGATACAACTCCAAACCTTTACAAACGCAAAACTGGACTCCTGCAATCGAATACAAGCGAAATTGAAAATCTATTCGTGTTGCGTGGGCAAGAGGAGGAAAGAAAGCGATTGATGGAAATGTACCCATTGTTGTCTGAGGCTGAAAATCACTGTTGGGAATGTATATTAAGTGAAGGTGACATGCTATTCATACCTAAACTCTATTGGCACTACATTCAATCGTTGTCCATAAGTTTTTCAATAAGTTACTGGTTTATGTGAGTTTAGGAGGGTCACCCACGAACTGGTAGAACAGGTTGCAACACTCACTTTTTAAAACATGGACAGTTTTCAAAGTTTTGAGAAATTACAATTCATCCTCCATTCCAAATGCTTCGTCGTCATTCAAATCTTCCATGTCTCTCTCTGCCGAAGAGCGTCCTGTTTGCAGCAAATCAATATCAATGGTACCTGTTTTGGGATCAAATGCTGCCTTAAAAATAGATTCTCGAACGAGTCGAAGAGCTTCCTCAACATCTTCTCGTTGCACTGTTGGTTTTAACTTCATTCTTGCCAAACTTTCCGACAAACGTATTAAAGATTCCAATTGTCGAGTTGTGGCTGTGATATTCTTTTTGTGAGAGCCAAATTTTCGAAGTCCTAAATATCCCTCAATGAGATATGGTTTCACTTCATCAATAATGACAGGATGTACCTTATTCCTGGCATAGGCAATATATTTTGCTAAAAGATCTTTTGGAATAATATTTGTGGAATAATCGGTGGGCACGTCAAAGTGAAGAGAAATAATGTGCTTGGCAAGTTTTTCATCCTGATCTCTGTCAGGTACGTCATGCAAAAGGAAAATTAAATCGAAACGAGAGAGAAGGGTTGGTGGAAGTTGAATATTCTCCACAATGGAGAGATTGGAGTTATATCTTGACTCTTTAGGGTTAGCAGCTGCCAATATTGAAGTTCTTGCATTGAGAGTACAAATAATACCAGCCTTTGCAACTGAAACTGTACATTGTTCCATAACTTCGTGCAAAACTGATCGAGTTTGGTCTGACATTTTGTCAAACTCATCAATGCAACAAACACCAAGATCAGACAACACCAAAGCACCGCTCTCTAGGACCATGTCGCCAGAATCTGGATCTTTGGTGACGTATGCAGTCAAACCGACAGCTGAACTTCCTTTACCTGATGTATAAATTCCTCTCGGAGCAATTTTGTGAACTTGAATTAAGAGTTGAGACTTGCTCACACCTGGGTCACCACACAACAAAATATGAATTTCTCCTCTTAATTGGCCATTCGGTATCTTTTTGTTCGTACCTCCAAAGAGAAGGCATAGAATACCCTTCTTGACACTCGACAATTCAAAAACTCCAGGTGCAATGGAATTTTGCAATTTCTGGTAAATATTTGGGTCCCGTGCGAGTTCTTTGATTTCCATCTCTTCCTGAGGAGAAATATTCATCACTTTTGCTAATTGTTCCTCCTCATCAGCTTCTTCAAGAGATGCCGAGTTGTTACTTGTTGTTGATGCTAATTCTCCATTCATGATACTAATTCCAAGCTTTTCAAATCCCAAAACGTCCAAATAGGTCTTGAAAATATTCTTGACTTTGCGCTGTTTCGAGCTGATACGGATTGGAATGGCTCTATAAATGGCTGTCACTTTAACTCTGTCACCCGGTTTGACACTATCTGTTAACGAGTCAAAAACACACAAATTCACTGTATGTGGTGTTTCACCCTCAGGAATGCTCTCTGGTGTTTCTTGAATTTTGATGACTTGTTTGTCATAAAATTGGCAACGGTTGTGAATGAGTATCCAAGATGAGCCCGAACAAGTATCACTCGTACACTTGGGTGGCTCTTTCACTCGTCCTTGAGTGAGTGGTACATACTTGGAGGCACTACATCCCGAACATTTAAAGTAGGCTCCTCTCATGTCGGGAATAATTTCACTCAGTCTAGTGACCATTCCTTGAATTCCAACAAGTCGATCAATATCGGTCGGATTGAGTGCTCTCATAGGTTTAAATGTATCAAGATTTACAGTTATTGTAATTGTACAGTCTTCTCCCTGACTCTTGTGCCATTCTTCACTCATCACTACATCAAAAATTGAAATGACTGTCTCGGGATATTGAACCAAAACATGATACAACTTTTCATCGTGCTGTTTCAAAAGAGCAGCATCTAATTTAAATGTATTCGTCAGAGAAATAGTTTGTTTCAGCTGTTCCGATCCCAACACACACTCTTGCAAAAACTTGGAAAATGAAGTCTTGATTCCGGATGGATCCACAAGGGAAGGCACCGAAGGAGCCACTTGTCCACTTCCACCCAGAGAGCTACGTCCGTATTGAGCCAATCCTCCAATGCTACCTCTACCACTGCCACCTCTGCTACGTTGGTCCTCTTCTTCTTCCAGGTCGTGGTTAAATAAAGGTCGTTCCGAACGGATGTTTGCTTCTTCGTTGTCAGAGAGTGAAATCATTTTTTTATTTTTTCAAATTCACATTTAAATTTTGGCGGTTTTTTTTGACCGCCATTGATGTTCAAATGAATTAATTTAATTTCGTTTTGAGGGCCAAATCTGTTGACACAATTTTGGACCTTCCCATCCACCACCAATAACTCAAAGAAAGGAAATAAAAAAGCATCATGATGTGTGCGAGTGTGATATTTACCTCACCTCCTGCCATTTCCATTCGTTTCGAGAAGATGGTTGAACCTGGCACAATGCGTGAAAGGAAATTGGTGAAGGATAGTGTCGACTCTGCTCTCAAAACACAACGAAGCAAAATTAACATGACTGAACATCTCAATATTTCACATCGTCGTGTGAAGATCCAATCTTCTCCTTCATACACCAATGCGAGAGAAGCTAATGATAAATAGATGAATGCAAATTGAGCAAAATGCAACAAGTGATGCTCGTAGTTCTCAAAGAATCCAGCAGCACCACTTTTGACCATTGGTGAAAAGTCTGTTTCCAAATGGAACACACTCAACACAAACAATATCAAGAAATGAAGAGTTGCCAATGTTGTTTTCCAAGCTCCAATCGATGGATTATACATTTCATTACGAGAAGGAGGTTGCAAAACTTGTGGACATTCATACATGCTTTGTGTGAATGGATTCCAACCTGGACCTCGAAATACTACTTGTAATCGATTCCACCAAATAAACCAAAATGGTTTTCCCTTAAATACTTCGTGAGAAGAGGAAGAGGAAATTTCTTTCATGGTTTGCCATATGCAAACAAAATGATGAATTTGAGAATGAATGGGATTGAAAGTTGTGAGAGGAGTTGTTAAACCATAAACCACATTGGAATAATCGCCTCGAATTGGATCTGGTGTTTCCATTTCTTGCTCTGCTTCGAATGTTCCATACCATCGATCGAATACAATGAAAATTCCTCCATAATTCTTATCGAGACAGTACTCATTACGTCCGTGATGAACTCTGTGATGGGAGGGAGTATTAAAGAAATATTCAATGAAAGAGGGGAATTTTCGAATAGCTCTCGTGTGAAACCAAAATTGGGCAAGAGTATTAATATTGGAATGAACAGCAAATAAATAAGGGTGAACACCACAGAGAGCTAACGGAAGGAAAAATGGAAATCCAATGACTTCTTGAATAAATCCTTGTCTGAGAGCCGACGTGAGATTGTATTCTTCAGACTGTGATGTGAGAAGTGAATGAGAGAAATATTTGATAACGAGGGACGTCCATTGCTACTTACGCTGTGATGAGTGTTGTGTGAAGCCCAACCAATATTCCACTATGTCACATGTTTGGGTGATCGATCATCATTTGAATTATTCATAAATGATGAATAATTATTTTAATAATATTAGTGATCGTAATAATTATCCAAAAAATTATTTTAATAATATTAATTAATAATTAATAATAATATTAACGATAGTAAGAACGTGTAAATGAGCATTGGTAAAGTTGGAGAATACATACCTCATGTAAATAACGATGAGCCCAATAATATTGATGATCTTTAAAAATCAACACAAACCACCAATACCAAGAAGTGAGTCCCAATTGTTCCACACCATCCTGTAAAGCACTGCTTCCACCTCCATAAATAATATGATACACAAATGTATAAGGCAAGACATGAAAATAATAAGTAGTAAATAATTTTCCAGTAATTTGTTGAGTAATTCCACACGCCAAACTCGAGAAGGTATCATTGAAACGATACAATTTTCGATTCCAAATCACAAAATGACAGATCAATTCCAACAAAATGCAAGAAGCAAAATAGGGCAACATGATGTTAACATCCAGCTCTGCAAGTACATATTTCACAGCAAGAGACTGCTGTTATTCATGATGGTGCGAAGAACATAGTGGTTGATGATGAGTGACAAAAAACCCCAAAAAGTTGGTGGTTCATAAAAGATCCAAATCAAAGTCAATTTTTGGACCATACAATGGTTTGTTCCAAATGAGATCAGAGATCAAATTCCAAAAAGTAGCAATTTGAATGATTGATTTCAAACAGATTGTTATCGTTGAATCATAATTTCCGTACGTAGATTTATCATGTAATTGTGATCACATCATACAACTTCGCTCTCAACGTACCTCATCATTTTGCAACATAAAACCCGACAACGTTGATGTGGTTTCTGTTTGATTCATCATCATTCTCGTTGATGATAACTTGTCGAATTGTTCCTTCAAATAGTGCTCATCTCTGAATGGCAACCATTCATAGACGGGCCAAGTAATGCTTGAAGCCATTTTTTTGTAAACCTTATTGTTTTCATCATGGGTTGAATTCGATCGTCCTAGTTGGTGATCGGGCACTTGCGGAGATGCGGACCGACGAGCCGAACAGAAAATGAGACAATCCTTTGTGGAACACCTACCAATGAACAACAGAAAATGGAATGAAATTGCAGCTCATTTTTTGAAGTGTCTTATTCAAAGAATTTTGGAAACCAAAATGTGAACGAAAAATTTTTGGGTGCTTCATCGTTGCATGCTTTGGTGAGTGTGCTGTGATTTGAAATGATGATACTTTATTGGTCCGTGTTGTTGATCGGTTTTTCTACCATGAAAACAACCCTCTGTGTTCAAGACAGATGTCTGATTAGAAAACATGTGAGCTTTGCTATTATAGTACACACACGTGTGCGATCAGGCACAGATAGATGATTTCCAAAAAGAAACGTGTGGGTTGCAGGCGAAGACGATTTCTCATGCATGCCGAATACGAATTTTGGTATTTCCAAGACCAAGCACCTTAATCCTCCTCGACTGATTTTGATTTGGACTTTTTCTTGGATTTACTCGAAGATCCCTTCTTGTCACTCTTGTGGACATCTCGATGTTGTTTCAAACATTCTTTCAATGCTGGGACTACACAACAGAAATGTATTAAGCATGCTGAATAAACATCATGTCAAACATACCATAATTTTCAAATCCTAATTTTTCGAGTGCATTTAGAATATCCTCTCCTCCCACTGTTTTTCTCTTCTCCTCCACACATAAATCCGAAGCTTCTCCAGTTACAAAACAAATAAATTCTGTGACACATTCTTGCATGCATTCTTTGGCTTCTTTTGAAATTTTGGCACTCCTGTTAAACATTTCAACAGTTTTTTTCATGATTCTCTCAATATTAGCATATGGAAGAAGACGATCCTGTTCCTTAAATTCAAAGGGTGGGGCAGTGTCGAGTGGATGAACTCCATCATCGTCATCATCTCCACCACCAACTCCAGGTGTGTGGTTACCAATTGCCTCGTCATCTTCCGATGTTGTTTGTGCATTGGAATTGTGTGCAATGGTTGTTGTTATTGTGGTGGTATTGTCGGCGTAGGAAGATGCTGATGTCGCCATCCTTGGATGATCATTTGCTGTTGATGACGATGCAGGTGATAATTCTCGGGTGTCTTCGTGAATTTGAGTAGCAGCTGTCAATAGCATGAGGCTATTATGATGTGGGGATGATGGTGGAAGAGAGGAATGATGATGTGATTGGGAGACAACTTCGGAGAGTGATGATGAATTTGCTTCAATGGTTGAATTGGTTCCAATGTTCTCGTCGTTATTATTGTTGCTCCCATTATCGGAAGTGAAATTATTCGTGTTTAAAACTGCTGTAGAATGATGATCCTGGTGGTGATGATGATGACTGGAAGAGGTTGGCTCTAAATCTTCATACATGAAATGAGCATGTTCTTCATGATGATGCGCATGATGATGATGATTGGATGGATGTGAGAGATCAAGAATCGATTCTTCATGATGCTCTTGTTGCTGGTGAATAATATGATTTTGATGATCGTTCATTGTTGTTGCATACGTTTCATTATGATTGTTGTGTTCCATATCGTTTCCGAAATTCAATCAAACTTAATTTAAAATGTTGGCAATTTTTTTTGTAAACTATTATTGGTTACACTTATACAATTATTCCTCTTTCTTCTTTAATAATAATCTTTGATTTATTACACCTCACAATCGTTCATATTCTCTTCTCTTTCGATGTTTGAAATATCGATAGGCAACAGACAAGGAAATGGCAAGAACAGAGAACAAGAAACCAGATCCCACGATAATTATTACAATGGCCCAACTAGGTCAGTTTCAATTCCATAAATCGTTTCAAAATAAAACCCAATGTTGATTAATGATATTAAAAGAAATGAATGGTACAAAATTTAAACGAGTTGTAAACAATGTTAAATACATTAAGAATTTTCAAATTATTAAGAAATTGAAAAGAATGAATAAATTAATTATTTGTTAATTAATACAAATTACACAAAAAGTCAACTCACCTTGGAAGAGGTCCTTCCCTATCCAAATATCCCTGAAATAAATAATAATTTGTTGTTTCGTCTCCTTCCTGGCACATGCCTCTGCCTAACACTGCAATATATCCCGTTGAATTTGGTTGTAAATAATCCAAGCTAATCGGAACTGTAGGTGATGTTGTCATTGCATCATAATACGTGATATTTGGAATTGCATTCAATTTGAAGAATATGGAAATAGCCTGAACATCCTTGGATTGATCATTCATTTTGGTAAATCGGAAAGAGAGGTAAAATTTCTGAACTCGAACATCTGCTGGAATATCAAAAGAATAATAGTCCCATTCTCCACAATCCACAGTTCCATCTGCATAAATATTCTTATTATTTAATTCTTTAACATCAATAATAGCATCGGAGGAAGAGACAGCATTTGCAACGACCAAAAATTGATTCAGTATTATGAGTGAAAGAAACAGCTCGGAAATGAGTATTATAGCGAAGAAGGATGAGAAATTATTTCGGTATTGTTGGAACGTTGTTGTTGTGTGGAAGCCAATTGAAAATGACCGCCGCCCAACTTGAATCATTTTTTTTGGAGGAGTACTTGGGTACATAAATCCCTAAATGGTCAATCACGAACAAGAAATGAAACCCTTAAATGAAGGTTAGGCGAAAAGAATGGTTGGATTGGCAAAGATTTGTTGATGCATCAATACGGTATCGACGTGAAGGAACTGTCCCTATATAGTAAGTATTTAAACAATTTTAAGGATTTTAGAACGACTTGGTGCAATAAGTACACAATGAAATTATGGAAGCCCTTTATAACGGTATAATTAATGAATGAATTCTTCGAAGATTATGTGATCTTGGAAGAGCTCTATTTGGCTCTGATGGTACTGGAAAATCTTCCTTGCTGTTTTTCATTTCTAATTACTGCCACAAAAAAGGATGGATTGTCTTGTATTGGCCATTTGGTTCCAACTCAATATCAGGAAAACATGTTGCACTTCCAGAAAAGACAATACTAACTACATGCTCAATGGTAGCACCAGTGGAAATTATCAAATCCAAGAACTTCTCAATGCACTCTATTCAGAGTGAATCAAGAGTGTTGGTTGCTATCGATCAATGGAATTTTTAACAAACTTGAGATCTAAAACGGACACCGTATTGCTGGACTATTTCAAAACGTTTCAGACCAGTGGTGATTTAACCAATGGCATCTTTATCGGTGCCTCGTCTTGTCAATCATTTTGTTCGTTGCCTCTTGATGTTTTTCCCGATGCTTCCAAACATTCGATGGGAATGATCATCTCTCCATACACTCCCGACGAATTTAAGGAGCACATAGATTTGACAATTCATAGCAAAATCATATCAAAACCTCCCTCACTTGAACAGGTTGCTGATTATCGATTTAAAACTGGTGGAATTCCGGGATTGCTTTAATGGATGCTACTATCACATAAAAAATTCAAGACTAATGTGAATGACTATTCCGTACATTCAGAGAATGAAGAAACCTATTGAAAGATGCAACTTGTTACACTCTCAAAATCATTCAGAAGGAATAAGCTTGTCCTTTCAAGATATTGTCGTCAGTGTATTTGAACAAAAAGATCATTTGTTCTGAGGCCTCCATCACATCAAACCATGGCTAGAGTCAGGTCTCCAAAACTAGTGAAGAAAATTTCTGAAGAAGAGGATACTGATCTTGATACCTTTGATGCACCTTGTTCAATAGCCAGAAGCGTCATTTATTCATGTTTGTCAAGTGTTCAGGACTCAACTCCTTAATACATTTTCTTATCTTGATGGCAAGATTTGTAACATTGAAAGATAAAAAAAAGTATCGCAACACCGCCCACAAAGAGGAATCTATCAAATCCAAAATATAAGTCCAGGAACACTGATGAGTTGTCACGACGATCACCAGCTAATAGATTTCTATGCATATAATATGGATGGTACACATTTTTCTAAAAGGTTTCTCACATGTCCTATGATCAACATTGCTCAAAAGACAAACGAAATTTGAGACTTTTGTGGGAAGATATTGTAAGGAAAAAACAAAGAAACCCACAAGCAAGTGAAACATGTGAAGAAGAAACTCCACCTCATTCTGTGAAAATGAAAATGGAGAACAAGGAAGTTAGAGTGCGTAACTACTACCGTTTGTGTTCTGGATAAACTGAAAACTTCACTGAAAAGGAAAGGAAAGTATATCTCACAAAGTCAGATGTTAAACCGGCCCAGCTAAACAAACACATTTTAATTTGTAACTTTGAACAAAACGCAACTAGATTTGGAATTTCGCCAGACCTTATTAGAAATGCAAAGAGTGACGATGATGAATCATCTGTTTGCATGGAATCCAGTGTATCTTGTGATGACGATGAACATTTCAGCAGCAACAAGAAACCAAAACAATAGTTTGCAGATTTGAGAGAAACATGAATATTAGAGTTGACAAAAGGCCCAACTAAGTCAATTTCAATTCCATCAATTGTTTCAAAATAATGATTGATTGATGAGAGATTAAAAGAAACAAGGAAGAGACTCCTCATTAATCTCGAACAAAGATGAAAACTCTAAAGTGATGGTTGTGAGGGAACTGGTTGGATTGGAAAAGAGTTGTCGTACAAAAATTGCCCATAGCTCATTATTACAGAAATTTGCAATTAATTTATCAAAATTGAACAGTCTAAACGATCAATAATAGGTCGATCTACAGTTATTAATTTTGCAAATGTTGTGACATTTGTTGTTGAATGTACTGTACAACAAGGGTATTCATTATAAATATTTCAAAATTCACGAATTACACAACATGGTTCATGTCCTTCAATGCACTTGCTTCATGGCTCTTGAGAAGAAAGGAGCCAATAAAACACCAGCCGTACACAAAATGGCGATCGAGCCGGTCACAATAGCCGTTGTTCTGAAACTCATCTTGACTCCATCATACTTGTTGTATCGAGCCACTGTATCTTCAGGTCTATCACTCACATAACACGTGACTGTAGCATTCTGTTTGTAATTGTAATAGGTACTCTCTTCCGTGAATGCTAAAGTCGTTCGGAGTGGCTGAAACGTGGAAACATTAGCAAACAAGGTTCCTGGTTTTACAGAGACAATGGCGGTACAACATTCCACTTTCCCTCCGGCACACTCAGGAGTGAGAGAACAATCATGATGAGGCTCAACAACCACACAGGACATGGTATTGAGCATTTCATTGGGATCATAATAGGCTGCAGTCAAAATTCCGAACAGGATGGCTAGGAATGAAAAGATGACACAAGAGCAAATGAGGAGGATGAATGTCCACACTTGTTGAATTCTTCCTTCTTCCGCCATTGTTGATGATGTTCGTAATGATGATGATGATGTCTATATTGCTATCAGGAGAGAAAAAACTATGAGGTTGTTCTGTTCACTGTATTAATGAGGCTGTTGGGTGATGGTTGTGTCAACAACAACAATGAGAGAGACAAAAATTTGGCGTTGATTCTTTGGTTCGCTTATTTTTTTTGGGTCATGAGAACAAAAACGGGATTTACTACGACGACCACTTTTCTTTATTCAATGAAGAATTGAATGGTTGCTGGAAATCATGAAATATATACTCTTCTTGTGGAGAAGTAAATTGTGCGTGATCAACCATATCATGGTTCTGCAAGAATTTTAAATTTCAACAGTTTCCTTAAGTAAGGGCTTCTTCTTTTGAAATTCTTTTTGTTCAACAATTTGGCATGGCTTTGCTAAAAAGATTTTCGCCGATAGGAACAACTAGTTCGTAGATTGAGAAGAGACGGCAATGGTCAGATTTCGTTTTCTTCTCCGATTAATTTTTACGACTGCCACAGTGATGAGAACGAGGGACATCAATGATACAACAAAGGCTGTACAGAGACCCACCGCCCAATATTCCTCGACCAGCATGGTGCTACCTTTCTACAATATGAAACAAAGCGATGTGTGGGATAAAGTACAATTTTTTTTTTAAAAGAATATTTGGCGGGCTGACGATAGTTTCCTCCATTTCAAAATCTCACCACCTGAAATGTGTCTTTTGGAATTTGAAAGAAAATATAATTGTTTCATCTATTTTCTCTCTTCTTCATCTTGTGCTTGTTTGAAATTTACCAGAGAGCGCACTCTGACATTATCTTCAATCCATAAAAGCAACATGGCTTACAGAGACTCAAAATTAATCTCCACAAAAAAAATTCAAAAAATGTCCGAGTCAACAAACAACAACAACGCATCACCACCAGCCAACAACAACGCTTCCGATAAAAGCAATGAAGCAGGTAAACGTAAACAACAAACCAAATACAAGGGAGGTAATACCATTGATGTGGAACCTATTGCTGGAACGCGCGATTTTCTTCCGAACGAGATGAGAGAAAGGGAATGGCTCTTCTCTAAATTCCACGAAACAAGTAAGCTCTTTGGTTTTGAACCCTATGATGCTCCAATACTCGAAATGGAGGATCTCTACAAGAGAAAGGGAGGAGAAGAAATTGTTCAACAAATGTACAACTTTAAAGAAAAGAGTGATTTGAATGTGGCTTTGCGTCCCGAAATGACTCCATCATTGGCCAGACTCATTTTGAAGAATAGAAAGATTTTGACTTTGCCACTCAAGTGGTACAGTATTCCGCAATGTTGGAGATATGAGACAACAACTCGTGGAAGAAAGAGAGAGCACTACCAATGGAATTGTGATATCTGGGGCGTTCCTGAAGTTACAGCTGAATGTGAATTGTTTTCTGCCATCATCCATTTGTTTAAACTAGTGGGACTCACCAGTGAAAAAGTCACTCTCAGATTCAGCTCTCGTAAAATCATTGAAGATTTACTCAAGGTTGAATTTGGACTTCAGTTGAGTGAAGATAAATTCAAGGAAACTTGCATCATTGTTGACAAGATGGATAAGATGGAAGCTGAGGATGTAAAGAAGATTCTCATCGAGAAGGTCCCTGAAATTTCCGAAGAAGTGGCTCTCAAATTGATCAAATTAATGAACTTTAAGAAATTGAATCCAAACAAGGATTACTCTGGATCAAAGGCTTTGATTGCTTTCAAGGAAATGTTGACTAATGAGGAGTTCAAGAATGGCCCAGTGTTTAAAGAAATTGAAGAAATTTTCACATTAATTGGAAAGAATGGATATGACATTGAAGACTGGATTGAATTTGACCCAAGTATTGTGCGTGGTCTTTCATATTATACTGGAGTTGTGTTTGAGGCCTTTGCCACCATCGAAGGTCTTTCACGTGCCATTTGTGGAGGAGGTAGATATGACAAGATTTTGGGCACTTATGGATCCAAAGAGCAAATTCCAGCTTGTGGATTTGGTTTTGGTGACTGTGTTATTCTCGAAATTTTGCGTGAGCTTAACTTGATTCCATCTTACATCACTTCTCAAAAAGTCGATGACTTTGTCATTCCATTCGACACATCATTCAGACCAACCGCTGCCAAGATTGTCACCTATTTGAGACAAAAGGGAAGAACTGCCGATATTTATATGAAGAATCCAAAGAAGGTGGGAGCATCATTTGAGTATGCTGATAAAATTGGTGCTACGAGAGCAATCTTTGTTGCTCCAAGCGAGTGGAACGATGGCGAGAAGGTTAGAGTTAAAATGTTGAGAGAGAAGGAAGATAGCTCAACTAAGGAAGTCACCATCAAATATACTGAGCTTTAAAAATTTTGGATTGAATTATAATTATATTTTTATTTAGTCAACCAAGTTCTTGAAATGCTCCAAATGAACCCAACCAGTAACAGGACACAACGCAATTTGGATTTCATAAACCAACAACAGGTAAAGCCTGTTCGACAACAAAGCAGATATCAAAGATGTAAATTTTTTGTTGCTACTGTTATTTTGTTTATTGACATTTGTTGGTTATTATTAACCCGTTATTTATGTCCAAAACTGTAATGTTGCTGTTGTGATTGAGGTGAATCCAATTCACTCAAAGAAAAACATGCTTCCAGCTGCGGATTTTGACTGAAGTTGCTCTGACAGATCGAATTGATTGTATGAGAATGAGGAGGCCTCACTACCAGCAGCACTTGTTGCGTTTGATGACGACGTAATGGCTCTATACAGATTGTCCAAGTTGAACAAGGGATCAAAATTGTTGCATTGATTAATATTCATGCCAAGTTGGAATGTTTCATCATCCAAAAAGTTTGTTGTTGTTGGAGGAGCAGTCGAGGTGGAAAATGAAGAAGGTTGCAATACCAGTTGTTGTTGTTGTTGATGTTGCTGCATTGTGTTCAAAATGTCTTCATCCCATGGACCGTTCATTTCCGAGTTAAAAAAGTTACTATTTGAAGTGTTGTTATTCACATTATTAAGGTTGGCACCATTCTTGGCACTTTGAGAAATGCTAAAGCATAATTGTTGGAAGGAAGAGGAATCCATGGAGGTGTTTGGAATTTGTTGTTGATGAACAACAGCAGAAGCATCTGAAGAGTTTCTTGCAGCTGCAACATTGGAAGAATTCATCACTGATGACGAGGAATGAGACTCAAGTTCATTCAACAAGCTTTGCAATTCATTGATGTGTTCTGCGTCCATCAAACTGAAACTCATCATTGGAATGTCCATAGAGGTGTCTTGTTGTTGTTGTTGATTCAAGATCATTTGCATCAGGTCGACCTGGTTGGAGGAGTTGTTGTTGTGGTTCATATTCATCATCATCATGTTGGAGGAACTTGCTGCTAAGGAATAGTGGCCGGAATGGAATGAACCAGTGGGAAGAGTGTTCATGTGTTGTTGTTGTTGTTGGTTATGATTCATCACGGATAGTCCTGCAGCGTTTCCTTGATCGAGAGTGATGTAGCTACTTGCCTTACTTGATGTTGTAGCAGTGGAGGTGGAAGTGGAGGTGGTGTTGGTGTTGGTTTGGTGTTGGTTACTACTGGTAGAGTTTTGTTGGTGTTGTAATTCTTCCTTCTTGCTACTCATGGCATTCAAATAATAGATCAAAGGCATGGGTTCATTCATCAACTTTTCAATCTTGGTGCCAGATTCAGCAGCAATGCAAGAATTGGATGAGAGAATGGAGGAGAGAACACCCACATTGTTGGAGCCTTGATCGGCTAGAGTGGTGGTGTTGATGGTTGATGAGCCTGAGGATGGAAGTTGAATATTGGCTTTCTTCAATGATGATGGAACGGAGGAGGTTGAAAAGGAAGTAGTTGAAGTGGTAAAGATATTGGAGAATGCAGTATCTTCTCGAGCTGTGTAGAGCTTCTTGTTGTATTCATTGTAGATGGGTTTGTGTTTGATCATTGATGTCATCGGATCAGAGAGAGTATGTTGTTGTGTTTGTTGTTGTGATTGTGGTTGAGAATACATGAATGAGGTAGAGGAAGGAACGTTCAAAGTAGTGGTATTAGCAGTAGTATTAGAAGCAACGTTTGAGGTACTCATTGTCAGGAGAGAGGAACCAGTGGAATTACGTCTCTTGTTACTACCTTCTAAATTTGGAGAAGAGAGATTTTCCTCATGATGATCAGAGTTGTTGCAACTCTCTTCATCCTCTTGTTCAGAGGCATCCGATGAATTCTTCGAGGGCTTCTTTCTCTTCTTGGTCGTGTTGGTTGCATCTGATTTTCTTCGTTGTTGTTGTTGTTGTTGTTGAGAGGAACTGGCTGCTGATGAACTACTTCTGGATCGAGAAGAAGCCTTCTTCTTCTTTTCCATTCCGGGAGTAAACTGTAAAAGTTTAGCCTCACTCGATGAAGTCAAATCCAACTCAAAGTAATTCTGTTTGAAGGCAGTGGTATTGATTTGCTTTCTGAGTTTCTTGGGTTGTCCACTTGGAATAACTTGATTGGGATTGGGAGAATTGCTTTGATCGGCAGCAATATCAGAGGGGTTGTGATGATCATTGCTGAAATGAACTGAATTGGATTTGACAGAAGCAGTGGATTGTCTTCTTCTTGATGGTAGAGAAGGAGAGGAGAGTTGAGGAGAGGAAGTGGTGGAACTCATGTCTTGTTGAGAATTGGTACCACCGAGTTTTGGAGTGTTGTTAGTGCTGCTGCTGTTGTTGAAGCCTTTCATTCTATCAATAGAGTAGTTGTGGATGTTGTATACAAGCAAAAATAGTTGAGAGAGAAGCCGAAAAAAACAGGAGGAACAATTGAGAGATTGCTCAAGTTCGAAATGAACAAGGTAGATAACGAGAAAGAGAGAGAGAACGAACAGAGGAACTGTTTTCAAGCGTTTGGTGTCGACAATAACGCGTTCGACAACAAGAATGAGAGTGTTCAAACGACAAACCGCAACAATTTCTTCAACTACTACTACTCCTACTACGACTTCTTGAAAGAGAGAGAGAGCAGTTGTGTTCCGGTTGAACTGAGTCTTGTGCGTGGTCAAAGGACGGAGGCGGATTTTGCTCTTGAAAACGATTCCTTTTTGCGCTTCGTAAGAATTGAGCTGTTTTTTTTTCTTGTTGAGAGAGCTTGCACTGGAGCGGGAGCAGAGCTTTAAAACGAATTTTGGCATGAAGATGAGCAGACACCTGTCAAAGAGTGTGCAACTTGTCGTTCGACTCCACGGTGCTCTTGATTGCCTTTTGAAGCAACACTTCAGGAGTAGTTATCTTCGGATACATTCGTTGTGAACAAATCTTAATGATCCACACTTCCATACTAATTTCGCTTCATTCAAAATGTGCACTGCGTCCCAAACAAAAGCTCTCCAAACAACATGCATTGACAAGAGATCAAATAAAGATTAAATTGACATTCGCCATGTCTATTTCATTTTTATGAATAGAATGATTGTTGATTTCCTACTTGTGTTCTCACGTTACACTTTTATACTGTCCATGAAAGTTTGTTACAGGAATGTCGAAAACTAGACATGGCAAAACCCTTTTCTATTATTATATTCCATTGTTGGGAAAAAGGAAATGACTGACATAGAAATCGCTTCATTGCAATCCTGTGAAAGAGATCAATTCAGAACCAAGAACTGTTGATGCATTTTGCCAATGGTTTCGTTACATGAGACGAAACCTTGTTGTTGATCGAATGAACGTCATGAAGTTGTGAACAACCAGAGAGAGATCTCTTCTTGAAAACCATTTAATAAAACATACAGACATGAAGTTATACCAGTTGGAAATTCAAACTCGCCAATGTCTAAATAAAGTGAAAAGAGAAAACCTCTCTTCGTTTAGAATCAAATCGACATGTGTGTGCAAGATTGAGAATCCTCGCACTTTGAATAAATAGTGAAACGCATTTGCAGAATTAGAAACTTCCAAAAAGAAGATTGGAAAGACTTGACAGATGAAAAAATGTGTCCTCGACCTCTCAAACAACGTATACAAAGAGGACGAACTTACTTTACAATAAACCAAACGTTGTACAGTTATTTGAAAATCAGTGAGTGAATTATTTGAAAATTTAAAAATGAGTGGCAGGTGACATTTAGAATGACATCAGGTGACATTTCGTGAGAGCTAAATTGGGCCCATAGAGTCATTTAGAATCATTCACGACTCTGAACGACAAAATTGTTAAGAGCAATTTTTGGGTTGTAGGAAACATGTTCCACTTGACTATTTTTCGTTCGTGAACATTCTCCATGTTTACATGTCAAACGAGCTGTCACATCCAACGAACATCCTCTTGAAACTAATTCACAAATCACTCGAGCAATGTTTTTACAATCATCAATTCCACTATGATGTTTTCCTTCAAGTTCCAAATTCAAACCATTCAACATGGTAAGCATTCCATTGACTTTTTGTTTATCCATGAATCTACCATAAACCTCTTTGACATTACACCATTGTGACAAGTGACTCTTTACAAGAGGAATGCATTTCTTCTCATGAAAAACTTGATGAGGAATCATAGTTTTCAAATCCCAATCACCACAAGTGGTCATTAATACATTTGAAGCAGAAGGTTCCTCTCCGTTCAAATGTTTTGAAAGCCATTCTGTATGAAGGGTTAATGCTTTCTCAAATGACACCCCATTATCAACCATTTCTTGAGTAATTCCAGTCACGGCTGTACATTCAGAATTCAACTTGGGAATTCTTCGAGTTTGAACATAATTTTGAATTTGATCCACCACTCGAAGTTTGTGAGGAGATTCATATTCCAGCAGCACAGAAGGAAATTCAATAATTTCCATGTCATAATTTCGATTGGTTTTACAATCTTCAGAAAAGACAGCTTCAAAATCTAACACACAAATAAATCGAAAATTTTTCTTTACAGAACTTGAAGAAGAATCAGTACTCTCAGAAATCAGTACTCGAGTACCACTCAACGTTTTTTCTAGAACAGGTTGGAATGTTTTTTTTGAAAAATCGAATGATTGACTTGTTGTTGTTATTGTTGGATTCATCTTTTCGCTCTTAAAAGGAACTTTTTTCAATGAGGACGACGAATCAAGGAATGATGATGAAGACAATGACCTATTTTGGTCATGATTGCTACTCGATAGATTCAAAGAAAAAGCATTGAACTTTTTCGAATCTAATTGTTTGCTGCTGCTGCTTGAAGAAGTCTTTGAAGAAGGCTCGAATTCTTCTTCGGAGCGAGTCGGTTTGACATGTTCGGAACGAAAGTGGAAAGATTTTTGTGAGGACATTTTTTTTTATCACTGTCCATGCGTTTATTTGTTCGAAAATTCACACGTTATTCATGGCTGTGTGTGCAATTAGTACAGTTAAAGGTGGTTCATGTCATCAAAGTTAGTGTAATTATTGTTGTAAATTTCAATTATTGTTTGTCATCAAGGTTAGTGTAAATTTCAAATATTGTTGTAAATTTCAATTATTATTCATGGTCGTGGGTATTTCATGTATAGTTTAAACTTGTTCAAATCAATGAAATTAGGATTAAAATCGTATTGTTGTTCAAATTCATTCCAGGTGAGTTTCAATTCTTCCATGAAAAAATGATTTCGTTTCATCATTTTTGTGAGGACATTTTTTTGGAATTTTTAAAACACTTCAAGTTGGAAGATGAGAATGCTATGGATCAAGTTTGTTTGTTATTAATAACAAGAAACAACAATTGAAATAATGTTTTAGATGTTTCATCATCCAAATTGAAGAGCGGGTTTGAAATTTGCATTGGTTCGCTTCAAAGGTATGTCACTGAATGGACTTGGAACACTCCATGTTTGCGTGCTTAAGGATGTTGTTCCTTAATGCAAATAAAGATCAAATATTGTTTTACCTTAATTGCTTGTCGCTGATGAATTTGACATCTTTGGGTTTGCGCTTGATTTCATATGAAACTTTTATTGGTCGATTCTTGAAGGCTTTGCACTTGGATGTTCAGAAATTTGTTCGAAATGATATGGTTGTGAAGTTTGATATTCACTCGGATATTGCGGGAGAGATCTTGTCAGAATCAGACGCTGGGTCACCCGTCAGATGTCACTTTTTTTAAATTCACATCTCAAAAAATGAAACCTACAACCGCCAGAGCTGGCATCTTGTTGTTGTTGTTGGTGGTGTGTTTCTTGACGACACTCTCCACAACACACGGATTTACCTTGAGTGCTCTCGGAAATAATTTCAAAATTCAATCTTCAGGGCAAACTCAGCAACAAGAAAACCAACAACAAGAAGCTCCACAAACTCATGTCATTAATTTGCAAATTCCAGTACCAACAACCACTCAACAACAACAAACCACATCAACATCATCAGATGCCAGTACGAGTGCTTCTTCTGCCACCACGTCAGATGCCACTTCCCAAAATGGTTATCAAGTCATTACCATTCCTTCCAAGCCAATCACCATCAAAATTCCACCCTTCAACATTCCTAAAGGAAGAAGAAATACTTGTCGACCAAAGTCAAAATCAAAGAAATCTACTGGAACCCTTGTGATTGAACTTCATCACAAGAAGAGAAATCGTCAACCCAAACGAAAAGTTGTTCTTGTTATGGAAAAGAAAAAAAAGCCAAAAAAGTTGGTTGAAATTCAAAAGAGAAGATCATCTTTGAAATGTTCAAGAGGTGAAACTCGATCATTGGTTCGTAAATTGAGAGCAATTTTTTCAGCTCAGAGATGTCACGGAAGAAGATTCCATCCAAGAAGACATCTTCGATCCTTGCATTTGAGAAGATTGTGGGCTTCATTGAGAAGAAGAAGACCTCTCAGATGTAGAAATCGTGCAAGACCAAGATTTGGACGTGTGGCAAAGAGATTGTTGAAATGTCTTTTCAAGAGAAGTAGAATGTGTTTAAAGATTAAAGTCAACAAGTGCAAAAGAAAGAAGGTTCAAAGAGGACCAAAGAAGATTATTATCACCATCAAAAAGACCAAGAAGATTGTTCCAAAGAAGAAGAAGAAGAAACTTTCTGAAACAACCATCAAAAAGTTGAAATTACTCGCTAATTGTAACTCCACAAGGTTAGTCACCAAGGAAGCGTCCAAGAAGAAGAAGATTGAAATTACCATTCGAAGAAAGAAGGGAGCTCCAAAGAAGAAGATTTTCATCACCGTTAGAAAGAACAAGAAAGGTACAAAGCAAGCTCCAAAGAAGAAGGTTGCCAAGAAGAAGACTGCCAAGAAACAAGCTCCAAAGGAACCTTCGACCATTGATGAAATTTTCGAATAAATGGGCTTGAATTACTTGTTGATGATCAATTGTGATTGATTTAACAATTTCAAATGAATTTACTTGTGGTTCATTGTGATAATACCGGTGAGCATGCAAGCACAACTGAGAGCTCATTATTTCAAACAATTGTCATCAGTTTGAAAAGACCTTCTTAAATGATTCAAAATTTGAAGAAGAATTTGAGGAACTGTTGTTGCCTTCTACCGATTGCTTCTTATTATTATCCACTGTTGTTGAATTCTTGACTGTATAGTCATTATCGAGAATGGCAAACACAATTTCCTTAAATCGATTTGGAAACTCCTTATGAATTACCTCATGAAAGAGCTCAGCCGTGTGACCACTCGGACACTTGTAGGCCCCACAGCCAAATGCTGACAAGACAATACTATCATGACCATTGTCAAGTGCCGCATGTAAAATGATTCTAATCTTTTGTTTTGTACCTTCCTCAAATTTAGAAGTCATTCGCAATTGATTGGTTTTCTTATCAGTGAAAGTACCAGGTCGAATATAGGCAGAAGCAGCAATGATGGAAATGTCCAAAGGACACTCCAAATATTCATAGGCCTTATCTTCTCCATTTCGAAAGAGTTGAACATTGGGAGAATAAATCACTTGAAAATCTGAAAGAGGATAAAAGTCCTTTGGTCCCATCGAAGTATTCACATGTTCATCATTATTATTGATGTGAGTTTGATGATTTGATAAGGTTCTCCGTTGCTGGTGGGTCGATGTTATGGACTCAGAGTATTTGGAATAAATGTCATTGGGATCCAATAAGGAATGAATGTAATTACTCACACGAAACAAGGTCTCTTCCTGTGAGGGTTGACCTGTTTCAAATCCTCCACCTCCCTTATTTCGAGAAGCCATATTCAAAATGCAGGGATTAAGACCTTTTTCATGCAATTTGATGAGAGATGAGATGCAATCTTCCTTGACCACCGTAATGAGTGTGGAATTCAAAGACTCTCTGGACGAAACAGTTGTTGTGGCTGGTTGTGGCATTGAACAAGTACTACTCAGAGCAGCATCCACAGCAGAACTGCTTCCACTACTACTATTGGCACCACTACCAGTACCAGGTTGAGTCATACTACTCTCCACCACTCGATCCTGTTCTTCATAGAGATAGACCTTATTCATTCTCAATTGTTTCTCAAACAATTCCTTTTCAGAATTTCTCAAAACAACCTTGCTGGTATTGTTACACGACGATGAGGTGAAATAATAACCCTGTTCCATTGCTTTTTGAGTATCTTTCATGATGTAAATTCTCATGGATTTGAGAGCATCTCGATTGTTCTCATTCAAGTAGAATTTGTACCATCTCCGAAAGGCATCGACATCAAATTTTGGAGATTGGATGAGAAGTTTCTCTGTATTCTCCAAGTCTTGAATTTTGGAATAGGTCTTGTCCATAGGATTAGAGGAGGAACATGAATGGGTCAAATCATTTCTTTTTCCTGCAGCGACAACACCTGAATACGAGTTCTTCTTGTTTTTTGGAAGATTCTTCTTCTCTTGAGAGGAGGAGGATGACGAAGAGGATGGTTTGTTTCTCATGATGCTTTTTTTGTTTTAGGATGCAATGATGTGTCGGCAGCAAGTTGGACACAAGTCCGTGTGGAACACGAGAGGAAAAACTGTTTCATTCTTGAATTTGAAGGAACAGGTAAGAAATTGAGTTGTCTTTTTCCAGACTTTTCATGAACAACAACTGATGAGCATCTATGAGCAAACAACAGTGAATGAACCTTTTGAAACTATATGAGAAACCAAAGGATGAAAATGCGATGAAGAAGAAGCGCACAACCAAGATCACACACAACCGACGATCCAGTGCTTGCTTCAAGGTCCCCACCAAACAACAACCACTTGTTTTTCTTTTTGAAAAAAAAGTCGAGAAAGGCTCACTCGCACTCGGTGAAACCCAAAAGCCTGCATAAACTTTTGTAACTTCCAATTTTGTTTTGTCTAAACAAGAACGAAGCAACCACACACATTATTTCCCCATGAGTTCAAAAACCAAATACGTATTGGTCATTGGTGGTGTGATTTCAGGTCTCGGAAAGGGTATCATTGCCAGTAGTGTCGGAAGACTATTGAAGGAAGCTGGACAAAATGTTACGAGTATTAAGATTGATCCCTATATCAATATTGATGCTGGTACCATGTCCCCTTATGGTATGTATCAAAGAAGAATATTCTGATGATTCCAATTTGTTCTCTGTCCGTTTCACCATCATGATGATAATGGCTCAACATCTGAAATTCAAATGCACAAAAAAATATTCCCAATCATTTTCCAATTTTATTTTCTTGATGATGATTTTTGGTTCTCAAACCTCAATGCAATTCATGTGTATGTGTGGAATGGGTTGTCTGATGGGATTGTGGTACAAAATATTCTATATATTTATGATACCAATTAATAGAACATGGTGAGGTCTATGTGTTGGATGATGGAGGTGAAGTGGATTTGGACTTGGGAAATTATGAAAGATTTTTGAATTTGAGACTTCACTCTGACAATAACCTTACCACAGGAAAGATTTACAAGTCTGTCATTGAGAAGGAAAGAAGAGGTGATTATTTGGGAAAGACTGTTCAAGTGGTACCTCATGTGACAAATGAAATTCAAGAATGGATTCGCCGTGTCAGTATTGTCACCACAGATGTTGCAATTTTGGAGAAACATCCATCTTCAAATCCAGATGTCTGTATTATTGAGTTGGGAGGTACCATTGGTGACATTGAAGGAATGCCATTCATTGAAGCTTTACGTCAATTCCAGCAAAAGGTTGGAAGAGAAAACTTTTGCTGCATTATGGTCAGTTTGGCTCCAACCATTACCAGTGAAAGCGAACAAAAGACAAAACCTACACAACAATGTGTCAGAGAATTGAGGGCTGTTGGTTTCTCTCCGGATTTCATTGTTGTGAGATCTGAAAAAGTCTTGCAAAAGTCAGTCAGAGAGAAGATTTTCAATTTCTGTGGCGTAGAATCATGCAACCACGTGATTGGCTGTCACAACATTAGAAACTTGTTGGCTGTTCCAGAGTTATTGGCTCAACAAGGTCTCGGTAAATTGCTTCAAAAGAGACTTGGCTTGCAACAAAAGGGTGATTTGGAATTTGACAAATTGCCAGTTTGGACTAACTTTATTACAAAATTCGAGGAAGTTGACACTCAAAAAACTGCAACTAGAATTGCCATTGTTGGTAAATATACGGAACAACCTGATGCTTATCTTTCCATTCAAAAATCGTTCCAACATGCAAGCTTATATTTGGGCGAAAAAATTGAACTCATTTACATTGAATCGAGTACATTGGAGTGTGAATCTTCCTCAAGTGCTACCTCTTCAAAAGTTGAAGAAGACGATGAAGCATCCTCTCAAAGCTCTGACTCCTATACCTCGAATTGGGATCTTCTTCGCTCATGCCATGGTATTTTAGTTCCTGGAGGTTATGGCATTCGTGGAACAGAAGGAAAAATTGCTGCTATCAAGTATGCTAGAGAAAACAACATTCCATTCTTGGGAGTATGTTTGGGAATGCAATTGGCTGTCATTGAATTTGCAAGAAACGTATTGAGTTATCAAAATGCCACAAGCGAGGAATTTAACAATGAAGCTGCTGTGGAAGAGAGTCCAAAGAAGGATAGAAAGAAGAAGACTGAACCAAAGAATGTCATTGTGTACATGCCAGAAATCTCCAAGACTCATTTAGGAGGTACCATGAGATTGGGAGCTAGAACATCCATCTTTGTGAATTCACCTACGGGCGGTGATGAGGCTGAAGTTGAAAATTTAGAAGGTTCTCTTCTCTCGAAATCTAAAATCTTTGAATTGTATGGCAAGAAACCAAGAATTACTGAAAGACACAGACATAGATACGAAGTGAATCCAGCTCTAGTTGCAGAATTTGCTCAAAATGGATTATGCTTTGTGGCTCAAGACACAACTAGACAACGACAGGAAATTTGCGAAATTCTTACTCACAAATTCTTTGTGGCCGTTCAATATCACCCAGAATTCCAGAGCTCTCTTGAAAATCCATCTCCACCTTATGTGGGATTAGTGAAATATGCTGCTGTTCAAAAGAGAGAACAATTACAACAAGACAGTCATTAATTTATTACTTGCGATTTAGTTAAAGAATGATAAAAGTTTAATAAGTTAAAATTTTGTTGGTTTCAATGAACATTCATTAATGTAGTGTGTTAAGCTTTATTACAAGTAACACATTCCAATGAACAACGTTAATGAGGTACACGAATGAAGGAAGGACAACTTTTACCAACTTCTTAAAATTTTCAAGCATTCATTCGATGTTCAGGTTTAACGAATATCGTCAAAGTATGGATGTTCGAGAGCTTGTTTGGCAGTGATGCGCTTATTTGGTTGATACACAAGCATTTTCTGCAAGGGTTTAAAGGACAAACAGTATTAAAGTTAATCATGACAGTTTGTTTCAATAAATGATCTTTCTACATACCGATAACAAATCAATGCCCTGATCACACAATGATGGGACCAAGCTCCTGATGAAATTGCCACGCCATTGAGGGTATATTGATTTCCACAATGGAAGTGTCGTGACACCTTCCCACACTTGCTCATTAGGTGTTCCCAGAGCTTGGAAAATTTTGTAAAGCATGTCAATTTCAGAGTCTGCAGGGAATAGAGCTGATCCATTGCACAACTCTGCAAAGATGCATCCAATACTCCACACATCCACTGGCGTAGAATATCTCTTGCAACCTAACAGAATCTCTGGTGCTCTATACCATAATGTTACAACCTCATGAGTGAGGGTTCTTGTTGGAATTTGGAAAGCACGAGCCAATCCCTACGTTATTGTGCACCCAATGTGTATTATGAAAGCAAGTATGACGCAACAAATGTGTGTCATGTAAACATTCAATGATTATTAGAGATGAATAAAATCTATCAACAGATCACTTACAAAATCAGCCAATTTGATGTCACCTTCAACACTTATCAAAATGTTTTGTGGCTTCAAATCTCTGTGAATAATTCTTTGGGAATGACAAAAGGCAATACCTTTAAGAATTTGGTAAACTGTCATCTTTATGTCTTGGGGTGGGATTGGTTGTTTGAGAACCTTTTTATAGTGGTCATTCTTTTTCTTCAAATCATGATCAATAAACTCAAAGATGAGATGCAGTTGTTGATCACTGTGAATCACTTGATGCAATCTAGTTAAATTCAAAGTCATTCCAAACGGGTGGATTCAAATGATTCAAATGCAAGATCAATGGCATGATTTAGTTCATTCAACATTCGTTAGCACAATGTGCGCAACTACTTACCGCACCACATTGGGATGATTCAGCTCTTTCAAAAGAGAGATCTCTCGGATGGATGTTGATGGTACACCCTCATCCTCTTGTTCCAATCTCACCTTTTTAATGGCCACAATTTGTCCTGTTTGGGTATCTTCAGCCTTCATTCAATAGAGAATGAATGTCATCATGATGAAAATAAGCACCAAAAATATAAGAAAGTGGTTTCAAGGAAAATTCTCAATAATTATAACAATGACTCGTCATTAGATACTCACTTTATAAACAACTCCATAGGTTCCTTCTCCGACCTTTTCAATCTTTCTGTATCTCAACAATTTTTGTGAGACGGGAGAGACTTGTTGCTGTTGTTGTCTTTCCGAGTAGGAAACAACGTTTTCCTCACATGCAAGAGACATTTTATGAATGGATGAATGATGATGAAGAAATATCAATGAAAAAGAGGAGATTTATGAGTGGGAGTTTGAGTTTGGAGGAATTTTTCTCGTGTATTAAATTTGGCAAGTCTTATGGACTCGAAGAAAGAAGGGATTGAAAATGTGCTTTTTGGAAATGAAACAGATCTCGGAGAGAGATTGGTCAAAACTTGTTGAATGTATGTATTGACCTTGTGTATGTTGGTTCTATCCACACGGAAGAGAGGGAAAATTATTTGATGATTTTTTTTGTAATTGTTTTTGGTTCAAAATTGTTTTTGGCGCACTTTTTTTCCGTTACACAAAATTAAAACTTCACAAATCACATTTCTTCTCACTCATCACCAATTAATTACTTGTTACTCTCCAAGAAAGAACAAATCATGTCAGCTGCTTTTTGGCCACCATTAAACTCAAGATCAACTCGGCGTCCGTCCTTACAGTTTTCTAAACCTCTCTTTTTCTTATTTTCGACTAATTGTGAGGCCTTAAGGAATAGAGATGGAAGAGCGTTGATTACTTCATCGCCTTCCACTTGGCAAACACATTCCTCTCCAAGGTTATCTTTGAGAGCTCTAACAAATGAATAATCATAAATGAATTTGCAATGAGAAGTGCATGATTCAAACGAGATTGATCTCAACATTTAACGTTCGACATTGAATGCGCCTTCAACTTACCTCTCTGTATAGCCATGTTCAATCATCCCATACCTTTCCAAATACATGGTTGGAATTTGATGAAAGAGTGTTTCTGTGACGGTACCGTAGGATGTTTTTCCAACAAGAACATCCACAGCCAGTAATAAATCCCTTGCAAAATCAATACACTCATTACCCAAATCTAAGAATGTTAAATTCACAACATTGGCTGGGATGGTGTCTCCCTCAATTTTGGAACTACACATGACTACCACTAACCAATCGTTTGGAATGCTCCAAGTGGGTTCTTTTTCTTGAATGAGCGTTGAGGAAGGAAAACTGAGGCCTCCAAATGAAAACATCATGACCTTAATTTGTGATAGATCCAACGTGTTGGAGCTTGATGCTATCTTCGATTTGGAGAATATCCACTGCTTCATTTGATCTTTAGTGAATTTGGCTTTTTTGATGGTTTCTGTAATGGGCCAACTGTTATCAAGAGGTTTCACAATAGTGAGATCTTTTTTGAATGGCAATTCATCGGTTGGATACGGTAGTTGAATAAATAAATCGGTTTTTCCCAAAGTACTGTACAATAATCTCGATTGTTTCACCATTAATTGTTTCTCCTTTTCTAGCTCTTGAAATGTCACGGGTCTCTGATGAATATGACCTAGAATTTTATCTTTTGGAAAATCTTGTGGAAAATGGTCCATACAATGTTCATAGATCCATTCCCAACACCAATTTGAAATGCCTATTGAGTAATATTATTATACAACAATATATATCAAAAATGAATCCAGAAATTGCATACATGATAAATGATGAAATTGGAGCAATATACATTCAATAACGGTCAAAAATTCCAACAATTTTGCCATACAGCTACTCAATGACATACCTATTGAAATAGGCCATTTACTTTCTCCTTCTCTTGAATATTTTTCATTCAATCGTTTCGCCATCACTGGTGCAACGTCAGGAACATCCCAAACTATTAATTGAATTTGATAAGGCTGTAAAAACTCTTCAATTGCAAAAATCATTGAAGAATGATGAGAAACATTTCGTCTTTCATCATTTGTTTGATCGCTATCATCATCATCATTGGATGGTTTTTGTTCAGTCGTGTTGTTATAGATGCCGTTGTTATCCTCATAAATACTATCATCATACAAACATCGATAGTGTTGATCCCAATGTTGCTTCCACATTTCAATGGTTTTAAAAGGGCACGTAGAGACAGTATTCTCTTCCTCAATGAGTCCAACTGATATCTTGATGTTCAATAAACGAATTTGTTCTCGAGGAATTTCTTGCAATCTCTCGGAAATGAAGAATTTGTTAACATTGGTGATGATATGAAATTGGGCATTGGGAAATTTTCGATATAATTCATTCACGGTGGGAGCTAATCGAGTGAGATGTCCAAGACCATGATCCGAAATGAACACTGCGATGTGTTGAACAATCATTCCACACGAAACAACAAGTATTTTTTCCTTGTTCTTCTTTTTTGATGAGGCTTTCTTTGGGAGACAAAAGATCTGACGAATAGCAATGTCATACTGGATAAATCTCTCGTTGACATTTATCGATAGAGAATAAGAGAGTAGACATTGCCATCAATTATCATGGAATCAAGATGAAAGCAAAGTCAGCTCGTATTGTAAAGTATGACAAATTTAAAAAAAATGTTGAGAGCCAGCAAGAACCTCTTCCGATCATCAAAGGTGAGCATCTTTTGAAGATATTATCGCAATGATGAAATCTAAAACACCAATGTCCATGTTCCTCGTTGCCTAATTTATTTCGGTCAATATTATTCTGCTTCATTTCAACAATAATAGAGCAACGCAAGATTATGTATTTTCGCTAATCAAAGAGCCAACTATTTTACCGATTCTTTCAATGAAAACGATAAATTCACCAAGGAATTGAACAAAGTATGTACAATTTGTTTGTTGTCATTATTCCTTTCTTACATTGCTCATTTATGATTTACACTACTAGTACCCAGTGATTACTGAAGGATTTGGAGGTGAATATGCCCAACAATTGTTCAGACACGGTTTCAATACCAACCAACTCGGATACATCAAGTTGAGCGTACGTTATATTTTCTTCATTTGTCATGTCTTGACTTATAATGTTTCATTGTTTTTCATTCTTTTTTGTTATGGGTACGACAACCCTTGTCATCATTGTTTAAATGGATAACCAAACAATATTAACATCATCATCACATTCAATCAATTCCTAACAACAACAACAACAAAAACCCTTTTTCAATGACAATCTTTTTTGGATTCTTTTGGATTGAATATTCAAATGGGTGGTGATTTACGTTACGATTATTACACACATTCTGTTGGACAACAACAAACAACACACCAATATTCTAATTCGTAGTTGGAAGAAGTTTTGGCTTTCTTCAAGAAACAAGGAACACCTCTCACTGCAACCACTGAGACTTTCACTCAGTTCTTGAAACAATCTGGAGTTGCACCTGAGGTTGGAACTGACTTGTTGGGAACTGTTTATCAAAGAGGACAAGAAACAATCTTTGAAACCATTGTCAGAGAATACAACAAGTTGTACAATGCTCATTTCCAAATTGCTTACGGAAAATTGACCATGGCTGAACCATTGCCAGCCAAGTACACCACCCACCTTTACAAGATGAAGATGGCTACTGTCGGAACTCTTGCTCCACTCAAGACCAGAGTTGCCTTCACTCAAGATTACTTGCCATCTGACCTCGGTGGATGGAGAGCTGACGTTGGTGAAGACAGTATTGACAAGTCATTTGTGACAGAACTTGGTAAGATTATAACTGATGAAAAGCAAAACTCTGTTTTGAGATCCCTCTAAATCTACAATTTATAAACATTGGGCGATTTTGTCTTGTTGTTCTTTTGTTGATATTATTGAGCTCTTATTAAGGTGAGATGATCATGTGTGGCAGAATCATCAGGACTTACAATGGGTGTTTTGAAACTCTCAAAAGGCGTTGAGAAGTGCTCTGATTACTCACATGATCCAAAATTGACTTCCTTCTCATGGATCATTCCTCAATGGACTTCAGAGTCCAAAAACTCAGGACCCTCACAAAGACCAATTATTATCTCACTGAGTTTGAATCCTCAACTTTCGTTCCAAATTCAATCTCCGAAGAATGAAGGAGTGAGTGGTCTAGACTCGAACATTTCAGCTTCCAAACACAAAAAATGCAACTCCCACAATCGCTGCTGAGGGTCAAAGAGACTCTCTCCCGATTTGTGGAACAATACAATAGATTTGGAAGAAGAGTGTTCGGACCCAAGGTGTTATTAGGTTATTTGGTGATTTTGAATTTATTTATTTATTTTGATAGAGGAGTAGTTTCTGTAGGTTGAATATCAATTATTTAATAATAATCATCGTGATGATTCATCATGAATGGGCCATGGAATATGAATGAATGGATGAACATTCTTCATCACGTTTGATATGATCATCAATGTTGGATAATCTTTTCTGTCATCTCAAAATTATTAAAATCGGAAAAATGTTTTTTCGTTTTGATAATGCGATGATGATTTCGTCTGCTCAAAATTGAACTATTTGGAACTTTTCACAGGGTATTCTCGATAAATTAGAAAAGAAGTGGGATCTATCTAAAAGTGAGCAGGGTGCTCTTGGATCAGCCTTTATGATCGGCTACATGATATTTGGTCCAATTTTTGCACAACTAGCTGTTAAAATTCCTCTAAAGGTAAATAATTTCAAATATTTCATTGTAATGCTGACATATCAGGCCATTCACCATTTATCACTTTCTCAAAATTACACTCTACACTTTTTTATTGACCTATGTATTGTCATCATAATGACTTATTCCAACATCATGACAATCCTTACACCATTCTAGTTTGTCATGTTTATTGGACTAGTGATATGGGCATGTGTGACTATTTTTTGTGGATTCACAGGAATTATCAGTGCCAAAGCTGGCTATTTTTTGCTGGCTGCGTGTCGTTGCATGGTGGGTGTTGGTGAAGCGGCCTACGCACCTGTAGCCCCGACCTTACTTGACGATGTAGCTCCTGTGAAATATAGAACAATTTATATGGGAGTTTTCTATCTGGCCATGCCTGTTGGTATTGCTTTGGGTTATGGTGTGAGCAGTCTTATTGCCTCCTTCTTGGATTGGACCGTTGTGTTTATTGGAGAAGGTATTGCAATTGTTCCTTTTGCTTTTCTTCTCTTAATGATTCCTCCATCAGATCAATACAGAAAAGACAGAATTGAACGAGAGCAAAGTGAACGTATTTTGGGTGAGAATAACTCACTTTTGGAAAAGAGAGAAGAAAACAACTCTCAGGTCAGTGTTGAAAATTCTGAGAGTCAAGCGAATATTGTGACTGAAACAGATGTCACAAGTCAAGTCGATGGCAATGATCCAGAAGAGGATAGACACTACAATCTGTTCCAAGCAATTTACCATCTTATTCAGAATCCAGTGTACATGTTTGCATTGATGGGTTACACCATGTATACCTTTGTAATTGGTGCTCTCGCTTTTTGGGGACCTACTCTTGTTTCTAAAACTCTCTTCATTCCAATGTATGCTGCAAGTTTGGCCTTCTCAGCTGTGAGCGTTGTTACAGGAATTATTGGATCGATAGTTGGAGGTATTATTTTGGACAAAATTGGAGGAAGTAAGGGCATGGCTGGAAGTGCTAGAGGATTAATGTTGTGTGCAATCTTTATTTTTGTTGCACTTTTGATTGGCTTTGGTGCCTTTTCGACGAACATTATTGCTCTCTATTTTATCTTGCTATTTGCAGCAGAGTTTTTCATATTTTGCATCACAAGTCCTGTGAATGTTGCCTTCTTGTCAGTGGTCTCAACAAACCTTAGAAATTTCAGTATGAGCTTCCAAATTTTTGTCATTCATGCCATTGGAGACTTCCCCTCTCCATATGTGATGGGTTGGTTTGCGGATTACATTGGAAAGAAAAATGGCCTCAAAGTTAGTATTCTCTTCTTGTGGTCGATATTGGCATTTAGTGTCATCTTCTTTTTCTTTGGATTTTTGATTGCACGATCTAAGGCAAAGATGGAAGAAAAGCGACAAGCATTGCTCGACTTGAAGAAGGAAAGTTATCAAAGAGAAAAATCAGAACTTTAAATGGTGAGTGATGGTTTATCACATCTTAATGATCGAGTTCGAAATAAAACAACAATTCTCAATTAACATTCGAAAGAATTCATTTTGCTAAGGCCTTAATTGATTAGGTCATCCAGCCACTCGTCCAAATCTTTTGTTTCTTCTTTTGGCTGTACGACTGGATTTGTTTGTTTGGAGGCTTCAGTTGACAAAGATACCTTATGAATGGTTGCAGTTGAGTGGTTGCCACTATTGCTACTAGATGTTGAAAATTTCACATCCATGATTGTAGGGGAGGCATGTACATTGGGTGAAGGTATGTTGTTTTGAGAAAGAGAAAGCAAGTCATCCAACATGTCATCAGTATTGTCCATAATTTTTAACACTGGTTCAGATCTAGTTGAGCTGATGAATGGCGTTGCATAAGTATTGTTATTCCTCTGTGTAACAATTGGCTTCTCGGACTCTTGGACAATTTCATCTAAAATGTCCACTCCCGCTGTTGTTGTTGTTCGTTCTTCATTCTTTTCAAAAATATTATTAGGTTGACTTGAAGGCTCTGAATCAGAGAGAATGGATTCAACATTTTCGTTATTACTTATTTTCTCTGAGGAAGGTTCAATTGCTTGTTGATTCATTTCGTCTTCTGAAATGGAAGCGTCTTCTTCATCTTGAACTGTGTCACTACATGTATTTCCTTCAAGTGATGTCACATCAATCGATCCGCTCAAAAATTGTCCAATAGGTATGAAATCCTTTTCTGTTAATTGCTTTTCAGAAATTTCATTATCATTGTTATCCAATATTGACAATGCACTTTTCCACGCACAAATATCTATCAAATCCAATCTTTCTTCCAACGATACTTGTGGATTCTTAATTTGCTTTGCTAGCTCTGCCTGATCCAAATAAAATAAATTTCTCATAATTGTGTCATGTGTTGTTGAATAATCTTCCTTTTCAGTTTCTTCCCACTCAAGTAAGCCTCTCGATGTTGCAGATCCAAATGTATGAGTCAACGTGATACTATTTGAAATCATCATCATGGTTTCCTTTTCCATTCTATTCAATTCATGTTGTAATTTTGCTTTCACTCTCTGTTCTTCGGCTTGTGGAGTTCTTTCCTCCTCCTCTTCCTCTTCTGTTTTGAATCGAAATGAATTATCTAATAATTGTCTCTTTCCATATTTCAATCTTTTCATTTGTTCCTCTTGTTGAATAGCCAAAAGTTCTTCTTGATCCATTTCTTCATTGTCATTGACTGTAGCAATCCGTCTACGAAATCCAGTTCCCGACATTTGACCAGTAATCAAAAAATGTTTGTTGCTTCGGGCAGATTGATGTTGTTGATGCCGTTTATTCTTGATATGATATTTGGATGGCTTCTTCCCCGAAGACCCCCCTGATGATGAGGAGGAAGAAGAAGTATTCTTCTTTGCACCTTGTTCTTGTCTTTGACTCATTTTTTTATTTATTTTTTTTAAAGACTTCCAACAAAGAAGAACTCGACGTCGTTGCATGAGGATCATCTCCTTGTAAGATTTTTCAGTTGTAAAGTATGCGAAGAAACAATTGGCTATCATTCATCATTGCTTTATTGACATCAGATCGTTTACTTCTTCTTTTTGTGAGAAGTGTTTCCTTTGTGTGTTGCTTGTTTGTGGGATTTCACAGGTCCATCCTATTCTGGAATGGAAATACCAAGTTCCTCGAGTTTTGCAAAAAGCTTCTCTCCTGAAAATGGTTGTTTTGTGAAATGAGGCATGTCTGCATATGGATTAATGTGTTGTCTTCGCTTTCCTGGTTCTGCAGGAAGTGGTTTTTCGTCAAAGAGGGTTGGAACGTGCATCCTAATTCCCTTATAATGTAATTTCATGTGTTGAGGATATTCATAATCGTTCAATATATCTTTTTGATAATGGATGAACTTTTTAACGGCCTGTGCTGCAATTTCTTCATTAAAAACTTTCTCAAGAATTTGACGATCTCTTTCATAGGCCTCTTCATTCATTTCATCTATTTCTTCTCGCACCAATAATTTATAATTGAGTGTCACAGTTCGATAATCTGGTGAAATGTTCACACTTGTAATGTACGGCCTCTCTAAACTGAGATATCGATTATATTCTTCATCGGTCATCTTGTCTTGATGTTCCAACTTTTCAAGTAAGCATTCTTCAATATATTCTGCAATGGTAGTAAAATATATATGGGCAAGTCTATTACTATTTTCCTCATCACTCAACTTTGGAGCTGTTTTATCAAAATCAGGCTTTTCTGTCTGTTCAAGTAGCTGCTCAATATATTGGACTCTCTCTTTTGATACCAATGATTCAATATCCACACTTGCATCAAGATCCTTGATCATTGTCAAATCAATATCACTTTCGTTCTTATTCAATAAAGAAGAAAAGGGTGCTTCTAAATTGGTTGTTCTTTCTCGAATGTTCCGATCATGGAGTGGTGTCTTTGTCACTTCCTCACGAACATCCTGATGTCCATGCTTGAAAGAAGAAGACACATGCTTTCTTGTTGCATGCTCTTCCTTATGATGGGTATGAGATTGATGATGTTGCCTTGACTTTTTATATTCCTCAATGAATTTCTTAACATTTTCCCTTGTGGTTTTCACTGCTTGTTCCGATCCTGTTGGATTGGCATAGAAATTAGGAGCTTGAATTTGTTGGTTCTGAGTCTTCTCGTTAAATTCCTGTTCCATCGAATTGGTAATGTACTTGTTTCGGACAGGAAGGAGAGGACCTTTAGTCGCATAGGACTTCTTCTCTTTAGGCTTGAATGGATCATAATCGTCCTCATCATGGTGTTTTGAAGAATTTCTTCTCCTATTCATATTGGAATCTCTTGAAGCACTTTGTGAGAGGTGTTTCTTTTCTTTCCGATCTAAATATCCAGACTTTTTATTCACGATTGAAACATTGGAACCCAAATTCATCTCCACTCCATCATAGCCTTTTTTGAGGGTCTCAGTTTCATAAGGATTCTGACTCCGAATACCACCTCCACTATTAAAAAAGTGTTTTTTTGTCTTTTCCCTTCTCGAAATCAAGTTGGTGCTGTAGGAATAATGACCAAATTCATGATGATGATCCTGATGTTGATGAATGGAAGAAATCGTACCTCTGATGGTAATCCCCGATGAATTTGAAGAACAGAATTTGGAAGGTTGGGATGATGCCGTGTGCAACCATGACCAACACCACCAAGGTGTGGTCATCATGCTACTCACAGTGGATTGACAACAACCCTTCGTACGAGTGAGGAATTGGTTCAACATTTTTTTTCAAAAAGGTTTTATTCTCAAAACTCTGTATTTTGATTGAACAAGAATCAACCAACTGCAGTTGTTTTGAAGAGAATATTCGAATATTCTCAAACATTTCCATAATATCGTTTTAATACAATGAGTAGTACATTGAGGAAGGATGTCAGGCAAGGGCAACTCAAATTTCTGACCAAATAGTCCCTCGAGTGACAAATGACACTTCGCTCATCGTTGGTTGAAACAAAAAATGTCTTATTTCACACCACAACAACAGTCACATGTTTCTCCTTCAAGCCTCACAGTTACTTCCTCTGTGTCCACCTGCATGTCACCACTGAATAGTCCTCCTTCGAGATCATGTGTGATCCTCCATCTGATTGATTTTACACCAACAACTGATTCAGATGAAAAAGATTTCATCTCCCAAACCAAATCTAAACTATCTTCTTCTCCATTCTCTTCCTTTCACTCTTCTTCACATTTCCATCATTTAACTTGTCTGATGAAACAAAAACTCAGAGTTCCTTGTTCGTCTCGATCTCTTCAATCCATCAAACTTGCACATCTGAAAGACGTTCAGGAAACTCCCTCTCAATTTATTTCACACTTTTTGAGTGTATATCCATTTCCTGATCCTTCCGACGTTGATATTATTTTACAAGGTGTGAAATGTCATGGCCTTGCTTTGCAATTTGCGAGTAAGGAATTGAGAAATTGTAAATTTGTGGTTTGGAAAGCCATTCAACAAGATGCGCGAGCGATACAGTTTGCGAGTTGGAAATTACGATGTTTTGAGAGAGAGTTGTGGATGGAATGTGCCAAACAATTGTCACTCGAAGCATTATTTCACTTTTTGTTTGTTGACCTTTTCAAGGAGTTGCATGAAAAGGACATGGAGTTGACGAATAATATTATTGATTTGGATACTACTGAAGAACACATTCATGAATTGAAGATGTTGTGTGAAAAAGTGAAAGAACAAATTCTTAACGATCGAGAATTAAATTTGGAAATTTTGAAACATCATGCTCCCTCATGGATTCATGTTTCAGAATGTTTACAAAGAGATTCTTCTTTTGCCATGCAAGCCTTGGCCATCAACTCTGAGATTTTTCACTATTGGAGTCCAGAACTTCAAAAAACGAGTTTGATAGTAACGGAGGGAGAGATGGATATTGCACAAGATGATATTTCAGAGAGAATGCATTTGAAATCGATTTCACAAGATGAAACTTTATCCTTTGATGATTGCTGCTCATGTTGCACTTCTCAACAAGGAGTCTTTCACCTTTCTGAACACAAAATCTCAGAGTCAATAATTCTGAACACCACATCTCTACATCTTTACTCTTCACAAGAATTGTTGGATTTTCTGAAACACCAAGCAACGGAAGAGATGAAAAACCAGAGAGAATTTATGATGCAATGTGTGGTTCATTGTGGTCTCTCTCTGCAATTTGCTTCTTCTTCACTGAGACAGGATCGAGACTTGGTAATGCAAGCGGTGCAGCAAGATGGTCTTTCCCTTCAATTCGCAAGTGTTTCATTGAGGAATACGGATCGAGAAGTGGTACTGAATGCTGTTCGATCCAATGGACAGGCGTTGGCCTTTGTATCGAGTGAGTGTTTCAGGCAGGATCGTGAAATTGTACTGACCGCTTTGAGGCACGAGAATTGGGGAGGAAAGAATTTGAAATTTGCTTCCTACTCTCTGCAATATGATCAAGAAATGATCAGGGAGGCCATTAAATTTGGTCTCAACGCCTATCAACCAAGTGCCTATCCACCGATCAAGCAGTAGGAGAAGCAGTGGGAAATAAAAAACTGTCTAGAAAACAAACAAAAAATTTGATGAGAGTGGGATTTGAACCCACGCCCTTGCGGAACACGGTATTAATATACCTTAACGTGTCGTCTTAGACCGCTCGACCATCTCACCTTACAGTAACGTTTTCTCTATTCTTTTTATATGGATAAATATCACCTGATTGAGAAGCAACAAGGATTCGTGCAATTTGTCGTTCTTGAGCTCTCACAAGGACGCTCAAATTTTGTCCTTTCAAAGCGTTTTCTGTCTTTTTCACACACAAAAAATCCAAATCACGAAATGTCAAACAGTAGCAGCAATCTCCTCACATCGGTCCTCGTTACAGGAGCCTCTCGTGGTATTGGCCTTGAATTTGTCAAGCAACTTCTCAACAACAAATCCTCCACTCAACTCGTCTATGCCACTTGCAGAAATCCTTCTCAAGCCAAACAATTGAATGAACTTCAACAACAACACAAGGATCGTTTGATCATTGATGAATTAGATATTACCAGTGATGATTCCATCCACTCATTAGTCTCTCACATCAGCAACAAGTCTCTCAAATTCACTCTTCTTTTCAACAATGCAGGAATTACCATTCAAGTCGGAGATGCCATTCACGAAAGTACTCGGGATAACATGTTGAAAGTGTTCGAGACCAATACGGTTGGTCCAGTCTTGCTCTCTCAAAAAGTGTTTAACAATCACTTGCTTGAGAAGGGATCTCTCATTGTCAACATTTCATCCCTCTTAGGTTCTATTGAATCGGCCACTCTTCCCTACTATCCCAATTACACTGGATATACGTTGTCCAAGGCAGCATTGAATATGGTCACTCGACTCCAGAGCACTGCATGGAAGGATCAACAGGTGTATGCCCTCTCTATTCATCCAGGTTGGTTAAAGACCGATATGGGAGGAGAACAAGCACCTGAAGAAGTTTCGAATGGTGTGGCTGGAATTTTGAATGTCATTGAGAAGTTCAATCCAGAGACTCAGAATGGAGCCTTCCTTCAATACAATGGACAACCATTGGCTTGGTAATTATATAGGTTGTGAAAGGTTAGGTTGTGAAAGGTTAGGTTGCGAGAATCACCGCCGATTATGCATTCCAAGTTTATTGTGTAGAGTAGTAATTGTAATGATGCTGCAACAGTAAATAATGTATCTACGTGTTTTTCATATAAATTTATCATGTGAGAAACCAATTGGTTGAAATTGAGATGTTGAAAAAGACAGGTCCACATATAGTGGACACGATTCAACAACGTGATTTCAGAAAAAGTGCCTCTCCCGTTGTTGTTGTTGTTGTTGAAACCTTTTTGCATTCCTTTTGCATTCTCAGAGTTCTCGAGTTGAGAGAGAGAGAGATTGCATCCTTTTTGAATCAACCACATTGTTTTTCATTACTACTACTTTTTCATCATCTTCCTTTCATATTCTTCTTCTTCATTATCCATCATCTCATTCTCTCTTACCCATCATCCCATTCTCAAATTAATAATTTAACTCGAGTGTGGTTTTTGATGGTTGAATCCATCTCTCCATCATCCAACAAAGCCATCATCATTAACCTTTTGAAAAAAACAACACAAGTTTCCTCACGTGTGTTGTTGTTGTTGTTGTTGTTGTTGTTGTTGTTGTAGTATACTATTGAAGTTGTGAAGTGTTGTTTAGATTGTGCTAAATTCATTAGAACCCAATTCCGAGAAGTTTCAGTTTTTTGTGTTATATTTGTATGTCATCTTGGAATTATTTCTTGTTGTTGTTGTTGATTGATTTCAATACTACTACTACTACTACCACTACTTTTTATCAATGGGATGATGGAATTATTGACTCCTATGCGGATACTACTTACTTAACGAACGCAATGATGGTTCTCATCTTGATTCTTCTTTTACTTTTCCTTCTCTTCTTTTCTTACATGAAAGGAGTTTCAACCACCAGCACCACTGAGGCTTCAACGACTCTATCCTCCCCTACCAGAAGCACCAGCACCAGCACCACCACTACAGATACCACAGAACAGACTCCAATGAGTCGCACAACCACATATCCTCCTCATCGTGATGATGATCGAATGCTTGATGAAGAAGAAGAATTACTCACAACCCATACTTTATTTGAAAGAGGTTTTACAAGCTTGTATGCAAAAGGCATGTTTGCAGAGGCTGCCAAATATTTCGATCGGATATTGAAAAGGTATCCAGATCATATTGAAGGTAGGTTGTTGTGTTAGACACTGCTAATTGACACACGATGATTTGCATGACGATGGTTTATGTGATAATTATGAAATGACATTATTGCTGTCACCCATTGTGAATGTGCTTTCTCCCATCAATCAATGTGACAACACCATAGCTCTCTATCACAAAGGAGTCACACATTATGTGAGTGCAGACTTTAGTGAAACCATCAGACTTGTGAATAGAGTCCTTGAATTGGATCCAAAACATCGTTGGGCTTATGTTATTAAGGGAAATGCTTTCAATGAAAGAGGTGAATACAGGAAAGCCATGGAAACATTTCAAGAATGTGTCAAAATCACCCATGACAATTTTGATGTGGTCTACAATGCAATGGGTAATTGTTACTTCCTTCAAGAAGATTTTCAAGGATGCTTGGCAACCTACAACAAGTCCATCTCACTTGCTTTGAACACCTTTACACTTGCTAACATTCATCCAAGTGATGCCATTTTCAGAGTTTTAGAGAATGATCGACATTTGTTTCAAATTTGTCAGAACGTCCTGGCTCAAACTGCACAGGATGGCATCATTCCATACATTGCTCCAGATTTCTCTAAACTCCAGCTGTCACCTGTTGAGGAGCGATATAAAACCAGAATGTACGAGAGAGTTTATCTCATGAAATATACCACTGCATGTTTGACCATCCTCAATAAGGGGTTGACCTTGGTGTGCATGAACCGATTTATGGAAGCACTTGATTGCTTCTTGCTGATTATTCAGGTTTCACATGCGTTGATGGGAAAGTCGATTTTCAAAGTTGGAAAGAGACAAGATCCCACATGTATGACTGAATTGATTGAATTATTGAACAATGAGGAATACATGCATGCAAAGAACAATGGATCTTTGGCCTATGACAGTCGAACTTCACATTGCATTGCTTATTGCGGTATTGGGATTGTCTGTGAAGCATTGACTTCCAATTTGTATTCCAATGAATGTGGAATGGGATGTCCATGTTCGTCATCCTCATCCTCATCATTATGCAAAGAGTCACAATCGACTCTCACAACATCCACTTCCTCATCGGATATTGCAGCAGATCCCAAACAACAACAACATCGCTCCATGGTCTCTTCTCACAGTGGTTTTTGTCGAGGAACCTTCAAAGACATGCTTTCGTTTAACAAGAAGAATGCACTTTGTAGTATGGCTGATCTATTTTTCGAGAGAGCAGATCGCCTCATTGAGGATACTAGAATGCGAAGAGAAGTTTTGTACTTTAAGGGAGAGGGTCTACGAAACATTAGAGATTACAAAAAGAGTATTGAATATTACCAGAAGGGTTTAGAAATGAATCCATTTGAAATTCGATCCATGATTGGATTGGGAAGAGTATCCATTAATTTACAGGATCTCAAAACTGCTCGACTTACCTTTAAAAAGATTCTTGACATTACCGATTATGATCATCCTATTGCAATGAAATATTTGCAAGTGGTGAAAATGACACCCTATGCTCGAAATGATAAGGCCAATATTTATTGTGACTTGATCTTGCAATGTCAACACTAATCTCTAACCTCTTGAGTGATTGCACGAATCACAATGTAAATAAACTCTTCCTAACGTGCGTCCTTTTCCAATGCATTATGTACCATAAAATTCTTCTTTTTAACATTTTGATGACCTGCACAAAATTTTTTGTTTTTGAATTCTGATCAGATCGTGTGTGTTGTTCCGGTTGACCTCAAAAACGTTTTTTTACAAAAAAATGCAGCAACGAGAGGTTGTGTATGAATTGTCTTCCGATGAAGAAGAATTTCCATCATCTGTTCAACCAACCAATCTTGATCATCATCAGCTGAGAATGGCCAAAAGAGTTCCGAGATTGTTGAGTAGGAGTCGTTGTAAATGCATTTGGAGAAGTTACAATTACTTGGAGAAACGTTCAAGGATTTAGTTGTAAACTCTCCTTTTTCAAGCGCTTCTACTATTTCCATACTTAATTTACATAGCCTCCTTGAAGGAAAAATCAACAACATCAACAGCTAGCCCATCCTCCCAATCAAACAAACCTCAAGGCTCAACTGAGAAGTTGACGTCAACCAGTAAGAAGAGGACGAATTCCAATGACAAGAAAAGAAAACAGACTGGAACTTGTTACAAAGAGCTCTTCCAAACGAAAAAAGATTCAAAAAAAAGTCACACCAAAAGTAAGCAAACTCGCAGTGGAAGGAGAAGAGCTAGAGGAAGATGAATATATTGTTGAAAAAATTTTGGATCATAAAATTGAGGAGAAAAGAAATATTTGATTCTTTGGAAAGGTTATCCAAGATCTCAAGCCACGTGGGAACCTGAAGAACACATTTACAATTATGACCTCATTGAAGAGTATAAAAATAATCTGAAAGCAAAGAAAAAGAAGTGAACATTCATTTTAATGTTTACTCTCGAGAACAACATCGATACATACCCATACTTTGTAACCAAAGAATATTCCTTCTTCATCGGCCAATCTAAAGTAGGAAGAATATACGCCTGGAGTTGAGGGAGCTTGTAGATCAACAGAAACTTGAAATTCTTGTCCAACTCGAATTTCATTTTCTCTATTATTGAGAGCAACAAATTCAGGGGCATTAAGGGGGTTTTCCTTTTTTCCTTTAAGAAACATGAGCTTTGAATTTTTGGGGAGTGTCGTGTGTCCACAATTTTTAAATTTCCACGTTTTCTTGAAATGTTCTCCTGGCTGCATTTTGGTATGGTCAGGGATTGAGAGATCAGCCACAAATGTTGCTAATTTTCGTCCATATTTGTTGCCGTTTGATGGTTGTTCCTCGATGCGTGTTGTGACTTGAGATGCAGAATTTGAAGACGACAAGCACGACAAAGGTGTGCCAGCATCTGTTGGTTCTCTACCGTCATGACTATTTTTGTTTTCGGATCGATCTCGCCTCAAATAGTCATCAATAAATTTAAGACATTTTTCAAATAATTCTTCTCTAGCTGTTTCACTTAGATTGTTAGTTTTTTCCATAATTTTTGAAGTAAATTCTTGTGTTGTGATTTTTGGTGGTGTCGTTTTAGTGGCAGTTGCTTGGTTGTTGTTACTGTGAACAGGAATTGTGGGTAATGGTTTTGGAACGGTAGGTTTGATACTGACGACAGAGGTGGTGGTGGTGGTGGTGGCTGTGTTTGACAAGGAGTTCAACGAGGTTGTATTGTTCTGTCCAACGACAGAATAATGATGATCCATGATTAATCGTAAATCCGAATTTGTTTCTAAACTATGTTTAATTAACTGCAGCAACAAGTCATCAGAATTTACATGTAAAATTTGACCATTCACGTTGTTGTTATTTGTGCTATTCGTTATTATTGTGTTTGGAATGGAATATTTATAAATTAATGAAAAATTGTTTGAACTCTGCTCCGATTGGGTAGTGTAACTGATCCCGATTCCAAAAACATGTCTAATTTTTGCCATTAAAGCATCCAGTAGAGGAGTTGAATCCGTTGTTGAACAAGTCCCCTCTCCCCACGAAAAATAAAATCTTCGAATTTCCGCTTTGTTGATATTGCACACTTTAACAATCACTGTCTCTTCCTCGGAAGAAGGAATTTGCATTTTTTTGGGATAAAAGTTCATAATGACAAAAACCGTCAAAACTGTCAGATTGTTGAAATAGGAAAAACTGAAATCACACAATCTTTTTTATTCAGAGGTGACTTGGAAAATTAAATTCTTAACTCGTTGGGCCATATTCAGGCAGAAATTGTTGTCCACATATGACATTTGTTGCTTCAATAAAATCTTTGGCATTTTGAGTTGGAGAATTTCGTCGAGCAGTTTGTTGAGCACTCCAGTGGTACCTTCTTGTAATAATTGTGTTCGTTGTTCTGAGGTTAAGGTAATTTGTCCTAATTTGTTGACAGAGGTGCTAATATCGTCACTACTGGATTGTAAATAGAAATTAATATGTCTAAATAAAACAGTGAGTGTGTTTTCCAATAAATTAATATGAGTATTGAGATATGAATCAAGTTTCAACAACTTCTTGGTGAGAATGGTTCTGCATAGGAGCTTGGCTTCATTTGGAACAGAATCTTGCTTTTCAAAGAAGCTCATGAAATGTTCTTCACCCAATATTAGATTGGCAGAGCGAACCATATTGTTCAATTGTTCAATTTTAAGCTGGTCTAACTGCTGGATATTAGATTCACAAGTAAATCGTTCTTCCAATACATTATTCAATCTGCTCAGACCATTCTGCAACAACAGACACAGAGTATAGAGAGATGGCCTTTGGTCTGGAGACTCTGTTGTTGATTTACTTGAAGATCGGCCTTGCACAACCAAATCCTCGTCATCAGTCATGGTAGATATGGCTGCTGAAGCGCTATTGGTAGATAAATAATGAGTAAACAAAACTCTACCAATTAAACTCATGCTAGAGTCGGAAAGGAATGAGGGATATTCTGTCACCACTCGACAATAGTTAATGATGACCTTACAAATTTCGTCAACAGCCATCTTTTTTTGCTCAAGTTCATATTCCAACTGAAGCTCAGTATTGGAGTTAATTCCATCAGTTTGTGATAAATTAGCATCCAAAATATTAATTTGAGGCTTTCCTAATTGTTGAATGGTTGAAAGTTTCAATAAGGCATTCAAAAGCAGTCTTTCAAACTTGTTGGAATAAAGCTTCTTTGTGATAATGTCTGGATGAAGAGCCAACAAGTAAAACATCTGACAAACTAATCTTACTAATTCCAATGAGCCAGACTCAACATACACCAAATTTTTCTGAACATTCTCGAGTTTGATTATGGAGGAGATTGCTTTTCTATGCTGGTCAATAAATGACAAAACTTGTTCCGCTACCTTCTTATTGTTTCGAAGGTTTGATTGAATGGAGATAATTAATTTTAGGGCAGGGACCACTAGTTGATTATACTTTTCTGTGATAGAAGGCTCCCAATCTCCTTCATCAATCATGGTATCTTTGTGGTCAACTTTTCTTCCATATTGATGAGAAATTATGGATGGTCTGAGATCAATAAACGAAAAATGAGCTGCCAGTTTTGGAATTAATTCATAAGTAATCATGACTTCACAACTCTTTGGATCAATATCTGCAAACTTTAAAAGAAAAGACATGGCATTCTCATAGATGAATAATCTGTTCAGAGAAGATGCGTCACTTTCATGGAAAGTAGGATGTAACACTTTTGAAAGTGAATGTTTTGCTTCTGTCATGACACTGTCCAAAATTTGTTTCAAGTAGCCATAGTGTTCGAAAAAGTTAATCCATTTTCCTCTTTGTGCAATGTTAGTACTATATAAAAAGAGTGTTTCGAGTAGTGAGAAGGAAACTGTTTTCCAGATGTTCTTGGCGTCGAGAGCATCCTTACAAACCATTGGTAACAGAGAAGTATCATAACGATCCAAGACATGCTCATTGTTCCTTTGCAAATCTTGTATTTGGCTACTTCCAGAGTTGAGTTCATTCTTCTTTGTATATTGAAGATAATTGATCAGCGCTGAATATAAATTTCCTCGAACAGCTTGCTCACTCTGCTCAGCGTAAAGAGTACATTCTACAAGATTTCTGAAAATATTAAGACACTGATCAACAGGAAGCATCAGAGTTTCTCCACTGGTTATTAATTCCTCTCTCAATTTGGACATAATTCTCAAAATTAATTGAGACACACGTAAGTCCAACTTTTGTTGTTCTTTTCCCTTCTTAATTGATTTCATTTGCGATAGCTTGAAGAGAAGAGAATTCATCAAATCATGTAAAATTCTCAAACGTATCTCATCATCGGGTATCATTCCAAAACATTGAGAAAGAGTAATATCAACCACTTGCTTCCATCCAGAAAAAAGCATTGAATGTAGAGGACCAATTCTTTAAAAATTGTTTCCATTCTGCCGATGAAAGGTCATATGGACAATTTGGAGCGGCCAAATTCAAATCAATGGTGTCTAACACTTCCAACATTAGTGCTCTTCTTTGCTCGAAATTCATGGCGTGGCCAAAAATATTGTTAGCTGCAACTCCAAGTAAATCTCCTCCAAATAATATATGAACAAGCTCTTGAACTCCACCTCTGTTGCTATCTCCCTTTTTAAATGCTTTTGTATTGGAGTATAATTTGAGAGCAACAATTCTAATCACAAACGCTCGTTGATTCAAAATATGATGTGCTACCGGAGATGGAGTAATTTTTGTCGAAAAGTTATCATTCATCAGCTTGTCATTCAAGAAACTTGATTTTTCCAAACATGCAAATGTTTGCTGACTCACTCGTCGATCAGCGCATAGTTTGTAGATGAGCTCGTAGCATGATTCGATAAACCTAGGATGAGTCTTTGGCAACCTCTTTGATCTTAGCAAGTGGAGAATAATTGTTAGACATGTCTTCTCATTGAAAATGTCGATCTCTCTTGGTTCATCACTTGCAATATCAAAACCACAAAGCATGTGCGTAATATTTTCTCCTGGAGCGTCGACATTGGCCTTTAACAGCTCTAACATCTTGAGTCTAGTTTCATTGTCTCTTTGACTGTCATCAACTTGTGAATCATCAATGTCTGATTGTTCTCTGTTGTTTTCAAATGTAACTGCATATAGATGTTTTACAAAGAGGCTAACAAGCTTTTTGTCTCTCTTTCTTTCTTTAAATAATCCCACTAAATTGGTGATATTCTTGCTGATTAAACAAAGAATGTTGACAACTCTATATCTAACCTCGTTGTTGAAGGAATAATCCAAGAGATCGACTAATTTGATAATTAAAGAGTTTGGCATTTGATACTCTAATCTCTTGATCACTGCTGGAACATCTCTTTGAGTCTGAGATAAAGTCTGGATAAATGCCTCCTCTTTCAACAACGTCGTTTCAATCATTTGAAGAGCGTATATAACTGATTTTTCCATTGACTCTCCCTCTCTGTTTGTGTTTCTTTCTTCTTCTAGATTAACTCCAATAACGTTGAAAAGCTCTTTTCTGAAAATAGTATTGCTTAGCATATCGCTCATAATTTGGAATCCCGGTGGAGCTTGTAGAAAATTAGGAATTTTAGGTGCATTTTCATCCTCCATTGCGTGTTGAGTGCCAGATTTCACATCACCAAAATCGCTCGAGGAAGGAGAATATCTAGAAAGCAATTTTGTAAATATTTGCAAACATGACTTAGCGACGAGCCATTTTTCGCTGTCCTCCTTGTAGTATCGCTTGGAAAAGTTATTAAAAACGTCTTCTTGAATGAACTTGAGATAAGGAGCAAATCCGGTGATAGGGTAACTTGTACAAGAAATAATAGCATAAATCAACTCTAAAAATCCCAATGTTTCAAAATACTCTCCTTCTTGAGACTCCCTAAAATTGAGTTGATATTTGACTCCTCCAGAGTTAGAAATTTCGTACTTGTCATTTCTAATTTCATATTTGAGAATTTGGAATCTTTCCATCTGAGCAAGAATAACTTGAGCCTCTTTGCTAGGTGGTCCGTTTGATGGCTTGACGAAAGAGGCAAGCGTTGAGAAGACTTGGCCCATAAGAACTGGCGAGAGCTTTGGAACAAACATCAATCCAAAAAGAAGTCCCAAAATATCCCAACTACTTTCTAAAAAAGCAATTCTGCTCTCCTCAGAGTTATGACAAATTTTTTCTACCAGTTTCAGTACAACGTAGACAGAGTCCAAGGTTTTTTCGTCAAAAGAGACGTCTTCCTTGCTCAGCTCGTTGTATTGTTGTTGAAATTGTGGAATCAGTGTTTGGAAAAAGTAGGTCCAACTGAATAATGGGTATGGAGAGTCGCATAACATTCTGAATACATTAACTGCGCCAACAGCGTCTCCACTAAACGAGCACAAAATTCCAATGTAATAAATAAATCCAAGATCAATCTCTTCCTGTAATTTGCAAAGTGAAGTTATGTGTTCACAAAAAGTGTTGGTAATGACATCTCGCAACTCTCTCTGTTCAAAGAATCGGTGTGAATATTCAGGATAATGCATATATATCTCGCTAATCACCAATAACAAACTATTCACATGCTCAGAAATTGTCTCCTCATCTTCGTTCTCTTCAAGTGGTAACCCATCTCTTCTTCTATTTAAAAAGGTTTTCATCTTTTCACTTTGGTCGGCCAGCAATCCTGCAATAACATCGGATTGTTTGATCAGAATACCACACACGAGTTCACTCAACACATATACAATAAACTCTTTGGTTTGTTCAGTATCATTTCTAAACATTTTGCTATTAAGCCAACCTTTTGAGATGAATTCAAAAACCTTTCGGGACAAGCTCAAGTCAAAGGCGTTGTTTGAGTATCCAATAAAGTCATCCTTCTTTGTTGCTTGCAATCCCAAGCTCCACATTAATCCGATAACAGCTTCGTATTGAGGTTTATCAACAAGATTAGGGCTATCTGTACTCTCTATTAAATCACGCAACGATTTGTCAAATTTTTGAATAAATTGAGGCTTGTAAAGAGTATTTGTAGTGACAATTTTTTCAAGTTTTGGATCAAATTTTTCTTTTCCTTCTGTTGGCTCTAAAAGGCAAAGAATTGTTGATGTTTCCATGTACAGCATGTTGAAAATAGATTTAGATCCAATAGGAAGGGCATCTATTAGAATTAATGCATCATAGGTTTGTTCTTCATTTTGATCGGCAATGAGCTGTTGAATTGATGCGTTGAATGTGTTGAGCGAATGTTTAAAGCAATTGAACACATTGTCAAATGTTTCCTCATCACATTGCAAATTGAAACAAGAGAAGAATAAACAATCTCCCAAACTTCTCCTAATAAGTACTTTGTAATTAATTTGTTCAATTGAATTTGTAACTTCACTAGAATCTCCATTTCCTGTAGACCTATAAGTATTGATGGTATTTTGAGATTCATTGATTTGTTTTGTTAATTCATTGATCCTGGAGCAAATGGACTTTATGAGTCCTTCTTTAAGTAAATCAGTTGTTGATTTTGTTATAACTTCCCTGATGTGTGGATTCAACTCCTCATTATATCGTGCTTGAAATAAACAAACAACTGATAATAACAGCTTTAAATATTCTTCATAAAAGAGTTTGATGGAGGCATGATATTCATCAACCCCATATGTTGTTGGCTAGATGTGTTTGTTGTTAGTACAAGTCATAAAGATGATGTCGACATTGTCGATGAAACAATGAAAGAGTACATACTGGGTTGTGCTTGGTAGCAGTGAAAATTAGACTTAGAGCAATCATCTCATTCAGATCGAGTGCATCCGAAACTTGGCAAACTAAAAGCTTGAGAGATTGAGGAAGATTGGACCGAACCCCTTTCACTTCCACATTATTATTTTCGATTTTGCTTCTTGCATCAGGATTCTTTTCCTAAATATTGTTGTTGTGTTTTTATAATTTCGTCATGATGCGATATTCAAATTATTATTATTATTATTCATCCGTGATGACCAACAAGTAATCCTTCAAATCTAAAAGCTACAACAAATTCAAAATACATACACTAAACTTCAAACTCAATAGACTCGATTTATGATGGTTGATTAATTGTTGAAGCTTGGTCGTACTCTCCTTGGTAGGGTCCATAAGACCAACACTACTAATCTTTTCATAAAGATTATAGAAGGAGTCTTCGTTGTCAGGACCGAAGGCGAACATGATGAAAATTGAGTAAGAATTGAAACACGTTGTCGTAATGATGAATGAAATCAATGTCTTCTTTTCACTTCCGCAATTTCTTTGAAGCAGAGGAGAACTCTTGTGATGACGATGATGCTAAGAGAGCCTCTCTTCGAAGGGCGGTAGTATTGTTTTTCTTTTTTAAAAAATTCATTTCTTTACAACCATTTGTCTTGTTGCTCTCATCGCGTTCAATTTTCCCTTCTTCGCTGGCCGAGATGATGATACGAACGAGTGTTGCTTCTGCTGCTGCTGCTTCTAATGCACGTACATCGATACACAGCAGCTCTCACAACAACAATAATCAGTCATCATCTTCTCCGTTGACATTTTTCAGATCGTATCACTACATCCAAAAGTACTTTCTCGGATTGCTGTGTGTTTCTGTCTTGGTGTGGATATTGTTGGGAAATCTGTCGACGAAATCAAACCTCATGAGAAACACAACAACGAAGGATGAGGATGTCAACTATTTGGATTTTATTGGTGGAGATGAAAGTTATGATGTTGTTCAAGAATCCACCCTGGTGGACCAACAGGCACCAACAGTTCAAAACAACCATCGGAAAACCTCACCAACCAATCAAGCACAGACACTACAAAAGGATTCCCATCATCCCAACAACAACAAGCACAACAACAATTATCCGAATAACAATGGCGCCGATACAACAACATTGATTAAGAATACACCCAACCACATCAAACCAACAACGAAACAACAACAAGACGACTTTTGTAAATGCATCGCCAACGGAGGAAAACTCGTTTCAGTATTTCATGACCATCTCAACACCACAGCAGGAAATGCCAAGTCAGGAGGACCAGCAGGTGAACTTGTCTTGTTTTATGGAGTTTTGAATGGTCTTCAAGACATTGCCAATCAGTATGGAATAGGTCATGAAAAGGCTAAATTGTGCCATTTGAGTTTGGATTGGAATGAGGCTAGTTTCAAACAAAGTTTCAATGATGTGAGTGATCGAGTTGCAAAGTGTTCAAAAGAACAAAAGAAAGTAGCAGGTATTGATGAACATTCGGTATTTCATTTGATATTTGTGGAAATGTATTCATTTGATCGTGCACTTACCATGAGAAATAGTCCATCTCGGTGTGATACTGACAGATTCTGCCTTCATTTCAGAGATCACAAATGTCGATATCGAATCATTGATTTTTGGGGAACACCTCCACCACAAAATCATCACAACATGCATTTGAAGCAATACTTGACTCCTTATCCAAATAATTACAATCAATTTATTGGCTATCATCAAAGTCCATGCTTTGAAAATTCACTTTCAGCTCCCATTCAACAATTTGATAAGAATGAGAGGAGAGATTTATTTGATGGACGAGAATCGGCAATTGATTCTCTGTTAAAAGAGAAAATTCGAAAGATGGACCCCAAAATTTCACACCAACTCTCCATCATATTCCATGACATTAAATCTGAATATACAACAGACAAAGAATCACAATTTCTTGAGGTGCTTTCTCAAGTTCAAGACGATTTGGACATGTTTACTGACCCTCAATCACCCTCTTCAGAAAAGATTGAATTTTTAGTTTGGGGCAAGGAGCCAAGATACTTTACAAAACCCGTAAAAGATTTCCTGTCACGTTTGCATTCAACCTTTGCTCCAAACATTGCCATTCATACCACTCTTAAAAGCATGGACCATCCCATTCTACCATTCATTGTTAACCATGGTATTAAGGGAATTGAAGAATGGAAAAGTCTATTAAGGAGCGTTCATTTTGTGATTGGAATTGGAGATCCAGTGGTAGGACCTACTGCCATGGATGCAATTTCTTGGTAAGTGGTCGATTTCTTGAGTTGTTTCGGCTCTTATTCACTCCATGTAACATGATGAATTTTAATGTTGTTCTCTCGAATGGTTGATCCTCTGACCTCTGAATATATTTCTGTGCGTGTTTCCTCTCTCCATATTTTCGTAAATATGTATCAATGATCATATAATTTCACGTGACACACATATCCTACACATTTCTCAAAAATCACCATGTCCTTCCTTTTGTGTATTTCTTTCCAAATGATCTCTGTGTGTTCAACAACACACATAGTGGAGCAATCTTTTTAAATCCAGTCTATGATCATGAACGAGTATTGAACAATTTAAATGGATGGTTCAAACTGAAAAATCAACATCCCTACGTACAACAGTATATTGGTCCTCCCTATTCCTTCCAATACCATCTGTCCAATGAGATTCCCTTCGACAAGTATCACGAAGAATATCTACCAGCCAATGCCTTCAAACAATCCACAACGATGGAGGAAGCTCTCCTTCGTATCATTCATGGCAACTTGTTAGATAAGGTACTTGACCAAAAGCTTCGTCTCAAAGGTTTTCTTCTCAAAGAATATTCTTTAGATTCCATTCAGGAACGTTTGTTGAAGGAAATATTTAATGAGGCTGATTCCTTGTGTGAAAGTAGTACTCCTAGCTAGTAGATCGAATGATGATGATCCTAATAATGAGAAGGAGTGATTTGCTGACTGAGTCCGTCACTTCAAAGCACTACAACAACAACAGGTCATTTTGAGTACTGTTGACATAATGAACTCTTAGTTAGGAACTTTGTAGTGGTGTCGCACATCTCTCTCTGAATGCCAGTCAGTCATACGAAAAACATCAATCGTCAAGATCGATTCATCCTGTGCGGACAAAGAATATTCGTCCACAAGAATGTACTCAGTGCCCTTTGTAGAAGAATAGCAAAAATCACATACGCAGATTCGCACTCGCATTTTTGCGATTTGGATTTTGTGCTCGGGAAGAATATTCAAGGAAAATGGATCCGCCATCAAAAAGAGAAGATGGCAACACAAAACACCAAAAATGTACATGTCAAATGTGAAGAATCTCATCCTGAGCAACAACATTTTCTATGGACCGGCGACACAGAGAGAATGAATATTCTTTCTGATGATTTTTGTACTTGCTACTCTATTGGTTCAAATAAGGAACAGAAAAAGCTCTTTTGAAAAAAAGACTCAACGACCGCCGCCTATTACTTGCAGTGAATTCGACACTTCTGTCAAAAAGATTCAAACCACAAGAAGACCATTGTATTCTCTCTCGTTCATTTCCATTAGGTAAGTGACATTGAGAAATTTCCACAACAATGACCTGTCACAATGACATACATCAAATGTCGAACGGTTCAATCAACTATTGAATCAACACGATCATTATGACTCATTATCCAATTCACTATTATGTCGAATTGATGCTATGATCTGGAAACATGATTTCTGCTTTTATTTGAACATTTTTTCTTTTTAGAAATCAGATTTTAACTCTTCTGATTGATTCTCAAAAGATATCCATCTTGCGTGTGCTATTTCTGCATATTTGTCAAGAGTGAAAGTTTCAGTTTCTCCAACTTGAAAAAAACACAAAAGCAAACACAACCATCACTGCGAGATCAAACTACATCAAGAGTCACTGTCACTTCTACTATGAGAAGAACAACCACCACATCATCATCATCTTCGTCGCCACCACCTTCTTCACCTCAACAACAACAAAACCATTCTCAACAAGCATCCATGCCCTCAAACAGTTCCAACTTTACATATTCTCAAAACAGTGCATCGGGAACAAACAGTCACACTATCAATCACTCGAACAACAACAACAACAATTCAATGCTCTTTTCTGCCATGATGATGGATGCCTTTCAAAATAACTTGAACAACCAACATTCACATACAACAACTTCATCCATTATTGGTACTACTCATCGACCACAAATATCTTTGTATCATTCCTTTGATGACGACCCCTATTGCCCACCCACACAATCTCTCAATAACAACAATAATATTGGAATGCAAAATTACCGTAATGAGACTGGGAACTCGGAACATGATACAAAAAAACGGAAAAATGGGACCATAGAAGATTCTTCCAACAAGAAGATCAAGAAGGATCGTCATCCTTCTCTCACAGGAACCGTTGAGATTGTAGGTGCAACAACCACCTCTCAGAAACCAAAGCGATTGGTATGGACTCCTTCCTTGCATGATCTATTTGTTAAAGCTGTTGACAAGTTAGGATTGTATGAAGCTCGTCCTAAAGAAATTCTTCAACTGATGAATGTGGATCATATTACAACAACACACATCAAGTCACATTTGCAGAAATATCGATCTCAGTTCAAGAAGGGTAATGGTGCCAATCAAAACGTTGCACCTTCGAATTCTAGCAATTCCTTGAACAACCAAGAAGAAAATTCTGCAGATGGTACTGGCGACGAGCAAGATGTTGCATCAGCAAGATTATCTCCAACGAGAGTGCACGTCAAATCAGAGCAACAATCTACTACTAGCCATTCTTCCTCTTCCAGTTCCTCAGGCCATCATCCTCATGTCAATAATCAAGCTAATATGACAACAACAAACTCGTCCAATGCACATACACCCCAGCCAAATACAAACCATGATCTAATTTTTGGCAATTTAAGTGACATGTTCCCTCTGATAGGTCAGCAACAAGTTGAATATTTGAAGGACTTGCTGACTTCAGTCTCTGTGAATGCGAATTCAGCTGGTAATAACAACAACAACACTCTACCATCCACTTCAAACACCACCAATAGCATCACTGTAAATGTTCAACCATCCTTTCCATACAATACGAGCTCAGCAACGACATCTGGCCAGAGTGTCAATACTTTGCCCCCAAATTTTCACATCATCCAAGTGAATAATAATGCATCACCACAGCACCCAATCGGTTTTAATGCAGTTTTGGATCAAAATGGAAATCTCAACACCTCTTACAATCCAATGACTTGTCATAATGACAATGAACATCTCAATGAATATCTAGGAATTCTCAGACAAATTTGCAAGTCTGAGCATGATATTTATCAAATATTTGAAAAGATGCAAGAAGGAGTACGAGATCAACGAGATTTAAATTTTGTTATTGAAGGATTCCGCTTAGGATTCTTGTGTGGAATTAGATTCCACAATAATTTTTCGTCCACAACAAACACCTCCTTCACAACTTCAAATCAACAACAACAACCCACAAACAATGCATCTTCCCCCTCTACCAATCCTTCTCATTCCTACAATAGACACCACCAATAAAATTGTTTAAAACTTTATGAAATCATCCAAAATATTTTATCAACCAAAGATAGGGAGAACCCCAATCTTGACAACGTCACCTTAACAATTTCGACCTTAAGGTCCTTAAAAAATAGTATTGACATTTACAACAGCATAGATCACAAATCCAAATAATATTCCTAACACTGTATCCATGAATGCATGTTGTTTGGTCATGACACAACTACATGCAATAAGTAACGGGTTCAATAAAGTGAAAACTCCAAAGATATGCCACTGTGTGATCGATAAATAGGTAGCTATTGAGCAATGACCTGATGGCACTGTATTCGTGTCATGATCCATTTGATGCATCATTTCGAAAAGATACTTTGTCATTCGATCCAGTTTACCATACTTTTCTTCGTATTTTTTTAATTCCATGCGATAATGAGCTGGCACGTTCGAAGGAAATGTCACAAAAATTAAGCATTGACACAATGTGACAATCAGTAATCCAAATAATATATGAATGAGTTGATTCATTGTGGGAGAGGTTGGAATAATGCATGCCATAATAAATAAATCTCCAAATGAGTATAAATAAATCGAATGAGGTATGAAAGGAATGTATCGATCAACAAAACAATCGACATTGAAATATTCTGATTTGCTAAATGTGGAAAGTGCCAATTGTTGAGCCTTGTATGATCATTTCACAATTTTTTCACATCCACATTCGGTTGGTTCATGTATTTCAATTCATAAATTATTGTGTCATTATTGTATGATGATTTAATTGATATATATTTTCAATTAAATTCATTCAAAAAATTAATATTGCAAAAAATAATAATAAAAATTAATATTCATTCGAAAAAAAAATGTTCCTCTAAAAGTAAACAAACATTTAAAGACATCCTCATTATTTCATACTCACTTTAAAATAAAATTGAAATCCTCCAATCAAAGCCGACACACTCACAAAACAAGCAGCTGTATATTCCATCAAAGTAAATTCATTCCTTCGCATCACATAATGACCTAGTCCATATTGTGACAATGATATGAAAAGAACCATGATTAAAAATACAAGAATATCTTTTGGTTGAATGATGTGATGATGACATGGAGAAGGATGCAAAGAAGAAGCTTTCACATCTTGTTGTTGAAGGATTGAAACCATTTTTCCATTCACAACATCATCATGGGCCTTCTCCTCACAGTGATGCAATTCATTGGAGCCAATCGTGTGTCCGGGTTGACACAGCTTTGTCCGAGTCGTGAGAGCCACATCATTGGATGCTTCGGAATGAACCATCATCATCATGGGAGTGGATTCTCGAAGATTCATTTTTTTCTCATTGAGTTCATAGGAACTTGATCATTTTGAACGATTTTGGAAATCATGGATTTTAGCGAATCAAGTGCGTGTCAATAATGTTCTCATGTTTTATTATTTTTTGTCTAACTCAATATTTCTCCATCAAGTTTGTATTCATAAAATAAATATTTCACAAGTTGGAATGGACAGGATTGGGTTTCCATATTAGGTTTAAGCATTAAGATCACCAAATAGGATTGAATTTTCTCTCCCTCATGAAATCCTTGAAAAACTTCATGATCATTGATAAAAGTGTGCCAAATTTCTGAATATTCTTGTTTTTTCGTTTGAACAAATTCATGAAACCATTCAATGACTCCATTTGTAGCTTTCATGTTGGGACAACTCTCCTGAATGGAATCATGGAATGAAAGTGAGTACCAATCGTGTCTTTTGTGTGCAAGTGCCAATAACAATCTTACAAAGAAATTTCTTATAAATTTCACATGCAACAAACCCTTTGACCAAAATTGGAATAAAGTTTGTTGTAATTCTGAATTGAAAAATGCATCAAGTCCTTTGGGAACTGGATCTTTAACCAACTGGTTAGAGTCTCTATAATGATTCAGAAAATAGGTATCAATATATCTCAATTTAAATTCGCCAAACGTTGTAATAACTTTACAGATATCATGACTTTGATCAGTCTCAAAACAAGAACTCGTTAAAACATAATTAAATTTTTTGTCATAAATTGTTGGATCCAATGGAATTGGTGCCTCTTTTTGAATTGTTAGTTCCACTGCATCCACGAGAAACAATTTTTCAATCATTCTCTTCTTTGATGCAAAAAAGCTTCCTTCAAAATGAATCACCATGTCGAAATTAAATTCATCATAGGAATAGGTGAAAATTCGTTGTGTCCACAATATTGAGCTCACCACAAAATTGTGCTGATTGTTGTCATGATCTTGTTGTTGACAACTGTCCTTTCGATTGAACCATTGACCATGATTCAAATTAGCCCAATAACATATTTTAGCCCACAAAAACGAAGGAATGTAATCCAAAACCACATTAAGTTCCTTGTTCAACATGGGAGTAACATGCGGCATTGAACGATAAAACTTTTCAGAAAGAAATTGTCCTGCAAGATCTTCCTCAAAATCCATTCTTGTTTCCATCATCATGGTGTGATTTGTTTCACCTTGAAAAACATTCCCTTCACGAAACGCACAAAAGTAAGGATGTGCCAATCCAGTACGAACTGAATTGCAGGCTTTTGCAATGGAAAAGAAGAGTTTGATGGTTTCATACGAAGACGATGATGATAACGAAAGAGAAGAAGGGACCTTGTGTTCGGATGGAAGGCTCAAATGAAATTTACGAATGAGAACATGATACTGAAAGGCATTCCATCCCTTCCCCTCGAGCATAATGTGCTCATTCCATAGTTTGCAAACCAACCGAAGGCCAAGCACATGATCAAGCTGTAGAAATCCACTCATCACGATGAAATGAAATAAATCGGAAGGATCAAAAACGGATTGAAACATTTTCAATCGAGTTGTTTCAGAAGAAGGAAGATTCCTGAGAGGAGGAAGAGGAGGAAGAGGAGGAGGTGAGGAAGAAGAAGGATTCATCATTACCACCATCGCTGACCTCTCTCTAAGATTCTGAGCATGCTCGATTTTCTTCTTTTTGAACAGAGAACCAACGTTGGTGTGGAACATTCTCGCATGTTGGAACCTTTTTTTTTGGTTGGAGAGTCTTTTTCCACATGTTGTTCAAGATTGCAACACATCCATTATAGAGATCAACATAAGGCGTTGCGAATTTATCGTTTTGTTGCTTGAATTTCTCAAATTTTTCTTCCCATAATCTCAAAAACTCTTCCTTTTCTTTGAACAATTCTTCTTCTTTTTGTTTGAAATAAATTGAATTTGTTTCTGACATGGTTTTCAATCTTTCTACAAGCTTTTCAGAAGAGGCAAATTCTTAGAATTCGTCCATATCTTTCTTCAGTTGAATAGAAAACTCTCGTTTAAGTTGACCTACAGGTATTTCATAAATCTTCAATGAATTGTTGGTTGTAGGTTGCACGAACGGTGGAGGCATTATTGGTTTTGTCACTCTTTGATGACATGTCGGTATGTGGGAATTTTTGTGAAGGAGTGACAATTGGAGTCAAAAAGCTAGGTTGTTTCGGAGTAATCATGAACTCAGGAGGGTCTAAACACGTATCAGCTGTCAGTAACTCTTATGCTTTTTCTTCAATTTTCTTGAATTTCAAGTCCAAGATTGGAGATACGACACCTTCTCCTTTTCTTTTTCTTGGATTTTTCTTCTTCAATACTTCCTTTTGTTTCTCGTATTCATCGATCAGTTCTAATGCTCCAAAAGGATGTCAGACTGTTGTTTCAAAGTCCATACTCCCCTGACTACAATCCAATCGAGTACTGTTTTGGATGGCTCAAAAAGCGATTGAAGGATTATGAATTCTCTACTGAATTGCTTCCAAATATCCTTGAACAATGTATTTCAGAATTGCCAGTCGAGATAGTGAGAAATTTCGTGTTATTTAGTCAACAACATTGGTTTAATGAAAATAAAATGTAAAGTTTGATGAAATTTGTGAGTTTGTATTTGATTGCGTGTTCGATTTTAAAAATATTCGCCACATTCGCATTTTTGCACTCACCAACTCGCGTTTAACGCTCAACATTAAAAATGCGTCTTTATTCGACTCGCATAAAAATTTGCGTTTTTTCTGTCCGAGGTTTTTCGAGAACAACAATACTTATTGGCATGATTTAGAAAAATGGCGCCAAAACACAATACAATAAAAATTGAACCACTACACAACACCATGCAACCTTCATCACCCTCTTCGAGCGTAAATACTCCAATCAACAACAACAACAACAACGGAGGAGGAAATTCCACCTCGCAAAACGATGAGTTTCATGACGAATTAGCTCGAGATATTAAAGAACACTTGATGCAACAACAACAGCAACAACAACAATCAAAAGTTGAAATTAAACGACAAGTCTCCGAGGTGGAAGCTGAGAAGGAGAGAAAAAACTGGCTCATTCATGTGTTGTATACTCGGCAAGATATTGATGAATGTTTACAGGTCATTGATGAGCAAATGAAAGCTTGCGAAGGTCGTTGTGAATTTGCCTTATACGTTAAAGGCTTGATCAAACGACAGCAAGGTGATATCGCTCAATCTCTCCAATTATTTCAACAAGCATGTATTCTAAATCCAATGAATCCTCAAAATATAAAACAAGTCGGAAAGAGCTTGTACTTGTTAGGTAAATTCAAAGAAGCGATTGAAATTTATGACGAGGCCAAAAAAATCTCTCCACAAGACTGGGAAATTTACCATAACAAGGGTTTGTGCCATGCAAACTTGGGTGAATTTGAAAAAGCAGAAGACTGCTATCAGAGGGCAAACTCTATTCATCGTCATGACATCACATTCATTGAACTCGGTAAAATTTTCACAATTCAAGAACGGTACGAAGAGGCCATCGATATATACCTTGAGGCACTTGACTTTTCTCCTGAAAATCCCGAACTATTAAGTACTGTGGGATTGTTGTATTTGAGGATTGGTGATAATTTGAAAGCTTTTGATTATTTGGGAAATTCACTCTCACATGATCCTTCAAATCCAAAAACCATTCTTGCTACAGGCTCAATTATCCAAGATCATGGAGAAATGGATGTTGCTTTGAGCAAGTATAGAATTGCAGCGAAAAAGAATCCAAACTCGGCGCAGCTTTGGAATAATATTGGCATGTGTTTCTTTGGCAAGTTGGACTATGTGACTTCGATCGCATGTTTGAAGAGAGCTCTCTATTTGGCACCATTTGAGTGGATCATTTCTTATAATCTTGGTCTTGTGCACTTGAATACCAAACAATATGCATCTGCCTTCCATTACTTTTCGACTTCTATCAATTTGAATCCAAATTTCGCGAGCACTTACATGTATTTGGGGATAACACTGAATCGATTGGATGATTTTGAAAATGCTTGTTCAGCCTATGAAAAAGCAATTGAAATGGAGAGTGACTATTTGTTTGAATTGAATTATGCCATTACACTTTTTAATCATCAACAGTTAGAGCAAGCTCGTGTTCACTTTTTAGAATTTGAAAGATTATTCCAGGAGGCTCATTCGGGCGAAGAAGCCGAAGAATGTGACGATGAGTACATTTTAGAGGCAAGGAAAAAATTATCAGCACTACTCTCTTAATGTGTTTGTGATGGTGCAAATAAATTGACCATTGTTATTCTGCATCATCAGTTTCTGAACACGAGGTTAAGAAAAGAAGAAAATGGGTAGAGAAGTGGTCAACACACTAGAAAATTTATCATTTCCGAAATTGAAATTGAAATCTGTATGAAAAGGTGGCACCTCAGCTGAATAATGAACTCTTCTTCGTTCAACAAAAAATGACGAAAAAGAGTTCTTCTTCTTCATCCTCTACAAAGAAGAAATCGAAATTTGATTCATGGTCGCAACAAGAGAAGGATCTCGTCCGAAATGCTGTTCTCTCCATTCATGAACTCTTTCCTACCCGAACTCCGAATGAAATTTTAAAAATCTATTTACAAGAAGACCGAGATGAAGGTCAGACCATTGGCCGATTGATCATGATGCAAGAGGATGAGATGATGCTCTCCAAATCCTCTTCTTCTGAGAATGATACTTCAATAACACACGATGATACAAGTGGAATCAATCAATCATTGTTGTTGGATCAACACGAACATATTCCTGAACCACAGCAAGGAAAGTCTTCCGAAGAGGAGATTGTGATTATTGAAAATGAAGGAGTCACTGGACAAGAAAAGAAGAACATTAATAGCGAAGATCAAATGAATCATGACAAGAAGCATGAAGAGGAGCCACATGAATGTGTTGACGATGATTATGAGCTCGACAGCAATGATGAAATTCACGATGAAGATGTCGATATTGAAGAAGAAGAAATAGTTTATCGAGATCCCAACGAAGACGAAGAAAACGTTTTTGCATGTGACGACAATGATAACATTGTGATTGAGCTTGTAGATGCCTCTACTTACGATGAAGAACAAATTCAATCACAAACGATTGCTTCTGAATTACGTAGAAATGCTGTTGATCCTAATTATATCATTAACATTTCAAAAGAAGAAGAAACGTTGGAACATTTATGGGAACAATATAAGAAACGAAAGCAAGACTCAAAATCATACAAAGTGTTGATAGATGAATATGACATTATGAAAGAACAAGAAACTGAAATTCAACATACAAAAGATTTGCTTCAATTGAATCCTGTTCAAGAGATTGGATATGGAGATGATTTCATTTTGGCCATGTTGAAACAATATCGATGGAGAGTGGAGTCATTCTCACACGACTATTGGGAACATGGTGAAGAATTTGTGTGTAAAAAATGTGGGGTTCCATGTGAAGCGTTTAAGGCCATATTTCTGGGTGAATCAGGAAGCGACTCTTCTCAAAATATCCAATGCAATGAAGAGGAGGACGATCCCACCTGTCCAGCATGTTTCTGTGACGACGTACCAATGAGAAAGAACCCAGTATGTGGCCACAGGTTTTGTGAACCATGTTGGAGAGGATATTTGGAAGTTAAAATTAAGGAAATTTCTGGATTAGGACAGACAAGAATTAATTGCATGGAATGTAATACTGCACTTACGCAAGACTTTATATTTTCATTCTTTAGTAATGCCCAGACGTTTAATGCCAAGCGCGAGAATGAAAGAATCAAAATGAAATATATTGAGAACAGGGTTGACACGTATGTGAACGATCACTTTATGGTGACTCGATGCCCAAATGCTCCTGGATGCAAATGTGTCATTAAAAAGACAGTCGATATCCCACTTCACAAAGTACGGTGCGTGCCATGTGACACATTGTTTTGCTTCCAATGTGGAAAATCTCCTCACTATCCAGCAACATGTGAAATGTTTGAAGAATTCTCAAAGAAATCATCGTCAATGACAGAAGGAGCTAGTTATGATTTTATTCAAAAGAACACCAAGCCATGTCCTAAATGTAAGAGATTAATTGACAAAAATGGAGGTTGTAATCACATGACATGCTCAATGTGTCATCATGAATTTTGTTGGCTTTGTTTTGGAAATTGGCATAACCACAACTTTGAAGCTTGTAAGGAAAAAATTGTACAATTTACTTCAGAAACTCTACACCTTGACAAATCCGGAGAAATTCAACAAAAACTCTACAAGCATTATATTTACTATCAGGAAAAGATGGGTGAACACAATCGATGGTTAGAGCGTGAAAGATCCAATCATTACATGAAAAACCAATTACAACAATTTAAGGCAGATGTTTATGTCCACACCGATGTACCATACAAGTATTTATTTTGGGTCGATGAAGCTTTAAAAACGGTGAAAATAGCTCGAAGATTCCTCTATGGAGCTTATGTGTATGCCTTTTGTGCATTTAACATGGAATTGGTTCAATTAGATATTATTTCCAAACGATCTGGTCATGATTTAATCAAGAAGAAGAAAATTAAGGAAAGTCAATTTGCTCTCTTTGATACACATATTTCGAATTTAGAAAAGGCAGTTTCACACCTTTTGGTGAAACTTGATTTTATGACAGACAATTCATGGAGTAATTACATGACAGATGTTTCGAAAATGAAAATCTATGCTGAACAATACATTATGAAACCACATGTCGATGCTGTGACTAAACAAGTGGAAGGTTTAAAGTCTGTCATTGAGAATATAGAAATGTCCAAGTTGTAAGAATGACATTTGAGGAGTTTCCATGTTAATTAAACATAATGACTGTTTTCACTGCCACCAACGTGTGATCACGTCACAGAAACACACATTCATAAGAACCAACAAAAAAATGTCCAAACCACAACGTTGGTCAGCACTTCTCCATGCAATTTGTTTTCCTATTTTCGTATGACAAAATATTGATTACAGAAATTGTGAACAGTTTTTCAAAAGGACGTGTTTTTGTACTGCAAAGCCAACAATAACATGTTATTATTCGACCGGTAATCCATGACAACCTCTTTCGTATTTAGATGAATGTCATGTACTTCTAAAAATGGAGAACACATTTCCTCTTCTCTTAATTTGTGAGAATTGCTTTCACCTGCGCAGAATTTAATGAGGATTGTTGAAAAACCCTTTCCAAAATCATAGCCAAACGCACTGCATTCCATTCATTCTAGAAAGGAAACTATTTCACACTCACACTTGAACCACCACTTTCTCATACCATTATCCCTTTTCAGATTCAACTTGGATTTTCTATGAATTCTTGCATCACACTAGTCGCAGGAAAGTCGTTCCATTCGAACAACGTTTGCCTTTCACAGCAGACAGAGAATTTTTGTTGCTTTAAAAGCGCTCTTCGTGCAAAACTCTTCGCAAGCAAGGAATTGCCAAATCAACCAAATTCGTGCAAGTACTACCAAAAATTGTATATATCCAATAGCGTATGTTGTTCCGAATATGTGTGGCATAAACATTTTGTTGTTGATGGTAGTGGTGGATCATTGATGAAGAGGCACCAGCAGCAAAATCATCAGTGGGTGACATCGAGTGAGAGCGTAAGAACACAAAAAACAACAACACACGAACGGCAGATAGAGAATTGCCCACGTTCGGCGTCAATATTGGAGGAGTAACTGTTCAGTAGATTCACAATACGAGCTTACCGAACAATCTCTCTTGTAGATTCGAATCATTATATTTCATAATTTGCATTTGTGAATCAACGTGTTGATGATTGGTGTCAAGAGCGTTGGTGCTGCATTGTGTAATATCACACAGAATTACTCTCACTGAGATACATCATCTCTGACTATTTTCAAATTATAATATCGCGCACTGTTTTACTAACAACAGCAGCAAGAAAGGTATTGAGCGAGGTACTTGTCTCTCTTGAACAATATACACGTCGATCGACACGAGTGGAGAGCTGAGAGATTTCAATTGATCCTCATTATATTCATCAAATCAATATCTCTCGCCGTGAGAGCTCAGCATCATATCCATCTAAAATCCATCAACAGAAAACTAGATTTCAAGTGGTATCACATCACCAATTTCTGTCTCATTACAGAGAATAATCATCCTTTTGTGGTTACCAAATATAATATTTGTAAGTATTTTTCAACATCTCCGCATGCCATTGTTGATATAAACCTATTATAATTCATCTCTTAAATGACGGATACCTCCTTGACACATGCTTACCTCAAACAATGATTCTGAAACAACCATTCCTTTGATTGTTGTCGAATGTTTGTCTTTTCTTCTCTTGGCGAAAAAAAAAGAATCTTTCTTTATACCTCAATAATTCAAAAAAGCTCTTTTGGTTGTCTCATCATCGATTCTCCTTGTCACCGCTCTGCCCAATCAATCACAAACTCAGTTTTTTGTTACATCACTCAAGTGTACACAACGTTCATTACAATGAAAAGGTCATCCTCCACACACATCTACACAGCCACGCCCAACAACAGTTTCACTCACGAGGAGAACTTTTCGAAGATAAAAGACTCGTGTGCCTCTGAGCTAGGAGAAGAACAACAACAACGACCTCATCAAGATGATGACCCATTGATGAACAATTACTCGAATTCTTCATCAAGCACTACCACTCCTACCAACAATAACAATTTGATGGAATTCATATTCCCTCAACGAGAAGCCTCGGACGAACATCCAAACACCGATATTATGGCAATGATGATGATGGAAGAGAGTCATCACCCCGAGGACGACGAGATGGATTGTTTTGATCTCTCGACAACCATCCGTGCATCCGCAGGAGGTATGAACTATCAACAGGAACAACAACCATTGAACCAACCATACCCCTCAAATCGCAACCTCAACTACTCCAACAATTCTCAATGGGCCTCTCTCCCTGAATATACTTTTTTGGATGAAGAAAACATTCATTCATCGACGACGAGCTTTAACAACAACAACCACCACCACCACTTGAACAATAACAACAACAACAACCCTCTAATGAGCTCTACTTCAACCATGATGAATCCACTCCTTCTCATGGTTCCCATAAGTCGTACAAGTTTGGATTCATTATCTTCAACGACAACAACCATCACCACCACCACCACCACCACGACAGACTCATCCTCCTCTCCTCTCTTTCCTCTCAATTTATCCTTTGATGAGGCTGAATTGAATGTCATTGAAAAAGCCTTCTTCTTTCATCATCAGGATCAACATAATTTTTCTTCTTACAAAAACAATTCCAAAAATTACAACAGTCCTTATTCTTCCTCTTTTCTTTGTACAACCTTACAACAACAACCTCCTTATGAACCTCATCATCAGCAGAATCAACAACAACAACAACAAGGACCACTCATTATGGGTGAGGAAGGATTTATTGGCTCTTCCTCCACTGCTTCAGTGGTGAATTCCATTGGACAACAGAAAGAAGAAGAACAACGGCAATCCCTCCATACGAAGATGCCATCCTTCTCTTCTTCTTCATTGCCTTCTCCACATTCTCAATATGAAGATTCTTCTATCATGAGGATGAGAGGTGCCATGGTTGTTGGCTCTCAACCATTTCAAGCACCACAGCCATCATCAGCCTTTACCTTTAACCATTCCTCACCCTCTTTCAACAACAAGAACACTCTCAACCACCACTTGAATCACAACAGGAACAAACAACGAACCAGTAGCAACACGCGTTCATCATCATCCTCCAAGATCAATCCCTCTCTAAGGAGGAGAAGTCAAAGTTTTAGCTCTTTTTCTTCTTCTCAACAACAAGATGAAGCACTACTACCTTCCGTAACCTTTTTCAATGCAAATTCTCAGTCACAACAACAACCATTGACCATGACATTGAAAAAACAAAAGGCATTGAGTACAATGGGTTCTTCTTCTACCTTAATGGTGCCACAACAAGCACATCAACGAACGCTCTCTTCACCAAATTCTTCTTCTTCTTCTCCTTTTCTTAGGTTTCATAATTCTTCTCCCAATAGTGTTGGTAGTAGTGGTGGCGGTGGAACGCCAACAAATGGTGATTTGAATTACATGATGAATCATGTTTCGCTTAATAGTCCAAGTTCGAGTGGTAGTAGTAGTGGTGTTGGCGGTGCAATGGGTTTGAATCAAAATATTGCCTCACCTTCGACTAGTTCTTCTGTATCGACAAGTTCTTCACCGACACTAGAGAATGGAGGAAACACTAGTGGGAAGAAGAAGAGAAAATCAAAGTTATTTAGAGGTCATTTTCAAAGTACGAGCACTTTTTCTAAGGTAAGTTGAAATTATCATTGGCAAATCATGTGAGTAACACATAGCTGTCAATGATCAGGATGACAAGTGGCAGTTTCATACATTCAGCAACGGACAAGATGATTCCAACGATTTGGTGTTTTATCACTTCTTACCTTCATCTGCCAAACCGAAAAAGAAAGAAAAGAATTTACAACAATAAAGAATATCACTTCCTTCTCAGAAAATGGGTGTTGATGCCACTTGTCAAAATGTCGTTCACAACAAAAATACCTCAAATGTTGCTGCAACAAACAACCACTCAACACCAATCCATCGAAAACAATCCAAGCAACACATCCGAGTCCGAGTCCTCCTCTCAAGATGCTCTCCATCGATCTCTCTTTTATGCCATTCACTCACACGACACTTCACTTTTTTTGAAACTTCTTCATTCATCATCAAATTCATCATTACTTTTAGTGAGAGATGAATCAAGAAGAGCATTGCCACTTCATTGGGCATGCTATTACGGATACAATGACATGATTGAACTTTTACTACAATTCTCCTTTTCCGATTCTTTAATTTATCAACAATTGACTTGCACGACACAAGATGAGGAATTACAAACTCCATTCATGTGGGCCATTCAAGGAGGACATTTGAAAACGGTTCAATTATTGGTCCATTTGTATGACAAGTATGTTTACAAGATGAATGATTCATTCCATTCAACAACAACAATGACAACAACAATGACGACGACAATGATCGTTACACAAAATTCCAAAGAAGAGATCAGCAACAAAACTCGTGATCATCATTCCGAGTGTTTGGTGTTGAATCAATTATTTAAAACTCATGTGCACCATTCGAAATATAATCTATTAATCATGGCCATTCAAGATCGTCACACATGTCTCGTTCAATATTTAATGTATCATTTGTTGTTGCAGTCACCACCACAACGATCGGAAATGATGACAACACGATCATCATTGAATGACACAATGATTAAAAATTTATATTCAAATCCACAATTTTTAGATAAGGACAATCACACCATTTTGCATTGGGCGTGTTATCAGGGACATTTCGATCTGGTGAAATACATGATTCAATTTTTGAAATTTTATTATGTGAATTCATGTGAATCACAACATGATCACTTTAACACGACATTGAATTCCAATCTAACTTTTAAGGATTTAACATTTTATGAATGCATGTTTCAATTATTGACAGCAAAAGATAATTCTCATCGAACCATTTTTCATTGGGTTGCCCGAAAAGGTTATTTAACAATCATGAAATATATTTTATTAGAATTACTCGAAACGGAGAGAATGATTAGATTATTACAACTTAAAAACTCCATGTTACTGACAGATATTTCCTCAGTGACAGATATTCTCATGCATGAGAAGGATCTCATGGGCTCTACTGTGATGGATTATTTACATCAATCACTTCTTGAAGATCACAACAATGATGATCTTGCTATATTTTGGAATCGATTGAAAATGAAAGAAATGGTGGAAGAATTGCTTCATTTATATCACAATGGACAAGTCTATCATGAAGAAAACAAGGATGATGAATATCAGCAACAACATCCACAGACATTTGAAGACAAAAGTCACAATACCGAACAGCATTCACATGAACCATCACTCCTCTTCGACATGAACCTCTCTTCACAGGAATCTAGTAGTACTGATCATGATGCTTTGATTACTCACAAAAATTCCTCAACGATTATTCCAACAAGACATGACATGTCTCGATGCTTTCATAATCCTGAACGATTACTTACTTTGCAAGCCAACGAGTTATTAAGTCCATTCAGCTCTTCAAGAACAGATTCAACGATCAATCTCTCCATTTTGACATTACTGCTCAATAATTCCAAATATAGTAACAATAGTGTGATGAGAAAAGCTAGAAAACGACTATTTCTGACTATTGGGACATTTCCCTTAGTATTTGTGATCCTTAATGTGTTTTCTCCATTGTGGATCTTTGTCACGAGTTTAATCCTTGGAATGGGTTATATATTTTTCACACACCACACAAAAAAGAATCTTTTGGATGTTGTGAAGGGTTCAACACCCATCGTGTCATCATCAGAAAAACAACAACATCATCATTCACACCAGAAAAAGGATGTTTTTTATGTTGGAATTTTTTTGGGTTCCTTATTCTATTATTGCTTGGCGTTTTTATGTTCTATTTATCCTAAATTGGAGAGTCAGCAACAACCAGTTATGATTCCATTTGTAAGGATGATCATATTTTTATCTTTTATAGCATATTCCACTTATTTGTGGTATCAGTTGACATTTAAGGCCAATCCAGGATATTATCAACCAACTTACAATGGAAAAAACTCTCCAAGTGCCATTGATTCTATCTTTTTCAGTAGAGATGGTTATCATGTGCTTGAACAATCGAAACATGACCTACATGTGCTTTTAAGTAATAACTATTCGAACGATGAAGGTCATCACAATGTTCCATTTCTCACCTCTTCCTATTTCTGTAAAGAATTATTGATAAGAAAACCAGTGAGATCTCGTTATGACAGAATGAGCGAACAAATTATTTGTCGTTTTGATCATTATTGTGCCTATATGTTAAATTCCATTGGAGAACGAAATCATTTCATGTTCATGAAATTTGTGACATGTGTCATGGTGTCAACATTAATTTTTTGTTATTATGGATTGAGTGTCATGATGACATTCAATAGGGATGTAGGAAGTGCAAGAAACGTCACTGATGAAGAGGATGAAGGATTTCTAACATTAATTTCGATATTTTTGAGAGAGAAGATTCACATTTTGATTCCAACCTCTTACTTTGCCTTATTTTTAATCTTCTCATTCATATTGTGGACGCAACAAATTTTCTTGATTTTATTTAACAATACGGCGTTCGAGATGATGAGACCTGATAAGCATGTTTATATTATTCAAACGAAACAATATTTGAATTATTTAATGTTGAAAGTGGAACGCCACACAACAAATCCCTATCTCATCATGCTTTTTAAATTCTTTGCAAAAGCTTTCAATCCTCGAACGTATCAACTGAATCTATTTGACAGGGGAATTTTAGAAAATGTGAGAGAATTCATTCAGACTGGAAACCTTCCATCTAACATGCCCTCTCGATATTCCAGTTTATTCCAGCTCGAATTGAATCCGTTTGTGAGGGACTTTTGTCAGAAATATGAGGTGACGATTCCATCAACTTTGTATCAGGAAGTGTAATGATCTTTGATGATGTTATGCAGAAAAAACACAAAGAGTTCACAATATTTCACAATAAACCACATCAAACAAAGCTCCAATTTTATGATGACCAATTTTATCAAGGAAGTAGTTGTGAATTATTTCTGCATTGAACTGAGTCCCTTATTAAAAGTATGGTAATAAATAATTTCAATTCTTCTCACAATATCTTTGGCATCTGGTCTTTGATTGGGATCCAATTGCAAACAATCAGTCACAATCTGAGCCATACATTGCTGATACAATTGTTGATTGGTTAGAGATGAATTAATGATAATATTTTCCGGATAATTCTGTTGGGAAGAAGGATCCAGAGTGTTGTTGATGTCAGATGTGGCTCCACTTGTTGAGCCCTGAATGACAGTAATGGGATCATGATCTTCGAATAAATAATCCTTCAGTAAGTTTTTGACATAATTTGGATTCTTAGCCAATTCATCTCTAAATTTTGGTAAATGATTTAATTTTAAAGGTGGCACCAATAATTGATACACAACCACGCCATAGGACCATATATCGACCTTATTTGTGTAATAAAAATAATTTGAGGTAGTAGAAGGATTGTTTGTTATAGAGCTAGTAGTTGTGTTAACACTAGAAGTAGTGTTTTTGTTGTTGGAAAATGATCCTCCATTTGTTGATTGTTTCATTGTTGATGATGATGTTACATGATTGTGTAACTTCTTTTTCTGTTGTACAACGTGATGATTGTAATATCCATACTTGAATATTTCAGGTGCAATGTATTCTTGAGAGCCACAAAATGTTTTTGCATTGCTCACATCGACTTGTTTGGCATAATCGAAATCAGCCAATTTGATGATTAATTTAGATTGTTGTTGTAAAGAAGGTGAAGTTGACCCTTCCTTATTATTCATGGAGGATGCTTGAGGACTTGAATGAGAAGGTGATTGTGTATTTCCACTACCACTAGCATTCATATTATTATTATTTAACACAACTTTTTTCAGCAATATATTATCAGGTTTCACATCTCTGTGTATAATGTGACACTCATCATGAATATATTTCAATGCTTGTGCTATATGAAGTGTCCATTGAATTTGATAATTCATTGGAATGTCCTGTTTCAAATCAAACAATTTCTGTAACGAAGTGGTACAAAATTCTTGCAAGATATTCAAAAATTTGCCTGCAATGTTTTGAGAAATAAATGTATCGTAATATTGAACGATATTTAAATGTTGTAAATCCATTAATGTAATGTTGGTGTTTTGATGAGAGTGTTTGAGAGAATTTGTTGTTGTTGTTGTTGAGGAGGAGGAGGATGAGGAAGAGGAGGATGGATCGGTCGAGGAAGTAGGAGGTGATGATGATGATGATTGAAATTCATTCATTGTGGTAGAAGTGGAAGGAGATGATTGGAGAGGAGAAGTGGTCATATGATCATCTGTATGTCCTTGATCATCATGATGATCGTTGAAACTCGTAGTACTTCTGCTACTACTACTACTACTCACGACAGCTGTTGTTGAAGGAGGACGAGTCGCTTCATGAAGGTTTCCAGTCCTGTTGGTGGTAGTGGTAGTGGTGATTGTTGTTGAGGACGATGAGGAGGAGGAACATGAGGATGATGAGGAAGAAACGCTACTCTCTCCACTTTTCCTATGATGAACCTTGTTGTTTTGATTTTGCTTGATGGACCTCATCAACAACAAATTAGATCCGTAACAAGAACAACAACAATTATCATCCTCACCACCACCACCACCACCATCACCGTTATTGGCACCACCATCATCATCATCCACCAATTTAATTCTCTTGAGAGCATAAATTCCACGAAGCTCACTCGGTTCAATCAATTCAATTTGCCAAACATCACTACTATTGGAGGCTATCAGACCATCATGATGACTCGTATCACTCAACTTTTTCAAAGGCTTGTAAATGTAGTGTTTGTTATTGGTACCGATGAGTGAGAAACTGTTACCAGAGGTGGGTGTACTCTTGTTGCTGGAGTTGTTCTTCTTCTTTCGAGAGGAGCCGAAAATAGATTTATGAGGAGGATTAGAAAGTGGAGCTCGAGAGGAGGATGACGTTGTTTTGGATCGTTTGTGATGATGAGATGATGAAGAAGAAGATGATGATTGAAGAAGAGGAGTGGAGCTACTAATGGAAGGGTCTCGATGAGAAGAGCTGGTGGTGTTGGCTGTGGTGGTGGTTGTCGCGACATGATGATGATCAACACCATTAGAAGCTCCATTCGTTGGAGGATATGAGAGAATGCGTTGATGAGTACTCGAGGAAGTATGTGAAGAAGGATTGTTATGATCACCCAGACATGAAGACCACTTGAATTTCATGATGATGAAAACGGAGTGTTCGTTGGGTTATGAAGCTAAAATAGATTGGAGAGTAAGATTGGATCCAAATTCACACTTGTTGATTGGTCAGCAAGGTCAACCAACAACACGCGAATGTTGCTGAGCCAATTGGAGGTTTCTCTCTCGAAAGGATCTGTTTTTGAATAGGTGTTCGTCAAATGGTGTTGACGACCAGATAACCCTTTACAGATGACTCGATTTTTTTCAACCTCCATCACAACGTGGTTTTGTCAAATGTCCTTAAGCGAGAAAGGGCGTTCCCATCAAAGAATTACGAAAATAAAAAATTTAAATTTAAAAAAATTTCAAAAAGTAAAAATAAATAATTATTTGAAAAAATGGTGGCAGAGACCATCTGTGCTCCTCCTCCTCATCCCTTGACAGCATCAAAACCCTGTTCGTCATGCAGAAATTTACACCGAAAATGTGATAAATTACTTCCATCATGCTCACACTGTCTGAAGAGAGGCTATACATGCACGTATGTTTCATCACCCGCAGAACAAAGACGAACCAACAACAAACAAATCATTCAACAACATCAGCAACCGATCATCAACTCAAGGAACTTTAAACAAAATCTCACAAAAGAAGTGATATTCTCTATTTCGGAAAATCAGCATGGTGGTACGAGTCGGAATCGTCATTATTGGTATCAATATCATCCTTACTCACAACAAACAACATATCATGTTCCATCATCCAATAGAGAAGTCCATCACACGAATTTCCATCCAAAAAGACCCCACTTACTGTACGCAGATCCTAATCAATCACAAATTCAGCATGCCATTAATTATCGATTTTCAGCCACTCAAACCCTTGATATATATTTCAAGTTTACCTGCTTGGACCTTCCACTGATAGAAAGAACGAAATTGGAGTTTATTATTGACAATCAATTAACAAGTGATGGTAATAATGGCATTTCAACTTACACTCATCCTCAACAACCCTTATACAACCAAAACGAGCTTGAAAAAGATCTAGCTGTGTTGTATTTGTTGCAAGCAGTCAGTTTACAACAAGCAGGGCGTTTTTACGACACGCTCGACAGTACGGAACAAGACTGTTTACTTCCACAACATTTATTTCAGCTTGGAAATCAATTAATATCAAAATATAGTGACAATATGGATTCAATGAACTTGATTATTGCAACAAAATTTATGGCTGACTATTTGCTAGGTGAGGGAGAAAAGAACAAAGCAAGAACACTGATGATGCATGTCAGAGATAAATTACAACCTCATATTTTAAATTTGGCATCAAATACAGAACATGATCAACAACAGGAATGGTCCATGCAAAATTGCTTAGACAACAATTGCACTGAATTTTCACATAACTCCCGTCAGCCAAATCAGAACAGTTCTTCTGATCTCAACTTTGTCACTCATTTTCCCTCTCAACACTTTGTAACAGCTATGCTTCTAGAAACTCAATTACGATATGCTGACATTTTCTTCTACGAAGAAGAACGGCCGACAACATTTATATTTGACGAATTCGAAGCTCTTTCAAATAGAAAAATCAAATTTTCCAAGTCAAAATTGTTTGGACAAGCAGCTACTTCATGTACAGACATTAGTGAAGAGGTCTCTCAAAAACTTATTCAGGCCATTCATGTTGGAATGAAATGCTTTGATAGCATCTTCACGAACACCGTGACAAAAAGAAATACTATTTTATTCTTAATGGCTCATTTGTATGGTCGGCAGATTTATTTGGAAATTCTTGTCAATTCAAAAGTTAGAAATTTATCAGAAATTATGAGAGTGTGCTCTGATATCATGGAACTCGCTTTGACTCACACTTGTTTTCCATACTTGCCAATTGTTGCAACCAAGGGTATTTTAATGGCTATTTCTCTAAGATTTAACTATTTTGTGGAATATCATGCAAAAACTTTGGAAAATTCCACTGTCAGAATTAATTTTAGTGATGACTTGAAAATTTTGAAGAATCTTTGTCATCGATTTAAGCTTATTCGAAATGAGAGACGAGATCTCGTAAAGGCATTAGAATCTCTTGTTTATTTACAGCAAGAACAAACACCAGCAGCAGTTCAAAATGAAGATACTCTTCTTGGTAATTTTCTTCCATTGCTTGACTTGAATAGAGATGCAGCTCCTCTGCTGCCAGAAGTATCGTCTAAGCTTGACAACAACAAGAACTCAAAAGTCCTCGAAGCAAATAATTACCCACGGTGGACTCTAGGTCATCATGAGAACTTTTCACCCCACTCGTTCAAGCAAGCAGTTCGAGAAGTGTTGGAAAATTCAGAGTTGATGGAACTCTTCATTGATGAAATTGCACAAGAACAAATTATGATCAAGGAAAATGCCAAGAATGTGACAGAGAATTCACACAAAACTCAACAGCTCTTGCTCGAAAAGAGATTGGAGATGGCCAACAAAATCATTGCCCTTTCAAAGAAACATAAGGATATCTCAGGGCTATTGGAAGGTGAAAGTTTTAAGAAACTAGTTTTGACAGAGTTTGAAAAATAATAATATTTAAACAACAATTTTTAAATCATCATTGAGTTCAGATTCACCTCTTGCAACGTTCGACATTGTCTTTTTCTTTCTTTGGGACAATCTATTGGTGGGTGAGCAAAGTCGATGAGTCAATAGTCATGAAGAAGAAGAACTAAGCTTTACAAAAAAATACTAACCCAAACGTACACCCACATAAGAGATGCTCCGTCGTTGTGCTCAGAGAAGCTCTGTCTCTCCTCTCCACAGTGTGTGGATGAGCTCTCACTTGGGCATCACGGCTCAACAACAAGCTCGTAACTATAGCAGTCATCATCAACCTCATCATCCACTCCCAAAGACTTTTGGAGTTGTTGGTGCCGGACAGATGGTAGGTTCAACTCTTTCATCGTTTTTATCATCATCATCTGAATAATAATAATATTTTCTTGACAACATCAATAATAATGATCCACTGGATAACCCCCGAAACCAAACTGTCGTTTATATTCCACAATGAATGGATTGAATGGATGAAAATTAAAACTGATCCCTGATAGGGAGGAGGTATTGCCTTGGTTGCGGCCATGAATGCCAAAATCCCTTCCGTTCGTGTTCACGATGTTTCAGCTCAATCCATTGAAAAGTGCAAAAAGTTGATCCAGACCTTGTTGGACAAGTATGTTCAAAAAGGAACATTGACTGCTGAAGAGAGACAAGTTATTCTTTCTGAAAGACTCTCCTTCTCATCAGGAACTGATTTGAGTAAATTAGCTTTGGGATGTGAGTTTATTGTGGAAGCTGCTACTGAACAAACAGAATTGAAATTAGGCTTGTTCAAAGATTTATCTCAAATGGTTCATTCCAATAACAGTGCCGAAACAAGCAAAACAATTCTTGCCACCAATACATCCTCAATTTCAATCACAAAGATTGCTTCTCAAACATTGGATCCATCCACAGTGATTGGAATGCACTTTATGAATCCAGTACCTGTTATGACACTTGTTGAAATTATTAGAGGACTTCAAACATCAGACGAGACCTATGAAAGAACTACTCAGTTGGCTCATGCCATGCACAAGACTTGTACTCTTTCTATCAAGGATTCCCCAGGATTTATTGCTAATCGTATTTTGATGCCATATATTAACGAAGCTGTCAATGTTTTGCATGAAGGAATTGCAACTGTTGAAGATATCGACAAGACCATGAAATTGGGTACCAATGTTCCAATGGGTCCATTAACATTGGCTGATTTTATCGGTTTAGATACCTGTTTGGCAATCATGAGAGTGCTCTACACAGAATTTGCTGACAGCAAATACAGACCATCTCCATTGTTGGTCAAGATGGTAGAAGCTGGATGGCTTGGTAAGAAGACTGGTAGAGGTTTTTACAAGTATTAATTGTTTGTCCTGTCTTGTCCTTCCCTAAATAATTTGGTCATTTCAAATGTTATTCCAATTATTACTTTGATTTTTTTCAATGAAGATTATTTATTAGACCATTATATTTCAAAACTATTGAGATAATGGATAAATTGGCTTTTCAGGTTTTTTAATGTGTTGTGGCAAATGATATTTGTTAGGCCTCTTCTTATTCACACGAATTACTTTTTAATTAAAAAAATTAAGTTAATAGAAGTTAAATTTAGTTTCTATTAAATAATTAAAAAATTTTATTGTTTGTTAAAGGCCTAACAAATTACTTTTTAATTTTCGAAAGCAACTCGTTTCTTTGTTGAATGATGGACTCTCTCACTGTTTGTGATGTTTCCAATTCAATAGCTCTCTCATAATTTTTAATGGCCTCATCAAATTTGTTCAAAGTTTCTTTCACTTTGGCCAATCGTGAATAGGCTTTTCCATATTGTGGATCTAACATGATTGCAATTTCACACGCACGCTCACTTTCTTGAAATCGCTTACAAAAATATAAGGCAGCAGCTAAATTACTGTAATAAATGGGCTGATCTGGAGCAATTAAACACGAAGCAATGTATAAATCAACAGAGGTAGCATATCTCTTTTTTTTCAAATATAAATTTCCTTCTTCCTTGTACATGTTTGCCAATTTTTTGTTAAACACTTGGATGAGAAGTTCCTGTTCTTTATCGGAAATGGTCGTTGAAGTACCCAATTTCAATTTTCGTTTCTCATCAAAATCAGATAAAAATTGTAAAACAAAGCGTTGAATTTCTTGTTGAGAGAGGAGCACGGAATGACCCGATAGTTTGGCGTGAGATTCATGGAGCGAGTGTATAAAGTAGGAGGCTTGTGAGAGAAGAAGGGGAGAAGGTGCTTGTCTTGGTGATGATATTGGAGAAAGAGGAACCGGTGATTCTAATGCGGTAGCTTCGTTTGTTTTGGAGTCAGAGGTATCGATGCGAAGATGATGTTCTTGTTGTCTAGACATTTTTAATTACAATCTATTTCGCCATTTCTGTTTTGCCAATAAGGCCAAATAAATATCGGGATACATGACAGAACGCATGTGTTATAACAAGCGCATGTTTTTAAAACATCATAAGCAGGGGTTCCCGAGCGGTCAAAGGGGGTAGACTCAAGTTCTACTGCGCAAGCTTCGTGGGTTCAAATCCCACCTCCTGCATTATTTCCTTTTTTGGAAAATAAAAAAAAATTCATTATTTCACCTTCGTCTATTGAATGTCCAAAAGTTTTGAGTTGGTCCAAATGATTTTGATAGGTCCAAATGTCATGACAAGACTGTGAGAACATTCCCTCCCACCAAATATTTGTCAAGGCCTACATGAACCAGAAAGATCCCACATGGTTCAAATTGAAGGAACCACTCGCAATTTTATGTAAAGCATGTCATGATTTGTTGCATGCCGTGGTCTCAGAGAGAAGAGAGGGGTTATAGAAGAGTCTAGTTCAATGAATCAATGGGTTCAAATCCATGTCGAGATGGTACGCAAATTTGGTGCCAAGTGTGTGCTCATATTCATCATGTGGGTAAGGATGGAGTAGATCTGCAACAGAGATTTTAAAATCCGAGAATCGGGAGAGCGTTGCTACAAGTGTCAATGAATACACTATGGTCCTGTTCATGCTCCGGTTTACTTAAAACCAATCTCGCATGCTTGTCCATGTGAATCATTGCATGGCAAACCGGAACACAACAATTGGTATTGATCAAGAGGAAGCTTACCCTCCAGAACAATTTGAGAGCTAGATTTCATTTGGTTTCATTGATCAAGAAGAAGTTTATAAATAATAAATTTCATGTACAAATTAGATAAAGCGATCATGATTTTTTCTGTGGTAACACCGGCTTAAACTTTTCAGTCCACACATTGAATGCTTGTCAAGAAAAATTCAACAACTTTGTCTATTTCTTTTCTAAATATATTAAGCATCCAGAGTAGGCGGAAGAAATTCAAAAGTGGCTGTTGTGGGTGTTTCATCACCAACCTCATGGAAACGACTTCTCTCCGAAGCTATCAAACACCCACAGAAGATCCTTGCGAAGTTAAAGATTATTTCTCAAACTCTCTGTTTAACCTCTGTTTCTGTTTAAGGAAGGTCCAAGTCAACAGTTGAAAAGACAATTGAATGAATTTGAAGAGTATAACTTTTATTTATGTCAAGCAAAAGAGCTCATTAACGATAAATACAAGAAAATTGAACTGAGTGTTGCTGTCTTTTCTATACTCAACACAAAAGGGATAGAATGATCTAGACATGTCATTAATGTATCAGAAGATGATATTTCTAAAACATTTCCCGCTAAATTAATAGGCCCAGAAAAAACAAACATCACTGTTCCATCCAAAAAATCATCTGTGATTGATATTCAAAAAGTCTTTGTATCAGATTCTTGTTTAAGTTTTGAAGAAATGAAAGAAGAAAGAGTATCAGCTTTGACATTAAAAGACTCTCTTTATCTCAAATTGAATAATAGACCAACTATCAAATATCTTCCTCCAATAAGAAATGTGGTATCTGATACCGAAATGATGAATCGAAATAGAAGTATGAAAAAAATAATATTGAGGTTATGGAACAATATTACTGAACTTCAAAACTTTCAGCTTCCTAAATCGAGGGCCCGGCAGAATCAGGAGCCTGATCCCACGCGGTGGCATTTCAAAAAGCTCCCTCGCTCAGACCCCTCTTCTTTTGGCCTCTGTTTATCCTTTTCTCTACCCTCACTGGTCTTTCAAATTATTGACCGAATTGTTGATAAGGCCACACACTTCGATTTTGGGTATAAGAAAATAACATGTCACGACTATCCTGTTTCATTTTGGAGAGTTTCAATGTCGCAAGCTCTTTTCTTACCAACAAAGAGCTTGAGTACATTGAGCCACTGCATACACTTTTCCATCTCTGCAGTGCTCTCTCTCACAATGGCTGTATGAGTTTTTGGAGGATACATTTTGCAACCTTAGGTGGGAAGAAATTTTCCCTCAATAAGTGTCCCTTCATAGCCCAACATGAAAGCTCTTGGGTAAATTGATTTAAAAGATGAATGATTCTTTGATGTAGGGGTGGTTCTTTTTGGTGGTGAGTGTTGACTTGTTGTTGTTGTTGCTGGCAACTGATGGACTTGTTGCAAGAGCACGATTAAGAAGTTTAGTTGTTGCAGTTTCATCATCATGATGAGCATCTTTAAAAGCAGAGGAAACCGAATGACCATAAGAGACATTGGTGAAAATACCTCCCATATTGTGACTCAAGGTTGGTTGAGAGAAAGGATGGAATGGTCTCCGAAGCTATCACGGTGGCTGTTTGATATCTTCGAAGAAAAGACGTTTCCATGATTTGGTGATCAAATAAGATCCTCAGTGATGTGAAAAATTCATTTGCAGGAGGTGAAAAAAATTCAAAATTTCAATGTTATTAAATTGTTGCAGAAATTCAAAAAAGGAAATGAGGTGAAATAATGATAAATTTTTATTTTCCAAAAAAGAAATATTGCAGGAGGTGGGATTTGAACCCACGAAGCTTGCGCAGTAGAACTTGAGTCTACCCCCTTTGACCGCTCGGGAACCCCTGCTTATATAAACTTTAAAATAGGTGATTCTAATATTTTATCACGTGGTCTTAACATCAGAAACGCTTTTATTCAATGAAATAATTATTTGAATCAACATTTTCGCAGAGAGTCAATGACAACAACATCTGCCATCTCTTATCCTCGTAGGCTTGGCTCCGTTCAATCAAAATAAAACAATTTAATTTCCGAAAAAAATACTCACATTCATCATCATGCAAGACTTTGATCCACAGAAACTCGCCAAGCAAATTGCTGGTATGTTGGGTTCGGGACGTGGTGGTTCCTCTTACAGAAGCGGAGGTGGAAAAGGTTTAGGATTGGCCACAGCTGCCCTTGCCATGTTTGGATTGGGTGGTTTTGCTCTCTACAATTCCATCTATGTCGTCGAAGGAGGTTTCAAGGCCATCAAATTCAATCGATTCACTGGTGTTGGTGATAAAGTCTTTGGAGAAGGGTATCACTTGTTGATCCCCGGAATTGAAAGACCAATTATTTATGACCAAAGAGCAACACCAAAAGTAATTTCATCAAATACCGGCTCTAAAGATTTACAAGTTGTAAACTTGAGTGTTCGTGTCTTGTACAAGCCTGATGTAACTCGATTGGATGAAATTTATAGAAATTTGGGATTGAATTATGCGGATAGAGTTTTACCGAGTATTGTGAATGAAGTTTTGAAAAGTGTTGTTGCTCAATTTACTGCTGCAGAATTACTCACAAAACGTCCTGATGTGAGCGCTAGAATTAGAGATTCACTTGTTGCTCGAGCAAGAGATTTTAACGTTGTGATCGATGATGTTGCAATTACTCACTTGAGGTTTGGTGATGAATATAGTGCTGCTGTTGAAAGAAAACAAGTTGCACAACAAGAGGCTGAACGAGCCAAATTCATTGTAGAAAAAGCAAAAGAGGAGAAAAAGTCAATGATTCTGAAAGCTGAAGGAGAAAGTGAGGCTATTCGATTGGTTGGAGATGCCACACGAAATAACAATGCCTTCTTAGAGTTGCGAAGAATTGAAGCAGCTCAACAAATTGCAGAAACCCTTAGCAATTCACAAAACAGAGTGTTCCTCAATAGTGATACTTTATTATTGAACTTGAATTCTAATTTGAAACCTTTGGACACCTCTTCTATTACAGTTAGTACCAATGACACCCAAACCAATCAATCCTCAGAAATATAATGATGTTTTCAACATTGATGGAATAAACAATGTTTTCGTAGGCTGCCAAATTGACATGCTTGATAATGGAATTCTGGAATATTGATCAGGAATAATATTCTAGTCATTCTCCAGTTTTGATGAACACTTTGAGTCATTTCAACCATGTTTCTTTAAATGACATTTCGATTTGAATCGTGAAAGTTTAAAATTCGAATGACCATGTTTAAAATTTAGTCAGTTAGGTGATAAAGCTTCTTCTCTGTTCGAAACGCACCAAGAAGAATCGAGTTACAAAGTTATCATCCAGAGAAATATCAGAAAAAGTTGGCGAAGAAGAACCACCCACTGCACTTTCCATTCCTGAACCTAACAATTCTACTCTCCAGCAAAATGAAAGTTCCAACAGTCGAATCAACACTTGTTCAACCACAACAGATGGAATTCCTTGTTCACACCAAGTTCAAAAACTGTAAAGGTCCAACGAACGCAACGTTATGTCAAGAATGTTTCATTTCAGGTTTGGAACCTGAAGCAGTGTTTGTCCTTTCTATGTCTTCTTTTTAGCTTGACTTGAGAATAACAGTTCATGCCTTATTCATTTTCACAAAGTTTTAGACGAAAAATAGTTCGCTATTATTTCTTTGAGAATTGTGAATTCACATTTTCTACTTGAATAAAACCATTGCAAGATATTGAGATTATGTAATTTATTTCATAGATTGAAAAAGTATATTAAGTATATTCACTCAAACACACTCCTTAAAGTTGTTTCATCTTCTTTCATATTAATTAATCATCTGCTAAACAATTAGCCTCTGATCATCATAGACCTATATATATGGACCAATGAAATACAGTTGTGTGGTTATCAATGGGTAATCTACAATGTTGTGAAATACAAGTGTTGTCATCTTGTGTTCTTCTACGTTCGAAGGATCAGATGACGCGAATTCCTTTATCACCAACAAAAAAAATGGTCTACGCACTCACTCACACTCCCGAAGCGAGTATCCTTCACTTCTTGGCTCATTATGACAAATTGTGGTTCTCTTCCTTTGATAAATTTATTGATCATTTGGATTGGATGAAGGTTAACTTTCATTATTGCTACATGCATAATTTGCCTGAAGATGTTAGACCTCCATTTCCATATCTTGTTTCGGTTTTGTCCTTGTTATCTTGCTTTTTGTTGTTCTTTATATCAAAATTACTCTCTCCTTTCATCTTCAAAGCCTATAATGCGTTAAAAGAATCCGATAAAGAGAAGTGGGATGTAAAATTCGTGAGTGCTCTTCACGCCGCATTTGTATTCCAAGGAGCAGTACGTTGCTTGATTGCTGGTGGAGGATTGTTCTTCAATTCAAACGAAAGTTTACTCGGATATCAGAATCTTGTATGTGGATACTACACTGATTTGAGCAGATTCTACATGGCCATTACCTTCGGATATATGTTTTATGATTTTTGGGTTTGCATCAGAGCGTATGGATTTACTCTAGAAGGAATTTTCCCATCACTTGTGATTCATCACTTCAATATCATCATTTCATTCTTGTTGGCTCTCAAGTTTGGAATGGGTCATTATTATACGTTGAGTTTCATGACTAACGAAATTTCACAACCATTTTTGCATTTGAGTTGGTTTTTGATTAAGAGCAAGGTACCACAAATGCACCCAATTTCAATCATTAATGGACTTTGTTTGGTATTGACATTCTTGGGAAGCAGATTTGTGTTCAACCTTGTCATTTTTGTTCACTTTGTTGCGAACACTTTGTCATTCGACCCAACCATTTGTTTGGGTGTCGGAACTTGGACATGCTTTATTCATGTAGCTTGCAATTGGCATTGGTGTTGGCTAATGGTGTTGCAAATTCGTGATATGATTGTCAAAAAGAAGCCAACAGAAAAAGCAAATCCTCCAACGACTTCTCTCGAGGAAAAGAAAAAATCAATAATTATTTATTCATCAACACACATCAATAACTGAACTAGTAGTTAGCATTATTTATAACCACTTTCGGTTCTGCCTCACATTGACAGGTCGTCATTCTCACTCGTTCAAAACTCTATAAGCAAGCTTGGGAAACAACACAGTCTCCAAGAACCATGAGCCCAGCACAACCTCAATAAATAGAACACTGCACAATGAGAATGATAAGGTGATCAATATTCCACACCACAACGTTCCAATCATACCAAAAATGTCTGAGCCTCTAATGACTACAGACTTGAAAACGCTTCTTGGACACAACATGACTGCATTATTTACACCTTGTGAAGGCCGATCCAGAATAGGTATCACAAATTTTGGTTCTATATATTCCTTTTGCAGCAGCGATGTTGTTTGTGTGCTTTGAACCTGTGAAATGTCAGAATAAATTGATGAAATGAAGCATTTGGTTGAAGCAGTTCCAAGTGTGTACAGCCCAAATTTTGATTGTTCGTTCTTATACTCTTGTGAACTTGGATCATATCCTTGTTTGTTAAATTGATAAATGACATCTCCTGCTTGAGAACAGCAAACCACATGATCACTGTAACTAAGTGCAAGAGCAAGAAAAACCACCACTGAAACAATTCCAATCACAAATATAAACATGGCTGGTACAAATATTTGTAATTGTCGAGCACGGCGACTTCTTGCCTTAGCTCCAAATAAATTAAACCAAACAGAACATGCAAAACAAAGTGGATCGTTATCTCTCAGCGTCTCAAATGTTGTGATCTTTCTCTTGTGGTATTTTTCGAGCAATTTACATGAAAATCCAACCATAAATACCAGAGCAACCACAAATACCAGTGCTGTGATTGCAATCAATGCATTTGTGGTATACGGTAAAAATGTTAACTCGTTTGAAATTTTTCCATCGTTTACAATGAATGAAATAATTTCATGATGATAAACTTGAGTTTGGTTCCAAATTGAGACATAAAATGAGCTGTTTGGTTGTAGCGCATTGTATCCAAATTGTGTAATATTATGATAGGATGAATAATTATAAAGAGATTGAAGGCTAACGGTGAGTGAATATTTTGCCATATAGTAAAACGAAGGTGATGTCACACCATTTTCAGACTTCTTGTATTTGTAAATTTCCTTCTCTAAAGTAGCATCAGGCGGAATGTTCTTTGATCCTAATTGAGGTACTACCAATTTTTGAAAACCTCCAACGATGGAGCAAGAGAATGCATTCAAATCCACAATGTCCCAAAATGTTATTTCAATTCTAAATTGTGTGGATGCTAAATAATCATTTGGATTGACTGGGTGATTGATAGGAAGTAACTCGTTCTGGATCGTTTGTTGTTTTTCGAAACTCTTGTAATATCTCGTTAATATCTCATTAATATCAAAGGAAAATATGAACGGAGCGTAGGAGGTAATGGTTGAGACAGATGTGATATTGGTATTCGTGATGTTTGCTTGTTCCAAAGATGACGTACTAAATGTTGTAGTTGCCATATTTTGAGTACCATTAATAGAAATCAGAGGGTTGTACCCATCATATCTTGTTGTGAGGGCAACTGAAATTGGAAATGAGCTATACGACAAAACGGTCACGGTGGTAGCAGTAGTAGCGTTCGTAGTATCATTAATCGTGACTCCAGTGCACACTGAGTTTGAAATGTTTTGGAAAAGGCTCTGATAGATGGTTCTACTGAAATCGTACACTCCAAATGATGCAAAGTCTCTTCTATCAAATAGTAAATTTGAATCAGAGAGTTGAAGAAAGCCGTTTTCTCGAAGATCAGAAAATTGCCAAGTTGAAATGTTATATCTTCCAAGAATAACCTTGTTATTAATGGGTGGTGTCAATAAGAGAGGTTCTTTTTTGAAAACTATGAAGGAACCACCATTGGCACTCAGCACATAATTAATGGTTAACATCATATCTGAAACGATTAGTGTGGAATTCAATGTAAATAAGTTTTGGAAAGTTATATCAAAATCGTCAATGTATGGAACTTCTCCAATCTTTGAGAAAAACGAGATTGGAAACATAGAACCTTGAATAACAATAACTGACGTATAAATCACATTAAAAGGAATATTAGAAATTATTTTGGATGGGTCATAATGAGAATTATTAATATAACCTCCAATACTAAGGACATCAAAGTGTGGATCTAGTATCGTTTCTTCAAGTTGATCGACAAACACGATAGGATCATCGATCCAGAAAGAGACCTGAACTGTGGCAGTGTCAGTCGTAGTGTCTCCTCCAGTGTCATGTGTAAAAATATATCCAAAGTACCATTCATGGTCGTAAATCGTATCAGATAGCTCAATATGTCCGTTAATTTGTAATCCACAGGCCACATCTTTAAAATCATAAAGCTGTGCATTTGGAAATAAATCTTTCCGTATATAAACTTCAATATTGGGATTTTTAAGAGGACGTGTGGGATTTGAAATGGTAAAGGAATATCTCAACAAATTTCCCAACAATTTGGTATTGTTGTTATATCTTAATATCTTCATCTTGGTTGTATAGTGAAGTAAAAATGGTTCCTTTTTCTGGTAGACATTTGTCACGGATGGGGAAGAAGCTGACAACAAAATTCTTTCATCATCCGTTAAATAAGCTCGTGTTTTGTAGTAACATTTGAAGGGACAAGATTTTCCATAAACAGCCAACAAGTAGACTTGTTTAGTGCTCGAAACATCCTTGTAAGACCATGACAATTTGGTATCTGAGTTTGGTTTGATGATTGACGGAAGCAAGTATTCTGGAGAAGGATAAGGTAATTTGTGCATTTGCCAATCAAATGGAAATGCAGGATACTTTCCAGTGCTTGATTGAGATGCTACTGAAATGAAAATGGTAAGCGAGTCTGTGTAAGCTGCGGTTGTTTCAAACAAAATATTCAAAATGGCACTGTCCGAATATGACGTGACGTAGTAAAATTTCCAAGACCTCAAAAAAAGGGATGAATCTGTAATTGGATCACTGTTAATTGCTGGATGCAACATATTAATAATTGTGGAGCTGGCTACAAATTGCACCAACTCAGGATCAGTAAGAGCGGTCGCATTAGAAATAGACTTCATTGAAATTGTGAAGGTTGTTGCATCCAGAAGGGTGTTATCATATCTGAAAAATGGAATTGAAATACTGTACTGATATTCAGTAGCAGAAAGTATAAATAATTCATCAGAATATACTCTTCTCTGAAATAGTAAAGAATCTGTATCTGAAATCATGATATTAAAACTGATTCTGTCTGAAAATATAAAGTCTAGTAGAACAATAGGTTTAGAAAAACTGCTCACGTCGCTTGGTAACACTTTAAGAATGAACGTTGCATATCTGTTCGAAGAAATGAAAGAAATTCTATCCTTTAGTTTTGTTCCCAATGTCAAGAATCTCTTGATATCATTAGAAAACAAATTTACAGCAAGAACACCTTTGTTATCATCTAGATTAGAGTCCAACACTGGAGTTGCACTTTGTGAAGGATTCAAAGAATAGTTGATAGTCGTAGTGTTTACACCTTGTTGTTGAGCTTGTATGGTTGTTTGCATCACTAGAGAAAAATTGTTTCCCAAAGATGGATGTATGTCCTCAATGATGCTTGTGTTGTTTGCTCCAGTCACATTTACCAAAGTAATAGCACCAACTACACATTTCAGCACAAGATTGTTCCATGAACAGTAACGACCGAGCATGGGGCATTTGTAGGAACTATTAGTGTAGTTGCATAAATTTGAAGGTATTGAGGGAATAAAGTTGTTTGTAAATACAATGGACAGATCATTGACTGACAAAGTAGCCAGAGAGGAAAATCGGAAAGTGACATCTAGAGAGCTAGCTGCATCTGGTCCGCTATTGGCAATAGTAAAAATCAACTCTTGGTTCAGTGGAGCAGTAATGTTAGAAATATCAATGTCCAAATTATTTCCATTTGGTGAAATAAAAGAATAACTGGTAATATTTCCCTCATGAACATAGCAATAGGTTAAATCTATTCTATTGACACAAATATTTGTATCATATGTACGGTCAATCCTAAATTGAGTTGTGGGCGCTTGTATCAAATTTTTCAAAATGTTGTAATTTGTGTATGAAAATGCAAATTGTGAACATCCAAAGCATGAGCACCCTCCACTGATTAACGTCGAGCTCACAAAAGGTTGATTATTGAATGATATAGTCAACAAATTGGATTGATTCATGAGTAGAGAGTTGCTGTCGCATGTGTCATACTGAAACAATAAATTTCCACTTATTGCAACTAGCTTATCAGTAGATAGTAAAGGGTTTGAAAATGAAATTGTTCCTCCATTCCAATCTGTGCTATCTGAACATGTAAACGATCCATCACATATCTGACACGTAGAAATAATGCTATTTGCATAGGAAATCGATGTCGAGTATTGCAAAAATCCATTGGGACATTGATACAATTTTAAATTTGTTGCTCCGATTGAGCCTGCTGCTATTGGAAGAATTGTAAAAATTAACAAAGTGTGTAAGGTATGTTTTGATGAAAACTTTGAAATATAAAGTTGAAATATCAAAATTAAACGTGAAATGTAGTCCATGGTCAAGTCTAAAAACCAATCCATCGCTTGAAATTTTACAAGATCGGAATCATCATGTCCGAAAAAAACATGAGGTTGATCCACAAAACAATCCTCTAAAATATTGTTGTTGCACTCGTTTTCCGAATGATTTGATGAAGCCGCCATCATACAATTATGTTTCATCCAACGAGTGCTGTTGTTGTTGGTTGGATCGTGTGGCCACGATATCCTCCTCTCGTGTGCCGGTCTTTCGTGATACACGTCGAAGTTTCGCATTTTTTACTGTTGTTCTTTATGAGAAAGCCAGACGAAAAATCCGCAAAAGGAAACAAAATGGAATTATGTTGTGGTGGAGGAGACTTGTTTAAAACGGACATTAAATTGAATCGAAAGATCGATGAAGAAAAGAAATTCAATGGTGATGAAAATATTTTGCAGCAAATCGTGTCAATTTCCGACTCGTTGATTTACTCTGCTGTCTGTGTAATTTTAATCTACTTGTTACTTGTGAAAATATTGATGAAAATGGAAGCAACTTCTCGAGTGCGGAGACCCAGCAGTAATTCCACCACGAATTAATTGTTTTAAATCAGTTTGAAACCAATTTTCATCGGTCTGTATTGGAGCTCTCCATCTCTTGTTTCATTCTTCGATATGTATTCATCCATTTCAACTCGGCGAACATGTACCCAATCGTTCGACTCGACAATCCCAGCGTATTATTAGTAAGAGTGGCGATGAGAGCAACAGTGCTGCTATTGTGTGGACTATTTGCTTCCTTTGCTTCGGCATCCCGATACCTTCTCTTCCACAGTTCTTTGTTTGAGCCTGGATCTAATTCTAACATGAGGGTAACAAAATCATCAATTTGAAGTCTGTCTTTTTCAAACCTGACAAGGACTTTACTTTCTCCAAGCTCAGCCCAATATTCTGTCACGTCACGAAAAGCAATAATGAAGAAAGTATTGAGCTTGGAAAGAAAGTATTGATTGCTCTCTAGACAAACAGGATCAGCCATTAATATGTCATTCAATAGACATTCACGTTCTTCCGTTGGAACCTCTTGATACATGAAATCTAAAATTTCAAAAACACTTTCCTTCTTGAGAGGCGCCTTTGAGTCTTTTGCATAACTATTCCACTTATTTCTAAGAACAAACAATGCCAAAGAGACACTACAGCCAAATGCAACATCATTCATTCCTTCTAACCCTTTACAAAATTCCAAAATGTCCTATTCAATTGAAAAGCGATCAATGAACAATTTCAAAACTTGAATTTTGAAAGATTTAAATCAAACTTACAGCATGCTTTGTCCTATATTCGTCACAGGCTGTTAAAAATTCAAAACTAATTTTGTGGACAACCTCTTGAAGAACAAATACTTGTTCTAGGGTCACAAAGAGCAATTCTTGGAGGGATTTTGGTTCCTTATTTACAAGTCTGTGTTCTTTGAAATATAATACATAGGTATCAAGGATAATTTCTCTAGCTTCCTTCAAACTCATCTTCCTAACAATTGTTTCAGGAAGCACCTTATTATTATACCTAGATTTGTACACTGTCCACATTTTACCATTACCAGCGTTGGGTGAGACGGAAGGGTGGTCGTTACTGGTTGGTTTTTTCAATATTGGCTTTAAGAAGGTATGCTTTTCTTCCTCCTCTTCTGCCTGCTGTTGGAACAGAATTTGCTTAGTTTCATAATTAGTGGCTGATTTTAATGTTTCAATCACATTAGGATGTGTCTTGTGATAATGAAGGTGTGAATGCACAATCTTCATGTGTGTAATGTTTGGTGGTATTTCCACAATCTTTTTAATGCAAGTGTTAATGATATCAAGTTTTTTCAAGTACCTACTTCAGGAGAATAATTTGGCATGATCGTGCTTCTATGACCCATTTTAAACGTTTTCCCGTCCTTGGAATAATATATTTCAATGGAATGTCTTAAACTAAGAGCGTCCAGTCCCATCATTGGAGATGTCAGATCATTCGTGAGACAATATGAAAGTTTTTTGGATTTCTTTTTGCTTTCATCCGATTTTCTTCGTTTCACTCTCATGCTGTTTTCATCAAGCCTATTCACCTTCTCTTGCAATAAAAGCATTTCTCGCGTTAAAAGCTGAGCATCTGCCACAAAATCTGATTTTATCTTGTGTTTCTGTCAAGTGAGAAACAGTGAGAAGTTTTTTCAGCGTTTTTAGACTTTCACTACCTACCTCCACATCTTTTGCTTGATGTATCTCAAAATTATACTCTTCGATGCGTCTATTCTCTAGCATTTCAAGTTGTTCATGCAACTTGGACAGAACATTAATGTCTTCTTCCAAGGAGTGCATTTCTTTGACCTCTTTTATCTTGTCTCTCTTGAACAGGAAATATGTTTTTTTCTTATTTTCATGCTCTTCCCTGTATGATCTCAAAAAACGAAGGTCTGCTCTTAATTTGGCATTCTTTTTCTCTGAATCTTCAAATTTTTGTTTCAGTTCCTTGTAGGCCTGATCTGAGCTTTCTTTTAACTTGGCATAATCATCTTTAAGAGAGTCTATTGTTTGTTTCAGAGTTTTAACTTCTTCCCTTAACGAGGCTGTTGTTAGGCGCTCTTCTTGAAGCTCCTTTCTATAAATGTTTATGAAAGCTCTCATCAAAATAATTGTTTATGCCTATACTTACTGGAGTCTATTCTTTTCGGCTTCACTTTCAGAAAATATATCATAGTCTTGAGCTGCTTTTCTCATTCCAAGAATTAATCTGTTGCATGAATATTTCGACAATCGAATCTTTAACTTGCGTCTCAAACTTGTTAATACTTACTCTTCCTCTTTTTCCTTCGTTCTTAATGTGTAATAAGGGATTTTTAATGTATATAAAGAAAGATTTTCCTCACTTAAAGTATTAAGAAATAAACAATCCTCAAATACTAATCTCATAGTTCCGTAGATATATGCCTCATCAGAGTTTTGACATGTATTTTCAAATTCTTGCAATATCGACAAACAATAGTTTAAAAGAGCAGAGTTTTTATATTTGGCTGGACTCTCGAGAGCCTTCTCCACTAATTCTTTCAATTTAACTTCGATCAAGAGTACTGAAGACTTCCACTTTTTTGCATTGCTAAACACTTCATGATCTTGATCTATTAGGGATGCTTTGGAATATTTCGGGGAACGTTCCGCATGCAAGGACGAGAAACGCGTTCGTCCCTTATTCGAAAAATTCTCTCTATTATGTCTTTTTTGAGGATTCACACCCGTCCCCATCATCGACGACGATCCATTCAATAACTGATTCGGAGTCAGTGTTCCCTCATAACGATCATCCACTGCATGATGATCCGTAAAATTGAGAGCCGATATGGCTTTCCTCCCTCCAAACATTTTTTTGAGAGCGCTCTCTCTTCACCCCTCTCAGAGATAAGAGAGGTTGTTAGTTGAAATTTACAGTGTCTAAACTTATAAGCAACTGCAAAAGATCGAGGTTAACTGTTGTTGTACATACCCCCATTCGAAGTGCAAATGGTTGAGTAATTTGAAATGTGATCGAGAGGATTCGGTCAAGTGTGCACACAGGGTTCTCATCATCAGCTTTATTAGAAAACCAAAAGAAAAAAAATTCCGCACGCAAAGATTGTGAACCCCAGTAACAACAACAACAACTCACGTGCCAAACAACAACAACAACACACCTCTAGGATTTTTACATTCTCTCTTAACATCTGTTGTTTTGATTGTTCAACTCGGATATCGGACCACATAGAAGTCTCCTAAGAAAAGGAATAATAATTTTACACGATCATTGGATAATTATTCGTCATCATGACCAGCAGCAGCACCAACAATAATCATGAACAAGCCTCATCGCATGAGGACTCTTCAAAGAAGAAGAAAGCATCGTCTCCAAACATGAATAAGCGAGCAAAGAAGGTGAAAAAGCCAACAACTCCTAAACCAAGCACAACTACAGCAACGCCTACAAATTCCGGAACGATCACTTCTTCAAGCACAACATCTTCATCACCATCCACTCCCGGAAATAGCTCGAACAAGTCGGCATCATCAAAATGCCAAGTATGTGGCTCATCCGCGGAAACAAGCAAAAATTTCATGCTCACTTGTAAGACGTGTGGACACAAAATTCATCTCAACTGTTACGATAATGATCATCTTTCGAAGAAATTTGCAAAGGATTGGGAGTGTGTGGAATGTAAAAGTTGTGAAGTTTGTAAAAAGTCAACCTATGATGCAGATAACCAAATATTAATTTGTAACAGATGTGATCGTGGCTACCATCAAAATTGTTGTACAGGAAGATTCCGAAATATTCCGACCGGAGACAAACCATGGTTTTGTGAAGAGTGTTGGACATATTTATCGGAAAAGAAAAAGAAGAAAAAGAGAAAAACAGACGAACCTGCTCAGCAGGAAGCCCCTCAACAAAATGAGGAAGGATCTCTGTTCGAGTTAAAACCTATCGAAGAACAACAGCAAGTTTCTAAATTGTCAACAACTCCTGAACCAACAGATTCTGCTCTGCAAAATGGAGGAGCTCCTCATGCTCCTTTAACAACAGAATTCATTCCTGAAATACCAGCAACAAAAATCATTCACCCAGAAATTATCAACACAACAACCAACGTGGTACCACTGGGTACTGCAGCTTTAGAACCTGTTGAAAACAATGCCAAGATTAATGTTTTTGTGGTGTTTACATTCGAAGACAAATTAATTTATTCTTCACAAATGATGATAGACAATATTTCACATGGCGATCAACGATCCTCAATAGCACTTAATTATTTCAAAAATCTTAAACATTATCTGATTCAACGTTTAAAATTGAAACTTGAGGATACTTTGGTTGATGAAGACTGTGATGATGAGATTAGGGCCGTATTTCTGGTCCAAAAATTTGGGATCAGGCGGCTAGTGATCAAAGAGCGTGATCGATTTGGCACTGAAATCAGAATTGAAATTGACAGATGGTATTTTGAGGTCTATAAATTGAAAGATGGAGATACAATTTTTGTTGAGCTGACCCTCAAACCAACCACACAAGGATCTTTACCACCATCTTCAAGCACACACGATGACGGAAATGGATTCGCAACACGAGTTGTCGAATAAACCAAATATTGGACTTCAGTTGCATCAAACGCAACATTGGTATTTTTTCATTTCCACTCAATGTATCGTCTGAAAGTCGATGGACAAAACAAGTTTGAGCTGTTGTCGACAACAGTAATTCTCAGAATAGTGAGAATTATTATTATCAAATAAGCCTTCATGATGAAAAATAAAGCAAGAGTTTTATCATGCTTGGGAAGGTTTATTGTCTATAACAATAAAATTACTCACAAGTATCCACTCCTTTCACCTTAGTATTATTCGTTGTTGCTGTTGTTGGCAAGGAAGGACCTCTTTTGCACAGAGGTTGGACTTGTTTGTTGAGCTCCACTCACGTCAAATGTTAGAGTGATGATTTCTCCTCGTGCTGTCAGAACATTAACTGAAACAGTTTGGTCATCTTCAGCTTTTCTGGGAGCAAAAGAAACAAGTGTGGGGACGTTGGCAAGCCCGTCTTCTCCACCACGATATTCACCAAAGCTCCATTCACTGTTGAAAATATTTGCAATATAACCTCCAACAAATGAAAAACTTGAAGTTCTATTATGAGTCTTGTCGACCAGAGAAAATACGTGAATTGTTCCAGTATCAGAAGAGCATGCTAAAAAGTTAGAGTCATCAGAAAAGGCGATAGAATAGATACGAGCTTGTTTTGATCCTCTTCTCACTTCTTTAACCATTTCTTTGGATTTAGTGTCAAACACTCTAATTAAAGTTCCTTTTTCTGAAGCTGTTGCCAATCGAGTTCCATCTCTGTTGAGAGCGATTTGTGCAATTTTTGAATTATGTGCTAAAATATGCACCTTTTGTTCTGGAAATGAACTTAAATGATTCACCACCACCATTCCAATTTGTACAGAGGGCTGTTTTATGATAAAATTGAGAAACGTTGAGAGAAAGGCATTTAAGGCTGTACAGTAAATGCAAATTGAGCCCAATCTCAGTACTTACATATGCCAAAACAATGTGTTCGGTGTCAGGAGAAATTGCAACCAATCCATTTGGATTTTCAGTGGTATGATCTCGTCCTCGTTCTTTAATGTCATGATCGTACACAATGACTTGATCCTCCAAAACAACAACCAATAAATTCTTTTGCAATTTTACAGCCTTGATTGGTTTGTTGCCAGTCAATATTTCTTTAGTTTGTAATTGTAATTATTATTAAATAATAGGAATCACAAATTATATTAAGCATAAAATTGATGCGATGACTGGTCAAACGAATCGTAAGATTGAAATCATACCTGATATACACTTTTTTTGGCTGTCTTCCCACAAAATAACACGATCAGGGTTGAAAGCTGGTCTTGGTCCACCGCCAACCAATGCGAAAATGCTAAATAATTACAACATAATGTTGATATTCGGAAATTGAAACCAAATAAAGTTAGACTTACTTGGATTTAAAAAGCATCTCTACAATGCCAATTCCTCCATTGAATACTATAATATTGTATCGTTTGTGTATAGGTTTTATGTTCATACATATGACAACATGTTGTGATCGCATGGTGTGATGATTGAAAACGAATTGATCGGAAATAAATCAAGAACATAAGAACGAACGAAAGGAAAGTTGCCAAAACTTACACATCTTGGTTCTTTCCTTCAAGTTCTGGGTAGAATATACATAAAAACCTTGTTCTGTACCGACAGCAAAAAGGCTGTTCAATTGATTAAATCCAAAGAACAAAATGTTCTTTTCCTTGTCCTCCACGATTTCATGTTTTGCTCCGCTGTCTTGCATGGATGTTGATTGTTGAACAACTTCATCAAGATCAGACAACCCTCGGGATGATGGAGACGGTTGATTGTCGGTGCTGTGGTTGTTTGCGAGTTGTTTGTAGTAATAAACGTTCATGAAAGGTTGCTGCTCCACTGTTGATTTTTTGTTGTTGTGGTTATTAGAATGAAACGAGAGTCTCCCCACAGAGTTTCGAAGGGAACTAATTTTAGTCTCTGTTTGGTGCTGCACAACGCACAAAAAACAAAAGAAAAGGAAGTTGGTAAATCTTTTCAGAAGGTTCAATTGAAAGAGAATTGCAGCAGAGTTGAAAAGCATATCACAACCATTAAGGAATGAAATCTCTTCCAATTAAAAAATGAGTTCATCATCACCCGCTTATTACGATGAAGAAATTGAGGAAATTTGTAAGGAAATCTCAAAGAAGATTGTAAAGGCAAATAAGGGGGCTGTTGAGGGAAAGAGGCAAGCCTACTTTGAAGAGATTGATAAAGATATGGAGAGAGCAAAGAAGGCTTTCAAAAACATGTATCGGCTTGTGAGGAAAGAAGGTGTTGATCAGACCTGGAAGAAGAAACTCTCTCAACACCAAAACGAAATACGAAAATTGGAGCAAAATCTTGCAACAGCAAAGGATAAATCAAATAAGGATGATCTTCTAGGCACCTCTACCGCAGGCAGCAATGAAAAGAAGAAAGATCCATCCAAAAAGAAACGTCGGGATGAAGATGATGAGGTTGTAGAGGTAGTGGCCTCGGAGAAGGCTCAGCAAAACAAATCACGAAATGATCAGATTGCAGATGAGCTTTTCAAGGAAATTTATGAAACGCAAGGAGACTCGCTCGACATTGTTAAGAGGCTGATCGATAAAGCAGATGAAACAAAAACGATTGCTGCCGAGTCCATGGAAATCCTGAAGAGGCAGAGAGAACAACTCGAGAAAATAGACAAGGAAATGGATGAATTAGGAAGTAATATTAAGAGAGGGACGAATGAAATTAAAAGCTTTATGAGAAGACTTGCCACCGACAAGCTCATCATGATCTTGATTTTGTTGGTGGTATTGGCAGTGCTAGGCATCATTATATGGAGAATTGTTGATTTTGTCATTAAGAAGGTTTCACCTCCTCCCAACAATAATAATAACGGAAACAACAACAATGGAAAAGTAACACCATCCCAGAGTCCAAAGCCTGCAAATTACCAATAAACAGTCCCAATATGAGATGACCATCGTTGAGTCGAATTCTCATCACAAAAAAACGACAGCAATGGTTCGAACACCCACCACGCCACAACGAAGAGCCAGCACAGCAAAACAGGCTGCTCCCACCGAGTCATCTGCAGCTGCCGCTCTCGGAAGTATGTCTTCCTATGAGTCAATAGGAGATTTGTTCAAAAAGTATTCCATAAAACAGATCCGAATGTACAAGGAAAATATCGAGTATGTATCAATTAATTGATTGATAATTAGCAGACAAATATGTGTCATTAACAATTATTATTTGAATTAAATTATTATTGAAACTAACAGCGAAGATATTTCTCTTAAACAAAATCAACTTCGTGATCTAGTGGGAGAGAGGTACAAAGATATTATTGAAGCAGCTGGTATGTGATTATCGATGACGAAGAAACATAATTTTTAATATTTATCAATATTCTTTACGATCATCATCATGTAGACTGCATGGAATCGATTCAACAACTATGTTTGGCTTCAACCAATCAGTTCGTTGAAATGACCACACTTATCGATGAGTATAAAAACAAATCCTTCGACAACCCTCCATCGTCACAACTTGTGGGCAATATTACAGAGAATATCAATCCAAAATTGCAATACAAGAATTTATCACAAGTTATTGATTGGGTGAGTAGTGCATTCGTGTTTTGATCCTATGTTATATTACTATGATATCTTCCAGCTGCTAATTTGTGTGGAGAGTAACATGTACTTTTATGGCTCCGTGTGTTGTATCGTAATTGAGAAAATTTTGAATTCCAACATGGCAATGTCATCTGTAAAGATTCGAGAATTTCAGAGGCTTAAGAAAAAATTGGTTGTAAAATGTAAAAGCGCCTTAAGATCTCAAACTAGTGACATGGTACGTACAATTTTATAGCTTCATAGCGAATTGTAATTGAATAATAATTTTTCAGAATTACATTCAATGCTTACTCTCTCTAATGTTGTGTGAAAAACAAAACGGTGAGGATGTGCTTCGCTCGTTTTTACATGAGCGAGAATCATTTATGGATGAAGCCGCAAGATGCAAAGATGACATTCCAACAAGCACAAAAATTGAAGTGATCGATATTATTTTTGACATATTTTACGATACAATTTTTATTTCGAACAACTTATTTAAATGTAATGATGATGAGATATTTTTGAATCAATTTTTTAGAAAACTAGTAGACATGAATTTCCTGAATGTTTCTGCAAGAATGAGCCTCATTCGAAAGCAAGATCATCAATTTGATTTACTCAGTAACGAGAAAACTATTTCAACTCTATACAAGGGAGCTTTTCCTAAAATTTTCAAACTATATGCTATCACTTCTGTGGAAAGTACAATGAATTCTTCATTTCACTCCATCGATCATGAAATTACTGTCCATAATTGGATAAAGGAAAAGGTCGAATATGTGAGAAACCTTTTTAACAATATGATACACCACACACAAAATATTCATGATCTTGTAGCGATTAAAAACAAATTGAGAGAAAAGATTGTTGATAGCTCTACCAAGGAAGCCGAAAAGAGGTTTTCAGTGATTTTAAAGAGCTGTTGTGGATTTTCTCCTGAATTTGATAACGAATGTGCCGTAAAAAAACTTTGGAAAGATGTAAGTACATTGTTAAAACCGTGTGGTAAATATTTACTGTGAACATTAAAGACTGTTATAGGCCAAATTGAACCTAGGAGTCTATGGGACTTTTTGCACAGCTCGTGCATCAAGAAAAAACACTCACTCATCACCTCTCAACTCCACTCTCTCACATTTAATATAGAAACTACTGAAAGCATTACTTATTCCAACATTGGGGAGGAAATATGGAAAACTCCAATCATTGAAGCCGATTTACTATTTGACAGATTCATCAACAATAGTAAGAAAAATTATTTCTCAACAACAAATTCTGAAGACAAGACCACTTTCAAAAGCATCATTACTGTGCATGGAACTACTAAGGAAGTGAGAAGAAAAGTTAGACATGAATTGTTTGAAGAGCAGCTTTTACCACTTTGCAAAGACATCTTTGAGCTTATCGACGATGTTCAATCTCCAGAAGAGCATGCTGAATTACAGAACTTGATTCTCGACGAATTTTTTCGATTTTTCAATAATTTAGTTTTTTCAATACAAGAAGCAATACGGAATCCAACCACAATCATGCGTGATTCAACTGCATCATTGATTGACAAACAACTATACTGTGCCAGAGTTCTCCAATCGCTAAGAAAATTATATATTGATCTCTTTTTGGAAATTTATACAAGACTGTCATTATTTGGAAATGGTGAAGATTCTTTTGTTTCATTGATGAGAAAAACCAAAACACAAATAGCAAACCTCAAACAAAAATCTAAAAAGGCAACCCCCTTAAAGGAAGATATGACAACTAATCACCTCCTCAAATTCATTGAGATTGAAAATAGATTCGGATCAGTTTATTTGGAAGCATTTGAGGATTGGATTAACAAGCAATCGGAACATTTCGCCAAACAGATACAACACGAGTTAGATCATGACCAACAATGGAACAAACCCACACGAAAAGAACTGTGGCAAACTTTTTCCAACGAGAAAGATGGAGAAACATTCAGTCTACCGTTCAGAACATCATATTCTGTCTTTCATGCGTTACATGAACTGTCTATTTCTATTTACTCCATCGGAGATTTCAACATTGACAAGAGTGTCACAGACAAGTTATCTGAGGTCACAGCATATCGTGTATTCAGCACTTACCTCCATTGGCTTGAACGTAAAATAGAAGAGGCAAAGACTCTACAGAAAGAGCAAATCGATGAATTGAACACTAGTAAGGAACGATTATTAGAAAATTCCACAACAACAAGGACGGATAAAACACAAGAATCTTCCGATCTTAACAAAATTGAAGAGATTGAAATCAAAGTTTTGAAAGAAGGTCCCATTCCCACAATGGAAAAGATGATCTGTGAAGAAGGTTTCTTGCAAATCCTTTTCGATGTACGATATTTGGCACATGTATTTTTTGGCTCTCAACTCACTTATGAAAAGCTTTCTCTCAAACCACCTTCCGCACTCGACAGTAACGAGAAATTATTTGTCAAGTTGGGAACACTAATTTTGGACCACATTGATCCCATTAATTGGGAAACCTTTGAAAAAGCATTTAACATTTCTGTCTTGCAATGTGTGAACAGGAACTTGTTATTCACACCCAATTTGTGTAAAACGAGTCTGTTACCGCTGACCAAGGATCAGACACCACTGCTTGTAGGTTACGACTCTCCACTACTGGTTGCCAATATGTCCCCTCAACAACAACTTGGAATTTCAAGCAGCGACAATGATGCCTTCTTCAAATTATGCAAGCCAGAATCGATCCCCATTCACCTATTACCAATACCAAAACGAGAATTAAGGATGAATTACATGAGCAACAACTATAACAATTCATCACATCACATTAATGAGCATTTCCAAGACTCTTATGTCCTCACCACCTCCAATCATGCAGCATCATTTGTTTCTGAACATGGTTTGCCACACGAGGCAGGAAGCAAAACCGACAACACCTCATCATCTGAAACTTCTGCTGCAACAGTTTTTGGCAGCTTTTTCAGTTCTCTCATCTCAGCACAGAATCAACAAAAAACAGAGACAGAAAAAGAGACACCCTCAAGAGGCTTTGCTTTCACGTGGTTCTAACCTGGATGAACGTTATATCTTGATTTATAGCATGGAAAAGTAGAGCCAAATTCTTTGGGATTACACATAATGGCATATAAACATATTTTGTTGAATTGACAAACCTACCCAAAACCCAAACAACAACCCAAACCCAAACCACAACTACAATAACCCAACAAATAAACCCATCCAAACCAAGAACAACGTTTTTTTGATAAGTAGTTGTTGAGATCAGACTCACAAAAAAAGTATGTTTGTATGCCATTATCTATCACCTCAAATTCTTTACAAAGCCACTATTTGATCCACGTTGTGAAACAGAAACCGTGAGAACGAAAGTGTGGATCTTGTTGATGAGGTTATGAACAATAGATTCTAGCTTTCAAATTTCAAATTGAAGAATGTCATTATAAAATTAAGGTTGTTGTGCTTGATATGAAATGTATTTGAAATTTTTATGGAAATATTCACCATTGTCTTGTGCATTCTCAACGCAATTTTTGGATAACGCCAAGCCAGTTCCGCTGGAGAACACGATTTTAGCTAATTCTGGACTAATTCTAGTCCATTATCCAAATGAATCTCAGTCCACTCCAGTGAAAAAACCAGTCGCGAAGCCCACTGAGACTCTAATCATAGATTTGGAGATTACGAAAAAAATGACGGAATCCATCCAATCCGCGTCCCTACAACAACCATCAACACAGGAAAAGAACACTACCACACACCATGCCGAATCCATGGTGGATGTTGCATCGGACAACAACAAGTCCACTACACCACAACAAAAAAGAGTGAAGAAAGAGAAAACCTCCTCTGATGAGAATTCCCAAGACGGAAAGAAGAAGGAAGGAAAAAGAAAACAAAAGAAGCCTTCCAAGAAAGATGACTCTGAAAATGGCCAAGTCATCAATGGAAATGACACTCAAGATGCTGCATCATCTGATGACTCTCATCAAAACCAATCACAAGAAAAGAAGAAGTTTGCCACTAGTGAAGAGTTAACGACTAGAATTTCCGAAATCAAGGCTAAGCTATCGGAACAGCCTAAAGAGCAAGAAGTTCAAGAGAAAATTAAAAAAATACAAAAGAGCATTGAGGACAAACAGGATCATATCGAGAAGATTCATCAGAAACTTTCAAAGGTTATCGATAATCTGAAGCGTCTAGATGAGCAAAAGAAGGCTGCATTTGATGAGGTAAACAAATATAAGGACATTATGAATCAAAATCGTAATGACAAGGACCGTATCCAAATTCAAATCAATCAAATTGAACAGGAAATTGTAGAATTAAACGAGACCATTGAGGAGTCTGGCAGTGATCTCAAGGAATCCAAATTTAGAAATGCTCGAGAAATTGAGGCTGAAATCAAGTACCTTGATGAAAAACAACAAACTGAAACTCTCTCTGTAAAGGAGGAGAAGTCCATAATTGCCAAGATCAAGAAGCTCAACACCCTTCTAAACAATTTTGAAAAGATTTCAGACCTCAAAAAGCAAGTCAAGGAGAAAATTGAGGCAAAGAGACTCCTCTCACAACAATTAAGAGAACTCAACGAGTCTGTTAAAGAAAAAGTTGACGAGCGCCAACAGTATTTCAACCAACTCACTGAAATTTCCAAAAAGAAGGAAACTGTTTTAGAAGAGAAGAAACATTTAGAATCACAACTCAAAACCCTCAAGAAGGAGGTCAAAGCTCTTTTCGATGAGAACTATCAGCATCAATCCTCTTTAAGAAAATCGTCATCCTCACAAAAGAAGCTCACTGAAACCCTACACAAATTGCAAGACCAATTAACCAGACAGAAACAATTCGAACAAAGAAAAAAGCAACAACAAAAACGATTGGAGGAGAGACAAGCTCGAGAACAAGAGTTGAAAGAAACCACCCAGCAATGGGAACAAGTTCAAGAGAAGGAGCCTGAAAATCCATACGAAGAAGAAATCAAAGTTTGTGATGCTCTCCTTGACTATTTGCAAAAATTGAGAACGAACAAGAAGCTTCGTACTCACAAGATTGATTTGTCATCTCTTCAAAGCAACAAACAAAAACAACCAACCATTTCTCTCCAAACTCTCAATCATCCTGTTGACAAGTTCAACCAATTTAGCGCCTTGCGTGTGACTGTACCTAGAACCATTGAAGATGTTCCTCAAGCCATTGAAGCCATTGAAAAATTGCGCCGTTTCTACAAGCCCAAAACCTCCCAACCTTCAGAAAAGATTGATGTTGCTTCTATTTTTGCCAACTTTGCTCCAATTACCACTATAGAGACTAGCGCAACAGCAGACATTGTAGACATTTTGGACGAGTAAATTAATGTTCGGTCAAATCGAATCATGCATCCGTTGTTGTTGTTGTTGTCGCACGTTCGTGTATTCAATGTACATTCGATCTCGAGTGCGATTCATTCAATGATGGATTCATATTCGTCCAATTTCCCAAATAAATAAACAAATATCCTCAGCAGCACTCAAAAAACGCGAATTTTCCATGATGCATTTCTAGACAAGGGGTAACGCCACCCAGGCATGAGAACACACACGATTTGCAAATCTCCTACATGAATCATCACCACATAAAACAAAAAGCACTGTTTGCTCCATCATCACCACCAACCTTGGTGTCTGTCATCTTTTATCCACTCATATATATATTGAATTATATTCACACCACACTCAACATGACTTCCTTCCCCAAAAACAAGATCAAAGTTTTGCTCTTGGAGAACATTTCTCAAACAGCGGTTGATCTCTTCTCACGAGAAACCTTCTCCGTCGAGAGCCTCTCAAAATCTCTCTCCGAAGAAGAACTCATCCAAAAACTGAGCACTGAAAACATTCATCTGCTCGGAATTCGTTCCAAGACTAAACTCACAGAAAGAGTCATTGAGGCTGGATCCAAAAACAAATTAAAAGCAGTCGGTTGTTTTTGCATTGGAACGGACCAAGTGGATTTAGAGGCATGCGAGAAGAGAGGAATTGCTGTGTTCAATTCTCCCTATGCCAATACAAGATCGGTGGCTGAATTAGCCATGGCAGAAATTGTCATGTTGGCTCGGAAAGTCCCCGAACATATTCAATCCATGCATAAAGGCAATTGGTACAAGATTGCCCGAGATTGCTATGAGGTGAGAGGAAAGACTCTCGGTATTGTGGGGTATGGTCATGTTGGAAGTCAATTGGGTTTACTGGCTGAAGGTTTCGGAATGAGTGTGATTTACTATGATATTGAACACAAGTTACCATTGGGTAATGCCAAACCAGTGGAAAGCTTAGAAATACTCTTAAAGTCTTCCCATGTGGTTTCGTTACATGTTCCTAAAACTGAACAAACCAACATGATGATTAAGGAAGAGCAAATTCGAATGATGCCACCCAAGAGCTTCTTTTTGAATTTGTCTCGAGGAAGTGTCGTGGATGTTGAGGCAGTGGCTCGTGCTCTTCGAGATGGTCACTTGATTGGTGCTGCCATTGATGTCTTTCCAACCGAGCCCAGTAAAGATGGAGAGGGTGTCTTTGTTTCACCATTGCAGAACTGCCCAAATACAATTCTCACTCCACATATTGGTGGAAGTACCATTGAGGCACAAGACGCCATCGGTAAGGAAGTGGCACAGAAATTAATTCAATACATGAATGAAGGATGTACGGTGGGCTCTGTGAATTTCCCACAAATCAATCCAGTGCACTATGATGGATGCCATCGTTTGTTGCACATTCATGTAAATCGACATGGTGTGTTGAAATCGATCAATGCCTTGCTGCAAGATTACAATGTGGTGAGTCAATTATTGGGAACTACCAAACATATTGGTTACATGGTGATTGAGGTCGATAAGAATGTGGCTGATGAGGTTTTTACTCAAATCAATGACTTGGATTGTACCATTAAGGCAAGAGTGTTGTTTTAAATTATTACTGATGATTTATTCCTGGAAAAACAGGCATATACTCTTGTACAGAAAATCTACTATTACTATCTGTGTAAATATTTTTGTGAATAATACATCATCCGTTACAGAGAGAGATGGAAGTAAATCTTGTTCAATCAATCAGAAGTGAAAAATCAATGACAGTTCCATTAAACTACATGTTTTCCTCTCTTGGGAGACTCTTACAAAACGACGCTGTTCTTCATCAAATCTCTCATTTAGATTCAAGTCGTTCATAGTCAGACTCAAAAAAAGCATTTCTCGCGTTAAAAGGTGAGAGCATCTGCCATTGCTAAACGTAACTGGTGACACGAAACTGGTAGTAAGTACTGTGACGAGCAGCATCACATCATGAAGATCTTCACTCGTCCAACTTCTTTGGATTTTCATAGGGCAACCCAGTTCTCTTTTTCAATTTGTCAACTGCCAACAGAAACGATGTGGCATCCGATGATGACAATTTCAAAAACTTTGTTAAATAGTACCAACTGCATCCCTTCTCCAATAAATCCGATCCTGACCACTCTTCTTGTTTCACTCCTACAATTATAGTCCACCATATGAACATTTGCACATCACGATTTGTAATGGAATATTTCCCAACGATCACCATTAATTTCAATCATTCATTTCAACATCATATTCGTAGCACATTGTGATTCCATCCGTATATATTTTCTCTTCCTTTGGTTCTCTCTCAAACATTCTTACTTACGTTTTAACACTTTTTGTGGAATTAATTCTGGTTCCGAACAGAGAAACACATGAACTTGTTCGTAGGTCCAATGCGACACGTTGGGCTCAGTTTTTAAAATGTTTGTTAATTCATCCGTTGCCCACTGAGAATTGTTGGTTTTCGATGCAAATAAAAACATTTTTTGAAGGTGAGCGGATTTTTGTGAATCAAACAAGGTGCCGATTATCACCAACATTAAATGACAAGTGACAACTTGGTTATCCCTGACACATAAACAACGGACACTGCCATAATATATTCACACGAACAATTTTAATTCAAAGAGATTCTCAATAAGAATAATAACAACATTATACATGCATGAGGAATGAACAACAATCAAGCAACATTTTCTTCTCACTCAAGTGTCACATCAACCATTTCTGTCATTGACCGTTCATTCCTTTCATTCGCAACAATAAATCGAATTAAACAGCAATTCCTTGTGCCTGTGAAGTCCATTGTCTCACCACATTCTTCACATTGGTCTTGGAAATGGTTGGCCACACTTGATTATCCAATTCTGTCAATCTTCCCTGTCCCATTAAAATCACCTTCATGTATTGTAAATAATAATACAAAGTCATATCTGTTCCTTTCACTTCTTTCAATCTCTTATTTAAATCTTCCAAATTACCACAATTGGTAATCTTCAAGTCATGACCCCAAATATCTCTCAACCAATTTCCCAATTCTCTAAATGTAATTCTTTCTGTGTAAATGCAAAGGAATTGATTTTTGAATTTCTCAAATTCTCTTCGAGCAATTAATTCACTCACAAATTTGGCAACATCTTCATAGGTACAGACTTCAAATTCTTCATTACCAGTTCCATAGTAATTCATTTCATTCTTTTCACGATTAATGAGTTTACAATCTTCAAAGAGTAACTTTTCAATGAAAACTCCACACAAAATGCTCACCCAATTCAAAGAACTTTGATTAAGGAGTTGATGGACTTGTTGACGGACTTGAATTCGAGGCAAATCTGTCAAATCAGTGGTAATGTTTCTAAAATCAATGGAAAAGTCCGATGGAATGTAGAATCGAACACCTGCTTTGACACAACAATTGATCAAATTCTTCTCAGCGGTTAACTCTTCATTGGGATCAAAGAAATTCATGCAATTCAAGACCATGGTGAAATCTTTGAGAATTTGAGAGAGTTGATCCAAATTACCATTCAAGACGTCAAAGGTGATAATTTGTCCATTCAATTTCTTTTCCCAGAGAGAAATCTTGTTTCGACTTTCTTCAGGACACAATAAGGAGAGTTTGACTTCGTTTTGGTGGTTTTCACACAAGTATTTGGTAATGCAGGAACCCAAGTGACCAGAAGCACCGACAATGAGAACCTTTAGATCATAGTCAAACTTTTCCTTAACACCGCTGAGATCTTTTCTTTCGGTGGAGGAGGTGAATTGAGTCTTTTCCATGTTGAGAGTAATACACAATGCTTATAGGAGAGAGTGTTTGGTTTTTGGGATTGAGTATTGATTCAATCTTATTCAGAGAGTTTCAATTTTTTGTGCGGTGAGAAGGGTGTGGTAAAATCAAAGTTGTGAAAAGACGATTCGAAAATGGGCAATTTCCAAAAAAGTCAAAATTTCAAGAGAAGAATTTGGAAATCATACAAGATTTGGCTTTTCACTGAAAATGCACTCCAAGAAAGTATCGCTCCAAATTGGGACAGTGATACAACCAAACCTATGAAAAACGTTCGAAATTTTCATTTTCCAAACTTTACCTCTTCTTCTGTAAAGTTTGGAAAATCCTTAACATCAACCACGTCACTAGAGACCTTCAGAAATTGAATCTTCTTCCAACCGAATGTTTGTTTCTTTGATTTTTGAATTAAACTTTTCAATTTGACGAACAGGAATCTAGAAATGAGTCTAGCTCATTTTCCGTCAAATCTGAAGACAAGGAAGTGTTCAAAATATTTGATGTTGGTTAAGAATTATTAAACTTTCAAATTAAAAGTCAGAGATGACCATGTGGATGTTACCCTCTGTTCTGTAAAGTTTGGAAAATGAATCTTTAGTCCTTTCAATGAGATGTGAAATAATTGTCTTTGAACTTGGAAACCTAGAAGAGAACTCTCCGATCCTCATTCGAACTCCTTTCATTCCTCTGAACCATTACCACCACTCTCATCACCACATGGTTTTAATGAACCTGATCGACAACGATCATTATCCTCTCATTCGGTTCGATCCATAGCTCATCCAACATCTTTTTCACATCCAATCTGTCATGACAAGACTCTCATGAATCATTCTTCACACAATTCATCACATCTGAACTTAATCCAAGAAATGGATTTCTCAACCACACACGACAAGAAGGAAAAATGTCAACTCTTGAATCAGAAAATGAAATTTGGAATGAATCATGGCGGCGATCACTCGAAAAGGAATTCATCTGATGCAAAGAAAGAAATCTCAAACAATCCAAAAGACACTCATCGAGATTCATGTTGCAACATGAATGATCATCTTTCAAGCAATCCAAAACTTCCTAAAAAGGAAAGAGGCAAGAGGATGATGAAACAGAATGTGCACAAACACTTACATCATCAAAACATGAACCATGTTGGTGGTGATGATGAAGGTGTTTCAATTGCTACCTTGAGTGATCTCTCAATGAATCTCCACCAAAAACATTCACCTCAACACTCAACACTTCACAAAATTGGCAAACAAAACAAGAGAATGAAAACCTTGTCCTCCAATCTCCATTCCACAACTTGTACTTCCAACCACTCCAAGAACTCACAAGCAAGAAAAACAAGTAGCCATTCCTTATTGGTTGCTTCCAACAACACCATCCATTCAACGACCGCATCAACAACAACTACAGAAACAATTGGAAGTGCGACCATTTCATCAATTGGAACAAGCAGGACCTCTTCTCCCAATGTCTATTACAGAGGTCATATTTCACATTCAAAGAAGAGATGAAAAGTTTCTTTTGAAAATGCAGAAACTTTTCATCTCTTCTTTGAAAAAAAATGGTAAAGAGAGCAAGAGGAAGAATTGATCATCATTGTTCATCACCTTCATTGTTGCTCTTTACAAAGTATCTGATTTGCATCGGACTTGTGCTTTTCATTGCTTGCGATTGATTTGGAATAATCTCTGCATCATCATAAGGTCTTTATTTGTGCAAGGAAAATATATCAACAGAATACCTTCTAATAGAAGAAGTAAATTTGTAAATATGGAACAATATCGTGTAACACGAAGAAATTCTCCAAAACAAGAGGAATGGTTGGCTTCGGGAGTGGAATGGAAATTAATTAATTTTGATCAACAACAAGCAATTCCTTCTCCGAGATTTGATTTTGCTGTTGCATCCACTCCGGATCATTCTCTTTCGTTTCTTTATGGTGGAGTCAATAATAGTTGGGGTATCATGAACGATTTTTGGATTTTAAATCATCAAAATTTGCAATGGACGAAAATTGTCAAAGACAGTAGCGATGATTTGTGGCCGCCTGCATTAAGGGACGCTGCTGGAGTGTTTTGTTTGGGAGAATTCTATTTGTTTGGAGGAAAGAGTAATGGTGGCACTGTGAGTAGTGATGTGTGGAAATTTAGTTTGGCTCTCCGAAAGTGGAGTATTGTAAATAGAGGAAAAGATGAAGAACAAGCTAAAATTGCATCAAAATTTGGTCACTCTGCCACTTGCATTGGCGGTAGCTTCATTATCATCTTTGGGGGTAGCGACAAGAACAACAATTTGTATAATCAACTCTATTTATTTAGCAATGGAACATTTACTGAAATTGAACCAAAAGGACAAGACAGAATTTCTCCAAGAATGTATACTCCAATTATTTTCAATCCAATCGATTCATCTCTCTATGCATTTGGTGGCTATGTGAAAATTTCAGCAAACGAAAGCGCAAACAATGATGAATTATGGCAATTCGATTTATTGGCTAAACAGTGGAAGCAAATTGAAAAACAACACTCTGCAATTTGGCCTCCTGCAAGAAGTGGACACAATTTGTTCAAGACCTCACAATTTTCTAACAATTTCTATATATTCGGTGGTGAATTACTGAATGGTCTTGGTACCAATGATATGTATTCTTTCAATATTCTCACTTCTCAATGGTCAGCAATTTCAATGGATGGAAATACAGCACCATCAGGAAGATTGGGCTCTGCTTTCATTCAAAAATCTTATTCGAGTGAAGAATACATTCTATTTGGAGGTGTTTCTGGTTGGACCAACACAAAGATATTAGGTGACGAATGGATTGCCTCACTACATTAATATTATTTGCGATCTTCCTCTATTTCCTTTAAATCTTCAAAAAATCCTTGATAACAGGTTTCTAAGGTTTGTAAACTTAGGGCATTCACCACAGATTCTTCAATGGCTTTTTTGTCATGTTGTGTTCCATTCTCATAATGATACCTTATGACGTTCATCAGGTAGTACAGCTCAATAGAAGGATCTTTCTTGTTTTGAAGGCCAAATTGTTGGAGAGAATATTTTGGTCTTTCAATGTCATCTTGTGTGATGGTAATATATTCCTCTAAAATGTGTTTTTTACCATTTACTGATTCATATGGTACACAAATAAATCTAAATTTGGGTGGAAAACTCTCCCATCTCTCGCTGCTAATGATGAAGCCAGTCTTTTCACCATTTCGCATTTTGACATGAAAGTCTCCACAATGTGGAAATTTTGAGAGACAATTCAGTTTGCTGCATTGCTGAAAAAACGTTCGTTCTTCTCTACTCAACAATTCAAAACTTTCCACATTGCTAAACCATGATGAGCTTCTCGAGGCATCCCATGTTTTGGAGGATACATAAATCATAAATTTGATATTCTTTTTTGAAGGAGAAAAGGACATCTTGAGAATCATTTTGGGATCCGATGTGGCGGTATTTAATCGAATGAATCTCGATGAATGGACAACATATTCTTTCCAGTCGTTTTTGAGAGGTGGTGGTTCGTGAATGGTCGTCCAAGTCAGTTTGGATGTTTTCATTTTTTTTTGATCGAACAGCTGCCCGCATATGGCCGAGTGGTTTTTCTGGAACTGTGGCAGCTAACTGGTCCAGCGTTCGAATCCCAGGGGTTGCTGCTGTTATCGTGAGCAGTTTAAACACCTTTACTTCCGGGGTGCCTGCTAGGAAGTCACTACGTATCTTACGTTCGGCTTGTAAATAATGTACATAAAACCATCGAACAACGTTTATCATCGAATAAACCCATCCCTGAATTTTTTTTTGATCGAACAGTTTAATTGAAAGGGTGTGAAATGGTTGAATGATTACTTCAACTACACCCTATGTAGAGGATAGTATTTGTTCAACAAATGTTCTTGTGAAATGCCAGCCGGATACCATGTTTCAAAGTGGAGTGGGAGAGATTGTACCACTTGGAGGCATGTGAGGTTTTCAAAAATGTTGAGAAAGAGCTAAAGATGCGCTGAGAACGAATTTGATCTTGGCTCCAATGTTTCATTTTGAGCTTTAAGGTAAACAGATGATTCAATGGGCTGGAAATGTTCTCAAACAAATGGTATCCAGTCAGTACGTCAATAGCTGCATATTCTAAACGCTTGTTCCCTTTTGGAGTCCATGGTAATATGTCATATGGTTCCCATTTATAGTCAGGATATTTAAGCTTGTTGTCAAAAATATAAGAGCGAGAGCTGTCTCCACAAAACAAGGTGAGTTTGTGAAGACCTAAATTGAAAGGATCTCCTTCAATGAAGCCCTCCCTTGTTTCATGCATGTCTGTTCGAAAATTAATGTCAAGAGGTGTAATGTCATGATGTACAAGCCAATTATTCAATTTGATCATGTCAGTGCATAAACCAAAACCAATTTTCTTGTAAGAATTGTCGAACAAAAAGTTCGTCAGAAATTCTGGTGGTCTTTCTTCAAAGTCCACAAGTAGTACCATGCAAACTTTGGATGTTGAAAGTTGCAATACTCGGCACCCCATTTCATTCGTGTCATTGCCATTCCATTCTGTATCTATAACGAATGGAACAATATCTTGCTTTTTATCCATAAATAATTTCCAAATTTTTTCATCCAAATCTCGTAAGTGGGTGGTGATACATAAACAGTCGCTATAGCTCACATGATTAAAATGATTCAGCAAAACTCCATTCTGTATGTTGGACAACGATTCATGTTTCTCATGGACAATCACGTCGTATACCTTCTTGTTCCAAACAATTATACTTTTCCCTTCATTAGTGGTTTCTATAACAAATTTAGATGAATAATCTTCTTGGATAAGCTTGAAGACATGCTTTGAAAATTCTGCTTTTGGTTGTTTAAAATAGTTATTGCATGACAAAGCCTGCCCAATCGAACTGCAAGCTTTTCCAGTATACAGATTAATCATCCCAACATAGGACAGTATATTAGTTACTATTAATTCGGTCACACAACTTTGAAGTAGTGTGTTATCTTTTGCATGTTGCTGCATGAAGAATAATGGTAATCGAGTTTTACATTTCAGTATGGATCGATCATCAGCTGAGTGTTCAATAACTGCTCCCAGCAATTTTTCGGAATGAATTTTAATGAAATCTTTTGTAAAGAGTTTTACTAGTTTTGGAAGTAAAGCAGAGAGTTTGTCTTTAATGATATCCATATCTAGGCAAATCATTTTGTGTTCATCCGTTGAATCATTAACTTGTCCGAAATATTTCATACAATTATTGATGAAAATAATTAATTGAGTTTCATCATCTCCATCCATGTTATCAATGAGTCTATTAATCTTTTCATGAAAGGATTTAATTTCGGTTTTTTTCTTTTTTGAGGATTCATAAAGTTGAGGAGATGAGGATTTCGTGTTCTTGTGTTGGTGTTGTTGGTCTAATTTTCGTTTCATTTTTTTTTTGTTTTTTTTTAATTTCAACAAAAATGCTGGCAATCAATAGATTTATGCATGTTAACCCTCCAGCACAGCAAAAATTTTTCGCTGGAGAGAACCTTGAATAAAACACAAAGATTCAGGGGCGGTTCTATTTCAAGGCCACCAGCCCCCAATCTCAACCACTAATTTGGTGATGCTCATTTTCCACTACAACTAAAAAATCACAAAAAAAATAGATCATGATTCTGGACGAGGGTACTTGTTTCATCGAAAGCAGTTCTCCTTCTGTAGATTTTTCGACCTATTCCAATGTGGACGAGAATTTCATGATGACGTTTCATCAAAATACGCTAAGCCATATCTTTACACCCGAACAATCATCTTCAAATGATGAACATGAATCTGATTTTTGGACCCTGAACGATGTTGAGCAAAATCAGTTGTTGACCCAATTGTACTCTCATGATAGTGACGATTTTGTTGACAATGATGTTATTTTTACAGTCACAGATAAAGATTCAGAGACTATTAACGAGTCGTTCGATGTTGCCGATATTGATAAATGATTTATTATCATTTTGTCTTGAGACAGATGATACAGAAGACAGAACTGAAGAGGAATCGCCTGAATTTACACCAAGCGAATTTAAACTTCCTCATCCTCCAGGAAGACAAATACGATGCAAAAAAGGTTGCACTCGTTGCACAGGATGTGTTTGCAAGAAAGCCGGTCTAAAATGCTCTACTGAATGTGAATGTGGCTCTGAATGTAAAAATTTACAAAAAGACAGTAATCATTTCCAAAATGGATGGGATTTGAATGGTGGAAATTAAAGCACCTCAAAGATCAGGACCGACTAACATACCTGAAAACTTCACTCTTCCAAAATCTGCCAATCTTATATGGGATGAATCTATAATTGAACATGTTTGGTGCAGAACAAACTGGAAAAAAGAATACTGTGAAACATTTGAGACAAAACTCAGCAAGCACAAGGAATGGCAGGAAGCAAAAACAAAGCATTACCTTGCTAAAAAAAACAACAAAAAGGAAATATGTGCAATATGTGTTTTCTGAAAATGAAATTCCACCTCTGATCGAAGATGAAACCCCTTTCACTTTACCTGAGCCAAAATTCGAAGACTTCGATAGTTTTTATCGACGAAACCAAATGAATCAAACACCCAATCATTTCAAAAAAGAAGAAATACGAGGGTTTTTACAAGTATGTCAATTAATGAGTATTGCTCCAATTCCAAATTATGCAAACTATTGGACAGGATCAGGTATGGATCATGCACTGTATGCATGCAAGCTAATCCAGAGAGTTATGAGTAGAAGAAGGTTCCAAGAAATTCATACGTTTCTCAGTAGTGAACCACAAATAATTGAGGACAAAATCAATTCTAACAGTAGAAAATATTGGTTGTGCGTTAGAGAAGATTCGGTTGATGAAATAATTGCAGCATTCAAGGGAAAAGTTCGATTCAAGCAATACATTCCCTTAAAACCTCACAAGTATGGGCTGAAACACTATGCGTTATCAGATTCAACAGGATATATTTATGCATTTTGGTTGTATCAAGGAAAAGAGTCCAGGTACACCCATAACCCAACTTCTATCGTTTTAGATTTAGTAGCGCATATATCTCCAGAAAATCACATTTTGGGCGTGGATAATTATTATGGGTCGTTAGAACTTGCTACTAAACTCTCTGCAAAAGGATGGAGGTTTGTTATGACAGTGAAGGGAAACAGACCAACATTTTTGTTTAATGAGGGTTTGCAAAAAAAGCTACCAGGAACTAAAACAAAACAGTGGATTCATGCGGTCAACAAGGAAAAAAACTTTGGTTGCGGTGTCTCTGAATGACAACAAGAGAGTGAATTTTCTAACTAATGTCAGAAGCAATCAATTAATTAACAACATATGATCAGCACATGTACAACATTTCCATGGGGTGTGTCGACAAATCTGGGATTTTCTTACATCACCTTCAACCGCCATTCAGGAACAAGAACTGGAAAACAGTACATCTATTGCAGATGCTAAAGACTGCATTTGTTAATCAGTATATCATTTTCAAAACCTATGCAGGGAAAAAGACTCTCACCTTATATGATTATATTAAGCACATTTTGTCTGACAGTATTTTATTACGGAATCCATATTTCAAAAGAACGCAGCATTTCCCTGTCGAAAGTAATGACAAAGTTCACCACTACTGCGCTTACTGTAAGAAAGCTAATTCAAAATGTGGTTACAAATGTGCAGCATGTGGTGATCATTTGCATTTGAAGTGTTTCCTCCAACAGAAACTCATATTGTACTAAATAATTTTTAATTCTCCTATCCGAGATGCCCATGGACTTTGTGGAAAACGGTTGATATGATTCCAACGCCTTAATAATTATTTAGCAATTTCTAAATAATAATATCATTAATTTTGGACGTCAAAACTCCAGATGATGATATCAGGCAGTCGTGGTTGTCGTTGATTGGGAGTAGCAATACTTCACATTGATTCGCTATCATGATGTGTCTACAAGAAACGCACAAGTATTGTGTTTTTCAGAAAGGTGATGATGTTGCGTGGTGAGCCAAAAGGTCACTAGCAGCCTTGGATGACTTGATCTGTTGGAAACGGAGGAAGTGGAATTCTCGATACTGATTTTGCTTTTGTTGTGCGCACCTTTACTGAATTAGGGACTGTACTATTATTTGCCACTCAGCTTCTAATTCAACTGGTGCTCCTCCCGAAAACCAAAATTCAATATTTGCACGGCGAGCCTATAGGCTGCTTAATAAATGATTGAAAATACAGGGGAAACCCCTCAATAGGAATCGGTTTCAGAACCATAAATCTAATATTTAAAATTAGAGTGAACGTGATGAAGACTTTGGAAAATTTAAACAGGATATCCAAGACGAACTTGCTATGTCCTTGCTGTAGTAGAGAGACAATGCAACACATTATTTTTGAATGTAAATACTATAGTGATATAAGAAAAGAAATGTTTAGGAATTTATATAATATCTCAATATATGCAAAGAATAACAGGAAATTCTCCAAACGACTATTGTACCTCATCAAGACCAAGCAAGATATCCATAGCCTAACAGGTGCTAAAGTTGGATTGGGTAAGAAATGGGACAAAGTATTTAATAAGGAAGCTTATCGATCTATTACTAAAATGTGGATGAAACGAAATCATTTTTTCATGGAAGAATTGAAACTCACCTGGAATGAATTTGAACAACAATACGATTTTAATCCCAATTTCATTGATTTGAACAAGTTTAAACTATACATGAAATACTCACGACCATGAATAATAATTGAAATTTACAACAAGTTTACACTATCAATATTTGAAATTAACACTAAACCTTGATGACAGAAACAATAATTGAAATTTAAAACAATAATTACACTAACTTTGATGACATGAACCACGTTTAACTGTACTAATTTCACACACAGCCATGAATAACGTTTGAATTTTCGAACAAATAAACATGATTATTAAAAAAAATGCTGACAATAGATTGGGACTATGAATCTCAACAAGATGAATAATTTCAATTTGAATGACAACGATCCAAAAGCCAAGGATGATCATGATGAAATAATAAATATCGGAATGAGATCCTCTCCCATAGATCCCGAATGGAAAAAAGCTATTGATGAAATTCCTCTTGAATTGTTCTATCAAGTGCGAGGACATGAAGATGAGAAGAGAGAACAAGAAATTAAAAAGCAAGTGGAACGTGAGGCACAACTATTGGCCGATCAACAAATTAAGCATCTTATCAATACTCTGGAGGAAATTAAAGTTGAAGCTGTTCGGAAATATTACAAAGAAAAGCCTTTTCTTGAGGAGAAGGCTCGAACCGAAGAAGCCGCTCGCCTCGACAAGGAATTTCAACAGAGAGAACGTGAACGAGTTTTGAAGGAATCAGAAGAATTGGAAAAGAAAAAACAGGAAGAATTAAAACAGCAAAAAGAAAAGGAACTTTCCGAGTACAAGAACGCTGTGGATACAGTTCATTCATTGATTGCTGAATTGACACGAAATTTGCTTGATAATCCACCGAGTACCTTATTAGACAATTCAGAAATTTATGATCCCAAGAATGATCATCCAATTACTGCTCAGATTATCCAGCAATTTGAATCCAGTGGTAGTCTTGAAAATTCCAAGCTCAAACAAGAACAAGAAGATGAGACCTTAATTAATACAAGGTTTGTGGAGCAACGCAGAAGAGAAATGATGACACTGGAGACTCCCAGACAGCCTCCTTCAAAGAATGAAACTATTTCCACACTCTCTGTGAAAAAACTTGGTGAAATTTTGTAAGTAGTCAGAGATTTAAACAGGCAGAGCAAGCTAACATCAAAAACTTGTGGACACATTACTAAAAGGTACGACAAAGGATTCAAAGAGCTTGACAATTATTTGGAAAGATCTCTCAAAGATAAGCAAGAAATCGAAGCGAGCATCGACAACGACATTAGAAATAAGGAATTGAAATTCCTATTGGAATTGTTGTACGATCGCAATGGTAAGAGACATTCCAAACTAAACCACAGTATGAGGGCGCAATTGACAAACAACTCAGAGCCATGGATTGACTTTTTTACAAAAAACTTTGACCTACAAAAACATGAAGATGCTCTCCTGAAACAAGCAAGACCTCTACCTCGCAACCCATTATTCACTCAAACGGAAGGGGATTCCACAAAACAAAGGCGGCAGTACCAGCTCAAGCATCCTCTTTTTGAAAGAGAAGATTCAAAACTGTAATCTAATCTCGTTTTGAATCAATTAATATGAATTTTATTTTGTCCCAATGGAACTGGGTAATTATTGTTTAGTTTTCACAGTATCGTGTAGATAGTGTGGGCCTTTCCAACCATAAAGGTGAGGAGTATTTGTATTTCTGTCCAATCCCGGAAACATTCAAAGACAAAAAATGGGCCAACATCAAACCACACAAGTCACATCACCAACATCCAACCGACCCAAAAAGATCCCCCATAGCTCCGAATCCGATACCAAACACAACAACAATCGCGAGACACGAACAAAGCTCTCTCTAATCGATATTCAGAAATGTTTTTCACTATCGGAAGGAACCAGTTTTATTTCAACACAAGCTCGAAATTTTCTTCCAAGCTCGATGAATCAATATTCCATATTGAATCTTGCCGCCAATGAAAAGCTTGTACAAATTCTGTCACAAAGAATTCTTCAAGAACTCGCGAAGAATGAACAGACACAAGACACAAACAATACCGCTACACAGGAAATAACAACATCCATGCTTGAACAAAAATTGGAGCAATGCAAAGAACATGCAAAAGAACGTGTTTTTTCTCTTTTGGAGAGTGATGACGTTTCAAGAATGGAGGAGAGTCGTGCATTTGCATGCTTTTTAGGTTTAATGATTGGTGATGCAATGGGATCGCCATTGGAGTTTTCACCCTGTCGATTTCCACAAAATATTACTCATGAAAAACAAATGCTTGTTGAAAAAGCGTGGAAAAACGATCCAGAGTTTTTCGAATTGACATCCATGAGTGACAAGCATGTTTGGACAAAACCAAATTACAATAGATTTGAATTGAAGCCTGGACAATACACTGATGACTCTTCAATGGCGTTGTGTGTTTTGGACACATTCGTGACAAAGGTTCTTGATGAAATTTATTTGAAAGAGTGTCAAAAAGATTTACCTCCTTCAGACATTGATTTCGACTTTAATGGTCGAGACATGAGGCTACGATTTTTAAATTGGTGGTATTTTGGTTACAACAATGCTTTTGGAAAAGACGAAACCCATACAGGTGCTGGTAGCTCTTGCGGATTAGGTGGAAATATCAAACAAAGCTTGGTTGAATTTATGAAAAATCCATCCAGTGAGGTGACACTTGCTGGAGATTTAACCACATCAGGAAATGGCAGTATTATGAGAAATGCCCCCATTCCAATCGTTTGTTTGAAACACCTTTCCAACAACAATTCAACAGAGACATTGGAAAAAGTCATGAAAATGGCTTACAAGCAAAGCAAAACTACTCATCAGGGAGAGGAAGCAGCAGAACTCTGTCGATTATTGACATTAATTGTGGTGAAAGCAGTTAAGGCAGATGCATCATTGAGCCCTCTGCAGGTGAAACAGCAAATTTTCGATTCACTACATGATGGCGAATTTGTGAGCACGTTACCAAGTGTGAATTGTTTAGTGAGAAGCCAAGTTGAAAACAATGACGTTGCTTCCAGAAATTGGAACTGGTTAGATGTGAATTACACATTTTGTAAAGACAGAATACAGCGAGATCCAGGATATTGTGGATCCTATGCAATGGATGCTATGGCCATGGCCCTACATAATATTTATTACACAGACAACTTTGTTGATGCTATTCTATTAACAACAAATATGAGAGGTGACAGTGATAGCGTTGGTGCTGTGGTGGGTCAAATCGCTGGAGCAATTTACGGATTACGTCAAACTCCTCGACAATGGCTTGAAACCATTCTCCAGTGGGACTATAATAGAGATATTCTGTTAAGGCTATCCATAATTTATTCACATGATTTAAGCTGATGGAGCTGAATATTATTGTACAATGAATAATTCAACATTCTTATTTCTTGGCAACATTTTGATTTGCTTTCTCACGTAAAACATTTCTTCTGATTTTACCTGCCTCTGTAGTTGGTAATTGCTCTTCGAAATAAATCTCTCTTGGATATTGATGAGCAGAGAGTTTCTTCTTGACAAATTCACACAATTCCGCCTCTAATTCCTTGCTAGGAGTGAAGCCAGGTCTCAACACAACGAAAGCAACAACCATTTCTCCTCTTAATTCGTCCTGCTTTCCAACTACCCCACTTTCTCGCACACCGGGGTGCTCAATAAGACAATCCTCCACTTCTTTAGGGCCAATTCTATAACCACATGAAGTGATAATGTCGTCACTTCTTCCACTAAAGAAATAGTGTCCATTTTGGTCTCTATACGCGGTGTCACCTGTCATTTCGAAATATCTTCCATCTGGATAGGATGGAGATTGAACCATCTTTTCTCTTGTTTTTTCTGGTTGATTCCAATATCCTGTGAAAAATCTTGAAGGTGAATTATTAATGTCAATCACTAAATGGCCAGTGACATATGGCTCAGTAATTTCCTTAAATGCATCATCTAATAATGTCAATGTAAACCCTGGCATTGGAGTTCCAATAGTAGTAGTTTCAGATATATTCTTAGTAGCATATTCTGGGTGATGATGATTATTGATCAACATTCCATGTTCAGTCTGTCCATAATGACTTTGAATACGAGTATTCCAAATTTCTTCGAAAAATCTCACAACTTCCGGATTCAATGGTTCTCCAGCAGAGCTATTACAAGGATGGAACACACAATTTACAAAGAAATTTCACACAACCAATGTAAGCATATGAATTCATAAAATTTTAAAAGTAATTTTCCAATCTCATGGTGCAAAACCTACCTTGCCTTCTTAATGTAAAATTTATATTGACGAGCAAGGTCGAGTCCTTCTGCTTTCATGGCTCTATATGCAGTGGGTGCGGCTGCAAAATTGGTAATCTTTTCATTTTGTAAAATTTCATAAACAGTACTTGGTTTGAAAGGTCGATGAACAAAATAAGTGGGTTTTCCTGTTGTGTGAAAAGATCATTATAGATTTAGTAATGAACAAACGTTCGTAAATCTTGTCCACTCGTTCACACTTACCAAGTAATTGAACTCCAAGAACATTGTAGTATAAACCATAGGCCCATCCGCTATCTGCCAAATTTAAAAATACGTCATCTTCTTCCACATGAAGACCGTATTTCATGTAAGTCTCGAAGGCCCCTAAACTCTTGGTCGTCACAGGTACTCCCTGTCATGATATGTGTTCAAATCATCAAGTAGGTCATTATATTTCTTTTGTAAAAATTCACACATGTTGAACTGTAAAGAACCTTACCTTGCCTTAATCGATGTGAAAAGAAACATCAAAAAAGAATGATCAAAGCAATTATCAATATGATACACATTCCATCCTGTCACATCACAAAAATTTCACACCTACTTACTCTTTCCAGTAGTTCCTGAAGTATACAACAAAACCATGATATCTTCAGCTCTCATTCCTTCTCCGCTTTTCACACGATACGAGTCGTCATGTCTTGTAATATCAAAACTGGAAGAAAGAATTCCATCTTTCCAAAATTTAATTTCTTCAGGATTTGCTCTATTCAATGAAGTAGGAAGTGAATATTCTCCTTCGTGATGAAACGAATGAGCTTCAGTAACACCTCTCTCAGCCACAATGACCTTAACTCCACGTTCTCTCAATTCATTCCAAATTGGTTCCAATTTCACAACATTGTTCTCATCGGTAATAATGATACGAGCCTCTGAATCAAACACACGATGTTTCACAGCATCAGGTCCGAAAGCAGTAAACAATGGAACATAGGTGAATGCATTTCTCCAAATGGCGAGACCAGCAATCATTTGTTCAGGGCATTTGGGAAGAAAGACTGCCACTCGTTCTTGTCGTTTCAATTTTAAGGACTTTAAAAACTCTCCAAATTTCATACTCCACTCGCTGAGTTGTTGATACGTGTATTGAAATTTTCCATGTTCTGTGAAATAATTAAGAGCTATGGAATCTTCATTGGCCTTTTTTATAAATCATTCCAATCAAATCCATGGTGATATATTTTGTCAACACGATATCATGTGAAATAGTTTAAATTGTTTTGAATTTTTATAATGATCATTTTACAATTATAAAATGAAATAATTTCAATTTCATGAAAACCTACCTTAATATGTTGATCACACAAAATGTGACCCAAATGAAAATACTCTTCCATGGAGTGTTGTTGTTGTTGTTGTTGAAGAGAGGCACTACTCTTGAATGATTTCGATATATGGTAACTGAATTTCTTCTTGCAGGATAAATCATTCAAATTACTACTACTTCTTGTTGGATCCACCAAAAAGTAATTATTCTTACGTGTATGTGTAGTACTACTACTACTACTACTACTCGAAAGATGTAAGAATGATGATGAGGAGTAGTTGTTCCATGATGATGAGGATTGGGTTGCTCTGGCCAATGAGGAAGAGAATAAAGAAGCAACAGCGACCGATGAAAGAGAAGAACTCGAGTAATTTTGAGTACTCGGAATAATGGATTTGATCATGTGATGATGATGGTAAATAATAATATATTAGTGATCACTCGATCGATTGATTCTCTATGATACAATCTATGGTACAAAATAAGACTTTTTGATTATATTACAATCAGTAATATATAAAAGTGTGTTGTTGTCGTCGTTGGATGAATCTTTCTTTAGCTACAACAAGGCTTGTGGGATTGATCGAATGTGTTTTGAGAAGCTTTGAATTTTTTTGATGTTTGATGCCACAACAGGATAAATTATCCAAAATTCCTGCCTCTGTTGTTGTTGACATCCTTGACGTGACAATTAGCGACAACAAGGAATCATTGCGATTACCCTTAGTGCATTCTTCACAACAATTTAGGACACATAAAATGCCAACCTGCATAAGAAGAGGATGACAACGTTGTTTTCTATTGATAACAACAAATGCATGCAGTCAATGACAAGTCCAATGATCTTGGAAATCAGATGTTTGTGACAGTGTGATCTGTCACAAAAAGTGAATTGTTTTGAATGCATAGCGAAGGTGACATTCAGACCAATCATTGTTGCGGGTACATTTAGCAGCACTGATCGCCAGCCTTCTGATTTATTACTCGAGCACACTCAACAATGCTGTCAATGACTCGTAATAAATCTGCCATTTGCAACTGTTAAAGTATTCTCTCTCGATATTGCTTGCTAATGAATTGATGTAAATATTATTTCAAATTCATCACTCGTCTCAGTAATTCATCGTCATCCTCAATTTCATCAAGATCCTTGTCCTTAACTTTCAAACTAGAGGTACCTGTTTTTGCTTTTGAGAGTTTTCCACTCATGTCCAATCCAATTTCATCATAAATTTGTTCCATTGCTTCATCGACCTCTTCTTCGTCGTCTTCAAACAAATTCTCAAGAGCGTCGTCCATCATTTCTTCACTCATTCCCATCTTTTCATTTGCCTTTTCAAATTCCATGATGGTCTTTTGCATTTCTTGTGGATTCATTTGTTCATTAATTTTCTTCATGACTGTTCCCGTAGTTTTAATTGCACCCATCATCTTTTCTTGTGTGTGCATGCTAGAGGCTTTATATTGTACAGTATTCATTGTTCCTTTCATTTTGGTCATTCGTTCTTGTTGCTTCCGAAGTTGAACAATTTGTTTCGCCAATACTTTTGCTGTTGCTTGATCTCCTTTCTGCAGAGCGTTTTTCACTTGTGTTTGTAACTTTTGTTCTTCCAATTTTAATTTATAGGTTTCACGATCCATGTTTCTTGTGCCCGATCGGAGCTCTTTCTTTTGTTCTTTCATAATTTCCTCAGTCGTCTTTTTCTTTTCAAATAACGGCATTTTGTACAAGTAGTAGAGAAACACAACGTCCAGATGTTTTTAGAATAATAATGATTATTAATAATAAATAACAATAAATAGTATTATTGTAGTCGTGTTGGTGTTTTGATCTATTTTTTTGTTTGAATCACAGTTGAGTTCAATTTGTCTTTGAATACACTTGGAACATGAGAAGTTGGAAAGGAGAAAGAACAGCTCTCTTCGAAAGGCATTCCTGATTGCATCAATCATGAAAGTGTTGGAGCACAGTACCTCCTACAAGTTTTGCTCTTTAAAACGTAATGCAAACGTCTCTAGAAAAGAAAAATGATTAATTTGAATCGTTTGGCCTCCTTTCAACGACAAGCTCATTTTCCGCTATGGACTCGAATGAAAACGAGTAATTTTTTGATTTACTTCTCTCCATTCCGAGTGGTGAATGACTGTAACACAAACCATTCATCATCATCATCAGGGAGTAAATATTACTCTCATCATCAAAATCAATTTTATTTATTTTCATGTTCGCAACAACAACGAGAATTTCATCATCATGGCATCTCTAAAATGTCCTCTACTGGTACCGGAACCTTTTCTATTGATCCAAACAAATTTAAACTTATTGAGTCTGTTTTTAATCAATTAGTAAATGTGGATATTGTTCAATTATTTGAAAGAGTATCAAAATACAAAGAAGAGTCTACAAGATTAGGATTGGAACGATTACAGAACAAGATATTAGGCATAGAACCTAAATCTTTGGAAGTGAAAATTGATCCACTTCCGCAAGATATTAAAGCAAGAATATTGAAGAGTTTGGAAATTTTGGTTTCACTTCCAATCTCAGAGGAACAATCAGAACCTAACCAAAGAATTAAATATTTCAAGAGTCAAGGGCTGAAAGCATTCGGAGTCATTTACTCGGAGTTTTATCCATGGTTTGAAATTGAAAGAGATCCACATTTGGGATTTTATTACATGCTTGCTGCTTCCAAGTTGGATGATGCAGAAGCATGTTACCATGTTGGTACCTATTTCATAAATGCAATGAACTACTTGGCTGGAGAAGAATTAGAACCTGAAAAGTATAATTTTATCAAATCATCTAGTTTTCTCTATGGAACTGAATATGACAAGGAAACAAATACATTCATTTTCTTAGATGAGAAAGCAAGAAAGAAGAAAAAATTACATCTCGAAGGAAAAGAAAAATTACTCAAACCAAAGCTTTCACAAGAAGAATATTTGAAATATCCAGGAATAACACAAGATGTACTTTACTTCAAGCTTAAAGAAAACGAAAAACTCGCTGTGGAATATTTGAAGAAAGCAGCAGATTTAGGAGATGTGGAAGCTCAAGTTATCATGGCAAAATTTTATTTGGAAGGTAAAGCTGGATTAACATCAAATTTGAAACTATCCATGCAATATGGAGAGATGGCTGCTAATCAAAATAGTCCTCATGCTCTGTTCAATATTGCGAGCATTTATTTACTTGGAGTGAAATCACAAGTTCCAAAACCAGGTTTTGAAGATTTAACTGCTTACCAATTGCATCATACTCCGAATGCTACCGAAACATTTGAAGTCCAAAAAGATGTGAATAAGGCAATGGAGTACTATTCTAAAGCAGCCTCATTGGGCTTGTCAGAAGCAGCCTATATGGTCGGTCATGCCTATCATCATGGACTCTATAACCTGCCTCAAAACACTGAAAAAGCCGTTCAATTTCTCAATCAAGCCGTGAATAACTCACATGCAGAAGCAGCTTACTATTTGTACCTCATGTATGCTACTGGAGAAAACTGTGAAAAAGATACCACCAAAGCAGAAGAATACTTTACAACTGCTGTCAAACTACATAGCCCTAATGCGCTCTACGAACTCGGTGACAGATATTTCCATGGAAAGAATGGATACTCCGTTGACTATGCAAAAGCATTCGAATACTTTACCATGGCTGGAGAACTCAAGAATAAGAACGCTCTATATTGTCTTGGAGTCATGTATTATCATGGCATTCATGTCCAAAAGAGCTTAAAAACAGCTTTTGAAAGATATACACAAGCAGCTCAAATAGGTTCCAAAGAGGCATATCTTGCTCTCTCCGATATGGTGAGTAAGGGTGAAGGAGGAGTGCCACGAGACGAACACTACGCCAAGCAGCTCAAAAACACATACGATCGAATGGTTGCAGAAGAAGAGGGAAGAACCATGAACGACACTTTAAATGTGAATTCAGTGGCCGATAGTAACTCTGGTGGCTGTGGCAAATCCTCTTGTCAGTGTGCACAACAACCTACACAACAGGCTTAATGACAAGGGACCACTCCACTCTCAATTTTTCCGTTTTCTCAAATTCCAAAAAATACACAAACTGATCTCTCTATCACCAAATTGCTGTTGCTGACATTAAACACTTGCAGCCTACCATCATCGGACTGATACTTGAAAACATCATTGATCAATCCTTTGAATTTCTTCACACAATATGGTCGTATTCATTAACGTCGCATGTGAATGTCTTCTCATTGCGAGTTGCCTATTTTCCATTCGCAAAATCATAAATTCCGATCCGAGAAACATCTTCTCTACCCATTACACACCAAAAAATCCTCTCGCTTTCATCATTCTCTTTGCTTCGATCGCCTTTGCTGCCTGCTTGGGAATTATTAATTATGCTTCTTTGAATGCACAACTCTCTTCTTATCATCCCATTGTTTCTAGATATGTCGCATCTCTCATTTTGCCTCTTCTTCTTCCATTAGCTGTTATTCAATCGATTGGATATGGACCAATTCAAATGACTGCTGCATTGGGACAAGTGGTGATAACAGCACTGATCGCATTTATTGGAGTTGTGATTTACAATGAACAGTTCAACGGAATCAGAAGTGGATTATTTTCAATTCCACACGCTGTTGAAGAGTTATTGGGTGTTGGATCAGTTATATTTTGCTTGCTTTATGCAGTGTATGGATATTTGACAGCTGGCAGCAGCGCTTCAGCTGTTCGTTTCAAGTGTTTACATATGATTTATGCAGTGGTGGCCATGATTGTTGCTGACTCTGTATTGAAGAATCAATTATTGAGTGGAACTGATGTTAGACCTTTCGAACGAGTGGATTTGTTCCACATTATCTTTTCGTTGGCTATGATTTTCTTGGGTAATGTGGCTGTTGGAAGTTTTTAAAGTCGCTCTTGGTTTACACTAATAATTGTTTATTGATATAAATAATATTTCACAATATATTAACTGAAATAATAATATTTTGAAACAAATGATCAAATTTATTGTACAAGACGTTTCGTAAGGCATTTGTTGTGAACCTTTTTGATCTCGTTGAAACTTCACTCACTGTTCCAGTCATTATAGAATTAATAAGCTTCTCCTTCATTAATGTCCTCATCATCTTCACCAAAATCTTCCATCATGTCTTCATCCACACTTTCAAAATTTGCACTTTCATCGGTTGGAAGTGAATCCAAGGTATCCAGAACTTCTCCTTCGTCACTTAATGTTTCCGCTGCAATTTCTTCTTCATCTTCTTCCGTGTCTTGTTGTTCGGTGGTTGCTGCTGATTCGGTGGATGGTGAACTCTCATCGACGCTCGAAAGAGAATCTAAATTCATTTCTTCGGTGGATCCTTCAAAGAGAGTTTCAACAGATTCAGCATGGACGACCGATGGTGTTGTAGAGGTAGTTGATAAGAAACCCGTGATGAAGAGAATTGCCAAGAGAGCAAATGTCAGTAAGAAAAATTTGTTGTTGGCCATTTTTTTTGAATATGGTCTGACAGGTGACGCATGCATTTCGGGTCATGTCGAATAAAACCTCAATTAATAGTATTGCTAGATCAGTTCAGAATCCTTACTTGATAAAAGTCACAAATACATCCCATCTTCATTTAATTGTCCTCACTATTGATTATTGTGTATGGATGGTTGTCCATTGGTCCTCTAAAAAGCAACAATGAAAAACCTCTTCTCATCCATTTGTAAACCTCCAGCCAACAAATACACAGAATGGACAACAATAGAATAATCACCCAACCTGTAAATCCTAAATTTTGAATCTTGAGAGCTGCTGATAATGGCGTAAAAAGTTGTAAAATAAAAACAGAAACTCCAACAACTGCAATCCAAATATTCATCATGACATTCGTGAATAATCCATGAATGAACAGAGGAGAAGTAGTAGTTCTCATGTTGAATGCAAGTGTGACATGTCCAATCAGCCAAGCCATCATTGCCATAGATTGAGAATATTGTTCATGTGATTTTGCTTCCAAGTTGTACATTGGGCCTAATAGAAATGCTCCAATTAAATAGGATAAGAATACAGATATAAATAATGAGGCAGATCCAATCGCTATGTGAAATAGAAAAGAGGCATCCACAAATTGTTTGTCTTTTTTGGGAGGTTTTTTCATAATGTCTTCTTCCTCATTTTCAATAACAAACGCAGTAGCTGCTCCAATATCACTGAATAATTCCAGTAGAATGATCTGAATGGGATCCATGGGAATAAATGGAACGTATTTCGAACCTCCAATAATGATATTAATGATAAATAATGAAACAAGGGTAACCTTGCAAGAGAGGTAAAATTGAATTGATTTTCTAAGATTCTCATAGAGTTTTCTTCCTTCCATAATTCCTGTCACAATGGTAGAGAAATTGTCATCTGTGAGAATAACATCAGCTGATTCCTTTGCCAAATCCACTCCACTTTTACCCATCGCCACACCCACTGTAGCATTGTCTAAGGCAGCAGCGTCATTAATTCCATCTCCACTAACAATTACATTATAATTGTACTTGTTTCGCAACAGTTCAACAATATCGTACTTGTTTTTTGGTGTTGCTCTTGAAACTACGCAGACCTCAGTATCAAAATTCACATTTTCGTTCACATCTTTACCTTCAATACATTGCTTCTTTTTTTCAGAAGCGGATTCTCCAAGCTCAATTTCTTCTTCTTCATCTGCACCTCTTTTTGGATGGAATTGCAAGAGGCCACATTCGTCTGCAACTGCTACTGCTGTATTTGTGTGATCTCCGCTGATCATCACTACTCTTATACCAGCTTCTTTACATTGCTTAATTGCTTGCTTCACTCCAGGTCGAATAGGGTCAATGAAGGACAAAAAACATGTGAAAATTCGTTCAGAGTTTTCATTTTCTCGGCAAAGTCCAATCACTCTCATTCCACGTGTGGTTGCTTTTTCTAAATAGTTTGAAAGTGCTTGTTTGCTGTCAGCTTCGAGGTTCAACACAAGATCTCTATTGGAAGACGCTTGAAAATGATTGCAGTATTCTAGAATTTTTTCTGGAATACCTTTGGAATAGATCGTTTTTGGTGACATGTCAGAGGATATCACAATTGAAGAGAAACCTTTTTGATGATCGAAACTAAATTCTTCGAGACGTTTGACACTACTTTGATTTCTTTTTTCGAGGATTTTTGTGAAAGTGTCTTCTAATGTGGAAGAAAGTTCTTCAACTACCGCTTTTTCGAATGGATCTTCGAGTTCATTAATACTAGATATTATAGAACTATCAGACAGAAGCCAATCTAAAATCCAATGAGACACAAACGAAGCATTATCACGTTTTTTCTTGTGTCTAAAAACACAAGAAAGGCTTCCATGTTCATTTAGCTGGTAAACTTCCGTAAGTTGTAGACAGTTTTTGGTCATAGTTCCTGTCTTGTCTGTCAAAATGTGAGTTGTTGTTGCCATTGATTCAGGGACGTGAAGTTTTTTGATGAGTAAGTTCTTCTTACTCAATTGTAGAGAACCCAAGGCAAGTACGCTCTTAATAATGATTGGCAACTCTTCAGGTATTGTGGCAAACATTACGGAGAGGCCTGCCAAAAGCATTCTTCGCCATTCGAAACCACGAATCCAACCCACAATTACTATTATAGCCGTGATAGAGATTGAAGCGATTGTTAAATATTTAGCCAAATCTTTCATGGTTTTTTGAAGCTCTGTTTTCTTTTCTTTCTCATTGGCTTTTTCAAGTAAATTCAAAACTGATCCAAGATGGGTATTATCGCAGCCAATGTTGATCACAACTCCAAAACCCTTCCCCTTCACAATATACGTTCCTGCAAACAAAATATTATTGCATTCCATCATGGAAAGTTCATGAGTTGTGTCAATGGCATCTCCATGTTTGTTACACAACAGAGATTCTCCCGTGAGAGCGGATTGATCGACTTGGATATTAACTTTTCCACTTTCACTATTAAATAAACGAACGTCAGCAGGTAAAACTTGTCCAACGTTAAGCCGTAGGACATCTCCAGGAACGAGGTCTGTCACCATAATAGATTTTAACTCTCCATTTCTCCTTACTGTACATTTCTTGGACATTTCAAAAGTAGATTTCAACTGTTGAACGCCTTTCTTTGATCTATACTCATTTACAACCTCTACAATTACCATCAATAAAATACAAATGAAAATAACCAATCCATTCCAAATAGAGCTGTCCCAAATCACATACAAAAGTCCCACGACAAATAAAAGTAAAATCATTGGCTCTTGAACTTCGTTGATAAACACTTTCCAAAAAGATAATTTCGAATTTGATTTTTCAATTAATTTTGTGAAAATATTGTTTTCTCCGTACTTTTCTCGTTGATGACTCACTTGTACTTCACTCAGTCCCGTTTGCTCGAAAATATGTCTTCCAAAATTCGAGTTTTGGGCGTTTTGGGCTCCGCTGATGTTTTCTTCCTGAGATGTTGTTGTGTCATGATGATTTGGAGCAAGGTTCTTCTTGTTATTCACATTTGGCTCTGACTTGGTTTCGGACAGTAGAGTCAAATACAATTCCTCAAGGTTCATTCGGTAATACGGCACTCCTTTTAATGTTGTATTATGAATTTGAGATTGTTGCTCTCTGTTCGTACGATCGGTTGACTCTTCCGACGATTTATTTGCGAGTGGCGATACTGCAACTTCATTATTATTATTTAACAAGGATTCTGTATTGACATTATTAGCGTTCATTGAATTTGCATCCTCATCGGTTACCAACAACGATTCTTGAGTGTTTGGAGCTTCTTCTTGATTTGGTTGTAAGGACATTTTTTTTTGTAAAACAAGACTGTAATTGATGAAAACGATTTCAGATAAGAATGAAAGAAGAAAAAGAACAAAAATGATGTGAGAGGTTAAAGAAAATACATTTCGGACCTGAACTGGAGTACTACGAATATAAGTTGGCATTTCTTGGCTTTTGTTTAAATTTAAATCTCCGGATAAAAGATCAATCAAGTATAAGAATGATGAGTCTATAATTTTTAATTCAATACATCTTCATGATAGGCTAAGAGAAGCTCTTGGTCGGTTACTTTCTGGACAAATTGTGCAACTGTACAACTTCCTGAACTCTTGGTGTCGTCTTCATTTTGTAATGTCATTAAGCGGTTCAAAAAAATTGGCAACACAATTCCACAACATTTGATTTTCAAAGAACGAACAAAGTAGAATTAGATTCCGAAAATTAAAATACTTTCAATATTACTTTGGAATTGAATTTCAATCTCGAAAATGAAAATCTAAACCGGAGTAATCCTAAAAACATAAAAGAATTACAAGGTTACATCTCTAGCATCCAACAAATTTTAAAATTATTCATCTGATTTCAAACATCTCACAAAAAACAGAGCAATTCAAGAATGACGGCACACTATCAATGGTTTCTTTCAAGGCTTGTCGCCATCCTTTCCTTTGAAGACTTCTTCAAGGACGCCTTTTGTTTTTCCATCCATGAGGATCTAATCACACCTGTCCGCAAGGGTCTTTTTAATGTGGTTGAACATGCACAATCACTTGAAATGCGACCATTAACAACACATGAAAAAGAACATTGTCAATATCAGTTACAACAAATCAAAGAACACTACGCATCTGAAAAGGTCACTTCTATTGAAAAAATTGAAGAGGAGGAATCTCCATCATTGATTTTCACCATTGCAGAATGGTTCAAGGCATTAAGATTTTTTCATATCATGATTGGATGGGATATTTTGTGGTTGTCTCTTTTTATGGCCTTGACATTGAGTTTGGATAACTTGAAATTATTACTGAGAGGTCAGATTTTCGATTTGTTGGAGAGTAGTTTTTCAGCAAGTTCTTTTGATTCTCGCCCTTCTCCTCATAGTGATGATGACGATGAATGGTCAGCCTCCTTCTTGTGGTGGAACGCTCTTCTACTCATTACATTTTGTCATCACCATGCTCTCCAAACTCGTCTATTATGCCACTAGATTATGGGAATATGAATATAGGGAAAAGTTTTCAGATTTCATGAGAGAATTAATATTACACAAAGTTTCCAAAATAACCATGCATGAGAAACAGGAACGCTTCAATTACGGTGTTCTTTCAACCATTCTTGATGAAGATCTTTCTACCATCAGTGGAGCTAAATACGTCTTGTCAGAGTCGTACTCTCATATTGGATATTTATTGATGAGCTTCTTTACCATGGCGTATACAGTAGGATTCTTTGCCTCGTCTTGTTCCTTTCTATTTCTCTTACTGAGTGCTCCTGTGTATATTTATTTCATTCAAAAGCAAGAACGTATACGAAAAGAGAATCTTGAAATTTCAGATGAAAAATCATCCTTACTTTCTCAATTTATTCATGCCATGAAACTCATCAAAGTATTCGCCATTGAAAATGTTTTCCTTTCCAAATTCGACAAGATTGAAGCAAAAATCAGAAAGAACACCCACAGGAATAGTTGGGCTGACTTTTTTATTGATTCCATCTATTATCTGCAATCATTCATGATATCTTCGGTTTGCTTTTTTGTGTATGCCTATATTGAAGGAAAACCCATTACTCTTGGGTTGGCTTTAACTGTGAGCTCATTGTCGGATTATTTAAGATGGCCATTCTACAGCTTGTCTTCTGATTTGAGACATGTTTCACAAATGAGAGTTGCTTGTCGAAGAATTGCTCATCTTCTCATGTGTAAAGAACAGGAATATCACACTGAATACACAACAGATTCTGGAGTCCTCGTGGACATGCAAGGTGTGAGTACCAAATGGAACGTGGAACGTTTGTGCACGAACAAGGAAGATGATTCGATCATTCGAAATATTTCATTAAAAATTCATGAAGGAGAACACATTGCATTGATCGCAAAGGTTGGAATGGGAAAGTCAACACTGTTATACACCATTTTGAACGAAACGAACATCACTCAAGGTAATATTCGAATTAAGAAAGGACTTTCTATTGGATTTGTTTCACAGAATGCATGGATACGAAATGGTACCATACGAGATAATGTTATCTTTTGTTCCAACAAGAGTCATTTCAATAAGGAAAAATATGAACAAGCATTGTGGGCTTCAGATTTTGCTATTGATGTCGAACAAATGGAAAACAAAGATGAACAGATTATTGGAGAAAGAGGAATCAATCTGAGAGGTGGACAGAAAATTCGGCTCTCTTTGGCGCGAGCTCTCTATCATGATTGTGATTTGTATTTATTGGATGACATTTTCTCAGCTGTCGATATTCACACGTCAAGTAATATTGTGGAGAGACTTTTTCTGAATGAAAATTCCTTATTGAAGAAGAAGAGTGTACTGCTAGTGACACATCAATTGCACCTATTAGAGAGGATGGATCGTACGTTTGTGATGAATAAGGGTGAGATTGTACAACAAGGATCATATCATGAATTAATGGATTCAGAAAATATTTCTGAGACATTGAGAGATTTGCTCTCTTCCACCTATAATGTTCAAGAGGAGACAAAATCCATATTCAGAACATCCCAAAATTTAAATAATGATACTGATGATGAAACTGATGAGGAGGAGGAAATGAGTGACAATGAGTCTCCTGCTATTGATTCACAGACCGATGAGGTCAAAGAAGACCCAAAAATCTCACAAATTATTGAATTCATGATGTCTCTCGGAAAGAAGAGCACCATCTTTTTAGCAGTTGTGATAACTCTGGGGTTGATTGAACAATTTGCTCCAGTCTTTAAAGACTATACTCTTTCATATTGGACTCTTGATGAACAATATGAAAAGCATTCATTAGGATTTTATTTAACCATGTACAATTGGGAGGATTTTGTGAAATGATTGCATACACGCTCAATATTTTAGTGCTTGGATACTATTTATATCTCATTGGAGATGTTTATCAATCATTGATTTTAGAAAAATTAGCTCAATCCAAGTTGAAATTGTTTGAGACAGTTCCTTCTGGCAAAATCATGGATCGAGTTTCTGACACTAATGATATTAGAGAAAATATTATTCACATGTTTCAATACTTTATTTCGAGCGCTTTCAAGGCCTTTGTGACCATTGTCATTATACTTTTCACAGTGAACCTATTTCTATTTTATTATTTATCATTGTTGCACCCATTACTAATTATTATAGAAATACGTACTCGACAATTGAACAACAAATTATAGATTATCAAACAGCAAATCTTCATGATCCCACACACACCATTTCAAGTGAAATACTTGAGGGAATTGACACAATTAGAGCATTTGGAAGAGAGGAAAAGATGTCATCGCTTATTTCCGAAATTAGAGAAAAGAAACGTTTTACCTACAAATTGACATATTGTACGGAACTACTGTGGAACTGGTTCTCAGTGAGATGTGGACTGGTTCGTGAGGTGACAACTTCTCTAATCATTTTAGCCATCTTTTTATATTATTACAATTACTATGATGCCAATTTTGATGAACAAAATACCGACCAATCCAAAAACAATGAAAAGCTGATCCCCATCCAAGTTGTAATTGCTCTCTTCTATCAGAGAATGAAAAATCTTATTGATTCTTCAGAGACCCTGTTTTATACATTTACAAAAACGGCAACATCTTTTAGACCCGTTCAAAGAATACTAAATTTTGTAAAACAACTTCCATTAGAACCCAATCATGGAACTCGATCAATATCAGAAAAACCAAAAGATTTAGGTTTTCAAGGAACTATTGTATTCGATCGAGTAAGCATGAAGTATTCTCCTGAGAGTAAGAATGCTCTTGACAATATTTCATTCAGCATAAAACAAGGAGCCAAATGTGGAATTGTTGGAAGAACAGGAAGTGGAAAGAGCAGTATCTTTAATTGCATTCTTCTATTACAAGAAATTGAGAACAATGAGGGTGCTATTTACATTGACGGAACTGACATTAGAGAATTACCCATTAGAGATTTAAGAAAAAGCATTACCTATATTCCACAACAACCAATTTTATTCATGGGAACTCTTCGAGAAAATATGGACTTTGAAGGAGAATTTAGTGACGAAGAAATTACACAAGCACTCGAGCAGGTTGGATTTTTACAGGCCCTTAAAGAAAAATCAAATAGTTCAATCACTGTGAAAGGTGAGGAGTTGTCCATTCTTGATATTAAGATTACTTAGAATGGTACTAATTTTTCAAGTGGTGAGAAACAACTCATTTATTTAGCGCGAGCATTGCTGAGAAAAACAAAGATCTTGTTGATGGACGAAGGAACAAGTAATTTGGACAATTTCACAGATTCACTCATTCAAAGCACATTGAGAGGTCCTCTTTTTTCAAGTACCACTATTTTAGTCATTGCCCATCGAATTGAAACCGTCAAGGATTATGAAAAGATAATTCTCATGAGAGAGGGCATCATTGCCAAACAAGGCACACCGGATCAGGTCTTAATGTTGTGCCAAACTGTTGAAGAACAACAACAATGAAGAATTAAAAAGACCTTATTGAGGAGGAGCGAACAAGTGTCATTGTTGTGACAACTTTGATTTCCTTGTTGCTATATAGAGTACCGCTCCCTTCATCAAACAAGAATGCAAGTGTCTTGGTAAACCCATCCAAGCTCGACTGGCCATACTGTTTTCTTGCTCGGCACAGTTTGTCATGTATTGAACTGCATTTCAACATAATTCTTCAATTGAAGACGAATTTCATAATGCCGTTTTTTATTGAATAATTATTCTTTCAACGAGTTCATACATTCCCTACAATAATTAAAAGCATCCTTGGCACTAATTCTGTCATTTTGAGAAAATTTCAACATGTTCCTCAAAAGACTCTCGAGTTGGGGAAGAGGAGATTGAGATGAAGACGGCAATGTTTTGTATCTTTCCTTAATATTTTCTTCCAGATTATTCAACACAGTTTCTTCTCCTCGTTGTATCATTTCTAAAAAGATATTTGTTCTTTCATCACTGGTTAGTAATTGATATAAAACCACACCTGCAGACCAAATGTCTGTTTTTACACCATATCCTTGATTTAACTGAGCTTCTGGTGACATGTAATTGATAGTTCCTGACACACTGAAGGCCTTGCTTTCGATCAAGGATTTCGAGAGCCCAAAATCACATAACAATACCTTTAAGCGTGTAATAGCTCCCTTGTTGTCCTTTTCTATTTTTTCAATTAGAATATTCTGTGGCTTGACATCTCTATGAATGACATTTCTCGAATGAAGCTCACAAAGAGCATCCATCACTTGAAGCATGATCGTCAAAATGATGCGAGGAGAGAGAAGCTGTTGAGGCGATCGGATGAGTGTTGTTAAATCTCCTTCGTCATAGTAAGGCATGACAATACACAACATTTGAGGTGAGTAGAGATCGTTTGGAGAGGAGATTGGATTCAATCTTTGTTGAAACACATCCAAAACCTTAATAATATTTGGATGATTGAACATCATCATTTGGAACGCCTCTCTCATGGCTTCATTTATGGACAACAAGGTATTGTCTCCAGAGTTATCGACTGAACAAACTTTGAGAGCTACTCTTTTTTGAGATGAAGAGGGTGACTTGGCACAATCTTCACACAAGTACACAGAAGAAAATCCTCCACTTTGAATTTTCTTTAAAGGTAAATATCTTCCATTCCAAAGCAAAACACCAGTCTCACTGGGTGAGAATGTTTCTTCTGAGGAGGCCGAGATGGAATCAGTCTTGTAGGAAAAGCTGTCAGATTTGAATGTAAAGCTACTGCTCGTTGGGGATGGAACGTATCGGGAAGTTTGAATGGATTTGAAAGGATCAACCTTTGGAGTCGATGGTAGTGAAATGCAAGAAACACGCAATTGATTGACAGCTGGTGCTTCCTCGAGAAGACTCAAATCATCAAACTCGACAAATTCATTGCATTCCTTATCAAAAATTTCAATGACAACGATTTGATTTGAAGTTTTCTTTCTTTTCAAGCTCGCAATTAAATGGTCACATTTTGTGTAAATAAAGGTCTCTAAGGATTGGATATCTTGGAATGTTTCAGATGTAGAAAGCTTTTTCTTTCTACTACCAACATGAACCATGAAGAGATACTTGGCTGAGACGCCACCTTGAAGGTTGTATTCAGTTGGAACATGTTGTGGCGTTGCACTTTTATATTTAAGAATCCAAGGATGATGAGTGAGAGATTTGATGTAAGATCTTGAATAGTCATGTTGGTAGAAGCAACATCGAAGGAAATCCAAAGCCAACTCTGAACAATTAGGAGGAAAATATTTGTCAATGAGATGAACAGGAAAGTTCTCTTCCTGAAATAGTTGAAACAAATCTTCCCATGAGTAGTCGTGAAATGGAGGTTTGCCTGTGAAGAGTTCAATGACTAGACATCCAACGCTCCATATATCTGCAAGTGCTTGTTTTTCCCAATCACCTTCAGTCATGTGAAACATTAAGGGTGAGCAATATTTAAGACAGGGTTTGTTCTTGATGTATTCTTCCTTGGTCATGATGAATCCAATGTCGGCCAACTTGATTTGACCATACTTTGATAACATGACGTTTTTTGAGGAGAGGTTCAAGTGCGCAATCTTTAACGTGTTGTGTAGATACAAGATTCCTTGGAGCACTTGATCAATGTACATCACAATGACCTTTTCACTTGGTCGATAGCCCTTATTTCGAAGCATGAAAAGCGATCCATTCTCCAAGAATTCTTCAACGACTGCATAAAACTCTTCACCTTCTTTCACGTTTCCCTTGCTGTCTTTCACTGGTAAGGTCACACTTGCAAACATGTGTGCAATGAATGGATGTTCACTCCGAGACTCTGCAATCCTCTCTCTCAAATCTTCAATTCTATTCCGCAATTTTGGAATTATATCTTGATTGTAAATGTGCTTCATGACAACGAAATTTCCTGTTTGAATATGATATCCTTTGTAAATTTTGTAATACCAGTTCTGTCCCAAGCAATCCGAGTCTCTGTTCACTTGCTATCATTCAACATGTTGTTGATATATATTGAAAGAATCATCATGGCAGATATACACTTACATAATTTCCAATCACTAACAACGGAGAATCAAGATTAATGGCTTGACTTTCAGAAGTAATACTACATCTTCGAAAGTTTTGGCTGAAAAAGGTAGGAGGAAACCATGGTATCGGTGAGTCACCTGAATCTTGCCTTTCCTCCTCCTCCTCCTCCTCATTATTGTCAGTATCCTCTTCTTGATGGATTGTTTGGTCATGATCCTCCTTGTTCTCAGTACTCTTATCAGGTACCGAAATGGCTTGGTCTCTTGTTTGTGCATTTGCAGCAATTTGGAGATGCTTGTTTTGAAGTTGTTGTGGTTGTTTGGTAGGTTTTAGTATCTTGTTCGTTCGAGTGGGTGGAGATTGTAACATTTTTTTCATTTTGTTCATCAACCTCTAAGAATGATCCTTTGGTAATGATGATAGGAATAAGGATATTTAAATAAATATGGAAATATCCCAAAATTAATCATGAGACACTTAACATAAGCAACAATAACGGGCTGGCGATCGATCCACGAGCAATCAAATACGCATGATTGCTTGAACGGTAAAAACTGATGGAACAATTTCAAGTATTAGTCACAATGATCTTTTTAGAAGAAGCTCTGAAGTCTATCAATTGATGAGGGATTAGCCTTTTGAAAATCTTTTTAAATTATAAGCATTTCAAAATAATACGGAGCATGTAGTTCTCACCTTCCCTTAATAGTAAACAAGGGTGCCACCATCATGGAAGAAAATTTGTGAAATTATCAATCATAGAAACGGTGCTTAGCTGTCACATTGTGGGATGCCATCTCCAAATTGTGCGTTAGGGATTTGTGTATCTTTGCCTAAAAACTCTTTCATATCATCTTTAGCTGCAATAACTAGAGAAGTGTTGGGATGTAATTTGAAACTCTTGTTTGAAACACTGCGAACTTTTTCTCCATTCATTGAATAATATTTTTTTGCTAAATCTACAGAACAAGTATACATTACAAGTGTTCTTGTTATTGAAATATTCAGATTTGATGGGCTTTTCAGTACGTACAAAGAAAGGAGCTTGTCAAGCCAGCATTACAACAAGCATGGATTGAAGACAAAGCTCTGTTGGAAGGAAATCGAGAAATTACTTGGTCCAGATTTTACAGTAGATACTTTATTCCAAATTAAAGTCATATGACAAAGTTAAAAAAGTGCGTGTTCAATTTCGTTTAACCTACTTATTGCAGCTACTTCAATAGTCATATTCTTTTCATGAATCGGTATTGATGCACAACACTGGCTAATCATGGGCTCTAGCTTTTTCTGGGGGCCAAATTCTATAAATTTAAGATGAATAGTTCCTTCGTAACTGCTCATTACATGCTTGATAATGTTCCGTATGGACATGTTCCATAGAACAGGACGATATACTTGATCGATTGAATATGCAATCATTTCGTTCAAGTTTTGGACAAACTTGGCGTTGAGATTGGATACTATTGGACATGCAAGCTCTCTGTTTTTTAAATCAATTTGTTCAAATGTCCGCTTCAGGTCATTGGCTACTGGTTTTAAATATTTCGAGTGAAATGGAAGATGCACATTAAGAGGTACTGTTCTTAATTTGCATTTGTAATTTTCTTGCCACGCTTGTATTTGTTGATCAATATCAGATACTCTTCCACTTAGAACCACTTGTTTTGGAGTGTTAATATTTGCCATATCACACCTTAAAGAGAGTGCTTCAGTGGCTGTACCGTATTGTAAATTATTCTCAATGTCATTCATGAGAGTTTCTGGAGCATAAATAATGGCTTTCATTGCCATTTCCTTCTCTTGTTCCTTTGTAATATTTCTCTCCATGGACAAGCCCCTTTCGTGAACAAGATAAATGGCCTCCTCGATGGTGAGACCTTTTGCTGCAGTAAGTGCTGTAAACTCTCCAAGTGAATGGCCCAACATGCATAGAACTTGTTCATCCTGATGAATATTCCTTTCGTGTTTCAACTGGATGTACCTCTCAAACAACATGTACGACTGTAGTAAGATTAATGGTTGAGCAAGGCTTGTAGGAGGATTTTCAATGTTCTTGATCTCCAAATTATCAAAGATTGGAAATTTAAATTCTTTAAAAGCATTCAATATTGTTGAATCATCCATATGTTCCATGCTCTTTGGATGAAAAAAGATCTTTTTACAAACATCCGATTTCATTACGGGATGAATTTCATGAAAATCATGAAACATTTTTGAGTGTTGGGATCCCTGTCCGGTAAACATGTACACACAAAGTTGATGATGTTTGTTGCGGAATGTTCCACTATTTTCCTTGTTGAAATAATGGAATAAATTTGAGAGAATACTCGTTCTTTTCTGAACATAAATATTTTGGTCAAAACAGCAACCATTCCGATTCTGTCCATTTCCGATGGCTTTAAGAATGTTTGAGTGAGTGAATTCAGTGCGAACTGTTTTCATCATTTTTTTTAGAATGTAAGATCCTAATTTATTAATTGATATTTATTGATATTAATTATTGCTTAGAGTGTCATTGGTTGTGGATTGATCAATCCATTTCAAATAATCTTGATTCCCTTCCGAGATGTCCATGAAAATCACTTCAGGAACCGAGTATTCATGATTCTTTATTACACATTCAATCACTTGTTGTTGTAAATCTTTTCTCGTTTTGATGATCAACAATGCTTCTTCATCGGAGCAAATTTGTCCCTCCCACCAATACATGGATTTGACTTGAGGAACAATGTTCACACAAGCGACTAATTTCTGTGTCAATAAAGCTTTTGCAATGCTTTCAGCTATTCTGATCGGAGAGGTAACATAGGCGACACAATATTTTGCCAGTAAAGACATTTTTTCTTCGTTCGCTCTATTCTTTCTCAGTATTAAAAAACATTAATAATTATTATTAATTATTGGAATGTGACATCTGAGAGTTGTACGTTTTGGGTGGCCTCTAACATTCGTGTAAAAAAGTATGTAATAGAAACGCTTATGGAAGCTTCATAGGCAATGAAAGAATTAGGTCCTGTTCGATAGCAGAATGGCCGTTTGCTAAACTCTTTTTCAAGATCAATACATAAATCATTAATAGATCCAGTGGAATCATAAGCTGAGCCCTTAAATAATACGATGGATGAATTTTTAAATCTATAACATAAATAATTTCTGTTAAGCTCAAGATCTTCAATCTCAAGTTTAAAAGGATTAATGATAGGTTTCACAATTGCATCATCTTCATCAGACACTGGTAATCCGTATTTTCTTTCAATCTCATTGACTGTTAAGTGATGAGTGCGAGGGAAAAAGTCGTTACTTCCATAGATGTGATAAAATCCAAATGCTGATTTTAGAAGTAAATTGTCAGAACCAGCATACGCATGTGTTGAACAAAATGCAAGAGGGTTGCATCCAATCAATGCATGTTCCTTAATACATTGACCGTCGTAGCAGCTACCTCCTGTCCATACCCTATTATCTTGTGTGAGAATGCACACATGGAAGTTACCACAAGCCACTTGTTTCACAGGACAGTCTGTTGTTATTAAATGATCGCTCCAATTGTGCTCTGAACCCTCTTTTAACCAATTTTGACCACTCATATGAACATGAATATTGTTAATGACGCACACAGAAAATGAGAAGGCACACCCTACGTGTGTGATGGTGTAGCGACTATCAGTAGATCCATAAGTGGAGTCCTTAATTTCCTTTGATGGATCAAAAATCATGACAGGAAACTTGACATGCTTCCCTTCCTGTCCACCCAATTTTGATAGCTCATGTTTATCACACAATTGTCTATATAGATTAGATCCAATGCCATATAACACCGTTTGGTTTCTATTTGTATCTTTCACAATGAATAATGCATGTTCAGTATAGGACGCAAGTCCAATCACCTTGAATTTCACTCCATCAAAGATGGGATATGTTTTCAACACGTGTTTTCCAACAAATTTCGATCCTTTCATTCGCTGTAAAATAATTTGATGATCATCATTTTCAGGATGAATTGCATGGTTTTCAATCACAAACATCTTGCCATCTTCATCAACAATTCTGATATGATTCGGATTAGCGTCCACATATAAAACTTTATGTAGCTGGGGAATTTCTAATTTTTCTAATACGATCTCTCTAAACGATGATGATTCAACTCCTTCTTTTACAAGCATCTCCTGAAAAGCCTTTGCAACGATCAATGAATCTTGATCATTCGGAGGAAAGAAGGTGTAATGCACTTTCATTTTTTATCATCATATGAATTTTTAAAAATTATGTTTAATTTTCATCCAGTATGAACAAATTCGTGAATGTAAAGATCAGCGAGAGGATGGCAATGGATCAAGAGGCATCTTTTAAAATCCTCAAGCATGTGTTGGGAGTCTTTTGAAAAAGTATCAGACGTTGAAAATTTTCAAAATAGTTTGTAAGGAACATGAAAGTTACCAAAAGCACCAACATTTGAGGAAAACCTGACGTGGATGATTCTTAATTACAATGCGAAATGCACGCACCTTCAAGCGCAGTAATCAAAAGTTTGTCCTCAACAGTACAGCATTTAAAGTGTTGCAACTGAGCTCATTACCCTTTCACCAAGAGCATTACAAAAAAAAGAATTCTTGTTGCATTTTCCAAGATGGTCTATGAAATTCGTTACTTTCCAAATCCTGGTAGAGCAGTAAGTTGTGAATTTTTCCATCTTTCATCATTTCAATATTTCTCAATTTCGTCAATATCCATAAATTCAATGATCAAAATTTCAAATCCTCTTCTTACATAATAAACAAATTCTCACCAACGACAGGACATTCTTCTATTGATCGCAGAGACAGGAGGTGTTCCATATAAATTCGTTGGTGTGAACAGAGAGACTGAATGGCCTCAACTCAAACCATCCACTCGTTACTCTCAATTGCCATCTCTCAAAATCAATGACAACTTTACCTTGTATCAGACTGTTGCCATTGCACGTTTCTTAGCGAAAGAAGGTGGTTTGTATCCTTCAGATCCATTCCAAGCTCTTCAAACAGAAGAATATATCAATGCTCTCGAAGAAGTCTTTAATCACTTGCTTCGTGTTCTCTTCTTCACACCAGAGGACAAGAAAGAAGAAGCCACTAAATATTTCACTGAAGTAACTTTGAAGAATGTTTTTGGAGCATTGAATTCTGCATTGGAAAAGAACGGAGGTTATTTGACAGGTACATTGAGTTGGGCGGATTTGGATTTCTTTGAAATTGCAGCCTTTGTGGAAGGAAGAGGTAAAATTGATGTTATGACTGTTGCTCCTCAATTGCCAAAATTGAGAGAAAACATTTTGAGTCATGAAAGAGCCAAAGCGTTCTTGGTAAGTGAAAGAAATTTCAAGAATAAAAAATAGTCGTGACTCAGTTGGTCAAAAGATGAGCTCAATAAATGCAAGTTCTTCGTGTGATACTACAAACTTGTTGTGATCCACGTATTTCCATTTCAGATCTGAAATCATTACTCTGCAATTCATCAGTGTTTCATGAGTGTGAGAAATTGTGTCTTTTCAATACAAAATTTATAAGGAGAGATGTGAGTACTAGGTCGAGTATCAACTTTGAATTCAACTACAGAATCACACAACACTGTGGAGACAACGTCGAAGATGATGGTAACGGAGTTCCAAAAAATTGAACCTTCCAACAATGATTTCTACTTTCTCGTGTCACCCAAAGAGTCTCTTCTTCTTCGAATCGATTTGAACTACTACTGGTAGAGTGACGACCATTTTCAGTAGCGAAATGCTTACTTATTGTTGCAGTTTCACATTCACTAGGATTATTCTTCACTTCATAAATATAATTAAAAACATAAATCACTTCCAATTCGCTCACAATAAATTCTCGTCTAAATTCAAAATCCACCAAATCATTATATTTTCCTCGATTCGTGCTCTTCATTAATCTCGGAATGAAGACACTCACATAATCCATACGAGTGATTTGTTTGTCATATTTTCGTTGCAATTCAGCAATTCCTTTATCGACTTCGGAATTCGACAATAAATTTCCGAATTGTTTCCAATCGCGTCGTTTGCAACATTCATTGAGTGAGAGGGCACATTGAAAGGATTCCAAATGTTCAACTTTGGAGAGAATGGGTCGACTAGGAACTGCTGTTGTCGTTGTGACATTGTTTGAAGAAGAAGAAGAGGAAGGTAACAACTGATAGGAAATGTTTGAAAATGATGATGATGATTTAGAGTGAAAATGATGAGAATTGAGATGTTCGGAAAAGAAAGTGCCGACAGAGGAGGAATGGACACCATAATGACTGGAAGTAAGAGGAACACTCGATATATCGTAATACATTTTTGGAAAGAAGATGAATATTATTAACGGGACACAATGTCGTATATATGACAGACACTACTACTACGACTACTAAGTTTATGGTGGAGGGTGATGGTGATGGGTGGTTGTTGTTTCTCTCAAACGGGAAAATTTTCGATTCGGAAAGAGGGGAAAGAAGGAATCCAATATTGGAGGAGAAGAATCAAAAGAGAGTGACCGACCGTTGTGAGGTGGTGGTAGGTGGGTGTCTACTGTAACGAAAGAGAAAAATTGCTGCTGTTTTTTTTTGTAGTTTGATCTTTGCCTGGACGATTTTGGATGGATTTGGTATGACTCGAGTCATGTTATGACAAGTGATGTCTGTAAAAGCATTCACCCATAAAGAGGTGGACTCTTTGTTAATATGTACTTCTTTTCTTGAAGTCAAACATATGCACATAAACGTCTTTTCATTCCACTCAGTTCTTCAATTTTTGAAAATGTACAAACTTTATTGCGTCTTAATTTCATGGTCAGAACTAGAGATACTTCTCAATGCATGGTTCGATTCAATCCTTGAATTACAAAGCATCGGATAAGGTCTTTCCTTCATCTACAGAAATGACAGACAATTCACCCTTGGTATTTTCATGAATTTTACAATGAATATAAGCATTCTTTCCAACTTGAATCTTGTACTTGTGATTAATTCCTGAAACAACTTGGGTGGTGTGTTGAATTGGTTTGAATTCTGGATAACCCTTATTGACAAAATTTTCAACTAATTTTTCAAGAGTTTGGGTCTTGATGGTTTCATCAATATGGTTTCTGTTGTGTTCTCCTGCGCTCATTTGTAACTTAATGTTAATTGTTTAATATTGGATTTTTTTGTTGTTGTTGTGGAATATTCCATGTGTTGTTCGCTTTTTTAAAGCTTTCCAACAAAGAACAAAAAAAGGTCATGTCAACACACAAACCAAAATATGACGCACATCAACACTTGACTGACACGTTGATTGGATATTGTGAATGATAAATAAATGATTTTAGTTAGTTTGAGTAAGCATACTTTTGAAGAAGGCTCTCTATAGTATTATCGAACCATTCTCTACCGTACTGCAGATCTGGGCAACCTGAAAGAAACATAAAGATCAGAGGAACCATTGAAAGAGTCAAAGTAGCATTCAATGCAAACTTTAGGAGTGGATTTCTCCGACGCATTTCTCTGTTAGTAACAAAGAAGAAAACAATAAACCATGGAATAATAATCATGAAGAATAGGACCCAATTCACCCAAATATGATGTGGGAATGGAATGAGATAATAACCCTCACTGAATTTGAAGTAAACCAAAATTTCTGTGAAAATAATGCCAATAGCAATCCAAGTATTTGCTCCAATTCTCTTAGTGTTTGGATCACTAATGTATTGATAATACTCTCTGATGGCTGGCATTCCAAGACAGAACCAAATGAGTAAACGATAGACATTCAACTTGTTTGGAGGAGGAACCCATAACACATACTTTAAAAAGAATGCATTAAGGTCAACAATATTCATGGCCAAAACAATGGCACAAAAATATAAAAAGTGTTTGGCGTCATCAAAAATGTGCCAATCGTAGGAAGTCCAGTTGAATGGAGTAAATTGTTGGAAAATGCGTTTGATTTTCTTTGGAGTTGTGTCCATCTTTGTAACACCAATCCACAATGGATATTTTCGCATCTTCAAATAGTCACAAATCCACAAACCAATAATGATACCAATATTATTGCAAATCAAAACATCAATAATAATATGATCCCACCAACATTCTTTAAAGTTTGGCAACCAATGTTGAAATGTAATTTCCATAATCTCAAAAAAAAGTGACAAGCACCAGCAAAGTTTCAAGTCACGAAAGAGTAATGCCTTGGCGATATATCCCAATACGTGAGCAAGAATGAATTCATCATAAATAGTATCATAAACATTCTTGAAATAAGAGACAGGATTATTCGGAGTGTAAATATCACAATTATTTGCGTAATCTCGTTCGGGCAAAGGAACACCCAATGACGGATCTAGATACTTCATAAATTGCCTAGCATCTTCCTTGGTTTGGAACATTAAGAAGACAAGGAAAAGCAAGTAAACAAGACCAATTCCGGTGATGAGTCTCCATATTACAGGATGAGGCCTCATCAAAATACCATCTCGTAATTGTACCGCACAATAGACGAGAAACAATCCAATCATGGCCATAATTCCTCGCTTTACATTTTGTTCTGTTGTAATAGCATCGTGCCGAATGAAAGAATAATAAAACAATACAGCAAAGGATGCTACCAGTATGGTGATGGTATGAGGTTTGTTTAAAGCATCAATAAATTCATCTTTCGGTGTTCTACATTCTGTTTGTTGTTTTGCTGTATCCTCTTCTGGAGAAGTGCTACCATTAGCTGATGAAGAAGAGGAAACTTGTTGTGTATTGATGGGAGGAACAATGATTTGTTTGTTTTGTTTCCTATTCCTCAAATCTTGTTGTGTTGCTGATGACGGGGATGACATAATTTGTAACGATTAATAAAGGAGTCTTGTTGATGCTGGTGATTTACAGCTGTAATATCTGTTCTCGATGAACTGAGTGATTATTATTGAAACAAAGAGAATGTAATCAATGGATGACGATGAAAATATATTTGTTTATGTTCGTCGTAGAACAAGTTCCGAGCGCGCTTTTGATGATGATTAAAAACAGCTCTCTCTATAGAGATGGATCTTCTCTCTTCCGAGACCGAGAAGAAGAACAGAAAGCAACTACTAGTGCTGAGATTGAATATCAAAGATGATGACGACCAACAAAAAAAGAAGAAAGAACAGCTCTCTCCCTCTCAATGTACACAAAACTTTTTTTCTTATTGAAAACAACAATTCGGAAATTTAAAATCAAATGAACGTTGAAAACCTTCAAATGTGCATTTTCTCAAAATTAGCAATTAGATGGCGAGATGATACAAGTTAGAAGAAGAGGAAGATTAGGGTGAGATCGAGGTCTCTCGGAGTCAATTTCTCAATTCATGGCCAACTTGGAGCGATAGAACTGTTTCAAGAGCACCAGTTCTTGATCCTCCACAGCATTGTGTTCAGCTTTTAATATTTGGAGCTGTTTGAGGCGATTACTTTGTAAGATGAGAGTGAGCCCTTGAATACCAATGTCATTTCGTTTCAAGCTTAGAAAGATCAAGTTTTTCATGAAACGGCTTTTAGAAAGGTATTTGGCTCCAATATTTGTAATACCATTGTTGTTTAACCTCAATTTCTTCAGATGTGAAAAAGCTTGGCATTTGACAATTAATTTCACACCTTCATCTCCAATGTTACCATTGTCAAATCGAAGACTTGTCAAATTTCTCATTGTCAAATGACTCTTGCTGAAATGAAGGGAAAAAATCAGTGCCTTAATGCAATCCTGTCCATACATACTCCAATAAATGTTCAACTTCTCAAGTCGGGAAAGAATCTTTAGAGCAAGTAAATTGGCAACTTTATCTGAATTTAAGCCATAAATGTCCAGAGTTTTTAAATGTTCAATCTGTGCAATCTTTTGAATGCTCTGAGGATCAATAGTTCCTCCATCGAGTGACAACTTGATTAAATTTTTGAATGTTTCTCTGGGGTTAGAGAGAAGTGTATTTAACCCTTCCGAGGTCATTTCGTTATAATCTAGAAAGAGCTTTTTCAAGTGAATGAAATTCTTGGTGATGAATGAAAGTGATTGTAGGTCTTCATTCGAAAGATAATTGTGAAAAATGTTCAGAGATTCCAAATGAGTGAGGAATGAACTATTTGCAATGCATTCAACACCACGTTTTCCAATGTAACAATTGTGCAAATTTAAGTCGACAAGTTGTTGCAAATGTTGGCATTCACATAACAATTTGGTACCCACAGGACCAATATTAAAATTACCTCCCAAATTGAGATGTGTTAAATGGCGGAAATGTTCATTCCCTGTCATTGCCTTCACAACTTCAATGCCAATACTATTTTGTGCGAGTGAGAGAGTTTTTAGGTGTTGTACCGCATGTACACTCTTGCGGAGAGAATTTGAAATCTCATCATTCAAGTGATTCATGGATAGATCGAGATAGGTCAAATTTGGTAACTTTTCACTCTGAAAAATCAATTTCGCTCCATGATTTCCAATCGAGTTTGATTTCAAATCTAAATATTGAAGATGGACAAAGTGTTCACTTTCAGTGATGAATTGTATCTCTTTACAATTATTGTTACAGAGTAATAATTTTCGTAGCCTTGTCGGAGAAGAAGCAATACATTCAATAAGAGATGGAGAGAGATGACATTGAGACAAGTCCAACTCGACCACTTGTTTCATTCGTTCATGATTCGTAAAGAATGTTCTTTCCTTGGGTGTTGATGATGATGATGAAGAGCAGCATTCAGAGAGTTGTTGTTGTTGATGAGAAGGAGGAGGATGAGGAGGAAGGTTTATGACTCTCGACGAATATCGGAGTGACAATTCAAGGTGTTGAACAGCTTTTTGAAAACGTGTGGAGACTCTCTCGCAACAAGTCAGCACTTGTATCGAGTCGAGAAAACTCAAAATGTGTGTGAGCAGTTCCAAGGGTAATGATTCAAATAATAAACGATGACAACGTAGTCGTCGTGCATGTAATTGGCCCATTTTTTGTGATTGTGTTCAAAAGTTTGACAAGTTTAGAGAGAGACAACAAGCCATCAAAAATGGTGAGAGATTCTTTTATTAGTAGTTCCTTCACAAAGATTATTGACACAATTGTTGTGTGATTAATAATATTAAGAAGGATTTTAAGAGGTTCAATGTCAGCGAGTGTTTAAATATGTTGAATTAATTCTACAATTTCAGAGGAGGTAATTCTTTCATGACCATTGAATTTCAACATTCTCAAAACTAAATCAATCAGCTGGTCACTATATTCGACAGGTTGAAGCTTTTTGATTTGACTTCTAATTTGTTGCATGGCTTTTTCTTCAGATCCATATTTCATGAGTAAGCCATTAATCATGGTGACATGGTCGTGAGTCATCATTTGATAACATGTGACACCAAATGCATAAATATCTGCTGCAGTGAATAGTGCTGTATCTTCAAGCTCTTCTGAAATATCCAATAATTCTGGAGGCAAGTATTGCAAAGAACCTGCTTGTTGAAGATCATTATCAGAATCTGAGTTGATCAATTAGGTGCCAATAAAAATTATATAATTACAGAAAAATGTCAGGTTTGTCACATGTAACATTGTATACATATAAATATATGTAATATACACATGTCATGTGTATGATATACAATTAATTGGCCAATTATGTATCATGTTATAGATTCATGAAAATGACTTACCTGTTGATTTTGATAAACGAAAACCAATAAGACATGGAATCATCGTATCACTTTCCGGGTCCCATTCTTTGAGTAGAATATTAGGTGGTTTGATGTTACGATGAACCAGCTTGTTATCAGAAAGATAACAAAGGGCAGAGGCAATCTGAAAGATAAACTTCTTCAGTACTATTTCAGATATGGTGCATTTCTGCTTGATCAATGAATCCATAGTTCCCTTCTCATAATAGTCCATTTCAATACACAGAGTGCTCTTATCTGTTAAAGCATTGTTGTGTGTAATGTCGGTTTTGCACTTGAGAATACAAACTTCTGTCACTCGAATGATATTTTCATTTCTTAATTTCATGAGATTCATTGCCGTTTTGATGGATCTATTCAGTTCTTTAGTGCTGAAAAAATCAATTAATTTCACAGCAATATATCCTTGATTGTGGTCTTTCGTCTTAATTCTTTTCTTGGCCTTGTAGACATAACCATTACTTCCTCTTCCAATAAGTGACATTTTTGAATATCTTTCTTTAAGGACCATTTCCAATGACTTGGGTTCTTCTTTATCAAAGTCTTTCGATCGATCTTCATCTCCTTCATAATTCACCTCAATAGAATCAATCACCTCAGTCGTATCATTGGTTTGTTGTTGCTGTTCTAATGCAGGAGGTGTTGGGCTGTCATATTTCAAAATTGGAACTGCATTTGGAATTACCTGGTTCGTTGAATTTGCTTCTGGATTTAAAATTGGAACATAGGTAAATGTTTTTACAATTTGTTCACCATTTGGAGGAGAAGTTGGAGGAATATAATTTGGATTATAGGATGAATTGAATGAAACATTTGGATTATATGAAGAATTCATTGCAAAATTCGGAATGTTCAACGTTGGTTGTTGTTGTTGCGTGTAAGAAGGAGGTGAAATGGTTGGTCCTCCTTCTCCATAACTCGGAATTTGTTGAGTCTGATAGGGTGGAGGTTGTTGCTGAATGGAATAAACAGGTGGAGGAGCTGTAGAAGTATTTGTCATCACCAATGGTTGGAAATTCATCTTGTTGTTCAATGCAGTGTTGGATATTGGGCTGTAGGCAGGTGGTAGAGCCATTGCATGATGAGGTGATTGTTGTTGTGATGAAGGACTCAAGCTTGAAGTAGTATTTGATGAGTTCACATGAGTGGTTGTGACAAGTAAAATTGGAGAGTGATAAGTGTTGTTGTTCATGGCTTCGGAATAGGATGGAGGAGAATCTTTTTTAAGAGTAGGGATCACTTGTGACAGGTCAAAACCTGCAATTCTGGCTTTTTCTTCACATGTCATACCAAAACCATCTTCTGAATAAATATTTGCACCATATTGTACAAGAGTACGAATGGCATCAAAACATTTCAGCTGAATTGCTACTTGAAGCGGAGTTAATTTTGTCTCCAATACCATTAAATCAATTGTTGCTCCGTGCTGAATGAGCCATTCGATAGCTGCTGTATTATTTTGTTTAGCAGCTACATAAAGTGGAGTTTCTCTAACATAATTTAAACAATCAATAATGAGAATATTGCTGTTGTAATTCTTCTTCAATAAATATTCAGCTCTTTTAAAATCATGACTCTTTAAAGCTCTAATAAATTTTTCTACTTGAGTGACAATGACATCATTCACAATTATTCCGATATTCGAGTTCTGAAGTGTCACTGTTTTTGGATTTGCACCTTTTCTAATGAGATAACGAGCAAAATCGACATGGTTTCTTTCCAAGGCATAATTCAATAAACTTCTACCATAAACAGTGCCATTCACAGAAGCTCCTCTTCTTACAAGAAACTTGATCATTTTCATATTGGAGAGCTCAATACAAATACCGAGAGCGGTCTATCAATACATGTATGTGAATCATGATTTAAATGGTTATTATTATTATTGAATTTTTAAATTATTGATATCCAATATATGAATGAATTTATAATGATTAAATATGGAAAATAATATTAAAAGATGAATTCATATAAGAATATATCACCATGATCTCAAACAACTGTCATCTCTACTCACATTCTGTCAAGTTACACAACGCCACATGGTGGTAACACAGCAATTTAAAATTAATTTGAAATTCAATGATTGAATGATAAAGACTTACTCCGCTCAAATCATGGCCATTCACATCTACTCTTCCACTCATGATCATACTCTCGACCATTTCATTATTTCCATTTCGTACGTATTGAAAAAACTCACTCATACTATGATGATGGTTGGAATCCTGATGATGCAAATTTGAGTTGTTGTTGATCTCACTTGTCTCATGGGTTTGATCATGTTTGGACTCGGAATGAGGATTGTTATTGTCAGAAGAGGAGGCGTGCACTGTAGTGGCCATACCTTCCACTATATTGCGCTGTTGTTGTGCTTCATCATCATCTCCCGATTTGGATCCCAACCATTTCTTACCCGTAAACACCATGGTTGTCGTTATCGCACTATAATTGTTGTTCTTGTTCAATGAAATCTCAATACATGACACCAATATTTTGAAGAATAGATACGGTCCGTCAGTCTCTCTACGATGACTCTTGCTTTTTTATTGAATCTCTTGAAAATGATGATAGAGATGAAGGCTGCTTGCAGGAAGGACGAACAATCTTATTTTTTTGTGTGGGAAGAGAAGTGACCTTTAGTGAACTTGTGTCGTCGGACGTTCGTTCAATTGACAAGAGCGTCGACGATCAATTAGGACCAAAGCACAAGCTTGTTCAAATTGTGACACACTTAAACATTGCTCACACTTTGATGAACGTACCAAACGGTCGAGAAGACAAGTAGAGAAGTGTGAAATGACGTTTGGCATAGGGTTTTCCAATGATGGTCATGAAAAGAGCCAAACCACACAGAATGTGACAGCAACAAATCCACCAACCAAAACACAAAAACCACACAATATTTGCACACTGGATAAATGTGCTTGTTTTGTCTCGAGAAAATAATAATTGAATTAATTTGGGATCGTAGTATCTTTGAAAGAAAAAATCGAGCACGAGTTGTTGCTTCTGGTGTCACTGATGAAAACAAGGAGAATTCTCGTTCCGAAAGAGAGAAAGGAAATTGCATAAATTTGAAAATCCGAAATATTTGTAATCCAAATGGAAGAAATGGAAACGAAAGAAAGACAAACCAAAACAAGCTCACAACACCATACAGGATGGTTGGTATCCAACCCAAGCCCAACGTAAGCCAAATTATTTTCTTTTTTGTTGGATAATTATTGTTGTTGACGATCAATTTCTCGGAAGTGAAACTTTTTTGTGAAGTGATATCACGTGTTGATTGTCTGTTCTTTAGCTTTGGTTGTTGTTGAGCCATTTTTTAGTTTGAATCTGAATGAGCTTTCAAATTATTGTTGTTGTGGAATGGTTTTACTGGCATCGTGTTCAGTAAATAAATTGGTAAGGAAATATTGTGTGTACTAGTGCATTTCACAATTACTGTCTCATGTATGAGGATTCTTTGCTTTGAAACTTTGCAAAGTATTTCGAAGTAGCATGGTGATGGTCATTGGTCCAACTCCACCTGGCACTTTAGTTGCAGCCGCAGCTCTTTTCTTGAGAGTATCATCAAATTTCACATCTCCCACCATTCTGTATCCGCGTTCGCTTGTGGCATCTTCAACTGGAGACTGACCTACATCGATAACAATGGCACCAGGTTTAATCCATTCAGGCTGAATCATCTCTGCGCAACCAGTGGAGACAATTAATAGGTCTGCTTTTTTCACTTTTTCTGGAATGTCTTGTGATTTGATATGAGCCATTTGGATTGAAGTTTGTAAATGATTAAGGAGCAACAGTGCCGTAGGAATTCCCACTATATTACTCGTTCCAATCACTAAGGCGTCAATGCCTTCTAAATTTCTATTGAGCTTGAATGCAGTTCTTCTAATTAGTTCGAGAACTCCTAAACTGGTACATGGCACGAAATTAACGCCATCTACTAAAGTTCTTCCTTTCATGGAGAGTTTTCCCATCGAATAGGATGTGAGGCCATCGACATCTTTGGATATACAAATATTTTCTAAAATTGTTTCTTCATTTAAATGTGCAGGTAATGGTAATTGAATTAAAATTCCATGAACTCGAGGATCTTTGTTAAGTTTTTGTACTGTTTGGATAAGCTCTTTCTCAGTCACATCTTCTGGAAAATGGATTTTGAAACTATTGATTCCAACATCAATACAAGCTTGTTCTTTCATATCGACATAACTCTTGGAGTCCTTTCGAGAACCAACCATCACAACAGCCAATCCCGGTTTTAAAATTTCATTTGTTTGAGTTCCTCCGAGTTTTTGAATTTCTACAAGCTCTTCAATTTCTCTTTTAATTTCCTCTCTCAGTTCTGCTGCAATATCAGCTCCGTTAATGAGAATAAATTTCTTTTTGGAATCTTTTCCATCTTCAGTATTGTCATAAAATTCTTCTTCTTGCAACCCTCTTTCACTATACACGATATTACGAGGTGGATCAATTGTATTATTTAAATAGTTTGAATTTTCCAAGTGGGCAAATCCCGAAAAATTAGGTGAATGATCTTTCCGACATGCGTTCCAATCGTGATAACACTTAATAGATGGAGTGTTGTAGGCATGTAAATTAAATATGCAAGACTTGGTGGAAATGTTTACATGACTCAACAATATTCCCTTGTTGTTGTTACGGATGAAACTTTGGTTCAAAGAAATTCTCATCTCTCTGAAGCAAATTCGTTGCAGCATTTTTTGTCTTTTTTGGTCTCTTCTTACAAGTTCTACAAAAGATCAGCACTGTCTTTCTTTTCATTTGGTTCAAGTAATTTCAGATGATTCAAAATTGGTTGAAATAAAAGAGAGAGAGGGCACTTCTTTTGCCTCTGAAACTGGAATAAATTACAAAACAATACCAATACATCCATATGGAATTCGGCGGGTTTCGTTTTGATTGACTTCAAACTCGTGTGTATTTTTAATATATTGATCAAATAATATCATAATTTTGGTAATTCTCCTCCCAACCTAAGGTGACGCACATTTAAAAGATCCTCTCACCGCGATGAGCTTGGCAAAATCCAAACACTAAGAAAAATGTTACGAAATCTGTCCATCGTGCAGCATGACTCACCACTCATTCACCTCTCTTCCGCTCTCTTTCAAAGAGCCTCCAACATGATCCTTCAGTATCCTTCTCTCCTTCCACCACATTCATTTCTTTTCAATCCTTTCCTCATTCATACGGACAACAAGTTATTCCAGAGACTCTCCAATCACTCACTCTTGAGCCTCTCTCTATTCAAATCAATAGGGACATGTCGAGCAAAGTTTTCAATGAGCACTCATTCATTCGATGGCATAACTGCAGCAAATGCTTCAATCAAAGAGGATTCCATTCAAACCAACACAAGGAAGAAATATTTAAAATGGAAATTCATACTCTTGAGTTGTGCTGTTCCTGCAGTGATTTGTATTTTGTATTCTGGCATGAAAATGGTGAAGATATGGAAACACAATGTTTCAAATGCATTATTGATAGAAGAGGACTCTGCCATGCATACAACATCTGCCATGTCACAAAAATTGATTTCAAATTCCATCAAACACATGCCAATGAAAGAACATGATGAATTATCAGAGGGACAAAATTATTCTCTCGTGAAAGGATTACTCTTCGATGTATTGAAATTTCCAGTGACATGCTGTTTGGTGGGTCTAAACATTGTCATTCTATTGGTCTTCCGATAATGTGCCAAATTGTTATTATTCTTTGAATACAATCATATGATTGAAATAATGTCAATTACTGATGTCAAAATATGATCATTTATTGATGCCGAGAGAGACCATCACAGTTATCCTCTACATGGCTTATCGATTCGCCTCCATTTCCTGAATTCCTTAGATGATGCAGCGTATTGACTCCTAACAATCCGCTGCTTCTACGATGATCTACCGACGACAAGTGCTTCATAGTGGTCAATGAAACCTTTCCAAGTCGATTTTGTTTTCTCATTTGAATCAATTCGTCTGCAGAACAAGAATACTTGGATTGAGCACTATTTGGTTTTTGACAAGATGACGGAGGTGGCGTGACAAGAACGACAGAAGAAGAAGAATCAGAGGTTCCCTGATCAAAGATCGAACCTCTCCTCTTCTTTTCCTTCTTCTTATCTTCAATCAATTCCTTAGTGAGATTAAGTTGAGCCTCTAAATCTTGGGTGGATTTCGAAGGTTGATCTCGCAATTGATCGACTTTTTGGCATAATTGTTCATGACTTTGAGCCTGACGTGCAAATCGACGAGCTTGATGATGAGCAAAAGCTTTTGAAATCACTAATTGATCAATTCCTTTCGAATTGCTCGTTATTGTCTCCATATTGAATTATTACCAATGAATGAAATAAAATCAATGAAATTGGTGGTGAAGTGGTGATTGAATAATAGAGAGGGTCTCTGTTGTGTGTTGTACAACTATTGTTTTTTTGGGAGTGTCTCTTGACTGGTGGTGATTTTAAGAGTTATTTACAGTTGTTGTTGTTGTTGTTCGTGTTTCAAAAGACTTTTCGACCATGGTCCATCACTCCCCATCACAAGAGCGAGAACCGTTCATTCAATAACGATGATGAATGCTTGTGTTCATTATCTCTAGAGGACTTGATGTTTTATAATAAATGATAAACAGGTTGGATACAAAATTGTGAGCACATAGATAGATACATGCAATAATATTATTCATTCAACGAATCATCATCATGGGAATTCCAGTTCTCCTAATAAGGAATTGGAGAGATTAAGGCAAGTTTTGCTCCATAATTCACATTACCCACAAGATAATAATTTTGAGAATGACTTTCTTCAGCTTCTGCGAGTTCAAGAGGCCATTCATCACCTCGACGGGATGCAACTAATTGAACTTCCAAAAGTTCACTAATCCAATAATAATGATTTCCAGTAGCATCGTACATGACTTTGGTCACTTCTTTCTTGTCAAAGAGATCCATTTGTATGGCAATTCCAATTTTCTTTCTCACAATTTGGAATAATTGTTGCACAAGATAGTCAAATTTTGATAATTGAATGGTAATGGATGGATGAGTGTAAAGGAATTTCAATGTTGGAATTCTTGGACCTGCACAACCAATCCAAACCAATGGTTTTCCATTCTTTTTCACAACAGATAAATTATCTGGAACACACATTAAATTATCAATATGAACAGACTTTTCATGAGTGGCAAGATCAATTCGTGTAATACGAAAACGATCTGTTTCAGCCACATAAATCGAGTGATTGTACAACACCATTCCATTTGCAAAGTGTAAATCAGAGGCAATCATTTCTGATTGTTTGGTTTGCATGTGATATTTGAATAGTCCTCCGTTTGCACCTCCATCCAAAATTTCTAAAATGTGTTGATTTCGTGAAAATTTGGTGGACGTCATTGAGACATAAATGTAAGGTTCTGAAATGATGAGAGCATTTGCGAAAGGAATTTCAAGAACTCTCTCAACAACAATGTCTAAGGCTAAGGTACCATTGTCGTGTTCAATTTTTTGATTTTTTCGTGAACTGATTTTCAATAAACCAAATACAGCATCTAATCGTCATTCCATTGAGTAAATGGAAATGTCAAAAGTCATTCAAGATCTGATCATTTACATACCTGTGACGTATAAAACTCCTTGACGATCAAATTTTGCTTGCAATGGTCGACCACATTCCTTTTCCAATGTTGCATCACGAGGTTTACCAACATGTTGAGGATTTGAACACTTCTCTGGAGTTGGTACATTGTGAGTTTTCCACATGAAAGAATAAGTCACAATTTCAGGAGTTCCATAATCAAATTCAATTTGACCACTCGAAGAATTTCTTGCTAATACTTTCACTCTTCGAATACTTCCATCGTATAATCCACTGTAAATGTAACCATTTCTTACAGTGAATGATTCAGGTGAATAGAAATTTCCATTCTTGTAAATTGGATCCATATTTTCTGATTTTTGAACATAATAAATAGGTGCAGAAATTTGTTCAAAAGTTTTGGCTGGTGGTTCTAACCAGTAACGAGTATCCACTCCAGTTGGAAGATAAAATAAAAGTCCAGCAATAACGGACAAGAAGAAACACACATATAAAAGGAATGTGAAACAAATACCGAGTGGAGCACTTCTTGAATTCTTCTTTGGATCTCTCCAATGATTACGATTGACCTTATCTTTTGGACCAATTTTGTGTGTTAAAGTTCCAAATGGTTGCATGCTTAATGTGACAGTATCTCCTTCTCTTAATTGAGTTCCATTCTCAATTCCAGCCATATTTGGAATAGTTCCAGAGCCAATAAGTTCTCCTGGATAAATGGTCTCAGAGGATGACATGTATGCAATGGTTTCTCCGAGTGAGTAAAAAGGAGGTTCTCCAATTATTTTACCACTGGTGTTTAAAGAGAATTTTTTGCTTTCCACAACTTGACGTCCATTGATGAGCACTTTTCCTTGCAATCCTTGATTACACAATTCTTTCATTTCATCTGGTGTCACGACAACACTTCCCATACCAGTTCCAAAAGATTTGCACTTGTTTGGACCGAATCTGTCTTTTGTCTTTGTTCGTTTTCAGAACTTTGGTTCAATCATGTCTCTCATAGCAACACTATTATTACTTACCATCTCATTAAATTGATTACTTCTGTCAGAAAAGTCATTAAGCAAGACATATCCTCCAATTGCATTTTCAGCCTCTTCACAAGTTGCGTTTCTAATCTCTTTCGTCACAATGGCACCAATTTCTAATTCATAATCCAAATACTTGGTGTAAAATGGATATGCAATTTCAGAGCCATTTCCATAAAATGTCATTGCATTTCCAACATAAAACAATGGATGATCAAAGAATCCCTTCGATGGTGTGAACATGGGAAAGGTCGTTCTTGGGAAAATATTTTCGAATGGGAATATAATTCCATAATAAGCAAGTGGAAGGGTAATCTTGGCAATTCCTCTTGCTGCTTTGATATTGTGGCTTAACCATAAGGAAGCATCTCTGAAGGTTTTTGGTTCAAAAGGTAAACTTTCGGAATAGTAATTGTTGTTGTTTGACTTTTTCGAAAGATCGATTTCGTTGTCATTGGATTTTTCTAAATTAAAAGCAGAAAATTCGGTGGCCTTGATCACAATGTGTGTGTGTTGTTTTTCACCATGATCTTCTTCACCGGATTTCATTGAACCACTTGTTAAATGTGAATCCAATTCGGAGCAATTCAATAATAATTTTCTCATCGCTTCTCCATTCTTCTTTTCATTGTAGAAATTGAGAAATGACACGAGATCACTGCCAATCGCATGGTTGTTTTGAATGGCTTTGGATAGCAAGTCCAAATTTGTTTGTTGTTCATTCAACCATGGTAATGATGACTTGTTTTTGACGAGATATTGAATGAGAGGAGTGAGAACAAGCCATTGATCAATCTTTGAGTTGTACACACAAACAAAACGACTCGTTTTAACGTTGTTGACCACAAGCTTTACACGAACCATTTTTTCTTTGAGACAAACAAAACGAGATGGTCAAAATGTTCAACAGCACTTGGGGAGTTCTTTTTGGCTGCCATACACACAAAATTGGAAAGAATAAATCAGGATTGTATTTTGAAAGTTGCAATGAACAAGATTCAAATGCAGACCAATTAGTCTGTACCTTCTTGAACAGCCGTAGTTTTCTTTGCTTCTTTGATATCCTCAATGGAAATGGTCGAATCAAAAGATTTCATGACATCAATCGAAAAATCGAATTCGGCAGTTCCATGGAATTCTTTTAAAAGTCGTCCCTCGTCGAAAAAGTGATGGAGAGCATCTCGTAATTTTTTGTTGTCCTTTGTGAATACGTGATATCGTTCTACCGTCTGTTTGGCCAAAAATTGAGAAACGAATTTCCATATTAAATTAATTGACATGGTCACATTCAAAACAAAGGCCAATGACAATCTTTCACAATAATAAACTCCTAAATCCAGGAATGTATCTTTCATTTGTTTAACAAGACTGAGGCTAACATCGGCTCCTGTGACATCGAGAATCCATGTGACTTGATAGACGTTCTTTGGCATTCTTTTCGTAAGATGTTCCGTGAAATAAACGAACGATAAATACTTGAGATGGATATTTTCTTTGGTCATTGGAGTTTTGTCCTTCTTCATATCTATTCGGTTCGAAGTGAATCAATATTCCGACGGTGAGTATTATCGTTATTGGTAATAGTATGTCGTTAAAACAGGTCACAAGAGCAACATTCATATGTTGTTATCACGTCACACTCAAAATTATTTGGAATATATAAAACATACCAATATACACAACTGGTCTATTCCACTTATCATAACCGTAGTGATACATGAATGCACTCTTTCCTACCTCTCCTAAATCTTCAATCGTTAAATTTTGAGGTTTTATCTTTGCTCTCCATTCACAAGTCTTCTTCAATCCATCCTCAGCCTCCTTCATTTTGTCCCATCCATATCCTGTCAAATATCTGTAATACAAAAACAATCCTTCAGAAGTCATGAAGGTTTGTTCATCGGGACCGAGAGTTGGAATCCAAGCCTCACACTTCTTCTTCAATTCAAGAACCAATTCCAATTGTTTAGCTGTACATAATTGTTCAACCGATGGGGCATGATATTCTTCGTTGGGTTCACCGAAAATCTTGTGAATTTCATCGTGATTGGTGTTGCTGGTTGAGCCTCTTTCGCCTACAGCAGCAGTGAAGGTGGTTGCGAGTTGAGTGGACATGATGATGATAATTGTATTGATTATTGGTGGGTAGTTTAAATATGTGGTGATGAGTGTCGTTGCCGTATGGGTTTTGAGCGGACTATATAGTACTTGTTGAAATATTTCAATGGGATTGATGGAGTTATTATTGTTCAAAATTGTTCCTCTTTGCTCGGTTCAAAAGACTTGTTGGTGTAATTTGTAGGTAAACAGAACTTATTACAAAATTTACAAAAAACGGAGCTGAAAGGTGGTGAGGATCTTCAAAGAGTGAGGCTCAACACACTACTGAAAGGTCAATGATGGAGTTTTTTTTTTGATTTTTAGAAACATGATGGGAGATGATTTCAACTATGAAGCGGGTGTTTGGCCCACCTTACCAAAAGAGAGGTCAGAGCGCTTTGACTTGACGAGCGAAAGACAACCAACAACTCATTTCAAATGCAAGGAAAGTAGGCAACAAAAGGCAATTCACTTTTGGCCAAACGATTGTTTTCGATTTTTTGTTGAGGAATAGAATGAAAGAGAACAAGTCCACAAATGCTTTGGTCCAACAACGGAGCCAATTCTCACACATTACAATTTCCATCAGTGCCTGAATGTTCTTACTCGCCTCCGAATTCGCGGAATGTCAAAAAAAAAAAAATATTAGCCATTTCTGAACCAAATGCCTCGTATCACCACATTCAAGAAACCAAAGCTCAATCGTTCTCGCTATCATGAACACCAACAAGGTGGTCTCTTCGAAGAGGATCTCAACAACTTCAGCACTTCTGCTGTGGCCATTCAAATCAATCCGAAACACGTCGACCTCATAATGGAGGAGGTCATTAAAAAATATGGATGGAAAGATAAGTTAGAGTTGTTGGAGGATAAATGGAAAGAGGAGTGCCAACGCCAAGGAATTTCAAAGGCTAGTGTTGGAGTTGCTTTTGAAATACTTAGGGACATTGTTCATCAAGGTTGGTTGATTCGGATTTATAATTACGAATTGGTGGAGTATACATATATATTGACGATGATTTTTTATCATTGGATGATGAATATATTCATATCCATTTATGACTCAAACCAATCATTTTATGCATGATATATTTACGATCATAGGGAAAGGAGGAAAAATTTGTTGCAAGAAATGCGGAGTTAATCCTCAGCCTATTCAAAAGGAAAAGAGTAGCGATGATGAAGATGAGGATTATATTCCCTCCGATGAAGAAACAGACGAAGAGAATAGCAATGAAAAAGACAAGGATTCATACATGGATGATTCTGATAATGACAGATATGATTTGAATGCCAGGTTTTGTGAATGCCCATGTAAACACTGTGCTAAGAGGTGTCCACCTCCATTTACTGGCTCTGCTAAAATTAAGGATGGAATTATTCCTCCCGAGCTGAAAGAAAGACTCAAGACTCAATTATCTCGTTTGGAAAATGTTCCAGAGGAAAAGAAAGATTGGCATCCAGGTACCAATCGTCAGGTATTGGATTTGATTCATCCTTCGCTGTATTGCTTTGTTGAAAATGTCAGTGTTAGTGACAAGAACATGGAGCCCCAGACATACTACAGCAGTCAAGAATCATCTAATCGATGTCAATGGCTACCTGCTGAATTTGAAATTGATTCAGAGAAAAAATGTGTGAAAAGAATTGCCTCCTACATTAACAATTTGGATGAGGTTGCTCACAAAGATTTATATCAAACTATCCAAGAAATTTTCTCAAAATTTCTTCCAATGCTGAAAGCTTATGTGCCTCTTAGGGATAGGCTTCAGGTCATTGTTAAGGCAGCAAATATTATAGTCTCGCCTGACAAACCATGGTATAGCGGCGGAACATTTCACACGGAAGGAATGGATTATGAGCATATTGCTGCCACTTGTATTTATTATTATCATTCAGAAAATGTGAAGGATAGTTACTTGGAATTTAGAGAAAGCCTTGAGATTACTGTTGACGACTATTACGATGAAGATTTGGATGGAAAGGGAATTTATGACATGTATGGAATTCATAATGGAGATTTACAATTCCGTAATCTCGGTGCCATTGAAACCAAAGAAGATAGATGTATTGTTTTTCCAAACCGCAATCAGCACCGAGTACGACATTTCTTTCCAAAAGATCCATCTCTTCCTGCCATCCGTAAAATTTTAGGTACGTTTCACTTTTTGTTGCTTCTAAAAACCTTAATATTGGATCAGTTTTCTTTGTGGTTGACCCAAAACACCCTATTATATCAACTAAAAATGTTGACATTCAACGCTTTGATTTCCTAATGAATAAGTACTTTATTTTGAACAAAATTTTACCATTCCATATTGTATATAAGGTATGTCTATCTTTGAAAGAGAATGTTTTTTGACTGATGTTGCAATTTTTAAAGATTCTCAATTTCTTCCCGCACATGAAAAAAGCTGAGGCCTTGAAATATCGTGAAGATTTAATGAACCAAAGAAAATTTTTCATTAATGCTCAAAACGAAGAAATTGAAAGAGAGTTTTCTCTTTGTGAACACTAACACAAATAAAATTGTTGTGTGTTGATAATTTGTGGTAAATTTGTGATCAGTGTTTACATTTAATTTTCCTATTCAAGAAAGCTGGGTATTATCCTAATATCCTTCATTGTCTACTTCCACATAAGAACCATAAACTATTGGTAATAGAAAGTTAAGGTAAATTGGGGGTTCAATAGTCTTGGAAAAGAATCTTTGTGACTTTCATCACCATTTGATTTAAAAATGTTTGAGCTTTTCAAAAAAGGATGATTATAATCAAACAAGTGCAGACATCTGCGCAAAAAATAAATTGACTGGATAACTCTTCGGCAACACTTCCATCACAACCAACAAAAAGGTAAGCATCCATTCGTTCATTGCACAATCATCATGATGCGAGAACATTGGTGCGCGCTAACACTTTTATCGTTGTGCATGTATCGATACATTGAACGTTTTGATGAATTTCAATAATTGACCTATTCGTTCAACTCATATGAATCATGATGAACACTCATCGTAGGAAACGGGAATAGGATGATGACATCGAGGAGCTCAATGGTTTTAGCCATCATCATGTTGATGAGCTTTGCGGTCATGATGATTTCAGCAACTACTCCAACAATTACATCACCAAACAACAACAACAAGAACGCATCTACTCTCCCAACCAATACCATCTCTATTACATGTCCAACCGATAATGAAATGGTCTATCACTTTAAATCATCCACTTTATTGGGAACTCAACCACATCTTCAAAATGTTGCTTCCATCAAGAAGGGATCTGCCCAAGAGAACACTCTGATGGGTCAAATGACCCTTACTTGTGCTGGAACAAAGAAGAAGAACCTTGTTCTTGTTACTTTCCCAAGTGCTCAATTTTTGCAATTCCAAGGCGTGAAGAAGTATGGAAATATGAACAAGAAGGATGTTGAATTTTGGTTTGGTAAGAAGAATCACAAGTTTACAGAGGCAACCACTTTGAGTAAACATGTTTCCAATGGATTTGGTAAGCCACAAGTTAGAAAGTACAGAATTTTGAATAAGAGACAAAATTTGGCAACTGTCATGAACAAGTATCCAACTGCTGTGGTGAGAGGCTCTAATGGTCAAATCACACAAATGATATTCCACAAGGAAGAACCAAAATGGGTGAAGAATGTGAAAAAGGGTATTTTGAGAATGATTACTACTGAAACCAACAAGGCCGCTAGAAATCAAACCGATGGTTTTGGTGGAAAGTATGCACAAAAGTATAACAAAAAGATGAAGAAGAATCAAAAAGTTATCATTTCACAATCTTTTACTCACAAAGACTTTAAGAAGATTCCACTCCAAAAGAAGCATTTGAATTATGAAGGTTCTCACATTGTCACTGTTAACAACAAGAAGGGATTGATTACTAAAGCCCTGTACGGAACAAGAATCTCATTGGGCAAGAGAGAATTTGCTCCAATCTTCCAAACCTTTGAAAAGAAGTATGGAAAGAAGCAAAAGTTTACCAACAAGTCTGGAAAGGAACAAATTCAAGCTCTCCATGTGGGTTCCATTGTATTGAAGAAGATCAAGAAGCAAAACAAGGTGAACGTACCAAAGATTGTTTCCACATTCTTTGATGTTAAAAACGGTTCAGTTGTCATCAAGCCTGCTTTTATTGTTGAAAAGACATTCGGTATCACAAAGGCTGACAAGAAAGACATTCGAAAGATGGTCAAGAAGCAATTCAAGCCAGTTAAGCTGATCAAGATGTTGAAGACTATTGAAAAGAATTACAAGCCAAGTCCTGAGATGAACAAGAAGCTCACAAAGGTTGTTGAAATGGTTCGAAAGAATCCAATCAAGGCTGCCAAGATCTTGATCAAGAATTTGGAAAGAGGTGTTGAAAAGTTGAACAAGTTTCTTTCATCGAATGAGAAGGTCAAGTCATTGATTCCATTCCTTGAAAGCATTCAAACTTTGATTGCTACGATTAACAGCACCAAGATTCAGGACACACTTGTTGAAGTTTCCAAGACTCATCCTGTCCTTACCAAGAACTATATTTACTCCTCTGTGTTTGTTAAGAATCCAACCAAGGAAGTTCACAAGTTTGTCAAGTCTATGGCTGACTCGGATGAAAATGCATTCCTTGCCTATGCTGATCTTGCTGATAGACTTCAAGACAAGACACTTATTGATGAAATTGTTTCTGAAATTTTGAGAAAGATGACTTCTGCTTCGAGTGCTGACAAATTCATCTCTGCTTGCCATGCTTTGAACAATGCTGGTCGTGGAGTTCCTCTTTCTATCATTAAGCATTTGATTCTCTCAGAGTCCATTCCATCAAACATCAAGACATTGATTACTGACAATTTGAAGAAGAGAATGAATGATTCCAAAGTGGACGATTTGATTCATTTCCTTGTCAATCACAAGAAATTGAGTGCTAACGTTATTGCTTCACTCATTTCTTGCCAAACTGCCAGAGAAGGTCTCCATAAGAATGGAACTAGTGTTTACCACTTCTCCAAGTTGTTAAAGAACAACAAGAATGATCTCATCAAACAAGCCATTCACACCTACTTGTACACCATTGGTACCAAGGAAGCTGCTGATGCCATGGAAATGTCCTTCCAAGAAGAAGTTAATGCATTCACTAATGCTCACGAACTTACTCAAGCTGCTCCAAATTCACAACCAACCTCAGGTGAAGAACCACCAGCAACTTGGGAACCAGTGAGCGTCGACGCTGATGAAGAAACCAAAGCTAGAAACAAAGTAGAAGAAGTGGCCTACAAGATCAAATCCATCTTTTCTGCAGCCAATTGGGATGGAGCTCAAGCTTCATGCGTTCCTGCTTCGAGAACGGAGAAGATTTGTGTTTACAATACTGAAATGATGAATTTCATTAACAAACAAGGTGATTTGAGTAACATGGCTAAGGCCAAATATTTTAGTTATGAAAGCAAGTTCGGTACTCAAGGAGTGAACTTGTACACTGGTTTTCTTGTTTATGGTGGTGCTAACTTCCAATGCACGAAGGAATCTGCCTTTGATGTTGTCTTCTTTGGCCGAGCAGCTGCTGAGGCAAACATTTTTGATTCGACTTATCCAGTTGCTAGTGCCTATGTGGAATTGAACAATCGATCTCCTAACAGTATCAACAACAGAGTCTACGTTAAGCTTTTCACCACGACATTTGTCGATCAGCCATTCTTGCCTTCATTCTCCACTTGCAACAGTGAAACTAAGAATATTTTGACCAAGACCATTCCATCTCTCTTCAAGACAAGTTACACCATGGCTATTGGTCCTGTTCCAATTACATTCTCACTTGGTGCTGGCCTCACTTATGGTGTTGACTTCAAGTATGGTTATTGTTTGAACTCATTCTCTGCCAGTATAAGTTTAGAACCAACAGTCACCATTGACATTACTGGTTCTGCAGATATTGGAATTCCACTCGCTAAGGCATCCATTCAATTGAAAGCATCTTCCACCTCAAGAGGTATTCCACAATTGTCCTTTGAATCATGCAATTTGTGTGCAACCATGAAATTCAATCAAGAGGCTGCCAGTTTCTCTGCTGTCCTCTATGGTAAGGTTGCTTTGTGGGAAAAGAGTTGGACTCTCTATCAATACAATTTACCACAAACTTATTCCAAGACTTTGTACGAGCAATGTGTTTCAACAAAATTGCAAAGTTGGTAATAAATCTCTAAATGTGAAATTTCGAAATTTCATAAATTCTTTGATTTGACAAATATAGATCAATGATTATATGGATGATCATAATTGAACCAATGAAGATCTTCTCCTTTCGTGTCATCTAATCTGAAAATACTTTCTTGAACAAAGAACAACCAAATTAAAAAATGGGCAACAAGGCTTTTGCTCGCAATAACAAAAGCTGTTGTTGTGAGGAGAAGGCAAAACCTCCAAGCGACTCGTGCTCGGAGGAACCTTCTGCAAGTGATCCTTATGACCATCATCCACCAATCAGAGTCAATGAAGAATTAATCACTCCATATCCGTTGTTTCAAGACCGAGTTTTTCAAATTCGAGAATTATTTCATATCATTGTGATGAATGGACTGCTGCCATTCAGTGATCTCTTGCAATGCGAACGAGTTTGCAAATTGTGGTATCAATACATGAATGGTGATAGTTCCGACCATGATGATTGTGGTATGTGGGGAGATTTCATCCATGCCATAACGAAGAAGAAAGGATCCTCTTCTCAACAACATGAAAAGATTACAAAAGTACATGTTTTAATGATACAACATTTACTTCATCGAATGGAACATAGACTTGACTATTCTTATTTAAAAAAGTTCTTGGATATTAAGGTAGATGAGCATACCATGAGTTCTAAATCGGAGAACCCAAATTGGACTCCTCAACAATATGCAGCAGATACTAACTTAAATCATTATTCAGACATGTGGAATTGTTTGTGTCATGTTTTAATATTTTCGAAGAAAATCAATTCGACAAGTGACAAATTCCAACTACAGAGATTTTGCTACACTCAAAAATATTTCTTCCAATATCGATATTACATTGATTCGATAATGCTATTTCATAATTTAGAAAATCCTGAAAAACCTCTTCTGTGTTTTTGTGAAGGTCAGCAAGTTCCGCAACAACCTGTCGATAATACTAGCAATATTACAAACCCAACAGATTATACTAATTGCTATATTTACAACGCAATTTGCTTAAAACAATTTACAGAGAAAGTAAGACAACAAGGAGAAAATGTTCATACTCTCTTTGACGCATTTAGATATTTCAAGTTTCAAATAGCTAGTGAAGATAGTAGTAATAGTGAAAAGGAAGAGAACATTATAGAAGAATCTCCACAAATATTTCAACAAAAAGCGAATAATGTTCTTTGTAATTGGCTTGCTTTTATGAGAATTCTGATGAAACAAGAACAAGGTCTTGACTATGTATATTTCGAAGTGATGAGAATCATGTTTCACCTATGTAGAGGGCATTTCAACGATACATTTTCATTCAAGTGTCACCGAGATATTTCACAGTTCACATCAACGGGTAACTCTGAAGCAATGCAATATGTAAAAACGAAATACAACATTTGGTACCATGATGAATATATGGGCAGGAATTTCAACAGCTCAGTACATCAATCAGAATTCGATCATTTCACTTGTTTTGCAGAACAGAGCTATTCCTGTACAGGGAGTATTGGAGGACGTAATGTTTACTGGTATGCACTTGTGTTGTCAATACAAAAAGATGGAACTGGCTTTCAATTTGCAGTGAAAGGTCTAGCATGGTTCAAAAAAAAGAGGGCGTTGTTTATCTTGATTTCAAAATTGGCCCTTATTCCGGACAAGTATCTACCAAATAGTGAATTAATTACATTAATAATTATTAATCGAAATATAAAGTAAAATGAATTAGAAAAAGTTTTTACAAGTTGTTAGGATCAAACTGTTGAGGATCAGAGTAGAAGTTTTCCTTGCTCAAGGGACTCGTTGTTACTTGGTTAATATCAAAGGACGGAGACAGAAAGACTGCGAATGGATCTTGTCCCATCGAATCAGGTACTGTATGAATGTTTAGAGAGATGCGAGTAACATCTGCATATGAATTCATTGTATTGAGATCAACATCTTTGACACCAATGATCTCGTGAATTTGAGCGATGGCATTTACATCATCAGGAATAATGGCCAAAAGTTGATTCTGTAGTTGTTGTGTTTGAATGATTGAGTGAATTTGCTGCTCAAACTGTTGGTCTCTTTTCATGAGCTCCTCATTAATCAATGGAAGAAGACTCTTGAATCTTTTTTCGACTATTGTAAATCGTTCTGCCATGAGAGTAAGCGCCCTTTGTTCCTTTCGTAAATATTCATAATAATCAACTCCATTACTAATACGCTCTCCTCGTTGAATTTGCTTAATCAATGAAAGGTGAATACGAGCAGCATTCATCACAGTCGTATGGACATGTGGTGGCAAGTATGAAAAGTAGGATATAGTTGTGAAATCTGCTATTCGGTTAGCTGTTTCAATAAGAACATCATCAGATTGAGTTTGCGATTTTGTTAATATACCCAATCGAATACCATCAATCATGAGTAAATACATGAGCTTTGTAACCTGTCGTATCGTGCCTGATGCTTCTGAACGAGATCTGTTGAACTGAGATGGAATACTGTAAATCATCTGTATATGGTTTTGAATCAATTGTTCTTCCATCGTAGAAGAAAACTGAGGAGGTGGAACGGAGGGTGATAAATTAGAACTTGACCCACACTGTCCATCACTAATATTTTGTGTAATGAACATGAAAAAGTCAATCATCTTTTTGAAATGGTAGACTTGTAAGGTTAGTTTCTCAGTAGTGACAACATTAGTATGTAACGCTTGTTCAGAATTTTTCATTTCCTCACTGAGAATATCCAATGCTTCTTCCTCTTCTAATAGTAATTGAAGATACATAAATGTCTTGCATAGATGAATAAAGTGAATGTTATCTTTCAATCGTTGCTTGTTTTGTGCCACGAAAAATTGAACACTACTCAAATAATACCGAGATTGATTAAACTCAGCTTCGCCCATGCAAAATGATGACAAGTACATGAACGTGCCTGCAATTGCAAAATTATCCAATAAATCAAAAACTTGAGATAAATATTTTCTTGAGGTATTGAATGCTGTTCGTCCTTCAATCTTTCTTCCTAATCGTTGATAGCAATTGGCTTGAATCGCATACATGAGAGCAACCTCCTCGGGGGCGTTGCTGTTCATGAGAGGGTTTTTGGAAATGATATCCATCATGACAGATCGTTGAATAATTGGACATCCCAAACTAATGATATCGAAATACATGTCCACAATTTGAAAGTTAATGGGTTGATCATCTGTATTATTATTACCGGTGTTAATTGCATCATCTGTGGATAATTTACCATTTCCAGAGCTAGCACGAATTCCCGATCCATCTATGGATGAGGGATAGGGTTGCATTTGCAAGGCAGTTTTAGGAGGCTCTCTGTTGTTTCATCGAGAGAGAAACCACAACAACAACAACAACAACAGAAAGCCATGTTTGAGAAAGCGGACGGACCTGTTTAATTCGAACGGCATTCATTTCCTCTTGAACACTCAATAGTTTCCAAAAAGAACATCAACAAAATTTCTGCAGAAATGAGCAACCATGCAAAGCTCAATTCTCTCTTGCACAAAGAACATGTAGGAGAAGGCAAAGGATCCAACGAGCTTGTCGAAGAAAAAGCTATCACTTGTGAAAACTTGTTGGCTTGGTGAGTCATTGATGGAGAATAGGGCGGAAATGATGGCTGAAAGAATGATGCTTTGATAATCTGGAAGGCCCATTCTATGTGAAGCAGTAGCAGTGGATTTAGAAGTTTCTGCTATTTTGTTTTTCTCTAAAAAGTCGTTCATGGACTTGTACAGTTCTTTGTGGTTTGGATTCGTAACTCGGTCAACTACATATAACATTCGTTGCTTCAAATTAAATTCCTTAAACAAGAATAGGGAGAACAAAAAGCAAAATAATCGTTCGAATAATTCATCTGATACTGCACGATAAACACACTTGTACAGAATACCTGACTTGAAAAATGTCATAAAATCGGTGGATACTTCTATAGTTGCGTCATTTCTGTCTAGGAACATAAATTTGAGGACAACTGTGAAGAAACCTAAAACTAATCCCCATGACGCAGAGCGAAATGCATCATCCAAAAATCTGGCATCCTCCAATGAGAATAGTTTTTGAAGATAATTTTCAAATTCTCGCTTTTTGGTCATTGATTCTCTACGGTTAAAGAACTTGGCCTCTTTAAGATAGTTTACAAGATGAGTTCCATAATTGTAGTACTTTAAAGATCTAGTAAGTTGAACTCCGAAATATACAATAATGGTATTGAAGGCGCAAACAAGTATAGGATTAATTGTAGAAGCTTCTTTCTGTGAAATAGAATATAATAGAGAGCAAATTAATCCCCAAATTATTGATATAACCATTGGATGGAATGAATTAGAATATTTCTCGAGATCCAGAATTTTCTGAGTTTGAACTGAAATTTGTTCTACCAATTCAGAGTTTTTCTTCCTCAACTCCTCCAACTCTTCAACTTGCTTCTCTTCCTTAATATAGCTATTAACAATTTTAGAGGTCAAATTTTCGTTTGGTTTGGACTCCACAAACGAATATGCTTGTGGATGTGCTACAGTCGAGGTCTGTAACGGAGAAAACATTTCATCATCATCATTGTCTGCATGAGTTTCATCATGCCCAGACTGAGTACCATTTTGAGATGAGGTTTTCTCAGATTCTTCTAATGATGAGAAAGAGGATGGGTTGTCATTGAGTAAGCCAGGCATGATTTGAGGCGGAGTGTTCAAATTATTTTCGATCAATAGATCTGTGCTGATTGATTGGTGTGGCTGGTCGTTCAATGGAGCGACATTGGGATTAATTACATTTGGTTGATTTTCTGTTTCAATTGATGATATATTCTTGATTATTGTTTCTTGAACCTTTTCGGTGTTTTCTTCAGTCAAGCCGCTCTCTTCATGACTAATTGGGTGTGATGGAGAAAGAATAATATCAAAGTCATCCTCTTCTGTTACATTTTGGTTCTCACCGCCATTCACACTAAACAAAGTATTAATTTTGCAATCTGCATCATCATTCTGTATATTGTCGGTTTCAATTGTTTCTCTAGGTGGCTCAATTTCAGAAATGGTGTCAACTCGAATTTCATGATTTTCTCGAATTTCGTTTTGAAGGGAATCTGCAGTTTCAGAGGCATAAGAAAAGGTTGACTCATAATTTGTTGGTACTGCAGTATTAGCATGATCCTTTTCTTCTTCTTCATCTAACAAGAAGAAATTACTGCCTTCCTCTGCATCGTCGTTGGAGGTGGTATCTTGAGGATCTGAGTTCTTATTGGTCTCAGTGTCGTGGGTTTGGGAGAGTTTAGTAACTGTTTCATCCTGTTGTGTCTTTGCTTCCTTCTCTAAATGTTGCAAAGAATCATGAATTTGTTCAATGTCAGCATTTTGCTCTGCTGCCTTTTGTTGCTCAGTTGTCTGTTGAACTACTGTAATGTCAGAATTAGCCATGTTCTCAGAGTCAAGTAGGGATTTTTCGTCAAATAAAGTCTCCTTTGTTAGTAAGGATATATTTGTTTTTGGTTTTTCAGGTGTTAATGGTTTTTCTGAGAATGAAAGGTAATTCTGATCATTTTCAGAGATGACGATTGGTTGAGTCTTGCTTCCATTATTCTCTATCATAGTCTTTGAAAATGAAGAACTAAATGAGCGTGGGCTTTTGAAGGGATTTGACTCTTCAAACACTTCCTCATCCTCGCTGTCAGATGCCTCTTGTTCAGTCATGCTGACCTCGGTATCATCTGTAACGTCATTGGCAATGAAGGGTGTTGAAGTGCTGGTAGTTGTTGCATTTTGTTGAGGTACGTCACTACTGGAGCAAACTACAGTGTACCTTAACACAAGATAGGCAACAATTTCTTGATCTTGGGAGTTATCACCAAGTTTTAAAGTAAAGAGGCCAGTCTTTTTCTTGGTCTTGTTGGTTGTGATGATGGACGAGTCCACATTCGAGAGTGCACTTTGAGGTATCTCCATCAATATTAAATTTCTTTCCACGCCATTATATTGAATACATTCAGCTAAACTAATTTCTTCCTCACAAATTCTTTTTTTTGATGCAAACAATTTGGAAGGAGGCGACGAAGCAAAGGCATCATCTTGTAATTGATCCAATGAAATTCGTAAAAACTTGTCTCTATATCCTGACGAGGTTGGAGCTGTAATTGATGATTGAAAAATCCCGTATGAGTACAATTAAAATGTTTCGGAATTCTTGATCGGAGTGAGAAAACATACCCAAAGTGAGTCTAGTATAAAATTCAAAACTCTTCTCATCTCTTGTATAGAAAACATAATAATCGGGTTTGTTTTGATCGATGCTCTTTTGATATCTACAAACTGGTAATTTTCCTCTCTTTCTTGCGTTTCTCTTCCATTCTAATTGTGCCGTGCGAGGAATTTTAGGTCCATCCGAAAATTGTTTGAAAAAGGAATTAATTGTTGTTGATTTCTTATTGTTCAGTGATGAATGGGCTTGATTCGAGCAATACGTTGGCTTCTCAGGCAAAATTTCCAAAGCGTTCACAATAAATTTAAAGTAATATTTATGCTTATCGGAAGGCACACTCAATACATTCCCCATTACATTTGTTGTGGAGGATGTATGAGCTGCCGATGAAGTCATCTCACTCAGTCTGTGAGCGCTATGTCCTTTCTTCATGAGATTCGGACGTTTTTTTTTGTTGTTTAAAAATTATTAATTTGGAAATGAAAAGGAACAGCTCTCTATGATCATAGAAATAGTTATAATATTTATTGGAAGGCTTATGACACTCATTGAATGGCATGAATGATGTTTTATTCTTCTGACTTTTTATTGGTTTTCCGTGAAGGAATAGCAGAATCGTTTGGTTTCCAATAAGTTATAACCAACGAAAAATATGAATCTCGAGGGTTGTGAGTTGGTAATTGCTACCATCATGGAAAGCAAAGTGTTCACGTTTGTGAATCCTCAACATCATTACCATCATCACCTTTATAAGGAATATTATTATTTTAATTTATTATTGAAAGAAAAGCATGATGCGTTCATGAAATTGATGGAACGTCATCATCCGAATTTTGGTTCTTTATTAAGAAGAAATGGAATAGAAAATAATGATTTATTAGTGGATGATGATCTTGAAGTGAGGACAGATATAAATTTTACTGAATTTTATGAATTATTTACAATTGAAATGAATGAAACAAATTCATCCAGTTATGATGATGAATTGATCAATTCAATTACTTGTATTTCTTTGCGAGATGAGAATAATTGTTCATCATTCATGAGAAGAAGAAGAATTGAGAACAAGATTTCTGTGATCTATATGAAAATTAACTTAAAACAAGAAGTGATGGATGAGGGTGTTGTCCTTTTGGTTCATGATATTTTGAAACCTGTCAAGTTGTTTGGAATTGACACCTTGTCCATACGAGATTTTGCAGAATTTAGAGAATCTTCCATCAAATTTCTCATCAATTTTCAGGCAAATCAATTTTTGAGTAATCATGTATTATTTCAAGAATTTCAAAATTCCAACAACTGTTTGAATTTTTCTCCCGACCAAACTTGTTCATTCAAAGACATAACACCCAAAAAGTCCATGATTTCTTCTCCTCAAAAAGCTCTCATTTCAAGCACATCTCCCTTATCACCCTCTAGCACTGAAGTAAAGTCTTCGAGTGCTCGAACAAATTCCTCTGTGGGTAATCATGGATATGTAGATATATCGATTGATTGTTTGAACATTATCATTGAGATCAAACATATTCATTTAGGATATGTTTCTTTTTCTCGTGAGGGATTTCTTGGAATTGGAGATGAATCTCTTGCTGAACGAGTGAGTTTTCAGAAAAGAGAAAATAAGGAACCTCTTGGAGATCTTTTGGATATCATTGATGAGACACCAGCAGCTGTCATGTGGGAAACATGGTCAGTGGCCCGACTTGCAAGTGTTTACAATCAGCAACGCAACGCTTTCCCAGCTGAATCCTTTAAGTTTTCAAAGCACTCAACCCCTCAAACTTACTATTTCGAACCTATTGAAAACATTCTTAGAGAAGCACAAGAACAAGTTTTGAAATATCAACCTTCTAACAATGATTTAAGAAGAGTTTTGCTGGTGAGTATTGGAAGACGATTGTTTTATCAAATTGTGACAAGGAATACAGATTGGAGAAAGTTGACTGAAATTAAATGCAATATTTAGTTTATAAAATTCAACAATTTATTATTCACCTTTTTAGATTTGGACCATGCCTTAAAATGTTACTTCCAGCAACCCTTAGTCATGTCATTGTAATAGTACACTGGTTGGCCTGGTGCTGGCATGAAAATAACCTCAATTTGAGGGTGAACTTCCAAATCAAAAGCCATAGCCACATCACACTCAACATCCAAGTGATATTTGCATGATACAATTGTGCCTTGAGTGCTGGGGTATATTTGCTGTGGTAAAGAATAGTTCAACACCTTGTCGAATTTTGATTTCTTTGGCACACCTTCAAATATGTTTCTGTTGACTTCCTCAGTGTAGGTGTGAGTTTGTCCTTTTGCATGCATGGTGACATCTTTCATCAATTTAATTTTCAACTTATCAACATCTTTCTTTGACTGATTGTCCACGATGCATCGAATAGGAATGACTTCACCTGGCACAAAAACATTTTTCAAAATTTCTACATCCATGTAGAGCTTTCCTGAGCCTCCAAATAGAAAACTCTTTTCATTGTGGCATTTGATGGGTTGAGGGATGGTCCAAGAGCGTGGAACAATGACTAAATATCGAGTATCCTTAATATCCTTCGCATAAACATTGTCTAAATTGGATTTCACCTTATAAACAATTGCACCACGATAACTATTTCCGAAGGATGATCGATGATCATTGAAATTTCCTGGTAAATTATCAGGAAGCTGAAATTGGAATGGGAATGAATAAGAGCCAGCCATTGCAGTGTCTAATTTGATGCAGAATGATATGGTCATCAAATCAATGAAATATTTCATCTCTAAATATGGCACTCAATTCTTCATCGATTGATACAAACCTCCATTAAAGTTAGCAAGACATAGTTGAGTCTTGAAAAAAGTCTTCTCTTGATCGTACTTGTCGTAGACAATTTCAGTTTTGGTCGTGTTGGTGGCTGGATCGTGTCTTGTTACAGTTCTTTGAATGACAAATTTTGTTCTTTCCATTCCCTGATGATGAAGGATGGAGTGAAAGATGTCGTTTTCGGATTAATAATGATGATTATTAAATAAAACGCGCAATCACTTACCTTCCACTTGATAGTGAGATCTTTTGTAATGACATTTTCAGTCAGAACCAATTGACAATTTCCGGTAACAACCTCTCCTGCAATATAGTATGGCTTGTCGAGGATAAGTTGGATGCTTCCTTTACCCATGTTGATGAACTATTTTTGAACGAGTGTTTTTTTTCGACGAAAACTTTCCCTATTTGTTTCTAACACGTTTCGTGAACTTTGAGACAGTGTCGCACCCAAATTTATTTCCAATTCTTGTTCTTGAGGTTATCAGCAGCCTTCTTCATTACAAGCTTCTTGGGTGGTTGGTTTGTGTTGGGAGCAGCTTTTTGGTTGTCGTTCACCGATGATTCTGGAGTTGTCTTACTAGTTACCTTATTGTTTTGATTTGGTTTCGTACTGGCTTTGGAGGCTGGTTTCTTCTTTTTGAGCTTGTTGTTATTTTTCTTTGGCTTTGCTTCTGTCTTTGGTTTCTCTTGCGAAGAGCTTGCTGAGGCATTTTCTGTTTCTTGATTGTCTTCAGAGGTGACTGGTTTTTCCTTCTTTTCCTTTCTTCTCTTTTCCTTTGCTCTCTTTCTCTCTTCGTTTGAAGGATAGAACAAGCTTTTATCTCCAAGTCCCAGCAAATTGCCAAATTCGGATCGTTCTCTTTGAGTGTTGAAGAAGACATGGAAATAGTATGGCTTGCATGATATATCTGCAAAATTAATATTTGGATAGGTTTGTTTCAAGACATTAAGCATTAATTTTGGCGTGAATGAAACCTTTTGGCTGTGTTGGTACTTCTTCTTTTTGGATTCTTGTTCAGTGTCAACTGCATCTGTAACCTCGCTGAGAGATCGTTTCTTTGAGTTTTGTTCACTCTCTTCTTCTGCTAATTCCTTCATAGTTTCCTCTTCATCTTCTACTTTTTCTTCTTCATCTATCTCAAATGGAGTAGAAAGAGCCACAGGGGGTTCATGAGTTGGCTGAATTCTCCTTAAAGCCTTTCTTGGTTCCTCTGTATGGGCAACCCTAACAGCAATAGGTTCTTCATCATCTTCGTCATGCATTTCATTACCATTTTCTTCGTCACTTGAATCCTCAAATGGAATATTCTTTGGTTCAGAAATTGGTGTGCGTTTGCCAGTCAATGATGCAGGAGAAGCCTTCTTCTTTGTCTCAACCTTAGAACCTTCATTGTCTTTGGCTTTCTCATCCTCAGAATCCGACGAATCGCTGGAAGCATCATCATCGCTCGAATCACCATGTGGAACATGCTTTGGAGTACCGATAGGAGTACGTTTTGTGGGAGTAGCCGAACTTTTCTTGGATGGAGTTGAAATGTTGGAAGTTTTTGCTTGTTCATTCTCTTCTTCGTCACTACTTGATTCTGTTGTGGTTGGAAGAACAAGATTGGCAACATGAGAATTTTTGGAAGGTGTTTGCTGTTGTGGATTGGAAGCATTGGTGTCTCTGGACTCAGTGGTAGCCTTGGAAGGTGTTTTTTGTTCGTCCTTTTTGGTTGAGTCCATATTTTCTGGAACGGTGACCTTTCTTGGTGTTTCAGTATGTTGAACTCTCACAGCAATTGGATCCTCATCATCTTCACTATCACCATCTTCGTCGCTCGAGTCATCGAATGGAATATTCTTTGGTTCAGAGATTGGTGTACGTTTGCCAGTCAATGATGCAGGAGAAGCCTTCTTTGGAGTAGCAGTAGCTTGGCTTGAAGAGGTTGAAGCCTCCACAGCAACATCCTTTTCGTCATCAGAGGAATCATATGGATCAGACTCACTGGAGTCATCAAAAGGAATGTTTTTTGGAGTACCAATAGGTGTTCTTTGCTTTTTTCTGGAGGATGGTGGATTTCCCTCCGAGTTGCTCTTTGCAGGAGTTTTTTGAAGAGAAGATTTTGGAGTAGTAGTACTACTTGAAAATTGTTGTTGTACTTGAGAATTCTTCATTGGAGTTTTTTGTTGATTTTCAGAAGATGTGCCTTGCTCATCGGCTGCGTTGCTCTTCTTGGGTGTATTGGGTGTTGGCTTTTTGGGTGTGGATGTCATGCTGAAAGATTTTGAGAATTTTTTTTGCAATATTTAATTTCTATTTGTTTGTGGAGTTTTGAGTTGGCGCCTTTATTTAAAATTGGCAACTTGGTGGTGTTCGAAAAGAGCTTCATAGTTTCAGAACAGAGTCTTTATCAATAACAATACATGGACATTCAAATTATTTACAGGTAACGTCATTGGTATTGGTGTTCACAGAGATGTGGAATGTTTTTGAAAGGTTTGCTTGCCGAGGTGGAATATTCATCTCAATAACAGTTTCAGCCTCCACTCCTTCTTTTAGGGGTAATCTAAACTTTAACAATACAGCTACTTTGCGAGATCCAGTGGGTAACTCTACAATTTGAGAAGCATCCTTATACTCCAAGATCTTTGCGTTCTCAAGTATGACACTCCACAAGGTAGAAGAGAGCAAGTTGGCGCCTGCCTGAGGAGAGGACAACACCACACTTACTTTTCTGGATTTTCCAGTTCCAATTTCAACTGCTTGTAAGGTATATTCACAGTTCAAAATATAGGGTGGTATAGTATAACCTAACTTGTCCATGAGCTTGTTTATCACTGTATCTGTTTTGGCGAAAATTCTATTGTCTGCATACTTGTCTTTTGGAGTTTTTTGTAAATTGACAATGATCAGCTTTCCATTCTTCTTCTTACACAATTGAGGCTAAATATTGAGTGAGAAAAAAGGAAATGGTTCACGAAAAAACTTACCAAATCGCAGGCAGGACTCACTCTTAGACTTGTGCCCATAACAATTGCCAAGTCAGCCTTTCTTGCATTTAGATCTGCTCTATCGAGTTGATCCACAGGAAGATTTTCACCAAAATTAATAATGGAATCTTCCAACTTGTGTGCGTTTGATAGTACGTAATGTGGCACAAGGATTGTTTGAGAATTTTCATTAATCGGAAATTATTTGACACTCCTTGTTGATTTGGTCATGGAAACCTACCTCACTTCCACACTTTTCACATTTTCTTCCTGTTCTGTGATCATGCACGTCGTGTGCATTTCGACATCTAAATGGTCTCAAATATTCGGTATGACATGTTTTACAAAGTTCAACGTTTGTGTTACCATGAAGTTCGCTCATATCACCTCTCTGATATCATACCAATCATGATGGCAAACATATCATAAACATAAATTATTGCTGCTTTTAGAAATTCACTTACCTTAATTCCACTCTTCACATGAAGTCCATCGGTGTTTTGAGAGGTCACATATTGAATCTTTCCCTGATTGTACAAGTACGAAATTGCCATGTGTGTGGGTGTTGGAACAGAAAGATATGAAGGAGTTCTTTCCGTCTTTAGCCCTTTTTCTTTCAATGTCCAAACTCCTTTCGGACCTCTAAAATCACTGATGCCTTAATAATTCCATTGCATTCATGAACGTTAAGGTCCGCACATGATCTAACATTTAAAACTTACCTGCGGAGGTACTAATTCCAGCACCTGTATAAAACACAATATGTTTGGATGAATGGATCAAATTAGCTAATTGTTCAATTTTTGCATCCAATTCTTGTGGCGAATCGTAATATTCAGTAATATCGACTCCGCTCTTATCATACATAATTTCAGTGCTTGGTGTTGGCATTCTTAATGTTTCAACAAGGAAATATTTTGGTGATCGGGATCTGAACAGTTTTTTTGGTTGATTTTGTTTCCACGAGAGAGAACTTGCTACTCACCTTCTAAGGGAAGTTGTTGTTGTGTAGGGTTCACCACCAAGAAGTTGTTGTTGTGAAGGGTTTCAATCGATTTGAACCGTTTGCTAAAACTCGGAACTTGCCTAAAACATGGTTCATTATTGAAAATGGTTCATTGAAGAAAAGAAGAGTTTTTAATGTAAACAATACGAAATTTGGAGTCAATTAATTGCATTTGGGACAATACGAAGGTACCACATAGTCGGCATCCGTATTGAAAGGTTTAAAATTCCAGAAATGGCTTGAGATGGTTTGCAACTCTTTCAGATTGCCCAAGTGATCTCTTGTTTCTATTTTTGTTTCTGAATAGAGAATAGCACAATCATAATCGGCTGGATATGGATCGTACTTGTGGGGAAAGGGTGGTTGTGGCTTATTTACTTGTTGAACGACCATGACATCTCGTTGGGTATGAGTTCCATTTAATTGTAGGGTTCTCACATAACGTTGACCTTTGACATATTCCATGGTTTCAATGCCAACATCAATCACTGACTCGAGGGTGTAGTCTGCATCGACACAGGAAACCATTAGGTAAGGTGATTGTTTGGTCAGTTGATGGCAAGTACATGAAGTAGCATTGAAGATGTATTCAATTCCAAAATTGCTGGGATAGGGCTCCATAAATCCCATGGTTGTTTTCCAATCGCTCACAACCTTGTCGTTCATCTCAATCTTTAAATCTAATCGATATCTTCTGTGAAAGAAGTCAGGCATGTGCTTCTCGTGAATCACACGTTGACCATTGAAATTGCATTGATTGTCTTTGCAATTAGAGAGAGACATGGACCGGACGGAAGCATAGACTGTGTGACGGTGTGGCATACAGCAGGTGTACTTTTGCCCACTCACGAATGATAGTGAAACCAAAAAGCCTACCACTGCCAGCAACAAGGATTTTAAATACATTTTTTTTGCACGGAGGAAAAATTGAGGAGTTTATTTGCGCAACATTTCACGGAACTTGCGGAGATGAGCTTCAAAGTGATTGGTTTATCAGATTACAATGACAGACGAAATTTATTTAATAATCAGCTGGTTGTTCTTCAGCATTTGCTTCACCTTCAGCATTTTCATCGAATTCTCCATCTTCTTCAGCTGTAGCGTCTTGGTATTGTTGGTATTCAGAGACCAAGTCGTTCATGTTGGATTCAGCTTCAGTGAATTCCATTTCATCCATACCCTCACCAGTGTACCAGTGCAAGAAAGCCTTTCTTCTGAACATGGCAGTGAATTGCTCAGAGACTCTCTTGAACATTTCTTGAATGGCAGTGGAGTTACCAATGAAAGTAGCGGCCATCTTCAAACCTCTTGGTGGAATATCGCAAACAGATGATTTGATGTTGTTTGGAATCCATTCAACAAAGTATGAGCTGTTCTTGTTTTGGACGTTGAGCATTTGTTCGTCAACTTCCTTAGTACTCATTCTACCTCTGAACATGGCAGAAGCAGTCAAATATCTACCATGTCTTGGATCAGAAGCAGCCATCATATTCTTAGCGTCGAACATTTGTTGAGTCAATTCTGGAACAGTCAAAGCTCTGTATTGTTGTGAACCTCTAGATGTCAATGGAGCGAAACCAATAAGGAAGAAGTGAAGACGTGGGAAAGGAATCAAGTTAACTGCTAACTTTCTCAAGTCAGAGTTCAATTGACCAGGGAAACGCAAGCAGCAAGTAACACCTGACATGACAATTGAGACCAAGTGGTTCAAATCACCAAATGTTGGTGTAGTAAGCTTCAAAGTTCTAAAGCAAATATCGTACAAAGCCTCATTGTCAATACACATGACTTCATCAGCATTTTCTACAAGTTGGTGAACAGAGAGAGTAGCATTGTATGGTTCAACGACGGTATCAGAGACCTTTGGCGATGGGAAAACAGAGAAAGTCATCATCATTCTGTCTGGATATTCTTCTCTAATCTTGGAAATCAACAAAGTACCCATTCCTGAACCAGTACCACCTCCCAAAGAGTGGGCAATTTGGAATCCTTGCAAACAATCGCAACTTTCAGCTTCCTTTCTCACCACATCCAAAACTGAATCAATCAATTCAGCTCCTTCAGTGTAGTGACCCTTAGCCCAGTTGTTACCTGCTCCTGTTTGACCAAAGACAAAGTTATCTGGTCTAAAGATTTGTCCGTATGGACCTGCTCTAACAGAGTCCATGGTACCTGGTTCCAAGTCCATCAAAATGGCACGAGGGACATATCTTCCACCGGTGGCTTCATTGTAGTAGACATTGATTCTTTCCAATTGCAAGTCGGAATCACCATTGTATGCACCAGTTGGGTCAACGCCGTGCTCGTCAGAGATAACTTCCCAGAACTTGGCACCAATTTGGTTACCGCATTGACCTGCTTGAATATGTACAATTTCTCTCATTTCTGATTGTATGTGAGTGGTTGTATTAGGAGTCTCTAGACTACAAGGACAATGCAAGTAGTGTTGTTGTAGTTTTTTTTGAGGTTGTATCGGCCAGGTACCGCTTCTACCTCAGCAAATAAACGTTGGTTGTATTACAATTCAGTGGCGGGCGAAAATTTACAACTTGGCGCCATTCATCGTAATTTCATACAGTTGTAACTGGTTGGCCTACATTATCGAAATCGGTTTCCCGTCATGAGGTGTCGATGAAGATGTGTTTCCGAATAGTTCTTTAAACTGTACAATGGTTAAGGATGATTTGATGATTTCAAACATCTCTTCCATGTTAGAAGGACAATCTGAAAAGAGAGAATTTGTCCAATTCATCGATCCATACTCAACCACTCAACGTCGTTTCAAATAAAGAAAAGCGGTTTTGTACAAAGTGTTAAATATATTATTATGACTATAGATTGTATTTTACATTCATGTGAATAATGTGATTCATTTCTCAGATGGATGTTATTTTGTTGTTGGATGAAGAAAATTACTGTTGCTGTTTGCGTTTCCACCAAGGTTATTGCTAGTATTGTTTGCTGAATTCATTGTCAAGCCATATAATTCATGATTTGGACCTAAACTATACCTATTGTATGGATTATTCGAAAAGTGTTGGGAGTGTCTCTTATTCGATGGTATGTGGTTGAAGGGTGTTCCATTGTTGTTATTTCCAGGGGTTGGTAAGTCACTTGAAACATTAATTTGAGGATTTCCATAATTATTGTTCATAGATGGATTCGAATAGGCAGAACCATGAAATTGTGAGTATGCAAATGATCCCAAGCTATATCTATTTCCAGCATGATTTAAATATCCAGCAATACTCTTTCTCGTTCCAGAAACATTCAAAGCAGAATCATAGAGTAATTGTTGATGATGGAATTGGGCAGACTTGCGTTGACCTCTATACCTTTGAGTTCCATTGAGGTTGTTGTATTGAACTGGTGTGGACAAGTTGTTAAGCTGAGAATTGGTGACTGAGAAAGGATTCTGCTGTTGTGAAACATCCATAATATTCTCATTGATATTCATTCCACTCATAGAACCAATCAAACCTCTAGGTGTTGAAGAATTTGAATCGGTTCCGCCTGCACCGAATCTAGGGCTGTTCGTAAGGGATGAGAAATCACTACTCGAATAATCACTCCTTGGAGAATACAAATAATCCGAGCTTGCACGAGGTGAATTGGCCAAATCGTTGGCAGAGCCATTTCCATAAAACATGAATCCTTGAGGTGTTGCTGTGGTGCTGCTTGTATTCGATGAGGGAGTTGTAGTATAGGCAGGTGACGACCATTGTTGTTGTTGCTGTGAATAAGGAGAGAGTTGTGAATGTTGTTGCTGGAGTTGAGGAGAGAGGTGATGAGCATGTTGAGCACCATTAGACTCATCTCCCACCAACATGATTGGTGGAATGTGAAGTGTACTGTTCGAATGGTGATTATGATCACTATCTGTCATTCCTAATGGAGTTGCCTGTGTAGTTTGTGGTGGTGTGGCTTGTGAAATGTTTGGTGAGGTCGATGTGGTTACGCTACAAAGTAAGGATGAAGGAGGAGGCAACAAATTTGGATCGGATTTTCCATGATGACCCAATGACAAGCTGGCAGAGGATGAAGATGTGGCTGACGAAGGACTCGGGTACAGATGTTGTTGTTCCTGTGCTTGTTGTGTTTGAAATGGGGATACCAAATTCGTGTTGTTGGCTGAATTTGGAGATGGTTGATCTAATTTGTATGCTTCGAGTCCAGGAAAAGATGGATAGGAAGAGCTCGTAGTCGTGGCGCCAGTATTGCTGTTGAAGGCCGTTGTTGTTGAAGGAAGAGCTGCCATCGATAGTTGTTGCGGTTGTGATAGAGGTTGATTGTTCAGTGACGATTGTGATGGTTGAGGAGAGGCCGCCGTGGTGAGATTTAGCACATTCATCATGGTTGCACTGTGAGCACCACCTCCTCTCGGTGAGGAAGTTTGTTGTTGTTGAGGTTGTATTTGTTGCTCTGAAGGATTCGTCATACGAGGACTCTTATAGGGATGATAGAATAGACCTTGTTGAGGAGAGCGATTGTTATTGTTGCTATTGTTGTCAGAGGAGTCCATGGTCATGGCCGCACCAATGGCATTACTATGATCATGATGGGTCATGGTCCATGGATGTTCTGAACCACCACTGGTTAAACTTGTGGAGCTGCCACCACTCAAACCAGCATTTAGTCTTCGAATGGAATTATAGGAAGGAAGTGTGGCGCTTGAATGTCGTTTGTAATTCATTGAAGATGATCTTTGAGTAGTACTTCCATTGTTCACAACATTTAGATTTAGATTTGGGAATGATAGTTGGCCATTTGACGTGTTGTTCGTGGTGGCAGGTGACTGCACACTATTGTCATCCATCATGTCTGCTGATGACGATGCAGTGCTACTTCCATTGGACATGAAATGAACCCAATACCTCTTGGTTAATATTCTCTTCTTACGCACAGAGCTCTTGCATTTATCCTCCATTCCTAGCTTTTTACATCTGTCACAAGGTCTATTTGACGTGTCATTAAGGAGCAGCATCATCAACAGCAACAACAATAGTCATCATACACGTCGTCGCACATTTTCGAAATGATCATCAAGATAGTAATTCATCATTTCGAAAATGTGTCAAATTGTTTGAAGAAACAACAATTTTGAATCATAACGTCATTGTGAATGGGTTTGATTATTCAAATGATTCATTTCATGAAAACAACACATACCGTTCTCCACTACAGGCTTTGTGAGCTTTTCTACATTCCGTACAAGCATAGTTCACTCTTCGGGCCGAACCATTGTTCGAATTGTTGTTGTTGTTGTTGTTGGATGAATGGTGGTTCTGAGAAGAAACTCCTTCAGTTCCTTCCTCATCATCCGAAAGAGAGGTTGAAGCCTCTTGAAGTTGTTGTTGTTGCTGATTCACCATCCCACTGCTAGCAGCACTTGTTTGTAGAGTGCTCGCAATATTATTGTTATGAGAATTGCTATTTTGATTCATCATCATATTCGTTGTGTGAAAGAATGGAAGAGGTTGCGAAAACTGACGAGAGAACCGAGGGGAGAAGGCTGTCGATGATGAATCCTGTTGTTGTTGTTGTTGTGGTTGTTGTGAATGATAATAGACTTCGGAAGACAATGAAATTCCATGAGTGTGGTTATGGATGGTTGCGTTGGCAAGTACACTTGGATCCAAAGACTTTCTTGCATGACTACACTCACGGACATGACAGAAAAAAGGAATAGGATCATCATTAGCTCAATCTCTATTAAATACTAGTTTGTATACTTACATTCGTGATGCTTTGGTGTGTTGTGGTGATTGGTTGCTCAGAATGTCTAAAATAGAACCACTAGAAGTGTTGGTACCACTGATTAGAGAGGTGTTGTTCATCATGGAATGGTTTTTGCTTTGAATGGCCGCAACATCATTCATTGGCACGTCATGCGTCAAAGCAGTTGTGGAACTGCTTGTTTTATCGTTGGCAGTGGACAGATGTTGTGATTCAGGGAGACAGGTTGCTGGATTCTCCATCGAGGTCGTCGTTATCGACGGGTCTTGAGTAGTAAACGACATCAAGGATGAACGGTTGTGGTCGATGGTGAGAGGATTCGTCACAGCAAGATGATTGCTGTCACTTGTTGTTGTCGCTGTTGAGTTTATCAACATTTTTTATAATGATTTTGAAAGTTGATTCCGTTGCAAACATGAAGAAGGAATGACCAATTCTCCCTTAGGATGAGAACGTAAAGTGCTCGCCTGATTGTTGATTATTGACAGAGATTTCAAAATTGGAATAACACAATCAACAGTTTTTTAAATAGACTCTCACAACATCATAACACGTTTTTAACGAAAAACGTACTTGTTGTAACAGTGTTGTGGATCTACGCCGACCACTTGAGACATCACTCTCATATTCACCCGGTTATATTTGATCAGTGAGTTTGACAAGTTCGAACAAAAAAAGTCAACAAAGGTCATTTCTTCGAATGAAACATTACTGCCCATAGTTGGTTACTGTAGTGGAAAGAATTGAATGACATTGTTGTGGTTGTTTCATGAAACATTAAGGTTAAATAATTTATAAAAACAGAATTGTTTCCAACTTTACCAATACTATTTGGACTAGGAACTCAGAACTAGTCCAACAAACATTAAAAAATGTCCCGACAACATCTTTTGGATGAGATTGTTCTGGCCGCAAGACAACGGAAAAAAAGCACGACCGTTCATGTTCAAGATGAGAATGAGATCATTCTTGACAAGAGTTATAAGACTCCCCTCACACAACATTTTTCAAACTTGTTTAATAATCCATGTTTGAGTGATTTTAAATTTATTTTGAAAAGATCAACAAGAATTGATCCGAATGATGATGGCATTATGAATGATCAACTCTTGGATCCCTACGGAAATCGAAGACTCAATGAAATATTCGTTCATAAATTTGTTATTTATCAATCCGAAGTTTTTAAAGCCTTGCTCGAGAGCAATTTATTGGAACAACAAACCAATGAAATGGTGATTGAGGAGAATGAAGAAAATGTGGATGCCTTTACAGCAATGGTTGCCATCCTGTATGGAAAATATGTTCCATGTGTTGAAGAAATGTCTCTTGATCATATTTTGGAGTTACTGACTTGCCTAGACAAGTATCAACTGGAAGATATTGAAAAAGTCATCATTCATTTGTGTATTCAAGAAATTGAGAAAGGTAATCCAAATTTCCAGCCTACTTGTGCGTTATGGCTTTGGCATGCTGTTTGTGCAAAAGGACCAAATAGGTCATTGAAATCATGCATTGAAAAACACTTTATACGACCTGTTTGGTCCAAAGAATATCATTCGGCATTGATTGTTGGCCAAAAAGATTTTCAATTATTCATTTCAACACTAGATTTTGATTCATTTTCAATCTTTCTTGACGAATTTTGTGATTCAGTTTGTGTGATGAGAAAAGTATGCGAAGATATCCAAAAGTGGGCTCAAAACCCATCACATGACAGTCGTCGAACACATGAACTCATTTCGATTGTTTTAAAAAAAACAAAACTTTAATAAGCGAATGGCAGATTTAACGATCTGGTTGAATACAAATTAGTCTCAATAAAAAGAAAAAAAATGTTAAACGCTTTGTGGTCACTTTTTAGTTCGAATTCATACGTTCATTCCTCTGCATCTTCGTCAAATACAACGACAAAAGACGAAAACTCAAATCATTTAAATGAGAATCTAAACTCAACCCGAAACTTTTCAGATCAATTTGATTATTATTACAATATTGATGATGATTTAATCTTCTACAAGAGACACGGATGGTCTGATTACTACAATTCAAAATTAGGGTTAATATTCAAATATCCTGCTTGGAAATATTCTCATGTAGAGGTTTTGCCGTATGGTGATTCTTTGGCATCGGTACAACTCAGAGCAGGAAATTCAATAACTGACTCAAATCACTCTTCATCAGAGTCGACCATTCCGAACTCCATGATCAGTAGGTATAATATTTCAGTTCAATTCAAAATGGAATATGTTTGGGTTCATTGTTGTTATATTTTCAATAACAATATTATGATTGTAGCGACCATGTTTAATATTGAGGATATTCAAAGTGTGATTAATTCAGTAAATGTGACTAAAAACGAGAAACCTGTGATAGAAAGGCCATCTCAAATACTGACAAGAACCAATCCATTAAATGAAGAAGAGAAACAATCACAATTCATTGACCCATCGTCCTTTGGACCTCGAGAATATATTCTAAATTCTATCAAAAAGTTGGAACAAAGTAATTGTTCGTACAAGATTTTCTTTCAAAGACCTGTGAAAGTCAACTCAAGAAAGGCTTATGAATGTAAATTAGAGTTGGAAATGAATCCTGCTGTTTTTCAAAGACCATCCAATCCAAAAATCATTGAAAAATCTGAAAGAGTCAAAGTATTACTTTATTGGATTGTGTTGAAGTGTGAAGATACAAACAAATTTTTCATTTTCCAACACATGTTACAAGACCTTGATGTGGAAAATTTTGATTTAGAATTTGAAGAACAAATATCTCATATTGTGAGAAGTGTGAAAATTGTGAAATCTCAACAAACTGGCGCATTTACTCTGTACAGAAACGACAAGGAAATTTCACTTAAATTATTGGATGAAAGTTGGCAAGGTTGGAATATTTCTGGATTGGGACATAATTTTGCACAAACCAAGAAGAGTCATAAGAAAAATATGTCACAAAGAGAAGAAGAAAAAATAGTTCCTCTACATTTGAAAGATGAAAATGTATTGATGTACCTCGTCTCATCTCTTACTAAGGAAAAGATTGGAAAGGAGATTGCTTTCATTCAAGTTGAATCCCAAAATCAACAACAACAATACAACAGTGAAATGAAATTGTCTTTCGAAGATTACATTCAAAAAACAAGGCAAACTTTAAAAGAAAAAAGTAACACTGTGATTGAAATTAAGGATAGAATCAAGTGGAAGGACAGTGAGTGCTCTGAAGGAATACTTTTTGCTTATGTTTCCGAAATGGACTCTTTTCCAGTCCATCTTTCCAAGTTAATACCCACTCCAGAGGATTCACAAGAAATTTATAATGTGATCGAATGTCACTTTAAAAGAGGATCTAGTTGGTACAAGATATTCTCTCGATCTCATCATTCTCTATCATTGTCTTCCTTTAGACAATCCGTAATGGAACAAATCAAAATGATCACTTTTCATGATTCCATGTCATCCTCTCTAAAAGAACAATCGGTCATACATGAAGATAATACTTTCTTAGAATTTGAAAGCATGGAACATGAATTCTCTCTTACTCTTCCTTTACTATATCAAATTTCTGCGAGACAATCTCTTGGAAACACACCTGTATGCCAATTCTTTTCTCGTTTCAGTATGGACAGTGCACTCTGCATGTTTGAAACACAAGTTTACTTTGAAAGACTAGGTCCAAAGCCCAAACATGAATCCTTGCTTTCCAATGAGAAGGAAAAATTGAAAATTCTTAAACAATCGTTACTTGATCAAATGATTCGAAATATTGGAAAACCTGTTCCGCTTATCTTGGAGAAGACTATAAAAATTGAAGCAGGAATTGGAAATGAGGCAATCCATGTTGCATTTTCAACACCTATGGGTTCACCGATTCATCAGAAGAATCTTATTCATGTTCACACAAGTTTTTTATTGGAAAATCCATCTCCACTCATGACATCTAAGCAATCTCGAGAATTAGTGGCATCAATCCAACCAACAGAGGAGGAAAACATGTTACATGTAGTGACCATCAAAACAACCATTATGGATGCATTTTATAATGATTTCATGCAACAACTTTTTGAAAACATTCATCGAGCATTCAAATATTCAAAGAAGAATTATTGATGAAGAGAATTTTTGTTCAAGTTGTCAACAGTTTAGACACAAATTTCCTCAACAAAAATGTCGAAGTGTTTCATCTTAGTATTTGTGGAAATTGAATCCCTTCTCTTCGTATTCCATTTTCGAAATCCACTTGTCCTCGTGATCCTCTGACCATTGTGCCAACATAGAGGCCCCCATCCATGATGAATAAACTCGTGGAATAGTGTCTGATTTTTTCACAACTTTTACTCGATATCCTGAAAGAGCAAATTGTTTCATATCATATTCCATTCTTTCTGTGCCTCCTTCAAACATGAAGGAACCTCCTGAAAGGATCATGTCATTGTAGAGATCTTTTCGGTATGTCTCAGAGTTTTTCATGATGTAATCGTAGGCGAGCTCTGAAATTGACAGAAGGTCTCTATGGCGTAAGGACGGAAATGATGAAGGATCATAGAGCATTTCACAACACTCAAATTTCTCAATTCCAACATTGAGAATAGAATGATCTGGTAGTTCATAGGTTGTTAAAACTTGTTGATTTTGGCCACATTCAGAAAGTCTTTGTTTTGATACTTGACATATAGAGTGTTTCATGCGTGAAAGAATCGTTGAATGCAAATGTTGAATACCTTCTTTCAATTCTGGGTTCATGGTCGATTGTCTTTGCTCGAGAAAATGTCTCAAATTTTCGTCCATATGTTTGCCAGCAAACTCTTGGCGTCAAGAGCTGATGCCACACCCAATAATTAATAATTACTCTTTGAATAGCTCCCATGATCGTGTAATACAAGATAAACGTCTTGTTGATCGCCACTGAGGAGAACATGCCCCACTCAGAAACCATTCGACATGTCAGATTCGGTGACACATCTGCAGCCAAGATAATGGTCATAATGAACAAGATGTGCTGGTTTCTCTTCATTTCCTTTCTTTTCACTATATAAATGACAAGGGAAACAATGAAAAGAGTCCAAAAGATGAAGAAGAATGGACCACTGGTGATTCCAATGGATAAGCTGTACTTGACCTGATCCGACCATAGGGTTGAGTTATATATTGAAGGGATAGGTGTGGTGTTGTTGGATTGTTGCAAAGATGTCAGCGAGTCCAAAGAAATTGGAGATAACCAGGTTGACATTTTTTGGATGGTTTCCACAGAGATAGGAGCGGTTACCTTTCTGATACGAAAAGAGCTCTTTTGGATAACAATTCCATTCGCGTTTTCAAGATAACAGACCTTTTGGAATGGAATCAACATCTATCAAAAGTAAGTTCCTTCTTAACTCTTTTCACCTGCATGGAGCGACAACGTTGTCCAAATAAGGTCTCATATTTCTTGGTTTTCTGATTCAACTCTCTTCGGTGAATTACCATGAGGTTTCAGGGGTTGTCAACGTCACCAGCGCAAGAGAGATTGAGTTTGCAGAAGTTTGTAACGTCGACTACTTTTCAACGTTGTGATATACTCCATCCCAGTTACTTGGTCTATGAGTTGAGAAGTGTTGCGAACGTGCAAGCATAGTTGCTGCCGGTCCATCGTTCGGCATTAATTTTAAACACTCTTCAAATTGCACAGCAGCATCACTAAAGTTTCCCATCAAGTAGTTTTTCAAAGCAGCATCATACACAGAACGCATTTGTAACATTTCCTCATTTACAAGAGGTAAAGGTCTTTGATCTTTAGCAATTTCTGACGTCTCTTCATTCAGTATTGTCGCAATAGGGGGTAATTCTTTCTTCCTTCCAAGAAGCTCGTATATCACGCATCCAATTGATTTCCCTTTCACACTGATTTTGTCAAGTTTTCTAAACTCTAATTGTTCTGACACATACGGCCTCAAGTATGTATCTTCTGAAACAATAATTTGCGTATTATAAAATTTGTTGGTACCTTCTAATCGAGAAGCAAGATTTACGCTGTCACCTAATATTAAAAAATCCATTTTAATTGTGAAAAAAACAAGCATTGAATGGATGAATATTACATACCAATGATTGTGTAGTTGAGTCTCCATCTGGATCCAAAGTTTCCCTGCAACAAAATGGTAAAAGAAATGCTTGTTGATGAGAGTGAATACTTACAACAATACAAGAACCACTGTGAATTCCTATTCTACATCTCATTAAGGGCTTTTTCTCTTTAGCCCATTTCTTTCTCAACTCATCCATTCGCATTTGACATCTCAATGATGCCTTACACGCTCTAATTCCTGAGAGAGTCGAGTACTGTGGAGCACCCCAGAAACCCATGACAGAATCTCCGATATATTTATCTAAGGTTCCTTTTTCTAAAATAATTTCTTCAGTGAGAACATGAAAATATTCTGACAATTGCTTGATAAGAATCGGTGGTTCGAGCTCCTCACTTAAAGTCGTAAAATTTTCAATGTCAGAAAAGAATATGGTCAAGTTGTTCACCAATTTTCCTCCTAAATTAATTTCATTTCCTTTTTGAAGCATTTCTCTCACAAGCTCACTTGGAACAAATTTTTTAAATGAACGTAATGCCATCTTCATGTTTTCAAAGGCAGTCGACAGCTCTAAAACTTCCTTGATTGCTGAATGAAATGGCTTTCCCTTATTGATCTCTAAATTTGAAATTGCCTTGCTTTCACTTGAAAAATAGGTTAGTGGTTTCGAAACAGCTCTTGAAAATATAAAGCTGAAAAACAAGCTTGCAAAGAGGCATAAAACAGATATACCGACATTAACACCAGCCAACATGAAAACGTTACTGGTGAAATCTGTTTCTGGAGCAACAACTACTACAATCCATTGCTGAGCGCAGAATTGAATGCTATTTGATGATGATTGTTTCAAAACTTACCATGTTAAGGGAAATTGTTCTGTTGACAACTCCATGGGATACTATATACTCTTCTCCTTCAAACAAAAACGTTTGAACATGAGCATCTGGATAGGAAGTGTCCTTGTACAAAGAATAGCCAGATATTTTGGCAGGAATAATGTTGATCACCACATGTCTCAATAAGGGATCACCTATTTCCCACTCATCAGCAATTCTATACTCGTACTCCAAACTTGGATCATATATGGCAATGGAAGAAGCATTTTTGAATCCAATCACTCGTTTATGAATACCGTCCTCACGGTGAAACATTTCAATAATGGCAACAAATGACCTAGGTGAGACATAGAATGATCTTACAAAGTTGGCTAAATATTCTATATTAACATTAATGCTTGTGACTCCAATGAAATGGGAGTTATGTGGTGAATAAATATTCGCTTGAAAGCAAGTGTACACTCGTTGTTCGATAGTTTCTCCTTGCCTGACCATGTGATAGTAAAGTGAATAAATCCTTGTTTTTGTTGCAAACAATAAAATCTTACCATTGAACATCTAAAGGTATCAATGCTTCGTCATAAATTTGAGAGAGATAATAGTATTCGTCGTTTCTAGGGTCCCAATGTGAGGTTGGTTCGTCTAAAGAGACAGTTCTCCTATTTCCGAACATTGTGAAATAGTAGGTTGTTTGTAAAGAAGTTTCATTGTCAGGTTGAGTAATATGAAACACTTCTTGTCTTGGTTCAAACATGGGCTCTGTTTCGTTGTCCAACGGCTCCATCACTTGGTAACCAGTGTCGACATAAATATAATCTCCAGTCGGTGGAGTAAAATCCAGAAGGTAAATCTTTCCAATGTATTGCTGATGGCTGACAGCAAGAATTTTCATCAAGTTCTCAAAAACTTGAGGGCTATACATGTTGACCTCATTAATATCAATGCTACTTTTCTTCATAAAATACATTTTAAAGATTGCATTCTGTGAGAAATTGTTCAAAAGCGTTTAAAATTGTGAAAGATTATGATCGTACTAAAACACATACCTTTAGCGAATATGTAGCCTCCATGCAAACCCACAAGAAATCGTCAACATAACTATGAGCTCTCCGATAACTCTGAATAATTACCTGCATCTTCACGTCATTGGATGCAAGCACTGAAAACCCTATTGAAAGTAAAACTAGAGTCAATACGGGAATGATGATCATGATCAACATGGTTGAAACAAGCAGGCATCGAAAGCTGCAATGCACACACAACGAATTACTTTTGCTCATCTCTTCAAAGTTGGAAGCAGATGATGATACTATACTACTGCTAAACGTTCTTGACTTGGCTACTAAATCGTTTTCTATTGTAAAATCATCAATTAATTCATTTACACTCGTCGATGAACCAAATCCTTTCAGAATGGTTCGCGTTAAAGATTTGGCAAGCCAACCTCGGGATTTTTCTTGACTAGTAGACTCATGGAGCTTTGTCATTGTTTTTGCTTTAGTAAATAGATATTCATCATTCATGTTATGATTTTGTTGTTGTGGTTGTGTATGCGGAGGTTCCCCCTCTGCACCTGGTGTTGCTACTCGTAGCACTGTATCATTGTCATGATGAGGATTCTGTAGGGGTGCATCTGCTGGGTACACCCTATTACTGGTCAATGCTTTGCGAGGACCGGAAGGAGGGTGAGTCATTGTATTTCCAATACCCGTCGCGATGTGTGTCGTTTGGTGTCGTTTCAAAGCCTTAATACTGTGGAACAATAGTACGAATTTTTTTTCGTTATTTATACCTTTTTGGGTCTTGGTTAACTCGAATTGCTTTCTATGTAGTGAGTGACACTCAAAGCGGGAGATAATTTTTGAAAATTTAGAAAAATTTATCCCATAGAGTCTGTATTGTTTGTAATGTAGATATGCATTACAATGGAATTGAGTGTGTCTCTTACCTCTTTTGACTTTAATTTGTTGTCCGTAAAAGTTTATACAGTGACTTTGTCTTTTGCAACGCTAGCTTGAAGATCTCTCAAGATCGCTAGTGATGTTGACAACCCTCGAGGTCTACAACTTTTTTCATTGCTTGATCGTAATACTTAATGTACATCCAGTTCATCTCAGGAACTTTGTAATGGTGCTATTCTTTCATTAATAAATTCCACACCGATGTCCATCAGTCCTGTCGATCTTTTCCATCTCATTGTTTTTGGACATGATCGAAAAAATGTCACTCAAAGCAGGAGATATCGTGTGTGTCGGAGTGGTCCGATGTCACAACCTTGTGGCTGCAGATATGAATGGATTCAGTGATCCTTATGTCATCATTTCAACTTCCTCACAACAACATCAACGAACAGAAATTGTAAAAAAGACTTTAAATCCAGTGTATGATGAACGATTTTCATTTCTTGTCGAAAAGGTATGCTGGTAATGATCGATCAACAAAATGATCACTATTTTGCAATTATGTAAATATGGTTAAATGATATTAGAACGTTTCCGAGATGGAAATTAAATTTAAAGTGATGGATTGGGATCGCTTGACGAAGGATGTAGGTATAGATGAATGAAAATCTCTGAAAATTTTCACAACTGATGATGATCTACTGAATGAATTAAATTTATAAATGAAATGACGTCACGATCCATGACCTCATCATCTCACTGAATGACATCTTTGACCATCATGATCCAATGATTTAGGATTTTCTTGGAAGTGCAAAAGTCAGAATCAATGATTCGAAATATCCCATTGGACATGTTCATACTGAAGAGCTCACTCTCGAAGAAACAAAATCTGGAACTCTGACCATCACCATTCACATCCTCAGAGGAGATGTCTTGGGAAAGATTGTACCAACAAATGATGAATCATCAAATTTCAAAATATTGAGTGGTTATTTTGGGCCTACCTTTGCTCCATGCATTCCTGTTCATTTCAAAATGATGTCCAACAAAATTTCATCTACTCATGTGTTTGTAAACTTTGCCAATGAGGATCAAACTGAAAATATTACCATTAGCTATAATTATGATTTGAAAGAATTAGGATTTGACGAATCCAGAGAAGTGTTCATGTCGACCATGATGAAAATGCAAGAAAGCATGTCAGATCGATTTGCAAAAGGTACCTACAAGGTTTTTGAAAATGGAAAACAAGTGAACTTGCTGGACAAGTTTGGAATTGAGGGAGAAACTAAATTTCAACAAGTCCATGAATATCATTGGCAATTTACCAACACTCAAATCCAACTTGTGAAAGTATGGGCATTTGTATGTCAACCTCTTACCAATCCAGAGGGAATGGTGACTTTTATTTATTATTCCAATCTTAACAACAACTCGTCCAATCCACTCAAAGATTGCGCTCTTAAAACTGTTGTGAAATAGATCTTTTTATGACACAATGAATATTATACTGGTTTTTTCATTGAGATTCGAACAATCATTCGAGTTTATTCATTTCACAATTAACTCTTTTATACGAAAACACATTCGTCCCTATCATCCAAATGACAAGAATGACAAATAACAAAAAAATGTTTTCATCGAGGCTTTACTCGTCGGATTCATGTCCAACAATGAACCCACACGGAAAGGGCAATGATGATGAATTGAATATTAAAATACATCCTTCCTCTTGCATCGCCACCAACAACAATAGCTCTTCATCCACAACATGCCAAAATGATCATTCAAATAATAACCTTCTTCTCGATGATGGAAGTAACAACAAACATTCATCTCCCAGTAATAATTTTAGTTCAACAAAAACAACTTCCGTTAGAAGATTATCAACCGATGATTCTTTATCAGCATCCATGGTGGCGTTGTCGATGAACACACCAAAAAACCTTGATTCCAAAACACAACGAAGACAATCTTCATCATCAGCATCATCGTTAACAAGTAATAGTACTCATTCCGATTCAATATTATCTCTTTTTAAAAGTATGGGAAAAAGCCTTTCACCTACCTCTTCGAACAACCAAGATCACAACTCTCCCAAGAACACAGGCAATAATCAATTGTCATCACCCTCTTCGGGCTCAAGCAGACCATCATTTTCATCACAATCCAATAGTATGAATTCTCCTGCACGTAAAAATTACTTTAACTTTGATGAGACAAAATATGAAAATTCTTGTCGAAAAGCTATTGAAGCTGGAAAAGCTATATTGAAAATAATTTTGAAAAACGCTAAGGACAAAAAACTTGCAACAAGTCAACTGTATTATTATGTAGAAATTGAAATATTTCAGTCATCAAAAAGAACGTGTTTAAAAAGTTGTGTTAAACAAGGGGAAGAAACTATGACTTGGAACGAGGAATTTCATGTCTCAATTTCTCCTTCTGTAGAAGAGACATTTTCTGTTTCTCTTTGGTCACTGGCCCACAAGATTTCAACAGATAATGGTATGTTTGACATCTGTAATTTCTTTGTGTGGTTTTGATGTTTATATTTGTCACATGTTAGCTCAATTGATAGGCCGCTTTCAATTTGACATTAAAAGTCTCGTGAAAGGAGAAGAAAAATTAATAGCGATAACTTTGAGCAACAACAGCACCATCCTAGAATTTTCATTGACACCATTTAATTTTGGAATTGTTTCTACACATGAACCTCACTCGCCGCATGATGATATTCCAATCGCTGCTAAACCTGTCGATGGTGTTTATAATTCAAGGTATAAAGTGTGTGGAAGAATTGGAAAAGGTAATTTTGGAACTGTCGTGAAAGTGAAAGATTTGCAAGACGGAAAAGAAAAAGCCATGAAAATAGTACCATGCTCAAATCTTAGCGAATCCAGTCAAGCATATAGAGAAGCCACAACTACAAAACAAATTAAGCATGAAAATCTAGTTGAATATTTGGACATCTTCATTAGCAAATCTGAAGTCCCAGGAACAAATATTACACAGTTCGATATATGTCTAGTAATGCCAATTTATGTAAAAGGAGATTTATATGCCATGGTGGATGCTCGATCGTCAGCAACTGGCAAGCGATATATTACACCAAATATGCTTGTAGAGAAAATTTACGAATTTGCAAAGGGATTGGAGTGTTTACATTCGCATAATATTATTCATAGAGATATGAAGTTGAAAAATACCTTTTTTGACGAGTCATACAGAGTCAAGTAAGTATCAGTGTTTGTTTTATCTTTGAAATCATTCACTTTTTTTGATGTGACAGGATTGGAGATTTTGGATTTTCAAGGTAAGCTTTTAGTATTGGAAATATTTGTGAACTATTGTGTTTGTTTAGATTTGTACATGATGGCGAGGTATGTGTTCAACTATAATTTCTGAGCATTGTCGCTAACAACTTTTCAGAAAGCTCATACTATTTGTGGCTCAGTAAGTAACAAACCTTTCATTGAGATCTAAATACATTTTTTTATGTAAAGCCCAACTATACTGCACCAGAAATTGAAAACTCTACTGGGTATGGCAAAGAAGTTGACATATGGAGCTTGGGAGTAATGATTTATGAAATGATCACTCTCAATATTAAGAGATCTCATCTTATAGCCAGAACGGATTTCGATTCGTACATTAATACATTGTGCTCAGAAGCCATCCAGGCCTATAAAGACAAAGCAATCCATGAACCTCTGACAGAATTGCTTAAAGGAACAATTGCTCTCAATCCTCAAGACAGATGGAGCGCATCTCAGTGTGTGCTGTTCCTGAAGAAATTGAGAGAGCAAATAAATGCAAACAAATGACATGATTTTACTAGGATGTGCTATCCATGATTTCATTTTCGTTTTCGTTGGATTCCAGAGTAGCTGATTTTTCTTTCTCTTCAGCTTTTGAATGATTGTACTTTTCTAGTTCTTTGGATAACTCTTCTACTTTGGATTTCAGTTTAGCTGATTCTTCTTTCTCCAATTCAACTTGCATTTTCCAATATTCAATATCATCTGATTCAATTTCGTACTCGGGTTGTTCATGTGGATGCTCTTGAGCGTATTTTCTTCTGGCTTGTTGAATTCTTTTTTCAGCAATAATCAAAAAACGATCCTTGTGGGAGAGATAAAAACATTCAGTTTTTCTTTCTTTACAATTATTGCAAATTGGTCGTTGTCGATCACAAACTTTGCGTCCTGACATGCAACAATGAAAGCAAGCTAATTTCAACATATAGGTAAGGCTAAAAATCATTGTTGTACCATGTGTGAAAACTTACGAGAGCACTCTAATAAAGAAGGATAGTTGCACCTAGTGCCAGCCTCCAAACAATTCCCACATAGAGGTCGCTCCTTAGTACAAGCAATTCTCCGTTTAAGGCATTCTCGGCATGGCGAAGGCTCAACTCCATCCTCATATTTTGTAGTCAGCAGTCTAAACAAATCTGGAGTAAATTCTTCCGAGAGTAAATCATCCATAGTTGGCAGCCATGAAGGAGGTTTAAATTCTGTTGAAAATTTTTGCTTTCTGGATATTTTCTTCCTTTTCTTTGATCCTTCTCTCTCTGATTCAGAGTCTTCTATTTTCTTTTTCTTGGGTGTTTCTCTATTGTTTTTCGTCGTTTTTCCTCCGTTCTGTTGTTGTTTTGATTTGAATTGTTTCTGTTTTTTCGTTTCAGGTTCAAAGGTTTCATCTTCGTTTTCTGAGTTGTCAGTTTCATCACTTTCCTCAACCTCTTGACGATAATCTGAGTCTTCTTCTAACTCCTCGTCTGAGTCTACATCGTCTATTACGATCTTAAAATCTTCATAATCATCACTTTCATAAGTAGTATCCTCATTGTCAATTATTGGACCTTTGTTGGCTCTGTCCAATAATTCGGATAGGAATGGAGGTAATAATGCTGCATTAGTGTCGTCTAGTGTAAACTCGTTTTCATCTTCATTGATTTTTTCTGCAATGAAGCTTGCATTGTTGATGAGATCAGCCTCAGTAAAATTATTTTTCTCAATCTCCTCTAATACTTTGTTCAATGTCAATGACTTGATTTTTTGATCCAAATTAGAGCCTGATTCTTTTGAGTCATTCAACATATCTACCCACTCAGATAAATATTTTCTTAAAAGGATCCAAAGATTGCAACGCCGTTCAAAAGGAGCAAATAATGATTGATATTCTGTTGAAGGTTGGAGTAATTTATACCAATATTTGTCGCTTTCAACCCAAATTCCTTGACAATCCGAGTCTAAACCAAAAACCCATTGAGATAAATTCACAACTTTAACAAAGAACTTCTCCAAATCCAATCCCGAGCTTGCTGTTATCGAATTAGGCTCAACTAAATTTCCAAGCAAACACATGGACGATGTCTTGTTAATCCAATCGGGTTCTTTCATTTCTTTCGTTCGGAGATCGACAAATTCAAAATTTGTAATATGGCAACATAGACTGTTATCTTTGGTATCTTTCAAGATCAACCTCTCAGGTATTTCGCTCTCCTGATGATAAAGAAGCCTATTTTTTGCTAACGTTTAAAATTTTGAGCAAAACAACAATTTAAATTCTTCTGTGAAGCGCATTCAACCCAAAAACAACAATTTGGTGGCCAATTCAATTGAATTCTCTGATAAAATCACACCAATCCATTCTGATACAATCGATCAATTTTGAATTGGTCGGTTCTTTATCCCATTTCATTCCAAGGAGAAAGAGAAGCCACAAAACTTCGGAGAGCCGATCTTTCAAAAACGAACGACGTTCAATTTCTTCTCCCGTTCTCATTGATTCTCACACACACTCACCCAAAACGGAGTCATCAAGACCCGTTGCTTTTTATTATCATAATTAAATTATTCCAACTCCTAGACCGTTCCATATGGTTGCCATTATTACCGTCAACAAAGATTCCAGTAGTGAACAATCACTTGGAAAGGATTCCGAGTCGGAAACTCAAAAGAAACCTTGGTGGAAACCTTCATTTCTCTTTTCCAAAAAGCCTTCATCAAAGAGCTCTCTTCTTGAACCCACACTCTATAGGAAACGATGGCTCGTTTTATTTCTGTTTTCCATGTCTAACTTTTTGTGTTCCTTGTATCAAACGACATTCTCTCCGATCAGGTAGGTTCCTTGCACCAAACGATTCGTGTCTGATATAATTTAAATGATTACAAATTTGTTTTATCAACAATATCATCACCAATGCTGCTGCTGCTGCTACTTGTACGACAGTACAATTGCATTGAAATATTGGCAAATGCCCGATCAGACCTGGAAAGTGAACATGATGACTTTGGTCTATTTAGTGGTCTATGTGCCCGTGTCCTCAGTGAGCTCATGGATCATGAAAAAGAAAGGTTTGAGAGTTTCAATTTTGATCGCTTCAATACTCAATTTTGTTGGTGGTTGGGTTCGATGTTTGGGATATAAGGTGAGTATTGTCGGCACATGTGAAACAACAATTCGTATATGAAACAATTGTTTTTATGATCAAAAATCGAATTCATTTATTATTTTCATCATGATGTTGATCTTTCTCTTTTATAGAAAGGAGAGGAATTGTACTTTTGGATTGCATTTTTAGGTCAAACCTTGTGTGCTGTTGCTCAACCCTTGGTGTCCAATGCTCCCACTTTATTGTCAAAGTAAGGATTTGTTGCATGATGTTCTTCTTGTGATTCGATATTTAATTATTATTTAAATGAAAACTATTTGGAATGCAATATCAATCATCCATTCAACGTGCTCTCTCTTTCGACCCTTCAATCATGTTCTGAACAAATTCACACTCTGCATATCATCATTTAGCAACTGGTTTGGTGAAAAAGAAAGAACACTCGCAACAACTATTGGAACTTTATGTGGAATATTAGGGAGTGGCGTTGCATTCGGTATTGGTCCAGCACTTTTAGGAATCAATGACGGTTCAACTGCCGAAGATGATTGGTCTGGCTCAGAATATGGAATGTTGCTTTTATTGCTGGGACAGGCATTACTTGCCACATTGTTGTTGACTGGCAGTGTTGCCTTTTTCCAAGATAAACCTCCGTCACCCCCTGTTGTTAAGGCACCAAAGGAAGCACTCATGCCATCGACATCCATTAATGAGACAAATCCAAACGAGGGTGTAGAACATATCATTGATAGTGATGATCATCATCGTCATTCTTTCTGGCATGACCTAAAATCAGTCATGTTGAATTGTAATTTTGTTACTCTTGTGTGTGCATACTCGGTTGGATATTCTGTGTTACAATCATTTGTGGCCCTCATTGATCAAATTATTGTACCTAAAGGATATACTCCGTATGATGGAAGTGTCTTTGGATTAACAGTGATTGTTTTTGGTATATTTGGAGCACTGATAATTGGTATTATTGTTGATAGGACAAAACGATACAAATTAATTTGTGCTTGTTGTGGACTATTCGCTACCATTGGATTTTCTGGTTTTGCTGTAGTGATGTTGTGGAGGAGAACAACTCTATTGTTCTATATGGCTTGTTTATCACTTGCCGCTCTGGGTATGTTTTCTGTTCCCACAGTTCCTATTTGCTTGGAAATGAGTTGTGAAGGTAAGTGAATGGAATTTATGTTCAAAAACATGTTTTATATGTTGTGACAATTTTCATCCTCATTCAGTCACCTATCCCGTACCGTCCAGTACCTCCACGTCTATTATTTATGGAGCTGGAACCATGACAGCAGGAGTGATTTTGGTTATTCTAGACATTATTCAACAGTATCAACTACATTCAAATAATGCGAAAGTTTCAAATAACACATCAATGCAATTGATTTTATGGATTGATCTTGGATTGTTAGGCCTCAGTTTTATATTCACGTGTCTCTTTAGAGGAAAATATAAGAGAATGATCAATGAAAAGCTACACAAGGAAAGAAGTCAAGCTTACTTGGCAGGTCTTTCTCAAGAGAATGAAGTTAGCGAATCTTCGGCTTTAATCCACTAATTAGTGTGTTGTTGATCGTTCAAATTAAAATGTCATTTCCAATCATCATTTTCTTTTCATTTAAGGCCAACTTTAATTTTTTCATCGTGTTATTAATAAGGATACACACATGGAGTGCTTGTGGGCGTAATGTAGGCACTCGTAGTAAATCGAATTACAGGAATACCTGGTTTTTGAATAACATCAAATTCCATTTCCATCATAAAAGCTGTATATCCCTTCTTTGGATTGTTCACAGAAACATTGTAAACCAGGCCAGAATCATCACTTGGTGGTACAACGCTTGATGTGTACGCTTTACCAATTGTAGTAATTCTAAAATCTCTTGCATTTTCATTGGTGGCTTGCCATAATTTCACAACTCGTGGTATGGTACCATTTAGTATTCGTAACTCAACATCGATACCATGACCTCGATCGATATGATGAAAATCGTAAACTGGTAAATCAATTCCATATAAATACGCATAGTAGGAAACATGAACTGCATCCAGCATATCACTTCCGTTCATATTGTGTCCTGTATTTGGTAAATATTTCAGTCTCTTATTGTTCAATCCTCCTGTAAGGAATGGAAATGAAAATAAAGATAAATCTACCCAAAAGAATTCGTCACCCAGAGCATAGATGAGTAATTTTGGAATATTTGCAAACCTGTCTCTGTAAATCAATGGGTCAATAATTCCAGCAAGTTGTGAAAACTGTGTAGTTTTGACTCGAGATGTAATTCCTTGATCAATATACGAATCCATTGCAATTGGAAAATCACAAAGACTGTCGTAGGTATGAATGAGACATTTTTGTAGATTTAATGTTGCAATGACCATGGGAATGATATTTGTCACACGATGATCGACAGCAGCAAGAAGCCAAGTTGTCCATCCCTTCTTACTTCCTTAGTTGTCCGAAATAGTTTTGTGAAGGATAAAACAAGAAATTCCAAACTAATCGAGTTATCAAAAACACCTACCTCCCATCACTGTAAACGTTTCAATATTCACATTCAATTGTTTTCTTGCAAAGCTTTGAATAGTATCTAAACCTCTTTTTCCTGCTCTTGTCATTGGTAAATGGGCAATCCAATAAGGTTTACTTGTGTCATTTAGGAAGTATCTCCATGTCAAAGCAACCACTCCATCCTCGGAGCGTTCCTCATGCTTTTTGGTTCATCGCTCGATGATTATTAACGACGACGCATTATCAACAGATACTTACCTTTGGATCCACTGCAAACACAATAGGTTGGTTTGGAACTTGTTGCAACTCGGTCACAATGCTCCTTGTAGAGACTGCAATTTTGGTCAAGTCTGGTAAATCACCTAGATATGGTTTTAGATCAGTATTGTGTTTACCGATCATCCACATCAATGCATGTTTTAAATTTCTATTCAAATCATTGGGAACAATGACCAAATGATAATGCCACCAAATGTATCGACCATTCAGAATGTCCCTATCGCTAAGCCAAGTTTGGCTGGTCATATTCAATACGTAACATGTAGCAACAGCAGACGATGCAGGACCACCTTTCTGCTTGATGGGAATACCATTGATATCCACAGGAAAGGTCTCAAAGATCTGGTAATGAAAATTGGGATCGGGCTGATCCATGAAATCATCGAGTGCTGTACGAAATGAATTCGTTTCATATCGATGAGGAATGGAAAATTCAGAACTCCTCTGTCCCCCACCGTGATCCATTGGAGTTGCCTTCGCAAGAAGGCTGGAATATGATATCATCATCATCATCACGAAGATGACCAACAGCAACACAGCCTTGACCTCACAATGCATTTTTTGAACAACAACTCCGAACTGGACAGCAGGCTTTGATTGAGAAGAAATGTTTTGTTGGAGTTTCTTTAATCATGGATTTTACTCTTGAAGAATGATAAAGAAATTGTTCTGAAGGTCGATATCGAAATTACCATCAGAACAATTTCTTTATCATTCTTCAATGTCTTTTGATCATTGAGCGGGTGTTTGTTAGTTATTATTGGGGTATTTTTTTAAAATGTTTGTGTGAAGTCACCCAACCTCTTGTTGACAATTTTACAAAGGTTGATGTTATTGGTTCATATCATAGATTCCAACAATCTCACTAAATTATGCTTGAGTTAAACCGCTGTGTGTCACTCTTGTAAAGATTTACTTGGGTTAATTACACTTGAATTTTCCATTCCTTGTTGAAAAGAGTTTGTTGTTGAGCAGGTAAAGACCAAGACCACAATGTTCTAGTGTCGTGTTGTCCCCAATGACAATCAAAGATCCAATACTTGCAATCTCTCCACATATAGTACGCTTCGAAATCAGCAGACATTGGATGTGTTTGTAATTGTACATCAATACCCACTGTGCACAAAGTTCCATGGACATAAGCTTGAGGTACAAGAGCAGCCTGGAATGATGCATCCAATTCAACACCTCCTCTAATGATCAATAAATCAATCTCTGCCTTTCCTGAGACAACCAAATCAGCAGATGGAATGAGTTCAACCATAGCACTCAATTGAGCATCACACACTTGCCATCCCCATTGGGCATTCAAAACTAAATCGGCTCCAGCAGAAAAAGTAATTGGAACAATTGATACCCAAACAGTGTATGAGAAACTAAATCCAGGAGAGGCATGATACAATTGATATGTATGCAAGTTGCAATCAATGAGTTGAGTTGGTAATGTTTGTTGATAGACTACCTTATCAAAGACACTCAAGAAGATTTCGTTAGCAACAGCAACGGATCCTTGTTTTCCGTAAGCAGCCTTAGCATCAAAGATGGACGATTGCTTAACACCAAGTACATTGACGTTAGCGTAGGCTTCAGCCTTTCCCAAATAGTTGAATTGAGGATGATTGCAATCAAAGTTAGTACCAACAAATAAATCTCCGTGAATGTCAATTGAGATCGTTTCACCTGTGTGTGTGAGAATTATGTAAATTATTCATCATTCTCGAATGTCCATTCAAAACTTACCTCCAACATTGTAATCCTTAGAAATGGATCTATTGTATGGATATGGAGAATCATCAAGCATAAGCTTGGCAGATGGAATGGAATGCTTCTTGGCGAAGGAGCTCAAGACCATCTTGAGTGCAGAAACAATGCTTGGATTGGCTTCAGTAGCAAGCAATTTAAGGGCTCTCTTAACAATTTCTTCTGGTTGGAAAATGTTGTCAGCATTGTAGATGGCTCCCAAAATACTCACAGCCAAGTGTGGATCACTGCTTCTCATTTCTCTGGAAGCAGTAATACGATCTAACATTTCAAGCAAAGTATTGGCAGCATCTCTTTTAACTGAAGGGCTAACCGAATCTCTACTAACCAAAGATCCAAATGACAAAATGGCTGCGTCTCTGATCATTGAATTAGCTTGGGCACTGTACTTTAAGAATAGAACATGAATCTTACGAATGCTAATGTTGGATGGTTGTCTTAATCCAGTGTTGAGAGCAAGAATTGCATGGAATAGCAGCTCATTATTCAAAGTTGGTTGCTTTTCAGCAATAGCATAATCAATAAACTCATTGACAAACATTTCCTCAAAGTGTTGAGATCCAGATAAAATATAAAACAACTTGCTTCTCATAATCTTGTCATTGTTTTGTCTCACCAAGTTGATGTGTTTGAGAAGGACCGACTTGACCATATCGAGAGAAGAAATTACAACAGGTGCAGAGCTAGAGAAATACTTGACGAGTGCCTTCAAAGTCTTGTGGTGTTTGATCAATGGTTCTCTGGATTCTAAAACTGATTGAATCATGACAGAAGGATCTTGGCTTATAGTAGGTAACTTATAATCTTGCAAAGACAAGCCCGCAATAACATTCTTTCCAGCTTCAAACAATGTAGACTTTGTATAATTGGCATTGTTAATGGGTGAAATCTTTGTGAATGATTCCAATTTTTGTTGGTTTGCTAAAACAATAGTTAATGAGCCAGCACTTCTCATATTCATATCAAAACCAGTGGAATTGGTATAATATTGAGATCTCTTCAATGCATCATTTCCTAATTGCATTGAAATTGCGTTGGTAATTTGTGAGGTGGATGTTTGCATGATATAGCCAGATGCATGAACAACTGTTTGAGAAGAAGCTGAGATTTGGACATTGTTTGATGTAACTTGAGCATCGGAGAAGGAACGGAAGTTGTTTTGGCTGAATTGCTTGTTCAAAGTCAACACATTACTGCTTACACCTTGATAATTGCTTGTATGAACACCCACTGGATCTTGCTCCAAAACACCGTTGACAACACTTTGAGTGACATAGGTTTGGAAAGCAGTGATGGCACTGAGCTTTACGTTGACAAAGTAGAGAGAGTCATCACTCTCATACCTTTGGTTTGGAAACATCATCACAGTTTGGAAAAAGAAGAAGGATTGATTATACGGAGTTACACGAAATTAAATAAAGAGCTTCAAATAATCATTCAGACCACTTACCACACGTTGGTGATTTGTCCATTAGGCAATTGTTGGAAGTACATGTCATAGCCTAATGGTTCAGCATCTCCCAAAGAAACAAGGCTTGTTTTTGGTTTTCTCTTCAAGCCAGCAGCAGATGATGTCAAGCGAGTCTTGCTTCTCAATGCTTCTGGCACACTTTGACCCACACCCACTTCAGTATTGAACATATTCATCACGAAAATGAATGAACCATCGTTATTAATTTGATCACATCGGTGGACATAGGTCGAATCCAAGGTTGAGGTGGTTCCGTTGGTGGTCTGACCCTGAGTTTGAACAAAACCACGGGCGTCCACGGTTCCATGTAAATTGAAAACAAATTCTTGTCCGGGTTGATAGGAAAGTGAAGTTGGAAGAGCTTGGGCAAGAGCCAGAGCCATGAGGGTCATGATGACACCTACAAAAATCATCAATTCGCGAAGAGCCATTGCATGCGGTTGTACTGAAAATCGATTCGATAACACGTCGCAACGAGACTCAAAAATAAATTATTCGTTTTTTTGAGATATTTTTAATGAGAAAGGTTGTAATGAAACACTCCGAAAGGGAAAGTCCGATCTTGGTTCTTTGGTTGGCCTCCTCGTGAGATGGATATTGAAACAGAGCGAATGAAATGATATTCTATGAATTGATGGAAGTGGACAAACGCAATGTAGTTTCGCCAAGTGACGGTCCCCATTCCTCACATTTCCAAACTTTCTCCAATTCATTCTTTAAAAGGGCAACAGAAAATCTTTGCGTAACGGCGGAACAACAAGTTCTGATCAGAACTTGAATTCATGAATCGGAACAAGTTCCTTTCTCATCACGAATTCTGAAAAAAATGTTGTGGACATGTTTTCTCGCACGACCTTCCGCCAGTTCTTGCCTCGCTGGTGTGAACTGTGTGAATGGGTCGTTTGTCCTTTCACTCCTGTTCTTCTTTGCGTTCCTATTGCTAAACTTGGTAAATGCACAAGGCAATAATGATCCTCTCCTCGTTTCCACACAACAAGGAAGAGTGAGAGGTTTTTATGCAACTCCCTCTGTGAGAGCATTCCTTGGAATTCGATATGCAGAGAACACTGGTGGTTCCAATCGTTTTAAGCCTCCTGTCGAATTACCTACCGTGTATTCCTCTGAGATATTCAACGCTACTTCTTTTGGAAACGTCTGCCTTCAGATTCCAAGTGACAGTAACTATTCACAACCTCTCTCAGAAGATTGCTTGTTTTTAAATATTTGGACTCCAACCAACATTTCTAAACCATTACCTGTCTTTTTCTGGATTCATGGAGGAGCATTCAAACAAGGTTCAGGAAACATTTACAGTGGAGATTATTGGGTGCAAATTGCTCAAGACACTAATGCTCCCATTGTGCTTGTTACCATCAATTATCGACTTGGTATTCTTGGTTTCTTGAATGATGACATGTTTTTAGCAGAGAATGGTAAGACCTCAAGCAATTGGGGAATGCTCGATCAAATAGCTGCTTTGAAATGGGTGAGAAACAACATTGCCAACTTTGGTAAGTAATTCTTTTGGACATTGACCCATGTGCTAGAGAATTGACTTTCTCCACACATGGCGTTTTTAATTTCAATCTTCTTTTTGATTCCATCCATTTGGAAATATCTCTAGGTGGTGACGTGAGTAAAATTACCATTGGTGGTGAGAGCGCTGGTGGAGTTTCAACCTTACTTCACTTGGCCACACCTCTTCTCAGCACCTCCGATTTCAAAAGTGCCATCATTCAAAGTGGATCTGCACTTCCTTGGAACATTCAATTGTCGAAACAAGAGGCTCAATCCTACGCTGCCAATCTTAAAGCCAAATTTAACTGCAATTCACCTTCATGCTTGAGAAGTTTGGATGCCAAGTGGATTATTGATTATCAAGTCAATGCCACCACGGAAGAGTACAAACCATCGATCGATGGTTATTATCTTCCTTCTCCATTCTATGAGTATATTAGTAATGGCACTTACAAGAAGGTCAACCTGTTGATCGGTACGACTCGAAATGAAATGACAGGATTCACATGTGGTGTTCTTCCTACCAATATTACCGTGACAGGTCAGAAAGCTGTCATTGCACAATATTTTGGCTTCTCCAATATGCAACAAATCCATCCTCAATTGCACAATTATTACACATTATCTCAATATCCCAACAATTTGGTATACCTTAATGAAATTTTGAGTAATAGTGTTCTCCAATGCAATGCTCGATATTTGGCAGGAGTGTTTTCATCTCTCCTCTACAACACGTATCTGTACATTTATGATTATCACTTTTCATGGGTACCAGCATGTTTTCAAACTGCTCATGCCGCGGAATTACCCATGCAATTTCCAAGTACTTTAAATGTTAGATCTAATCCCTACACCTTTACTTCTGTGGAAATGGAATTCTCGAAACAAATGATCATTTATTGGAATAACTTTGTGGTGAGTGGCAATCCTAATAAGAATGCCAACAACCAAATGAATTTGCAACCCACCCAAACAGTATGGCCAAGATACAGTGTGTGTAATGATACTCTCTTAATCTTACAAATCACAAATGGACAAGTGAATCCAGTGGTCAATGATACCATGTTTTCAAAAGTATGTCCTTTTTGGAATGTGTATGAACAAGTACCTGTTTTGAAATGCAATACTTCACAACCCATTCCACCAACTCCACAACCTTCCCCATCTCCGCAGGTGTCTCCCAAACCATCCTCTCCAAAGCCATCTCCGAAACCTTCATTGAGCTTTAAGAATAACACTTCTCAATCACCTAAGGCTAGTCGTGGAGTCGTCAATGAGACTACTGTGAGCAGGATCTCTCTATGCAGTGATGTAATGGTTGCAATGATGATGTTGGTAATGATGACTTTCTGGAGTTTTGTTCTGTAGTTTCGTAGTTTCTAAATCAGGTTTAAATAAAAATACAAAAAATGTCTCAAATGGAACTCCAAGATTCGCATCACCAGCACGATGGTGAGGGTCATCATCCACACTCATCAGAGAAACTTAAAAAGAGAATGACTTATAAACTTCATCCAACGTACATGGTGATTAGAACACATACAATTAATCAATCGGATGATCCCGATCAACCTCTCATTCCAAAATGGAGTGTACCTTTTGAATATCGTACTCCAGATATGAAAACAGTGCATCTGGCTTCTCGGAATTGTTTCTTTGATAGAAGACATGCTTTAGACTCTCAGGAAGGACAATCTGCTTTGGAAAGGCATATTCAAGTGGAAGAAGAAAGAAATCAAACTCTTTTTCAAAATCCCTATTTATTGTTTAGAATACCAGGAACAGATCGAACATTATTTATTGCATGTATAGTGTTATTGTTGCTACAATTCGGATTGGCTTGTGGATTGATGGTTTTCGACTTGGCTGGTCTAATTTTCCCAGAAGGATATGAATTTAGCATGTTCGGAATTTCAAGTAGAAAATTATTGTATTCTGGAAATGTTGCTTTGAATGCTTCAGGATCTACAGCCGCTCGAGTTGTGTATTTTATTATGAATTTCGCAGTGACGTTTTTGGGAGTTTTGTGTTTGATAGTTGTCATGTTGTCTAACAAGAGGCTTCAGCAATCAAATTCCAACAACAGCCATAACAATGCTGCGAATGATACATCACGCCTAAGATTTTTGACCAAGTACAGAGATTGGATTTTGAGATTGTTTGCATTCTATATTGTATCACTGACTGTATGCATATTGGTTACTGCTTTATTCTTTTTGAGCTCTGGATTACACTCTTTCGTAGTATTGGCTGTTCAATATGTGGCTTGGAGTTTTAGTCATAAGGCCAAAGAACGATCAATGATCACCTATTATACCACAAGCTCCTTTTAAAGTTGCACATGATTTGTATTTTAATTGTTGCGAGGTAAATTTCTATGTGCCACCAAATAGGAGGCTTGTTTTTCAAAATAGGACGAATCCATTTGTCTATAAGGAATCAGCTTGCGACAATTTTCGTCGTCTGTTTTTGAAAGAGCTTGAATGATTTTGTGAACATGATGATTCTGAAGCTGACTTCCAGAAGAAGGAAATTCATAACCAGACTTGAAAATAGTTGCTAGTCTTAATAAATTGTCGTCTGGTGTCGCACTGTTGTTCATCTCTGTTAACTTCTGTTTCCATTTTTGATAAGGCACACATGTCATCTTTTCCATGCTTGCTTGCTCGTTCTTGGATGCTTCAACTTTGGCAGCACTTTCCAACAGATCACTAAATTGCACGACATAGTTTTCAGTATTCGCCAATTCAAATAATTGATATTTCACAATGTTACTGTTCTCAAGAGTTTCAACATAGGTATGAAAATATTGACTCATGCAAACAATAACCTTCGAAACAATATTCACAGGGATGACATTTAAGCTTCTTCCTGTTTTTGGATAACATCTCATGGCAAAACATCCAAGAACAAGTCTGTTGACCCAATCTGCTAAATTTGAAACTCCATTTTCAGAATCTGATCCGATCATTCCAGGTCTAAATATACAAGCTGGATAACCAAGTAAGCGAACTTGTTGGATATATTGTTCCGAAATAAATTTTGTGCTGTTGTACCCATTCGTATGCTCCAAATGGGTCTTTAACTGTTTCAAAACATAAACTGCATGAGCAGTCAAATCTTGTATCATTTCCTCTTTTTCTGTGGAATGATTCATTTGAGTTGGAAAACCAAAAGACGAAAGGCCACTCTGCAATACTCCAACTGTTGAAATTAAAACGATTGGAGTCATTGATGAATACTCATCATCATGTGAAGAAAGTATAGCAAGTTTAAGAATTTCCAAGGTAGAACCTGCATTGCTTGGATATAATTGAGAGTACGACATGACCGAATTCACATAAGCTCCATTGTGATAAATTAATTCAATTCTTGAGGCAAGCTCATGAAATTGAGTTTCTGAAAGACCCAACAAGGGCTTTGAAAGATCACCCTGCAAAGCAATAATATGCTCTTCATACACATCTTTCCACAACATGAATTCTTGCATTGTTTTCTTAACTCTCTTCATTACTTCAAGATTATTTTCAATCGAGTTCAACAACAATGGACTTTTCAATGAGCTTGTTTCTTCTTCATTCTTTTTCACTTCTCTCCTTACAATGCAAAACACTTTCACCTTTTTTTTTGATTTTAAAATTTCTTCCAATAAATCTCTCAAAATAAATGCACCTAAAAATCCAGTACATCCTGTCAATAGTATGTCTCTCTCTAAATCACAAATGTGTTTGATTTTTACTTTCCTTTGAGATAATTCAGCAATTTCTTTCATCATTGAAGTTGGTAATAGTAATTGTTGTTTCCAATCCAATCCTTCTTGATTAAGATCACAATAGGGAGAGTTCTTTTCAGAAATGAATTTCGAAACTCTCTCCACTACAGAATCAATGTCTTGATCTTTCTGTGAAAAGAGGAGTGAAAGTGGAATTTCCATGTGATATTTGTTTTTGAGAATTCCTGAAAATTTAACAGCATGCAAACTGTCAATTGCCTTAAAAGTACCACGACTGGTGTCATTACTCGTGGTAACATTTTCAGTGGTAGTACTTTTCAACAAAATATCTCGAATTTCGTCAGTGATTCTTTGTGTGTTTTTTTCCGTGGTGGGGTCGATTTTTTCATAGAGTTCTTCTAATTGATTGAAATAATATTTTTCACATTCAAATCTTTTCACTTTCATGGAAGGAGTCAACAATTTGTCTGGATCGAATGGTTCAAAATCGATAATGATATCTTTTGGTATTTCATAGGGAAGTAGTGAACCTTTCATTGAAACCTTTTCAATTTCTTCTAAAAGTAGTTTCTTAATCTTTTCATTGGATTTGAGAATATTCTTTTCTTCGTCAGTGAGAGGAGAAAGATCATCAAGTTCATTGTTCTTAATTTCATCGATACGAGTGTTGTTTTGATTCGAAGAAAATTCTAAAATTCCTTCAGAGATTGCAAATTTCTTAACGAGTGTTGCATTTGGAACTATAACAGCAAGTAAAAAGCTTCTCTTGATATTTCCATACACATATGCTTGAAAAATGTATTTGGATGAAATGAGAATGTCTTCAATTTTGGCTGGTGACACAAATTCTCCTTGTGCCATTTTGAATATATTTTTAAGTCGATCAATAATTCTCAAATTCTTTGGACCTAGCTCTTCCACAATGTCACCCGTGTGAAGCCATCCATCATTATCCAATGCGAGATTGGTCAATTCTTCATTCTTGAAATATCCTGCAAACATGGTTTCTGTTTTCACACAGAGTTCTCCTCTAGGATAGGGTTTATCTCGAATCGAGTAATTCATCTCAGGAACATCAACTAATTTGTAATGGACCGATTGATGCACTCGTCCATCATTCATAATTCCTCCAGCCTCAGAAGATCCCATTCCATCACTGACATGACATTTAAAACAAAGAGACAAGAAATCTCTCACTTGACTACTACTCGATGCTCCTCCAATAATAATTGTTTGTAATCGACCTCCAAGCATTTTTCTAAAATCAGCCATGACTTGTTCCTCAATTTCTTTTTCACTCTTATGCATTTCATTGAGTTGTGAATGTTCCAACTCGACACACTTTTTAAACTCATCATAGAGAACATTGTATATTCGTGGTGTTGAAGCGAGAACTGTTGGTCGACACAATTGAATGTCTTCAAAGATGTGAGAGAATTCTCGAGTGAAAATTCCAATTCTTGCTCCATCACAAATTCCCATCATGACATGTTTACGATCAGACATGTGAGCCAATGGACAAAAAGAAAATAACACTCTTGGTACTTCCGTTCTAAAACCACTCAATTCTCTTCTCAGAGATGAATCTTTGACCATAATACCTTTTGGCTGACCAGTGCTGCCACTCGTAAAGACAAGTGTTAATAAATCATCTGGATGATTCAATGTGTTTAAAATAAATTCTTCATGTTCTAGATAGATCCAAAGTTTGTGGATGGAAGAAGAGCTCTTATTTTGAGTTAAAATTGTTTCATAATCTTTAAAGTATTTAGAATAGCGATTCTTTTTCACCTTATTGATTTTGTTTAAATATTCACATAGAATGGTTTTACCCTTTTCAATGACATCAGAGAGTGGAATGACATTTATCTTCGAGGAAGGTGAATCATCATTCCAAATGGTTTGTCTAAATTTTTCAACACTTTCATTAGGTTCTGACCTTTCATTCATCACAATAATATATTTCACAGACTTTGTGTGCTCTTTCGCAATTTCAATAAAACGATCAATGAATTCTGGCGTACAAATGACAGCTTGACTCTCTGTGAGTTCAACAATATGTCTCATTTCGTCATTGGTTTGAGCAAAGTGAATGGGAGCCAATACAATACATTTAAATAAACAAGCATAGTCACACAAGTACCAATCCAAATTATTCTTTCCACAAATGGACACAAAACATCGTTCTTTCCATGACTTGTCATTAGTGCTGTACTTTTTTGGAACTTGTAGAAAGTATTCCAAACCCAAAGCAATACAACAAATTAAGTGAAACACTTGTTCATATCTCATCCACTCATACTTGTCAGCGGAAGAATTCAATAAACCAAAACATGGTTTTAAACGATTTTCAATAAAAGATTTAAACATGATCTTGTTGACTCGATCGGATTCGATTTTCTTTTTCATATCAAAATAATGTGCCGTTTCGGGAATAAAGAACCCTAAATCTTCTTCCACGATTTGTGCAAATTCATTGATATTGTCATCATCAACGTCTACACTGTCATTGTTCGTGGATGATGAATTGTGTTTTTTCTTTTTCAAAACACGATCGTAGCACTTATTGAAACATGTTTCACAGAGATCGAATTGTTTTTCATTGTAGTTGACGTATCGGATGGTGTTGGATTCAATCACACATGCACACATGTTACAAATCCATCGATAGGTCACTTCATCAACACTCGAACATGATGTTGTTCCGTTGTTGTTGTTGTTATTATTGCCAACACTGAATAGAGATTTCAACTTGGAAAATATTTTTTTCGAAAGAGTTTGTTTTTGACTGTTTCGGTTGGATATTAATGTGTGTATTTGAAATAATAATAATTAGGAATAAGAAACCTAAATGAAAATATCATCGATGGTTGTCTCTGATGAAAATCTTGAAAATTCCATGAGTGACTTGAACTGGCGATCAAATATGCCTACATAGAGCGATTTTCCTCCATCTTTCTTTGAAAAGTCAACACCAACAATTTCACCATAGAAATCTAACAATTGTTCCTTCTCAAAATTACTATTTACATCATAAATATGCACAAAATCAGCTGGTTCTGCAGAGGCAAGAAATTGGCCATCTTCTGAATATCTTACAGATCTTACTGCTCCAATAATTGCAGGTATACTATACACTGGAGAGGAAGGCCTTCGTATGTCCCATACACACAACAATCTATCTTGGCTTCCAGTTGCAAATTGATATTCATTGGCTGGATTCCACGAAAGTGCAAATGAGTAATCCATATGTCCTTTTAGTTTCATCATGGAGGATTTAGTACCTTCTTGGTCACACACCACAACATCATAGGTGTCACCAATAACTGCCATCAACTTTCCATTTTGTGACTGCATAGCAGCATTGTTAATACAGTATTCAAAGGATACAGCAGATAGAAGATCCATAGAAGGTAAATCAAATTTTCGGACCACTCCATCATTGCTTGAAACTAGAAGAGTATTACCTCTTATATCCATGTAATTGGTTATTGAATTGCTAGCGGAAGATATTCTTCCATTATAAATAATTTCTCCCTCGTTTTCCAAGCTAGTAATCACAATTTCCCCTTTAAATCCACCAACAGCTAGGTATGGGAAGGAAGCATTAAGAGTAGAAATGAGAATTCCTGGAATTTGATCATTTCCCATGTATGATAAATCTTTGATAACACCATGTCCTTTACGAAGATCTAATATTTTCCTTTCAATCGTTATTTTGCCGTTGGATTGTTCTGTTGTTTTTGTAATTGTGTTCCAATGGTAAATGCTGTAATCATTCATGTAAAATACATCTGTTGGAGAGGTTGTAGCCAATAAATGTCTCAATTGAAAGTGTGTAAATGAGCAATGTGTTTGCCGAGAGTTTGATCGGAATGAGTAAAAACAAGATCGTTCTTCCTTTGGAAAATGAAGTTTTTGTTCAATATCGCATAAATCTCCAACAGGCTTGCTCTCATCGGCATTCTTCTCCGTACCGTGTTTGTCGTAACCTTTAATTCTTTCAAGTCTATAATGTGATCGCGATCGTTTAATAGCAACTTCCCATCCAATTCTCTGTATATCTAAGCCATATATTTGTGATTGATAAGAAGTGGTATCGATTTCCAAGCTTTGTTGTGTTTTAAATTTGAGTTTTCTATCAAATTGATCAACAGGACCCGGTTCGAGGTCATAGTTCGATGATGATGAGGATTGTTGGTTTGGCATTTTTTTTTATAAAATGTAATTAAAAATGTTATAAATAAAACTATTATTATTATAATTTTTAATCGATTTAAAAATTAATTAAGCTGTTTTAGCTTACAGTTTGAGCTTGAATCTTGCCCTTTGAACAAAGTTGAAATCATTACAATCCTGTGATTTGCCATACTCTGTACGCAAGATGGAGAAGAAAACTCTCTCTTAACATGTCCATCAATAAGGTCATCATCATTTTGAGGAACAATTTCATGGATGCCAGAATGTTCATGCAAGCCACTTTTCACTTGGTCAACACGTTGCAAAGCCCATTCCTTTAAACTGGTCATGTGTTCTTGTGTTTTAATAACACTCAATTCAAAGGGAAATGTCACAAGTTCACGTAATCGAGTGGCTCAAAGCTGATCCGTCTCAGTGAGCTGCTTCTAGTTTGTTCTTGAGATGACATGATGAATTAAAGTATGAGGAATGATGCAATTGGTATAACGAGTCATGGTCATTATAAATTTGAGCTGTGAAATTTCAGGTACTGCCATCAAATATTGTTGCAATAATGAGGAGTCAGGATCCAATGCATTCCAGTCCAAATTTTGTTTGAGATTTCAAAAGCATGGAATAGATTTTTGAAATAAGGATAAATGTCCACATTTGGAAATGTATGCAATATGTTTTTGAAAAGATTGTTAACATTGCTTGAATTTTGGTGTAGCGTGATCTTGTTGGAATTCTCAACGCATAACACAAAAATATGTTGAGGCAATACAATACAATCATGCACAGAGTCCTGTGGATTGTTTTTACATTGTTCATGAATAATCTATAAAAATCCTATATATAGGTTTTCTGTGACTTTCCAATTATCATAACGTTTGTAATTCATTTCGAGATAGTTGTCGTAAATATCAAGAACTGATCGATTTTGTTTTTTAAATACTCTTCTCATCAAACGAATGCATTGTTGATGGAATAGAAATGGTAGCGGCTCATCATCAAAATCACAGCGACTGATAAATTCTTCAACTTGGCTTTCATCACGTTCTACTGGGCTATTAGGATTATAAGTGGAATATGACATAAGATTGACGGAATCTGGATATAAATAATTATAGAAATGATCCAAGTTGAATTTAAAAAATTTGAACTTGTCATTCAGTAAAATGTTACATATGGTGTCATGGTTCAAACCAAGTCTCCCAATGGGACGAGCGCAATTATTTGTTGTGCAACTACTATTGTGCGAAGTTCTTGAGATTTTGCCTGAGTGTCAATTTGCCTTTTACCCTAACTACTTCATGTACATCTTTAAATATGAATTAATGCTTTACGTTTTGAATCGCATGAATCATTATTTAAATCGCAATCCAATTCAACATCTGTTGTTGTCACAAGAGACTGCCAATACCATATTCACTCGCACTGTAATTACGAATTTCAAAAGACAATTCCTTGTTCTCTCTTTCGACGGATTTACACACTGACACAGCACATGGCTGCATTTCTTGAATCAATAACTTTTTCACAAAGATTGGTAATTTGCTTCTTCGAATTGTCTCAGGAATGGTATTAAAAAACAGTCGACCACACGTTGGATTAGAAGGAAAGGCATCGAGGATAGCAGCATTGGTGTAACGATCGACTTCTTCCAAAATATCAAACGTTGCTAAGGCAGCTTCTGATTTGTTAAGGAATGGTGGGTTTTCTTGCAATATCATTCCCGATCGACGATCCAATAAGGCCTTCAGAGTCATTCGAGTCGGAAAACAAAACGATGTACCACTACATAGGACCACTTCTCCACTTTCTAAAGAGTTCGAACCCATAACTATAAGTTGTGCTGTGAAAGAAAGAAGCTGTCCTGAGTGTTCCGAATGTTCTCGATAATCTTTAAGAGTGCAACCTGCTCTTATGGGAAGTGTCAAATCTGTTGTAAAAAGATCGAAATGAACCGTCACCACTTTAAAGAAGTGAGTTGGAGAGGTACTGATGGACATGTCATTAATCAGTGGAACTCTTTCGTCATTGGTTGGAAATACCTTCACAAATTGACCTCTAATTTTTGCACTTGTCTCGTGGCTGTTGGTGTGCAACACAAATCTTCCATTCTCTTCGAGCCGACCACTCACAAGTGCAATCTGTGCAACAACACGAAGTGTGTCTTTTCGTTTAGAAATACTATTAATATTTAGAATGGTTGCTGTCAAGTTGTGGCCGCCATTGTATAGTGCTCGATATTTTTCAATGATATGATTAAGAAATGTTTCACCTGTGATGTTGTTTTTTATCACTCCTTCTAAGGTCTTGGAATTAATGATAGAAATATAGTCTGAATTTTGAGCTTGAAAACCAATCCTTCTACATATCATTTGTAACAAGGGTTTTAAAATATCAATCACATGCTTGATATGAGGAATTTGTGACTCCTCACAATTACAAACATCCACTAAAAACGAAACGTTTTTCAGTCCCATCGTGAAACATTTGAGCAATGTTACTTTCAGTCTCTTGATGAGGTCAATGTTATTTTCTTCTTGCTGCTCAATGTTAACTGTGGTTGAAAATTCTGAATAAGCAGAAGCGTCAATATAAATGGCAGCATTGGAAGCAAAGCCCATGTTGGTGTTTGTCCAATCTTGGCAAAGAAAAATTATATTTTTGTCTTCTGAATATTTCACTTGGTAACAACTGTTTTTCAGTGCCACAATGTTCAAGTAATATTTCTTGCAAAACTCTCCATCAAGAATAGAGTACAGCTGTCCGTCCCATACACCTTTTTTCAATCCTTCGTATTGGCTTTTTTCCTTCCAAAATTGTGGAGCATTGGATATTTCATAAAATCGTTGACATGTCATCATGACGCTCAATAGCGATGTGTTGTTCACAAATAAAAATATGTAGTGGATAATTTCATCTGGAAGGAGCTCGAAAAGAGAAGGACCAAATGTTTGATATGATGATGGAGTGTTTTGAAAATTTGTTTCCAAACTGTGGGAATGGGAATACCGAGAAAGATTTCTTAAAAACAAATGTAATGATTTCGATCTTCTGGAATGCAATCTATCAATATAGGAATTCAATAGGGTGGTATCGGTGTCATTATTACGGTCAATGTTGCTCGGACAAGTTTTTGTGTCCACAGAAAATTGGCTTGAAGGAGTACAACAATATACCACAGGGTTATGTGTCGTTGTGATCATTTTTTGGGATAATGACCCAAGTTCATCATCTAATGGTTGGTTAATAATAACTGATCCTTCAAGCTCGATAATGGACCTTACCGACCACCACAAACGTGTGGATCTCCTTTTAATTGGTAAATGAACTAATGTCACATGAGAGCCTTTGAGGTCACAGATGCATCCAGACAATCTTAAAGGTGGAGAACGAAGATGAACTTTGCAAATTGAATCACCTTTCAAAGCATCGTTAAATATGGCAACATTATTCATCAATATCATCATTCCCAATACCTAACACTACTATATCGCCTTCTAACGATTTAGTTACTCTCTCAAATCGATCTTCATCAATTGTACCTGAATTCAACAACCTATACAGGACACATTGAAAACATTCATCTCGTGAAAGACCATCGCATTCATCTTCACTTAACTCTTTCACACTATTTCGAAAAATAATTTTTTTCAAATAATTAAGTTGTTCATAATTTGACCAAGAATAAAATGCTTCGAAAGGCGATCTGTTGTGTGTAAAAGAGTTTGTGCATAGAACATGATTACTATCCACACAAAATGTTTCTCTACCACAATCTGTTGTGGATCTGGTTAAGGAGATATATAAAGGATAACCATAGCCAAGAATTATGATATAATTCATTTGAAAGTTATTGCCACAGTTTTGAATATTCTCAACAAACACCTCCTTAAATGTACCTCTCATCAGTTTTCTAATTACATGGTCAGTGATTACAACATTCTCAGATAAATACAAGTCATTATTAAAAAATTTCGTTTTTGCATTATATAATTGAAGACGATGTTTTTCTAAAATCATCTTTTCAATAATATTGTCAAGCAAAGATGGCTTATGTTCAGTAAGGTACTGGTTTAAATTCGAAATTGTTTCGTTATAAAAGTAAGACCTTCTTTTTAGAATGATGTACCACTTTAACACTTTCCAAGCGCTGTCTAATTGATGGAATTCATGCAACTCATCATCATGAATGTCCTTTGATAAGTATCGTTTTCTGCCTTTCTTTTTTCGTTCTAAACTGCGATCAAAGTTTGTCAATAAGACAACCTCGAGCATCTTCTTTTGTTCCGAACTCAAATTAAATACATTTTGAAGATAAGAAAATGCAAAGTGCTCTGAAAAGAATACACTGTTCCATCTAGAGCACAGAGTAAATAATTTACAACCATTCCAATCGTCCCAATGATGAAATTGAAGAATATTGTGAATAATCACTTGATCATCAAACATTTTTTTGTAAAGAATTATTAATTAATTATAAATTAAGAATTATAAATATGACCGAATCACCAAATCATTGAAGATCACTTTTTCATCCCGTGCTTCGTAAACAAAAGTTCACCCAGAAACAATCGCAATTCATATATTTCAATACACAATCGAAACTGGTTTTTAGCTGGAGTGAGATTCGCTTGGATCCAGCCAAAACTGCTTTCATAAACATAGGGATTTATCAGGGATAAAAGAAGGTAAGTCAGGCTCGAAGAAACTCCACAAAACGAACTCTACTGCTACTCTATATATATACAATCGATCGAGGACATTGCACAACCTTACTGCTCTTTTAGATTCAATTCGCAAATCAAATTTCGCAAACTTCCTTTTAATTCCTTTGAGTCACAAGGAAATGTTCTGTTGAAATTGGAAAGACCCATCAAAGCTTCTCGAAACTTTCACGAAATGGTGCTATTTCTTATCACTCGCTAAAAACAGTCATCACGAAACACAGTATGCTTCCCGAAGGATCCTTGAGCGTTGCTGAGAGAAGAAAGCAGCTGCTCGAGAAGGGACTCTCGATAGGTTCAGTTGGAGCCAACAGCAACACCAAATCCACCAACCACACTGTCTCTTCATCATCTCTTTCAAACGTTTCTGATAATCATCCTAAGAAGGAATCAAAAACTTCTTTTAAGCCCCGAGAACAAAAGGTAGCATCCAAACCATCCATTGATTTTGAACATTTGGCTCCAGGAAGCGTTCCTCCACCTCCTCCTCTCCTTGGAGAATCTTCCCGTTCGGAAGTTAAGGTTGATGATGTTGGGGCTGTGAAGGCTGCAGAGCCTTCCAATTCTTCGGTGGCTGAAACAAAACCTTCTTCTCCATCACTAAATTCCGAATCAACCAATGAAGTTGGGGTGAGTCCCAAGACACAATCTCCCACCATGAGAGGTAAAACGGAACACTCATCTCATATTTCCATGAGTGCTCCCACCAGCTGCTCGTCCTCTCTTCTTCCCAACAATGAAGTGGTGGTCTCGAATTTGGTGTCCAGCGTTCAAACAAAGCCTCCCAGCAAAATTGAACCTCCTCTTCAAACGAACACACTCTCTTGCAACAACAAACCCAAACTGGAACAAACAACGGAAACTTGCCCGGAGACAAGTAGCAATCCTAAGGACGAGGATGAAAACAAACCAGTGTCTCGAGGAAACCGTGTTGCATCAAATCAAAAGGAAAAGGCTCAACCAAGTTCGAATTCACCTCCAAAAAAAAAGATTGATCTCTTCATCATCAACTGCTTCTTCTCATCCGTTACTTAACAACAGTGAGAGCATCAATAAGAATACGGAAAAGAAAGATCCTCCCATTGTAGTAATTTGTTCCAACAATAGAAGCAACATCATTAATACCATTCCCAATACGAGTTCCGCAAAGAATTTGTTAGTGAAAGGACTTGCTTCCTCTCAATCAACACCTACTTCAACCACAAGTACGGCATCACAACCCCAGCTTTCTGAGACAGTTGTTGAAAACAAAAACACCATTTCGAATCCAAATTATGTTTATCCAAATATGATTGATAACAAAATGAATCCTAACTCTAACGACTTTAGAAATAATTCGATTCAGTATCCATCAGCTCCTTCTTTTGAAGAAATAGAACATCATTTTCCAGAGTATCAACCTACCATGATGAAAACAACATTCAGTACATCGGATATTGCTGTGGAGGCTCAAATGCAAACCATGGCACGAAACTCATTTACTCCAATTTCCGACACTCTGTCGTCATCATCAGACAATTCTGAGGATTACAAAATGTTCACTCAATTCAAAGAATTTATTCAAATCCAACAACCTCAAAGTGTACACATGAACGAAGAACAGCTCTACGAATTGTTTTTATCATTTAAAGAAAGGTATGAGGCACAAAATAATGTAAACAGACAACAAGCAACGGGTCAAATGAATCCAAACATGCTACCAGTCAATAATCAAATCCCACAACAACAACAACCTATTTTACTGAATAAGAGTAGAGTTCCTGTTGGTGGCAGAAGGGACTCATCATCGACTAGCTCCACAAGATCAGCTCCTTCAAATCCTAATGTCCCCGAAAAAAAGAGAGATGGGTTCAAAGATGTTCGACGAAAATACGAAGCACAATACATGGAACAAATACGGCTTCAACAAATTAAGGAGCGAAATAGGGATCATTTTGCTCAGCAATTTCAAGCTCCTGTCATGGATTACAATGCCCTAATACAAAGAGAAAATGGTGTGACGAACAATATTGGAAATCCTAATAACTATCCAGTCGTCAATCCAAACGTCAATTCAGGCGATGTAATAACCAACGGCAATTATATTCCTTTCCAAACCAATCCCTCAAATAATCCCTCAACGACAGTTCCAACGTGGTCAGAATATCTTACTTTTGGCTATTGGAAGTAATAGCAATCCTTCAAATTAATGTCACTCAAGAGGTTGCAGTGTTCATAATTGATGAATGCTTGTAGTTGAGCCTTGATTATTGTTGAATCTCACAAAGACGCTTTACTTTAAATTAGAACATGCTTGAATTTAAGTTGTTCTACTAATTTATACTTTTCTTATTTAAAGATAAATTAAGCTTTATTGTTCAATCATGAGAGAATGTGGCAGGAAGTAGAATGAACATTTCTTCTCGCTAATTGAACATGAAAGATTTATACAATCCTATTTCAGCAGAATAACAAATTAAAACATTTACCAATTTGTTCATTGTTTTAAAAGGTCCACGCTGAGAGGTGAATTTCTCAACACACAACAACAATCAAAAAAAACAAACACCAATCACTGTACTATTCAAAATGGACAACAGAAACACTTTGCAAAAAGGCTACGATGAAATGAAGGATCAATTCAGCACCAGAAAGGATGCCATTTCTGAATCCACCAAATATTCCAGTCAAAAAGATGACACCACTGAAAAAGTGGCTGATGCCCTTGTTCGTCCAAAGGAGGATGTGAAGGAACAAACATGGTCTGAGTCTGCAAAGAACCTTGGTATCTCGGCTTACAACACTGTCTCTGATACGGTCAATAAGGCTTATGAAACATTGACAGGATCTGGTGGTTCGTCAACAGACAGAGAAAGTAAATGAAAAACCTTTGATGTCATGTCATGGAATGGTAACAAACTCGGTTGTGAGGTTGTTCAGAGCAGCATAAAATTTTAGATCAGCAATATATCTTTCATATTTCGATCCTTTGAGTTCAATAAAACCATTCTCATGAATAGCAGAATGTGAGAGGACATTCCTTATTGTGTGTTAATAAATGCAGAGGTCGAACCATCACTTGGAGTTGGCGAGAAGTCCTGCTTTGAAATTGCGCTACTTGTCCTTTGGAAACTCGAAGAAACTCGATTCAGTTCGAAAGGTTTCGTTGCTATTGGGGTCGCATTCATTGAGGAGGAAGACGTTTCTTTGAGTGAATTTTTCTTGATGGTCAAATATTCCCAAAAACAAAGCACATAAAAAGCCTTTTCTCCATAACTTCTCACATATGCTTCCTTATTGAAGGTAATGTACGATGAAACAATGGTCACCATGATTAAACTCGTGTCTAAAAAAATATTTCTCGTTAATCCAAAAAATAATGACAACACGTCAAATCCAAATGCATAGGTGATCATGCTCAACATGGTGCAAAGCCATCCGTAGAAAAACACCACAGCAAGTCCCAACATAAATTTTGTGAAACGATACTCGAAAAGTCCACCCTTATTATTGGCTTTCCTTAATCGGTAATAAATTCTTAATCCATAAAAGAAAAATCCAAACCCAAAAGTTAATATATAAATCAACACTGAGATGGCCATGACTGCCCAAGCATATCCATAATCAGAAACAACAGCAAATATAATTCCAGAGGTTATAATCACCACAATGACAGCTCCATAAAATATGGAAAGAACAGTCTTGTTCACAATCGATAAAGAATTCGATTTTTCCTGTCCCAATTGATTCGATACATCAATGGCATGAGACCTTTTGATGAAATATTTTTAAGATTCAACCAATAGTATTGTCACAAATTATTGACAACATGATGACATCAAATGATTTCATGTTGTCCATCCTTAAATTCTCACAACAACATTTAAAACAACATACCATGAAATGACTAATGCAGAGAAACCACAAACCACCAACACACAACACAACGCTCTAAACAATCCTGCCAAATATCCCTGATAAAAATCAAACATGAATGAAAAATTACACAAAAATCGAAACATGTTTTCAATAAATCCACACAGTGTGGAGAGTGAAAAAAAGACAGGTACTTGAACCGATATATCCAGAAAATGTTTCAAAGAAATGTAAATTTTCATCCCTATGGACTTGTCCATCATGTCTCGATGAATCTTTTGTTTGAATGTGAAAATTCTTTCATGAAATTTTGGAATTTGAATGGTGTAGAGATGAAACAAGAAAATGATGATGAATACACATCCTAAAATGAAAGGCGAAATTCGATAGGAATAAGGAATGAGGAAAACATGATAAAAATCATTGCATTGAAATCCAAAGGACTGTGAAGAAGGATCTTTCTTGTAATGACACCAACAGGTCACTGGAATGTCAAAAGGAATATTCATATCTTGGAAGGATGTCTTGTTAAAAGTATTCATGAATGGTCCAAAGTAATAATTGAGTAAGGATTTTAAAGTTGCTCTTTTCAAAGGATTTTCTTTGAGTTCCAACAAGGTCTGGTTAAATTGATATTGATATTTTGAAAATTGTCTTTTAAAGTATTCTGTTTGGAGGAAATTGACATCAAAGAGTGGTAAATGTTGTAAATTGTTGCCTGATTGCTCATTCATGATGGTTGAAGCACCACAATGTGCATTCAAAATATTATAAAATTGAGATCCAAAATTTTGACGTGACGACGATGAAAATGTCTGACATTGACCATTCATCAATAATTTTCTGAATGCATCCAACGATGAATGATTGCAATACAAACAAAAATTCATGACATGACCGAGTGATGCAATTTGTGTGGTATTGGTTAGATCAATGAGTCTTGTCTGATTTGAACACAAGAGGTCGGAACACGAGAATGATTCTTCTTGTTGAAGAGCATTATTGTACAATGTTTCTTCATCGTGAATCCATGATGATGAGGAAGGAGGAATGGAACAAAAATCCAAGTAAGAAGTATCCAATGTAAATAGGAAAGGAAAATAATAATGATTGACAGGAGGTAAAGTTAAACATTCTTCGGTTGGATACAGTACTGAATTCAAGATGGGCATGGATGATGGGTTGTTGATCATGTCATTGTTCAGAGGTGGTTGTTGTTGTTGTTGGTGATAGAGATGCGAATGAATTCGTTCAGTGGTTTGCTGTTGTGACATGTTGATCCGTGAACTACATCTCACTAGGTGAAGGTCAAACATCAGGATAAATGTCAACAGAGAAAGCATGCCAAGAATTGATAAAGATTTCATGTTGTTTTTTAGAGATGGTTGTGTGAGACTGTCGGCGATTTCTGTCAAGTTCCGTAAATGTGGAATTTTGCTTCAAAAAGGAAACACGTTCAGTTATGGACACATTTACCCGCTCATGTTGTTCGTGGGAGGATCTTTAAACTCTTTTTTCTTATCTTCGTTCGTGGATCCAGAAATGTATGAATAGACAGGTTTTTAGGAATTAAGGATCTTTCACTTATAATTGAGAAAAAAGAGCCTAAAAATGTTAATTTGAAGGTCTTGTTTCATGTCTCAATCAATTCACAAAAGCAAGACTCATTGATCTTACAAATACTCACAAATTGTATCACTCAGTGTTAAGTGTTTTAACTTTTTCAAAGTTCACTTTCAAATTGCAAAAACATCCCCCAAAAGTTTTGGTCATTCTCCAGCTTGAACTCACGATTTCCAATAACTTCTATTTTTGGTTCTAAAAATAACGATCAAAAAAAAGACTCAATCACATTTTTGTAAAAAACACGCACTAAATGACAAGATCACATTGTAAAAGTAATATCAAGATCCAGAGCTGCCGAGGAATGAAATCCGATCAGTGCTTGTTCGGAACGGACATTGCTCCAACAGCAGCATCCTTTAATTTGAAAGGCTTTGAAGATAAGAAGAAAGTCCATCGAAAAACAAACCAAAAATCATTCCGAACGGAAGTGAGAACTACTTTCAATGATTTTAGTCGAATTGATGATTTGGTATCGAATGGTATGGATCAATGCATCTCAAAGAAGAAATCAAAGAGTTTAGCTTTGAAAGAAAAAGATGAAGAATATTACGGTGAGATGGATTTGATGAAAATGAAAAATCTAGTAGCACGTAGAGAATTATCACTCACTCACAATGTTGAAATGAAGAGAGAATTAAGAGACACCATTGAAGATGATTTGAAAGAATTGAAAAAATCTTTGAAAGAAAAAACAGAAACAGGAAATGATTGATCATCTTTTAGAGAAACGATCAAAAAAGTCTGTCGATAAAATCAAGAAACAAATTGAACGAGAAGGAGACGATGAGTTTTTAAAGAGCATTTCAAATGATGTGGATTTAGAAGAGTGGGATGAAACAGATAGCGAGACGGAGAAATTGTATCAAAAATTGAAAACCAGCTATTTGAGAAGTTTTACTCCTGAGCAATTGGAATCTCTGAAAGAATTAGAACGATATGAAGCTACTCAAAGTCCTATGGTCTTTAAACACTACCGAAAGACCAAACTCAAGTAAATTAAACTTGTTTCCATTCACTACAAATTACCTCTGGAAAATGATGTTTGGCTCTCCGACCAATCAAAAGCATTCTCGGAGAAAAAAAATCTAGCAATAGCACAGCAGTTTACAAAACATCTTTTTCCTTGATCAAGCCAATTCACAGAGGGACTCTCTGGGTAATCTCTCAGTGCAACACAAAGACAACACCCGAAAAAAATACAACAGGCCACCCTGCTACAGTTCGTTGTTCGCAAAAATCTATTCTTTGACGTCTTTGAAAATTCTTCAAAAATTCCTTTTTAAGACATATATCAACCCAAAAAAAATGATTCGGAACTGCAATGCTTGGCACACCACCATGCGATGGTTGGGTGCTCTTGCAGTTGCCGTCTTTTTTGTTCAATCATCATTAATACTTTATGTATATTCTCTCTCGTTTTCTAATCACTATCAGAACAGTAAATTACAAATTTCAATTTCTGATGAACGATCGGAACAAGCTCAACCAAAACAAACAAATATCAAACCATACAATGAAGGACAAGCTGGATTGAAGGGACAGTTAGTACCTATAAATTTCTATCAACACCCCATGATAGGAGTTGAGTGTTTCTACGGATACATTTTTCCGAATTGTTCATGTACGCAGCACTTCCCAACGAAAAATAGAGGATTAACAAGAAATTCAGATGATTGTTATGGACCCAAATGCCTCATGATAAGCAGCAACTATCGCGTGCAAAAAGAAATTCTTGGAAATTATTCTTGTGTATTGAGAGAGCAATCCGGTCAAGCTGTTGTAGACTGCAGTCACAACGGCAATCCTAATATGGATAATTTGTTTTACTTTTCAGAATGCAATCCTTATGTACCAAGACCTCATTTAAGTCGATTTTTAAATGTGACAAATGTATTGAACTTGATTGATCATGAATTTAGATTTGAAAGTATTGATGAAAATCGACATAAATCAATTGTGAAATGTCCACTCAAAAGAACTACAGGTACTTATCTTATAGGTTATTCACTTCAAGTTGATGTGCATGTGCATGAAATATCAGATGGTTTTCATGACACAACATGGGTCACCAAAGTTTTCAGTTGTAATTCAACTTCGATTGAAAATTCCTCACCTCTTTCTTCGGGAGATAAATTTTTGCAGTTACTTCTCGTTAAGAATAAATAATTTTTTGGTGGAATGTTACAGCTGTTGAAAAATTTATTATTAAAGTAATAATTCTTTTACAATTTAGCCAATTCATCAATCAAGTCCTTAATCAACAATCCTTCTTCAACCTTAGAAGTGTCTGATTTCATGACTACCCTGGCACCATACAATTTATAATCAGTAGCAGGATCAAATCGCAAATAAACATGACGTGTTTCATTTCCAATATCAGTCAACTCGACTTCTTCCTTTGAATTCTTCTTAGCATCATTCACATACGATTGCAAATCGTCATAAGAGTAGCCATAACTGGTTCCAGATGATCTGACATACATCACACGATCCTTCTCATGCAAATAAACAGCAACATAAGTTCTATCCATTGTCTCAACGTCGTCACAAGAAACAAATCGAACCTTGGACACATCAAGAGAATTGCTGGTTGCAAATTCCTTAACATCAGTCAAATAGAGTGTTTTGTTGCTTTGTTCAACAAAGATTTCTCTCGTCTTGTTGTCAGAATCATAAACAGTAGTTCTAATCACTAATGGCTGAGGAAGAGAATGATGAGCTCTATTTCTTGCGTTGAAATCAATTCCTGGTTTTCCTGTCACTTGGATCGAACCATGAAAGACAAGAGTGTCAGCAGCACCTGCCTTAAAGTTCACAACTGGACTATCAAAGAAGTTATAATCAAAACCACCGGACCATCTTGGATATCTAACTCCCAATTTGACGTTTTGCATTGGAACCCATTCACCACTTCCATTCTTATAGGCCATTTCAATTTTAACAAATGACAACAAATCACTTCCCTTATTCAAAACAGTCAATGGGAATTTGAAATAATTGTTAAACTTTCCATCACGTTCCCATGTGTCTTGAGTGGCCTCAACAAGGCTATTCAAAGCATTTTGATCATCTTCAGCAACCAATAAATTGAAACTAGACTCTCCACAATCTTGATACTTTTGACAGTTCACTCTTGGAACTCCAGTATTCAATTCTCCACCTTCTTTTGAGTTTTTCACACTATTACTCAATAAGGTTTGATAATATTCAAATGGTTTACCTGCAGGAATCTCTGGAATTGGTTCTTCACTTGGAACTCCCATTAATTTCCAATGACCAATACCCAAATATCCTTGTCCATCCTTTCGAATTCTCCAATAAGGAGCACTAATGTTTGGAACCACAAAAGTTGTAGCATTGTCAGTGATACCATTCAATTGCAATGCAGTCTTCCATTCCATTTCATCTTGTGAATACATTAAATAAGCTCCAGTCAAATATTCAGCTCCCCATCCACTTTGAAGCAATGGTTTCACAACACAAGCACAAACCGTATGAGGATGATCAAAGGTAGCTTGGAAGAAGGGTTTGTTGTCATTATTAGTGGCAGCTCCATTTTCTCCCTTTTCATCTTGCAATGCTTCATAGGTGTGAGCAATGGAATCTGAGGAATATTTGGAGGATTGACGAAGTTTGTATGGAAGAGAAACAGCATCCTTTGGAGGTTCAACTTCAACAAAGGCAGTAGAAATGGCATCCATATTTGCCAATTCTACTGGTGCTCCCTTTCTTAGTACTCTGTATTCTGTCCATTTCAATGGAACGAGAAGAAGAGAAGGTGTTTCTTCATTCGAAACCTTAATGTTTAACAAGATGTTCATCGAATTTGCATCATTCTTTCTCGTCAAGACAAATTTAGCATCGACGGACCAATCCAATTCGGAGAAGGTCTTGGAAGAGGCAACTTTGCAATCATAGGAGGCATAGTATTCATCAAGAGAGGTATGAGTAAGAATGGGATGAGAAACGTGTTCAGCATTGTTGTCAGAATTCAACTGTTTCTTCAATTGTGTGAAAATACCAGTCAATTGTGAAGGAGAATACAAGACAAGTCTTGAAACAGAACCTCCATTCAACACTCTCAAATAGAGCTTTCCAAATTGTTGCAAACCAACCTGAATGGATCTCTTGGTGTTGTCTCCAGTGTCAACCTTCTCAAACAATGCCAATGGTTCACTAATGTCCAAAATGGGCAACAGCTTGCGTGACAACAATTTGGGTTCATAAACCATAATGATGTCATCCAATCGCTCATTCAAAGAGTTTGATTGTAAAACTTGGCTCAATACCATTTGATCACATGTTGGATCAATTTCAACTTCATCATGACCAGTCAAGTAGGAAACAAAATCAGCATTTGGTCTTCCCAATCTAGTGGCCAATTCCTTTTTCAATTCTTGCTTCAATTCAGCAAAGGTTAACTCTGAAGGGATTTTGGCAGTATTGATGTAATTGAAACGGAGAGAAGTTACTTCTTGTGGTTCTTGATTTCTCATATTAGGATTGCTGTAAAGAGATCGGTAATGAATTTTGAGTTTGGTAATGGTTTTGGAGGTGGTCATTTTGTGTGGGTCAAGTGTGTGGTATATCGAGGAGCAGTTAGTTTTCGATCTGTTCGATCAATGTGAAGTGAATGGTGGTTTGTAAATCAGTCAGACCAGCTGGTGTGAGTCTTGAAATGAGAGTTTTGAATTTTTTTTGTGAATGTCTTTTAAAGAAACCGAAATTCATAGAACTTATCTTTTTCACACTTGTGGGATTTGATTGAAATTACAATGAATGACCCACTTGGATGTTCCGAACAAGATCTAATCGAACAGTGAACAACGGGACAACTGAAAGCAACCAACTGATTGCAGGTTAAAACTTGGGTTTGAGCTTTCATTGGCTGGAACCCAAAGGTTTCGATTCCGAATCTCGTCAAAGGAGCGAAAAAACTGGCGACAAAAGGTTCGAAACAACTCGATGTTTGAGGTAATGCTCCAAGCAAATATGGGTGCCAAAGGCCACTTGTCACGAGAATGCAATGGCCACAATTGAACCAACACACACGTACATTCAATTCCCTTGTTGGACATCATCCTCTTCGCCATTCTCCATTTTGACTTAAATTCAATCAATTTACTTCGCATTTTCGAGCCAAAAGAAAAAGAGAGAAGAAAGAGCGGTCAATTCTCAAGAAATACCCAATCCATCCGTTCATTCGTTCATTCGTTCTTGCTCATCATTATTCGTGCAACACCACCACCACCACTATCACCACACGAGCTCTCTCTCTCTTGAACAACAACAACAACAACCACATTTCTAACCATCAACAAGTCTTTGAATTTTTCGGAAAGGACTCCTCTTCATCTATTCATTCATTATTGAGAAGGTGGATTAAGGTAAAATCATTCAAAGTCTTTCTTTTTATCATCATCATCATCCATTCATACATTATGAAGAACATGTTCAGAACTGTACCTACGAAACAAGTAAACCGTTTGGCAAAATATCAAAACATAACCACCAAGAAGAACCCACAATCCTATAAGGTTCTTCCGACTGGCGTTTTTGATGCCAAAGTTTCTTCCTTCGTGAATCAAACCACCACATCAGCCGAATTGAAATGTTACTTTTCTACATCTACCTCTCAACAATATGAACCAGAGAGTGGAAGTAGTACTACTTCATCGGGACCACAAATTACCTATGTCAATTCATCAACAAAAGCTCCGAAAGCCATTGGACCCTATTCTCAAGGAGTAAAAGCTAATGGTAATTTCTACGTGAGTGGATGTTTAGGAATTGTAGCAGAGGTGAGTAGTTTTGTTGTCATCTCTAAAGTTTTGGTGATTCACGAATTTGTTGAATGTAATTTCCTTTTTGGTGATGATGCTTACTCACCATAGAGCGGAGAGTTGGCAGCCGAAGACACAGTGACTCAAGCAAGACAAGCTCTCGCCAATTTAAAGTATATTTTGGAAGAGGGAGGATGTAGTTTGAAGGACGTTGTGAAAACAACTGTATATTTGTTGGATATTAATGACTTTCAAGCTGTGAATGAGGTGTACAGCGAATGTAAGTAATATTTCAGAATTGTCAGTTTCTTCATGGACCAACATTGTTAGATTTTTCTGGCGATAACAAACCTGCGAGAGTTTGTTATGCTGTTGCAGCACTTCCAAAGAAAGCAAAAGTAGAAATTGAGGCGATTGCAATTTACAAAGAATAATGTTGCAACAGAGAATGAACTCAATGGATCAAATACAAACTTGCTAAAATGGTGATTGATTTTTCGATGTCTTTCTCCAAAACTTCACACTCTGTTGAGAAGATGGTCATTTCACAAAGGCTAATTCACATCTTGGATCCTATACCCAAGAACCAATAATAAACTCGTTTTACTTTGCTTTCAAACATCAATTTCAAAAAAATGCAAAACAAGATCAAACCCATCGATCTGTTGACAGACCAATTCCAACATTTAAAGAATTATAGTGTCAATGATCGATATACACGTGATAACAACGGATCATCATCACAAAATGAAATGAAAGAGCAACTCGGAACCATCATGGTGAATGTTTCAAAAATTTTGCGTGAAAGTTCAGCCTATTTGGGAATTGTTTCATTTTACGAAGCCAATAGAATGACGTCTTCACAATTTCAAAGTGCTTGCCGTTCATTCACAAAAACATTAAATCAAATATGTCATTTAGAATTGTGTGGCAATCAGATGGAATGGTTCTTGAGTGAAAAATTTACGTCTCTACCACAAGATACAAAATTAATGGTGAACCATTTGTCACAGTCTCTCAGACAATATGATCCAAACGTTTCCTTTGGAATGTCTCTACATGCCATTGAAATGTTTGAATTTGAAAAAATAATCATGTGAGCTCATTGGACAATTTAGAATCTTTACTTTTTAGCAATGGGATCAAAAAAGAAACCTTCAAATTGCAGCACACTCTTCAAGATTTGAATCTTTCCAAGAATTTGATTCAAAATGTACCATTTCAGTTGATTGTAACTTTCTTTTCAGAGTTGACACATATCGATATTGGAGAGAATCCCATTGTGGATTTTGAGGTGACAAGATTGACCTCACAACCAAGATCTTCAACTTGGTTTGGCAGGATGTCGACAAAAGACAATAGTGACGAGGATTTTTCAAACTTTATTCGTACCTCTTCGGTGTCAAAAGTTTCTCATCTAGTACTGTCAAGCATGGATGCTTCGTTATTAGAAAAAACAATCGAAAGCAAAAAGTCTTGTCGAACCAAGTCATCCAATTTATTCAACTTTTACAAAAAGAAAGAACTGGAAACGTTGTCATCGAGTGGAACTTTTTTCCCATTGGATTTTCTATCTTTAACCTATGTTCAAGTTTTAGATTTGTCAAAAAACAAACATTTACCATTTCATGAATTAGAGAAAGTAGAAACACCTATTTTGATGAATATTGTGAATATCAATTTGTCAGAGTGTTTTCTGGTTGGAAGCGTCAACAAATTATTAAGATTTGCATCAAAGAAGAATTTACAAGTTCTCAATCTTTCGTATAATAATTTTTCTTATTTGGACATTCAAGAATTTTCTTCCATCAAAAATTTAAATCTTACCATGAACACTGAATTATTGTCTGTGGATGAAAACATTTACCAATTATTACAAAATTGCAATAAGGAAATTGAATATTTGACCCTAAAAAGAATACACCAAGAAGAGAATGGATTTTCTGATTTGTTAAACCCATTCATTACAAAGAACAAGTTGGAGGAATCAACAATTGGAGAGTTTCTGTCTCGTTTAAATCATTTGAAATTGTTGACATTTAGTGGACTCTTCATCCAGACATGTCCCCCTCAGATTAATGGAATGCATCACTCGCAGCTAATTTCACTCGATTTATCGCACAATGACATTACAGAGCTTCCTCATTCTCTAATGACCTTGGACTCTCTTACTGCGTTAGATTTATCGCATAATGATATCCCAAACATTCATGAGGACGATTTAGGAATCATCCAATTACGTAATCTGACATCACTCAATTTGTCACACAACAATTTGTCTCAACTTCCTGTGAAATTCATCATCTCCTTGCCCAGCACGCACTGGAATTTGTGCGTGACAGGAGACCACAAGTGTGTCCCAACACTGCATTTAGAGAACAATTACTACAATTCGAGCAAAAACTTCGCACTCGATGCTCAGGTTATCCCTCCCCAAACAAGTTGAATCTTTAAATTCGAATAAATTGCTTTAATTTTATAAAACATGCCGATGAGGTTTTTTTGCTCATGCTGAGCTATTGGGTATCGTTTTGAACCTTCACTGCTGTTCCTTGCTGATTCAGGTCACACCTATTCTTTTTTTCAACTCGTTTTAACATTCTTCTCTGAGGAGGAAGCAGTGATTTCATTCGGGCATCAGAAATAAAAGTAGGAGTGACATTGCTTGAAAATTCAAGATCTTCTTGAATGATGTCTTGATCATCTTCCTTATCGACATTGTGACTAGTTTTTTGAATTCTTGGAGAGGAAGGTTGTTTGGATTGATCTTTGGCAGGTTTGAGAATTAGAGTGATATTATCATTGGATGTGATATGTTTGTGTTGATATTTCACAGTCTTGTCCAGGAGTTGTTTTGGTGAAGAAATGTCACAAACACGTAAATTTGGTAAATCCGAGAAAGTTAATACAGGAGATGAATCAGAGTTGATCGAGTTATTAGAAGAGGTTTCAGAATCATCATCATCATCATCTTCCGTATCAGTATTAACATCATTGTCGTCATTTGTGAAATTAACAACAGTCACTTCCACACTTTTAGAAGGTTGATGTGAAGCTAATGTTCGATTCTCTTCTGGAATTATTTCTTCATGTTTTCTTATACTTTCATAAGGATCTTTCACTTCAGTGTCACAAACCTTCTTCAGTGAGTTATCAAAGAGTGCATTAAAGTTTTCAATGAGAAGACATGTCACATAACTCATATGTTTCACATTTTGTGCTATTTGTACTGCATTTTCTAGTCTTGGTCTGAACAAATTCATACTGAAAATCAATGCAAGATTGATAGCATGCATCTTGTTCTTTTCTTCTTGTTGTGCAACTTCATGCAACAACTTTAATAATTCATAGAGTACGACTTGAAAGTGAATAGGAACCTTGTTGTTGATAAAATTCTTAAGTTTTTCAACTTGTTGTTCCTTCACAGTGGGATCGTTTTGAATTTGCATTTCAGGGCATTGAATAATTTCTGAGAAGGCTTCAAATGTCATTAAAGGTTCTTGTAATTCTCTAATGAATAGCTTTAAAATACCTGCAACACTTGGGACAAAGTAGGACTTGTTGAGATATTCAATGGGTTTTCCCATTTCAATATCTAATATGAGTTTTTTCATAAATTGTTCATCCGAATTCACTCTAAAAACACCTTCTTGATCGAGTCCATACTCTCGAATCAAATCAAAGAGTTGTTGAATGGCTGGAGGAAGTCGAAGAATTCCAGAATCATAATCTTGAATCATGACTTGTTCTAATGGTGCACCAAAGATTGTCTTTCGATCTGCAGTAATATGAGGGAATACATGCTTGGGAACTTCGACGACATGACGTGTACCATTGGATTTTGAAGTTTCCATATGAATTTCCTCTTCTTGTTTTTTCACAATATGATCCAACTTTTCAAAGAGTGCCATTCCTGTACTAAAATAGCAATAATAAGCATAAATAAAGGATTTAAGTTCAGAGAAATATTCTCCATCTCGTTTTGCAATTTGAAAGTCCAACTCGTTGTGATAATCCGAGTATGCAGCATTAAGATTTTTGGCCGTTTGTTTGAATTCTTCTTCCACTTTTTTAGTTCTCTCCACATATTGAGGATCATATTCTCCATTTTCATTGGGCTTGGAAGTAAATCCATCCTTGTCTGGATTCACACGAGGTGTGTCCAGTTTGAAAGATTCATATTCACTTTTAGCAGATTCATATTTGTTTTTGAATTTGACAACATTCTTTCCATCTTCTCTAATGGACACTGTTGCTTCCTTAAAATCATCAAGTTTGGTCATCTGTTTTTGAAAAGGAATATTTTTTGTTTTTTAGGAATAGAGTTAAAATGTCAAGTTTCAACACCAATCAAAGTTGTTTGTTTGTTTGTTTGATTGTGAATAAGATTGTTTGATTAATTGTGAATGAATGAAAGTTGTTTTTGAATGACAATAGATCAACAACACCCATGGATCACAACATTTTGAATCATGTCAGTATATTCACACACAAATAGGAGGATTATTTTCACACCATAGTCTCTTCTCAATCATCGCTGAGCGAATACTTACAGCTTGTGACAACAAGGTGGATGTGGATTTCAAATTATTTCCAAACTTTCTCAAAGTATCTGACAATTCTCGATTCGATTTGAGTCTACCAGCAGCATCCACAAAAAGTGACGCCACTTCCTGCTCCTTTTCAATCATTTTGAGAGACGTCTTTTTGAGATCGACCAACTTCTTTTCTGCCTTTTTATAAAACTCCATCGATTCTTGATGCTCATCATAGATGTGATAAAATTCGGGAACAATTTCTATAGGAGGTTTGAGAGGAGGAATGACTGATGATGATGAATTACCATTGGAGTGTAAATTTAAAGCCGATGATGATTTGGAAGTTAAAAACTGTTGTTGACCTGACGAAGTATGATTGGTGATATTGTTGATATTTGATGATGAGGTGGAATGATTATTAGTAGAAGTATTCGTTCCCAAAGTAGTCGATGATGATGATGTGGAATTATTGTCTGACAAGACTTGAGAACCAGGGACGATGATGGACTTTTCCATGCTGTTATTCCTCTGCAGTCCGAGTTTTGTTTTGAGTTTGTTGGCATAGGATTGAAGATTGTTTCCGCTCATGATGATTGTTCTGAGAAGTCTTTTGTGAAGAGGAAACAAGTGGTGATTTTTATGTTGATTATCTTCTTGTGAGGGAGGAGAATGATTTGTATGAGATCTGCGGAGAGGGAAGACGATGTGATCGGAGGAGTAGTCCTTTTGCTGTTATTTGTTTTTTAGTTGTGAAATTATTTGTAGTCACACATCAATCACAAAAATGGACAGGTGACGCACAATGTAGCGAAACGGTAATAACAACTCCCACCAAAAGGATCGATTTCCTTTACTGTAATATGAAGATGCAAAAACCTTCTTCAGTCACCACTTTACAGGTGAGACAATTGATCGGATCAAAGCATAGTCGGATTCGTAGGGAGCCAATAGGATGATTGCGACAGTTCTCAGAACCAAGATTTAATCAAACAAGGCCTAGCGTGAATGTTGGATTTGATCGATGTTGGGTATTTGGCTGTTCTAATTGCCTGATTGTTCCTCTCGCTGCTCATATTTCCAGAACTCTTGAACATCGACCAGCAGGCCCACAACCGTCGATCCAACCTCGACGCTTTTCAGCAGATCTTCAATGGTTATGTTTTTCTTATCCTTTGGTTTGACCATGGAGTAAATTTCAAACACAATATCAGCTGTTTTTACAGGGTCTTCAAATGATTCTTCTGCAAGATCGTTAGTGGCACTCGATGATTTTGCATTCTGCCTTATTTTCTTTAACATATCTCTAAAGTAATAATTAATAATGAATGGCGTTATTTTGCCTGTTTTAGAGTTATCCAAAATGTTGAAGAAATATTTGATGGATTGAACAGTCTTTTTGTTCTCAAATGCAAGTAAGAAGTCAACAAATCCTTTGTAGTCTAACTTTCCGTTTCTTGTACCATATTCTTGGAACATTCTGTTAATGAACCCGCTTGTCAGAGAGTTGGCGTTGAACTTTGAAAATTCATTCTTACTAAGTAGCCCACTTCTCGTAAAATCTAGTTGAATAAATGCTTCATTTACACTTTTTACAGAAGGAATAGAGAACCAGTTGTTCATTTCCTCTTCTTCAGATAAATCGTCGTTTTGTAGCTCATTAAATTCAACAAGTTCTTTGCTTCCTAAAAAGTCTTCCACGCATACACGCCCGTTGTGTGCGTTGTGGAAAAACATGAATTTTCTTACGCTAGTGTCAATATAAATTTTCCTAAAGTTTTTATCATTTCTCAATATCGCATTTGTGTTCAATCCAACAAATTGATCTATTGAATTATCTACAAATCTTTCTAGATCCTTCTCTGTTAAATAACCATCATTATCTGTGTCGTAGGCCATGAGTATATTTCGATTTTGAATAAGTGATACTTTTCTGAGAATGTGATTGAAGAACACGGGTATGTTTATCCGACCCATTTCGTCTTTTGGAAGTTTAAGGAAAAGAGATGAACCGAAATACTCTTTGGCCTGCTCCATTGGAAATTGCTTTTTTACAGTTTCATAGCCAACATAAGATAACTTTTCGTTGCCTTCTTCCATTGAAGTGTCTTGCTCCAACAAGAGCTCCCATACCTTGTCGAGTTCATTTGAGGACAGTACTGACTTTTCTCGCGAGGAAATGAAACATTTCTTCACAACGTCCATGAATAGGTTTTGTATTTTATCTCTGTTTGCAGAGTTTCCCTTTGAGAAGAAAAATCTCGGAATGAAATTATAGGAACGATCTTTTTGAATGGCCTGTTGCTGTATTTCATTTTCAATTTCTATCATGGTTTCGTATTCGACTTCAGCAGGATCTTCAGATGATTGGAAATAATTGAAATTGACCAGAGTTGAGCCATATACACTTACCTGGTATTACCTCCGTTGCCTTCTTCTCTTGAATAAAACCTTTAAGATCGGAGATCAATGCAGTGATGGGCATTTTGTGATTTTTTTTTGAAAAGTTGTACTTTTTGGCGCTAAAAGTGCACACCATTGAAAATTGCCTCCATTTCACTTTATTTTAATGCTAGAGACCACCACAATGATTATGATCATGACAATATACATCATACATGATGCAATAATTAGACCTAGTCCAACATTTCCCATCTACAGACAGTATTGTAAAGTATTGATATCCAGTTCAGAACAGTTTCAAAATGAATGACTTACCGTTCTCGCTTTTTGAGAATATTTTGAACTGTCACGTGTGATAAAGAAGAGAAAGATCCAAACAAGTGGAATGAAAAATCCAACAATGAATAACAACAAGCATGTATCATCGTTCTTTTTCTTTGTATAGTCGCTATCATAGTGTCTACGCATGTGATGAATAGTATTTTTCGACAAAAAAAAACGTCAACTGTCATCATCACTGATTTTCAATGACTTACGGTTGAATATATCCTGTTGTGACCGCAGTGGTTGTTGTTTCTACTCCAGGTGTGTAATATTGTGGTGGCGGAGTGGAATATGGTAAATAATTAGGATCGGTGGTTGTTGTAACGTTGTTATAATATTGTGGTTGTGATGGATAGGGAGTAGTCGTTTGTACTACACTGTCGAATTGAGTGTAAGGAGTGTTGTCCTGATGCATATGATGATGTCAAGTTGAAGGATGGAATGTGTGTGAAGACAATCGAGAGAGTCTTGTGAAGATAATTTTTTTGAAATGGATGCTGACTGGAAGAACATGTTCTCTCTGGTGATTACCAAAATCACAAGATGACATTCAATTGGAGGTTGGACATTCCAATCAAGAAGGATTTTCATCAAGATCATTTCACTGGTAAACTCGAAGGGAGAGCGCATTGAGAACTCTTGCTCTTGGTGAACTTGAGACTCTTTCAAAAAAATGTTAAAAATTCACTCGAGGGATTACTACCACCGAACCCTATCATCATCCACTTTACTGAACATTTTTAAATTATCATCATCCCCGTCGTCATTATCATCAAGAATTTCGGTCCGCAACATTTCGATCATCACGACTCTGCTGCTACTACTTGTTTCTTCATATGTGGTGGTGGTGGTCGTGGAATCAGCCATCATACCCATGATCATTGGACAAATGACCTACACGCTCAATACATCCGAAACGTATACCATCCGAGAATTAGAGAGTCAATATTCGGGATTGGATACTTATAGCGTTTTATACAACATTCCACTGATATATCAAAGAAAAATTGATTCTTCTCTTGTTTCAATTCCTTCAATTATTGCTCTCTTTTCAAACACAAGCAAGGCTTATCTTGTTTCCGATCCATATAACTTTCCATTGGGTATTTCAAATGTTGCAACTATATCTGGGATGCTTCCCTCATTGTTTAATGAGAGTGTGTTTGGTCGAGAGTTCTACATTCGGAAATTATTGGATTGGCAAGGAGTTGATCCATCAGTCACTCCACAATGTAATTATTTAGCAAATTATGAGAAATCTAATTCAGACGCAGAATATTCAAAAGATTTGTTTTATTGTGACAATTCTGCATTGTCTTCACGTCATGTGTTTATTTTGTCTTCAAGTTCTGGATATATTCAATCCAAGCACGACAATACATGCTTACAGTACAGTGCCAAGATAGATGCTAAGACCAACCAATATATTGTATTTCAGTTCCTTCCATGTGTGCAAACATCGAATCAATTATTTGGATATACTGGTCAGTACATCTCTGTGAATCAGTTTGACAAAGTTTTGTTTGTGGCAGATCGGATGCCTACTGTCACACGGATTGTGACGCCCCCTGGATCGATGGATGTTGGACCATTCACAGAGTTAAATGCCTATGGACGTAATCTTCAATATCCTTACAGAGTTTATCAGTTTTATTTTGAGCCAACGTATGGGTTTAACAAGACAGTCACCATCGATGAAAACGGGCCTTACTTCTATCCTCCGCTCTCTCTTTCCAATGATAGCAATGTATATTATTCTAATATGATGACATTCATCAACACAAATATAGGAACCGTGCTACAAACTAATGTTGTGAATAGGCTCTATGTTGGATACCAAAGACAGAAAAGATCACCATTTCCAATCCCACCAGATTCATTATTGTACACGTATATTTTTCTTCCAATTGCCGTTTTTATTGGAGGTTTTGTAACCATGTTCCTTTGCGTCATGTCCTGTTGGATATTTGTTTACATTAAGAAAAATTATTGTAAGCCATAAATATTGACACAAGCACCACCTTCGAGGTCTAGATTGATAATATTTATTGAGTCATCGATTAGAGAACTAATGGTACATTTTCAGAAATAAATTAAGAATTTTGCAATAATATTTTAGCTGTAATTCGAGCAAACATCACACCCGATTCCGAGGTGATTTAATGACTATAAGAAGATTTTAAGAATATTAATAAATCTTCGACTCCTTCCGTCATTTGCAGCACACGCTCCAATTGTTGTCGAGTATTTACAAGCTGCGTTTTAATTGTTTTAATGTTGCTAGAATCAATTTCTTTTTGCAATTTTAATAATTGTTGATTCATGTTATGAAACATTTGTTCTTGTGATTGGGCTTTATCTTCGGCTAATATACTTTTTCCGATCAGAGCATTTGTATTGGATATGATTACATGCCACTGATTTTGTTGGTATTCCACAAATGATGCACCCGGAGTCAAACCAGGAGGCAAAAGAAGAGGTGTAAGAATCACTGGTGGTTGTGTCTGCGAAGAGGTTTGCATTTTTTTTTCTTGCTCTCATCTTCACCTTTTGTAACTATTGACCTCTTCGATGAAACTCCATGAAGGGGTTGAATTGGTTCATCAATACATTCTTGAATAATATAATAGTTTCTTGATTTATTATAATAATTATAAATTTCGAATCTCTATTTACATGTTCAAACCTCCAACTTGTTGAGTACTAATTTCCCACAATTCATCTTGATATTTTTGTTCATAGGTCTCTTTAAGACTTTGTTGTTCTTTCCATTGCGAAAAGTATTTCATTCCTTCATCCAGATCAAGTGGATGATGATATATATAATAAATATTCAATCAAACAAATAACCAAAACATTGAATAAGAACAATCAACTCTTATGCATCTACCTACCTGTAAGTCCTGCAATTTGAGGATGAACGGCATGATAAACAAGAGCCAAACTTGCATGCTCAGGGCTCTCGAAAAATAAACTTCCAAGCACAGAAACAAAACCTCCCCAAAGATTATCAAATAACTTGGTGTTGACTACCCCTGGATGGACGGCAACCACACTGACATCTGATTGAGGTTTTTGTGCATTTTCATTTAATCGACGAGCAAGCCCATATGCAAATAACACATTTGCAAGCTTACTATTTGAGTAAGTTTGTTGAGTTGAGAATTGTTGTTTAGCCTCATCCTTTGATTTGGCCCAGTTCAATAATTGTGTGATATTTCCATATTTGTGAGCCATTGAACTAACAATGACCACTCTTGAAGGAGCACTTTCTTTCAATTTACCCAATAATAAATTCACTAACAGAAAATGTCCTAAATGGTTCACCCCATAAGTCATTTCGAGTCCTTGTTTTGTTTCACAATAATCATTCAGCCACACGCCAGCATTACAAACTAACGCATGAAGAGGAATTCCTTTTTCTAGAAATAATTTGGCACAATTTCTAACTGAATTTAAATCACTGAGATCGAGAGGAAGAAACTCCATCATGGCATATTTGTTTGAAGATTTGGAACGAATATTTTCCATCACTCGTAACGTTTTTGATTGGGAACGACAAGCAAGAATGATGTGGCATCCCATTTCAAACAAATGTTGCACACAGTGCAATCCGAGGCCTTCACTGGCTCCAGTGACCATGACAACCTTGTTTCCAAAGAAATTGAGTCGTTCTTTATGTGTCATCATGATGGTTGTAGCTGAAGATGATGAGGACGTTGCAACAGAAGGAGATGGCGCTGACATTTTTTAGATACTTTTTTTTAGAAATTGATTTGGAAAAAAAAGAGAACAAAAATGAAGAGAAAAAGTCTGGAACATTTTGAAGAACACCAAATGATGACCAAAAAATTCAATACTCGAACAGTCCTTCCATTTTCAGAACAATTCGAACAAGTACAATTTTTGAGACATTGTCAAGATCCTCACGATATAGCAATTTCTTACAACCATTCATGCATTATATGACCAACATAGGATTCAATTTTATGATTTACACCAAAAAAGTTCAAACTTTCTGTCCACAAATGTGTATCCATGTTATTTATGTGTCGAAGAGAATTATGATGGTAATATGAATGATGCATTGCTATTGTCATGTTTTGGTGGCATGATGAGTGCATGTTCAATTTTTAAATATGATTTAAAACGATTGTTGGATTTGGGAGCAACGTCTTGATATTTATGGAAATCAAAGCCAAGTGCGAGTGTTCGAAGATTTGCAGTATTGAACTCAAAAGGTCACCTTTATGTATGTGATTCAGGATTGTCACCATGTCTATTGGTATTATCTCTTCGAACAGGAGAAATGCTCCATTCTATTGACCTCACTAGAAAACCTTATGGACTTTGTTTTGCCAATGATGATCGAACATTAATTCGACGTGAATCAGAATCAGGAGAACAGATTGAAATATTCGAACAGGACAGTGAATTAAGCTGGAAGAGTGTTAAAAGCATCAAGCATAAGAACATTTCCTCACCAGTTTCAGCCGTGTTTGATAAGGTCTCAAAGCATATCATTGTGAGCGACACGATCGAAATTATTCTCTTCATATCATGTGCTTGGATGGTACATGGATTCCATCCTTTGGTGGTGAAGAAGGAACCCCCAATTCGATTATCCGTGTGGTATCTCCCTCAATGAGGTCACAGGAGAATTGTTTGTTACGACATGAATAGAAGAATTGTAATATTCAAGTAATATAACAAGTATGTTTGTGTCAAACACATGATTGTAGTTAAAGAGATTTGTATTATTAAATGACGAGTTTATTCAGACTGAAATGATTCAAATTTGTTCAACACTGAGAGAGATCTTGGATCCAAAGAGAGATAATGTCAACTCTCTACGGCGATATCCACAAGACTTGAGATGTGTGTCGAATAGCCACAACGTCGTCGAAAAAACAAGATCACAACGCCCCCATCAATCATTCCATTAATTGTTTAATCTTTTATCAGTTTGATTCTCTCTCATTGAGGTTCATCTTCACGATGAAAAAGAGAAATTCAAACTCTTTCTACTTATGGTTCCTTCTCTTCATCGGGATTCTTGGACTTTTCAATCTTTTTGGACCACCTATGATACAAGCTCTTCAGAAACAACATTCTCCATCATCGTTGTACAAGAACGTGCCGAATACTTCTCCTGAAAACTATTCCAACAGAATCTCCTCCTCTCTGGACCAACCGTCCAGCGACTCTCTATCCATCATTAATCCGAACAACAATAACTCAACAACAACCTCCTCCAATAACACTCAATCATGCCATCCCTTTCTCTATCAATTAGGTTCTTTCAGTAGAGATAACACGACAACAGCGGTTGCCAGAGGATCATGTCCCGAGGCATGGTCTGTATTTCCAATCAGCCTCTTTTTACTCTTGTTTTATATCCTCCTTTTTGTGGTGAGTTTAATGGGACTCTTTTACAAACGAAAGAGTGGACATGTACGAGCGAGGAATCCAGTATTCATGATTCTGAACATGATCGCTTGTTTAATTTGTGTCCTTATTATTTGTTTGAGGTTTGTGGTGGGAAGAAATGACTATCCTTGTGGAATTTACTTATTGACATGGTTTGTGTTGCCTTCTCTGATTTGTTTACCGACTATTTTCAAGTGTTTGAGGTTGTTCATGATGTATCGATTGAATTTACATAAAACCAAAATGATGGAAATGATGAAGAAAAGCAGTGCCACAACCACCACACAATTAGAGGGCAAGCATGATGGTGCAGAGGAGGATCATCCAGTCGTTGAAGACTCAGTGTCCCAGATCAACCACAACAAACAAGAACACGATCCAAGCACCAACCCTGTCATGAACCAACCAACTACGCAAGTCAGCGAAGAGCAAATAAGGGCGAGCTTTGAAAAGAAGATGAAAATTTGTTCTTTTGTTGCGAGCTATAAGCTGATAGTTCCTACCTTTTTCGTGGTTGCTGTATTTAATGTCATGATATTTCTAATATTAGGAGGTTATGAATATAGTGAAATGGAATCAAACAACAAACCTATATTCTCAAACGGGCAAGGAGGACTCTTTGTTTTTAATATTGGATGTCGTTCGAGTTGGTCAACAGCCTATGTGTTAATATCCAATGTAGTTCTTTATTTGATATTGGAAATATCAGCTTTGATTTTATTATTTTTTGTTGAGAGAGACACTTGGTTTATTAAGCGAGAGGTATTGATCATGGTGGTAATTCAAATTGCTTCCTCAGTGACATTCTTTGTTTGTTTTTCAATACCCATAGTGACATCTCTTGTGGACTATATTGTGCCTTATGGATTAATTTGGATTGTTGAAAATTGCTTGGAAACGCTTATCAACGTGACGTTTCCTGTAATATATGCTTTTATTTGGGACCAAAGAAAAACCAAAATCAAACAAGATTTAGCCAATCATACCTGCCTTACTTACTTCCTCTCAAAAAAGAAAACCTTTAACATGTTTTTAGATTTTTGCAGAAGATCTTTCTGTGTAGAGAATATTCTTTGTTATGACATGATTCAAATGTACAAAAAGTCATCCACAATCAAGAACAGAAAAAAGCTTGCGTTGGACATTTGTGAAACGTTTCTTAAACCTGGAGCACCTCTACAGCTTAATTGGTCCAACATTACCAAGAAGTATCAAGAAATAAGCAGTATTGTTAAAGCTGGTGTCATATTAGAGTACAGCTTATTTGATGAAGTATTGTTTGTTTGTTTAACCAACATGACAGACGCTTTCGAAAGAATGAAGGCGCATCATGTTCAAGTTAGGAACTATCTCTCAGAGTGGATGACTGCGTATGATCGATCACAACATGAGTTTCATGTTTAGTAACATGACTCACAGTGTGTCATCACCACAGGTCATAATCTTTGTTACTCGGCCATTATTGAAAGCTCGCTCAAAAGGCTTAGGGCTTGTAATCTTGCCAGTTGTAACTTTTGAAGATGTGAGGAAAACTCTTCATGATGGGAATATACATTCTCTACTGCTTCCTTAAAAAACACAAATGCATTGTTTAAAATATCCAAGAAGGCGGAAAAGGTAGACCTTAGCTTGAGATATTCCTCATTATGCTCAATTAAATTGGTAAGGATTGGCTCTGGAGGAATCTCTTGTTTAGACTCTTGAGCTTCTTTACATTCTTTCATCCATTTTCTTCTTATTTCTCGTTTTCGAGTTGCCATCTCATCCTTATGAATTGCTCTGTAGTAGTATATCAAGTGTTTGCATTGTTGGATTCCTAAAACATAGCGCAATCTGGACCCTTCTAAAATGTCATACAACAAGTTACCAACAAGCGCAAATAGCTGTTGGCAAACCGTGCAAGTTTTAAGAGGCACACCATTAACAATGTTTTGTGCAAGTGTTTGGCAGGAACTCTTGATTATATTTTGAAAATGCTCCATGTAGATGCAATTTGCTTCCATTTGATTAGTAGCTTCAAATATAAGGGTTGAACCAACAACTTTTGCTCTGTCTATTAAAAGTGGGGAGTGGATGTAGCTCCCCATTAATTCTAAATTGTTATTGATAAAGCATATTCGCTTAGAAATGCCAAATATTTTGTCATCTTCTGGAAAAACGATATCACGTTCTTGTATATAGCCATACACTACAAACCCTTTTGAACTGTCCTCAAAAGCTGGTAGAATTTTTACAGTTTTAGCAGAATATTGGGTACTGCTTGCGGTTAGTACTTGATGAGAGGGAAAGTCATTAAGTATTCTCTTTTCAATAAATCTGTCAATGTTCTCAAAGGGATAAACTCTATAGATATACTCCTCGTTCACCGATGTGGCTTCGCTCTCACCTTTGTTTAAAACGGACACAAAATAGTATCTGTTGTTTTTAAATAAAAGTTCAGCTCCCAACCTCAGCTGGGAATGGAGAAGAGAAATTTCTGAGTGAAGGTTTTCCAGATGATTCTCAGCGTTTGGCAATTGATTGTAGTATTCTGTCATCCTCTGGTAGATTTGACGCGATAAGGCTAAATGTCCAGATTTCAAAAAAAGAGATGCACTTTGATGAAGATGTTTTAGAATTTTCTCCATCGAGTTCTTTGGGATTGGTTTCTCGCAAGCTACAAAATGGTGTGGGATCAGAGAGTCCTCATATAAATGAATTAAATTCTGGGGTATTTTCACGTGAGTATATCTAGGTTGAACTATATTGACAAGACCATTCTCAACAGATAGCACTTCTGTTACAAATAGATCAATTTCCTTAAACAAAGTTCTACAAACATCCGTGCCATTATTTCTTATGCTTTCATAAATGATGCCACAATACCACAGGTGGCAATATGCCAAGTCCATCACTCGTTTAGGATCAATGATACATATAAATTTCTCTAAACATTCTTGTGCCATTGAGTACTGACACAATCTTATGGAAGCATGAATTAATTGTTGAATATCGTGATGATTCCTTAAATGATGTACAGCAAAGGTATACAACTGCTCAAATGTACCAATCATCTTAGCCTTGAGATCATTATTGTTTTTCAGGATTAAAAACCATGAAGGAGTATTTACATGTGCGTACAAATTGTTGCAGTACTCTATCATTTGATACGATGAAGAAGGGTCATTGAAAAGCAATTTTACAAGCCCTTGTAAGGTTTCCCAATCGTGGTCTTTGGACTTAATCAAAATTCGGATGATGCTTGCTTGAACATGTAGTGGAAATCCGTGGATTAAAAACGAATGAACAGATATCACCCACACAATAAAGTGAATATAAACATTTTCATCTGTGCTTGAGGACCAAATTTCAATAAATTCGTCCACAATGTCTTGATGTTCGGAAAGGAGCTGGTGAATATTTCCAGTGCTGAACTGGTACATTAACTCATCCCAATCAAAATGATCATGAGTAGGCAAAGTCCTCTTCATAATCTTTAGCAAACGTGTTGTTGGGCTTGGTTGATCTTCCGACATGACGGGCTATGTTGATTGATTTTTCTTTAAATTGTAAACCCAATCTTAATCTTAATTTTTCGTCCTCTGGTTCATTCAAAACGAAAGGTTGCGAGTTGAAGGAAGTGTTCGATAATGTTGAACGCGTCTTTTGGTCGAGCAGTGAGAACCATGGCGACTACTCACAGGAATGTTGTTCTTGTTTCTTTCCAATTTTTAATAGCAAAAAAATAACATCACTCCATACTAAACGTAAGTGCAAGAAAGATAGCCCTATCATCACTATTTTAAACCTCCTTCTATCATCTTTGTGAATCGGACTATTAAATGATCCTATGATGTGCTTATTTTCTAAATTGTAGAATTATCAACATGACCGAAGGCAAACAAGTGGAGCATGTAACTTATATTGTTGCTGGAAACAAGTTTGAAATTCCTTCAAGATACGAAGTGAAGAAAGTTATTGGACAAGGAGCATACGGTGTTGTTGTGTAAGTGAGTGCTATATTTTGTACTTTTGCATATAATTTGGTTTTTGGTTGTTTGTTTTTTAAAATTGTACTATATTTAATCATCACAACAATTTTGGTGATCATCAAACACGACCTCGCTCTGCACTTGTTCATGACATTCGTGATGATCATACATTTTCAAAAATTATTTTTGGCATTTATCTTTGTTGTTGTTGGATACATGCAGATCTGCGTGGGACAAAGAGAGAAATGAAAACGTTGCCATTAAAAAGATATTCAACATTTTCGAACACGATAGAGAATATCAAAAGAGAATTTTGAGAGAGGTTAAAATTCTTCGTCATTTCGACGGTTGTGAAAATGTCGTTCAATTGTACAATTTAATTCTTCCTCCATCCTTTGAAGAATTCAATGATGTTTATATTGTAATGGAATTCATGGATTCAAACTTGAGGCAAATGATTAAATCAAATCAGGAATTGACAGACCAAAACATTCAATACTTTTTGTACCATTTACTTAGAGGTTTGAAGACTATCCATTCAGCTAATGTTTTGGTAAGTTCAAATGAGTTTTTATGGAATACTCACTTTTATATCTGCATTTCTGGTATTGAAGCACAGAGATATTAAACCATCCAACATCCTCATTAATGGAGACATGGAAATCAAATACTGCGATTTTGGATTGTCACGTGGAATTGAATCCGATACAAATCCAAAAATGTCTACAACCTATGTCGCAACACGTTGGTATAGAAGTCCAGAACTGCTGCTCATGTGGGATCAAGCTGGAAAGGCACTAGATATATGGAGTCTTGGTTGCATTTTCGCAGAAATGCTTGACAAACCACCAAAGAGAAGAGTTCTTTTCCCTGGAAAGAATTACCTCAATCAATTAGACTTGATTCTCGATGTCACAGGAACTCCTCCAGAAGAAGATATCAGAGGATGTGCCAAGGCAAAGAGATACATGTCTGGACTGCCTCATAAACCCAAGCAAAATTTCAAAGATATTTTCCCACATGCTAATCCATTAGCAATTGACTTGCTTGAAAAGATGCTGGCTTTTGATCCATTAAAGAGAATAACAGTCGAAGAAGCTCTTAAACATCCATATTTAGAGACCATGTATGAAGAAGATGACGAAGAAGATGGAGTTGAACTTTTCTCTTTCAATTGTGACAACGATATGCCACTCGAGAAAATCAAAGAACTTTTGTACGAAGAAATTGTAGACTTCAACAAGTGTCACGGTGTTAACCCAAAACCAATTATTTTAAACCAAGTTTTTGAAGTTAAGGAATAAACTATTGGTATTGCAACCCATTTGCTTTTTTGGGTGACTGGGTTGCTTTGTTCGATCAAAGAAATGCTTCACCGAAACTGACTCAACCACAAACAAAACAAAATGCTCAATTTCACCTGCCATAGGGTTGCAGCTGCCCTTTCTAAACTGTCGTCACCCAAAGCTCGTTTAGCCAGCCTAGTTTCATTTCCGACTTCAAAAAGGACATATTTTCATCACAGATTCTCTCACTCCGAACCTCATCATCACCACGCCCAACAACATACAGGTTCAACGGAACAAGCCAGTCCAAGGAGCCAACATCAACTCCACGAAATAACATCTCAAATGAGAGCTATTGCTACCCACAATCAACTGCTTTTGAGGGAGTTTGAAACCTTAAAGAGAGAGCTTGCAGAAAAAGAATCCAAAAGTTTGTGCTCATGGATCGACACTAATCCATTCAAGTTTGGGGTTTTATGCGGCACCGTGGTGTTTATGATGATTGTGACGAGATTGGAATTGAAGAAAAACAAAATGAAGGTTGCTCAATTGAGGGAGCAATTGAAAGAACTAGCTCAACAGAAGAAGCTTGCTTCGTATAATGGACGGGCGAACTAGATTGTCTATGGTTAAGGTTTCATTGCTGATGTGAAATTTAATTAAACACTGTTTGAACAATGAAGAATTTATTTCTCCTGAGTTATGTTATACACTTACTGACTGCTCTTTCACTCGTCTTGCACACTCATTGGCGGTCAACTGAATGTTTTGAGGTGTGTAGATGTGCGAATATTTAAATGCTGGCAGAGATCTTGCGGATCTCTTGAATCCAAGATGCCTTACCATGAATTTGCAGTCATTAAAAGATGCCAATGCTGGCACTACAACCTCTACTGGATAGGTATAAATAGTAGAGGTCTCAGTTAAGGAATCAATAACCTCAACTCCTACTGTCACTGAACTTTGATTAGCAAAAGGCAGTGTAGTGCGAACAATCTGGCTGCTCACATTTTCATGATGAACATCTCTAACGCCTTCTTTCGTTTCAATAAAGTATGAGTACCTTAAATGATCGGCCTTGCAGTTCTCAAGAACATGAGAGAACTCGGTTTCAAAAGCGACGCCCGAGATGGGAGTAACGTTAAAGGTGCAAAATCTTGGTGATTTTAGGATTATGAAAGGATGATCGTAGGTTGAAGACATCTGAGTGTTAAGATCAGTTACAGTTAAGGTAATAAGATAAGGAACCTCTTCCTGTAAATGAGACACAGGGAAAATAAGAGTGGTATTGTAGTATTCAATAGCAGTCCCATTGATGGTCCAGTTAATCATCAAATCATTTCCAACAGCAACCTCAATAATCACATCATCCGTATACTTAATCTCATAAGTTTGAGGAGAAGTGCTAACGACTGTTATTGATGGAGCAGATGGTGCCATGGCCGCTTGCACCACACTAATATTTGCCATCCAGCAGGCAAACAAGAAGATGGCCAGCGAGGAAACAACCAAAGAGTTGTTCATATTTTTTAGAGGGATTGCGAGTACAGGAGGGTTACAGTACCCATGATGATGATGATGAGGGATTCAGCCAAGGCTAGCAGCAAGTGAGGAAGCTCGCTGCCTAGAGGCTCCTCTCTGGAAGAAGAAGCCGAATTCGATAGGATGCATTCCATACCAAATATCGACGAGAGTGTTTGGCCTCATGATCCTATTGAATCCGACATGGATCATTTTCTTGATGACTAATGGAAGTTGAATTTGATTAGAAGGTGCTCTTGAAATGAGTCATTGGGTGGCGCATCCAGATCAGGAGCATCAACTGCCACGCAAGTAACTGAACAAACTTCTCACAAAAAATGTCCAAACTCGATCTCAGTGATGCTAAAGTGAAACAGGCTCTTGATGATGTTACCAACTCAAAGCTTGTTTATGCTCTCTTAAAACATGAAGGAGTCTCCAACAAGGTGATTGTAGCCTCAACCGGAAATGGTCTTCGTGATATGATTGATGATTTGAATGATGGAACCATCATGTATGCTTTGATCCGTTTCGTAATTAATGATGCAACCAAGTTTGTTTATGTGGTACGTTATTTTTTGAAACAAAACAGCCTTTGTTCATGTGATGATTTTATGATTTTATTCATCATCATCATTACAACAAAATTATTGACATCATCATTCTTTGACAATCAAACGTATTTAATATTAATTATGTTGCTATGTTTGATTGCTATCATCATGATGATTTCAACTTTAACATTTTTGCGTTTCACACACCATAACAATGATGTGTGAAATTTGACGTGTGATGGTTGATGACCTTGCAATCCATGCAATTCATTTACCTCTATAGGGATGGTGTCCAGAGGGTATTGCTAACCAAATCTTCAAAGGAAAATTCCAAAACTGGAATAAGGACATGGAATTTTATCTGTAAGTTTTAGAAATTGATTAGAATTTGCAATTTCAACAAATATTTGATGATGAATATTCTATCAATCCATCTTTTGTCATCAAAATTCTTTCACATAATTCTCACTCTCAAATACTAGTAAGGGAAGATATCACTTGTCCATCTATGCTCGTAATGAAGAAGACATTGATGAAGAAGCTTGGATTAAAAAGTTGAAAATTAGTGCTGGCTCTTCTTATACTCAAACTTCCAATGTGAAAGATTTGACAGTTTCACAAGCAAAACAAAACATTGTAACCGCTAAAACTGAAGTCAAGAAAACCGAAGTGGCAATCAATGAAAACGAAAGAAACAAATTTTGGCAACAAGAGCAAGAACGTCTCAAACAACAAGAACAAGAAAAGAAAAATCCTGTCACAAGAAATGATTACAAAAAAACAGACGAAAGAAATCAATTTTGGCAACAACAACAATCTTCCACTTCTTCTTCTGGTGTTGTAAAGAGTTCTGATCGTGTGAATGAAATTCAACAATTGAGATCAACTTCTAACAATTACTGGAAGCAACAAGAAGAACAACCATCTCAAACTGAAACAAAACCAAAAGAAATCATTCGTGGCAATAAGGATTTATTCAAAAAGTTTGAGAATTTGAGTGTTCAACAACAAGAAGAGCAACCAAGACCAAAACCACCAATTTCAACTGGAGCCACCAACAAGAAACCACCCATGTTCCAACCACCTCCACAACCACCAAGATTTGACGATGAGGAAGAAGAGAATAATACTCAACAACAATATGAAGAAGATCAATCATATAATCAAGGTCATCAATCTAATGCATGGGAGGAAGAGGAACAACCTCAACAACAAGAGCAATACTATGAAGAGCCTCAACAACAGCACTATGAAGAGGAACAACCTCAACACTATGAGGAGGAGCCTCCACAACCACCTCCAAGCAGTTCTGGTTTTTCTAAGCCTGCCAAACCAAAGGGGTATGTTTTTTTATACACATTATAATCAGAATGTAATCAACACATGATGTTCTTTTTTTCATGACTTTTTTAGATATATGGAAAAACAAATTGAACAGGGCCGTATCTCACCAACAGAGGTCGAAGAACTCACCAAGCCAACCAAACTTCCACCTCCTCCAATTCCAAGCAAGCCAAAGAGAAAAGAATTGGTTGCTCTCTATGATTTTGAGTAAGTAATAATTATTTTCAAAACAGGTATATCTTTACATGTTGAATTTATTATCACAATAGTGCCCAAGAAGGAGAGCTCTCATTCCGTGAGGGTGAAATCCTCTACTTAGTTCAAGACGAAGGAGAATGGTGGATGGCTGAAAATGCCGATGGTCAACAAGGTTACATTCCTTCAAACTATGTAGAAATGAAATAAATGCTTGTACATCAATCATCTATTCTACCAAATGTTCCCAATTTACGTCGATCTCCTTTGTCTTGTTGCTTGTTCTTTAATGCTGTCATGTTTACTGTCAAAATTGGGATGTAAAAGAACATGTTTCATCTTATATTGAGGGCCTTTAGCTTAAAAAATACAAGCTCTCCGGTCTGTCTTACAGCAAAGAACATTATCTCACTCATACACTTCAGAAAATGCAGTGGAGGATCTTCCAAATATTTCTGGAGTATACATTTCTTCGGCTTTGGCTGGTGGAATGACAAAACTGCCTATACTTGTTGCTCTTGCCACATAATTAAATTCATGAATTCCTTCCCACAACAAAGATGAAAACGCCTCCACTCTTTCATTACGAATGTTGTGATGTTCATACCATGGTCGACTCCACCAACAATAAAATCCACGGTGATGGATATTAGCGCTGATTTCAGCAGTAGAGGTTGTTCCTTTCAATTCAGGATTAATTGCTTCCAATCCTGAAGGTAACATGTCAACCAATGCCACATGATATCTTCGACTTGTATTTGTGACACGAATTTTCACTCTCACCAATTCACCTGCTTTAAATCTCCAACAATTTCTTTCACTATCAAATTTAACATGTTCTGATTGTGTGACATGTTCATAATTTCTTTCCACTTGAAATCCGTAATCAAGTGCCTCTAACACATTATTCTTTGGAGCATAATCCATTCCAATTCTATAATATAATCTTCCTTCACCTTGTTTTGAAATGATTAATGTTTTGCTTTGTGAGTTGTTTGTTGTTAAAGAGGATGATGATCCAGCACTATTGAAATTGCCCTCTACTAAATAAGACATTGGAATTTTAAGCAATTTTTCATCTTTTGAACGTCCAACAAATTCTTGTTCACCACAATAATCATCACCAAGCCACATTCTTGTCACAAAGTTTGGTGTTACACCTTCAAAAGTTCTAAAATATGTATTCAATGCAAGTAAGATGAATGAATTTTCTTGAGTATTTCCCCATCTTCCCTTCTTCTTGTGAGCTAATAATCCTTTTACAATTTTTGGAATGATTGTATTTTCAGGAGTAATGGTTATCAATGCTTCTAAACAAATTCCATCAGTTCTTCGATTTGAATGAAGCATGATTAACTTGGAATTTTGAGCGTCTCCATAACTTGTCACAAAATTTGCAGTTTGTGCTGTTTCATTCACTTTCTTACATAAAGTTTCAATTATTTTTTTCACTGTGGAATTTGCTGTTTTTGAGTTACATAAATACAATGTTGTTGCAATCCAAGCCAAATATTCTAAATTTACATTTTGCACTTCTTTTTTGTAAAATTGTTCTGCTAAATATTTCACTTCTTGATCACCTAATAATGATGCACAATAATAGGCATAGGCCTTAATAGAACGAATACTCTCTTCAGAATAGTCATTACAATAATGTTCAATCGTTTTGAGAACATTCAATAATTTGGAAATGGTATTTGAATTCACTTGATATCCTGCATTCTTTGCTCGAGCGAATGAATGTGCAACATGACATGTCACATAGGGTGAAATAATTGAGCGATCATAAGACCAATAGGAATAACCACCTGATGGATATTGTCTATTTTCCAATATTTGAATACTTTTTTGGACCAATTCATTCATTTCTGTCTCACTTGGAAGATTTGGAACATGAAATGCTTGCAATACATCTTTCAATGCAACAATGCTTAATATTTTGCTTGCCAATTGTTCACAACATTCAAATGGATATGAATATAAATAAATAAACGCATCAGTTAATGAAGATAATGCAGTTGAGCTTGTGCTAATGTTGATACCACCAAATTGTGAATAAACATTTTCAGGTGTACGAATTGGTTGAAAAACGTTTCCATTTTGATCAATTTCACCATAGGTTGCAAATCCTTCTGTGGTTGCAGGTGTGTATACTCGAATTTCTTTTTCAACAGCATCACCAAAGTTAATTCCTCTATTTGAAATGGAAACTCCAACTTGAAAACGTGCAATTCCAACTTTTTCGGTGCTCATTGGAAATCTTAATTCATGTCTACTCAATGCAGGAATTTTAACATTTAAACCTCTTTTTGATTCATCCAATAAACGTAAATTTGTGAACCGAATAGCAACATGTACATTCAAATCAATGAGAGTTTGATTTTGTAAAACACAAGTAAATTCTGCACAATCTCCAAAATTCAAAAATCTTGGAAGTGATGGTCTAATATTCAAAGGTAATTGAGAAACCATTGAAGATTCTGATATTCCAAAATGACTCTCATCTTTCAAAGCCACTGCTGTAATTCGATACTTGGTTAAATTATCTGGAAGTGTGGCGTTCACCGTGGCAATACCATCGGCATCAGTCATTGCTTTTGGACTAAATACTGCAAGAGGATTGAAATTACTTCTAATAGCAATTGCTTGAGATGGCTCTTCTGTAGCTAATCCTCCAAGAGTGGAATAGCAAGCAGCTTGTGGTAGACACTGCTGGTGACAATGACAAGCGCATGGTGCAAAGAAACAGTTCTCAGTGCATCCAGAAATATCACAACAATTCATGGCATTGTCTAATCTAATTGGAGCTACAAATACAATGTCATTGTAGCTCTTGACAAAAACATTACTTCGAAGAGACCATCTTGAAGTGCATGATGCATTTCTTGAAGTAATAAATGTATCGAGAGGATTTGAAATTTGATATCCGGTCAATGAGAGAACTGCTTCATCCACAGCCACAACACAAACTTCACTGTTTGGTACTAATTGCTGAGTGAGTGCATCTCTCACAGTCACTTGAATCAATGTTGAAGAGCCAGGTGTCAGAAATTGCTTTTCAGGTTTCACTTCAACTTGTAATTCATGACTTAATCTTGAAACATTAATGGAACAAGTTCCAGAGGCAAATACAGGTTGTTTTGGTTCATGATTCAAAATATTTCCAACATGGTCCACTCTTGATTCAGATCCACTCATTTCTACCGAAATTCTAACATTGGGAATGTGATCTTTTGTAATGATAAATGAAAATTCAGTACATCCAATGGATGGATCAATTTCAACTGGAATTGGTTTTTCAAATATTCCATCCATACTCATAGTTAATAAACCATATAAATATCCATCCAATTGTGATTGAATGAGAATAGTTGCCTTATCTCCAACATGATATTCATTCTTATCGGGAATAAGTAAAAGAGATTTTTGTTGTAATACTTTTCCAACTCGTTCTTCTCTCATGTTCTTTCCACCAATGACATAGAGTGAATTGGAACATGATTTTTGTAATCCACTTTCAGTATCACGAATGGAAACATGAAAATCAAAAGTCCCTCCTGTTTCAAATTGAACTGGAAATTCAATTGGTGTCTCTGCATTTGATTTAAATGTCTTTTTGAGAATTTCAACTTTTTCTTGAACATATTTGAATCCTTTTTTCACCTTCACATGTGTTGTAACAGTGAGATTCATATCAATGTTTTCTATCAATTCACCATTAATGTTTGTGGTCAACAAGGATACCATGACAGGTGTGTTTGGTTTCGTGAATTGTTTTCCAAATTTCAATCCACAATAATATTTACATGGATGAACCACAAATGATGTTTTTGAAGAAATGGTTTGTCTATTAATGTCTTGAACTGTTGATTCAATTGTGACTGATATTGGAACTTTGTCAATTCTATTACTTTCTTCAAATAATAATGCAATTTGATGTTCTCCATTCATATCAGTCATTCCTTGAAAAGTGGAGAAATTTCCTGTCATGGAAGGAGAATACATTCCATAAAAAAAGTTTCCAAATGGTGATGATGATGAATCGTTCTTTCCAAATGAATATCCACTTCGATTAGGTGGAACATAACTTGTTGGACGTTGTCTAATGATGTATGAGCAAGTACCTCCAGAGATGCCACCACCACTGTAATACTGAGCTCGAGTAGTACACAAAGCAGGTGGACCATTTACAACAAAAGTTCCAGGTTGAATATTACAACTCGAGTTGAATTCAGGTGTTCTAAATTCTTGGACTTTGAACGAATGAGACATGGACAATCGACTGAAATGAATAAAGTGATTTCCTAAATTTGCATGATCTGGAATGGTGAATGTGAAATCAAATGTTCCATTGGATGAGAGAGTTATACTACCAGAATGATACTTGCTTGAACGTGAATCTTGTACCACGAATGGACATGTCTTGTAATGATCGTGTTTTGGAAATTCAACATTGTACTTCTTCTTAATTGGATCTCTTACAATTTCTCTAACAATTCCCTTAATTGAAACGGTCTCTCCAGGTTTGTATAATCCTCGATCATTGAAAATTTGATAAATAATTCCTGATTGTTCGTAATGACGAGTGAAATAAACATCTGGAATGAAACATTTGTCATTTCCATGGAATGCAACAATTGGACAATAGCTATTCACTTGAGTGATCTTTTTCGTGATCATTCCAATACCACTCTCTCGATCAGGAGTACTTGAAATAGATCCACTTTTCACAATAATATTTTCTTTGATCATGGATCCATCCATCAATGAATTTACCCAATAATATAAAGTACAATCCGAGTTGTCATAAATGGCATCGATCGCAAGTTTTGTCACTTGAATCCATGCTTGATGAATGGGTCGACGATTCCAAGTTCCTTTCCAACTGTTTCTCTCTGGTTCAACAACAATAAATAATTGTCCAATGTTTTCTTTTGGATATTGAAGTAAAAGTGATAAATCAATATCAGTATCACATGGCTCATCTTGTTTTCCATTAGTGTTGATCAAAGTTGCATCAAGTACTTGTTTTCCAGGAAATTTATGTTCTGAGGTGTTACTGTATGCATTATAACTAAAGATACTTTGATTGTATTCTTCAGGTTCCACTTGAAACACGCGACAATGAATGGCATCTAAATTCATTGTAACCACAGAGAAAGTTGGTTTCGTATTCACTGTTGGATCTAAAACAATGACACCATTTTGTAAAGCTTGAAGAGATTGTGCAGCATTTCCAATGTTGAATGTTTTGAATTTGTTGCCACAAAGATGTTGTCCCCAAACATCTTGCAAGGTATTGAATGTGACCTTATAAGTTGTATTGCCCTTAATTTTTCCTCTAATGATGAGATGATTATCATTTGGATTCAATTCCATTCTTTCAATGAAAGGCTCAACTTTCACTGAATGTTCATCAAAGGTTTCAAGATCAATAGGATTTGAAAAGGAGATGCTTAATGGTTGCATTGGAAGATAGGGAGGTTCATGAGAATGAATAATTGTAAATGAAGGATAATTCTTAACATGAAATGTGGATGGTTTTTCAGTGGGTAATGGACCTTCAAGTCCTTTCACTCCTTCTTTAACAGTCACATTCAAACTTTCAATTCTCTGATTCAAACCTTGACCTGAAAATGTGAACCATAAATGTCGTTGTTTTGGAGCATTCTCTAATTTTGAGAGGTATGAATAATAAATATTGGAGGCTTTCTTTTCAATATTCAACTCTTTCATGAGTCCTAAAATATATTCCTTGACAGAAGGTGTTTCAGATCTTCCATCATTGGAAACAAGTTTCAATGTTTGTTCAGACGTCGTATCCACATTCACAAATGGTAAAACACTTTCAGGATGAATCTCTTGATCAAATTCCAAATAAAAAATTGGAAATTCATTGAGAGGGAATGAACCATGATATTTTGGTAAATAATCTCTCAAATAAAGTTTTGGTGTCTCAAAAGAAAACTTTACATCTTGTTTCAAAATACCACCAATTTTAGATCTTGTTGCTGCCTTAATGGTGACATTATATTTGGTGGACATGTCAAAACGATAAACAGGTTCATAAATAAGTGTTTTTGTTCCTAACCATTTGAATTTTCCTCCTTTCTTTGGTAAGGGTTCAATACAAACAGGAACATTTTCATCCAATTCCACATGTTCAACGCTTGAAACTGAAACCATTGGTTGTGAAAAAGTTACACTCAAATATGGAACAGATGCATCAGAGAGACTACCTTCAGGTAAATAACGAACTACCATTAATTCTGATCCCATCAATTCTTTCTCTTCTTGAATGAGTTCTTCTGGTTTTTCATAACTTTGAGAAGGTGGAAATTCTTGAGAGATGATTTCTGCTGTGATTGGTGCTTTGAGTGATTTTTCTCTGTCAATCAGTTTGTGAGAAATCAAAAAGAAGAGAAATTAAATCATGACATGATTCATCGAACCACACATGATCACCACACGTCAATTACGTCATTTCATTATTCAAATTTAAATTTTAAATCGAAATGTGTTATTCGAAAGTGTAGGGTCGAATGATAAACATCGAAATGTGGTCGCATGATCACACACGTATTAAAAATTATAAACATCAATTCGAACACACGCGAATCAAGAGGATTAATGATGATCAAGAAACCATCTACCACCTACCTCACGAAAAAATCCTCTTCACCTTCTTCCATTCGATCATGTTGTTGGATCGGTGGAATCCGTTTCAACAGTGAACGAATTTCCTCTTCTCCGAGAGAGGTCAAAACTTCAACAGATTTTTCGTTAAAGGATCGATTGGCAACACTGTTGTAATCACTATTACCACTACTACTACGACTCTCTGCCATTAACCATGCACGTTTCATATCCTGCGGTAAGGGTTCTCTCACAGTGATCTTGATGCTTTCATCATCATTAATTGCAGATCCTATCGAGCCATATAAACCAATTTGACCAAATATTGGAGGATTCAGGATGGGCTGTGGGAGGGTTGGGTTGTTTGGAAGGAACATATTTTTGAAACTTTTACTTTTGGATGAACATCTGCATTGATTGCATTGGATTTCATTCTTCTTCTTGCTGATTTTTTCACAATTTTGGAGAATGTCACTACAGTTTTTTGGACTTGTTTGAGCTTGATGAAATTGAGTTTCGGTTACAGTAGTGATTCCAGGGATTTGAGGAAAACGGTTCGGTAGATATTTCCTCAAATGAAAAATTCCCATAAACAGTTTTAACATTTTCTTGAATGGTAACACCAGTGACTTCCTTTTTGAGTAATTTACTTTAACATCCTCTATATTCCCCATATTTTCACAAGCATTTAAGCCCATGGAGGTTATCACTTTGAATTTTCTTTTGAAAAAAACAAATCGTTCACAATCATCAAACCAACACAAGATGCACACAAGAAGTCACGATGTTAAAGAATCCTCCACTCATCCAGAAGTGAGAGACATGAAGCATGGTTACAGCGCAGGAGACTCCTCTGAAACTCTTCCAGGTGGTAGAGAGAGAGGTCCTCGTGAACATTTTGAAGAAATTTGTGCAGACGACAATTATGAAGTTGCCAGTCATCACATGAACGTGAGAGGAGATTACACAGTGGTCTTTAGACACAAGTATGGAGGAAAGGATCAAACATTCCCTAACATCTCAAGAGAGAAGATTGAAAGCTGTCCATCCAGAATTAAAAGTAGAATTCTTGAGAAATGAATTTAACATGAAATTCCTACAATGTGATGTGTATGTACATATGAATTAGTAAGCCAATCGTAATAATAAACAAAGAACGTCCTCTATCAGTCATGGTGTACACCAAATGGTCCATTGTTGTTTGGAGTGAGGCAAAGTTTGGACTGTTCCTCTAAAATCTTTCCAATAAAAATGTTCTTTTCTTTTCTTCAGCAGTTGAGCCATCAACGCACCTCCAACAACACGAACACAGCAAGCTGGATCACAACAAGCTGGATCACAATGGTTCAACGGCATGTCTTCTGCTCCTCATCATCACTCAGAAGGAAATGGTTTATTATTTCATCAGATTTTGACAGCATGTAAACAAACTCTATTTGACAACAAAAAACTCTCTTCCATGGAGTCATTGGCTTCATCCAACAGCAATACATTCTCCATCACGATCAATGAACTTTGTGCCATTTTGGATTCTTTCACTTTTGAGATTAACAAACTTAAAGCCATATACATCTTGAAGAGCTACAACCAATTTGCTGTCATGACATGTTCTGGAGTGAGTGAAATGTTGAAAAAGTCCTTCACCTTTGATAATTCAAGATGTCAAGCATTGCAATATTTGTATCAGTTGATTCATGACAGAGGTCTAAATTATGGACAGGTCTTAAAGGCGTTTGACTTTCATTCCAATTAAGAACAAGCAAGAAAATTATTGTTATCATAAATCTTTGAAAGGACCACCATCATGCATGTGAATACTGATTTGTTTTCATTCGCACATTCATTCGCACATTCATTCGCACAATCCTTGATTTGTGAAAAGTAATTCATTAATCGTTCTCTTTAAATCATCCTTCGTGCATGGCTTGAGAAGAACTTTATCCACAAGTCCATGCATTGACACTGGTGAATAAGGACAATCTTTGCAAGAATGATGATGTCCATTCTCTTGATGTCCATTACAACAAACATCTCCAGTGACAAGAACAATCTTTGGAGACTGTGATCCATATCGACTTCGGATTTCTTTTGCGGCTTGAATTCCATCCATGTTGGGCATGGTTTTGTCTGTGAAAATGAGACGATGTTGTTGAGGATCAAATCGTTGTATTAATTCTTCACCATCACATACTCCCACTGCGTCATAACCAATGGATTTCAACAGTTTGAGAAGAACCACTCGATTAATCGCATTATCTTCTGCAACAATGATTTGAGGTTGGATCAGAGTTGAGTTGTCATCCTCTTTCTTCGAACAATCATTCATATACTTGTAAAGGTAAGTTTTTTGAATATCTAACTGCTTTGATAAGGATGGTTGTGATAAAGTTTCGAGTGGTGCTTTTTCATCAAGTAGTATGCTAGCTGATGATGTATGGAGAGTCGAAGAAGAAGATTCAATGACTGAATCGGATGGAACATTTGCACAAGTATCACCAAATGGTATCAACAAGGTAAAACATGTTCCTTTTCCAACTGTGGAATCCACATGAATCGTTCCATTCATCAAATGTACATTGTTTTTCACATTTGCTAGACCTAAACCTGTGGAGGGAATGGTTGCTCCTGTGCAAAAGGTATGAAGTTGAACGAATGGTTGGAACAATAGATGAATCTTGTGTGAGTCAATTCCTTTGCCATGATCAGTAACTTTGAATTCATACAGAGGTCGATGATGAGAGCAAGAGTCATTGTCCCTATTTGGAACACTGTCCTCCAAATTATCATCCATTTGTTTCTTTTCACACTGTATCTCTACAGTTTGACCTGGCGTGGAGGCTTTCACTGCATTACTGATCAAATTGATGAGACAATGTTGCAAACACGAAGGATTACCCTTCACAAACAAATTGTCAATATTTTTGTTTGGCATTAATTGAATGTGTACATTCAAGGGTTTGGAGTATCCTTTCATAACATTTAAAACTGTTTTAAGGCATGAATCCAAGTTGAATATCTCATCATTATCCGTATCAGCATCCGTTGTTGTAGTCGTAGGAGTCGAACTGGAACTTGACATTCCATTTAACTTTTGATCAATTTTGGCAAAATTTAAAATATCCTCAATTAAGGTCAAAATGATACCTGAGGCACTCTCCACATTCTGTAGCAATTCCTTTTGCTCTTCGGTGAGATTGGTATCCTTAATTAGTTCAATGCTACCTAAACTTGATAAACAAACTGTTCTAAATTCGTGTGAAATGTGTGAAATAAATTTTTCTCTTGTTTGTAATTCACTGTTGAGTCGTCGACTCACTCCCGCAAGCATATTATACTTTCTATCAATACTTTCAGTGAATGACATGATATATAATGAAAAGATCATTGTAGAAAGAGCACAAGGAAATGTCTCCATGACCACCAGTGAACATTCTTTAAAGGTAATTGTTTTCAACATGACATGAGCATACATCTGAAAAAACATATATCCTAAATAATGCATGGAAATGTAGAAAGGAACAATAATACGCCAAATAGAATGTCTCATTCTCGATGTACTTCCAATGATTAAGAGCTTCAAAGGTAATAACAAGAGTAAGGGTGTTTTGAAACAGTAAAATCTCACTGTAAAAAATATCAGAGATATAATCACCTGTAATGCAATGGTGTGTGTTTGTATTACAGTAAATGGTGTGTTTCCATTAAAAGGATAAAAAAAGATTTACAAAAGATCATTGATCGACCATGTGGTGTAGAAATAACACAATCATGACGAAAAAAGCTTACCTTTGTCAATTGTTGCTTACAATAAGAGTCATTCGGATGGTTCTTCGTTTCCTTGTTGTTGTCGGAAATAAATTTGTAAAACTCGAAACTTTGTGTTGGAAATAACACTCGACATTTCGAAAAGATATTCTTTTTAAGGAATTGAAGTATTCTCTGAAAACAATCCATTCTATTTGCTGCGCTTTGTATATCGAGGCTAAATGAATATCCAGAAAACAGCACGAGCAATAATATGAGAGTATTCACTAATCCATAATTGACATAGGAGTGTGCACTCACTAAAAAGTAATCAAACAACACTCCATACTTTACAACACGTAATTGAAGGCCAAGAATCCTGCCCCACCTTTTTGTTTCTTCTGATTGATCGATTTGTGTCGTTTCTGTAATATCCATCTCAACGTTCTTGCATTCGGTGAGTGAGTATCTTCGGATGTCTTTGAAAAGAAGATCTTGCTCATCAAATTTGTTCTTGTGGTGATGGTCATGTGGTTGGGAATATTGATGATCAGAGTGATGAGGAGGAGGAGGAGGATTTAAGGATTTATCAATGATATGAGGACCATCATCATCATCGTGAGGTTTCTTCATAACTGCATTCATTTTGAAAGAAAACTTTATAAAATGTTTTAATGGACGGACGGATTCAGAGGAAGACTATTATGTATTCTGTATGAAAGGGAAGATCGAGAAGATGATTCAATAGTTTGTGTTGGTATTTGTGTGTGCGAGCTTGATGTGTTCGTTGGTAAATAGTAACATATATCCTCTTCGATGAAAGGGTTTGCAAAACAATTTTTGAGTGTCAAAACACTGAACATCATTCTATAAACACTCCAACTCAACTCTTGGTCTATTGTCCAGATTAAATATAAGCACAACTTCAGTAAGAGCCTTTTCTTAAAAAAGGTGCAAATAATCTTCAAGCTCGACCAACGTCTGTTGAAACAGGAAGTTTGTTTTGAATTTGGAATACATTGTGGTGTATAATATCTACATACTATTTTGATTTCATGGCTCTCTCCTTAAATGGGAATGTTTTGATAAAAATTTCTTTGTTTTTCTTTTTCTTCAAATTTAGATTATTTCTTTTTTTGTGGATGTCACACAATTTTTATGGAATGTTGTAAAATTGGTGTGTTGGCTTCAATTGGACTGAGCCTTCCTTAATGATAAGATACATTCCTCGTCCAACAATAATTACATGGTCGAATATGATAGTTTGAAGAAGACAATAGTTTTACTTTTTCCATACAACAAAACCTTGAGTAGGATCTAGATTGGACAAGTTATTGACAAAAACATTGTCTTGAGTCAGATTGAAAGAATTGCATTCTGAAATTGCAATGGATGCATGGGAGTGATGTTCAGAAATTGTGTTCCTAGCAATTTCAATCGTTTCACATCCTTTGATAACAATTGCACTCTCTCCATTGGCTGTAATAAGGTTGTCAGTAATTACTGCTGATGACTCTTTAGCTCTAATTCCTGAGGTTTTGTTCATTTTGATTTGATTTTCTTTCACAACTATTTCAGAGTGTCCAACCATACTGATTCCATCTGAAGCATTACCAGAAATTTCATTTCGTTCAATATGAGCTTTTGCTTGTTCAATGAGCACGACTCCTTGCTTTTTACCATTTCTAATGGTATTTCCAATGATTTGTGGGTGTGCATGGCTTTTAACTTCAATGCCAGAGAAATTATTTTCAAAAATTTCATTGCCAGTGATGAGTACTCTTGTATCTGTTAATTGGCCTTTCAGATGAATACCACTTTGTAAATTATTGGAAATGATGTTATTTCTAATGATTGGAAACGAGTTTCTAATTTCAATTCCCGCAAAACTGTTTTCATAAATCTTGTTGCCTTCGATCACTCCAGAGCAGCCATCCACAAATAGAATTCCACAAAGCTTTCCTCTATAAATTTCATTCTCAATAACATCCGCTGTGCAGTTTACAGAAATTTCAATACATGCAAATTGGTTTTCAAATATCTTGTTGTTTTTGATTGTCACTTTACATTTTTCATGTGCGACAATTCCAGCACTTGCTTGACCGAAAATTGAGTTTTCGAATATTTTCACATCTCTACAGTCGTTTGTCAATTGAATTCCTAGACCCTTGTTTCTTATAATTTCATTATTGTGGATTGAGCCTGATGACTGGTTAAGAATGATGGCCTTTCCAGTTTGACTGGATACTAAGGAATTTGAAAGTTTGATAGTTGTCTTGTCGCATTGAACAGCTGTGGCGTTGAACAAGAACTTGCACTTGTCCATAGTTACAACGCTTCCATGAATATCGCAGGCAACACCATTGACATCTTTAAACTCACAGTTGGTGATCTTGAGATTTGTTTCAGAAGAGTTAGAAACAATGTTCACTTTTCTAAATCTGCAATTTCTAATCTCACACTCGCAATGAGTGTCAATCTTTAAACCAGTATCATACTCGTCATTCTTTTTGAAATATAAATTTTCAATTACTACATTTGAATTGCTAATAGTAAATGGTGTTTTTGAGAAAATAATGGGACAACCACTTCCATCAATTTGATCCTCTCCGATAATGTGAATAATTTTGTGGCTAAATTTGGAGTTTATGACAACTTCTTGCTGCTCTTGATAGAGACCTAACTTCAAGAAAATGATCACCTTTTGTTTAAATGTTTCAGAACTACTTAATTCTTCAACATTAAGATTTTCTCCAATTTTCTCGACAAACGCTAATGCTTCAGAAATGGTACAAAAATCTCCTTTTCCATGAATGTCTACAGTGATAATATTTTCCTTTGGTACAACACGAGGGGAAGTAGATGGCTCTTCAAGTAATGGAGTCTGGTCAATCATTTCAACATCCTCTTCAGGTTGTTTAATTGGCTTTGAAGATGTATTGGGAACCACTGTGACGTATTTGGGGTGAGATCGGATAGATTTTAGTGGAACCTGTTGTCCAATGCCTTCTTCTAAAAATACTTCAGTGAATGCTTTCAAGCACTTCCAATAAGGAGCGTGTTGTGCAATTACCTGTTTGATGGCAATATTAGTGGCTTTAGAAGGAGGTTTTGATGTGAGAGGAGTAAGAGGATGATTAAGCAAACTTTTAAGTGAAGCGGTAGCACAGCTAGCTGTAACATCTGTTTTGTATCCTCCTTCCAAAGCTAAAACAAGTTTGCCTCCTGCCAATTGTTTTAACATGGCAATGATATGTTCATAACCAGTAGATGTGAGTGACATTCTCTTTCCTAAAATGTCTCCTTTTGCAGCATCAAAACCTGCTGAAACAATCACTAAATCTGGAGCAAACTCATTACACACTGGAATAATAATTTGTCTAAAAATTGCAATATAATCAGCATCACCAAATGTGGCTGTTGGTGACATTTTGAAATCTTTGGGTGGTAAAGGAACATTGAGTGTGAACCCTTCTCCTTTTCCAATACCAACCTCTTCTAGGGATCCTGTTCCAGGGAAGTAATTTTGTTCAAATCTATGAATTGAAACATAAAGTACAGAAGGATCATCTTCAAAAATTTCTTGAGTACCGTTTCCATGATGGATATCAAAATCAATAATGGCCACCTTATTGACATTTTTAAACTTTTGGGCAGCACGTGCCGCAACAGCAACATTGTTAAAGAAACAAAAGCCCATGGGATCCTCGGTTTGAGCGTGATGTCCTGGCGGTCTAATGATAGCCATGCCATTATCCAGTTCTCCGTTTAAAACCTTCTCCGTCAATTTGATCACTCCTCCTGCAGCCAGTCTTGCAGCCTTTAGACTAAATTGATTGACATGAATATCTTCATTCTTGTACTCATTATCTGAAACAATGCCTTGAAGAAGCATGTTGAAACTTTCTGTTGGAGTAAATTGGCCTTTAAATTCGAAAAAGTCGTTGATATATTTCTCGCTATGTACCAAGCTGAGTTCTTGAGTAGTGACTTCACGAGACTTCATAATTTCACATTCATCCAATAAATGATTTTCTTGTATCATATTCCAAATATGACTTATACGGACTGGCGTCTCAGGAATTGGACCCTCATGTAAACACATTCTTGGATCATATAACAATCCCGTTTTCTTTGGTTGATAGGACTGTACATTTAACGCCTCCATGGTCGGTATTTCTATTGGGCCTAGTATCAAAAACTTGCTTTCAGTACCTGACTCGGCAGATTGTGAGGTTGACAGAAGGTCAGCCATGCTTCTTTCACTATCAATGACGGTTAAATTATGTTTGTTTTTTTCAATAAATTCTTGAATATCCAGACGTCCATTTAAAAACGAATCCATATCAATCACTGGCTCATTGCTTTCTGAGGACTGTTTGACAAGTAACACTTTTGAATTATTCTTTTCAACTAAAACCTTTTCACAATATGTTTTTAGCTGTTCTATCGAATCAAGCGTTAAAAATAAATATTTTCTGTATTGAGAGGTCATCAACGACTCGATGGATGGATGTTCATATTCTTCTTCGGTTTTTCGTTTCTTTGTTGAGGCATCTTGAGATTCTAAATTTCTTTTTTGATTTTGATTTTGATTGTCATCTGTGGTTGAAGGAATTGGAACTAATTTCCAATCACGAGCGCATTCAAAAAGCCAATTTTTGTCTACTCGTTTAATGCCCCACTTGATAGAGGTTTCATACTTGGGCCCATTTGGCACCTTGTACAACAGATGAGTATTTTCTTGAGTCATGTTACTCGAAAACTTGGCTCCCATTGCTGTAATTAAATATTGAAATCTGAGTTTTTCTTTTTTCGAAAATCCAGAAAGGGCAAAGTTCTTTTGAATCATTTAACATTCATGAAAATCTCAATAAGTATTAACACTTACAAATGATTGCATTTCAGTAATTGGATAATCCTTTACGGGATAGTGAAGAGGATTTTGAATTTTTCTTCCATGTTTTTCTGTAATAACAAGAGGTTGCACCTGTGTATAAAAGATCAATTTTCCTGAATTCAGGAAACCCAATAAAAAACTTACTCCGTGAACTAAAATACAATCGTCAAGCCAAAAGCTAGATACAATTGTTTTCTTATCCTCTAATGCCTATTGCATATTCCGTAATCATTATGTTTCTTCTTTTGAAAAAAACAACATACCTTGAAATAATTTTCTCCTTTTTGTAAACTCGTAAGCAAGTGTGTGATAGTGCTTTTATAGACAGTGGTCACTTCTCCTCCTAATTTCTTTATCATTTCTCTGTACAGCTCAGCTTCATTTTCATCGAAATTAATCGTGTCTACAAGAAAAACACATCCTTCTAAGAATTCGGGAACGTCTTCGAGGTTAATTCCTGCAACGGAGATGGCATTGGTTGTTCTGGTTTGTGGCCCTTTTCTTCCTAAAGGGGTCAAAAACGATCAGAAAGCAATGAGGATAATATATTACGATGATAATTGAACACATAAAAGATATCAATTTTTCACTTACTGTTTGAAATGGTTGGTGGTGTTGACATGTAGATGATTGTTGATAATTAAAATAATTTAAGGAGTCGATGATGAGGATGGTTCTGTGATGAATTTTTTTCTTCGCGGCGACGATGAATGGCGATAGGATTTAAAAGTTTTCCAAATTATGAAAGATAAATAGTGTTGAAACGAGAACAACAATGATAATACGAAATACTATTTCGATCTAAAAACAGAGATTCTAACTACAATGCGAAAAAGATGAAATAATGATTGTTTCAACACTTGGACATGCGAAAAAAACTTCTAAAAGCGGCAAAATATTTTTTTAAAATTTTGTTTCTTTTTAATCATTCAGAAAATTAAAAGCTACACGGTGTACATTTCTTCAGCAGCGTTTTCATCCTTCTCAGAGGAGACTGTTGATTTCCTCTGTCTGTGTGTGGTAATTTGGTCCAAATCAACAAGCACTGAGGAAGTAGAAGCAGAAATCTCTGAAGACTTTTCAGAACCAACCACAATCACTCGCTCCTTTGAAGCATCTTCTAATTTTTCAAACAATGCATTCTTGTCTTTGCTTGGAGCCTTTCTTGGTGCTCTTTTTGCTTGCTTTGCTCTTCCGATATTTAAATGAACCATTTTACCCTCCTCGTTCGTTGGTTCGGTTGTGTTGGATGAACTACTTGGAGTCATAACATCAGAAATTGCTTTTGGTTCTTGTGATGACTTTACAGATTTTTCAGGAGTCGCAACAATGGTTGGAGATCCTTTGAATGTATTTCCAGTAACAATTGGTGAGCTTTCAATCTTGTCACTCAATTGTTTGACAGATGTAATTGGTCTCAGTGTGGCTGTTGAAGGAGAAAAGTTTGGTGTAAATACAGATCTACTTCTCAAATGCGGAGGAGCTGTTTTAACTTCTCCCAAATCTATTTTGTTTGATGTTGTTTTCTCTTTTGGCTGTTGATCCACTGCCTTATCACTTGTTGTGAAATCATCCAATTTCTTTTCTGCTTCAGCAAGAGGAGATACCATTGATGACACTTTCTTGTGAGCTGATCCTGCAGTGGGTTTTAACATCATAATTACAGGTGGCTGACCAGAACCTGACTCTGATCCTCCTAAAATGGCAACATCGTTACACCAACCTCCTTTAATTTTGCTTGCCCTGCAATTAGGAGAAAAATTAATTTCCAATGTGGGATGTTTCTTTTTAAGAGTTTTAGCAAATGATATATAGTCTCTACAAAATAATGTAATTGATTTCATTTTTGGATTGTCATCTAGTTTGATTTGCAAATGAAAAGGTAAAATCGAAATTGAGAATTGAGTAATTTCTGAAAATTTGAATTCATGCGAACTGTATGCAAATGACTGTTTTTGAAGTGACATAGTTGTTTCTCTATCTAAGAATGTTTGACACAAAGGAAGAGGTGACACTTGCATGAACACCAAAAAACACAATACTTACAATCATGTTGATCAAGTATTAAAACCTTAAAGTCCATAGTGGTTTTCCCTAACATTTGAGCAACAATTCCTCCAGTTGCAGGCTTCTTGTTATCTGAGTCATTCTTATTCTCTTCATTGGTGGAAGCTCTTGGAGGCATTGTTTCATTTTGAAGTTGTGAGTTCTTTTCTCCTAATTCAATTGTCTCTAAGACCTTTCCAACTTGAATGTGATACAACTCTTTCACCAAATTGTATATTGAAGTTGAGGATTCGATACTCTTACATTTCAAAATCACTTGCTCATTATCAGTGCCATAAATAAATGTCACCTTTTTCTTGACACATTTTAACGATGAAATATCTTTGTATGAAATATTCAGTTTTGGTTTCTTGTTGAGGATTCGGTCTTTACAAATAAATAAATTAGATTTTGACAAAAGTGATCCAACTTCAAATTCTGCCACAATACAATCATCAACCCGAAATTCCTTTCGGATTTGTTTGTCGAAGGCCTCTGGTTCGGGTTGGTTTGATGACTCTCCTCCCACAAGAAAATTATGATCACCCTCTCCCATACGGGATTTAGTGATGAAGTTGACCATATTCTTGTTGGTTCAAGTTGTTGTATGAATGATGGGCAACAAAAGACAGTGAATTTCCTTTATGATTGATTTTGTATTTTTTTGATTGACACGACCAAGGTCAAGGTCTGATGGCAAGTCGTCGTCACCCATTTTTATCGTGTTCTTTAAGGAACAAATACATGATGCATGATGAGGCTTTTGCATTTTAACCACCTCAAACAACATAAAAAATGTCTCATTCCCAAATTTCTTCTTCTCAGCTGGAAGGCAACTTCACCATGTTTGGGTCCAATCAGACTTCCTTAAGCATAGGCTTGCAACAACCTCAACAGACTTCTTTCAATTCTCAAGCAACAACTTTCTTGGCCAAATGTTCCTCTTTATCTATGTCCAAACCTACCTCTTCTCCTCAGTTGAGTAAATCCCAACAATGTCTAAACGGAAGGTACGTGATTCTTTTCAGTTACTCTCAACAATGTGATTAGTCAGGGAAAGAAACATGTTGTGCAGCTGAATGATATCATTAGAGGAAAATCAATCACCGACAACAAAAAGTCTTCCCAATCAACCTCTCAGAAGGATCTATTGATCATGCCTCAATGTTTAATACCATTGAATACCAATGGTCAAGATCAAGGAAGTTACAGTTCCAACTCCCAGTCAACCACTTTGGACAATTTCTTGATGAAATCGAAACAACCTTCAAGCACCACTATTCTCATTGAGAAAGAATGGTTTCAAACAAAACTAAATAATATTGAATCGCAGATACAGGCTCTTGAAAAACAAAGTAACCAAGGACAGGAAGAAATTTCTTGTCATCTCAACAACATGCTGAAAAAAGTGAATGAAATTGATGTTTGGCACCAAGAATTGACCTCTGTTAATGAAGAGCGTCATTTGGAAGTCATGCAAAATAGTAAGTACAAGAAAAAATAGGTTACCAACCAATAGGAAAGCTTCGGAGAACCATGGCGTTATGATGAACTTATTCTCTGGTTTGTCGCAGACGTTAGATGCTCAGGCACAAGTCATTAAAACTCTTTCGAACAACGTTCAAGAGATCACTTGTTCGCTGCAAGTGCTCTTGAAGAAAATAGAAGAAGAGGATGATGCACCAGCAGGAAAAAACAAAATCTCAAAGCAGAAGAAAATGTTAAGGAAAAACTCACAATTTGAAAAGGCCATGCAAAACATGATACAAGACAAAACAGTCCTTAAATTAAAGCATAAAAACGATGCAGCTATAGATGATTCATGGTTTTGTGACGAACTGTAGCTTGATATTTGAACAATTAATGCCTTAATAAAAGAAATGTTTTTAATTCCATCTTACTCATTTCTTTATTTTCGAGGCTCTACCTCAACTCTGCAATGCCACCTATCAAAAAATATCTTTTTTTGATGTTTGCGTCTTCTCGCGGAGCAGGCCAGCAAGTGGATAACAATAACTGCTTGTATTCTGCTGCTCGTGATGATGCCGGAGGTATTTTAATTACCGATTGTTCTTCATCCAATCCAACAACAACAACAACCATCTCTTGTGCAAACACGATGAATCATGACAACAATGACTCGATAAAACATGAATCAACAACAACAACAACAATCGGAAGACCTACTGGAGGTGATAATCAATCTCATCCCTCTCTCAAATCATTGTGCATACAATACATTGTACAAAACATTCACCACTTTTCTAAAGTACCAAAAGGTGTACCACAAATAGGAGAAGGTCTCGAGAAGACATACTTTTATAATGAATATCTTGAGAAATTAGAATGTAAATTTGCTAATCCTCTCTCATCACCAACAACAACAACAACTGCCACTTCTCCCAATTCATCATCAATTACGGGCAAGAATTTCAAAATACCGTCCAGACAACGAAGCAATTCCCTCTCAGCCAATGGCAACACAAACAAACCCTCACCAGTCGAGTTTTTCATCAACAACAATGCTCTATTCTCTGCTCTTAATGCTTTCAACAATCATCATGATATGGATGATGAAGTGTATCCAATTCCCCAGTTAACTTCTCAATCCATCATTAATGATTTGTGTAACTCAAAACAAATTACATTACCATTCTTAATCAAAATGAGATATACGGGTTTTAATTGTTTGAATTTATCATTGAACGGACGTGTGAAGGATGAATGGATGTTGTTATTGAGAGAACTTCCTCTCGAAACCTTGAATTTATCACATTGCCTTTTGACCAACCAAAGTCTCTATTTTTGTAAAGGTAAGCGTCGTACATGTAGTTGTTTGCATGTCGTCAATGTTGTTGTGATGTGCGAATATATACATACACTTTGATAAGGTAAAAAACACATCATTCCATGTCCTTCACCTTCTCTTGAAAATTCAAACAATTTTGATGATGACGAAATAACAACACTGGCGAATGACATGGAGGACTTCACTCAAAGCGACTATGAAGAACAATCTCCAACCAATGAAGATGATGAAGAGATGAATGACGATTCTACTCCACCACCAATTGTTGTTTCCACCGAAAAGAAAACAGTGACATTTGTTTTTGATCAACAAAATCCAAATCGAAAACCAAAAAAGAAGAAGAAGAAACAAGTGGCATCCTCGAGCAAACCAGGAAATGATAGTAAAAGAAGTTCTTCCAACGAGAGCAACCATGGAAAAGATGAAAAAAAGAGTAATGGAACTAAAAGTGTTAGTGGATCGACAAGTTCAGGTGGATCAACGAAAAAGCGTAAAGATGGCTCCATTCAAGTGATTACTCCATATCCTCTTTCGAGAACTTTAACCTCTTTGAACATGTCCAACATTCATGAAATTTTTACAGACGCCTTTAAATTGATACCTCAGTTGTTTCCTAATTTGACTGCACTGTCGTTTGAAGGTTGTTCAAATTTTACCAACAAGTGTTTGGAGCAACTTTGTGGGAAAATTTCAAAATCTGATAACTTTCCAGAAAGTTCCAAAACAAAACAACTTCGTAGAAATCTGAAAAAACTCAATTTAAAACGAACGAAAATTTCCGATGCTGGAGTTAGAAATATTCAAAGTCTTGTAAACTTGGAATACTTAAATCTAGGAGAAAATAAGCAATTAACCAATCATAGTTTCAAGTTTTTGAAAACTCTCAAAAAACTTTCACATTTAGAAGTATGTGGTAATGAGAGAATGACTGATGAAGGTTTTGGAAAATATCTCGGGCGTGGTAACTTGATAGAGTTGAAGACTCTTTCAATATCAGGTACATATATGGGAGATGATGTGAAAAACTTTTATCATTTTCCAAATTTAACCTGTTTGAATGCAGCCAATACCAATATTCAAACCATTGAGAATAATTATAACAATTCATTCGTATTTAATAACTTAACCAAGCTAAACCTATCATACTGTAAACTATTGGATGACCCTTCTACAAAATATTTTCTGGAGAGTTTGCATCATTTGGTTGATGTAAATTTGTCAAATACTTTCCTTGAAGATGATGCTATCAGTGGACTACTTTCTTCTCGAAAAACACTTCAAATTTTACACATTAATTCATGCACTCACATCACAGATTGGATCATACAACATGTATTACCATTCTTTGACAACATTTGTGAGCTAGGTTTAAGACATTTGAAACAAGTATCGTTTAATAATGGATGGTTTTATTTATTCAAATCAAATTTTCCAAAACTGGACAAGTTGTATTTAACTGCAAGTTTTATCAACCAAAGGTTAGAGGGTCGGGAAAGAGAACTATTTTCTGAGCTATTTGCTAACTTTTGCCAAAACGTAACCATACTAGATTTGAGCTGCAATATGAAGGGACTTGACGATCAGCTCATTGGATTGGCTCTTTCAAAAATGGCTTCACTCTCGTGGTTAGACCTGTCACATTGTGAAACTCTCTCATCAATCACCATACAGACAATCTCCAACTATTTAAGATATAATTTAAAGCATTTGGCAATTAGTTATTGCTACAAAATTGACGGCTCATCATTACCATTGTTGCAAAATTGTAGAAAACTTGAGGTGCTTTATATTTCTGGAATTAATAACTTCAAAACAAAGCATTTAAGACCGCTTTGTGATTTGGAAAATTTGTCAGATCTAAGTTTAATGGATTGCAAAAAGTTACAACGAGATGATGGCTGTTCTAAATGTTTAAAGATTTTATCAGAGGCAAAGTTCGCAAAACGTTTAGTAATGCTGAATCTATATGGATTGCTGATTTGGGAGTCAGCTCTTGACTATCTTGTCAGTTTTGACAGTCTTGTAACCTTAAGAATGAGCACTCATGCAGAAATGGAGAATATGGATGCTTTGTATTGCATTCCTAATTTGGTCTATCTAAAAACAAAATCTTTGAATTGGTAGTCAACGCATCATTTACAGACAAGGAAATAGGGCAGAGACATATCCACAAAATTGTTCCAGTATTGACTTAAATTGTTGATTTAGCTCAGAATCGTCATCGATAAAATTGGGTGCAATCTGTTTTGCAATAAGCTGTGCAATTGGTATTGTTAGGTGTTTGTTTTGGTTGGCTGTAACAAGGTTGATGAGTGCAATTGTTGCTTCTCGAAGCAGTTCCTTATCATTAGAGGATGCATCTTGCGCAATAATGTGATTCATTACCTCAATGAGAGAGTAATTTTGTACAAGTATTTCGTTGATTTCTTCAAATGAACTGATGTTACTCATCATGTAGCACCATTCTTTGTTCTTGTCTTTCAACGAAATGAGCAAATTCATGAGCTCAAATGCAAATGTCTGATCCAAAAGTGAAAAAAGGTTAACCTGGCTGAACAAATTTCCAAGTAATCGAACTATTGGCACATTAAATGCACAATTCTGTAGTTTGAGATATTTAACACAAATCTGTGCCATTTGAGAAAGAAAATTCTTTGAGTGAGATTCATCACTAAATTGTACAGGGATGGCTGTTAAATAAGTTAAAACAAAAAGAAGTTCATAAATGATTTCCACATCTGTTGCTTGTCTTTTCAACAACAAGTAGATGATTGGTTCATATAAATTTCCCAACGAGTTCCAAATTAATTGTTGTGGCTCACTTTGTGTATGCAAATGTAATAATTCATTCTTGATTATGTTAGAGGCACACCACAGTGTTGTTTTGACGACTTCATTGACTCTGCAAGCCCTAATAATGTTGGCTAAATATGGAATAGCTCCGTTTTGCACAATCACAGTGGAAAGAAGAATATTCCCTTCATGAACTCCGAGAGCAATATTACCAAGAGCCCAAATACATTGTTCTTGCAAAACAATGTCAATAAAAGAGTTAGAAATTATTTGAACTAAGGTTGAGATACAAAAAGCCACACAATCATCTCTAACAGCTGCAATATTTGTAATACACCATGCAGATTCTAATTGTAATTCTGAATATTTGCTCGTAAGATGATGATGAAATACATGAACTAACTGAGGATATTCATTCAAAATATCATTCAACGTTTCTGAAGAGCATTTAGAAAGAATCATTCGGCACTGCTTGATGGCACTCAATTTTTGAGACAAATTATTGGATAAAGAGGATAATTGTTCAAGATAAACTCCAATGTTTCCGACAGACAGATCGAGTTCGAGTCCGTTACTTGTGCCATGATCAGTTTCCTTTTTTCTTTTTAATTGATTTAGTAATTCATTCTTTTTGTTCTTGTAGGACTGTCTTTGAATGTCAATTCGATGCTGCTTTCGATTGGTGTAAGATATTTCGCTGAGAGTTTTGATGGAATTTTTCTTTCTATTGTCTTCTCTCGGAAATACGAATGAATTGCTATTCGGATTGTTTGGCTGATGATGATGCATTTTTAATGGTTGAACAAAACCCAAAAACAGTCGAGACACCCGAAGACGAAATTCAAGTCCATTTCGAACTCATCGGAGTTGATGAATTGTGCTGCCTCGCATCACGGGCGTTCTAATCATCATCACCACATTCAAAAAATTCACACACACACACACACCATGATCAACAACAACAACAAGACATTCATCACTCTGAACAATGGTACCACAATGCCATTGCTTGGACTCGGAACATGGCTTACCAAGTACGTACTCGATTCATCATCTGTTGGAAGCAGCGATTACTTTCATGTACCTTCAATCATAATTTGTAAATTATATATATTCATTCATGTACATACACTGTCGTGTGTTCACACCATCCTATACCATCATCGCGTCATCCACAATGACACAACTTTTAAAGACCTGGAGAAGCTGAACACGCCATCCGAACTGCTCTAGAGAATGGCTATAGACACATTGATGCTGCAGCCATTTATAGAAATGAGAAGGAAATTGGTAACACTTTGGATGCACTCATCAACCAAGAACATAAATTCAAGAGAGAAGACATTTACGTTACATCCAAATTGTGGAATACTTTCCATGCAAAAGAACATGTTCGAAAGGCTTGTCTTCAAACACTCAAGGATTTAAAATTGGATTATCTTGATATGTATTTGATTCATTGGCCATTACCATTTGCCTATGTTGGAGATGACATTCAAAAAGATGAAAATTGTTTTCCAAAAGATGAAAATGGAAAAATTAGAATAGCTTCTGTTCCTTTGAGAGAGACATGGGAAGAAATGGAAAAACTTGTTCAAGATGGATTGGTGAAGGTAAGTGAATGGATGTGTTTGATCTCTCAGAGGTGGATGTTTGTGAATGTTTGTGTTTCATTCTTTCCTCATATTGCATCATTTTGTTCACACTTTATTTGAATGTGTGGACAAAATCACATACCAACCATCGAATCATCACTAGTCCATTGGTGTTTCCAACTTTGATCTTGGACTTATTTATGACCTTTTGACTTATGCAAAGATCAAACCAGCATGTAATCAAGGTATGTAGTTTGTGTGTGTGCACATGTTGAATCATTCATGAATTCATTCAATGCTTCCCACACTGCACTATGATCTCTATTGCACATTCATCTCTCTCCACACTACAGTCGAATGTCATCCTTTCCTTGCACAAAATAATTTAATCAAAGGACAAAAGGACATTGCATTGGTGGCTTATAGTCCTCTCGGTCACATGTATGAAGGTTCTCCTGCTCACCATTCCAAAATTAAGGAAATTGCTGAAAAGCACAACAAAACTCCTGCACAAATTTTACTCAGATGGAATATTCAAAGAGGATGTGTGGTCATTCCAAAATCCACCAATGAGCAAAGAATTATTGAAAATGGAAAAGTATTTGATTTTGAACTTGATTCTGAAGAAATGGAAGCAATTAATGATTTGCAAAAGGAAAAGACTGTCAGAACTTGTGATCCTGTTACATTTTGGGATCTCCCTCTTTGGTAATTGATTTATTAGTCCATTCACCATTGATCTGAACAAAATGATGAGATTTATATTGACACTCACCCTCAACGTTAATAGCTATTGTGGCGCTGCATTCGAATAAAAAGTGTTGTGCTTATCATTACAATTTTCAACTTGAAATTTTTGATATCAAAATAGCCATTTTGAAGAGGGTTTTTTATAACCGATATCTCTCTTGAGAAATCTGGAATTCTGTATCGCCCGCTCTTTTTTAAATCCTTTCCTTTACAGCGGGCCTTTCTGTAAGATAACAATTGGTCGTTGGTTCGTTGGTCAACCCTGTTCACAAACCCACAAACCCTCTGATGGTTGTAAACTGTGTAGGTTGGCCAACCTGTAGACACGAACCATCAGTTTCAAAATTGTTGTTCGCCTTCTTGGTTTGCCAAACAGTCCATCATCTAATTGGGGCTATCATATGTTCGATTGCTCATCTTTCAATATTGCAAAGGAAAATCGTTACTTTGTTGGCACAGGCAAACAAAACAATCACACTTCCGAACTCGAGCGTGTGCACACGCCACACTTGTCATTGACACTCCTCAAAAAAACCAAATTTTTCACACCACCACCTCAGTAGTGATTCGTTCCTTCCAAGAGCTCTTCCTCTCTCTTGAACTGGCGTGTGATTCGTACCTGCACTCCTGAACACCCATTACCCCCACTTATCATCATCGCAAACAACAGAATATTTCACTTCAAGATTTCATCATCAACACGCACTCAGAGCACTCACACTGTTGTCGTCACTACTCAAGCAAGCATGATGGCATTCACACGTTCCTTCTTGCAAGTCTTGTTGTTTGCACCAATACTTGCTCTGTTATCAATGTCCTTGTTATTGTTGACAACAAACAATAGCAATGATCATTTGGTTTATGGTATGAGCTACACGAAAAGTGCCTTCACAAGTGCTTGCTCATCATGTACCAGTGCTTTTGGTCAATTCACTTACGATGGTTCCCAATTTCTTTACACGACAGCATTAGGTGCCGGTAATAATCTTTTGAAAATTGACCTCACTGGATCACCTCCCCAAACGATCACAACAATCTCTGTTGGAGCTCAACCAAAGTTTGCATCCTATGACAATGGTTTTGTGTACTACGTTAATGGAAAAACCATTTACAAGTATGACGGTACTACCTCGTCCACTTTTTTCGGCACCGGTGGGAACTCCAACCTTTTCGCCTTGACACGTGATGGTTTCAAGGCTGTGTACGGCAAAGGTAGTTCTCTCAGCAGATCCGATGGTGCCACTACCGCCACGATGACTGCAATTTCTTTGGATACCATTAATAATGGTAACAGTGTGATTTATGACGCTAATACTGACACTGTAAGTATTGTTGTTGAGAAATCAAAAGAATTTGATCTGATTCATCATCATCATCATCATCATGCACTTTCAATATCTAATCATTATCCATTCTTCAACAGTATTATTTTACGGATGGCTCCAGTTCCATTAAAAAGTTCATCAACTCTAATTCCACTGTTTCAACATTGGTATCAAGTGCAACCCCAATATTCCTTTCTTATTTCAACGGATATGTAAGTGTACTTGCAACACTTGATATATTGTGAATCAACCCAATACTACTTACTACCTTAATCGAACTAAATGATACTACTGTGAATATCTCAGATTTACTATACGGATACCAATGGCGCGATCAAACGTGTGGGTAATGATGGAACTGAGATTAATCTTGGTATTGCCATCTCAGGAACTTTGGGTGGCATCTTTGTGAATGCCTCCTCTGGAGACATTTATTTTGGGGAAGGAACAATCATTTACAAGGCATCACCTACATGCGATTCCAACACAGAGTCTTTAAATGCACCTTATTGTGACTGTTTAACAGGATATTATAGAGCTAGCAATTCTCTCATTTGTGTACCCACTTGTTTTGGTATTGCACAAGGAGCAAGTGGAGTATGTAGTGGACATGGATCTTGCAATGGTGTTGACATTTGTGTATGTTCAACGAATTGGGGTGGATCCAATTGTTCCATTCCCAAATGTTTTGGAATTTTACAAAACGAAACCTCAACTGTTTGTAATGGTCATGGATCCTGCAATGGTGTTGACATTTGTGCCTGCAATTCGAATTGGGGTGGATCCGACTGTTCCATTCCCAAATGTTTTGGAATTTTACAAGGATCACCAGGTGTCTGTAGTGGGCATGGATCCTGCAATGATGTCGATACTTGTGCTTGCCATTCTGGTTGGTTTGGTTCCAATTGTTCCATTCCTAAATGTTTTGGAATTTTACAAAACTCATCGGATGTGTGTAATGGAAATGGCACTTGTAATAATCTCGATACTTGTGTCTGTAACTCTTACTGGGGAGGAGCTAATTGTTCCATTCCTAAATGTTTTGGAATTTTACAAAACGAAACCTCAACTGTCTGCAGTGGAAATGGTACTTGCACTGGAGTTGACACTTGTGTTTGCAATTCGAATTGGGGTGGCGCTAATTGTTCTATACCCAAATGTTTTGGAATTTTGAAAGGTGCACCTGGAGTGTGTAGTGGACATGGTACTTGTAATGGAGTGGATACCTGTAATTGTACTTCAAATTGGGGTGGCTCTAATTGTTCTTTACCCAAATGTTTTGGAATTTTACAAGGTGCTCCTGGAGTGTGTAGTGGACATGGCTCCTGTAACAATGTCGATACTTGCGTATGTTCAGCGAATTGGGGTGGATCCAATTGTTCCATTCCTAAATGTTTTGGAATTTTACAGAATTCAACAAGTGTCTGCAGTGGAAATGGTACTTGTATTGGAGTTGATACTTGTGTCTGTAACTCTTACTGGGGAGGAGCTAATTGTTCTATACCCAAATGTTTTGGTATTGCTGCAAATCAAACCACAACTGTATGCAGTGGAAGAGGAACTTGCACATCGCCAGATACTTGTAATTGCAGAACCAATTACTACGGAGCAAATTGTGAAAAAACGAGTTGTAATGGAATTGCTTCTGACAATTTTGTCGATGTTTGTTATGGACATGGTGTTTGCTCCGATTATAACAACTGTACTTGCAATACCGGTTATGGACCTACCAATAATTGTCAATACCCAATTTGTGGAGGTTATTTAGCCAATGACACTAGAGTTTGTAATAATTCTCGTGGTATTTGTACATTACCAGAAAGGTGTTCACCTCTTGATCCTGTTTGTTATGGAATGGCAAAGAATGCCTCTGGTGTGTGTAGTGGAAATGGTACTTGTATTGACTGGGATTTGTGTCTCTGTAACAGTAGCTTTTATGGTAATGTTTGCCAATTTTGGAAATGTAATGGCAAAAACTTTAATGACTCGAGTGTCTGCAGTGCACATGGTACTTGTGCTTTTGTGAATTATTGTGTCTGTAATAATGGATGGTATGGCTCTAATTGTGATGTACCCATGTGTGTTGGAAAATTGTCCACTGCACCTGATGTTTGTAATTACAAGAATGGTACTTGTACCACACCTGGACCATGTTCCTGTAATAATGGATACACAGGTGATGATTGTAGTATTCCAATCTGTTATGGAATATATGGAAATTCAAGTCAAGTTTGTTCTGGAAGAGGTAGCTGTGTCAGTAAGGACAATTGTATTTGTGATCCTGCAAAATATGATGGTAATCAATGTGAAAACTACAAGTGTTATGAAATTTCTCAAGTGAACTCAAGTGTCTGTAGTGGAAATGGTACTTGCATTGGTGTTGATACTTGTCAATGTAATGCCAACTATACTGGATCCAAGTGCGATATTGTCAAGTGTTCAGGAATTTCAGGACAAGATCCTTCTGTGTGTAGTGGAAATGGTCAATGCATTGATGTGAACAAGTGTCAATGTAATTTGGGATACTATGGCGCAAATTGTGAGTACACTACTTGTAATGGTATTGCTTCAGATAGTGCTTTTGTGTGTAACTACAAGAATGGTACTTGTGCAACCTACAACAAGTGTCAATGTAATTCTAAATGGACTGGAAGTAATTGTGAAATCACTTCATGTTATGGAAAGTTCTCCAATGATGTTTCTGTTTGTAATGGAAATGGTGCATGTCTCTTACCAGATCAATGTACATGCCGTAATTCAAGCTATGGTGGAGCAACATGTCTTCCAAAGTGTTTTGGTATTCTTGCAGACGTCACTGGTGTCTGTAGTGCACATGGTTCCTGTGACGCACCTGACACTTGTCGTTGCACCTCTGGATACCTTTATTCCGATTGCTCTCTGTATTATGTTCCTGCTTCAGCCATTGCACTGCAATTCAATAGTACCACTGCTTATGTGAATGAAGCCTCTACCACACTCACTCTCACACTGAATCATACAACTTTTGCAGACACTTATATGGGCAAAACAGTGAGATTTTCATTCGATTTTGAATTTAATGGACAAGTGTCTTCCAATAAGACCTATGATGTGATTCCATCCTCAGCAACCACTAGTGTACAATTCATAGCTCCATCTTTCTCTAGTACTGGTTCTCTGAAGGCTTATGTTGCATTGACCGATGTTACGACTTCTGTGAAGATTTCAGACCGAGTTCCATCTTCTGCTGTTGTCTCTATTCAAGTGCGTCCAAAACCAAGCCCTGTTCCCTCTTCACAACGTAATACAGATGGAGGTGGAGGAGGAGGAAATGGTGGTGTCATTGCAGCAGGTGTGATTGTTCCTTTGATTGTGATTGGAGGAGCTGCTGGTGTGACAGCCACCATTGTCTCTGTCATTGTCTTTATGAAGAAGAAGGCTGCTGCGGCTGCTGCCAAAGAAATTACTGCTGCTCAACATGTGAATGTGGAATTGGCTGAAGGTTTCTAATTTTACTGTAGTTTTAGTTAAATTTGAATTAGTTTACTGTAGTATTCAAATTTACAAAATAAACAACAACAACTCCATCAAAACAACAATAAGAGCATAAATTGTTTAACCTTTTCGTTTGTCTCCCTTTGCTTCAACGCTGTAACATCTAGAATTGTTGGTAATGGTCGCATATATAGCCAGTTCTGTTTTTGTCACTTCTCTTTCAATTACTATTGCAATGATTTTCTCTCGTTCCATTGCATCAACATGGCATAAAATTGTTGAGCTTCAACGTCTTAAAGAATTGTACAAGAGTTTTATTCCTGCTCATGTGTTGCTTCAAATTGAGGCTGAGAATGGGGATGAAGATGATTACATGAAAATAGAAGATGTTCCAAAAGAGGAAGATGTGAAATGACATGTTAACAAGATGTATTAAATTCCTGGTTGTTTGCAACAACAGACTGACGTTCGTCTAATGATGACTGAAATTGTCAATTCACTTGTTCCACCAGCCCTCCAAAATCTTCCGAATATTCCCACGTCTGACCTTATTTCCAACACGTCAAAAAATTCTTGAAACAACAAGGTAAGCACATGATCTACTCTTTACTGTTGTTTTGAAACACTACTGCTTGAAGGAGGAACAAATACAAAGTTCGATCGCACAGCAATGAAACCCGTCTGATAAGAAACCGTTGGATTTTGCAAAGTCAATCCCTCAACAGTTGGTAATGGAAATCCTCGTTGGGCCAAAATATTGCCAATAGGCACAATACCATATTGGAATAATAGATTTACAATCGATGAAATTAATGAAACATCCAAATTCCCAATGGTGCTATAAGCCAATGTCACATTTGCACTCTTATACTGCAACGAACCTGTCAAATTATTTGCAACAATTTGCACTTCCCAATCCAAGAGAGCGTTCAAATTGAGAGCAAATGCATTCACTGGTCCAGTTGGAAGTATCACTTGGAAAATGGCTTGAGCAATCAAGGAAACCTCAACACCCTTTGGTGAAATTGTAAAAACTGGTGCTGTTGGTACTATGAAATCTACTTGTAATTCCCTATTTGGATACTTGTTATATAAAGCAGGAATAAAGAATTGAAGATTGGTGGTGTTGAACATCCAAGAAATAGCAGAAGGTAATGTGTGTTGTGTTAATAAATAATTAAAAATTCCGGCTTGAGTAAATGCAAATCCAGCAGAATTCAAAGTATAGTCACTGACAAACATTTCTATCATGACATCATTACCAAGTGAATTTGGCATGTACGAGGGTTGTCCTGGATATGGTTGTTGTCCCTTAATAAAACATCTTCCTGCAGTTCCAATTGTCATGTAAGTGGAAGGGGTATAACTCACAATTTGTAATGTGGAATCAAAAAGTACGCCATAGGAAAGAATTGGAATTTGTAAATTCAATGTTGACAATGTATTACTCAAGACATTATTCACAGCTGATGCCACTTGGGTGTTAATAGCATTTTGTGCAGCTTGTTCAATAGAGTTTTTAAAGTTATTTAAAAAGATGTTATAGAGCCATGATGCACCTCCATGTAATGATAAATTAAAGTTTGTGAATCTTGCATTGAATCCAGAAAGTACAATATTGAAATGAGTAGAATCTTGAATCACAACTTGAACATTAAATGTAATGGCAATGGTAATATCTGCATCAGCAGATCCACTGTCACTAATATGAGGCCATGAATTTTCTCTATAATGCCAATTCTATTCAAAGAATTTGGAATTACAAAAACGTCACAGTGTCACTCTTTGCAAGTTCCTGTCATTCTACTTACACAATTCATGTGTGCTGTTGCTGAGCTAATGGTAACACCCAATCCTTGAGGATTGACTTGAATGGAAGGTGTTGATAATCCAAGTCTACTCAAAGTGATGCTACTCAGTTGGTATGTGACATGTCCAATGGGAGTCTCTTTGAACACAAAGACATATTTGGTAATATATTGTTACAATAAAATTGTATCGATCATGTTGTTAAAAGATGATTAAAGACCACTTACCAACTTCACCCTGTACATCCGGAACAGCAATAGGGGCATTCAATTGTTTTTGAATTAACGGCATTAATTGTTGGGCCATGTAATTCAATGCTCTTTGTTGAACACTAGCCTTGATTCCGACAGGCAAGAAGGCACCACCATTGGTGTTTTTCATTTGTTGTTGAATGAATGACTTTTGAATTGAAATGGGAAGAGCCTCCAAATCTTGAGCAACCACCACTAGGTAGGCGATGCTGATGAAGGCTACTATTAGGAGGTAAGCGAAGGATGATGATTCTGTTCTGGAGTCAGTGATTCGGAGTTTCATTTTTTTACAATGAGAGAAAGAACTCAACTCCACAAAGAAGAATTGAAGAAACTCTAGTTGTTGAGCCTATTGCGCCTCTCTCGAATGATGATGATCTTATGCTTGGATAGTAGTTGAAAAAGGGGCAAAGTGGAACATTGTGTCGCATTATGATTGTTCTTTGTGTATTTGATACAATTAATGAATGTGTACGATTTGAATGATTTCCAACACAAGTTTTTATTGCAGAGAGACAATCGTTTCCTTTTTGAGAAATCACACCTCGAAGAGCCAACACTAAATCCTATTTTGCGCAGTCAGTCTGTCATTTCACAATAAGAAGCTTCTTCCTTCTTTTTGAAAAAGTTGGAATTTGTTTTACTAAAGGGAGTCTATACAGAAAAGTCTCACATTCAAGCACCACCGAGAGTGGCGCTATCTCTCATCATCCACTTGATGATGCAGAGAATCTTCTTGACTTTCGACATCATGATGATGTAGCATGAGAGTGTACCATGCTGATCATAGCTACTCACCAATTTTAAAAAACAGCATTGCCATTCTCTTTCTCTCTGGTTGCCATTCGACAAGTCTTTTACTACAACCATCATCTTTGAGCCTCATCGTTTTGACGTTGTTACAGAACCATCACTCCTTACAGACTTGTTGTTGAAGAAGAACGTGATCGACTCAAGTGTATATAATATCATTTCTGTACATAACAACATATTCTTCTCGTCGTATACTACTGCTACAACTAGTTGTTGTTGTTGTACAACCCATCTTCCACTAAGTGTATAACATCCCTTCTTATTGTAAAGAATTGCCTGTAGATTCATTAGTGTATAAACTGTATTAGAACATATACTTTCCAAATGTTCGAGACGAAAGAAGAATCACAAAACTATCCTCTCAAAAAGCGCCGAAGTAGTTTACTAGGAATGATGATTCCATCCATGTTGCTCGGACAAGGAGCAACAGCATCATTTTCCTCTCACTCTGATTTATTATCAACAACAACAACAACAACAACAACTCCTTCTCATCAATTACATGTTCCTTCTTCTTCTTCTTCATTGAATGTCAATGTGTGCGTATGTGGTACAAACAACACTGGAAAGAAAAGTTTGATTTCCTATATGGTGAATGGCTATCACAATCCTTCATCATTGGCGCCAAGAAGTCTCTACGACAATGACAACAGTGCTGCTGAGGATGAAGAGAGCGTTGAATCTTGGTGCGATCATGACATCTCGGCCCATCACTCTAGGGTGAATTCTTCTATTGTAGGGGGGTCAGCTGAGAAGAATTCAAGTTCCTCTTTGAATCACCCTTTTCATGCACGAACAATTTCAAAAGGAGATTTGTTGGATGTTTCTTGTCCTGATTATGTCAAGGAGTTGGATGTTAGTGGTTCGGAAAAGTTAAAATTGAACTTTTTCATTTTCTCTCATTCGGATACAGAGGTGAGAAGTAGAAGTGTCTTTGAGAATGATGTATCTTTTAAGAACATTATTAAGATTGCACATGTGATTATCTATGTCTATGATGTCACAAACATGACCTCATTTGAATCTGTCAAATATTATTATGAGCAAATATTGAATCTAATGAGCTCAAACGATGATGATGATTACAGCGAACATATGGAGAACTTTCGGTTGTCATGCTCTCCACATAGTCCATCTCTTTTTGGTCCAATACTTCAAAGGAATAATGTAATCATGAAGCCATCCATGGCGATTGGAGTGAAAACAGACCTTGAAGAGGAGAGAGTAGTCACTGAAAGTAATATCGTGTCACATCAAAGAATGATGAATGGTGTCTCATTCCATGAATGTTCATGTTTGACAGGAGAAAATGTACTCTCATGTCTTGAGGATTTGAAATTACTATCAAAACCAAGCTCTCTCTTGTCTAAACCATCAAGTGGCTCAGAAAATGGAAGAAATTCTCGGCGATCCAGCATTACTATTTCTTCTTCATCATCGAGGCAAAGCATGAGTTGCAGTAGCTCTCCAAATCTTGATACTGGCAACAAGAGAGCAAGTAGAATTTTCGATTCTGTGAAAAAAGTGAGTGATTTATTTAGAGCTCGGTCGAATTCAACATCAAGTACTCACTCAACAGCAAGAAAAATTCCAACTTCAAGCCCAGCCTCCTCCAGCGCACCAACAATTAACGATAAGAGAAGAAGTCAAAGTATTGGTGTCATTATTTCTCAACATGAAAAGAACACAGGATTTGTCATCAAACCAGAAATTACCAACACAGAGGAGTTGCAAATAAGCGTTCCCACTCAAACACAGCAGCTTTCTAATGATGGAGAATCTAAACAAGAGGTGCGAAAGAGACCAACAAGTTACTCGTGGAAGAACATTTTCAAAAAGAAATACTAGTGGTTTCGTATTGATCAAGTCAAGGTGGGATCTGTTTCTTTATAAACCAGTTGATACAAGTTATCGGATTTTCGTTGACATGCCTTTCTGAATTTCATTAAGGCAGAAACATATTCAAACACAAAGGAACCCGCTCTATGATTTTGTGTAAACAAACTTAGAGAGGTTACCAGCAGCTTGATGTAATGCGCAGTCACATCGTGTGGCAATTCTTCTCTTTCACAAACTTGTAGCATTTTCGTTATGTGATCAAATGTTTTGTTAATACACAATGCATAATCAAAGGAGCAGCACACTGAAAAGAAGTCAAAGATCATATCAATACAGTTAGAAAGGTATCCGAAAGAAACAAGCACATCGATATACTTGGAAATGAATTTTGGATATGCCAAAAATAAGTTATCTTGTCGACACTTCACATGTGTGTCGATATAATTAAAGAAATGGTAGAGTAAATTGGTTTTCACATTTTTGTAGAGCTCAATTAAATAGAGTCGAGTTTCTCCGTGGTTAATATCATAGCAATATTTCAAATAATCACCAATAAATTTTAAATATTTCACGTTAAATGTTTGTTTGAATAATACGCTCAATAGTAGAACGGTTAAATGAATATCCTGATGTACAAATGGTAAGATTAACTTCACGAGACGCTTAATTTTTGTTTTATATCCTAACCAAAGTGCCATCTCTTCAGCCTCGCCAATATGTTTTTTTTGAATTTTGATGTAAGGTAAAATAATTCGATCATAAATATTTGTAATGTCAGAGAATTTCAAATGATTGGAGTTCAATTTTCTTAAATTTGCAATTATTTCATCCTCATTATCAATTTTTTCACCTTTCTCAAAACCATCAATTTCTTCGTTGTAGATATCCATTGGAGTTTCAATTATATTGATAACCTCCTCAAATATCGAAAGCTTGTTATTTACAAGTACAATAATACGATAGAATATTAATGGACATTCTGATCTGCAAACTAATGGATCAAGTTTTGATTGTTCAGTTGGCGTGTTGACATGATTGAGAAATGTTTTACTTGAAGATGGACTAGTGACAGGTGATGTTATTGGCAGTGATCCAATTGTTGTTGATGAAAGAGTTGGCAGTGTAATAAGATTTCGAATTTCATTGTTCAAAATACCGTTATGCACATCAGTTATGTTGTGAATATTACTATTACATGAGAGAGAAGAATGTGAAGAAAATCCACTACTACTTTGTCCGTCATCATCAACTGTTCTCCGATGCGTCAAACTGTTATTAGGATTTGTGAGTAAAGTAGGTGAGCGTTGATTCAAAATTGGGGAAGAAGAAGGAATTGGAGAAATGGGATGAGTTCTTGTTGCTTGTTGTGCTTGATATTGGGGAGGAGGACGGAAAACTGGTGATGCAAACGTACCCGGAGTAAAATGTTGAAATAATCCTTGAACAGTGTTTACGGGAAGTCTATTAGCATTGTTCACTATAGTTGTTTGTCATGGTGATGATTGATGGATAATAATTTAGTGATCAATTTAATGCCATCATGGTGAGTACTTACTCGTTGGGGGAATAAATCTATTGGGAGAGGAGGTGTTCATGGGAGGTATAAAAATGTTCGTCTGATTGCTGTTTCCACCATTCCGATGTGGAAGCGACATTCTCCATCACATTCAATAGGAACGAGTAACAATAATGGTTCAAAAAATTAAACCAACACACAATCGGTTAAAACACACGCGTGTGAGTGTGGAGTTGTATTTTTTTATAAATTTGATTGTTTTCAAATAAATGTTGTTGTTGTTCATAGATGAGCACGAATTAACAATCTTTGATCAACTTCGATGGAGGTATACCTCACCTCCTTCTGTATCCACTACTCACACTACTCGCAGTATACATGGGTTGTGCCAATAATGAATAACTTTCATTGGGATCTCCAAATGGACATTTCAATACAAGCATTCCATCTTCATCTTCTATTTGTAATGGTTCATTCTTAATTAATTCATCGTAATTGGAATCACCTAACATGGCACCACATGATCTTCTATATTTCAACCAAAATCCTCGATCAAAGGCTTTCAATAATTGATATTCTTCAGAGTTTTCAAAAGAAGGATCCACATCAATTAAATCCTTAACAAATAAATCCAAATCTTTGTGTGTTTGAAAGGTGTGTTTCTTTTCAATCATTCTATAATTCTTAGAGGGGTGTTCTTTAAAAAGAGAGTTATACTTGTCTCTAAATTCCTTATTTGTAGTAAACATGACATCTGTTAATCCCTTATTGAAAATAGTTTCTAAATAATCACCAATGGATGTATTTTCAAATTTAAAATCTTTCACACCAATTTTTCGAAGCATGAATATTGTAAAATCTTGACAATTGGCAATCTTTTTTTGTAATTTTCTATCATTACTGATACTTCCATAGGAATATTCACGATTCCAACGAGAAACTTCTTCTGAGAGCTATTCAAGTGATATGAATTCAAGAAAAGTGAAAGTCAACAACAACAACATTTCATATGACTTACAATTTTCAAACAATCTTCTAATTCATTCATGTCATAAATTTCCTTCACTGTAATAGCCAATAAACAAGAAGTTCCTTTCACATCCGATGTTTCACAATATTCTGATTTGACCCAATCGAATTTTAAATTTGAAATAGTAAATGCTGTATGGACCCACCCAAATTGACTAAATACATTGACAAAACTATTCACAGTGCTAGCCATTTTGCTTGCTAATTTTGGTTGATTTAAATCTGAAATGATTAATTTGACTTTGAGAGGTTTTTTGAAAATAATTTTGTGACCTTCGTTTTGTTGTGCAAAATATTCATCGATTGAAAGAACACTGAGAGTGGTGTCGGACTCTTCATTATCATCATTGTCATGATCACCATTATTGTAATCATCTTCATTCTCATCATTGTCCTGGTGACAAGTAGTAGTAGTAGTAGTATGGTACATGGAAGGATGGGAGGATTGAACTATTGGTTGAGATTCTTGTGGAGAAGAGAACTTGAGAACATCATCTTTCTTCTTATTGGCTCGACATTCTTCCACATATTCATTATAAATCATTTCTTTCACTGCTTTTAACTGTACATTGAAATATCGATAAAAGTGTTGTGGAGATCCAATTCGAATGGCATGTTTTCTCATGGATAAATCATTGGGTGCATTATTGGCCTGTTGATATCGTTTTTTAATTTTACAATACAAGGTATAAATTCCTTCCTTGTATTCATCGGAAACTTCATTCCAAGCCTCAATATCAGAAAATGTTTCATTGGCCAAATTGAGAATTGTAGAGGAGGAGAATGTTGATGATGATGATGATGTGGGGAGGAGGAGTGAACTGTTGTTGTTGGCCACAGCAGACGTTGTTACAGGAACAGATTGAGAAACAATATATATTTTTGAAGGAGAATGATTGGAATGAGGGATCGAGTGGGTGGTGATGGTGGCACTTGTGGGAGAATGTTGTTGTTGTTGTTGTGGATTGGTGGTACTAGGAGGAGAGGAAAATGCATTTTCCGACAAAGACGATGAATGATTGTTGTTGTTGGTGGTGGTGGTAGTGGCAATAGCTGCAGTTGTGGCGGAGGGAGAGGGTTGATTACTACCACTACTTGGTGTTTTCTTTGTAGACTTTGACGGAGAATGAATATCTGCATCCTCTCCATCATCACCAAACGTTTTGGAGTTGGCCCGCGATTTGAGGACAACGTTCCCCATTTTTTTGTTGGATGGAAATTGATGAGTGACGTGAGGGAAACAGGTTGGTATTTATTGCTACTCTACCAACAATGCAGAGGATTTATCGATCGATTGTTTTCGCCGAGAAACAACCTTCTTTACATCACTAATTTCTTGTTTTGTTTCTTGCACCTTTTTCTTTTCTTTTTTTGTTTTATGTTTTTCTTCTGATATTTGTTTGTCTGAAAGCTTTGGAATTCCTTCATTCTTTATCTTTAAAAGAGTTTGTTCCATGTATTTTGCATCAAGTGTCGTTGAAGAAAGTAAATCCAATAAAATTTCATTCCTCAATTTCAATAATCTATTTTCTTGTTCCAATTCTTCCATTCGGTCCTTAATATTTTTTAAATCTGTGTGGTCAAGTTTGATAAATTCCCCTTGATTTATCTCTCCCATGTATTCAAGTCCTCCCGTTTCTGAGTTCATACGAATCATCATTTTACCAAGAGTACATTCGATGGGAGTTTTTCGGGTGGGTAACGTTTCAGCCTCCATACCAGTCTTTGAAGGTTTTCCTGCCAGATATCGTCGGAGTTTGGTCCAGTTATTAGTCATGTTGATATTCATTTTGTGAAGAAGAAGGGGTGTATTAATAGAGAGCGGGCTTGATATTCAAACGATGATGTTTTTTTTGGTTTTGAATTTAACGAGTAACGGATAGGTGGCGATAAATCTGTAAGCTTTGGCGGGTGATGGTTTAAAAATTAAAATGTCCTTACCTACGTTTCAGCAGTAATCAATCTAAAGACTTTATTGGTATAACGAACATCTACAATGTGTGCGCCAATTATTTTGCCTTCGAATTATGAATGATGATTATTGAGGCTACGATGAGAACTGAGGTAATTTCAACGCTAGTAGCTATTTTTAACAAATACACACCAAAAAAAATGCATCCACAACATCTGTCTTCCTTGAACCACAATACCACAAATCGAGAGGGAAGTAGACAAGTTTCTAATCATCATCAATTTGAAACACAAACACCACCACATGATTCACGTAATAACAGGCAGTCTATCACGGACCAACGTCCAGAATTGAAACGAAAATTCGATGAAGCTATTGTTCCGACTCCGAACACAACAGTAAAAACAAACAACACGTCGACACCACCATCAACAGACGCCGCCAGCGAAATGGAAAAAAAGAAAGCACGATTGGAGGCTTGGAAAAAGAAGAAGGAAATGGGGGCACTTCAAAAACTGGAAGAAGAAAAGAAACAAAAAGTTGTAACAACAACTCCCAACGAAGATGCCACCAACAAGGTGCCGACAAAGCCTTTAGCATCATCTGTGGAAACACTCAAAAAAAATCGGGTGTATCTCTCAAGTTTAATTCAACAACAAAATCCAAACATCTTCAATCAACAAATAATTCGTTACTCACTGCAATCATGGAGGATGATGATGTCAATGGCACATTGTCAAAATCTTCCACTTCTCTTAGCTTCCTTGATGACGACGAGAAGGTTCCAACGAATACCACAATGGAAGAGGAGGAGGATGAATTTGAAAAATACATGTCCACTATTCATAACAATTTACAGCAACAACAGAAGCATTCAGTGTCTGACAACGGTACGTTAAGTAATAGCAACAACACGGAGTATTCTACTGAAAATAGAACCCAAAAAGGACAAGTCTTATTTTCTGAGGATCTCGACGTAGATATCGACAGCTATTTCATAACGAAGGAGGACACTATTGAAAAAGGATTTGATGGAATGTCGGATCTTCAAAAACAGTCCAAAAAAGATTTAAAACCTGTGGATCATTCACAAATTGATTACATACCCATTCGTAAAAACTTTTTTATTGTCCCTAAAGAACTGAGCTCAATGAATGAAACAGAAATCAATGAACTCAGAAAAGAGATGGGAAATATTAAAGTTCATGGACATGACATTCCTCCTCCTGTAAAATCATGGACCCAGTGTGGATTGAATGATGTGATTTTAGGGGTAATTGATTCACTTGGATATACAAAGCCTTTTGCAATTCAGTCTCAAGCTCTTCCTTGTATCATGAGCGGAAGAAATGTGATTGGTATTGCTAAAACAGGAAGTGGAAAGACTTTGGCATTTGTATTACCAATGTTAAGACATGTTTTGGATCAACCTCCTCTAAAATTTGGAGATGGACCCATTGGTATTGTGATGGCTCCAACAAGAGAACTTGCGATACAAATTCATGATGAATTGGTTAAATTCGCTGAACCTCTTCAGTTAAAAACAGCTTGTGTTTATGGAGGTGCAGGAATTGCCGAACAAATTGCCTTGTTGAAAAATGGCGCCCATATTGTAGTTTGTACACCAGGAAGATTAATCGATTTACTTTGCGCCAACAGAGGCAAAGTTACGAACCTAACACGTGCATCATTTGTGGTTTTGGATGAAGCTGATCGAATGTTTGATTTGGGTTTTGGACCACAAGTAATGAAAATTTTGAACAATATCAGACCTGACAGACAACTAGTCATGTTCAGTGCTACATTCCCTCGTCAATTGGAAGCTCTTGCTAAAAAAGTAATGAAAAATTCGATTGAAATTATTGTTGGGGGAAGATCAGTAGCATGTGAAAATGTAAAGCAATACGTAGAGATTTATAACGATGATTCTACCAAATTTTTAAGATTGTTGGAATTACTTGGCAAATATAACAAACCCAATTCAAGTATTCTCATCTTTGTAGACTCTCAAAACAGTGCAGGAGATTTGTTTAGGGATTTGGCTCTAGCTGGCTATAAGGATTGTATTTGTACTCTGCATGGAGGAATGGATCAAATTGAACGAGATTGCACCATATCCGATTTCAAATCTCAAAAATACAGTATCATGATCGGAACAAGTATTTGTGCTCGTGGACTTGATGTTCCAAGTATTCGTCTCGTTGTAAATTATCATTGTCCTGATCACTATGAGGACTATGTACACCGAGTGGGAAGGACAGGTAGAGCAGGTAGAAAAGGAGTTGCCTATACATTCATCTCAGCCTCAGATGAAAAGTATGCTGCCGATCTCATCAAAGCTCTCAAACAATCGAATAACCCAGTTCCAGATGAACTTGTGAAACTTGCTGAGAATTATACAACGAAAAGAAATCTTGGACTTGTGCAAGAAAAGAAAAAATCGAATGTGGTGTCTGGATTTGTTGGAAGTGGATTTAAATTTGATATTCATGAAGAAAATAAGAAACTCGAAGAAAAGAAACATCTTGCTCTTTCGTATGCTGTTTCCAACAATGATGAGACCATTATTGATCAAATTGATTTACCAACTGAAGATGAGATCAAGAAACAACAAGAAAAGTCGAGTCAAAAGAAAAAAGCAAAGAAAGAAGAGACAGTTGTCGATAAGGCAACTAAAGCAGCTGAAGCTGTTTATAAGGACATTGACAAGAATGATGCAATTACTGAGGAAGAAAAGGCAATTCAACGTGCTCAGCTCTTTGCTGCTGCTCTCACCGTTCATACGTCTCTCTCAGAGAAGCAAAAAGAAAAACAAATGGCTCAAAAGATGCTACAAAGTGTTGTTAATATTGGAGGTCTTTTCAGAACGGAGGTTGAAATCAATGATTGGCCTCGACCAATCAGAATGGAATTACTCAAAAAGGACTCTCTGCATAGTGTTCAACATTTTACAAACACAAAGATCCATGTGAAAGGTACTTTTGTCCCTCCAGAGTCACGTCCAAAACAAGGTGAACGAAAACTATATCTCTCTATTGAAGGAACAACTGAGGAATCGGTCCAACAAGCACGTTCTCAAATATTGAACATGTTAGGAGAAGACTCCACTCTGTCCATGGATAGAAGGCACACAGGACGATTCACCATGTAATAAATGGTAAAATTCAATCCATCTTAAAATTAATTTTGCAATAAGTGCTGAATCTTGTAAAATTCAATCCATCTTATAATTAATTTTTCAAGTGCATTAATGCAAATCACCCCAATTAGTGCCACTCGTGATGACCACTGGAGTAGGGATTGATAATTTGAAACACGACTCCATTGATTCCTTGATGATTTGCTTTGCTTTTTCTAATTGATCTTTCTTCACTTCGAACAAAATTTCGTCATGTATTTGCAACAAGAGTCTCATTTCAACCTTTTCTTGTCTTTTTCGTTTCCAAACAGAAAGTAACGCTTCTTTAATAATATCTGCGGCAGATCCTTGAATCTTGGAATTGAAACTTTGTCGTTTGGTTCTTGAAATTAAGCTGATGTCAGTGGACCAAATAGATGATAAATGTCTGAATGTAAGAGAAGTGTACATATTAAATTCGCAACAATGCAAATAGTTACCTTCGTCTTCCTGTTATGGTCGTGACATAACCATTTTTCATAACCTCTTCTTCAATTTCTTCTCTTAAAGCTTCTATTCCCTTAAATCTTTGGAAAAAGCTATTTCTGTATCTTTTCGCATCTTCTATTCTGTGAGTACCTATTGTAAAGATATTTCAATTTCAGGATGAGAGAGTTAATAGTATTAAAATTCATAGTAATAGTATTATTAAAATTATTTTTTTTAAACAATTAACAAATCTACTTTAACTTACTATCAAACAATTCAATGGATAACTTGTCATCTCCCATTCCATATATAATTCCATAAGTCAATGTTTTCATTTGAGATCGTTGTTCATCTGTAACATGATCATAGTCTGTTGTAAACAATGCACTTGTCATTTGTTTAAAAATATCAATTCCATTTCTTTGATCATCCTGTGAAAATATTTTCAATAGTGTTGGATCTTGACTAAAATGAGTAATAAGACGCACTTCAATTTGTGAAAAATCAGCACTAATTAATAAACAATCATCACTTGTTGTTGTAATTGCAGATCGAGTATTAATTGTTACTTGTCTCCCTAATTCTTGACTAAAATAATTCAATGGTTTTGGAAGTGCTTGTAAATTTGGATCTCGTGATGAGATTCTTCCTGTCGAAGTTGCATTTTGTTCCTGTGTTGAATGAATTAAATGTCTTGAAATGGATGATTCATAAATGACATATTTTTGTTTGTAATCTTTGGTAAATTTAGTTGAAATATTTTGTAATTTTCTAAATAATTGAATCGATTCAATCACATATCGATATTGTGGATATTGAATCGATAATTTTCTTAGACAATCCTTATTTGTAGATTTTGCACCTTTTTTACAAGTAAGAGAAGGAGGATTCATTTCCAATACATCATACAAGAGATGTGAAATGTCATTATTGTTAGTGAGTGTCAATTTCTTTCTTGATAGTTTTTGTAATTCTCTTGTTAGATATTCCTTTTCTTTTGTTACTAAATTAGATAATTCATCAATTTGTTTGACATTACATCCTACTCCATTATATTCCATTGATGCTATAATTGGAATTAATTGACTTTCCTTAATGAATGGTTGTAATAAATTGAGATTCAAAATGTGTGGATATAATTTGTTCATACAAGCAAAGGACATGTAAGAATGATTGGCAAGAGTGGTACAAGAGTTGTCATTCCAAGAAGAAGAGGAAGGTTTTTTCTTCTTCTTTTTTGAGGAAGAGTTTGAGGAGATGTAAGAGTCATTACTTGAATATTGACTATCTTGTTGATCATTCATCATACATGAACTCCCAGGATTAGTGGTGGTATTAGTATTGGTGGTAGTATTAGTATTGGTGGTGGTATTAGTATTGGTGGTAGTATTAGTATTGGTGGTAGTATTAGTATTAATATTGGTACTACTACTAGTAGAAGTACATTCATGAAACAAATCATGATACATGTGTGAAATTGTACTTTTAGGTTCATGTTCTAAACTTGTATCACACATCCAATCCATAATGAGTGGATCAAAACACAAATTGTTGAATTCAAAAAAATAATCTGAATTCCTACTACATGTTCTCGGATGACTCATGGAATTCCCATTTCTACTACTACTTGTTCCAAATAAACCATCTCCATATAAATATCCTAATTGTTGTTTGATGTTAAAACTACATGCAATGATATTTGATTTGGAGAAGATCATTTCTTGAATTTTCTTTTTGATCTTTCGAGTGGTTGGACTTTTAGAATCAAATTCAATGAAATAGACATTCTGATCTGAAATGGTATTGAAATCAGTTTCATCATCAATGAATTGAAGAGTATTGTCATTCTTTTCATTGCTAATTTCATTCAAAATGAATCTTGTTGAAGTGTTGTTTACTTCACTTGCTGCACCACCAATCTGTTCTTTCCATAATGAAGTTTTTGATGGCCATCCAACTGCAATTCCACTGATATTACAAATTCTTTTTGAAGTAACACAATCATCTCTTTTCAATGAGAAATAATAGACTTTTTGTTTTGACCATTCTTGTATCAATTCATCCAATAATGGATTATCCGATTGAGTGGATATTATTTTAACTTTCAATCCTAAGGAAGAATTGATTTCAGAGAATTGCATTTCAATTTTTTGTTTTTTTGATGAAAGGAGATGATGATCAAATGAGGGAACAATACGGAAGGATGGAATGACCTGATGTTGTTGTTGTTGTGGAGTGGAATGTTGTGATCCATGGTGTTTGTTCAATGATAAGGATGGTAACGATGATGGTAATGATAAGGAGGAGGAGGATGGTCGTAGTGATTGATGTTTTGCATGACTGATGAATGTACTACTACTATTACTACTACTACTTGTACTACTATTGCGATTATTTACAGGATCACAACTAACAACATTGCTTTCACTATTCATTTCCATAAAACTTCTCTTATTGGATAAAGAGGTGATGGTCATAGTACCACTACTATTACTACTAATGATGATACTTCTAGTACTACTATTGCTACTACTACTACTACTACTACTAGTAGTACCATACATTTGTGCATATTTTGGAGGTATCACAAATTTCTGAGGTGGTGGAGATTTGTTTGGTACTAGTAGTGCAGAAAGAGACGTTCTTGTGACACCAGTGGTGATGGTGGTGGTTGGGTTGCGACAGTTGAGAGAAGTATTAGGGATAGTAGTGGTGATCGTAGTACTATCACTAGCAGTTGCATTATTACCACTACTGCTCAAACTCTTATTCCTTTCCTTGATTTCATCATTCTTCATGATTATCCTAGTGTGATGAGTGATTGGCAGAGGATTACAACAACAAGGATTACGAGTAGTAGTAGTAGTGATAATAGTAGTAGTCGATGTATTGGATGAGGTATGAGGAGTTGCAAGAGGAGTTTGAATATTGTTACTCCTCATCGTCATTGTTTGTGGTGGTGCTTGTTGTTTGTTGTGAACATTCTTGAAAGGTGGAGGAATGAATTTCTTTGGTGTCAAAGTGAAACTACTATTGTTGCTATTGTATTGGTTATTCCATGAACAAGTAGTATTGGTGGTCGGTACTGAGGTGGTTGTTGTTGTTGTTGCTTCTACTCCCTTAGTAGTTGAATCCATTTTAACATTTTTAGAGAAAACGGTGGGACGAGGTAGGAGTGGTGGTCGTGGTCGTGGTGGTGGTGGTGGTCGTGTTGGTCGTGGAGATGATGATATCAATGTCATTATGAGAGAAGATGATGATGATGACTTGTTTTGAGGTGACAACGTCGTACTCAATTGATTCGATGATACTACTACTTTTGAGGAAGACGGTGGTGGATTCTTCATCATTCCACTCATTGGTGGCATATCACCATTCGTAGTAGTAGTAGTAGTAGTAGTAGTACTAATTTCAGAATTCTTACTACTCGTTGAATAGTGGTGTTGATGATTGATATCATTACGAGCAGCATGCTGATCATCAGAAGAGGAGGTGGTGATTGGGAATTCATCTAAAATCTCGAGATCATCCCAAAGTGATACATCATCATGCAATGTTGTTGTTGATCCGAAAGTGTCTTGTTCCATCATCATCAACAACGCGTGGTGTTGTTGGTGATTACGGGTTGGTTCTTCCGAAGAAGAAGAAGAGGTTGGATGGCCAATCACGTGATTGAACATTTGCGATTTTTTCTTTTTGAAAAAGTTCGAGCATTCACTCGAGTGGCCACCAGCATCTTCATCTTTCAACACTTTTTTATTTAGAAGACACTCGAAAATTGCAAGAAAATTGTTTTGCAACCAACCAGTAAGTACTCTCGATGGAATCTATGAACTCTTAGAGTATGAATGTGTGAGCTGTTACATGAATTTTCTCGAGAATTGATGAACCAACGCGCAGTTGTTTGAACCAAGAAGCAAAAGTTATTTTGGGAAACTGCACACAACTTAAAGACTCCTTCAAAAAAATTCTCTCCCCCGAGCAGGATATCATTGATTCCCATCAATCTTTTGTTTGATTTTATTTGGTCGTTCACAATATATCAAGTATTATTCCTGCACACACTATCATTTCATTGAAATTGTTGATGGAGGTTAAACCTCTCTAACACCATTTCAATATTATATATATATTCGATATATATATTTTTCAAACCATTTCATCCTCTTGGAAATCCTCTCTGTCATCATCGGATCAATATCTCCACAACAACAACAACAACCTCAACACCAACTCCACAACAACAATAACTTCATCTCACATTGAACTCTACAACAATCAGCAATGTCATCATCATTGACTCATCACAACGATGATGCTGATGCAAACGACTCTCTACTCTCGTTTAGCAACATCACTTCTACCACCAGTAACCCTTCCACAACAACAACAACCACTGCAGCTACCAGCTATCAAGATGTTGCCATGATGAGTTTGTCCATCGACCCACCCCAATCTATTTATGGTAATTATAGTAACGGTGGTGGTGGTAGTTATGGTTTGATGATGGACACTTATCCTTTCCTTGCATTGGTGAATCCTCACCATCATCATCAACAACAACAACCATCACAACAACAGCATGCAACAAGTGCGTTTACAATCTCTCACAACCATCTCACCACCACCACGACAACTCCTAACATGGTAGTTCAACCACTCTCAACACCACCACCACCACATCAACAACAACATGACCAACAACAACAAGCCTTACTAGTGTTGCAACAAGAACAACTTTCTGACATGTTGCAATTCGCCACCTATCAGAATCAGTGGACCCAACATCATCCTTCAATCCATTCTTCCCAACCATTGAACTTTATCATTCCTCAACAGCATGCAATTATTCAACAACCAATACCATTTCTCATGACAACATCTCCTTCTTCTCATCATTTGACAAATATGAATCATTCATTCCAATATGGAGATGCAATTCCGAGAATGGGTCCTCAGGATTCCACCTCGTTCATGGTGATGACAAATGGTCATGTTGGTCATGGTGGTCATGTTGGTAGTAGTACTAGTGTTGGCCAGAGTGATGGTGACATGCCATCGACTAGTGCTGCTAGTGGTCATGATAACAATAATAACAACAATATCATCATACCTCCCAACACAAATCCACAACCTCTCACCACTCTGACCGATGATTTTGATGAAATATTCATGAGTGGATGGTTTGACAATGATGGTACAACAATTGTTTCTTCAACAGAACCAATTCTTCAAGTTCAGAAGAATGGAGCAACAGGCAATCATAACATGTTTTTTGGAGAATCATGCCATCAACAACAACAACCAGCAGCAACAACCTCAACCACAATTGTTGATTCGAATCCATCACTTTTGAATGATGACGAGATACTTCCTTCCACTCCATCCACAACATGGTTAAAAGTCATTCCAGATCAAGATGTCATGTTCTCTAGAAATTATGATTCCTATTCGAGTGTAGTGTTACAACCATCCAATACTACTCATACTAATCATGCTACTACTACTACTACTGGCACTAACACTACACTTCCTACTCAACAACAATGGTTACTCATGATGCATCATCAGAATCATCACTCCAATCCTCCTATTTTCATCAACAACACACCAGGTATACCAATGATGATGATGAACAATGATCATGCAACAACATTATTATTGAATCAACAAGTAAGATCTACACATCACACATCAAATATCATCATTCCTACGAATAGTACTGAACTTGCTACCACAACCAAAAAAAAAACTTCCAAAAGAGGTCAAAAAAGAAATTGTACAGAGTTGTTGTTGAACACTCATACGTCGTCGTCTTCGTCGTCGACTCACACAAATGACAAGAAAAAGAACAAGTTGAGTCAACATGCAGCTACTACCAACAACATCACTTCTCAATCTGCCTGCATCATTGAATCCTCACATGATGAAGAACATGTTCTAGTACCACCACCACCACCACTACCATCCTCTTCATCATCCTCTTCATCATCCTCTTCATCATCCTCTTCATCATCCTCATTAAATAGGATCAGTTCAACAACAACAACAACAATTCCTTCCAATCATGATCCTCACACGGTGGTGGTAGATTTACTCCAGGTGGATCAAGTCTCTGTACACACCACTTCCACAGATGCTACCAATAATATCATGAATACCATGATGGCATCATTCTTTCCAAGTGTGCACTCTCAACAGATTATCAGAAATGGTGATCTTTCTCATCATTCGTCCATTTCACCTCATGTTACCTATGCTCAACTCAATGCACTCAAATATGTCAATAACTCAATTACAGTTGTACTATTGAATAATGATCCAATCATTGAATGTATCAAATTCACTCCCAAGAAGAAGATGACCTTTGAATTGTTGAGTCTCTTAGAAGTTGATCCTTTACTACTTTCAAATCTCACTTGTCATTCGTATGATGTTCATTTGGATCAATCACTTCTTCTTCGATATGGTAAGAGAAGTCAAAGTAATGCTGTTGGAACCAATACTGCTATTAATAGCAATGCCACTACTACAAGTCATACCCCTTCTCCTGAGAATTCAAAAGATTCCTCTGCATTCAACAACAACATTCCACCCAACATTGATCTCTATCAATTATATCTCACTGCTCAGATTACAGTCGATGGAAAGAATTTAGAAAATATGGATGAATATTTCAAATTCAAAACAGATACAAAGAATGAAAAGACTCTCCATTTCAAAATTGAAGATTTAAATCAAAGTCATGATCATCGATGGAATGAACAAATTGTTGGAACTAAAATCAATGCTAAATTATCATTTAATTTAGAAGTGAAAATGGTTAAACCTATTAAGGGTATTTCCATCAATTTGTTATTGTTCCTTCAACAAAAAGTACCAGTATCTCATGAGAGTACTTGTAGTAGTGGTAGTGGTATTAGTGGTAATGGAGACAACCACTTGACCACTTGTACTGAAATGGATCAAATCCTAAAATGGAATGTTCCAGTTCTTGTTCAAGGTTCTCGAAGAAAGAAAAAAACTGAAAAGGACAGTGAACTCAAAGAATGTTTTGGAGAGAGAATGTGGCCACTCGTAGATTTACAAATGGCACTTCTCAATCGTAAAGGAGCTGAAAATGCAGATTCAGAAATGGATCCAGATGAAGATGGATATGGACTCATGGATGATATTCTTCGAACAAGAAGTGATCAATCTGTATTTAGACCTATTGGTGATTCTATTCTTAATGAAATTGTAAGAGAGGCTGAGAATAATTTGTGTAAAGATTCGAACAATTTACACGCCCTTCGACTCTTTGAAAAATTTTTTTTAACCAAATTTGGACAAGGCACGTGTGTGGATATTTTTAATTTGACTCGTTACTTGGCAGCTAAAACCATGAATCGAGAGTACATGTTACCTGATCTTGTTGTGGCAACAAATAATATGATGGAAAGTCTCATGACACCCTCTGCTGCTGCTGTTCATACTTCTTCAACTCTTCTGAACTCAACTCTCATGAACTCAACATCAACTCTCATGAGAAATCCACTCAATGATCTTCTCCCAGAAAATATTACTGAATTAGATTTAACCATTCTATTGAAATTGACTTATTTATATTCAAGATATGAACCTATATTCAAAGCAGATGGTTGTAATAATACTGAAAAGATGATCAAATATTGTTGTCAAATTGCAACTAATCCTCAATTTAGTATCAAAACAAAAGTATTTAGTTTATATCGATTAGCTGAATCTGAATATCTTAAACTAAATATAGAAAAAGGACGATTGAGTTATCACTCATTAGAAAAATGCAATCAATGTTACTTTTTCATTCAAAGATGTTTAAAAGATGAACCAACATTAACCAAAGGTGAAGTGAGACATATCAAAGCACTTGAAGCATCTGTTTTAAATTTAAAATCTATTCTATTGAGTAATATTCACAATTTGGAACATTTTGCATCAACACCTCATTCACTTTCTGAAGAAGAAATTAATTCCAAATTATTATCTCTGAGAGATATCGTCCAATACAAACATGCTGCCTTTCAAATTAGAGGACGTTACACTCCACGATGTACTTCCTTTGCACAAATTTGTAATAATGTGGCTGCAAGTTTGAGAGTCTATTACACACTTTTCAAAATGACTAAATCCTATACACCAAAGAGAGCCATTCTCATGCTCAATGTGATTAAAAAGATGCAGAGTCGAGCAGTGACCACACACAAACAAGCAAATCCAAATACTTCTCATTTAGCCTATTCACTCTACAAGTATAATTTAAAGACGACAGAATTATTGATCTTAGAAGAGACTAAATTAGATAATCCCAATGAAGAAGATATTGATGATAAAATTGAAAAGGTTGCAGCAGATAAGAGAAAGTGTTATTCCAATTATAGAGCTCTTAAAGATCAATTTTTAGGAATTCAATAAAAACAAGAAAAATTTTTTGAAGCGCAACATGTAGGTGCACGATCATCATCACGAGGAGGGTATTCAATTTTTATAATAAAGGTTGACAAGAGCACTCCATTGTGTTTTCAAAGTGGAGGGGTGTTCAATTTTTACAAGGTTGCATTTGAAAGTGTGGGGGTGTTCATTGAAATTTCAATTGGATGATCAATTTCTAATTAGAACAGGCACTACTCAAATTTGATTTAACGGTTTATTGTTAAAATAAGGTCACCAACATTACAACCAGCAGCGACATTGCAAAGAGTAGAATCATCCTATTGGTACTCACAAGTCTTGGAGCTCCACTCAATACCTTTGGCATGATCAAATTAGGAACTGGTTGAACACCTGGAACAAATCCTTCAAATTCAGCAACTGTCCACTTGTCATTATTTTGCATGCAACTCCAATAATTAGTGAAATAGGAACGACATTTGGTGTAAATCGATGAATCTCTATCCACAAATAAAGTATCCATTGCAAGTCGATTTGCCAAATTGAAATAACTACTTGCATATGGATCCTTCAATGAAGTGACAAAGTTATTGTAAATACAAATATGTAAATCCAATTTGTATCCTGGACAATTATTAGTATTCACACAAACACCATTCGTACCATCCTTACAAGCACAATAAGGACAATCCACATTGTTTGAAACTGTACACTTTTGGAGTGGAGGATTGGCACAATTACCAGTCTGTTGATCACAATAACCAGTATAACAATGAGCATTTTGTTCACATCGTTGTCCATTGGCTTGACCAAAGGTACGAATGCACTTGGAATTTGAACACACGACCAAATTATTCACGACAGTATTACCATCAAATACAAAGGGAGTATTGTATCGACAATCGGTATCAATGTTACAAAATTCACCCAATTCAGCGAATGGTAAACATCGACGAGAGGATTTTGAATCTGTCGAACGACATGTGTACAAATTGGAACATTCCATATTAGATTCACATGCCTCACCATAGGTTTTCAATTTTTTACAAATTCGACCCGAGTTGGGATCATTGGGATTGTTCAATTGACAATCTCCATTCTTACATTGAGAGTGAGCACTACATGGTGAACCATCCTCTAATAAAGCAACACAAGTCTTGAGAGTGGTATTACAGAAGGAAGTGGTTGGATCTTCACAAACATTGTAGAGACGAGTCGTATTGTCCCAAGTGGTACATGAATCTCCAACTTTGACCATCTTTTTGGCATAACAAGAGTTGTATGAGGTTGAACCAATGGTCACATCGGTGAGACATTGCAATGCATCACTACTACTATCTGTATTACAATTAATGGTTAGACCTTCATTACTCACTCCACATCGTTGATCTTTTTTAGCAATATTCAAAGAAGTAGAAACACAACGACCAGTCAATAAATCACATCTTCCACCCAAACATTGTCCACCCCAACTACATGAATCACCTGGTAATCTTGTATTTAAATAGACACATTGACCAACGTAACAAGTGACAAGTAATTTTGAAGAATAGGCATTCGTGTCATCGTTGATATTGATGGCACAATCAGCACTGGTTTGACATGCTTTTTGTTTCAATACTGAACTTTGCATATCAGTGACCTTCTTACATTCAAAAGTGGTTGCAGAGGTTTTCGTGTTGATGTATCCGAGTGGACAGAGATAGTTGGCAGAGGTGGGTGTGGAACCAGCGTTTGCTGTGCAAGTTTGAGCTTGAATCCTTTCCATGGAAGAGATGGAGAGAAGGACCTGAATGATCATCATCATCATGAGGACCATGATCATGTTTGTTTTGGAGATGGCCATCCGATAGGATCCTTAAAAAAGTGTGTGTGAATAGAGGTGGTGTTCAAGATAGAAGAGGGTGGAATTTGTTTCAATTGATTTCAATTGGTTTCAATTAATTGGTTCCAATTGGTTGGTTTGGCGTGACTCAGCGTTGGTTCTTGACCCAGAATTCAGTTGTTCGTGTGAATCACACGTGTGATGGTGCGATGGTGTGTGTGTGGATAATTTTTTATAATGTTTGTTGAAAAGAGTCCTCTGTGTTGTTGTTGTTGTTGTTGACAAGTAACACGCAACGAATACAACGTTGAATGGTTTCTTCCCTGAATCACTCTCGTCATTTCATTGGACGGTTGGATGTGATAGTTGAAGGGTAAAGGTCCAGGTTTGATCAGCTCTCCTCTCTTCATCGAGTTTAGCCAAATCAAAAAAGGAGGAGCAAATAGAATCTCAATTGATCATCCGGGTGACGATGAATCACAACAAGATCAAATCGATTTCAACAACAATACTTTCCGTGCATCATCATGACTTTAACGTGCGCGCGGATCAACGACGTTGTTGGTCGTGACCGCCATCGTCGTCATCTTCTTTATTCTTCTTGTTTGATTTCACAAACAACACTTGTTCCATCTCTAATAACTTTCTCTTTAGAAATGAAACATCATCTTCCAAATCTTTCACTCGATTCATAGTCTTTTTCAATAATTCACGTTCTTCTCGAATTGCCTTCTGTAAAATTATACGATCATCATCTGTTTTACAACATTGACTTGCTGTTTTACCTTGTCGATTGATACATTCATGTGCAATTCCTTCTCGAATGAGACATTGAATCGTTTTAGTTTTTGACTTTTCACATGCATAGTGAAGTGCAGTGTTTCCAAAATTATCTTGACTATTAATCACTACATCCAATACATCAAATTCTTTACATTTTTGTAACAAGTATTCCATCATTTCATCTGATGCTTCCATTGAAATGGCATGAATGAGTGATCGTCTAAATGCTCTCTCATTAATTGATTTTAATTGTTTTCTAAGAGCATCAGGTCCATAATTTTTCAATATAAAATCACAAATCCATTCAAATCCGTTCAAATCGTTGGCAATGCATGACCAATAGATTGGATGGAGCTTTTCGTCTGATACATCAAATCCAAATTTGGTAATTAATGTCTCTACGAGAGGAATATTTCTCTTATAAACAGCCAAACTCAATGCATTCATAGGATGATAAATGTTAGACTTGTCTTTGACCATACATTTGAGTTTCTTTGAGAGGAATTTGGATGATAGATGAGGATCATTGATCATCCATTCCACAATTCGATTACTGTTATGCCAAATGGCTAAATAGAAGGCATTCCATTTTCGTTTCACTTCATCAGATAATCGTTCTTCAACGATATTTGTTGTTGTTGTCGATGATTGAGTGGAATGGGTTGATACAGAGATGGATGGTTGTATCAGATCAGCTCCACCATGGTGCAAAGTAGTTGAATTGTTGCTGCTACTAGTTGTAGTAGTAGTCGTCATCATAGTAGTAGTGGTGAGGGTGGTGGTTTGATTATTGCAACTACTATTACTAGTTGTATTAGTAGAAGTAGTACTTGTTGGTACTTGACTGTTCTCAATGACACTTCCAAGTGCTTGATAATTCAAATGATATAAATGTTTGGCAATCTCCAATTGATCAGTCATACATGCCATATGGAATGCATTTTGTCTAAATTGATTAGTCGATGAAAGAGAAGCGCCCATTGAAATTAACCAATCAATGATCGATGTACTTGGAAACATTCTCACACTATTCACAAATATATTCTTTAAACCATCTTTGATTGCATTTTCCATAATCTTGTATTCACTACGTTCTACTTTTGATGTACTTTGTTGTCTTGCGATACAATACTCTCGTACAATCTTGTATTGTTTTAAAATGAGTGCAAGAATAGGATCAGATTGAATAAAATCTTCTTCTTTGAAGTGGACATGAGAGTTGTGGTTCCTATCAATGACATCAGGAGATTGCATTGGAATGGTGATATTCACTGATGATGCAGCTACTCCTGATACTCCTGTTGTATTATTACTACTACTACATTCAGAAGAAATAGCATTACCACTTGTTGTTTCTGAACGAGTACTATTGGTGGTGCTACTGGTGGTGGTATTGCCAGTGCTAGTGGTAGTGTTCAATGTCTTCAAATTTGTATCGATCGAACAACAACTAGCCATGATCAATGATTGTTGTGTCATTGGACTCTTTTGAATCTTTGCATCATAGACATTCTTAAATTTTCGATATAAACAGTCAAAGATGGAAACAGAGGTTTCTTTTTCACTTCTTGATGGTTTTCCATGAGTTGAATGAGGTATTGGAAATTTGGTTTGAACAAAGAAGTTTGCAGGAAACTGAGAAAGTAAAAATCTCACTCTCTCAATGTTGTCATTATCAATGGCTATTTTCATCTCTCTAATAATTTGTTTTGGAAAGTAGATTTCATTGATTGAGAATCTGAGATGAGGATTTTCATTTAAGAATTCTTGAATTTGATTTTTTAAATCCACATCTTCATGTAATGTTCGATCGGATACATTTTGATTCGTTAAAGGATCAGTGAATGGTTGTTGCTTTGTATGTAATGTTTTCCACCACTGTTCAATACTTTCTCTTTCATAGGTCTTGTCATAGATATTCTTCACAGGAGCGTGCATGATGAGCTTTGTAATTGGACATTGAAAATGATTGGGAATATCTGGAACATTGGATGGAACTTGTGAGGAAGGATGGATCAAGAGAGATTCCAAATCAAGTGGTGATTGTAGTGGTGGTGATTGTAGAGGTGGTTGAGGTTGCAGTAATGGTTGTTGTAGAGGTGGTTGAGGTTGTAATGACTGTTGTTGTGAAGGGTTTTGGAGAGAGGTTGCAGGAGGACTGCAAATGGAGGTGGTAGTATTGGCAGTAATGGCAGCGGTATTCGACACGGATGAACCAACGTTGGTTCGGAGTGGAGTGTAATGAAGGAATTGAATGATGAGTGGTGGTGGTGGTGGTGTCATCGTTCAGTGAATGTCTTGTTGCTGTTGTTTCGAGATGATCCATTGAGGACAATGAGAGAGCATGATCACTGGTTGATGAGTTTAAACTGATCATTCTATGACTACCAGTCAAATTACCAGCAATACTTTCCTCATTAAACTCTTCGGTGGTTGTTGTTGTTGAAAAAGTACTTTCCATCATCATTCTTCCATTCTCTTCATCGTTCATCATCATGTCATTCTCACGAGTTGTTGATGAACCAGAATGTTGACCTGTGGCAGTGGTGGTCAAAGTGGTGGTGAACATTTCACCTGGTGATGGAAAGAGAAAGGGTGAGACTCCAGCAGACAACGAAGACTGTGAAGTGATGACTCGATGATGATCAGTGGCCACTACTACTCGAGTGGGAGTTGATGTCAACGCTGATGAGATAGATTCAGTAGTGGCTGTTATGGCGTCGTTTGTAATCATCATATCCTCTCCATTATTTGAAAATGATGAAGATTCATCATCAGCACTTGATGTGTTGTTGGTGAGATTGATGGTGGTAGTGTTGTTGGTGTCCATTTCTGCTGAGTCCATCATCATGTCCATTACAGGACTATTTGCTGATGAGAGTGAACTTTCATGTTGTTGTGAAACCAATGAATCTCTCGTGTGATTGCTGTTTCTACCATGATGATGACGACGACGAAGACGACTTGAAACAGGTGTTGCTCTTCGATCGTATGAAAATTCTAAATTCAATTGTAAATTTCTACTAGTATCAATGGGTGGTAACGAGCGGTGATTGCCTTTAGGATGTTGTTGTGTTGTATTTCCCAGTAGAGTTGAGGTATGAGGTGATGAAGATAGATTCAATGTTGTTGTTGTTTCCTCTGATGATGAATGGTCATTCATCAAGATGATACATTCATCTTTTTGAGAAGAAAAAAGCGGTTGATGACTATTTTCGGTTATTTCTTCATCTGATGTTATTGTGGTTGTTTCCACTTGTTCTTGATGATGATTCAACTCTACTTCTTCCATCATTTCATGTTGAGAGGATTGAAGAATATGAGTGCTGTTACTAATTTCATCATGAGTCGAACTGTTGGTGTTGTCCTCAACATCACCATGATTCGAATTGCCATCTTGTTGATGAATGGCATGTATCATCATGGATGTTTTTGATTCCGTAGTAGAAGAATAATCATGTTCCATCATTCTAAGTGTTGTCGGTTGGTTTAAAAACCTCCGAGTGTCGTTCCGATAGTTGGTGGTGTTGCGAGAGATGATGCAATGAGTTCCCACTCAAGTCAAAAATGCGGTTGCGTAGATTTGACGAGTGTCGAAGTTGCACGTTTTTTTTCAAAGATGAGGCTTCTAAAAATAATTGCTCGAGCATGCAAGAGTTCATTGAGGAAACCAAAGTGGTGGTTCTCTGATTTGGCATCTCCTTCCTTGTGAATTTTGGTGGATCAGAAATATTGTACTCTTGTATTTTCAATTCAGAATAATTTTATGATGATCTTTTGAAAGATGTATGGACAACAAAATTATTGAATTCTCGTCATGAATACCACTAAGGATGAAAATTTAAACTTCAGCGTTGTTCACAAAAAATTATCGAGTTTTCAATTTCAACCAGTGAAATGATCTCTGTTAAAGAGCTTTGAAGAAGTAATTTGTAAAATCTCAACATTCTCCTCACAATTTTCTGCATTAGTTGACCAAATATTCCATTTTGAGTCAACTTCTTTTGGGACTTTCTTTTGGTTGTGGTAAACTAAACCGATTGTGAGAAGCAACAGCAATCCACAAGCATCTTTCGATGTCAACATTTGATGGAATACTAAAATCTCCATTCCATCCATCCTCGTTGTTTCACAATTATGTTCGTCGTGTGCTCGGATGGTGGATTTGTTTCGCCCCACAACAGAGTTCAATAAGAAGAAAATGATTTCATAATTTCTTTCTATTTCTCCAAAAAGGCACACTCTTCTTTACAAAAGACCACAAGTTTAACAAATAAAGCTTGGTGATTGACAATTCACCTCCAAATGTGGTAGTTTGGAGAGAAGTAAGCAACTAAATTCGACAATTATTGAGTTACAAAACACTTATCTTTTCGAATGATATATCATTGCGATAACGGTATATTTTCAATTTCATTTCAAATATCTTTTGAAATGAATATATCATAAACCTATATCACAATTTATATGACGTATATTTGATTTTTATTAACATTTATAACATTTCTTGAATAAATATATTAGAAGAAATTCCATTGTTGTTTAAAACAACTAGCATAATAACTAAAAATAATATGATAATGATATACATACTATTATATTACATTTCATGTTAATAAATTATCAAGAAAGTATTTATATATATTAATATACAAAATCATAACGTTATGTAACTCAACAATAATTAATTTATACAGATGGTTAGTTGCTGCCCCTCTCCAAACTACTACTTTAGGGGTGGAGTATCATCTAACAAGCTTTATTTGTTGTACAGCTGTCCCGAGAATCGATGGAAGCATGAGAAGAAAATTTCAATGAGTTCATCGAGGAAAATATTAAGGAAGGATATTGATTCGGGAATAATATATCATTATATATTATTGTAAAATTGTTGAAAAAGGAAGATTAGAAATATAATAAGTCGCATTAAAAACAATGCCTGCTTTGAATCATTATATTCAATAAGGTTAGTTTAGTAAAAAATAATAAAGAAATAAAAATGATCATGTGACTAATAAACATCGCATAGAGACGAAAACATCATTGAACAAATCAATGACAAGTAAAGAAATAAAAATTAAAAGGCCAAGGCCAATGATAAAAATCGAGTTATCCAAATTCTGAATTGTCAATAAATTGAGCAAATCAATTCAATAATGACCGAAGTCAAAAGTTTATAACAACAAGTGTTAGAAAAACTCTCTCTTTGCTTGTGAATTGGATGTTGACATATTTTTAGCGATGAAAAAGTCAATCTCCAATTATTGTTTTCGTTGCAAAACACTTCTGTTCTTTCCAAAGAACTATCAATAACATGATGTTATTGAACTTCTTTGATCTGCCTTTTCCCAATGGCTATCTCAACTCTTGTATTGTATTTCTGATAAGTATAAGAACTTTTTGTTTTTCAAACAATTTTGAGAACGCCACACAAAAAATCAAGAAGAAAAAATGTTGGAATTGTTCAGGGCTTGTTTTGGGTCTTCCCGTAAGAAAAAACATCATGATGATGACAACAACCATGAGATTGAGACAGATGAGTTTATGGAAATGAATCAACATCATCCCATCGGAATGAATCGCAGTGGAGATGATGAAGAGGCATCTACCAAACAACGACGAAACAGCAACATCCACCATCCTCCTTCTCATTCCCACTCTGCTGCTTCCTATTACTATGAAACTAGACAATCATCATCGTCCTTTTCAGAGGATCATCATCACCACAGTGAAGATGTGTCATCTCTGTCTTCAACAAACAATCACGATTACTATGAAGACAACAACCTTTACTCCTCTTCAACGAACTGTTTCAATCTCTCTCCCATCAAATTAAATCAAAATGTGAAAGAATACAGTACCGATGAATACAAACAATTATGGAAACAATTCGGAGATTGTCATGTCACATTGGAATATTCAATTATTTTTCATGATGAATCATCATTCAACAATTGTGAAGAATTCAAATCCTGTTTAGATCACACATTGGAATCAAATTTTATTTACACATTGGCATCAGGAGTGAATCATCATTTAATCACATTTTATAATTATTGTGAAAGTATGAATAATGTCACTTATTTAGTTGAATGCCAAGTCAATTATGATACTCGACATGCCAAAGCGAGGATAAAATACAGTGCTAATCAGGAATTGTCTAATTTTGTAAATCATTTTGAAAAGGTGACAGCAAGTTTTTTTAAAAGAATTAAATAAGAAGAGAATTTTAAAAGAATTAAATAAGGAGCTGAGATTATAAGTCTTGATTATTTGCAAATTCTCAAAATGCACTCACTCATGAAGAGTTGTTAATCTTTTATTTCAATAATTCTCGTAATAATTCTTCTTCTTGCTGCTGTTGTTGGAATGAATGACTGTTCGTTGTAGTAGTGGTAATAAATGACTCCTCATCATCATGTTGTTGTTGTAGTGAGGAAGGTGGATTCAATTTGAATGTCAAGTGATCATAGAATGAATTTCTCAATTTCTTAATCAAGTCATGATTGTAGGAGAGTGATGATGATGGTTCGAGTGGTGGTGGTTGATTCAGTGATGAATAGCTACTACTATTACTACTATTCATACTACTACTACTACTACTACTATTACTATTCATACTGGTTGAATCACGATTCCTTCCAAATTCACTCCAATGGGATATTGATAGGATATCCTCATCTTCATTCTCATCACCACTACCATTCTCATCACCATTCTCATCACCACCACGTATCAAAGAATTGAGAAATTCAAATGCTCTTCTTGCTGCTTCATTTTCAGCTTGTTTTCGATCCATTCCTTCTCCCATGGATATTTTCATTTGATGAATATAGAGTGTGGTAATGTAATATACATTGTGTGGAGGTGGAAGTGGAATGGATTGTGTTTCATAGTGTGGAAGAGAGAAGGAGGATTTTAATAAAAAGGATGACAAGAAGGAGGAGGATCGACCACTACTACTACTACCTATACTGGTTGCATAGAGTGACTGTACAAGATGTTGTAATCGATTCTTGTAAGGTTCTTGTATCGTGGAAGGATTAATCGATTCAATTCTCTTTTGTAATAAATGTTTGAAAATGAATTGATTGGAAATGTCTACAAATGGACAATAGGTAGAGATAGTAGTATCAATAGTCGTAATAGTTATATTCGTATTCGTATTGATAGTATTAGTGGTGATACAATGATCATCACCACTTGAATCATCACTCACAGGCCCTTGATGATGATTAATAAAACAAAAGGTATTCATAAATCCATCTTGATCTAAATAAATGGCAGCAATGAGAGATTCAAAGACATCACTCACTAAATCCTTTTCAATTCTTAATAAATGTTGATGAGTAGTAGTAGTAGTAGTACTAGTTCTTTGTTCAGTGCTTTGACTTGTGGTTGTATTTCCACCATCACCACCACCACCACTCGAACCACTCGAACCACCACTCACATCACATACATGTTGTCGAATGTATTGTAATAAATTCAATGATTCAGATGCCATTGGTAATGAATAGGTATTATCTACTGTTAAATGTTTGGCTTGTGTTAATTGAGCTTCATTTGCATTTGGAAATCCCATATATAGAAATATACAAGTCACAAATTTTAGAATGGCATCTCCTAGAAATTCTAATCGTTCATAATTACACTTGTAAAATGTATGAGATAGAATAGGATCATTTGAATCTTTAACTAGATATTCAGATTTAAATGATGAATGTGTTAATGCTTCTAATAATAGAAATTTGTTATTAAATTCAACTCCTAATATTTTAGATTCAAATTCTTTTAAATGATTCAATACTTGATCATTTAATTTAAATTCTAATAGATAGGGTATTTCAAATGAATGGAATGCATATTTTTGAAATGTTTTCATCTTTTTAAATTTAGTTTCTATAAATGGTAATATAATATATTTCTTAATAAATTGAGCACATGTTTGTAATCCTTGATCTAAAAATATAACACCAATCATAGCTTCAAGAGTATCAGCAAGTGCTCTCTCACTTTGAATTAAAACATTTCTCTGTCGAGGTGCATACAACATGTAATCGATTAAATTCATTTTCAATGCAATTTGTTGAAGTGTTGAATTTTTAACCATTAAACTTCGAGTTTGTGAAAGAAAAGATTCTGTTCCTGTTTTGAAATTCTCAAAAAGGAAATGTGAAATGACCATATCTAGAATGGCATCTCCTAAAAATTCTAAACGATCAGCAGTGGTGGTGTAAATGTTGGTGTATTGGAGAGTTCCATTTGGAGTTAGAGTGGCAGAAATATTTGTAGTAGTTGTATTATTATTGTAATTGCTATTAGTATTACCATTGCTATTACCATTGTTATTATTAGTATTACTACTTTTAGTCATCATATGAGTTAAAGCTTGTCTCAATAAATCTCTATTTGTGAATTGCAATTGTATGACATTTTCAAATTCATTCAATGTCACATGAACATGTCTTGAAATAGAAACAACATGTGGAATGATTCGATCATTCAGTAATCGAATAATTGTTTTGATATTCCTATCAAGATATGGACACCACACAGAGAGCTCGGGAATGAGAAGAATGGTATGATGATGATCATTATTACTACTCGTCGTCGATGAACTAGTTGCAAGAGTAGTAGTAGTATCACCAGTACTATTACTAGTAGTAGAATGACTATTGTTGTTGATGATACTACTAGGATGACTATTGTTGTTGATGAGATTTGTGTTGTGAATGTTGATGTTATTATTATTGTGACTTGTAAATGTCTCAATAGCATCATCATCACTCATCAAGATAGTCTCAATAGCATCAGAGGTGGTGGTACGAGTGGTGGTCTGAGTGATAATGGTGGTCAAAGGAGTGGTACTATGATGACAAGAAGGAACAATTACAGAATGAACTCTGTGATCCAAATTCTTCAAATGATTCAAAAGTAATTCATTCACTTTTCTATATTCACAATTAGTAACCTTAATTAATGGTTGATATTCATCTTGTATATCATAATTCCATTGTTTCTTATAGAAATCTTTAAATGAAATGGTATTCATAGAGGTGGTGGTGATAAGGGTGGTGGTGGTGGTATTCATAGTGGTATTCATAGAGGTGGTAGTAACACTTGAATCAACTTGTGATGAGTGGTGTTTGATCACTTGTTGCAAATCATCATCATCATCATTACTACTACTAGTACTACTACTAGTACTACTATCAACAACAACACCATGATCTAGACTAGTAGCAGTACTACTACATGTACTACTAGTCAACAAGTGAGATCGATTCGTCAATGTGATCCAATCATGAATACTTGTTACAAAATCAATGGATTCAATCACATAAGGTACTTGATTGTAACTCGTCATGACCACTGTAAATTGTAATTCTTTTAAAATTTGTGAGAGAATATTTGAAATTGATGAATGATGAAAGGATTCTTTGGATGTACAAGTGTGATTATCGAGTTGTTGATCAACATGGTGTTGTTGTTGTTGTTGAATAGGATGATCATCGAGTTGTTGTTGTTGTTGATGGTGTTGTTGTTGTTGTTGTTGAATAGGATGATCATAATGATCTCTCACATATTTAAAGAGTTGATTTGGTTCAATATGTGGAAAATAAGAATGTAATTGTTGTATCAAGTATTGTTTTAAATTCATCACTTGTTCCTCATGTAAATTATATTCAATACCTAGAAGATGATTAAATTCATTAAATGTTAATAAAGAATTTTCATAAGGATGATTTAATGTTTCAAATGATTGATGATGATTCAATGTGTCAAATGAAATACAAGATCCATCTTTGTGAGTAAAAATAGGTAAAATAAATAAATGTTTGTAATCTTCAATGAGTGGTGACTCAGATTGAATAATCGAGTGAATATTCATGTAATTATTTTTATCCTTTCCAATAATTGATAAATAGTAATTATGAATATTAACAATAAACTCAACATTATCATTGGTTAATTTCTGTCATTAAATATTGGAACATTGATCATGTGATCCCATAAAAATAATTAAATTTGAATATTAAATGATTGTTTGAACATGATTTGAATATAATCATTAAATGATTGTTTAAATTTGAATATTAAATGATTGTTTGAACAAGATTTGAATATAATCATTAAATCATCATGATGGTTTAAATTATTTGAAAAATTCATTTCATCATGTGCAAGAAAATATTTTTTGATTCAAAATGTATTGCTGCAGCAATAATGATTCTACTTACCAATGGACATAAATATTTAAATGAACCATCAATGGATAATCCATCTTTTCTTAAAACATCCAAATCACAAATATCAAATTTAAACAATGATAACATGATAAAACATTGTAATTCTCTTTGTTGTGTAATTCTATTATTATTGTTGTTATTATTATTATTAGTAGTAGTAGTAGTAGTAATAGTGTGATGATGATTATTAGTTGTAGTAGTGTGATGATCATGGTTAATGATATTCGAAAACTTGTCGATGGGAATGGTTGGAAATAGAAATACATGTTTTAAAGAAGAGGAAGATGGAGATGTGAATTGTATTTGATAGACATGATACAATCGATCATTGCCATCATTTTGATGATTATTGAGTTGACCATAATGAGAGAGTGATCGTGTGTGGTGATTCGAGTGGTGGTTCGAGTGGTGGTTCGAGTGGTGATTCGAGTGGTGGTTCGAGTGGTGGTTCGAGTGGTGGTTCGAGTGGTGGTGGTGGTGATTATTTTCTGTTGGGAGAGAGGAAGAAGGACTCTGCATTCAAGAATTTTTTTGTTCAGTCCAAAACAAATCCAAGACAATAATAGGCCGATTGTCTTTTTTTACTCCATCATCAATATAAGAGAGAGACGAAATGAGTCCGAATGATCATTCGCGATTATTCATCACAAATGTTACTATTGCTGCTGCTACTGCTGCTGATAATAGTAGTACAAGTACTACTCATCACTACTGTAAATGTTCATACCTCATCATCATCATCATTGGATTGACCACTACCACTACTACTATGACTACTCTGACAACTAGATTGGTCAGAACGTTGCACCAGTTCATTGGAATTCCCAAATTCGTCAGCTGCTGATGCTGCTGAATCTACCAAGTCAGAAAAGTACAGCAAAACAAGTTGAGCTCGTAAGAAAATTAAATTCGATCAATCTTATTCCAAAATCCATAAGATTCAACTTCTCGACTATTGGAGAGGTGCGGAGAAAATACATAAACACTATTCACATATTTCAAAATATTTTTGAGTGCCTCCACTTTCATGGAATGTTGTTGAGCAAAATTTTGAATTAATGTTTCAATTTCATCATCAACACTTGAATCTTTTTGATTCATTCTAAATTCCAATTCTCGAATTTGATCACATAATCTTCTCAATTCAACATCTCTAAATGTTTCTGGAAATGATTGATTTCTAATAGCATTTGGATTATTCACATGACCTAAATATGCCATTCTTCGAGCCATCTCTTCCTTCTCTTCACCTAAATTTAAAGTATTATTATGAGGAAGATACACTCGATGGTCATCTTGTTGATGTAATTCTTCAAAGAGAGGACGAGCACGTGCTTTGCCAATGACCTTTTTATAGTCTTCAATAGTAGTCTCTGGAATTTCATTGAATTGTACTTGTAATTGATTGGTGAGAGTGTGAAGAGAATTAACAAAATCAATATCTTTGTCTTGACTCACTAGTGATTCATCATCATTCTTCATCTCTTCATTGGAAGAATGATTGAGAGTATTTCTAGTCTCCTCTCTCAATAAATCTCTTGCCACCACCACTGCAGAATGGTTTCCACCATCAGTACCTCCACTACCACTACTACCACTACTACCACCACTACTACTCATTAATTTGTTGAGTAATTCTTGTTCAGGAGTTAATGATGAACCATGACTAGTGTCATCAATAACAAAACTTGTATCAGCAGCAACTCCTCTTGATATCTTGTATTGTTCTTTCAATTCTTCTTCTTCCCATAATTTTCGTTGTTCTAAATTCATTTGATTAATTTCATTCATTTCCATTTCCACTTGTTTTAATCCTTCATCACCATGTTGGGTAATACGATCCTTCCATTCTTTCATGACATCATAATCTTCTTTTGAAACATATTTGACATCTTGTTCAGGTAAATTGAAAGAAACTAGTCGAATTTTACGATTAGAATCTCCAATAGGTTTAGAGGCTTGTTGTTGTGCAAGTTGTTGAAAAGAAGTTCCATCATTGATACCATAAAAACTCTCCTTGATGTTGTTGTTGGAATGATTGTTGAGGATCGAATTAGTAGTAGCAGAGGAAGAGGAGGAGGATGAGAGAATGTTACTCGAAGATTTTGTTGCAACATGTTGTTTCGGAACGTGTTTCATGGCAAAACCAGAGAGGACTTTGGAGATTGAATTACCGCCCATTTTTTATTTCAAACGAAGACAAAGGAGTTGAAGCCTTTTTATAATATAATCTTGAGGATGGTCATGGCACACCTCTCACTCAGCCTTTCATTATAGGTGGGTTCAACCACCACCACCACCACTACCACCACAACTCTTTACCAATCGATACTTGTGATAGTCTCTCAGATACCATCTCGAATGATTATGATTCAAAGTTATCCTGTGCTTCTTCTTTTCGGAAAGAGAGAGAGTGTTTCGGAATTTTTGGTGTTCAAATTGTTCAACGTGGTGATGAGGGTCATGCGCTTCGACGCGCGATTGAAAGGCTCACACATTGTAAATTTCAAAACCGCAACACTCGTCATTTTTGCAACCATCAGGTGTGTGAAAAAATATTATCAATTGATTCCCTGATTGATTCAAGAGTTTCGTCGTCGTCGTCGTAGTCGTAGTCGTCATCAGAAGAAGAACAAGCGGTTGCAGCAGATTTTTTAAATACAACAACAACAAATGTCCCAATCCAATTACAAGAAAGTCGAAAAGCCTGGACGCAACAATGCAGGTGGTGATGCCTCCAGCAACATTCAAAAGAATGAAATTAGAATTACTGCTCAAGGTCGTAGTAGATCCTACATTTCCTATGCTGTTGGCTTACTCGATCCTTCTCTCCTTCAAAAGGATGAAGCAACGAGTGCTGCTGAAACTAGTACTCCTCAACAACAACAACAACAATACGATAGTGTTGTATTGAAGGCTATGGGAAAGGCAATCCAAAAGGCTGTTACCATTGCTGAAGTGTTGAAGAGAAGAGTTGCTGGTTTGCATCAAATCACTTCCATTGAATCTCAAGAAATTGAAGATCAATACGAACCAAAGGAAGAAGGAATGGATGTGGTTACTAAGAAGCGTACTGTGAGTTCCATTATTATTAAATTGTCCAAGAAGCCTTTGGATACCAATGCTTTGGGCTATCAACCACCAATTCCTGAAGATCAAGTCACTGCTCCTCAAGTCATTTCTGCCAAGAAGGTTCCAGGAGGTGGTGCTGGAAAGAGAAGAAAGAGACGTACTAGAGCTCCTGTCAAGTCCACTACTACTACTACTGGTGGTGGTGGTGGTGGCGCTACTACTACTGCAACCCAACAACCAACCAAGACACAAGGAACCAAACAACAACAAGCAACAACCACTCAAGCTGCTGCTGTCTCTGGAGGTAACAGAGGAAGAGGACGTGGTAGAGGTGGTAGAGGAAGAGGACGTGGTGGAAGAGGACAAGCAAGAAAACAAACTGCTGCAACAAGTCAACAATAACTTGACTCTATGTTGTGAATGTGAACATGATTGATGGTGGTTCAAGATCACAAATAACCTATCTCAAACACAATCATCATTGATTCTATTTTGCATTCACACACCCCAAATAAAATGGTTATTTCCAACTTACCAACTGCAACAACACCTTTAAGCCATCTTTCTTGTGGTGGTTTATTATTAATTGATTTTCATGAACAAATAATAATCATTTGAAAATTTCCTTATTAATATATGTAATATAAATATATATATATTTATATTGCACCGATATTCTTGAACAACAATTTTTGAAGACACTCTTTTTTTTACTACTACTGTACGTGATGATACATTTCTCAAAATACACCAACCACTTTGAGAATGACTAACACCACAGCTACCGTCGCTGCAATGGCCAAGATTACCAACAATAAAATACACAATAAATTTCGTCCTATTTTCGATCTCTTTTCAGCAACCACAAGATTCTCTTTTCCTCGACTCACATGTTGAGCAGTCTCTTCTACTCGATCACCAATTAAATCCAAATCCTCACCTTGCTTAATAGTCAAATAATGCAACTCTTTGAAAATACTGTTAATCTCTCGAATGGATGATTCTACTTCTAAAATATCCTTTTCTCTTTCATGTAAAATTTTGGAATTAAATTCAATTTCATTCATTAATCTTTCATCTTCAAGAGAGGGTTTCATTAAAAGTGAATCACGTTCTGTTCGATCTGATTCTTCAGAAGATGATGATTTACGAGTATAATGTTGTTGTTGTAGTATGGATTGATTCTTTTTAAATTGTGCCAATGTTTCTTTTTGTTTTTTCAAGCACAATGTTGTTTGTTTTTTATAATTATTTAATATTTGTTCAGCTTGTGAATTTAACTTGTCAATTTTCACTTTTTGTAAATGTTGTTTTTCTTTTTTAAACTTTTCTAAGGTAACAAGGTGATGAGAGAGTGTTTCAACTTGATGAGATGATTTTTTAATAATCAAAGAAAGTGATTCTCTAAATTCATGAGTATCTTTGAGTGTTCCAAGAATATTTTCAGTTGATTTTTGAATGGATGAAGAGGCACTATTAATTTCACTTAAAAGTTTTTCAATTTCTAAACAAGTATTTTCAAAGGAGTGTTGACCCATACCAGTACCACCATCATTTCCTAAAGAATACATGTCATCATCATCTGAATTTTGATAGACTTGAATGACTGTAAAATCTTTGGAAGGAGGTTGTTGGAAAGTATTACTATTATTACTTGTGGTGGTGATAGTACTACTACTCTTTGAGGATCGTACGGGTTTTGTTTGTTTCCGAGTTGTGGATGAATGAGAGTTGAGAGTTGTGTTATTGTTGTTGTGGTTGATCTTTGGAAGAGTCGTCGTCGTATTGGATGATGATGAAGAGTTGAGTTGTTGTTGTTGTTTGGATTCTCGAATCACATCACGAAAGCTCATTTTTTTTGTCTTGTTGAAAATAATTTGGAAGGATTTTTCAATGTGTTTACTTGGCTGTTGGTTCCGACAAAAACTCCTCTCTCAACACACGTGAGAGCTGGTGATGATCGGACAATGTAGATCCTTGTACACTTTTAAACATTTAATTCTTCTTTTTAGCACCATCCTCATTGTCATCCTCATTGTCATCCTCATCACTCATCTTCTTTCTTGTCTCTTCCAAAAACTTTAAATGACTGGTCCATTTCATATCATCCGAACGTGGAATGTAACCTGTGAGTGCAGTCACTAATCGTTCACTCAATCTCCAAAAATTCATGGCATGCAATGGATAATTCAACCATCCAGTCGTAATACAATAATAAGTATCAAAAGGAGATTGATGATGGAAATTATGACTCTTTCGACTCAAAATAATTCCACTCGATTGTAAAAACTTTACAATGAGTGGAACCTTGTATTGATGAGACCATTTGTGAATTTGATTTGTAAATGCACCAAATAAAGCAAATGCAGTGAAATAAAAGGACATGAACATGGAATGTCTAAAGAAAACAATAGGAATGATACCCAAGAGAGTTGCAACTAAACAATTGTCTCCATTGGTTTCAATAAAATCATGTTTACACATGGCTGATGGAGCTACATGATGTTCTCTAAAGGATCGAATAAAGGTTTGACCAATGAGAGGAGTTTCCAAAGATCCCCAAGTATCAGCAATCCAATGAAGAATTCCACTCACAAAATCAGTTGTGATCATTCCAAGAGCAATTCCACCCACAATATCAATGAGAGTACTTGTCGTATTTGTCGTATTGCCACTCAGTGAAGAGGAGGAGGAGGAAGAGGTGGTGATGAGGATACTCTTGTTAATACCATCACCATTTGAAGTTGTTGTGGTTGTCCATAGAGGTGAAAAACTTTGATACAAATTCCATGGAAGAATGACCAGAAAGTAGAGAAAGACGAAAAAGTATTCCATAGCTCTCTTGGATGAACTATATCCTGATTTTAATACATGTTCTTTTTGTTCTTTGGCTTTGATGAAAGACTCGTAATCACCGGGAGTGGTGGTTGAAGATGAGAAATTTGAAGTCATGGCTGTGGTCATTGGATGATGAAGAAAGAGGCTCTTTCAACTGCTGTAAAGGTTGTTGTTTCTGTTCGTACTGGCTCAAATTGAATGAAATTCAATAGGAATTCTCTTCAATCGGAGAGAGTAATAGAGAGAGAGAGAGCGTATGTTGTGTGATGTTGAGACTGGTGGTGGTGGTGGTGATGAACTCTGAGAAAGATGGCGAAAGGAGAGAAAGAGAGCGAAATGTCCGTATCTGGTGTGTTGTTGTTGTTGTTGTTGTTTTTTGTTGTTGTTGTGGTTGAAAAATTGAAGAGTCTGTGTGGTTGAACGCGCTCGCACAAGATGTGAGTATCATCATCTGAGAGGGAATGCGATCTAATAATTCATTACTTGACCAATTCCAAATGAAAGGCACAGTTCTCATGACATCATCATGGTGGTTGAGAAACACCATCGATTGCACCACCACCACCAGTGGATTGACAAACCTAGAGTCGGATACCACTACACTCTAAATATGGAAGTTTTCAAGCCTTGTCTTTTTATGGGCAGGAAGGTAAGGACAAAGAGTTCAGATCTGATATTGCAAAAACAACTTTATTCAAAGCTTGAGATCACAATGGATGGAAGATTGGAAGAAGGGTTAAAAGAGAGAATTATTTGTTCTTTTGGCGGATTTGTTGTTGGTACGAAGGAGGGAAGCATGGTTGGTGGTGTAGAAGATGGAAATCTTTGAAGATTCGTTGAGGAAGGAAGAGGTTGTAAAATAATTGGATGTTGTTGAGTGACGACCATGTGATGATGCATCATACTTGTTGTTGATGGTGGTAATTGTAAATAACAACCACTACTATTACTACTCCTATTATGGGATGATTTGGTGTGTTGTTGTTGTTCATGAAACACGAGTTGTGAAGAAGATGGTTTCATACTTCTCTGCATGTGCATAGGGATCATGGTATGAGGATCATTGAGACTCGTCATGAAGAATCCAGAAAATTGATTCGAACAATCTTTCATCAAATAGTCTTCAATCACAAGTTTGTACTTGTGAAAATCAATTTCTGATAAAAGTGCTTTAAACTTGAAATGATTCAGAGATGGACATGCTTCAAAGTGGGCTTGATGAATCACTTCATGGTGGTGATGATGAGAAGAATTGCTTCCACTGCTACTACGACTCATCCAACTGTTACAACCATCACTACCACCATCACTACTACCAATACCACTCTGAATACCACTCTGAATACCACCACCACCACCTCTCAATAAAGTGACTGATGGAAGGAGAGGACAATTCTGAACTTGAATCAATCTCAATTTAGGTGTTTCTAATTGTAAATCACCTCTCACATTGGGAGCATTTCTCAAAAAGAACTTGGAGAGTGAATCACTACTCACTTGAACATTCTCTAATCGATTCATATTCAACAATTGCATACCCTTAATGCTATGATTGATCATACAAGGAGATACAAGTCCATGACAATGTGAGAGTACCAATGCTTGTAAATTGTGAGCACGACTCATGTATTCACTCAACACATGATCATTCAAATGGTTAGCATTGGAAATACTCAAATATTCAACATTGTTAAAAAAGTTGAACAAGTTCGTCATTTGATCACGTGGATAGACGGAGAGTGAGATGGCAACTTTGGTGAGTTTTTTCATTCCATTCAAATTAATATTTTCTAAAATTTTACAATCCGTGAGATTGATGCAACTCAAATTTGGACAATTCAGATTGAGATTTCTCAAATTCACACAACGAGAGATTTGAAGATTGGTGAACAATTCTCCAGAATCAATTTTGAGAGTGTGAAGTATTGGATGACTCTCTGATGGTATTTTGAAGAGAACAAGTTCGGTTAATTTTGGAACTTCACACATCTCTAACTCTGTTAACTGTTCACATGCATCAATACTCACTGTGGAGAGTTGAGAACACTTGTTGAATTTGATTGAACTCAATTGATCACACATAAACATTTGAACATTGGTCAACATTTTAGAAGTCAATGTGAATTGAGTAGTTGTACTTTGTAAATCTAAAATGTCTAACTTTTCACAACGATCCAAAGCAGTCATCACTCGATCCGTCTGAAAAATGTTTAGAGAGGATGATCTTACCACAAAGGATTCAATCGTTGTGAATTCATTCTCAATAATTGGTAAATCTAAATTGGATATCGATTCAAATCGAATGAGAGAGAACTTTTTGCAAGCATTTGGACCAATTAATAAATTAGAGAGTTTTTTAACCTTAGAAATGGATAAACTTGAGAGGTTTGGATTGTTCAGAGTAATGGGTTGAGATATCATTGTATTTTCAGAGCATTCAATTCTAAGAGTTTCAAGAAATTGTAAATCATTCATGACTTGAGAGAGCATGATTGCATTCATATCATTCCAGTTTGAAATCCATAAAAATTTCAACTTGAGAAATGATTTTGTAAAGAGAGAGATGTGATCAATGGAATCAACATTGAGAAATCGAATCACCAATGTTGTCAAATTCTTTGCCTTATTATCCAGAGAGAGTTGTTTCAATTGATCACTCGTAACAGAGAATCGAGGTGTGTGATGGCATTTGAGTGTTTTCAAATTTTTACAATGACTCAATAGAAAGTGAACATGATCAAAAGTGACCACTTTCACATGATCTAAATTTAAATGTTCAAGTCGATTGGACAGAGCAGCAAGTATTGGTTCAATCTCTACCAAATCCATAGCACTGATATCAACATCAATGAGAGCTCTAAATGTTTGAGACATTTTGAGTACAGCCTCAGATTTCAATTTACATGTTTGTTGTTGATCCATTAGGATGGAAGGATTCATTGGATTGATTCGATTCATAATTTTAATCTTTTTCAAATGTACGAAAATAGAAAGAAACGAATGGAGAGCACATTCATCAATAGAGTGAAGCACTACTTGCTCAAAAGGTGATACTGAATGATACATTCCAAAGACTTGACAATGAAACATTACCAAAGCTTGCATGGAAACAAGTTTTGGAAAAATCTTTGAGATGTCTTCAAATTTCCACAATAAATTACATCGACTGGTTCTATGGAAATGTTTTGAGACTTTTCCAACGTTTCGTAATAACTCAGTCTTGGTTAGATAGGACATGATTTCAAAGAGGACTTGAGTTGGAAGAATACCAAGAGTCCAACAGCGCTGTTGTTGATTCAATGTTGTTGTTGTTGTTGTTGTGGATGATTTTAGCTTTTTTTCTTGTTGTTGGACATCATCATGGTGAGGAGTGGATGATTTTCGTTTCTTCTTATTTGAATTTTCTTCATAAAAGTGTAAACGATTGGAAGGTGGTGTTGGTAGTGGTGGTGCAGTGGTGGAGTTGGAAGGAGATGAATAGATGGATGGTATGATCAATAGAGGTTGTTGTTGTTGTTGATTCATGAACGTTGGGAACGATGATGGAAGAGTTGAAAAGGTTGATGATGAGATTTGCGAAAGGCTGTTGTGGTTGTTGTTGTGGTGGTGGTTGTTCATTTGTGCGAATGGTTGTTGTTGTGGTTGGGAAGGAATTGTTGTTGTTGATGGTTGAATACCACTAGTCCTCGAGATGATGTTCCCACCATTTGTTAGTACGGAATGAGAGGATGTTGTCATTGGTGTGGTGGTAGATTGTGAGCGTTGTGGGTCATCGACCTGAGTCGAGGAGTTGTTGTTGTCTTCCCGATGATGATGAGAAAGGGTCAAATGTGATGTGGGCGTTTGGACCATTTTTTCCATTTGAATGTTCTAATTTGAAGAGAGCGCTTTCCAATTCGAATTTGTAACTTGGACAAAAGTGGATTCCAATTTGTTTCATGGAGGAGGAACACAATGGAAGTAGAGAAAGAGGAACTAGATGATGACACATAGATCCTTCTCTCTTCTTCTTATTATTCACTCTTGGTGATTAACGATAGAGATCCAAAGAGAAGGGGAGAGGTGGATGGTTGTAGGTCATATACCTTAGTGTCCTGTTGTAGAAATTACAAACTACTTTTTTGCGCGCCAAACTAAACTGTAAAAAATGTCTGCAACAACTCCTCAGACTTTGTTTGAAGATGCCAAGGCCTATTTACAAATCACAAATGAAAATGGCAAATCAATATACGATATGTTGATTGATATTGTAACATATCTTCAAAATCAAAAGAACATTAAAGAAATCAACTTGCGATCGCTCCTGCAAAACCTTTCGGAAGATGCTTTCAAGTACGGAGAACGAGCTAGATTTGAAGAACTCTTTCGCATGTCCAAACCAAATCATGAATCTTGCGTCAAAGCAAAGGATATTATTGCCATTCTTTCAAAGCACAAAGAGCAAATGCAGGAAGAATTCTCAAAACGAAGAGACGAATTGAAAGCAATCAACGCAAAGAAAGATGATGAAGAAAACAATGAAGAAACTGCCACCGAAGAAAATCCAGAGGATAAAAACTATGTATACAGCAATCCCGACGGAATTTCGAATTTAATTGAGGATTTTTATGCTCTTTCAAATGTTGGAATTGCACTTCCTCAAGAAGAAATTTGTTTCATTCAAATAGCTCTAAAAACTCTCAAAAACTCCAAAAAACTGAGCAATGTTCGGTTCTTTGGAAAGATTTTTGGAATTCAATCAAATTATTATGTTTTCGAAAGCAATTATCATTTTGAAGAAAGACAGCAAGAAGATAACATTCATGAGAGCTCTGGAAAGCCAGGCATCAACAGATACACCTATTGGGTTTTGAGCTCCAAGAGGTCAGAAAGTCCTTTCAGTTTTGTAAAATTGCCAGACGTAACCCCAGAGCAAATTCAAGTTGCGAGAGAAATTACAAAACTATTTTCAGGTGATTTGAATCGACCCGTACATTCATATCCAGTGTTTCCAGGAAAAGAAGCTAATTATCTTCGAGCCCAAATTGCACGAATTGTACATGGCTCTACTCTCGCCCCTGTTGGTCTGTTTGAGGAACGAGAAATTCCAGAAAAGGAAGAAGAAGAAGATGAGGAAGGAAACAAAAAGAAAAAAGAACCCAAGTTTAAAGAACAACTTCCTCCAATGGTCAAGGTTAAAGAAGGTTTTGAGCTTAAAAATCCTGAAGAGATGAAATCGTTTGAGAACTGGGTGCATCTCTATCCAGGCATTTTAAAGAGTGGGTATCTCACGAAAGAGAAACAAGAAGGAGATGAGGAATCAGGAGAGGAGGGTGACAAAGATCCCCTTATTGCACCATTAAGATCTGTTCAAGAGGATGATCCTCTAAAACGAAGTAAATTTACTTCTCAAAACGACAGAAAGAAAAAGCATGAAGAAGAGGATGAAGAGAATGACGAAGGCGAAAAAGAGAAGGCAGGAAAAACTCCAGCATGGAAAGTGAACATGAGTAACGAAAGAAAACAAACATGTCATCACAAATTCTTCAGGACTGTGTTATTGAGCAGTCTAAGGTGGCCTGGGGCACATTCATTTTACAGATTGACCGGTCCTACGTGTCATTTTGGAAATGTGTATATTGGATATGGTGTGAAGAGTCCTGGAATTTCCTTTACACCCCAATTCCCTCCAATGGTGGTCGAGGAACTCAAAGAGCCAACTGATCAAACCGATCCAAATCCCAATGATATCAAAAGAATGCTACAGGGCCTCGAACCAACCGCAGAAGAACCCTCTCAAGAGGGAGATGAGGAGGAGAAGAATGATGAAGAGGAGGACGAATAAAACAAGCCAAGAGAAAGTCAAATAAATTTTATTAATAATTCTATAGAAAAGAGTGCAAAAACACATTTAGACAAGTTTCAAAACTTCTCTGTGAAGAATGCAAAGATAATCTGTGTATGACTTGTCAATAGGAGTGGAAGACATACCACTTCCAAACTTGTCTTCAACCATTCGAATAAAGAATGATCCATCCGTTCCTTCACTTCCTTCTTTGTAAACGAATATGCCACCATGTTGGACACCTTTTGGAATTAACTCTTTCAAGATAAACTTCACTTTGTGGATGTATGGTGCGTTTGGTATGGTTAAATCTTCAGTGTCATCCTTGCGATTCAGCAAAGAAATGAGAGGTTTCGTTGTTTGCAAAGAAATTTCTTCCGATCTTGAAACACCAAATAAATCAACAATCTTATCTTGAGGTGCATTTCTACCAATCCAAAACAAACATTCATTGCCATCATATAATAAATAAATTCCATTCGAAGAAACGGCTGATGAGCAAGGAGAAATTAGAGGAGGGAACGGATATCTGGAGCCATCAAAATCAGTGGTAATTGGTATGATAGACTCTTCAGTATTACCTTCTTCAGAGGCACGACTTGCACGAATTTCATCACTAAAATCTAAATGATGCAATTCATAAAGTCGAGGGAAGCAAAAGAGCATCACTTGTGCACTTGAAAATTTCATCAACAAGTGGAATGCGTGGATTTTCTTATCTAGAGCTACTCTTGTGTATCGACAGAATGCAGGTGATTTAGCCAAACCTAAAAAGTATAATGGAAGATATTTCAAAGTCTCTGGTAGAATCAATTGGCCTGATCCTTGATTGGTTGAACAATTCTTACGATAACATGCCAAAATATTGATCAAACGATCTGTAATCATGTCACGAACTGTATCCAATGTATCTCTATTCTGAATAACTTGATGAACAAAAAGTCTTGAAAATAATGCCAAGCATGCTCCAATATCAGCCCTTCTGAATAATGTGTTGTAATCAGTGCTTGTTTTCAATTTGCATGTTTGAATACGAAGGTATCTCTTACCATCATGTGATGATGTATATACCAATGCAGATTGAATGTAGTGATTTCCAGATTCACTTGCATTCAATAAATTACTTTCATCATGCTTAAATTCAACTCCAAATGCTGTATCAGAATCAATAACAGCCAGGTCCAAACTATCCTCTGTTTGTTGGAAGAAGTGACCAAAATATCTTCTAATTCCAATACCTGAACTAGTTCTAACTTTCAAAACAGCATCATATCCACTCTCTCTTTCAAAGAATCTGTTCATATCTAAAATAACACGTTCATAGTCTCTCTTTTGACTAAAATGATGATACAAGTAGACATGTCCGCCTGTTGTTTGAGATGCACTTGCTAAATTTGTTGTTTCTATAAATGTCTTTGAGAAGAGGAAAATATCAATACCAATTTGTTTCTTGGCACATGAGATTCCCAAATTCTTCCAAAAACCTAATTCAGGGATGAATATTTCCTTTTCTCTATCAGTACCATAGAGTTTGAATGGATTTCTTCGTTCTTGTTCAGCTGTAGAGGCATTTGGAGGAAGTGTAAAGTTACCTTGACCCAATGTTGGAACTTTGGAGGTAAAGAGTAAAACTCTTCCACCGCTTTCAGAAAGTAATTCTTCGGCACATTTCATTGCGCTTCCACAAGTATTCTCCGCAGAGTTATCTCCGAGATGAGAGGCTAATTCATAGAAACGATCAAAGAATTGATTTAAATGTGATTCATCAACTTCTGTTGGATCGTTGTTGGTTGGAGTGTAATTCTTATAAATTAAATCTCCAATAGTAATCATGGATTCTTGATGAATGGGTACAAAACTTTGTTGTAAATCTGCCATAATCATAACTTGAGGATGATTTTGTTTTAAGCCTTCTCCGCCATTGTTTGACTTTTTGAAATTATAGAAATGAATATTCTTGGCATAGGTAATGAATGTAATTTTACAGTTTCTATATTTGGGTCCATGAGTCAATAGTGATGATTTGAGTCCATCCACCACACTCTTCAATACTCCACCTTCAACTGAATCGTGTCCAACATCAATGACATAAACCAATGTAATTGGTTGTGGTTCTCTTCCGTTATCAAAGAATTGTTTGGTTGCAACAAAATCAACATCACCAATAGAAAGTTCAGGTCTTTGATAAACATCAGTTCTCACACCATAAACATCGGTTGGACAATAGTACCAATCAGGAGTAGTATTGGTAAAGCCACAAAAGTTACATTGATACTTTTTTCCATTTTCAATAAACTTTACAAATGGATTAATGTAAACTCTACATCGAGAACATCTCAAAATTTCAAAATTTGAAAAATCAACACAAGGAGTGAAATTAGGTTGATCATGAACATCAAAAGATGCCATCGGTTGTACCATAGCTCCCATCATTAATTGAGACGAGTCCAGCAACTTCTTTGTATTTGGAATACAATACAAAGTTGGACGAATACGATTTGGAGAACAAGCACCTTTACAAATGATTCTAGTTCTTCTATCCGCAGGTGGAGGTGGAACATTAAAGTAAGGTGTAATATTTGTGGTATTGGGTTGTTGTTGAATGGCAGTTGCATTGAACGGAAAGGTGGAAGGAACAACATTGGAATTAAAAATTCCGAAAGAACTGCTGTTTTGTTGTTGAGAAGGATTAGAAAGTGCAAAATTACTCAAGAGAGGAGTATTTGCAAAAGTAGAAGGAGTGTTTGGAGTATTGGAAATACCACCACTACCACTACCACTAGGTAACATGTAATGTTCTAAAAAGCTTGGAGTTTGATATTCTTGTTTGACATTCATCTCCGGGAAGGGTAATCTTACTGGAGAAGGCATTTGTCTTGGATCAATTTTCTCATTGCTTCTCGTAGTGGTAATATTATTGGTTGTTGTGGGTGTTGCAACCTTTTGGCCATCTCCAATACTGCTGAGAATGGGAGGTGGTGATGATGAGGAGATTGAAGTCATGGCAGAGTTAAAGTTAGTGGGACTGACACCACGATTTGCTTGATCTGTCATCATATTGCTGCTGTTGAAACCTGTCTGTTGTTGTTGTTGCAATTGATTAAAACTTGGAGATGAAGAAGAGGATGAAACAGGAGGAGGAGTACCACTCAACAAATGTTGTTGTTGCTGATGATGGATAGACTGATCGAAAGAAAAATTTGTTGGAGGTGGAGCGAGTGGAGTGGTTGTACTCTTGTTCTGTTGTTGTTGAGAGAGAATCGGATTATAAAAAGTAGTACCACTGCTGATGCTGGTTGTTGTAGTTGTAGTTGTGGGTGGTGGTGGTGGTGGTGATCCTCCAAAGCTTTGATAGGGTGGAGTGTTCCATTGGGGTTGTTGTTGTTGGTGTGGTTGATAAAAACCTCCCCCAATACCTCCACTACCACCAACACCACTAGCCATCGTGTTGTAAGAAGGCTGTGATTGATGTGGCTGGTTGGGATTGTAAAATTGTTGTTGTCCTGTGGGCACACTTGTTTGGAAAGGATAGTGTTGCTGCTGCTGTTGGGACATTTTTTTAGTGGGCTTTTTAAACACACGTCACTCGCAAATCTCGATCGAGACAAAGTACTCGCTGTGGGGCTTTTGGATTGTGCTTTGGATGTCATGACCTTAGAATAATGTTGAACCTCCAACAATAACAACAACCCCAACGAAACAACTATTTAAAAAAATGTTTCGAGCATTTCCATCCTCGAGCAATAGGAATGATGACGATTCCGATTCGGAAGAGGTTCATCAGCCTCTCTCCATTGAAGATTTATATGCGTTAGCAATAGAAATGAAACATGAAGGAAAACTGAAAATGGCAAAACAATCATGTCTGGAAGGAATTCAAAAATTGCAGGCTATTACCATCACCACTACTGCCATGATTCAACCATCTTCCTCTCCCTCACCACCATCACCATCATCATCACTTTCGAATCATTCCTCTTCTTCACTTTTATTTTCCTTTTATAATTTAATTTCTCAAATTTGTTTGGAATTAAAAGAATACGAAGATGCATTGGATTATTGTCAACATGTGTTGGATTTAGACTCTCTATTTATGGAAGCAAGATATAGAATGGGATTTATTTTAATACAAATGAAAGTATTTGATTTAGCAAAGAATCTAATTGAAGAATCAATAATGAAATTGGAGCATGATGATCAAGTCTTTATGAAATTCTCAAACTTGTTGGAAATCATCGAAAAGAATGTTAAAAAGAACCATCATGATCACTCACACGATCACTCACAATCCTTACAACAACACAACAAGAAATTACTCGCCATTCACTTAATTCGAACCTTCTCTCAAAATTTCATTCCATCATTGATTTCAGAATTTTTAATGATGACGACGAATAATACTATTAATATGACGAATAATACGACGACGTATTCTACAATTCCAACAACAACTCAATTAATAATTACCACAAAGAAAGATCCCATCATGTTTCTTCTTTTACCAAAATCAATGCAATCTCACGTCCCACTCACATCTCCTTATATTCTATTTTATGAAGATGATAATGTCATGATGCCATGTAAGAATATTTATAATGAAATCATCAAATCATCATCATTGGAACACAATGAACAGGCTCATTGCATTATTATTGCCTCTCCTTCATCATCATTGAAGAGTATTGAAGAGTTTAGAAATGATTTCAATCTTGTTCACAGTTGTGTTTCTGTGAATGCTCATACTTTTTACAATGACTTGAAAAGTGATGAAAATATCATACAAGTGATTGAAGAAAGTAATGTTGTGATCTTGGAGAATAGAACAGAAAGGATGATCTGGATGGATGATGATGATCAAACAACTTTGGATGATGATATCAAAACAACACTCCAAGCACTCAATACCACTGTTACAATTTTAGATTCAAAACAATCCAACACCACCACCAACAACATTCTTCACCATCTTTTGCATTCAAGTAACACTAAATTTCATCATCATGTTGTGGATCATTTGGGTTGGTGGAAGACTCTTTCCAATCAACAACATGACGACTCCTCTCAACAACAACAACATGCTGATTCTAAAATTGTATCATTTGTATATAGCACAAGAAAACCGTTTAGTCTTCCACAAGTTTTACAAAAACTCAATAACAGTGATGGAGAAGAAACACAATTGTTTTGGGATATTGTGATTCGTTCCAAAGGATTGATGTGGATTGATAGTGATCACAATTATTTATACGATTGGTCCACAACAGGTGGATCCAAATTGAAAGTTTCAAAGAAAACATTGTTTTTAGCTGCTTATCCCTCTGAAACACTCTCTAAAGTGAATCCTGAAAGACTTGTAGAAATGAAGAAGATCAACAAGTGGATGGAACCATTTGGTGACAGAAGGCAAGAAATTGCATTTATTTGTAGAAAAACTTTGAAAGTTCCTGATCCATGTCAATTCATCACCCAATTTTTATCTTCCATGACGAAACGTCCTTCCTGTGAATATTTGTATAGTGAATATTAGCTGAGACGAGTAAGGTTTGACATCCTTTTGGCGCGGTCATGTTGTATCATTTACTAAATATGGAGATTTTTAAAGTGTCACCTTGTCGATAGGAATGTGGTTCGAGTGAACATCAAGGCTGTTTGATTTAACAATCGGCCCTCTCCTAACTGTTCAAATTGTCATTCAAGAGACATTACAATACCTCAGTCAACCAGGAACTTTAAAGTTTTCAGTTGACTAAAAAATTTTACATTATTTTCACAAGAAATTGATAAGGTTTTGAAATCAAACAACTCCCTTACTAAAGAAGCGTTTGAACAAATATACATGAATAACAATCAATTTATTTTCTGATGATTGGTGGAATAAACTTTCTTGGATTGAGGTCTTCGATGAATTTACCTGGATACTTCCAACTTGACATGTTCTCATTCATATACTTCATCACAACTTCCTCAAAGTATTGTTATGTTGTTATAATAAATCATTCAGAGAGATACATACTTTCCAACATGTTGACTTTCTTCTATTTTTAATAATTCTGAGGTACAACTTGGCGATGTAGTTAATAACATTTTGATCTATTTCTTGGCGGCATTCAATCTCTCAATGGCTTTTTCTCTAATTTTTTGTACTGGAAGAGGAAAATCTTGTTCTATTTGTTTCAGAGATTCCTTTGTGAGAACGTACAGATCGCAATAAGTACCAGCTCTAACGGATGCCATTCTTGTTTGATCCATAATAACACTAATTTCACCAAAGAATTTACCAGCATCAAGAGTGGCAAGTACTTTGGGTTCTGGATCTTCTGTAACCACTTGCACATATCCTTTCAAAATGAAATACATTTCTCGACCGATTTCTCCTTTTTTTACAATTTTTGTTCCTGGTAAAACCACTTGGGGCCGTAGAGCCATGACCATTGATGTGATAAATGTCTTATTCGCACCTTCAACTTTAAATAAATCGACTTTTTGGATCAATTCTGCATTCATGGAAAGATAAATTTCAGATTGAAGGTACCATGGAAGATCTTGTAAGACTTCAGTTTCGTCCCAACCTGATCTTGCTTTCCAAACGAAATGATAATATCTTTCAATTTTTCCACGAATGACTTCTGGAATCTTTCTGTAGGACATGTATTGTTTTAAAGAGTCGAGTTTTTGTTTTCTTTTCGCTTTTTCTGCGTGACTGTCTTCTAAAATGTTACCTACAGCACCAATGACAAGAATCACCAATGCAACTCCAACAATGTTGACTGCCTGAGAGAAAATGCACTGACTTATTGTCACTGGTGTTGTTCCTCCATAACCCGTCATTTGAGTTAATACCCAATTAAATCCTCTAATGTATCTTGACATGGCAGCTTGCAGAGATCGATCTTCTGTAATGGTGGCTTTAGCTGTCCATATTCGAACCGTTTGCACAGGATCCGTCATGACAATGATATACCATCCACAAGCAAGTACATGTGTGGCAATGAAGAAGTAGAACATATATCTTAAAAGTTGAATTCCTGTTATAGAAATGATCTCAACCTGTTGCTCAAACTGACTGAAGTAGTCGTTAACTCTTACAATTCGAAGACATCTGATCATTCGAGCCCACATTCCCCATTTCAAATCAGCAAAGAGAAGAATGTAATCAATGGGTATCGATGAAAGAAGGTCAGTGTAGAAAAAGAGAGATTTCACATAATTTCTTGCGATTATCTTGGTGTCATAAATGTAAATTCCGTCAGTTCCTGAAATTCTTTTGAAAAAACATAAAACGAAATCGAAAAGTAGAATAAAATCAGCGATCACATCAGGTATAATCCATATTCCTGTCCACAATGGATGATTTACATAGGTATAAACAGCAGCCCTTAACATTACAGTCACAAAATTATAACTCGTCGCAAGAAAGCATAAAAACACCCAAACAGTTGCAAATTTGGTTTTCTCTGGTATTGTAAATATATCCACAATCTTTGTTTTCCACAATCTTGATAAAAAACCATTATGATTTATTCTTTTTTCAATACCATCTAAAATATACATACCTCTGAATGGTTTCTCTTCGGGATTCATGTTCCTCAACTTTTAAAAGAATTTGTTTGTCTTTTCCGATTTCTTCCTATTCAAGTAAAAAAAGAAATGAATATAATCAAGAGAGTTTTTCTAAACGAACCTCTTTCATCCACTTTGGAGGTTTTGGAGTTGTTTTCTTGTCTGACTTGTTAGTAGTAGTAGTTGAACTCGTTGCATTATTACTGTTCGAAGTGGCTGGCGGTTGAGGTGAAGACATTTTTTTAAAAATTTGTTCGACTTGTAAATGAGTGGGCGGGAAATTTTTTGATCGCTAAATCCAAACTTTAAAAAATGTTTGAAGCACCACTCACCACTCGAATGAAGAGTGATATTTTGGAGATCTTTGAAATGTATGATACTGATAAAAAGGGTGGACTCTCAAAACTGGAATTTAAATTGGCATGCATATCTCTTCTTGGTTTCAAACCATCAAAATTTGAAAGAAAGGAATTATTTCCGACACCACAATCAATTGTAAATCGATCGTTATTTGTTGAAATTATTAGCAAAAAGATGATGAGAATAGATGAACAAGATAGGATGAGGCAGATATTTAATTCCTTTGATAAAGAAAGAAAAGGTTATATTCATCTTGAGAATTTGAAAGATGCAGTGAATTCGGTGATTAGATTTGAGAAGTCGAACGGGAAAAAAGGTTCTCACTCTCTTTCGACTTTTGCTCTCGAAACATTGCTTACCGAGCATGATGAGGATCGATCGAATCGTATTACCTATTCCACCTTTTGCAATTTAATTTTAAAGAAACACTTGATGATCTAGATCTATTCAAGACTTGATCTTCCGAGCGAAAATGCAAAAGGCAAGATGTGGACGGAATGTTTGAAGCATGTCATTCATCTACCTTTATCATAATTGAAACCAATTTACTCAAATTGTGCAAAGATTTGACGAACCTTGTCCACATCGAGTCTATTTTTCAAAGTTTGGAATGGAAAATGAGTGTCGATTGTCTTCCGCCCATTCAGAACCCAAAAGTTTGAGAAAAAAAATCCCTAACATTCAACAACTCTTTGCAACATCCACAAAAAATGGGCAAAAAATCAAAGAAGAACAACAAGAAGCAACAACAAAAGGAAGAGACCAACAACAATGTTGATACTCAAAGTACCTCTGAGGATGCAACTTCGGAACAAGAAGTACCACAAACAAATGAATCCATTCTAGATGATTCAAGTAAGGCTTCCAATGAGCCTGAAGAACAACCAGCAGTGCTGGAGCCTTCTTCTTCAGAAGCTACAACAACAGCAACAACAGAGGAAGAGAAGACTTCTCTGAACAAGGATACCAGTGGAAGTGAAGTTCCACCACAAGACTCCACTCCGGTTGTGGAGCCAGTTAAAACAGAGGAAGTGGCTGACTCCCAAAAAGAAGCTTCATCCGAAGAAAATGGAAAGGAGAACCAAGAACCTCCTTCTGTGGCCAAAGAAGAAGTGACATCCATCACTCAGACTCCTTCTACGACCGAGGAAACAAAAGACTTCCACTACTGAAGAAACAGAAGAGAAGAAGGAAGAGCAAGCCTCACCTGTTGAACAAGTAAAAGATGACGTCAAACCAGAAAGTGCAGCAGAGACCAATCAGTCCGAATTGGTAGTTTCCGAAGAAAAACAACAACCTGCAGAACAAACAGAACCCATTCCTGTTGTGGCACCAAAACAGAATGAGCCAAAAATTGGCGAAGAGAGTTCAAGCTCGGTGGTCCACGAGCAGGATCATCAAACTCCACCACCAGAAACAGCTGATGAGAACATTGTTAAAGATACTACACAACAACAAGTCACACCAATTAATGTTGAACCAGCAACAGAGGTCGCTGAGCAAGCAACCACTGTTGAGACAAAGAAGGATGACAATTCTGAGGTGCAAACTGAGTCTTTAATTGAGACTAAAGTGGAACCACAAGAGGTCACACTATCTCAAGAATCCACTAAACCTGCCGAGCCAGTTGCTGTTGTGGAGGAAATCAAACCTGTCGAGACCAAAGTTGAAGAAGCAACCACAGAAACTCAAGCTACCAAAGTTGTTGTTGCTGAAACCGTTAAAGTGGAGGAGCAAACAGTCGTTCAACCACCAGCCACAGAAGAGAATAAGGTCGAGGAACACAAAGCTAAGGAAGAACCAAAGCAAGAGGTGCCTCTTGTTGAGGAAGTCTCCAAAGAAGCAAATAATACTGAAGTTTCTAAGCCTGTGGAGCAAGAAAAGACTCAACCAATAGAAGAGAAACCAACTGAAGTTAAGACTCAAGAAGAATCACAAAATCAAATTGTGATGGAAGAGAAAAGCCAAACAGCAGCCGAAAATTCGACCAATGAAACAGAAGCTGCTAAACCTGCTGAAGAAACCAAGACAGAAGTCAAAGAAGAGGTTAAGCAGGTGGAAGAATCAAATGGAGAGGTCAAGCATCAACCTGTCGATACCGATGCAAAGAAACCTGATGAAAAGAAAAAGAAGTGTATCGTCATGTAAATCATGGCAACAATTTTGTCTCAGAGCATTAAATTAATCTTCTTTAATGTTATAAGCTTTCACCAGTTGATCGTTGCAACACAAGGCCATCAAACCCACTTCATGCACATTCCAAGCCAAATCGTTGACCCAATCTTCCATTTTTTGATTCTTAAAGTTTGAAACTCTTCCACCGTAGGATTGTGTCAACGTTGTCGACGAAGACGAACCAACATGTTGTTGTGGTTGCAAGGGCGTTTGATTCGACTCTCTCATGTCCCATATTCTTAATGTTCTATCTGTTGAGCATGTAGCAACGAGATGTTGTGTGTGTGGACTCCACTTGGTACCTGTAATTAGAGAGTAGTGAATATTTGGTAAATACGCTTTGGGTCTCGAAGTATTTCTCAAATCATAGGTCATTAGGGATTGATCAAAGCATCCCAATGCCATTGAATATTCATCAAAAGCATTCACATCCAACTTTATGGCACAAGTTCTGTGGTGTAGCCGAAAAGATGCGACACATGGATCTTCATGTTGCCTTAAATCCCACAAACTGACAAATCCATCACGATCACTCGTATAAAATTGCATGGGAGTATGAGTATTCCATTGAATATCATAGACAGGTGGTGCTTGTAAATCTTGAACATTTTCTAATTTCGATTCTTGTTCCTTAATGACCAGTTCATGTTTTTTGGTGTGAAAAATGTCAAGTGCTTCGTTAGATTCTTGATTTTCTTGATATAATTTTATGGAAGAGGAATCAAGTGATCCTGTGATAATCCATTCAAGTGATATTTGATCCCAATCCACGTTTGAAATCTTTTCATTATCAAACCATTCTCGATACATACAATCAATGTTTTTTGTATCAAAAAATCGAAGAACATGATCGTCACAAGAGCTCAGTAAAACATTTTCATTTCGATGAGACCACAAGACATGATGACATCCAACATTTAGTTGAATTTGATGTTCAATTTCAATATTATTTTGAGGTAAAAAGTCAAGTAAATATAAAACTCCTGAAATGGGTGTATGACCTGGACGGTTCGATGTTGCAACTGCTAATCGATTTTCAATAAAAGGACTCCATTCGATGGAGTGAGGATTATTGACCACACAAATTCCGACTCCCATGGTGTGAATGATGAGTGTAAATGATTAGTAAATGATGAATGTAAATGATGTGAAATGGATTTACAAATTAATAAACATAATTTGAAAACACAAAATGTTGAGTGATTAATGTAAACAAAACGTTCAAAATGTTGAATAATTAATGTAAAATAATCATGAACAAGGATGGTTTCGGAACCGGTTGTGAATAATTGGCTATGAATTAAAAGTATTTTTTTGAAATGTGTGAGAATGATCAAGAATGCAGAATTTCAAGTTTATTCCAAAATAAATTTAAAGAAAAGGTTTTAATTGTAATTCCAATTGTTTGGTATAAGTGTCTAAATAATTTACAATATTATTTAATTCATTCACAGAAATATCAATGGAATCAACTTCTTGAAAACAGGTTTGTAAACTTTCATATAATTGCATCATCTTTTTCAAATTCGCATGAACACCTTCAGTTTTTTGATTCAAACCTTCATATTTCTTTGTGATGGCTAAATTCATTTGTTGCAATAAAGCTAATTCGTTGAATCCAGCCTGCATCTCTCCTTGTAATAATTCAATAAAATTTTCAAACATTTTCTCTGTAAGATCTTCCAATCGGTGTTGTTGATTTGATGATGATTGTAAATGTTCGGAAGAAGCAGTAGAAGCACTTCGTTCACGATAGGTTGCTAATAAACTTGATGATCGGGTACGGGATGATGATTCTTGTTGAGATTCTACTACTTGTTGTTGAGATGAATTGTTGGTGATAGTAGTGGCATTCGGAATGGCCATTGGAGAAGAAGAAGAGCCTTCTTCTTGAGCGGAGGATGATGACTCGACGACCTGCTGCGAGTCCACGTTGCTGCTAAACATTTTTTCTAAAACAAAATTTAATAAAATTATTTGAGAAGAATTGAAAGATTTTATTAACTATTACTGGACGATGACGATGATCATTCATAAGAAGGCTGAATGAAGGAGTTTAGGACATGAGAGAATTCTATAAATATTGTCCCCCTCCCCCTCCTCCTCCTAATAATAATTAATCTTGATTCAAAAATGGTTGACACAATTCCAAAGATGTATTCCAGAGTCTTTCTTGTAACTCTTCATCGAGTGCCAATTGGTTTTCAGAGGCATCATCTAATTTGCAATCCGAGTAATAATTTCCTCCTTTCAATTGATTCAAAGGTGCAATACATAAATAGATGGATGTTTGTGCACCTTGATAAGCATTCTTTGTGATGTACCACCAAAAAGGAGCAACAAGAGTGAAATAGAGAGGATTTAAATGACGCCAAAGTTGAGTACGAATGACACCAGGATGAAGACTAAATGCACTTGCCAGAGTCGTACAACCATCATCATCATCCTTTCTCCTCAACTCCTTTTCCAATCTTCTTGTAAAGACCATATTTGCAAATTTGGATCGTCCATACAATCGATCAGTAGGAATCTCTTTGCAATCTCCTTGAACAGTATCTAAGGTGAAGGATGCGAATCCACTCAATTTTGAATAATGGATATTATCACCACCACTCCTCTCAACACCACCACTACCACTGTTCACACCACCACTCCTCTCAATACCACCACTGTTCACACCATCATTGAGAATGACCTGTTGACATTCATCCTTTTCTTTTACCCAGTGTTCTCCTGCTCTTGAACTCACATTCACTACTCGACCATTCGATATTTTAATCAAATCCAATAATAAATAAGTTAATAGAAAGTGACCTAAATGATTGGTACCAAATTGAATTTCCTTTTATGTTCATTCATATAATAATAATTATCAAAATATAATTATTGTGTTCATGGGTGTGTTCATAATGTCAATATGTTGTGTTCAAAAGGTTATTAAATGTCAACATGTTGAGCATGTGAAAAATGATCATGATTATTCGATTGTTTCAATTGAGTGTTTCAATTTCACTTACCACACCTTGTTTTGTGGTCGAATGTGGAGTCATCATGATACCTGCATTGTTCAATAAAATGTCCAATCGATCGAATTTTTCTTTAAATGTCTTGGTAAAAGATTTCACACTTTGTAGATCAGATAAATCCAAAGCAACGACATGAATTTGAGAATCTGATTTTGTTGTTGATTCACTTGTAGGATACTTTTTGAAAATTTCTTGTTGAATCATGTCACCATTGGAAACATTACGAACTCCCAAAATGACTGTGGCACCTCTTTTCAAATAATTGTTATGGACCATTTCAAAGAGTCATGTCATTTAAAATAAAGACAAATAGTCATTGAAAAATTAATAAACGATTCATTTCCAAAATAATTAAAAATTATTTTATTATAAATTATTATTCCATTATAATTAAAAACAACCTACCGAGAATATAAAAAAGCAGCAGCTTCGAATCCAATACCACCCAATGATGGACCTGTCACTATTGCAACCTTTCCGTTCAAATTGGTGTGATTTAACAAGTATGATGGAACCATTCCTCCATTGAAATATAATTTTCCAAATGTCAACACAGCAACCAAAGCAACACCCACAGCACTCAAAGTGAGAGGAGGAGAAGCTGCTGACAACAAGGCATCCCAAAGAAAGGACATTTTTTGTGTATTTATCGGAATTTCGCTTGTGAAGTGTCGCGTCCGCTTGGTGCGAAAAGGATCTACAGTGCGCATAAAGGAATCACTACTTCAGTGTGTGGTGACTCTGTTCAGGCAACGTACCGTTTACAATGTCCTCGTTGAAAATTTGAATCAAACCAATGAATGAGAGAATCTTGCCATGACAATGGAACACCCTATCCAATGATTGCGAATGAGGTAACCAGTCAAAATTCAAAAGGAAATGCTCCGACAATCGATTTCTTCACTCATGAAATGATTACTTTTGAAACGTATATAAAAATTGAACCTATTGGCTGACATATTAGCAGCGATCACAGGATCATCTTCCTTTTCACAATGCAACAAACCATGTGGAGAAGGAGCACATTCCAATTTTTATCATCAATAGTAATTCTGCTCCTCCCAGCAACAGTCATCATCTCAATCATCTTAGGTGAATCACTTCCATCAAGAAGGAACGTATTGATTTTGTCTCTTCCATATCCTGGACATGTGAGGGCTCAAGTAGAATTAATGGACGCTCTTGCAGGGAGAGAATTGATCGGAAACATTACACTTTTAAATTCTAAGGCTTGTTTGGGTAGTGATGAGAGGCTTCCTCAATGGTATTCCAAGCAACAACAACGAATGAACAAGACTCAGAGTACTAGTATTCATAATGATCACCATCATCATCATCACAATGAAGACAAGTACTCGAAAATTCATTTAGCGTTTATGGATCAAAAGGACCAAGACGATGATACAACCAATGTTTTAAATTTCATTGCTACGAACATGGAAAGTATTTCAAAATTACCAATGAATGAAGGCTTATTTCTTGCTTTTCAAAAAGTCATTGCTCCCTATGAAAAGATAATGATTGAAAACTTAGAAATTGTTGAAATGGAAATTTCAAATCAAGAGGCAGAAACCACCCCGACCATCCTCATCCAGGAGGTGGAGGCTAACCAAGTTCTCAATGTGATTCCATTCGTGGATGCAGCAACAAGAAGAAAATTTTTTCAAGCAAGACACACTTCTGAACCTGTCACCCCTCCGAAAACATTTCTCAGAATTAAGAACGATCCCTCTCAGACACTCTTTGAACATGTGATTATTGATTTTTCACTCTATGCAGTTCAGTCAATTGTTGCAGCAAGTCGAGCTGCTTGCACAAAGCTTTATGTGAGCATGCTCCCTCATTCGTTATTTCACTACCCGGCTTTTTCAGCAGATCGATTGGAATATTTTACGAATTTATGGATGAGATTGAAATTACCATTTCTAATTTTCAAAGATGTTCAAACGTTTTCTGGAATTTTGAATTTACTTGAAGAGTATTTCACAACAGAAGAATTGTTTTTGAGTGATGTCAAATGTTCTAGAATTCAACTTTCAAGCTTGGGTTTTGAATTTGCATCTGCAAGCTCTCAACAATTGAATACCTTTTTGGTTGGCCCTTTTTTAAACGATCGCCACATTGAAAATGAAAGGAAACAATTATTTATTCTCTCTAAAGATGAAAATCAAAGAGAAAGAGGATATTTTGGTTTGTTAGAATGGACTGAAAAGCAACAAGATATTATGCTAATCATATTAGGATCAACCATGTTACTGAATGAGGAAGATTTATTCAAATTGTTGAATGCTCTAGAGGGATCAATTCAAAGGAATCCACAACTATCCATATTACTTTCATTGGGAACTCACAATCTTGTATCCTTTGATGCATTGAAACAATCAACACACTCTAAAACACTCATCTCAGCACTTGAGACCAATTCAAGATTTAGAAAATTGAATGGCTTTGTTCCTCAAAAAGGATTGTTGTCTCTCGACAAAGTCAAAATATTTCTGACTCATTGTGGTGGCAACTCGATTAATGAAGCACTGTATTTTGGGAAATTATTGATTGGCATGCCATTTTCCTTTGATCAGATGAGACTCTCTGTTGCAATTCATGAATTTCAAGTGGGAATTCCCCTTTTCACATCCAAAGAAGAAAGCAAAACATGGAATGTTGAAAAGTTGTCCAACTCCATTCAACAGCTGTTGTACTCTCCGCAATCGAAACATGTCTATGCGACAAAGGCTCGTCATGTCAAAGCATTGATGCGACATGCTGGAGGAGTACAAAAGGCAGCAGATGTCATTGAAATGATGTTAGAGTTGGATGGAGATTTATCTTGGACAATGCCTGACAAGCATTTGAGTTGGTGGCAATTTTATTGGTTGGATATTATCGTCGTGTATTTGAGCTTGCTCGTACTTTTTATTGGATTGATGAGAATTGTTGTGATGAGGTGTTTCATTCGAACCACTACTACTAATGGAAAAGCCAAATCTGAATAAATATTATTATTATAATATAATAAATATTAATATATTACATTGCTCTCATTGTATATTACATTTTTCTCAATCATGGGTTCACCTTAAAAAATAAAGAATGAATCCTGTAGATGCATCATTGCGCCCCACAAGTCCCTCGCCCTCTCCCACCTCCTCATCATCAAAAACTCATTCCTTGCCCAATTCAACAACAACAACAAGAAGGAGAAGTGACAGCAAGAAGCGATCATCACCTCAACTGAATCAAAGTTTTGATGAAAGTGTATTAAGAAAGCCGAATAACAATGAATACGGTGAGCCTACCATTACTGCTCCATCTCCACGATCACAACTTGATCATCACGATGTAAAATCTCTCACAACGAGTGATCATCACACGAAACCTGTTCTTCATTTGCCTCAGAGCTCTCTATCCAACAACAACAACAACTTTCTTTCATCCTCTAAGGTCAACAGCCCACTCTCATCACCCAAACAGGCAGCAGCAGAAAACGAAACGTTCATCACTCCTACCCTCCGACACCTAACTCCAAGTTTAATTGAAAATTATGTTAAGGCTAGAGTAACCAAGAGGATTCAAAAAATAGAGAGCGAGGAAAGAAAACAAAACGTATCTCAGAGATCATGTAAAAAACGAGTCGATCGGTACCTCCATGAACTCAATCGATCTCAATCTGCATTTGAATTGAATCATCATCATGATGAAATTCCTTCCTTTGATGAAAAGAAAAAACTCATTCGTAAAAATCAAATGTTATTTCAAAAATCAGCGGAGAATGTAATGACCAACAATAATTGTAAGAAATTGATTACAAACAGTGCAGATCGCCCTATGAGATCACCAACACCAACATTATCTACAAATTCAACAACATTCAGAAAATTCAATCGAGACACGCCATCACCGATGCAAAGAAGTCATTCACAAAGGTATACCATTATTGAAGTGGTACAAACCCTTAATAATTACTTTGCAAGAAGAAATTCACTGGGATCGCTTGAGGAATGCAAAAGTAAGGTACATTGAATGTGAGGATTCAATTCTACATGAAAAGTCACTATATTAGGAATGTGTGGTTTTGCGATGATGGGTTTTCTAGATGGATGAATTATCTTGAGGTTGTTCCACCATATCCTTTGGCAGTACGAGTGGTAGTGGAAGAGTCATGGTCCGTATTTGGGTGATAATGCTGATCAGTTGAATCGTTGTAATAGTTGGTCGACGTATTTCTGTAATCTGAGTCTGAATTGAAATAAGAGCCATTTCCAGTTGTGGAAGAGGATGCTGATTGACGATTCAGTAGACTGTTGAGAGCATAGCCAGCTGCTGCACCTGCAACAAAAGTAGGTACAGTACCAAAGGATGATGAGGATGTTGGAGTGGAATAAGTGTTGTCTGTAGAATAGTTTGGATTATAATTTTCATCTGTTGTTGTGTAATTGGGATTCACGCCTGGATAAATTGATGATGTTGCTTGGGGATAGGGTGTGCTTGATGATGGATAGGTAGTAGTAGTAGATCCTGGATTCGATCTATTTCGTGTTGATGATGACTTGGTCAACCAAATAAACGCAACTACCACTAATATCAAAACAATAATACCAAAAGCCCCTAAGCTTGATGGATTTGAAGGCTTTGCAGTTTCATGATGATAGTACTGTTGGTTGGGTTGATGTTGTTGACGATTCCTATTGCGCATTTCATTCATGGTGTGTGATTGTTGATGTCCTTTCTCTGTCCATTCAATAGAAAAATCTAAAGCGCACGATCCTCGCAACACAAATTCATCCCCTGCATAACGAAAGCCTTCACAATTTACGTTTAAATCAGAACCAAAGCGATATTTCTCGTCCATATCGGCTTCGCATTTCCATTGATAAGAGGTGCCATCAAAACCCATGTTTTTACATTGCACCACATCCGGAATGTAACTATCGGGTGAATATTTACAATTTAATTGCTGATATGCTTGTGTTCTTCGAGATGTAGTGTATTGTCCTTTTCTAAAGGTCAGGACTTGTATCTTTGAAAGATGAACAGCATCAGGTCCGAGTGGTTGTTGTTGAAGTGAGTGTTCGATGATGAACATCATCACAATCAACACGAACAGAATAGAATTGGAAAGCGACTTGATCATATTGAATTTTTTGATTTTTGAATTGAAGTTCTCCTTCAACATTTGAATGATCTGTTGCACCTTATTCTACAATCGAACACGTGTGTCATCAGCAATGTATTCGCATTCCAACTTGACAACGTGTTATGTGCCAGCTCAGTTGTAATTTGAATACCTCACCGAAGGATAAGGATGACGGTGGAGGTGTTGAAGGAGAACTTCAATCTACAATAGCGCTTTCATTGCATAGCGTCTTAAGCAGAGATTTTTTGCAAGCTTTGTTGTTCCAGAAGTGGCAATCAACGCCAACTTTGTTCCTTAAGGCGCTATTGTAAATTTTACCCAAGGCGCTATTGTAGATTTAAAAAATTTGTGATGGACCAACAGGAACCTCCTTCCCCTCAACAACAGGGTCAAAGCGATGAAAATCCGAATATCAGTAGTACCACAAGTAGCCCAAACAACAGCCCAAACTGGCTTTTGAAAAAACGACCTTCCCCTGTTTTCAATTCTGTAGAGCAAACAACGAATGAAATATCGTACAATGAAGAACAGCAAGATGAAAATCAAACAGATAAGGAAGATTTAATTAGAGAATTGCAACAAGAGGCTTCTTTAGCAAAAGAACAACTCGCCACCACTGTTGAACAAATGAATTCTCTTTCCGAAAAGCTAGCTGATTCATTGGAAGACATACTCAAAGGAGATATCGCGTTGAAGCAAGCAACAACAGATCTAGAAAGTAAAAAAGAAGAGCTACGACATTTTTCTCATATTATTTCAGAGAAAGAAGAACGTATAGAATCATTAAACCGGGAATTGTGTCAGGCAAAAACTGAGATTGAGAGCCTCAACCATGAACTTTCTATCAACTCTGAAAATCTACGAGTTTGTACAGAACAAGCAAGACAAAACAACCATCAAGTAGAAAGTCTCAGTTTGCAATTATCTTCAACAACAGAAGAATTGAATAGAGCTATCAACACAGTCAATGTAAAAACACAGGAAGTTGAAAGGGTTAAATCTCAAATTGAAGACGTCTCTAGTCAATTAATCAAAAAAACGCAGGAGCTTGAAGAATCAACAAATCAACTCCACGGTACAACTCAGGCACTCGAAACTCTCAGAGAAAATATGTACCGTCTTGAAAATACTTGTCAAGAAACAACAATAACTCTCAACAGTACAGTCCTTGAGTTAGAAGTACAACGCGAACTTGTTAGTGCATTAACAAAGAATCTTGGCGTTAAGGAGGACGAATTGGCGAGCACTGCCTTGGAATTGGGCGAGTACAAAGAAAGATATTCAATGACTCAATGTTCTTTAGAAAACGCCACACATGAACTTTCAGAAACTCAAGAGCAGTTCAAAATCACCTCCGATCGTTTATCTCAACTACAGCAAGATCTAGAAGCAACATCCTCTAATCTTTCAAATGCTCTTTGCGAGTTAGAGGTTACAAAGGATAATCTAAAGCAAACATCTCTACAAATTGAGTTGAGGCAAAAGGAGTTAGAACATACCTCTTCAGAATTATTCAATGCTAATATGCAACTTCAACAAGCATCAAATGAGGTGGCAAGAATGACAGAAAAATATAATGAAACCAAGAATGAGCTCACAGATACGACAGCACAGCTTACACTAACAAAAGAACAACTGAGTCAATCCATGAATGAACTGGAGACAACTTCCAAGCAGTTGAATGACACACTCAGCGAGTTGGAATTTACTAAAGAAGAACTCGCAAGAACCAATTCGACTCATAACGAGTTGGCCATGTCAAACACTGAATTAGAAGAAACAAAACGAAAATTATTGGAAGCATTAGCAACTGCGGAAAACTATTCTATTGAAATTTCGCAAAAGGTCGAACAACTGTCTAACACGCAAGATGTTCTCAACAACACTTTGAAATCGTTATCAGAAACAGAAGAAAAGTTCAACAACACTGTCGAAGAACTAAGGAAATCTGAAGAAAAATTCGAACTCACTGCCAAGGAGTTGCAAGAAACAAAAGATGAACTTTGTTCTACCAAAGTAGATCTTGACCAAACAAAGCATCAGCTTTCAACAACCACCGAACACCTTGCCTTAACAAGATCAGATCTAGCAAATTTAACGAAAAATCTTGAGTCAGTAAGCAATGAACTTAAACAATCAAACTACACCCTTTCTTTAACCACTGAAATGTTGAAATCTACAAAAGAAGCTCTAGACTCAACTAGGACAAATTTAGACTCCACAAAGGTCGCTCTTGCCGAATCACAAGAACTGCTCAGAATAACAAAAAAAGAATTAAAATCTAAAACAAGCGATTTGGATCGAACAACAAGAGAGTTGAACGATACAAAAAACACTCTCCAAAATACAAGAGAGCATTATGAACAATGCACGCAAAATTTAGAGTCAACTACACAGACGCTTGTTCAGTGCCAACAAAAGCTACAAGACACCCAAGATAGCCTCGATGCGGCTAAGAATGACTTGTCTAGCATTAATGATGAACTAAAAAGCACTCAATCTGAACTTGGTATGGTCAAAGAAGAAAAAGAAATATTACTCAAAGATTTAGAACAAACAACCGAGCGTTTACACATCAAAACTGAAGAGCTCATGACCACGTCCAATGCTCTTCAATCTACTCACGCATCATTAACGTTGAAAAACGAAGAGCTTCAAACAATGCAAAAAATACTTGATGCTACAAATACAGAGCTCTCAAATACAAAGAAAGAGCTACTAATGTGCAAATCAAGCCTTAAGCTTGTAAGCACAAATCTCACCAATGCAAAAAGCATGATAGAAAGCACAAAACAAGAGCTTGCACAAGCCAATAATTCTTTGAAGTCAACTACCGAAGCTCTGGATATTACCACACGACAACTTAGTGAGTCTATCGAATCCCACAATCTTACTCGAAATGAGCTATCAATTACACATGAAGCTCTTATTGAAACCAAAGAAAAGTTGGAAAAAACTACATTTGAGTTGTCCCAAACAAAAGATTTACTTACGGAAACACAACTCGCTTTTGAAAAAACAATGGAGGAGAAAATTTTGTTGTCAGAAGCTCACAACACCACAAAGGATGAGCTTGATTCATCAAAGAAAACTTTAGAAGAGACGAAATTACTTTTAGAACAAACGTATTTGGAGCTTTCTAGAGTGAATGAAGTGTTAAACGCCACTAAAGAGAAATTGACTTTGAAAGAGAAAGAATTGCAAGAGTCTATTGAAGCCCATAATGCCACAAAGAATGAACTGCTTCTAACCCAAAACATTCTTGCTGAAACCAAAGTTGAATTGAACGGAAAATCAGAAGAGTTGGGTCGGACAGAATTGGCAGTAGAAAAGTTCAAGGAAGATTTAAATGCCTTAATTGAACGGAATAATAATACCGAAAGTGAGCTGAAAATTACCAAGGCCCATCTTTCGGAGTGCTTGAGCGGATGGGAAAAAACAAAGATGGAACTATCCCACGTGAATGAATTATTAGCTAAATATCAAGATCATCTTGACCAATCATCGAGAGATTTAGCTCAAACACATGAGGCTCATACCGCAACAAGAAACGAGCTTGAAGAAACAAAGTGTGTATTGTTAGAAACGAAAGATAACTTGAGAATTTCTCAAGAAAAGATTGAAGAAATTACAAAGTTTCTACAAGAATCTGCAGAATCACACTACGCTACTAAAAGTGAACTTCTGAACATTACTGAATTACTGACACAAACCAATAATTCTCTTAAAGAGAAGACCGAAGAATTGCATCAAACGACTAAACTTCTCGAGAGAACCAAATCAGATTTCATGGATGTTGTAGAGACTCTTGAACGGTCAAAAAGTGAATCTGAAAGCTTGAGACGCCAGTTGGACGATGCACTTAAAGGTTGGGAGTTGACCAAGTCGGAATTTTCTCGAACAAACGAAACCTTAAAAATAATTTCAACATTGCTAAATGATAGCCAAGAAAAATTAGACTCTACCACACGAGAGCTGCATCACTCAGTGGAAGCTCATAACATCACAAAATCTGAGCTTGCTGTTACAAAAAAACATCTCTTAGATACAAAAGAAAATTTAGAACAAACACAGAACGAACTCGCAAACACTAACGCAAGTTTGACCAATACCAAACTTGAGTTAAATGTAGCTTGTCAAAATCTTGGAGAAACAATGAGTACTTTGTTGAAAACAGAAGAAAAACTCGAGAATACAAAGAAAGCTTTGGAAAAGACAGATATAGACCTCGAAAAAAGATCGGAAGAGGTGTTAACTTTATTGGATGCGAAGACAGAGCTCGAGAGTGAGCTAGAACAATCGAAATCTCTTGTACGTTCCAAAGAAGCAGAAATTTTAGATCTTTCTGAGACTCTCAAAAATATGACTGAAAAAACTGACTATCTTACGTTGGAACTGAAGAATACAACTTTAGCTTTGCAAGAATCCACTGATAAGCTACAACAAACACGTTTAGAACTTTCTGAGACAAGAAATGAGCTCCATCAAACAAAGGACACTCTTGATGCAACTTCAAACAATCTTGAACGCCAGCTAGTAGTAACTTCTGAAAAAAATCAAACAATCCTTCAACAAGAATCTACTATTCACGAGCTACAATTAAAAATAGAATTACTTGACGACGAATTGAAACACTCAAAATTGACTATTCAAACAATGGAAGAACAGTCATCTGCGCAACGGAATTTGTTGCTTGAAAGAGAACAAGCTATTGAAAATCTCGAAACAGAAAGATCACAACTTAAAAATATGCTGGCACAGCACGAGAATACCATATCCTCATTACAGTCGTTGCTATCAGAAAGAGATGCGATTATTAAGGATCAGACAGAGGATATTAATTTAAGAATTGAAAACTTCAATGCACTACAACAAGAAAATAATCTTAAAGACCAAGAAAACGAAAAATTAGTTCAAGAGCTCAACCACCTGCGCTCAGTTTGTGAGGATAAAAAACTGCAATTAGCGAATGCACAGGTGGTCATCAACAACTGGGTTACAGAAAATATTTCTCAAGCCAACACTATTGAAGAATTACGTGATTTAGTCAAAAAAAAGGAAGAAGAACTTTACTCTTTGCAACTATCAACAAATTCAATTTTGAATGAACGCAAAGAAGAGATAAATTTGCTGGATGTTAAACTAAAAGAGGCGAACACAAGCATAACAACCTTAACCGAAAAAGATCAAGAGAATATGCTTCAAATTCGGCAACTCTGGGACAAGATTAAAGAAAGAGATTTACAGATTGAGAACCAAACTCGTGATATTATTCGGTTAGAAGAAGAGCGAAGACAGTCTGAATTTAAATATAGAAAAGAAATTGAGCTATTAAACAAGATTATAATTGATCTTGAGCATTCAGCAAAGGAGAGCGAAAAAGATATCTTCCAAATCAAACAGATCAATAACGATCTCAATCAAAAGAATATTGCCTTAGAGTTGGAGTCCAAACAAATCAAAAATCAATTCCAATCTAAGCAAAAGAAGATCGAAGAGCTGACAACCAAGTTGCAAATTGAGTTAAAGAGAAATGAACGGAACGAAAAACAAAAATCCAACCTTGTACGAAGTCTTAGAGATCGAACATTGAACATGACCACAAATTTAGATCAAAAGAACAACTTACTGTTACAAGATTTAACTCAAAAGATAGAAGAATTGCAACAAAAGTATGAGGAGGTTGTTGAGCAGAGAAACGAGTTAAAAAAAGTGTGTCATGCCTTACAAGCAAACAGGAAGGACCTAGAAACAAATAATTTTCCTCCCAGAATTGCTAAAAACACTCTCAAGTTAAAAGGATCACAAAAAAACCACACAACAGCATGTACTTCTAACAATCATCAATAAAGTATCGACAATGTTTTGTACCATCTTACAATTAAAAAATGGGCAAACGTAAAGACAAGTCGCATAAATCGTCATCAAAGAAAGTAAAATACGATTACGAAGAAGAGGAAACAACAATCCTACCGCTCTCTTCTATGCTTGACAGTCTCTTGTCAATGTATCCCGATGATTCAGATCAGTTGAAGAATTTATTTGAAGATTTAGATGATGGATGTTTGGTTAATATTTGTGAAATTGAAGATCGATCTGTTCGAAATATTCTCGAAGATATGTTTAGCTCTCATTTCAAACTCCGGAAAGACAAAGAGACAAAAGAATATTACAAATCATCATCGTCGCCATCATCACTCGTTGAAATTTTTGATAAATATTTACAGGAAAATCAATTACAACATGGCTCAAAACCAAAATCATTACTCGAGGCACACCTGATTGAAAAAGCAAATAGTAAATCTGAAATTGAACGAAGAGATTTGGAAAGTAAAGGATTTTTGACATGGAATAGAGATAGAGATATGGAAAACCCAACAACTGCTGTGGATAGAAAACGACTTTTGGATGTAGCCAATAATGCATCTAAATTTTCACAAAAATTTACATCAAGGATGGAGACAAAATTCCTCTAATGCAATGAATCAATTCTTTTTTTCTCGCTTTTCTCTTTTGATGGTGTCCGCCAGCATATTTGCAATTTCAGAAAGTCTCTTATTTAACATTCCACCACTGCCATTGGTACTTCCTCCCAAAAGTGGAATGCTGTAAGAAAATTGGACTAAATTTTCTTTGGGTTTTTTGAGAAGTATATCAGAGGTCACATTCATAATTGGATCATAGAATAGCGGAGGAAGATCGTCAGTACCAGTCATGATTGATTTCTTTGATGGTTTGCTTTTAGAGTTGCTCGATCCTTTTTTTCTTAATTTTATATTTTATCTTACAAATTATGATCTTTAAATTACGTACTTTGGATTTAGCATTTTCTGTGAGATATTTGATGTATTGTTGATAAACATGGATTCTAATTTTTCACATTCTTCCATCCAACATTCTTGCTCAAACTTTTCTAATTCTTCCATTTCATCTCTCGTTATTTCCTGTGCAAACTGATAGGAAACGTAATAAACCATTTGATTGACAAGAAATGCAATTTCGTACAGCTCCGAGTTTACATCCCCCGAAAAATCTCCATCAATTGGCTCTTCTAGAATCACATACGTTTCGTCTTTTGCCTCTCCCACTTGCAACAAATCATATCGTTTCGTAGAAGTGACAGAATAAAACGGACTTCTCGGAATTGTTTTTTTTAATAAGGATAACGAAGTTCTATTGGAACGAGCTGCAAGTAATTGTTGTTGTTGAAGCTGTTGTTGTTGTTGTAAGAGTAATTGTTGTTTGATCAAGGAACTCATTCGGAATGGATTCAATTTTTTGAAAAACCAAAATTGTAAAAAATTGGCGGAATCATCCTTCACCATAATTGTTCAATAATTTTATTTCATGAGAGAGGAAGATGAGGATGTCTGAAAGGAGCTGCTATTCCTTGTGAGTGATTGAATGAAATCCGACGATTCTTGCTGATTGGAGTTTGATGTTTTCAATTTCAAATACTTTCCAACCGATCGGTCGTGGGTGGCATCTCCTCGTTGTATCGTATCCTTCTTGTTCAATCCAGATGGATTTGAAAACCAATGACCGAATTGTTGTGAGTCATGGCCATGTTCTGAAGTGTTGTTCTCCGAGTTTCTCATTCCACTCGTTGCAGCACTCTTTGAGAAGTCAATGTTGATCACTTGTTGACTCTCTGCCAATTCTCGTTGTATTTTTGCATCCTCAGCGAATGGACTGTAGAACACACTTGTTTTTTCAATAACAATGTCTTCAAGAGGTCGATCTTCCTCGTCAGTTTTGATCTTTTCAATATGTTCTAAAACTTTAGATCCTCCAACTAGTCTTCCAAAAACTGTGTGTTTGTTATCCAAATGTGGTACAGCCTTGAATGTAATAAAGAATTGACTGGAATTGGTGTTTGGTCCTCGATTGGCCATGCTTAATACTCCAAAACCATCATGACGAAGCTTGCCTGAAATCTCATCTTTAAAATCACTATTCCAAATACTTTTTCCTCCTCTTCCGGTACCTGTTGGATCTCCTCCTTGAATCATAAACCCTTTAATGAGTCTATGAAATTTAACACCATCATAATATTTTCTGTTGCATAATTCAATGAAATTATCACAAGTTTGTGGACACAAGTACGGATACAATTCAAAATTCAAGTCTCCGAAATTTGTGTGTAGAGAAACATATGCTTTCTTGTCTTTAAATTGTTTCTTAATTCTGTCATATTGTGCAGTTTTATCCTTCCAATATTGTTCATTGATCTTTTCAGATTCGTGACTTTTAGTTCTAACATTCATTACAGAAGAGGTGAGTGAAGAAGCTTTTGTGTCGCTACTTAATATTCCAAAGCTTTGCTCACCACCTCTAAGAGGATTACTTTTCAGCTCTTGTTCTTCCTCATTGCTCTCTAACTTTTTCTTTTTTCGTCTTTCCATTTCTTCTAAAACTTTTGAAGTTGAACTATTTAAGTTGATATACTCTGAGACTTTTTCTAAATTAGACGAATCTTCTGATGCTCTTCTCTTTTTTTCTTCTTGAATTTTTTTTTCTGCTTGATGATGCATTGTTGTGATGTCTCTTGGATTCTTTGGATCTTGAATTGTAATTATATCATCTTTTGTAAATTCCTCATTTGTAAGCACGTCATGCATTACGTCACCCTCTGTTAAATTCAAATTCTCAATACCGTTCCAAGAATATACATTTCCAGTCTTGGCAATTGCAACAATATGAGATTGTTCAGTGAAAATTCTATTTGTAGCAGGACAATAAGGTTTTCCTTCTTCATTCATTTTAATATGTAATCGTATTAAATCATTCATTTCTAATGGCTCTCCAGTAATTGGATGAATATGATGTTTCCGAATCCATGGTAAAATATTTAAAATATCAAACATGTACCCATCACGTGTAGCAACTGGTTCACCAGTGATTGGTTGAGATGTTAAGCAGCAATGATAGAAGGGAAGTGATTTTCCGATTTTGCGTTCAACCTCTGATGCTTTCCGTCGAGAGGCTAACTCCGACGATCGAACATACAAATGGCCATGTTTCTTGGAGTGTGAGGGCATTTTTTTTGAATAAATTGACCGATCCCACTTGGGGTCAATCACACTTTCAATAAAATTTTTTTTGAATAATATTTTATATTTTTATATTGAATGTCGATTTATTATTAGAGTGTAGTTATTGTGTTTACAAGATAGACATGTCGCCTTCAATCAATCGAGATGGTGTGTGGAACTTGCCTACTGCATCTTCTTGGAACATCACCTTTTTCATTGGTGGTGAATGAAGAAGAAATTAGCTTTATTGTTGTACACAATTACTTCTTAAGCTTTGAGGCAAAGTTTGGAAGTAAACTTAGAATAATGTCCACTGTAATGAAAGTGAGAGAAATCATGAGAGTGTTCATCATCATGACGACACGATGAGACATGCCATAGTCCATGAGATAAGAGAAAATTAAGCATGCTGCAACTTGACACTTACCCATTGGTTCAGCTTCCTTCTTTGTAACAAGATCAAACTCAAAAACAAACAAACAAAAATGCTGTTGTAAGAAAATTAATTTCACACAATGAATCATAATAATTCATGCAGCAAACAACAAACCTTGAATGCAGTATTCAAGTGAGCTTCCTCTCCCAACTTTTTAACTTCTTCGAAATGGGAATGATAAATATGGGCATAGACTCTGAACAATCGTTTGAAAATTTGTTTAACTTCACTCTTGAAATTTGCTGGGAATGGAACATCAGGTGATGGTGGGAACAATGATTCATTGTTAATCCTAGCTTCAATCCAACCCATCAAAAACTCCATGTATTCAGGAGCTGAGACACGAATTGGTTTTGTGATATTATCCTCAGGATTCATCCACAAATATTCAAATTCTGATTTTTGAATGTGAATTCACATGAATGGGTTTGATAATGTCATTCATAAAATGTTGTTGTCAATAAGATCATGATGATCAAATATTGATATCATATATGAAAATTGTCGTCAAATATTGTTGATTGAATATTCAGATTGTTGAGTATTTCTCACCGCACACGCACACACTTACCAGCACCAGCTGACATGACTGGACATGAAGAAGCAGTACAAAACTCTGAAATACTTCCATACAATAAATTGGTGGTGTTGAAGAAATCGACAGCTGAATCATGATGGAATAGTTCTATCCATACAATATGGTTTTGCTCTTTTTACTTACTATGAACAGCTGCAGTATAAAATGTTGATGTTTTGGAGGAACATTGGGCATACAAATAGTAGAGAATAAGTAGATGATAGAGCATTCGCGAACAGATATATCAAGCGAACAGACCTATATAAATTTACATACCGAGCCAATCATTCAATTCTTCTCCTTGTGGAAGTTTAACGGCTTGACTCAAATCACCACTTCCAAGAGTAGCTGTTATTACGATGATGGATTGGACATCAACCATCACCCGATTTAAAAATCATCATCAGTCCAATCATCATCATCATCAGTAATATAGTATAATGATCATAGAGTAATATATTATTAAAAGAAGTAAGAATTACAATCTATCCATCGTTGATCAACATCATTATCGTCATACCTTTCGCTAATTTATGTAATTCCTTTCTCTTTCCTCCATGTGATTTCTTTGGACGAAAAGTGTTGCTATTCTTGTTTCCGCTGTTGTGTTGATCAAAGAAGAACAAAGATGTAAATATATTGTGAAATAGGGTGATGAAATTTTCGATAACGATGATCATCCCTTCGTTCGTGAAGAGAGAGATCCAAACAAACAACGTACAATATTCCCAGGATTGGCATATTTTTGTGTGATGGATAATTTGAGTGATTGAGAGAGTTGAAATTTTGACAAGCTTCTTCTTGTTGTTTTCATTTGAAATGAGAATAGTTTAATCTATAATGGTTGGTGACACATTCGAAAATGTGTAGCTCTTAGTACAAAGGAAATCCTTGATCTACGTTCTTTCGCCATGAATTAACTCCACCATCAATATTCTTTACATTGGTAAATCCAACGTCAAGAAGAGTTTTGGTGGCAGAAACTGAAGAAATCCCTCGTCTACAAATGACAAAGATTGGATAATCATTAGGTGTTGTTGCAGAATTGTTAGAATTCTTTGAAATTTCGTCTCTAATCCTTTGAATGGATTCTTCCTTACTTAATTGCTTGAGTGGAATATTGATAGCGTGAGGGAGAGCAGCAATATCGTATTGAATTCTTTCTCTAACATCAAGTAAAATGTGATTCTTTGGATTTTTCTTTAACAATGATTCATATTCTTGGGCTGTGATTCTATTTTCGGGTCTCAGCAAGTCTGCAGGTTGTGACGCTACCTTATCTGCACACACCAGAGACGTTCCTTCCGGTATTAAACTTGTTATTGTAGGAATATCGCCACACACCTTACAACATGATTGTCTTCCTCTTATCTTTACAGTCCTAAACGAGCAAGTTTTAGCATTAAACAAAAGCATTTTCTGTACTAAAATTTCACAATTATTCTTCACAGATTCCTCATCGTCCATTTGCATTAATAATTTCTGAGCCTCAAGTGCTTGAAGACATCCTATTATTCCTGGTACTACACCAAGAACGCCTCCATCAGAACAACTGGTTACTGTTGCTGGTGGAGGAGGATCCGGATACAAACATCTATAACATGGGCCTTTAACATTCTTATTCCTGTAATTATATATTGTTAATTGTCCTTCGAACTTTACAGCACTTCCGCTCACAAGTGGCTTTCCTGCCAATACACACGCATCATTCACTAAATATCTAGTGGTGACGTTGTCACTACAGTCCATAATTACATCATATTGTTTGACTAATTCTAATCCATTCAATTCCGAGAAGGGTTGATTGTAACATTCAATTTTCACATTTTCGTTTAAAAGTTTACAAGACATTTTTGCAGATAATGTTTTAAGCATTCCAGTACGGTGTTCATTGTGAATGATTTGTCTATGAAGATTACTAGTATCTACAACATCGAAATCCACAAATCCTAATTTTCCAACACCTGCTGCAGCAAGAAAAAGGGCAGCAGGCGAACCTAGGCCTCCAGCACCAACCAACAAAATGCTTCCATTACATAATTTAGCCTGTCTCTTCACACCAATTTCTGGAAGTAGTAAATGTCTACTGAATCTAGCAATTTGATCATTATTCAATTCCTTGTTCAGTTCATTGTAGAGATATGGAAGCTTTTCTTTTAAAAGTTCAGTATTGTTGTTGCCATCCTCATATTGATCTTCTTCCTTGATGATTTGATGTTGTTCATGATTCATTTCCAATCCCGATGCTTTTGCCATTAACTTTTCTTCCAACTCCCTCACTTTCTCCCGCAACCATTTGTTCTCTTCTTCGAGTCTCTTCAAGGCTCCTGAATCTTGACTCATTTTTTTTGAGTTCAATTTCAAAAATCCAACAATTCAACAAACCATCACCAAGACACTAAATTCGAGAGAGCGATATTCCCGGCTGCAAAGGTGTGATGATAAAGATTTGTGAGAGAAATCGAAACTAAGGAGTGGTGTGGAGCATTCCACTCTTCATCGAATTAGCAAATGATGACTCGTTTAAAAATAGGTGAACAATCTCTGAATCTTTCTGTGATTACAACGTAAACGCTAGACAGTAACTGATGAAAAATATCGAATATCATGCAATTGATTTTTAATTTTCCTTTGAGAAGAACGCGATGATTCTTATTTGAACTTTCATCTTTAATTTTCCGGTTATGGATTTTAAAAAAATGCAACACCAACAACACAACATGAAGGCTATTTATTCTCTGGTGCAATTCATTCGGCTCTGCACGCTCGTGTTTGCCATTTGTTTTTATTGTGGTATCATGACGATCGGATTGATACTTTTAACTCCTTTGAAATATTTTGGATTTGGAGATTTGGTTTTTAAGATTTATTGTATGTGGGCTGGTAGAGGATATTGGACGTTTATATTTGTATTGGAACAATTGGATCAGGTTGAATTGGTTTGGTATGGTGATAAAATTCCAAAATATGAGAATAGTATTTGTATCTCAAATCACGTAGCAGATACAGATTTTATAGTGATTCAAACATTCGGAATGAGAAAAGGAATGCTCGGACATACAAAATTCATGATGAAGGAAATTATCAAGTAGGTAAAGAATACATGAGAACAATATTAATCCATACCAAACTCCATAACTCATTAATTTATTTTTTTTCATTATTCTTACCTTTTTATAACAGATATGTTCCTGGTGTTGGATGGGGATGTTATTTATTAAATCACATTATGATGTCTCGTAACTGGACAAGAGACAAAGACTCTATCGCTAAAGTTTTCGGAAATATCAAGAGTCACAAAATACCTGTTTGGATTATTTCATTCCTGGAAGGAACAAGATTTACACCTCAAAAGTTAGAAGCTTGTAAAAAATTCTGTGAAAAAAAAGGAATTAAGCCTACCGAATGTGTATTGACTCCAAGAGTGAAAGGATTCAAAGCAACAGTTTCTAATTTTGCAGATTCTCATATTCAATATGTTTATGATTTTACTATTGCTTACGAAGATGGACCTGTATCAATTATGGATCTGATGAGAAAACCATTTAAAGGAAAAAGAATTCACATTCACGTGCGACGTATTCCAATCAAGGACATTCCTTATGATGACGATGAAAAGATTGAGAAATGGGTCTATGATTGTTTTTACAGAAAAGATGAAATGCTAAAAGAATTCCAAAAAACAAAGTCTTTTGGTGAAGTTGTGCACGAACCATATAATTATGAAGATTTCATCACAGAACCTCTGAAAAGAATGTCAAAGCTTTAATGTAACATAAACAACCTTTAAATTATTTGAATGATTCGTCTCAATCATTTACTTCTTCTTTCTTCTTCTTCGTTGATCATCAAAGTATGGATTACTGAGAATATCTTGAGCTTGAGGTCTTGACAAGTTATCCTTTTCCAACATGGATAAGGTAATGTCAATCAATTGTGGAGAGTATTCTTGACCTTCTTGCAATTTGGTTCTCAACCATTCTTTAACAGCAGCAGGTTCCTTGGCCATATAAATATTACTGATCGATGTGAAAGTATCCTTTGTCATAATTTGATAGATGGCCACTCCCAAACTGTAAATATCTGTGTTGGCATAATATTTACCACCCAAACCAAGCTCAGGTGACATGAATAATGGAGTACCTGCATAGGAATTGTTCATCGAGTTGTTGCTTTGAGCTTTTGCTAAACCAAAGTCTGCCAATACAATTTGAATATTGTCCTCATCTAATTCCTTAATGAAAATATTGCTTGGTTTCACATCACGGTGAATAAGTTTCATTCTACAGTGAATGTAATCAAGTGCATCACACATTTGATAAATCACTTGTTTGATAATCTTCTCTGAGCAATGGAATTCAGCTGCTGTCAATTTGCTTAAATCACCATGTTCATAAAAGTCCATATCAATGACGAGAATATTTCCCTTATCCACAAAGAAATCATTCACTTTGAGAATGTTTGGATGTTCAATATTCATCAATTGAGTACCTTCTTTCATCATGGTATTCAATTCTTCCATATTTGTGAATTTAATAACTTTGAGAGCTTTCATCTTGTTATTTCTTGTGTCTTCTGCTTTGAAGACTGAACCAAATGCACCTTGTCCAATTCTAATAAAGTTTTTATAACGTGACATGGGATCAAATCCAGTTCCTGACGATCCAGCAGAACTTCCTTGACTCAATGGTTTGAAATTCACACTCTCATCGGATGGGAAGAATGAAGCATCGAGTCCACTATCATTTCCTAATTCAATTTGAATGGTTCTCGAAGTTGGAACACTTTCGAGTTGACTTTGAGCCTTCTTTCGACGATACACGATAAATACAATGACACCAATCACCACAAGAATCACTGTAAAGATCAACACTAATAAAATTGGAACTACAATGGCTGCAATGATTCCTGAATTATCTGTACTATTAGGAGAAGTGGTTGGCTTATTCGTTCGTTGAGATTGCTCTGGTTGAGGTATATTCATCACAGAGAATGAAGTTAAATGAGTGGTGGCACACATCAAGTTGTAAGTAATGAGACCAGACTCGTTCTTTAAAATTGTGAAATTTGAAGATAAACCATCGTATTTCCATTGATTTGAGACAGAATCAAAATAGAAACATGTTAAATTGAGAGAAGTACCCATTGAAGAAGTATTTTGCATAAAGGTCACTCCATTAAAGTACAATGTAATTGGAGAGGAGAGAGAGAGGTCTTTCACACTCAACACACTACTATCCTTCCTGGATAAAACAGAGAGAGAAACCACAGGACTCAAGATGGAATTTTCATTGGGTGGAGTGCTGACGGAAGAGAGAATATCAATGGCTGTAGTACTCGATGTCAATCCATTTCGTATCATTTGTGAATCAAAATTGGTGGGAAATTGAATAAGAACTGAATTGGATAGAGAGATTTTCTTTCCATTGAGTAGATTAAATTGTGAAACACTTTCAAAAAGTGCTGAACCACTTGATAATTGAAGTGGAATTGAGGGAGTGGATGAATTTCCGGACATTGAGTTCACTTTTCGGGCTAGATTAGCTACTGAGATTAACAATTTGGTAAAGTCTACAGATTTTGTGCTCCAAATGCCAAACAAGTCCACAATTTCAGTGACTTGACTATTATCCAACAGCAATGATTTTGTTGCACTTGAACAAAAGCGATCTGAATGTTTTCCAGCAGCATTCAAGAAATAATTCAACCAATTGTAAATATTTGTGACTTGTGAATCAATAGTCGATGGAGATTGAGCATAAAGCATTGTGTAAATATTTCTTAAAGGTGTAAGAACTAATTGGAGAATCTTTTCATCCACATTAACACCAAGTTCAGGAATACCATTCAATACATTAATCATGTCAATCAACAAAGTAGCAAGAGCATCAGAGGTTGTCTTAGTGATGGTTCCTTGAGATCGTTGACTCATCGAGTATTGAAGTAATGAAAATAGAGAAGATACTGTTACAGCACTGTCTATTCTCAGAGTTTCATTTCCTCTCCAACCATTGAAACTATAACGGACATAATTCAAAGTATTTGTGAGGGATAAATCTTGAGCAAGTGTGGAAGGTAAATTCAATGAAAGTGATTGTTGAAATTTTGCAATCGATCCATTAGTATTGATAAGAGTGACAGAGACTGTAATTCCATTTGGTGAGTAAGGTAATCGAGCAATGATCCATCGTTTAGGAGTGTTCGAAAGAACCACCATTCGTTTGATATTAGAATTGGAAAAAACTTCCATCAAATAACTCGAAACACTCTCTACAGTGTGAGTACAATAAATGACAAATTGGCTTTCATAGGCAATCATTTTAGAAGATGGATCATAAATTTCACAATGGAATCTTGGTTTAGCATCAATTCGAGTTGAAACTCTTGCATAGGAAGCTCCATCTTGATTGGATGCAGACACCCCAAACACATAGGTTGTTTCAGCTTGTAAATATGAAGCAGGAATGATCAATTTGCTCACTACATTGTTGGTGCCATAGATTACTTCATTAAAAGTATTTTGTGAAATAAAAGTGCTGATCGATGCATTACTGGTCAGGTTATTTGATGTCAATCTCAATAATCCACTTTGTAAAGTCCAAGCCACGTTATTGCATGCACTTTGTGAAGTAATTGTTGCAGTTAACACTAAATTTCTGCCATAGGGTGAGATTGCTGGTACGGTATTTATGTTAATATCTGGAATTGTGATGGTCGAATTTAACACAGTCAGTGTTCCAACAAATGTACCTGTCACATTCATATTGTCATTTCTACTGCTATCTCCAACAATCATCATGGATAGAGCAACCTTGTATTCACCAGGGCCCAAAGATCCAGCTGCAATTTGTAATGAGGAACTTGTTTGAGAAATAATTTCAGTATTCAGCGATAGATCCTTCACACTCCATTGATAGCTCAATGTTGATGTTTCTGGTGTGAAATTAGAGATATATGGATCGATCATGTTCACTCCAATTGTAATATTACTTTGTTGAGAATAGGATTTTTCAACATTGGTCATCACTAGATTAATCTTATCATATGCCTTATAGGAGACCTTAATTGAGCTACTAGTTGGAACAGTAGCAAGACCAATGACAAGAAATTCTCCATTATAGGTTGAAGCAAATACACTTGAAGTTGATGGTTGATAGTTGACAATTCGAATCATTTGAGCCTTTTCATAAGAAGATGACAATGTTGCAAATGCATCAAGAAAAGCATAACTCATGGAGCTGCTTGCACCATTTGGAGCAACCTCAAGAATACATGATTCTCCCACACAATCCAAAAATCTGTTTTGATCAATGATCGTTGTGTCACTCAATATGTTATAGGAAGGATAGGTCACTTTTGCATACACTACAGAATAAGGTCGAGTAGAAAAAGCAGTAGAAAGTCCATTATTTCCCTGTAATGCTAATGGAAGTTGTCTATAATAAACAGAGCCTGAGAATTCGGAAAATAGACTACTTGGAATAATGATAATAGGTTTGTTGGCTAAATTGGAGAGGTAATTCTGAACACCAGTCACACATTGTGTGGCCACTTGAGTTGAAGAGTCTGAAGAATAACACATCCAAGAAAGTGACATGTTTCTGAATCCCTGATAAGTATTATTTGATGAAGCTCTAACCACAATATCCAACCCAGAAGGATACGAAGAAAGGGCAAGATCTAGAGTAACACCATATTGTGAATTTTGTTTCATTGTATTAGCCGCTGTAGTATCTACCCGTAAAGTAATGTTATAGGGTGTTAATCTTAAAAGATTCATGTTATCAATCAAATGTCCATAACCAAGATTGATTTTAAATTCTGAACTATCCCATTTGCATTCCACATTATTAGTGTCTCCCAACAAGGAAATGTCTTCTGGGAATAGTTCCAAACAAGTCTTTGAAGAGAAGCTAGGAGCAAGAGATGTTATAGACTTCTTACTTGAATAAATCACAGAAGTTGATCCATCCAATTGCACTCCATGGTATTGACAAGTATTTCCAACAAATCCATCGTAACAAGTACACTTGTCTAACTCATAACATTTTCCTTGTGAAGAGCAAACAGAGAGATCAATACTTGAAATACCAAAACAAGAGGTCACATTACATGTATTTGTGCCATATCCAGGATAACATTGACAAGAGTCTGGACCTATGCAAGTACCATGTTTGCTGCAAACTTCTGAACTGTTTGATAGTAATCCAAAACAAATTGAATATTGACAGGATTCGCCTCCAAATCCAGCGTTGCATGTGCATTTGTCTGTGGAGTCACATCTACCTCGTCCATTACAGACATCCTTTTCATCAGATTGTTTACCAAAGCAGAGAGGATTGTTGCAATTGGTTCCATTTCTTCCAGGTTGGCATACACAAGCATCTGGTGCTACACATGTACCGAATGAGGAACAAACGTTGGGGTCATTGTATGAGATACCAGAGCAATTATAATATTGACATTGATCTCCATAATATTTTCCTGATTTTGGCCCATTGTTACCTTTGAGAATTATTTCATATGACATAATATCATTGTACAATGATAATGACATTGATTGTTAAAATGCTTGTGGCACACAAACCAACACCTGAAAACTTACATGAACAAACATTTGGTGCAATACATGTACCATTGCCTGAGCATGCATTATTAGTGTCTGTGTTCACAATTCCATAGCATTTGAATTGATCACAATATTGTCCAAAATAACCTGAAGTTGTACAGGTACAATTATTAGGACCAGTGCATTTTCCTTTTCCATTGCAAACACTTGAGCTATTGAATAGAATGTTATTGCAGTAGTAAATTTCACAATTCGTTCCACTATATCCTGATTTGCATGAGCATGTATCTGGTGCTACACATGTACCGAATGAGGAACAAACGTTGGGGTCATTGTATGAGATACCAGAGCAATTATAATATTGACATTGATCTCCATAATATTTTCCTGATTTTGGCCCATTATTGCCTTTGATAGTTATTTTAAATGATGTGAAAATGATAATGTCGTTGATTGTTAATATCATTGTACAATACATGTACCATAATGACATTGATTGTTAAAAATCTTTTGACATACAAAACCAACACCTGAAAACTTACATGAACAAACATTTGGTGCAATACATGTACCATTGCCTGAGCATGCATTATTAGTGTCTGTGTTCACAATTCCATAGCATTTGAATTGATCACAATATTGTCCAAAATAACCTGAAGTTGTACAGGTACAATTATTAGGACCAGTGCATTTTCCTTTTCCATTGCAAACACTTGAGCTATTGGAGAGAATGTTATTGCAGTAGTAAATTTCACAATTCGTTCCACTATATCCTGATTTGCATGAGCATGTATCTGGTGCTGTACAAGTTCCGTTTCCATTACAAACAGAGGATGAGTTAAATTGAATGCCGTTGCAATAATATAGTTCACAGTTACTTCCATAATAACCAGGATTACAAGTACAATTGTTGTAGGACGAGCAAGTTCCATGTCCAGAACAAACACCTGAAGTGTTTGAATTCACAACTCCATAACAGTAATAAGTTTGACAATTATTTCCACTGTAATTGGGGTTGCAACTGCAATTATTTGGAGCGTAACAACTACCTCTTCCTGAACAAACTCGTGTGTCGTTAAAGACAATTCCATAACAATCATATAAGGCACACTCTGGAGAATAGTATCCTGAACGGCAAGTACATTGATTAGGATCCGTACATGTACCATTTCCGCTACAAACAGTTGGGTCAGCACTATTCTTTCCATAACAGATCGCTAAACATTTGGAATAGTCAGAAGACAAGACGTATGACTTGGTATCAGCACAAGTGATGATAAGTCTTCGTAATACTTGGTTATTAGTGTCAGTGATCAGGAATTCTGGCTTTGAACCATGGAAAGACATATCCGTAGGATAGTTAAATAATGGCCCATTGACATCAAGATAACCAGGTGCACCTTGAACCCCATTACCTGCAACCCTGGTGATTATTCCATTTGCATCTACTTTTCTAATTGCATGATTGTGTCGATCTACAATATAAACTTCTTTCGAAGCATAGTTATAAGTAACACCTTGTGGAAACCTTAAAAGAGCGGAGGTGGCTGGACCGCCGTCACCACTGAATCCTGGTTGCCCGAGTGTTCCAGCAAAAATGGTCAAAGTGCCATTCGCATACAATTTTCGAATGACATGGTTCTCGGTGTCAGCAATAAATAAATCTCCATCGGGTGTGAGAGTGAGTCCCAATGGAAAGTTTAATCCTGATGCCACCACGACACTGGTATTGTTTTGTCTGGTCCATTTAATGACCTGACTTCTTCCTCCATCACAAATAAAGACCACCGAGTCATCTTTTGTGGCAGCAACACCGTTCATACCTTTTTTAAACGGAACAGGTGCAGCTTGATAAACGAACGAGACCATACCTGTGGTTAAATCGTATTGTCTCACCACATAGTTATACGAATCTGCGATATAAACATACCGTGTACCAGCAGCGAGTTGTGTGGGATCATAATATTTAGCCGATAATGCAGGGACATTGTCAACAGCATCACCAGCCCCATTACCAGTGAATACTTTCTTCACAAGCGTGGTTGGATCAATTTGATAGACATAGCCAACGACACTTATCAAGTATTGTCCATTGGTAGGATGAACAACAGCACCATAAAGTGTGCTCTCCAAATTGGTCATTACATTTGAAACTTGATAGGAAACGTCTATGACACCTGCTCCTCTGACACAGTAATCCGATGATGTCCAATAGATGATGAAAATCAAAGAGATCATCAAACGGAACCACACCCGATGATGATATGCTTGTGGATTCGTCATTTTCTGAAGCGACAAAGGTCAATAGGTTTTGAGGGTGGTGACGTGCAAGAGTGTGCAAGCGTGTGCGTGCAGATTCGTGTGTGTGTCAAGTCAGTAGTGACGGTGATGATCACAAACAAACAGTCCAGTGCGCCAGAGTTGTTGAAAAGTCAAATTTTTTTAGTGTGGTGATAGGAGTGACAGTTCTGAAAAGAGGAAGTCCTTTAGCCGAATCAAAACAGATCATTTGCAAGTTTTAAACTGAAACGCATTCGCTCCAACTTCGTCGAAGAGATAAACAATTAATTATAATCGTTAGAAAATCTAACGTTAAGCTTTGGAACTCCCTGTAATCACCATGACTATCCCATTCTCTGCTTGCAAGGAGAATAGCGAGTTGTTGCTTTTTCTTCAAATCGAAACTTTCACGCTTGGGCAATTTTATTAATTCCAACTCACCTCAAAGCATCATCAACCTCATGACCCATCTCTTTCGATATAACAAAATCATCTCCTCCAAAACTACAAGCACGCCGTAACCACATTTTTTAAATCTTCCTTGTTGCAAGGCTTCAGCAAGACCTTATCAATAATTCCACTCTCAATATCCTCCGAGTAATCAGAAAAGCCATCTCCTGTGAGAAGGACAATAGTGGGAGAAGATGTTTCATGTTTGTTTGAACCATACAATCTTCGAATTTCTTTCGCTGCTAAAAGACCATTCATATTTGGCATATTGAGATCAGTAATGATCAAACGATGATACTTTGGATTGAATTTGTCTATTAATTGCTGACCATCGCATACAGCCTCAGCCTCATACCCAACATTCTTCAACAAGCGGATAAGGACCATTCGATTGATTGCATTGTCTTCTGCCAGTAGAATTTGAGGGTGGTAACCTGTCGAGCTGTTTCTTCGATTATTCTCCTTCACGGCACTCATGTATTTCTCTACATAGGTCGTTTGAATTTCCATTTGTCTCGATAAATTGGAGTCCACACTTTGAGGAGAAATACTACTGCTGAGTCTGCGAGACCCTCTACAACCACTACTACCACAACGTTGTACACCATCAACAGAGGTGGTTATTGCTGCTGGAGATGATTCATTCTCTGCAATGGCTCTTACCTCTTCTTCCTTCTCTCTCACGTCGTCGTTGTTCAATTCGTTGTGCTGATCACTGTTCAGAGAAAATCTGCTCAATGGATGAGTCTTACCGTGGCTACCTTCTCTGTGAGCGTTGACGACCACTTGGAAGGGAACTAGTAAGGTAAATGTACTTCCTTTTCCCACTTGAGATTGAACAGAGATCTTTCCTCCCATCAAGGAAATATTGCTTCTCACATTGCTCAATCCGAGTCCTGTTCCTGGAATTCCGCAATTACTGAAACTATTCAGCTGGACAAATGGTTGAAAGAGCATATTCAGGTATTGTGGTTCAATACCCTTTCCATGATCAATGACTTTAAACTCAAACCATTGTCGGGAGAGTGGTGGCTGTCCCTTTTGAGTTGATTCGCCAACAAAACCATTGTTGTTGACATTCCTTGAAGGTTTGGTGCTGATTCCACATTTCAAAGTGATGGTCTGTCCTTTTTTGGATGCTTTTGCAGCATTGCTTAGAAGATTGATCAAACATTGTTGAAGACTTGAAGGAGCGCCATGAACCCACAAATTCTCAATGTCTTCACTCATTTCCAGTTCAGCTTGTACTTTGAGTGGTTTACAGTAACCTTTGATAATCGAATGAATGGATCGTAAACAGGAAGCTAAATCGAAAGTTGTATCCGATTGGGACTGACGACGATTTGAAGGTTGTTGAGTCATGTTCTCTGTCCTTGCAAAATGCAATATATCCTCAATCACACTCAAAATCATGCCATTCGAACACTCGACATTTTCGATCAACTCTTTTTGCTCGTTATCCAAGTGAGTGTCCTTAATCAACTCAATGCTTCCAAGACTCGAGAGACATACGGTACGAAACTCATGAGAAATGTTTGAAATGAACTTTTCTCGTGTGTGCAAGGCATTCGACAATTGTTCACTTGTTGTGCTTAGTTGCTCCACTTTTCTGTTGAGACATTCCGTGAATGAAACAATGTAGAGAGAAAAGATCATGATGGAGAGAATGCATGGGAAACATTCCGTAATCAGAGGCATACACTCATTGTACATGTATGTTGATCCTTCCACGATGGACCATATTCTTGAAGAGAACAAGAGTGACCACATTGAAACCAAAATTCGATACAAAATGCATGCTAGATAGTGAGTCACGAAATAGGAAGGAACAATGATCCTCCACAAAGAGTCATTCATTCTCGATGTGCTTCCAATAATCATGAGCTTCAAAGGAAGTAATAATGTCATGGGTGTTTTAAAAAAGTAAAATCGTACTGTGAAAAGAGTCAGACATAAAACCACCTTGACATGTTGTAAATTGGAAGTGGTCAACTCGTCTGAGGAACAGAGTAGACGAACGAGAAATCTTTTTACACTGAGAGAAAGTGCATTGAGGTAGGAGAATCTATTGACAACTCCTTTGAATATGTCAACACTAAACGAGTATCCAGTAAACATGGTTAACAACAGCAACAAAGTGTTGACAATTCCATGGTTCAACAAGGAATGAGAACCCACAAGAACATAATCTAACAGAACACCATATTTTACAAGAATGAGTTGCACATTCAATATTTCCTTCCATTTTCTGGTATTTGGAAGATTAGAAAATTCAGAAAAATCCTTCTCAAATTTTTGGCATTCAGTCATGGAGGATCTTCGTTGAGTCTCTGCACTATTCCTTACATATCTGATGTATGAAGTTGTGTCTGTGAATGATGATGATGATGACGAAGGTTGTGTGTGGTTGTTGTTGATGTTTTTACTATTTGTGGCCATTGCATTGCTGGGATGAGCATTCGTCGACGACGAGTCGTGATGATCCATTGAGCATGCAAAACGTTTTTTTAAAAGTGCGACTCCAAAGAGCAGATTTCGAACGTTGTTAATGATCAATTCTTGTGCACGAATGGATACTTCTTTATAACACCTAGCCTGGCTTGTAAAATCAAAACGGGAATTGACGCTTGCATCCACTTCCAAGACAATAAGGAGGATCTTTGTTCCAAAGCTATTTTTGATACAAACGCTCATTGTAAATAAACAGACTGATCCATTAAGGGAAGGTGGATAGTAACCGCAATGTGTTATCCTATCGTTGATGAGTGAGGTACAAACATGTTAATGATTCTTAAAAGGTATTTAAAGACGAAAGGTGCGACAGAAGGGTTTTTAGTCTTCAACAAATTATCTAAATGAAACGATCGCTTAAAAAGGTTATTTGCATTCGTTTGCGTTCTTCCTTACTATTCATTAGAATCTACTCCAACGATTCAACTAGGTATACAAACAAGTATATAGAAATGATTAAGATTGGGCATGATGATTCGTCATCACATGGATGTTCTTTATTGTTGAAAACTGGCAACAGGAAGGTGTACAACTCCTACTTGAACTTCCAATGTCTGTATTCTGAAAAACATGCCAAGCTTTCAGTCTGTAAATATCTTTTTGTTTCTCCTAGGCTTTGAATATAGTTATGACTTTCCCATTGTGTAAGTTTCTTTTCAATTTCGCTGTCAGTGCTTTCTTCATCAAAAATTGTTTCTTTTCCTTCTCGTTCTAGTTTTTTAAGTGTTCTAAACATGTGATCAATTCCAATGAAGATCACATTTCGTTGTAATATTAAGGGTCATGAAAGTGAACCAAATTCAAAGGGTTATATTTCCAAGTGATGTTGCTTCAAGTACTCTTTCACTTACTTTTTCACAACATGAGCAGGTTTAGACTCACACCAAGCCTCAAATTTCTCTTTTTGATGAGCTGCTTTAAGATTGTTTTTAGATTCCTCTTTGGCTCTCATAAATTCATCCAACTCGTGTTGCTTACTCTTCACATCCATTTTGGAGACCATTTCTCCATCGGAAGTGAATATTCCCTTGTTCCATCTTCGTTTGGCTCGATGTGGTACATGATCGGCTGCGTCCACAACATTCTTTCCTGTTTGCGAGACAACATCCCGAACACTCTTTCTGAATACTCTCTTAGAATAGACACGACTCTTGGTGGTGGAGTATTCATCGCTGTCGTAGGTACTTGTTCCAATGTTCTTTTTACTTCGTGCCATGATTCAATCTTTTTTTAAAAATTCTATTAATAATATACAATATTTGGATGGAAATGATAGTGGTGAAGATGACAATAGTCAGAACACGCCAACAAGAGACACCACCACACAAATCAGGAGATCTTTTTTTTACAAACATTGGATCCAATGTTCTCGATGGCATTGAACCCATCATCATGATGTTCTCTGGAAGGTTGAAGAGCAAAGCTTTTACTCTTCATCAGAGCAGATGGTGGTTCAATCCAACAAAAGGTCTTGTTTCAGCCATAACACGACTCACTTTGTCCAAGAATGTCGAATTTATTAAACGATTATGCAATTTCAATTTCACACACGACAATGTCTTGTTTGTTGGTAGAGAGACGAATGGTGGATTGCATTCTCTTTTCATCCTTTCTCATGTAATTGGTAAAGAAAGTACACAACACAGTCGTTCCACCTGTTAAATTTTGTGTATGATTTGCAAAGTAATTGGTGGTGGCTTTGTAAATTCCTTTTTGAGCTTTTTTCAACATGTATTCTTCTGGTCCATAACCTTGACGAAAGTCTCTCGAAACATAACCACCCATTCGAGTCCTATTGTGAGCATAATAAGCATGTTCTCCATGAGGAGATGGTTCATGAACATGTAAATCAATGTCCACCTGATCTGTATCCCAAGCCATTGAAATTCGAATATCTAAATCGAAATGATGAATTAATCTCTTGTCAATGATTGGTAAATTCTTATCATTTAACAACAAGTGGTTCATTTCAGTTGCAACAGTTAATTCAATTTCATCAAACCTCGAGTCCCATTTTCCTGTAATCACCTTATTGAAGAGTTCCATCGCTTGTTGATATTTACTCATTCTTTCCTTCACTAGGGCGAGATCTCGATAGGATTGTGGTTCACCAGGTGATAACTTTTTCACTTTCTCAAAGACCCATTCAGCCAATTCCAATTCATCCGCTTGATCCAAACGATATCCAACAATACGATACAATTGAGTATTTTCTAATTCCAATTCAGCAATGTTCGATAAAATTCTTACACCCAATTCCTTATTCTTTAACTTGGATAAGAATAAATCTGCTACATCGAGATAGAAGGCAGGAGAATCTTTGAGACTTTCTCTTTGTTTCAAATATTCCTTGTAAGGATCTTTGGCATCAGCAATAGCAGCGCAGTATGCAGAGTCAGGTGTCCATGGCTTAATTTTGATCGATCCAGAAACAGAAGATGAACCTTCTGAAGTGGTGTCATTGTCTCTTTTCTCATCGCATTCCAAGAGTGAATTCTCGATACAATTCATCTCAGACATGCGACAACAGCATCGTTCTTCACATTCTCTGCGAAGACAAGATCTGCTAGCGACACAGCTTGGACGACAACATTCCTCCATGGCATGTGATAAAGATTTCTTCGTTGATGATAATTCACGCTCTTTGGAGACGTTGAAATCAGTCTTGTGCCATGCAACGCGTTGTTTCCATTTGGAAATGACACTCTCGAGTTTATCTTGTTCTCTCTTCTTTTCATCAGCTTGTTGCTTTTTTTTCAATTCTTGGAATTGTTTGTACACATCAGTGAGAGTCTCTGGTGGAGTAATGTTGTGTTTGAGATATTGATCGAGAGTCTCCAATACAAGAAGTGACGTATTATCAGTCACAATTCTAAAATCTTGTCCAATCTTACGGATTTCATCATTAAATAGATGAGGAAAGGCTGAGAGTGAGTCCATCTTTTGTTGAGCCCATAACAATGGAACAATTGCTGCTTCTTGTTGGCTTTTTACATCGACTGGTAATTCTAATTCTTGAACTTTGAATACAGAGCGACCGTATCGGAATGAAACTGCCATTTTCACTGATTGTTTGTTGCATTTCGTGTTGAATTTGCCGAATAATTTGAATAACTCTCCTTCTTTGAGACTGACTGGTTCATTAGGATAAACTTCTTCCAACTCGTTCTCTTCATAGTCAGCCACTGCAAAAGATAACACTGGTTTTCCAACTGCATTTAGTAATTCTTGAAGTGAAATTTCATTGGCGTTCAAGTAAATACCTCCACTCTTGGTAGCAATATGTTTCAACAATGAGGACATTGACAACAGAGGCAGTGTTAATGAAATAGATTGGCTTTTCAAAGTTACAAGATGGAGTAATTTCATTGCCAATGGTGTGAACACCATTTGTAAAGGCAATGCAATAGTCTACCTTGCTGCTAATGAGTTTCTTGTCCAGTAAGAGCATGTTGGATCCTCCATCATAAATAATTGGACAGCTGTCTGATGACTTGACATACTGTACAAGCTCCTTTGCAGATTTGAACTCGATGGTATCTACAATGGAATTGCTAAAGAGAGACAATACCACTGATTGTATTTCAACATTCTCTACAATAGCTTCAAGAATTTTCACATTCTTTGCATGATGAAGTGCTTGGCTCATGGAACAATCCCACAATACTTGAATCTTGTCACCCACTCGAGCTTTCTTTCTCAATTCTGTGGTCAAGTTTGGAACTGGAATTGAAGTCATAAAGTATCCATTCTCAACAGCAAGTAAAATGTCATTAATACTTTCTGATTGTTTGGTGACAGTCAAGTTGAATCCAAGCATATTTTCTTTTAAATCTTTCTTGAACAATGTGAAAGATCCAGCTCTCTTATTTGTTTCCTTCTTACTGGACCATAATAATTCAGTGCAATGATCTCTCTCTGAAGTACAAGTTTCCATAGATACTTCAGTATCATAACCTTGCAAGGATGTTTCATTGAGAGTGAATTCAATTTTGCTTTCTGGTCTCAATGAAGCAAAATCAAAATAACAAAGTGGAACCCACGCACTGCCCTTGAAAAGTCCTTTCTCTGAAACTTTTTCATCATGCGAATGAGCTCTTTCTTGAAGCATCATTTGATAGGTCACTTGAATGGTTTTGTCTGTATTGTAAGGCAATCTAAAGTTTTTCACAAAAAGTGTGAATTAGATCATTTATCCATCAAACTTACGGATATACTCTTGTTTTAAAACAATTGGATTGTTCGACCTTTTCAATCATTGAAACTTTACCACCTGATCTCACTTCTTCCTCAAATACTTGTTTCGCTTTTTCTTTTTCAACTGGAACTGCATGAATGAGTGTTCCTTGCACTTCCATGGCATATCCGATCAAAGTAGCACCTTCAGGCATTGGTAAAAGTAATTCACCTTCTGTTGTCTTGTGGTTGGAATTTCTAAAGGTCATTGTAGAAACGACTTGAACCAGAGGATAAGTAACATGAATTTTCACATCATGTTTAACCAATGGGAGTAATGTAGATGCTTTATCACTGAACTTTTCCAAATGAACGGAAATGAATTGATCGATTGGAAGGTGATGGAGACTCTCAGGTAGTTCAACGACTGGGTTCGAAGAGGCGATGATGGATGATTTGCTTCCTGGATCTAGATCCACAACTGATGAGCTTTCTCGATCATCACTCAAAGTTGTTTGATGATTGTTTGTCAATCCAGGAGTGGTGGAGTTGTTGTTCTTGTTGTTGCTCGATGATGATGATGGTGGTGGTGTGGATTCCTCGAGCTGAGACAATTCATCATCCACTGCTTGAGATGATTTCTTGCTACCAAAAATCTTGCCGATCATCATGTATTTTTTTAATATTAATAGGATCGAATATATAAATCAAAAAGTTCATACCAGATCTATATAAACGGCTCAGTTGAGGAAGAAGAAGGAACATGAAAAAGGAATAAACGAAAGAACAATCTCAAACCCAGCTTGCCCATCTGAAAGGAACGGTTGAATCCCGCCATCGTTAATTTTGTAAAAAATTAAAAAATGCAAAATGTCATCGTTCAAAATTGCCCAAGAACGAAATCCACTAACAATGAAACCTCTGAAACAAATCATTTGCGTTCCAGATTGTATTAAGGATGAATACCAAAAAAAGAGAGAGAAAACTAGAGCATCAATCAATACAAGCACATCAGCAACATCATCTCATTCAATGAAACCACACATCATACGGACTAGGCCTCCATCAGCACCTTCGGAACAAGTTCGATCTTTTCCTTCGGAACCTGCTCGGAGTCCAATATCAACAGGACCTATGAAATCTTTGCATATATTATTTCACTCTCGATCAAATTCGCAACAAATCGAAACACAACACACGCATGACAACACTTTGAACAATTCAAACAATTCTCGACAAGTAAGCAACTCGAGACAAGTCAAAGAAATTCGAATTCCTAAAGAAGTGAATGAGCCATCAGAGAACGAGATTGAAAAAATTGCAAAGAACTGGCTTCATCGCCTTAACTTTGACTCACTGTTATCAAAAGAGCAACGCTCTTTGCTAGATGATCCTTTGCGGAATGGAACGTTTTTATGTGAACTTGTTGAAACTTTGGAAAGGACAACATTAAAAGATTATTGTCATCAGCCAAAGAAAATGAGTGACATTAACAGAAACCTAGACAGCGCCTTTTCAATACTCAAACAAAAAAACATTCCAGCAAAATATTTGTACAGTTCTAATAAGATTATTCGAGGAGAAAAAGAAACGATTTGGGGTTTATTGTATCATATTTCAAGGGCGTATCCAGAGGCTGTTAACAACAAGGAACAACATTTTTCAAAGAAAGAATTTGTCTTGTATTCTTCAGACAAGATGCTTGACTTAGAAAAGTCCATTATTTGGTGGCTTCGAAGTTTGGGCATGCTTCCCATTCACAAACCAATACCGGACACTCTAGAAGATATTGACGAAGAAATCAGAAATGGAACTATCCTGTGTGATCTTGTTGGATTTATTCTGGGTGATCCAATTGTCGGTGTGACAAGAAATCCAAAAATTGTCACAGCATGCCGTTCCAACATTTCAAAGGCCATGGATTTACTGAGGCAAAGAAAAAAGATGTGTCAGAAATTTCTTGACGAGGAAGAAATCTTAAATGGAAACAAAAACTATATTCTTGGATTGTTTGAAGACATTAGAAGGTACTATGATGGAATTCCAGTTAGAAATGAGAAGACTGAAACTCCTTATTTAGGTAGTTTACCATCATTCTCCGTTCCAAACTTTGGTATGAACACAATACCTGAGAACAGTCGTTCACCATTTTTGAATCACAATCAACCCAAATCAACCTCTAAAACATCTCTTCTACGTCAAATGATGAGCTCAACTTTCGTGGATGAACCAACACATACTCTGCCAATGACCGGTCCTACAGAGCTTCCAGCATCTATCCCGACGACACCAATATCCACAAAGCATGGTACTGTTGAGCAAAGATCTTTTCCTGAATCCTTCTTCCCATCCTCCCAGCTAAAATCTGTATTTATTCCTCCTCCGAGTGAGATTGACAACACCACACGCCAAATGGTGACAGATAATCAAACAACTAAAACACTCATATTAGATCGAGATGTGCCTTACAAGGTAGAAACGAACATCTCTTCGAAGAACAAGACTCATTCAGAAAATAAAAGAAAGAGGTGATTGATTCATAATTTTTAATTGACCTCAAACACACACAGAGTTCCTTATTCTCGAGAATTGAAAGCTAAGAGATTAGCTTAGTCTTTCACATCATGAAAAATTAATGCAGAGACACTGGGTCCCAATGTTGTAAGCTTGCACAAATTTTTTCAATCAAAAATTAAATTTGAAAAAATATGTTCTTCCGTGCTCTCCTCACCAAGCCTCTCACCTTCAAGTCGGCAGCTACTACCTTCATCCAAAGACCTTCGTTCATCGCCAGATATTACTCGGTTGCTGCTCAAGGATCTTTCTTATCTAGAGATGAGGTCACCGAACGTATCATCAACGTTCTTAAAAAGCACGAAAAGGTAGACCCAACAAAGGTTTCTGCTTCTTCTCATTTCGTAAATGATTTAGGTTTGGATTCTTTGGATTCGACTGAAGTGGTCATGGAAGTTGAAAATGAATTTGGAATTGAAATTCCTGATGAAGAAGCATTCAAGTTGCAAAGTGTGGAGGATTGTATTAAATACATCAGCTCTAATCCAATGGCTAAATAAATAAATGGAAATAATAATATTAATATTAATGATGTACCATCGACATGACCCTTCTCCACAACAAGCTACAATAATTGCTGTATTTGGGTAAATTGCTCGGAATTGAATAAAACGTTCATACTTTGTGCAAGAAACACGACGATGAATATTCATGTGTGTTGTTATCGGATGATGTCAGAGGTGCAAAGCCATAAAAAAATGATTACCAGCAAACAAGATTCTCAAAGCACCACCAATGTTGCTCAGTCTGACAACAACAACCACTCATCAAACACTCCTTCATCATCAATGCCAACAGTTGATTCATGGAAGTTGCTCGAACAACGACCTGTTGTTGAGTCCAAATGGGTGTCGGTCTATTCAGAACGGCTCGATATCGGCAACGGAATCATCATTGATCCATTCTATTCTATAAGGTATCAAAATTGGTGTCTTGTTATTGCCATAACTCCCTCTAAACATGTGCTAATTAACCAACAATATCGGAGAGGATGCAATTGTATCGCACGAGAATTTGTAACAGGAGCAAGAGAAGAAAATGAAGAACCCAAGGAGGCCGCCTTAAGAGAATTGTTGGAAGAAGTAAGTTAAATTATTGAAAGAATTGTGAACGTTTGAAAGAGCAAAATGTAATTAGACAGGGTACGAGTTGCTGAATGGAGATGTTGATAAAGATGTTATCCAATTGGGTTCTCCTCTTTACGAGGATGCCAATAGGAATTCATGTGTTTGTCATGCCTTTTTAGCAATGGTAAAAGAAGAACCAACTCACAAGCAAGATCTAGATCCCTATGGTAGGTTTAGTTTTCGATATTTTAGGAGAGGAAAAACTCATGCAACTTTTGGTAGAACAAATTATTGTTTCCAAAGTAAGCCTTAGTCAAGTACGCCGATGGTGCGATGACGGAACTATTAAAAGTGGCATGCACATTACCATGTTCTTTAGATGCCTCAGCATGTTGCATCGTATGGAAATTGTGGATGCAACACCAATCATGTTAGGTGAAGAGGATCTTTAGTACCGTTACAGGGCTACAACATCATGAGCGCCAATTTAACGCCAAAAAAACATCACAATGACTCAAAGACCTCAAAGCGCAATCCTCTCAAAGGAAGAGCATGCTACTCCCAACGTATGCAAAAATCAAAACGTGTACCAAAGTAGTGCTCAACAACTACAACGACCCTCTTCATCGTACGGAAGAATTCAAAGAATTGATACGCATCCATTCCTTAGAAGTAATAATCATCAATTGAAAAGACCTCCTTCAAGAAATTCGAAAATCCGATCTCCAAGCCCGTCCCTAAGTAGCAAAGAATTTCTTCGAGCACAAACCACAAACCAAGATAAGAAGACTCTGAAACGTATTAGGGAGTATCAACAGTCGTATTTACCTCCTCATACCTGCAATGTATTCTATCAGAATGGTAGAAATGCAGTACGAAGTATTCAATGCAAACGCTGCTCAATGACATTTTCTCAATCTAGATCTCATTCAAAACCAACTTCCAATACTCAAAAACTATCTGAATCGTTAAAGCCCAAAAAAGCGTCAAAAGGTCATGAGTTTCAGTCGAATAAGGAAAACCTGGAAAACATATCACTACCATTTGTACATGGCGAAAATGACCACACTGAAATGGAAGAAGCTAAAGCATTGTTAAAGGATAACATCAAACAAGTACTGTATTTCTATAGAGACGAGCAGAATCGTTTGTCTAATTTTTCGAAAGGTATTCAGACAGCTTTCAACGAAGAATACACTCAACCAAAATCAAATCCCAAAGCTGCAACAAACCAATATGAGGAACTTTTTTGCAGAAGTAAGAGAGTGGAGCTATTTGATGACGATGAATACTTACGCTTAATGAAGGAGTATGGTGTTGACTGCGAACCTAGTTGCTTTCAATTTGAGGGATCATCAAGAACACGCCTTTGATTTCATCACCCAAGTGCTCCTTTTATCACAAATCACACAATAAAATGTGCCCACTACCTACCGTCCTGCCAACAGCACCTGTTGTCAAAAAGCAACAACAACAACAACCACCAACGGCATCACTGACAACAACAACAACAAAACCTCTCTCTGCTTCATCACAACCCAGTTCTATCCACCACTCTCAGAACAACAACAGTGGCACGTTCTCTCAACCGCGCACTTCAGTCATCAAAGCTCATCAAAATTTGGCATCCAATCATGCCAACAACAGTGATGCCAACTCATCTTCTTCATCAACAGCCACCATTTCAACACAAAATGTAAAACCCACATCACGCGCTGGTAAAGTCTCTGGCATGGTTTCCATGTTTGAACGTTTATCCGATAATTCTTCTTCTTCTGCCTTCAACAGCAGTCACCCTTCGAACATGGTTGCTTATAAAAAGCCCACTACAACAAGCGAGAAATTAGCACTCAATGCAGCACTAGTAGAAGAGGAGAAAAAGAAAAGATTTAGAGCTAGAAGCAATTCCTTTGATTATAATTCACCATCCCCAAACTCTTCAGTGACAGGTGGCAGCACATCATCATTCGGTGATCATTCATCACAACAACAACAATTCACAGAAATTTCTAATCATCCTACTACTCTCTCGGAAAATAGAACTAACTCAACAAAGAATGATCCTGCTCTCAAAACTCCGCCAGATGAAACTTCGGAAGAAGTAAAAAGAAGACTAATTCGAACTCCTTCAATGGTTCAAGGACTTAAGGCCAGATTTGAAAAATTACAAATTAATTTATTAGAGCAATTAAAACAAGAGGAAGAGTGGAATCAAAAGAAAAAACAAAGACAGTTGACAGCTAGATCCCATCGATTGACTGGAGACGAAATTCACACATTACAAAATGTCCGCTCCAATCCATCTATATTGAGAAATGTTTCAAATAGAATGGATGAAAAATCATCATCTCACAAAGATACTCATCATGACACTATGAATCACAATGACCATTTAGATTCATCATTTGATCATGACAGTGTGTCATCCTTTTCTGAAGATGACAGTTATGAATACACAGATTCAAGTCATCAAACAACTATCGATTCCACTCTCAGTGACTCTCAACATCACTCTGCTCTCAATTCTTCAACTGTTTCACACAATATTGATCCAGCTCTTATGCAAGCTATTTTGGAAGAAGAAGAACGTAAACAACAAGTGATTGAAACTTTAATGATTTCTCCACCTCCTCAAATTGTTAAGGGACTTCTCTCAACAACAGCTTCAGCAACAAGACAAGCTCAATTTTATCATGAATTATATGGAGAAACAGCTAGTTCTTCAACACCATCACCAATGGGAGATCTTTTAGATCACAACACCACTCATAATGTTGATTTTAGATCTTCCTATGATCGATCCATGAATAACGATGATTGGTTAGAAAATCAAATGAATAGACATCAACGATATAATATTTCAGACTTGGATTTACTGACTGCTTATCGTCACAAATCTCAACTATATCAAATTCAAAATCCATCAAATGTCATGATGAATCCTTTCATTCAAGAATCACAAGTAGTTCTTAGTGGACATAATGATGAGGATAATGATGAATATATTTATGGTGATGATGGTGAATATGACATGTCTGATGAATACAATGATGACACGATGAATGAGTGCCACACCACGACTTCTTTCATGCCTGACGATAAACGACTGAGTGTCACAGATGATCTACCTATGCGAAGGAGTAGTGCTGACATGATTGGAGGTGTGATGGAGAAACAAAATGAAGAAGAGTTTTCCCGGTGGGAGTCTCAAATGGAAGAGTTTGCAAAAACTCTAATTTGCTAATTTGTAAAAGCTAGAATGTGTACAATATGCCAGTCTTGTAAAGATTAAAAATTGTTTTGTTTGACTTGCAAGCTGTCATTGAAGGATTTGTTGCAAAGTCATGACTTGTTTGAACAGAATAAGTCTGCATACTCCCCATGCCAATGAGTACGCTTGTTGGCATTCCATGGAATCGAAAAATTATTTACTCTTATCACTGGCAGCTTTCAAAATTACAATTTTGCACAATCTGGCAAGCAGAGCTGTCAATTGTAATTGTGAATCAACTCCATCTGATATCCTTAAATGGCAATTTCCAATTTCCTTAATATATTGAAGCTGGGCATATTCTGGCATATCAATTGCTCCACTTCTCACTACTTTTGAGATTGTTGAAATTAAATCTTGTGAACTATATCCGTCCGATATTAATTTGGAGAGATGTTTTTGTGCATTTATCAAGTCACCCTCCAGACAAGCAGCAATTACACTTTGAACAGCAACAGGATGAGGTTGGTCACACACCTTAAAAACATTGGTAGCATTCACAATTCCAAAACCTTGGAATGTTGCTTGTAAACTATTAATTGCATTTCTCATATCACCATCAGAAGTATATAAAATTGATTCTAGCCCATCATCGGTTCTGTTAACATGCTCTTTTTCACAAATAATAACTAATCTGGTCAATAGCTGTGCATCTGTTAGTCTTTTATATCTTACTAGAGCACATCGTGATTGAATAGGTTCAATAATTTTAGAGCTGTCGTTACAAGCGAGAGCAAATCTTGTTGTTGAACTGTATATTTCCATAATTCTTCTCATAGCTTGTTGTGCTGCTGATGTCATTGAATCTGCTTCATCTAAAATAACAATTTTATGTCTATTCGGTGGCAGATTTACTTTCTTTTGTGCAAATTGTTTAATTTTGTTTCGTACGACTTCCAAAGTTCGATCATCGGATGCGTTGAGTTCGAGCACTGCTTCTCTGTAAACATCTTTTCCTAACAAAGCTCTAGCAAGACACATGATGCTTGTTGTTTTACCGGTACCTATCATGTGTGAAAGATTATCATAAATTTATATATTTAAATAAATTCATTAATAATAATATAAAAACAATTTATATATTCGATATTAGAATAAATTCAAAATAAAAACATATTCATTTACAAAAACAATTAAATAGAAATAATCATCAAACCTACCTGGTGGTCCGGAGAGGATGAGGTTTGGCATATTTCCTTCCTCGGCAATCACTCTCAGTCTCATCACTGCTTCTTCATTTCCGACAATGTCATCCAGTTCAATCGGTCTGTATTTCTCCACCCAAGGCTTGTTCATTTCCAATACCGAGGAAGAGGTTGGTTCTTGTGAATTCTGGAGCATGTTTATTGGCTTTATTTTTTTGTGAAGAAATTTGAAGGGCGGGAAATTTGGCAATTTCTTTTTTGAGTCTATGAAATGTATCACGAATGTGAAATCTCAGATAACTGTTCTTTCTTGAATTGGAATTAAAAAAGGACTTAACGGGATCGTGTCTATTCATTACTCGATTTTCTAGTACCTGTTAAGATATTGTTTTACAGTCATATTGACATATCATTTACAAGTAATGTGCTCGTCTCGTGGTGTAATGGTAGCATAGTGGACTTTGAATCCATTGACGGAGGTTCGATTCCTCCCGAGACGGAACCTATGCGAGCTATAAAACTTTTTATGTCATTGATTTCCTTGGGTTTTATGCTCTTCGGTTTTGTGTTAGATGAATATTCGGTTCAGTCTCCCGAGCATGCCATCTTTTCGTTAACTCCATGTATTGATTTTGTCTTTAAAGACCAATCAGTCCTTACACCATCATTGATGGTGTTTACCTTGTGTGTAAGAAACCAACATACCTGTTCGACTATTACTATTTCATATTAAAAATTAGGGGTTGTCCAAAATTGTTCTGGCTGAAAAAGTTTACGCTCGTCTTGGTTCCGTCTCGGGAGGAATCGAACCTCCGTCAATGGATTCAAAGTCCACTATGCTACCATTACACCACGAGACGAGCACATTATTGATGAATGACATGCCAATATGAGAGTATATTATAAACAACAATCTGGACGAGAGGGAGTGTTATTGTTAAAGATACATTAATTAAGGAAACCTCCCACATTTTGGCAGTAGTTCAAAGACATCAACCAATATATGTATATATCGAGGAGAGATAAGTTCCATATAATGTGATTGCAATAGAGTGATTCATCCTATCATTGCCTAACAGGCTAATGTGATCGTAATCCAAATCATAGGGTTTTTAGAATTTCATTCGTCAATAAAAGCTTCTCAAAATGAATGAACTAATTTAAAGCTTTTTTGATTTTAATGCATGGGCCCAAGTGAGTTGTTCGCAAAAGTAGTAGGTGTTAAGTTTCTGAGCGAATATCTCCATTTGCCCAAATGTCGAGCATCATTGTTATAATTAAAATCAAAAGCTATTGATTCAAAATCGAGAACAACCGATAGTTTCCATAAAATGTGACAATTTCATCACAAAATAATAATAATAATGTTATAGATAACATTAGATTGACATACCGAAAAAATCATTCTTGTACTGTGTTCCAGAGTATCCACCAAAGATAAAAAACGAGCAATCAGAAATGAAACTGTTGTTAGTTAACACAGTGAGAGTGCTTGGGGAATCATTCATCGAGTGTGAATCAATTTTTATCCAAGATTTGGATTTGAAATCCAAAAAAAAAATCATCCAAATAAGTACCATTATAACCACCAAACACCACTAGTCCAAATCTGTTAGCCATTCCAGAACATCCACATCTTGCAGATGGCACGTTTCCTTGTGTCACTAAACGTGTCCAAGTTTTGTTACGCAAATTAAACTCCCATACGTCATTAAAGTAATGTCCACCATAGCCACCAAATAAGTAGCATTTCTGTGAATGCCTCTCATATGAAAGACATGGAAATTCTCTTGCACTTGGAATTTGTTCAGATGAGCCATACTCAATTTTTTTCCATTGCAACGAGAATTTTGATGTAGAACTTTCATATTCATATTTATCGTTCCCCTTTTGGTTCGAAATTAATTTTCCATCTGCATAACAGTTGATCTGTTCCTGATTGCACAAGCTCACCACTTGATTTCTTGATGCAATATTTCCACACTCCAACACATACATTGAATTTGTCTGCATATAAGCTCCAAATGTTTCCGTACCACCGAATACGACTACACAGGGACAATGCGTTAATTCATTTTCTGGACCCAAGAAGGTCGGATTGATATTTTCCAGATCGGGAAGATTATGATGAAAGCAGCAAACAAGATCAACAGGCATATGTTTAATCGGTGTTGGATGAGTCTTTCCCGAAGAAGAATCCTCATCATTTTCGAGCGCTATGAAATCGGCTTCATCCTCGTCTTGATGAACGGAAGACATTTTTTTTAACTAAGAACTTTGAACTTGATCTAGTCAACAATTCATGATCTTGTGACATGTAGTATTGAATGCAACTCAAAGTATCCTATTCATTGCAATGAATGATGGATTTTCAAATTTTCAACAACAATAGCGTCTTCATTTCCTTCGGTTTGTCCGTTTTTTGCTTTTCTCTCCATATTAAAAAAATGAATATAGAGCCGTCTTCGCAAGCTGGTGATTCATCTCCGATGGTGGAGTCTCTTCAGAGAGTAACATTGTCTCCTTCGAAGAAATCACGAGGGATTGCTTCATCTCCGAATATCACTCACTCTTCATTCGTCAATGAAAGTCCATCCTCACCTTTTACCCCATCGGAGAATAACATCACAAAGAACAGTCATAATATGCAAAATTTCTCGTTTCCAGATTTTCTTCATCGACAGTCAATATCGTGGACTCTAATTGCAATGAGCATTGGATATCTTTTAGGAAGATCGGAGCTACAATTCTCATGGTTTTTAGTTTTATTAATAATAATTTATTCGATTTCATCAAGAGTATTTCGAGACTCTTCTCGAACGATCAATGAATTACTCAGACAAAAAAAGTTGAAGGAGTGGAAACAATGGAGAGAAATGCATCTTCCAAAATATTTGACAAACAATGGAAAGGAAACATCAACTGCTGATGAATCTAGCAAAATAACAACTGATCAAAACAGAAAAGATGCAACCCTTTCCTGTGTAAATACTATTATTGACCAATTTTGGAGAGGATTTAATTCTGAATTTATTGTAAAGATGGCCAATGACTGGCTGAAGGAAAATCCGATTGCCTCTAATTTTGACATACAAGTTTCATTCTTGGATATTGATAATGACAATCCTCCATTTTTTACATCCATTTATTGCTCAGAAAATACTCCAAAGAAAACAGTGATCGATGCATGTATAGAATATAACGGAGAACTTTTTTTGCAGTGGTTTGTTAAATTATTAATTCCAATACAATTCTTGCTTAAAGACGTTTCAGCAAAAGTGAAGACAAGAATTGTGATTGAATACTCGGATAATTTAGAAGAATTTGGTAGAACTATATCCAAGGTGGATATGTGTCTGATGGAATACCCTCAATTTAACGTGTCAGTTCAAATGTTCAACTCTCTTGATTTAACTGGCTCAATTCCATCTTTGCAAAATCAGCTCAAGCTTGGATTTGAAAAAGCTCTCCTTAAATTTGTTTATCCAAAGTTTATTACTGCATACAAGTATGGAGATGAAGGAAGAAACAGTGGCTTGAATTTAGAAATTGATAAAATTGTAGTTGAAGGATTGGAAGAAGAAATCAAAAGTAACCTATTTAACATTAATCAACTTTTAAAAGCGATCAACAAGAGTAACGGAGAAAATAAGGAACAGATCAAAGTTGAAGTTTGTACTAATATTCTCACCCTTCTCCATCAAGCAAGAGAGCCAGGGAAAATTCCAATTGGAATGACAGATACCATTCGGAACGGTTTTCAAATTCTAAACATGCTTACCTTTGGAGAAATTCACAACAATGATAGTGCTGTGAATGAAAAAATTATGGAAATACTTTTGCAAACGGATAACCTTCTATTTATTGCAGACGTCGTTAGAAAGTGTACATTAGCAGATGAGCTTGTGATGAACATTCTCTTCAAAGTGAAGGATCCAAAGTTAAAACAGCAAGTGAATAAGAGATTCCAAGAGCTGGAATTGGGAGACATTCTTTTCACAGTTGTTGGTCGTAATGAACGGCCGAAACAATGAAGCAACAACTAACAATTTCTGTGCATTCATTCTGACCATGATAGATGGAGATTTTACAAAATTAATGTTGGTTTTCGGTTGTAAGGATTCCTTCCTCACAACGATGAAACAACAGCCCATAAATTTCCTCATCAATGAAGCAAAAAGGAGTTGTAATTGCGAACCGCTATACACGTTATTGCTCCGGCTTAATTTCCGCTCCGGCTTTCAAGCTTATAAAATACTTTCATTAACCTTGTAATGAATAGCAATTACAACAAATGTTTCAACAACCTTCAGATTCATCAAGTGTCATTTGTGCTTCAGATGATTCAAATGTCTCCATCAAATTTTCCATTTAAATAGCTTGATATTCACGAACACCGTTTCACCTGAATGTTAATAAGATCCTCGAGAGATGAGACATCTTCTTCAGCAGGTCTTGTGTAGCGATAGAACGAAATCGAATTGAAATGTAATGGTTGGAGAATGTTAAACAACCAAAGATCCTTGAGAAAGTCTTGTAAAATACTTACTAAAGTAGATTTTCTTTCTGAACACCCTGTCCAACTTTATTTGATGAGTCGGGAGGAATCACAATGAAACTCCATTTAAGAGCAATTCAAATAATTTGTGACTGTGATGAATGATAGATTTGAGTAAAAAAGCAGCAGCCATTGGATTTTAAGCTCATTGAGCTTATGGGTTGTACAACTTCAAATACATGTTGATGTCCCTCTCTGTTACAATAAATTTTTTTGGGTGATGCCAAAATTTTTGACCATCACCCCTCCAAATGATTGGAAGACGGGTGAGAACTCACAACAAGAAAAAAACATCACACGTGAGCATTTGAATCTGTTGTCAACAACAAAATTGCATCATCACCATCAGATTTGTGGTGTTGTGTGTCTTTGTTCTCATTACAGTAACATCATCAGCGAGAGATTGTATTAATATCTAAAATAATATAGTGTATAACACCACCATCATCATCATCATCACTGTTTTCTTTTACGACTTTGTGTCCACAGAATATTGGCTGAAATTACTTTGATTCTGGTGCGTGAGAAATTGGTCGACCTTGATTCAAAACATCAATTCCAACGTCCTCTGTGTCAGCAGCAGCCAGTTCCTAGGTTTTGTCCCACTCTTGTGTGATTGCATAGCTTTATCTGCTTTCACTAGGTTTAATACATTCAAGAATTCCTTTCATATTGTCGTGAGATATCGAATTCGAATTCAACCGCACCCTTTTTAAACAATATTGGAACCACATCATCATCATCATGACCAATAACCATTCGGCTCCTACGAGCAATGAACAACAATCAACCACCACCAACAATAGTGTTACAGCCACATCATCATCAACGAACAACAGCAACACCCTATCAGTTCCGATCAATAGTAACAACAACAATCCATCTCCAATCGTACGAAAGCTATCCAACTCAGGAACAACCACACCACAGATACCCTCTCTTCCTCCACCTCATCATCCTTATTATTCAGTTCCACCAGGAACTAGCTATACCCATGTACCTCCTCCATCTCATCATCAACAACAGGTACTTCATCATCATGGACATCCTTCATCGTCCTATTATACTCACCCTCCTCCTCCGTATGCAATGATGAATCATCCACCCTATGCATCTTATTTGCCCCCACCATCCTCGTCAGGACCTACAACTTCGACAACCACAATGCCTTCATCAACCACATCCTCAACTGCAAATTCCCTGCAGCCTCAGCCTACGAATTCGAATGCCATGTACTATTCACCTCCACATTATCCCTTGTATCCAACAACAACACTTCCTCATCAGCAACCTCCTCCTTCTCATCCAACACATTCAATCTATGCTTCTCATCAGCCAATTTATAGCGGAACGCCACCAACTGGTACCACTTCTGTGATGCCTCCTTCACATCCAACGACATCTGTTCCCTCGTCTCATCCTATTCCATCACATCAACCACCACCACCACAAAAACAATCCAAAAAGAAGAAAAAGTCGAAGAGTACTACGACCGTAGCTTCATCAGGTTCTACTGCCATTATTTCCTCATGTCCAACTGACCCTTTGGATATTTCACGAAGATTGAGTGGAAAAATTGATCTTATTGAAGGATTTACTATGGATAGAATTTTACAACGAGTTGTCATTCTGCCTCAAGATGATAACGGACGTGTGATTTCCGAAAAACAAACAGTGAAAATTGATTCATCACTAAGAAATCAATATTCGACTCTTAAACTTATAGTGTGGTTATGTGAAATGTGTGTGGACAAAATTACAGATAACATTTCACCTGTACGATCTCTCTATGAAGAAGTGGTTGGCTCCAATAACGAAATTAGTGTTCAAGATTTAATGTTTCCAACGACCATTTTTTCATCGGGAAGAAAAGCACATTTTTTAAGGTTCGTTCTGTATGATATGGCCAAAGAGACAGAGATGGTTGCTTTTTGTGATACCTGTCCTTTTGAAATCCGTAGTAGACAATCTCAAGTGAATACTGCTACTACTTCGACATCCATTCCTACTCAAAATATTCCTGTTCGAAATAACTATCCATTCGCTGTACCTTCTCAAAAACCATTACCAATCCTTCCTTCTGCAACAGTTGTCACTTCTGAGACACCTTCATCGACCGTCAGTGTTGGAGAGAAACCGACATTGGACTTTCTTAAAAGATTAGTTTCAACAGCAACGCTTTCAGAAGATATTAACAGTTGGGATAATTTCATGCATACTCTCAATCAATTAGTAATCATGGGTGATTCCTCTTTTTTGAACACATCTTCTGGATCCTTCTCTAAACGAGCCGACGTTTCAGACATTCAAGCAACAAAAGAATTAATGATGAGAGGACAGAGAAAAAATACATGTATTTATCCATATATTGAACAATGTTATCCTGCTTTTGGCCCAGCTCGAGGAGGTATTCAAATTAGCATTAATGTGAAAGATCTTAATATGTATGATGAAGATGATCTAACAGTCACATTTGATGATATTAAGGTTCCAAAAACAGACTTTGTATCCATTCGTCCGAACAAAATTTTGTTATATCTTCCTGCTTTACCATCTAATCACATTCTAGGCAAAGTCGATGTTGCTATATCTGTGAGAAATGAATTGGAGGACTTTTGTCACGTGTTATATGATGCGTTTGAGTATCTAAATAATGATGTTTTTGAGAAGAAAAAGTCATCCATACCCACACCCATCGAAAGACCTTCCAGCAGCAGGAACAAGAACATTAGCCAGGTTCTCATTCGACCTCTCTCCGATAGTAATGGAGTCAATGAAGATCTCATGACAAAGAATGAGCTCTACAACAGTGACACTGCAAAATATATCACCAGTATTTATTTTGAACCAGGCTTCCTTAAAGGTAGTCCCTTGGAACCTGCTCAACGGTTTATTTGGCTACTAAGAAAGAGTGAAACTTTTGAGAATCTTGTTGGACATCTCTCTTCAAAAGAAATTGATTGTGGTGGAGTTCTCTCTATCAGAGACATGACTCCTCCTACCTTGAAACAATCGGAGGAATCCGATATTCTTGAAATACCTATTGAAATTGATCGAAGAATATGCAGTGAGAAGTATAATTGTACCATGGTTCTTCAATTGTATGACGTTATGCAAAAACAGGTGCATTACACTTCACGACCATTCTCCATTCTTCAAAAGCCTCCAAAATCAGTGGCATACAGTAGTTTCAATGAAGATGAACGAGTATTACAATTACTTGAGAAAATTAAAACTCCAAAGGCACGAAAGACAGCATTACGAGGAGGAGCATTAGATCCAACTTTGAATTATCTGGGACAAACGAAAACCCATATCGCTTGTCTTTCTGGAAATGATCATGAATTGAAGAGACACTTCCAACCCGCACATCTCGTGGCCCATGACTTGTTTCTGAGAAATCCTCTCCACTTGGCTTTTGCTTCTGGAAATATTGAGGCAGCCAAGTTCTGCATTGATCACTTGACCACCTCACCACATTTACTTCTTCTCCAGAGAGACTACTACCACCACACACCTTTCCATTTGGCTCTCAAATTCAATCGTACACATTTCATGAAGGAAATTTGCTTGTTTCTCAAGTCCTATTTGATCAAGTATTCGGTTCAACAACAACAACAGCAATCTGACCATACGACCGCAGCATCACCATCATCATTAGAGAACACAGAGCAACCTTCAGGTCAAAATGATAAGGAGTTGTTGTCGTCTCAAAAGAAGAGAAAAAGTACAACCTCTACGACGAATGCCAATGTCATTACACCTTCACCACCACGACCATCAAAGAAAAGAAAACAATCAATTGTGGAGGAAGATTCATCCGATGATCATGAGCAAGATGATGATGTCTTGGTGGTAGAAGACAATTGAATTACCCATTAGTAAGATAAAGTCGATCCGCTTTGGCCTTATACTCTCTTGATATGCTCCAACCGATTGCCACCAGTAAATTAAAAAATGAATAACTCTCAACAAGACACTACCACCTGTAAAGTCTTGTATGATTTTAAAGCGGATGGAGAGAATGAATTGAGTGTGTCTAAGGGGGAAATAGTAAGGCTAATAAGTATTCATGGAGAATGGATGATGGTTGAAAAGATGACCAAACCTTTTCAAAAGGGATATGTTCCCACATTGTATATTAGTTTAAGGAATTCTGCTACTACTTCCGAATCGAGATCAGCCTCTTCTCGGAAATCATCAAAAAGCAATGTATCATCCTCCACTGTCAAAAAGGATCAGCAAAACAATTCATCATCTGTAATTTCAAATAATTCTGAAAAGCAATCCATTCCTTCTGACGTGCAACCATCATCAACCTCAAAACAACAAGCTTCCGAAGAAGGCACAGTGGCAGCTACCTCAAACTCTAAGGACATAAGCACAGATGCCCAACTATCTGTCGGCAATTCCACTACTACTATAGCAGAAAACAAAACCTCCAACTCAACACAACAAAATGTAACGCTCCCATCCACTGTTGATTCAGTCTCTACACAAGCGACAATCATTGGATCAAAGAACATGTCAGAACAAAATGCAAAAAGAAACGTGGCAACTCCATCCCAAAATTTGGGCAAAACCGCAAGATCCACGAAGAGCATGACATATGCAACCAAAATAGGAAATGAGTTAGAAGAGTCCCTCTCTGTTCTGCAGGCGTATGAAGCCAACGAAAAGATTTTCAAACAAACCTTGCAACAAAGAGAGGAAGCTTTCAAAAGAATTGAACAAAAACTCGACAAGATATGTCAAGATGTCAATGAGTTTCAGCAACGAAATGATCTGTTAATTGAAAGAATTAAAAATTTAGACAATAGAATAGAAAATGACAGACTGAGATTAATAGAGGGCATAACAGAACCATTGGAATCCGAAATAATGAATGAACCTAAAACAATTACCAAAACTCCAATTTTTATTGAAAGAAAAAGAAGGACTCTTGCAAATCTTCAAACTCCTTTAAACTAGCAGTTTTTACACATTATTCGTCGTAGCAATATACTGATGCTTGTTACAATTTGCAGTAAAGAGTGGAGGTGATGCACTGACAGTAACCGAAAAATTGTGCTTGAGAAATTTTTCTTTTTTTTCTAAATTCAACGTTGTTTCATGAGATACTTGAATTGGCACTCTCAGTGTCAAGTAATCAATGAAAATTTGTGACTTGTCAATGCAATCCATAGCTTCCAAATTTTGAGGTTGTTCATTGTCCGTAATGTCATTCTGGTTTGACAGCAAGTTTTCCTTTAGAATAGAGTTAAATGACTCTTGTAAGTCCCATTCTAATATTTCAGCCAGTTCTTTTCTCATCTTCCCTCTTTCTGATTTATCCATTTCGTCCATAACATCAGAGATTTGATTCCATCCCTTAACAAATGTTGTTTGCAAGTTGAAAGGGGCATAGGAGATAGTGTTTAACCCTTTATGCAGCCTAAAGGGATGTTTGTAATCTATTTGGTCCCGAATGTTTTCAGGACAAAGATAAAAAGCAACATTGACATCCATTTCTACGCCATCAATATTTTCAGGCAATTCAAATGGAACATAGATTTCCATTTGATGGTTTTCAAAGCTCTTAACAAGGCCTGGAATGGAATCATATGCTCTATTCTTTCGCTTGATACTCTTCCAATCATTATCCTCACTAATAATAAAAGCATTTTGTTCAAATTTTTCTGGATGGTGTATGTAGGATATGGCGTTGGTGATAATTTCTCCATCATGATTCTTAAATATGATGTCAATCATGTTTCTATGAAGTTTCTCAGCAAAGATAAAGTGTTCAGAGCTTGAAAATCGTAATGTTAATAAACAACTTCCAGGCATATATGTTACAGGCTCTGTTAAAATAATTCGGCCTGGATTGGGATTCATATCGATAGAGCCATTTGGGCGAATGGATACTCGACTTTCCACGCTTGGCATTCCTAAAAGATTGAGATTTTTTGGCTTAATGTCTTCTGACAAACCATTGGCAACACTAATTTTTCGCACCTTGTGATTGACTACATACATCCAAATCGTAGTGAAACTATGAAGAAACGCCATCTATGCAATTACTTACATGTGTCCGAAAGAATTAGGTTGGTATCAAACTTTAGAACTGAGTGAGGGTTATTGAATGTTGGCTTACTTTCTCCCGTTATAAATGCATTTAAAAAGCCAATCTCAGAGGATCGATATAATGTAGAGCTCTGAACTGAAATAATGGTATCATCATTGTAGATACTGTGCTCTACTTTCTTGTTAGGGACGATTTTAACTTGTTTCATGAAAATTGGTTCGTTATAGGACTTGAAAGCAGATATTGGAGACTCGGCATGATAAAAGAAGATACCATCCTGATGCGCTATTGCTCGTTGTTTCAAAAACAAAAATTCTGGATACAGAGTTCCCTCAAAAGGATGTCGCTTCTCGGAATTCCAATTTTTGAGAGTAGGAAAAACATGTTCAATATACTTCTCAAAATCATTTCTAAGGTGTGTATGTATCATTTCTGGTAACACATCCTCAACCATTCCTGTATCCAAAGGTATTCTCCAAATATGTGCATAACCTTCTTCTGCAATGTAAAGACAATTTTCACTATGGCTTATAAATAAATCTATTGGCCTACTAATAATTTTTGAGCAAGAAACAAAATAAATTGGAATTGGCATTGAGTAATTATTCCTCCATTCCTTCTCACGCTCTAGAATGAATTTCTTTTCAATGTACTCTTCCGTCAATATCATTTTAGTGTGATCATCTCTTTGTAAATATGCTTCTACACTGTTTTCTCCAGAAGTAATCAGTGGATTATGATCAAGTGATTCTCCTAACGTGCTTTGGTAAGTAGAGGGTTGAATAAAAGTGGATACAAAACCATTATGTAAGTCTAACCGTCTAATAGTATTGTTGTTAGTGTCAGCAATAAGTAAGGCTTCTTGCAATTTGTCGTAAAATAGGCCTCTAGGTCTGTTAAATCGAGCATCGGCAAAGTAGCCATCCTTAAAGCCTCTTCTCCCTTCTCCAAACTGATGGATGTGATCAACAATTTGATAATTGAAATAAACTTACGACAGATTCTATTACTCCTTCAGAATTCATTCGAACAATCCGGTTGTGATGTGTGTCAGAAATGAATATTGAATTTCTATATTTTTCAATAAAGGTTGGAAATTGAAATAATGTTTGAGGTTGAAAGAGTCTCTCAATAGGTTTCTCATATTTTTGCCAATCAAAATTCACCATTTGAATGAGACGATTTTTAGTGTGGATTGATTCGATATCTACAAAATTTCAATCATCGCTACTGCTGCAACACGATGCAATAATTGGCTTACCTTTCTCGAAATTGTCTATGAACTCCTTATGGTTTGTATATTCTCGTACAAATTCTCCTCTTTCATTGTATAGCTGCACAATACTATCACAATCTTCTGAAATACTAAAAACTGGATATTGGAAATCATGATATAAAATTTTGGATCTCAATAACTCGATATTCTTTTCATGATCAAACCCTAAAACATTCGCTCTACTTTCCAGCACAATCCTGATGCAAGCAATTAAAACATCAATGATCAAGATTTTGTTTCACTTACTCGCTGGTCATGATTCTTTGAAAAACATCACTTGAAAATTCATCAACAGACAAAAAAATAGTTGGCTTTCCCTTTAACTGCTCCACATTCACAATGGTTCTAGTATTAAACCATTTATGGCTTTCAATCGGAAGACTTTCAAATAATTTTTCAATGCTACGATTCACACACTGAGTGATAGAAAAATGCCTTTTGATTTCCAAATAATTTAAATCCAATATCTGAAACTTTTTTCTAGTTGATTTTCTCATCATCGAGCTATTCCCGAGCGTGTGGTGGCTCATCATCCTTGAAGCAGCATCGCTGCGCCACCCTCTCAGCAATACTTGGCACGGTTGTTTTTTCATTTTTTGCATTAATTTAAAAAAAAAAGAGCTGCTTAGAGTCGAAAGGTATTAAAGATTACAACAAGCATGAAGATTGTTATTATTTGAGTTAATAGAGACGGAAATAATGAAGAATCATCATGATAACAAGGAAAATTTGAAGGAGAATGAAAATTTAATCTCCTCCCGAACCAATACAGGGACATCAATTCCTCAACAGGTTAAACGACAGCCTTTGCAAGAACTCTCCACTCTTAATCACGGACTAAACTCGAGAATAAGTGCTACTCTCCATAATAATCAATTGAAGAAACCATCTGATATTCATATTGAGCTTTCTCCGGAAAGAAAAAAGAGAAGAAATATTACCTCAACAAGCATTTCCCATCCCATAAATAGTCATCCAAATGTAAATTTGATATGCAAATCTGATAGACTCAAAGAACAGAGGCAATTAGAGTTGAAGATATTGCAACAACGCGAAAATCAGCAATTGAAGTACTATATTTTTGAATCATTGGATCACTCAATGGACACATCGTGCATAACACTATTTCGCAAGATTCTTCCAAAGCTCACTCCTTTAATAGAAGCAACAAAAACCATTCATGCTAAATACTGTATTGAGAAATCTCTGGATATTTGTAGATATTGCTATATTTGCGAACATTTATTTAGCATGGTAGGTGATTGCAACTGTTTTTCAAGACAATATATGAAATAAGACTTTTTATTGCAGAGCTGTCTTTTTATAAGGAGGATATGCCTTCAAAGAAGATCTGTTTATGACCTTCTCTGTAAACAAACACTTTTTGAAAAAGATAATTGTGAACTAATCTCGAAACATGTCGCAACAGCAGCATTTAGGCTTGCATTGAAAACGGTTGGCAATGAATTATGTTTTCCTTTCCCAAATATAGGTAAGCGGAATTGATAAAGGAACATCAATTGCAACTAACACACTTTAGAAAATTTTTCCATGCTAATGGGGCTTGAACAACATTGTCAAGGCTGGAACGAAATTACGAAAATGGAATTCAAATTTTTGCAAGATTTTGATTTCAATCATATCATGTGTGTAACACCAGTAAGCGTGCTTTCAGTCTTGATGAATGCATCAGTGTGCTTTGAAAATTTGTTGAACAACCTTGCTTTTAGAAAGAGCATTGAGGAAAAGTCTCTTTGTATTTTAACCAATTTTGAGCTCATGTCCGATGGTTTTTTCCTTTCACAAAAACCATCCTTTATTGCTTGTGGGGTTTTGGCTTTTTGTCGTGTGGTTGTTGGCTTGCCGCCATGGCCCTCCATTTTGCAAGATTTTACTTTTATAGCATATTCAGATTTAGAGCAAATAGTTCAGTATTTATTATCTCTAGAGATAAAATAGTGTAACAAATTATTGTAGTGTTCTTTAGAACAATACATAACGGAGCAACAGTAAAAACAGAATTACCGCCGCAATGATAATAAATATTTTGTACTTTTTCCAGAATGTTAAATCAGCTAGCTCTGCTGCTTGCATTTTAAACTTTTTAGCACCGTCTAAGATTTCATTACTCATGGCACCCATTTGTTCTAATTGAGCCCCTCTTCCAATAACATCGCTAATATTCTTTTTGATAATGTGATGGACGTCTTGCAATTCATCTTTCAATATTTGTAAATTTCGTTTAGTACGTAAATCGGTGTAAACTCTTCGTGTCTTTTGAATAAATGTATCGAATTTCATAAATGCATATGGTCGTTCTACTTTATGGACCTCAGATCCATACAATTGTTCAAATTCCTTTTTTAATTCATCTAAAAAAGCATATGCTAATTGAGAACTGTATGATTTTTCGCAAAGGGTCATATATATTAAACCAGAGCTGGTGAGAGTGTGAAAAACCATAGATCCACTATCAATGCTCATCTTTTCATTTGAGTTTGATCCTAACAATGCTAATTGCTCCAAAATTTTTTTTCGTTGAGTTTTATATTGCTCATAGGGATCGGGTTGATTATTGTTTGATTTTTTTCCGTTACTAATTACTGATTTAGTGATGTTGTCATCCTCTCCATCTTTTTCATCAATCGATTCAGCCAACGGCAGTGAATCAGAAAGCCGAGCGATGAATGTCAGCTTGAGCATTTTGAGATGATGAAAGATTGTATTTTTTTTAAATTTTATTTTCTTTGCAAACTTCAGCAGTTTGAAGTCATCATCACCGACACGTCATTTTGGATGTTCGTCAGACACACACCACGACACCTCCTCGCTTATCCCTTTTTCCAATTTAAAAAGCAATTATTCTAATGTGCACCAACATCAGCAAAGCAGACATGCTCATGGTTATGTCGTCGTGTTACTTTACATCTTTTTTTTCTTAGAGTTTGTTTCTTTGGTAGACTTTTTTCTCTTTTTATCGGTTTGTTGTTGTTGTTGCTTAGATTCTACTCCGTTGGAGGAAGAAGATTGTTTAGTTTGAGGTAGATTTGAGGAAGAAGATACGGTTTGCTCAGTAGCTGGCTGTTGTTGTGTTTGTTGTTGAGAAGGTGCCTGATGGTGGTGGTGGTGATGATGTGGCTTTTGATGAGTTGTTGCTAATTGCTGTGCGACAGATTGTACATTGGATTGTGGAAGAGGTTGTTGAACTGCATTTGGTGGTCTTTGTGCTACATTTTCAGAGTAGATGGGTTGGTCTGGATAATTGTAGCTCAAGCGTTTGTCACTTCCAAAACAACTGAAAATGTGAATAGATCTCTATTGTGCTGAACATTGTACTTACTACATGTATGCTACAGGTTTTTGATCAAATAAAGGATGTTTCAATGCTTCTGCTGCAGTAATTCTTTTAGTTGGATCATAACAAAGCATTCTTTTTAAAAGATCTAATTCAAGAGAATCACTTGGAAGCTCTGTGTGCTGTTCCAAGTTTGGAGGATAGTGAGGAATGTGAGTCATGAGCTTGTAGAATTCCAAGTCCTTCATTTCAGGCCAATCCTCCTCGCTTGGTGTTCCTAGAATTTTAAAGATTGTTTCCAGTTGATCTCTTTGGAAGGCTTCTTTACTTTCTCTGCCTTCAAAGATTGGTTTTGTTGTCACTAGTTCATTAAAAATACATCCAAGACTCCAAATATCTACAGCAGGAGTGTAATGTTTTGCACCTAGCAATAGCTCAGGTGCTCGATACCAAATCGTTACTACAGGGCCATCATCACTTAATTTTCTTAATGGATCCTTAAATATACCTTTTTTTGCAGTCACAAAATTCATTGTTTTTCAAAGCAGCCACATATTTACGGCAGTGAATCAGAAAGCCGAGCAATGAACGTCAGCTTACTTACGTGCTAACCCAAAATCTGCCACCTTAATGACGCCTCGTTCAGTACCTTCATCATGTATAAGAATATTAGCTGGTTTCAAATCTCTATGGATGACCCATGCACGATGTAAGTAATTTAATCCACACAACATTTGATAGAGCATTGATTTAATGACATTTCTATCCAATTTGGGAGGCAATCTTCTTGTTTGATTTGCATCTAATGGAATTTGCTTTTTATGATAATTTAACATTTTCTCTAAATCTAATTTACAGTATGGTGTTACCATATAGAACGAGCCATCACTCTTATCCAATACAATGTCTTTCACTTTTAATATATTTTGATGATCAAGCTCTTTCAACAACTAAAACTTTGTCACAAACTCTGATCCACTAGAACACTACCTACATTAATTTCTCTACATATTGAGAAGGGTATTCCTTCGGACTCTCTGGTCAATTTCAGTTTAAAACTTTTAACCGCTACTCGATGTGATGATGAAAGTTCTATACAGATCCGAGAACGATCAGTAATTGTTGTTCAGCTACAACATCAATAATTGTACAACAATGAAGAACATACCTCTGGCTACTCTCACAATCTGTGTTGATGATCCAAACATAAATGAGTAAAATAACAATAGGATGAAAACAAACCCCATAGGCACCTATTTGTGAAATATTGTCGTTTTTGTCATTGCGACACATCATCACCGTACTCACCTTCTCCAATCCTTCCGATGGTTTCATACCTCTGATCTAGCGTTTTGTACTTTTTAAACGTCTTTTCTTTCAACCGACTGGTCATGTATTTTTTAAAGCCTTTTGAATCAAACAAACCGAAAGTTTTTTAACGGTTTTTTGATTTTATCTAAAATTGATTATTTTATTAATCAAATTCGAAGAGGTTTTGGAATGTACATACATGATCATCATTCCAAAAAGTCTTAGAATCCTCCTTGAATTCTAAGGACTAAATGAAGAGTAGAGTGTTTGAGAATGTTATAATCGTTCAGTCTTCGTTCATCTATCAATTGCTTTCCCGAACAGATCAGCATTTGATGTTGAGCTTTAATACCTTCCTTCTCTTGAATCTTGTGCTTGACGTGGGAAACGGAATCGTCTTGCTCGACATCCAAGGCAATGCTCTTTCCAGTGAGAGTCTTGACGAAAATTTGCATCATGCGTTAACAGTTTAGTTTGAGAAAGTGTATGAGGTTTTGTTTTTTTTTATGATGTTCTTGAAATTTAGAAACCTTCAACTGCCATTCAATTCAAGCTTCACTTATCAGGTCGAGAAACCGCTAGAACACATTTATTTTCTAGTTTTCATCAGAAAATGAAAGATTTTACAATGAGGCAAATTGCAATTTCCGTTAATGTTCTTCATAGAAGGACTAACAATCAACTGCTGCATCTCTTCAACAAATTCTTAAGGATTGTTGGCGATCACATTGCTTTGCTTTGATCCGAAATGTTCTTGATAATACCTTTCACAATAGTTGGGTTTAAAAACACCAGGAACAATCGATGAGCAATACATGACAGGAGTAATATCATGATCTCTTTCATAAATACGATCCTTCCAAGTGTCATGTATACTCTCAACTCTTTGATGCCATTTCTCATCTCTCGGAGTCGGAATGGTTTGGAGTCCCAGTGAAGTGCCAAATTCCCGAAAGGCCAAACGGTAACGTCTGCTTGAGCTATCAAAGTACTTTTCAGTCCATAACTCGTCGAGACATTCCAATGCAACGTTTTGAATGTGTTGAGACCATTCTTCATTTGAAAACCAACATGAAATCCACAAGCTTTCTCCTAAATCCAGAGGATCATGGCTTGAGTAATTGGAATACTTTTTCATGACCATGCGTTCCATTTCATGAATTTGCGTTTTCAAAACATCACTCTTTTCGCTTTGATTAAACAAGGAGTGAACATTGCGAAGAAGCTTGTAAGTGACATAACCATCGAAGGGATCCAAATTTCCTTCTGATCTTACCAACGGTCTTGATCCATCGATGCTGATCTTCCAATACATTCTCAACTGATGTGGTGAAGTACGATTGATGAAACGATCATGCATGGACTCTGCCATTTCTATGGCCCAGCGGTTGTACAATTCTTCTCCAGTGACAAGACTCATTCTGTTCAGAGCAAACATCCATTTGGTCAAGTAATGAAAGTATTGCCCGTCACCATCGTCATGGTCTTCATTGTACTTTTTTCCAATTCGTAAACCACCCAAAGTTGGACGATCATCGGTAGCGTTGCCTTAAAGTTTTTCAATGAATGATTTAAATTCAAATTTAACCCTTTCATTCTTTAAATGATCAACATACCTAATCGACGTTGTAATTGTCGATCTTTACCAAGAACATTATGCACTTCATCGATTAAGGCCTTGGCTTGTTTTAAATATTTATCTTGTTGAGTTTCAATGAAGAGTGTAAGAAAATTGCAAACTGCAAAGGCATCGGTCCAGAGGTATCTGGTTTGAGTGCCGGATTTTAAAGGTTTTGGCTTGTAGGCAACTTCATTTTGAGAAGCTTCCATAAACATTTTCCATGACTTCCATGCACTTCTTCAACATTTTTAATTTGAGTTCAAAATCCTTTTGTTTATGTTGTAAATGTAGTGATTTTCACATTTGGAATTTTTACAATAGTAGAATTGCTTGATCAATCAATTTGAAATTCGAATTCGTCCAATTAATGAAAAGAGGATCACGTTATGGCTATGATGAGGGGTAGAGAACAAATATATTAAGGCTTAATATTTCACGACCACTTTTTGTTGGGCCGAAGGATTAACAGAGAGTTTTTGTTGCTTAAGCGCCTCTTCTTTGAAAGTGGTTTTGAGATTCTTTTTTTGCTCTCGTTTTTGTCTCTTCAATTCCTTTGCCTTTTTCTTTCGTTCCTTGCGTTCTTCTTTTGTTTCGTTCTTATTTCTTGCCTGGCCTAAATTTACAACCTCCTCAAAATCATCTTCGTCAACTTGTTCCTCACTCATGTCAACCTTTTGTTTGCCGATAACTCCAATAGGTAAACCAGACTTTTGTGACAATTTGATTTGTTTTGGTTTTTTCTTTCGTGGTGCATCATCAATGACTGACGGATGGTTATAAATGTTTGTGTAACTGGTTAGAATGGTCTCACAGTCCCATCGATTATCTCGTTCAGGAATGGTAATGACTTCTGTTTCTCCTTTAGCTTCCTCTTTTTCAATTCTTTCCATTTGTCTCACCACCATCTTGTATCTTTCTTCTGGAGATAGTTCTCGCATCTTCTCAAAGTCTTCTCTTCGGAAAACTTTCACATCAGGAGGAAGCTGTGCCTCAATCTCTTTCAATTCTTCATCTGTAATTGTTGAGCTCTTTTTGAATTCACCAGCTCCAAATCTTCTTCTTTGCTCTGTGAAAAAGTCTTCGAGCAAATCATTCACTCGCTTTGCATCAAATTCAGTATTTTCTCTCAGCTTTGGGTCATTATCATCCAATTCTCCAATCTGATCATCAGCATATGCATTCTTATAGAAAATGTCAAAATCTTGGTCAAATTGTTTTCTGTTTTCTGACTTTGTGAAAACAGGCTCCTCTTCTTCGTCTTCTGCGTCTTCCCATTCACCATCTTCATCTTCTGCATCTTCCCATTCACCATCTTCATCTTCCCATTCACCATCATCACCATCATCTTCGTCAACTACAGTAAAAGACACTTTCTTTTTTGCTTGGTTGGTTGGTTTTTCGTCCATTTTAGCCTCTTTCTTGGCTGTCACAGATGCTTTTGTAGTTTTTGATTTTTTGTTTGCATTTCTCTTTGCCTCTTCCTCTTCAATTAAAATCAACTCTTCTTTTGGCAAAAATTTTTTGAGCAATTCTTTTGGTAGTGGCTCATCATTATCAAAATTGAAGACTCTAGGACGTGTTTCATCATCATCTTCATCTATATAATCTTCATCGTCACCTTCTTCTTCTTCAGCTTTTTCCATTATTAATTCTTGAACAATTTCGCCAAAGAAATCATCATAGTCTTCTCCATATTTATCCAATGGATTTACTTTTTCATTTTCGTCCTCTTCTTCTTCTTCTGATTCAGTCTCTCCATCTCTCTCCAAAATTGTCTCAATTTCAGTATCTATTTTGCCATGAGCATATTTTTCCAAGCCATAGGCTTTAAAATCTGGTCTAAGCTTGAATGGGATCTTTGAATCATTAAGTTCAGAAGAGCTGCCTGCTTTTGGTTCCTTCTCCCCATTAATAAGTGATTCTAATGTTGGCTTTACTTCTTCCTCCTCTTCCGAATCCTCATATTCTTCTTCATCTTCATCATCATACTCTTTCAATTCCTCTTCTTTTTGGGCAGGACTCTCCTCGTAGAGTATAGATGGCATTTGATATGTTTCGTTTCCGAAGGCACTGATAAAAGTACCACCTCCAATCTTTTTGATATGCTTTGAATAGTCATATCCATCATCGGGAAATAGACCACCAACGGTCCTTCTTTGTCGCTCTTTGTGTGATTCTTCAGTCTCTTCGGAAACCATTTCTTCATCAAATTCAAAATCATCATCATCCTCTTCATCATTAAACTCGCCATCATTTTGCATATCCATCAACTTTTGAAGACCAAACATGACCTTTGGTTCTTCTTCCACATCCTCTTCGATCACATCTCCTAAAGTTTTCTTCAATTTTTCATATGTTTCTTTGGCTTTTTCCGATTGATTTTGTAGATTTGTCGGAACCCAAACAGTATTGCTGCCGTTTACTCCTCCTTGAAAGAGTCTGAAAGTGACGGCGTTCTTCTTTTGTTCGGTTGATGATTTCTTTTCTTGTTGGCGTCTTGGCATTTTTTTGAACTTCAAATAAAAAACGAACAATTTCCACACCGAAAGTACAATTATGTTATTGTTAAATTAGTGTTAACATAAAGAATGAAGGAGTCAATCCTAAGCATGTTCAAAACGAGATCAAGTATTTAATTCACACACAAAGTTGTCAATAAGACCCACACTATTGGACCTCTCGAACAAGTTTTTCAAACTCTAAGAACATTACTGGAGACAGAGAATCAGCATCGCTGGAGAAAGTTATATCACCATCTAAGGAAAAATAAATTAAGTCAAATTCTGTATTAATTACTCTTCGGTTTCTTCTTGTGTCTTTTCTTCTTCAGATTTTTCTGTGACAGATTGATTTTGTACAAATGTTGGGCGTTTAAATCTTGAGCCAGGTTTTGAAGATGGAGTATTGGAAGCATCATCATCTTTTTCTGTGCTTTCTTCTACGTCATCAGTTTTTACCTTTTTCAGCGGTCTATCTTCTACAGCACTTTCAGCAGTGGGTTCAGTTGCCTGAGATGAGGTATTAGTTGAAGGAGTTGTAGAATCTTGTTGAGCTTCAAAAGCGTTATCATCTTTCTGGAATTCTTCAATTGTTCTTTTGCCTGTAACAGATTCTGTTTTATCGTCAGAGGCAGCAGACACAGGAGTGGTTTTATCTTCGCTTGATGAGGAGGTCGCTACATTGTTTGAGGAAGTGACTGGAGATACAGATTGTGAGGAATATGGCTGCGTAGCTTGAAGCTTTTGCATCTTTAGTAATAGAGCAGCACGCATTTCTTCTTTTCGTTTTTCGTCTGCTTCTTTCTTTCGTGCTTCATCCTGCTTTTGTTTCTCCAATCTTTCTTCCTCTTTTCGTTTTTCTTCGGCCTCTTTTTCTTGGTTTTGTTTTTCTAATCTCTCCTCTTCCTTACGCTTTCTTTCCAGTTCCTCCTGTTGCCTTTTTTGATTTTCCTCGTCATCAGAGGAGGAAGGTTGTTGTTCCTGTGGTGACACTGTTTTCTTAGGTTCAGACTTGGTTCGTGACTCCTCACTTTTGTGTCTTTCGATTTCACTTTTTGCTTGTTTCAACTCCAACTCAAGCTTGGAAATTTGTGACTCTAGGGATGAGATTTTCTCTTGCAGCTCCGTATTGTCTTTTTTTAGTGCTTGATTGGTCTCTTTTTGTTTCTTCATAATGTCGAGCATTCTTTCTTTCTTTTCTTTCAGACCACCGAGTTCATCATTAACATTTTCTAATTCTGAGTTCAATCTTGTGATTTCTGATTGATGTTCCTTAAGAGCGGCAATTTGTTTTGAGTTTTCTTCATTTACAGAAGAGAGTTGTTTCGAAAGACGTTCAATGGTCTCCACCTTTTCCATCAATTCTTTTTCTAGCTTGAAGTTTTCTTGTTTTAGCTTTTCATGAACCTCAGGATCAATCTGTTTGAACTTTTCCACCAAGTGTTGTGCCTTATTCTGATATTTTTTAACATCCTCTTGTAACGACTTAATTTCTTCCTCACGTATTTCTTTCTCTTTTTTGAGCTCATTGATAGACTGGCTCAGTGGTATCAATTGTTTTCTGGCTTCTTTGAGCTCTTCTCTAGTTTGATCTAGCATGCGGGTAAGCTGTTCGTTTTGTTGCCTCAAAGACATGTTGCTTTCCTTGAAAACTTGTACTTGTTCCTGTAAATCCGCTACGAGCTGGCCAGTACGATCTTGATCTTTAGACTGTTGTTGATTTTTCTCTATTTCAGTCTTTAACTCTGTTTGGCTTTGAGCAAGCTCTTTAAATGCATGCTCTAGTTTTTGTTTAGTATTCTTTAGCTCTTGCTCAGCAATGGCAAGTTTTGATTTTAACATTTCTTTTTCTCTTCTTATGAAAGTAATGGTTTCTTGAAGCTCCAAAATTTCTTTTGTTTGATCGTTGCCGCCTGAGCTCAGCACAACATCTGTAGAGGTTTGTATCTTCTTTAGTTGAATGTTCAATGTCTCTACTCGTGAGAATGATAACTCCAGCTGGCGTTCCAAATCCTTGACTCTCTTTTCAAATTCCTCTTTTTGTTTCAGAAGGTCCTCGTTATTTTTCGATAAGCTAGCAGTTTTTCGCTCCATTTCCAATTCTAATGTTTTAACTGAAGATTTTAACTCTTCTATGGTTGAGTATGCCTTGCTCAACTCTTCTTTGTTTTCTTTAAATGCTTCAATAGTAGCTGCATGACGAATAAGCTCTTGTTCATACTTATCCTGAGCGTCCTTCCAAAATTGTGTATGTCTTCTGAGGTCTTCTTTCAAAATTTCAATTCGTTTTTCATATGTCTCGGCATTTAACTTATTTTCAGAGTCAACAGTCTCAACCATTTGTTTCTCTTTCTTGTTTTGCTCGGTCATATCTTCTAATTGTTGTTTGAGATTATCAATTTCTTCTCTCTTTTGTTTTAATTCTTGTTCATTCTCATAAATTTTTTCATTAAGGGCTGCTATTTGCTGATTAAGAGAAGACACCTTAGATTCTGAGGATTGTTTAAGCTTGTCAAATGCATCTGTCATATCCTTTAAAGCTCTGTCGTTAGATTCAGCAAGTTCTTTCATGGTTTCCAATTTTGCTTTTTCATTTTCAAGAGACTCTTTCAAGTAGACATTTTCGTTTTGGACTTTCGAGTACTGAACCTGTAGTTCGTTGATGTTGGTAGGTGTAGACTCAGAAGTACTCAATCCAATCATTTGCTTTTCTATTAATTTGTTCAAACGTTCTTCAGCTGCGTTTAACTTTTGCTGAAGGGTAGAGCTCTTGTCAAGCTCGAACTCATAATTTGTCTTGAGTCTTGTTACTTCATCTCTCAATTTTTGGCATTCCACTGTTTTGGCATCTAGCTTTTCTCTGTATTCTTGCTCTTTCAAGTCTATTTGAAGCCTGAGCTCTTTGGAAAGTAGCCTTTCATCATCAAGTGATTGCTTCAATTGTGAAATCTCAGTTCTACAGGCTTCAATTTCTTGCAAGGCTCGTTTCTTATCATTTTCTTCTTTTTGTTCAAGTCCAATTTGTATCTTTTGTAAGCTGGAGTAAAAATCTTCATTTCGTGATAGTTGTAATTTCAGGTTGTCAATCTCAAGGATGAGTCTTTCAGAGCGCTGTTCATGGTATAGCTTTTCAGATTTTGTTTGAATTAATTCCTTCTCCAAACGTTTGAGTTGTTCGTCCTTGCTCTCGAAATTAATTCTTTGTCTATCCATACTTGTTTGAAGAGCGTCAATTGTCTTTGTCAAAGAGTCGTTAATAGAACGGATACGATTCAATTCTCTCTGGGTTGAATCTCTCTCTAACATCATATTCTGAGAGCTATCTTTCAGGAATTCTACCTCTGATGTCAATCGAGCAATAGTAGAGTGAAGTTTGGTAATTTTTTCATTCTTTGCAGCAATTTCATCTTGAAGTAATTTCTTGTCTTTTAGAATCTCTTGTTGAAGCTCTCGTACCTCTTTAAGTTTGAGATGTTCCATACGAGAATCCTGGGTATCTTTTTGTTGAGAAGTTGTGGTGTTGAAACTATTACTAGTTAAGTTTTGGTTATTCTTTTCATCGAGCAATGACTTGTACATATCTCTTTGTTTGATAAGAGACTGAATTTTTTCCATTTGTCTTTGGCTCTCTCTCCTTAGATCCTCCACTTGCTTTAGAGCGAGTTGAATTTTGTCTTGGAATTCGGTAGCCATAACTTCCTGAGTATGTCGCGCTTCTTCCTCTTTTTGACTTGCCAGTTCTCGTATGGTTGTTAACAGCTCTACATTTCTCTTTTGTAATTCGTCAACATCAGTGAATGGAACCAACCGTTCCGTTATGACAGCATTCGCATCGAGACGGGAAGAAGATTCAGAATTGGCGTAACCTTCCTTCAGCAAGGTTCTAACTTGAAGAGAAAGATCTTGGTTAACATGTTCTGCTGTCTTTAAAGATCTACGCAACTTCTCTGCTTCTGCTCGTAAATTTGTCAACTCGTCTTTATAAGCTTCAGTCTGTTGAATTAGATCTTGCTTTTGTTTTGTCAATATCGTATAAGACGACCGTAGTTGTTCATATTCCTCTCTTTGTGCTTGCATAACCGGAGCCTTTTCTTCCAAATCTTTCAAAATTCCTGAAAGAACTTCATTCAGTCGCTTATTTTCATTCTTAGATTTGAGAAGTTCATCACTAATCTTCACAAATTTGGTGTAAATATCGCTAGGACTGATTCCTTGAGTAACAAAAGTTGAGGCACGAAGTTGAACATTTTCTTCCAAGTCCTTCTTGTATTTTCTAATTTCTGCTTCCAGATCTTCTATTTTCTCCTTACGTTGTCGCAGCTGTTCATTCATGGACTCTCTTTCCATTTCAAAAGTGCTCTCTTGTCGTTGTTTTGCCTCTTTTACACTTGTCAAGCTTTTCTCTAAGTCTTTGATTCGATCCTCTAGATCATCATGCCTATTTTTATATAAATCAGAAAGCCGTCTTTCATTATTCAACTCTTCGTTAAGTCCATCCAAAGTTTGAAGATGCGAGTTTTTGAGATCACGAATTTCTTCAATCTTTTGTTGAAGTTTGTGATTGTACTCCTTATTTGATTGCTCCAAATGAGATATCTTTTCATTGAGATTAGTGATAACATCTTCCTTTGTTTTGGATTGTATCTCTAGCTCATTTAGCTTTAGCATGTACTCTGATTTCAATTTTGTTATTTGTTCTTGCTTTGATGAAAGTTCTGAATTTAGCCAAGCATTTTGCTTTTCTAGTGATTCTTTTTCTTGTTGAAGATTTTCAATAGAATATTTTAAAGGCAATACTGATGTAGATATTTCCTGAATCTTTTCTTCTTGTTCGTGTTTCATCTTATATTGCTCATTAATTTTTTGATTGAGTGACTCGATATGGGCTTACCAGTTTAAATAGCAGCTTTAACGTGATAAATAAAACATACAATTTAAATCTTCAATCTCCTTTGTCTTTTTCTCGACAGAAGATAGCAATCGGATTTTCTCAGCTTTGAGTTCTTCATTCACACTACTAATTTGCTCCAATTCATTTCTTTGCTCATGCCATCGCCTTTCGGTATCTTTGACTTGCTTTGTGAGGTGTTCAATCTGGTCCTGATAGTTTTTCGCTTCGGTTTTGTAGTGCTCTATCCGCTCCTTGAGTAATTCATATTCCTCAAGTTTTGAATTTTGTTGTTGTTCGAGTTTGTTCAACAAAGATTCATTGGATAGATGCACTGTTTTTAATTCCTCTCTACACTCTAAAAGCTCTTCTTCAATTTTAGAAATATATTCTTGAGCCTTTTTTTTGATCATCGTTGGATCATTGCCGAATTGCTCGAGCTCCTCGGCTGAGAGAAACGAAAGTTTCAGGTTGTCATCACCAGCTGTGTGGGAGCGATCAATCATCGACATTTTTTAAATTCTTTTTTCAATTTTTTAATACCATCACACACAGGCTTGATGACGATACAACGTTAAAGGTGTGGGAGTATTATATTATTGAACGTGCGCATTCGTTTTTGTCTTTTAAAGTACAATCACTATTCGAGTGAAAGACGAGTTTTTCTTTGATTTTCTTCATTACATTATAATTGCAACAACTACAGCCATCATCATCATCCCGTATTCATTTAGTTTTATCTCCTTGGAAAAACAGGCAAAGAGCCATCAATATTGCAATGTTTTGTGTTTATGTCATTGAATAAACAATCTCAAGATTTTTCGCTTGCAACATCTCTCCAGCAGAACCATTCTAGCTGAAGATTCATCATCAAAAAAACGAAAACTTCCGTCTCCTTATTTTCTCCAAAAAGACGTTAATCTTATCGTATGGTTCGGAGGAGAGAGAGGAGCCTTCTTCTTCATCATCAGGTTGTTCTTCTACTTGCAGAAGCATATTGCCAACTTCATAACACACAAATTGTGTTATATTCTTGCTAAAACACGGCTTCCGATAATCCGTCATTCCCTCTGTGCATTTTCAGTAATATTCTTCGTTGTTGCAACAACGTCCTCACAATTCTTGCTCAAGAAGGAGAAGGCGATCAGTGTGCACAATACGACTGAAATCTCAAACGAAACACAGTCTACTTTCTCTAAATTATTTGTAAATTATTTATCGGTAGTGATTCATTCACTTCCAGAAAAACATTCAACACCATTTATTGTACTTTATCATGAAACCAATCCCTATTACTAAACCTTTATCTATCCGACAACAGACCACCAACAATTTTAACAGCCAAAGCTATAGAGAATGTAATGTTAATGATATTGACGACAACACCTCATTCATGCTGGATCACTGCATCATTGGATCCGTTCCTGCTTCATCAAATTTCAGCACAAAAAAGTCAATCAGCAGTTCTTTAACAAAAGATGCAAACGATTTCATTTCAAAGAAAACACAATCTCGTCCACCTCCAATCACCACATCATCTTCCTCCACTGCTCCCAGTTTTGAAAGACCCAACGTTCTTTCACCTACTCTCCAAACCAAACGAAAGTCGGCGAATCTTACCTCTCCTACCCTTTCCCCAAACTTTATTTCCTCAAATTCCCTTCAAGCTCATTCCAATCATGACAATGAAAAAATCATGTTAGATTTTTTTAACTTATTTCAAAAACAGCAAGCAAAAAGCAATGATGGGTCTGGCAACTCCTCTACAGATGAAGACGAATTGTGTATAAACATTTTATCTTCTTCACTGTCTGCTCATCAAGATTGGTCGAGAATGATCAATAAGGTTGACCATGCGCAACTCAAATCTCCCAGCGAATCATTCGACGAGAATGATCGACAATGTCAAAGTTTTCATTCTATCACCGAACTTGACAAGAAGAAAGCCAAAAGGAACTGGTTTAGGTTTATGAAAATTGAAAGCGACTCTTCGATTGAAGATGAAGAAAATTCTGATTCTGAAGAAGAGACAAAATCCAAATCCTCTTTGGATAAGAAAGAAATTCTGCTCTTATTTTTACTTCAGCATGTCGCTAAAGAATTAAACCCAGATATATCCTTCTTTTTAAATTTATGCAAACATTTGGGAAAACTCGGATACTTTTCAAACAAGATGTTAGACGAAAATTTCATCAAAACGCTCTGTAAAGATTTTATTCAGGATATTGCAGAGATATTTCCATCCACAGTTGATCACGAGACCTCTAAGGGTAAGATTGTGAGATCAGAAAGTCATGCATCTTACTTGTCAGAAATTTCACATTCCCCATCATCCTTGAGAGAAAATTTTGGTAGCCTAGATGAAGCTCCTGTTTTGGACTCAATGTTTTATAATACTAAGCGGCTAGAAGCTGACTATTGCCACTTTCAAAAGCTTGGAAAATCAAAACCATACTCTTCAATCATTAAGGCCACTCATAGAATTGATGGACGAGCGTATGCAATCAAAAAAGTTCATTTTCATTTTAAGAATACATTAGAGCTAGAACATGTTTATTCTTATGTTGTGAATGAAATTACAGCACTTGCAAAGCTTGATCACGAAAATGTAATTAGGTTTTACGCTGCTTGGTTTGAGCCTTCAAGAGAGAATGAATGTTCTCAACAAAAAGAAAACGATTCAACAAAGAATGATTTATCAAACGAAGTTGCAAGCCCTCTTATATGGAATGACACTCATACTATACTCCACAATTTGTTAGAACATGATTTTCAGGAAAAAGTTCCTCAAACAACATCGTCACAGCTCACCAATTCCATACAATTCGATTCGCCAAAAGCGCAACCTATTGATATACACTGTAAAAAAAATTCTTCTTCACCACCACCCAACATGTCATACCTAGAATTTGCTCTTGAACGAAAGAAAACACCAAACGCTACCAAAAAAACCTACATCGACACCGAAACACAGAACATCACTTCATCCGTTAAATCCATTCTACATGAGATGTTCAATGTAAATAACCAATTTGAAATGGTTTTGTATATTGTTATGCAGCTTTGTGAAGGAACTACCCTTGAAGATTGGTTAGCAGAGAAGAAGAAAAACAAAAAACTGAGTCACTTGCAAGAAGCACTTAGGTTGTTCAAACAGATTTTGAAAGGCGTGTGTCACATTCATGCTCACGGTTTAGTACACAAAAATCTTAAACCAAACAACATTTTTGTGTTGTCAAATGGAGTTATTAAGATTGCTGACTTTGGATTAGCGAAATATCTACAAGAATGTCTTCTCAATCACAATTGTAAAGAGGGTACCAACAAAAAAAAGCCTCATCATTCTACAGAACAAAGTTCATTGTATTCTAGTCCTGAACAAATATTTAACTCCAAGTTTGATCAAAAGGGGGACATATATAGTTTGGGTGTAATATTATTTGAGTTGCTCGCGCCTTCTTTTATAACAACTACGGAAAGAGTTCATGTTCTTTCACAACTCAGGAAGAAAGAATTCTCAGAAGAAATGATTAAGAGCTATCCAAGAGAGATTGAAATTGTAAAGCAGTGTTTAGACAAGCCAAATAATAGACCTACAGCCCAAGAGTTGTTTCACAAAATTAGTAGGCTCATCAAAGCATACAAGATTGAGGGAAAGTTTTCAAATTCGTCAAAAACAGCCTCTAATTACCACATGTTGTCGACCCCGAGTTTTCCGTCCTATGACACAATCAGAGAAAAGAATAGAATTATTGAGGAACAACAAAAACAAATTGAAATGTTGTTAGAACAACTTGAGAAGAAGAATTTGAATTCTAAATAATAACATTTTTGCTTAGTTTTTTAATTGATTTTAGTCCCTCTTCTCTTTTCTTGGCACGAATTCACAACACAGCACAAACCTGACAATTCTCAACACAATGACAAGAATGACAAAAACAATCCACAAAGCAACTCCTCCCAAAAAGCCCACCACCACCTTAGTTGGATAATACTCACAATCCTTATACTTGTACTCAAATTGACCATTCTTACTTTCAACTTCAAATAAACCAACATTTCCTGCAAAATCACCTTGAATTGATTTTACAGTAATTTCCATCGTTCCTTCTTTGTGTTGGTATTTGCATCCAAAGTGATCATGACCATTGAAAATATATTTTGGTTTGAGTTGATCCAAAAGTAGTTGTGAAACTCTTGGAGATAACATGTTTTGTTCAATCGGTAATCTATCGTCTCCGTCAGACCATCGAATGTAAGGTCTATCCACACATGCTCCTTTTGGTTTGTGAAGTGGAACATGAATAAAGAGTAGCACTTCCAAATCTTCTTTCATTTCTTGCTTCATTTTACGAACTTGTTCCACCATTTCCCAAGCCGCTTTGAATTCTGCCTTATCTTCACCTCCATCCAAAACCATTGAATTTAAAGTGACAGCAAGGACCTTCTTTTTACCATTTTCTAGAATAACATCTTTTCTATTTTGAACACCAAATGCAGCAATAAATCTCTGAACTCTAAAGAATGACGCCTCAATACCATAACCAATGTCATGGTTTCCTGTTAAATTTACCAAATAAGGAAAAGGTAAGTTCCGTAAAGAGTTTTCTGATCGAACATTTTTTTGTAAATATTCTTCTTCCTTCAAATCTCCACTCCTCAATTGCAACAATCGATTGAGCCATTTGAATAGTCCTGAGAAATTTCTGTTATATCTTTCCACTCGAATATCAAATTCCTCATTAGAGACATATTGTGAGGAAAATAAATCACCAAGCATGTAAATGGTATCGGGTTGAAGAAAGTAATGAACATTCTGAAAAATTAATGTAAAATAATAATCATTGAAATAATTATTTAAAAGACCGTATTGACCTGGTAATATTGGAGGGTGAAGAGGAATTTTAAATTGGGTGTGATGATCATTATGGGTGGATCAAACAAGATATAATATTATGAATGGACACAGAAGATTTGAATGGAAATTGAGGGGGATCCTTTTGCCCATACAAGTAATCCACATACCTTGATGATACACTTTAGTGTCGCCTTCCATTTGAGGATCAGCAATCAAAGCAATTCTTCGAGAAGTGGCAGATTTTGATGTTGACCAATGACAGGATAATGGTGAGAAGACCATGTAGGTCGCCATGTACACAACGGACAAGGTGACAAGAAGAGAGCCAAATGCCAATAATCGCAAACACCAGTTGGTGGATGACGATGAGGAGCTGCTGGCTAATGGTTGTTTGACCATTTTTTTGATTGTTGATTTGGGAGGAACCTTCCGATCAACACACACTCGGATTTCACACATCAACAAGATCTAGATTCCGAAGAAATACAAGAGTTTTATAATGAGGCAATAAATAATGATTTAAATTGGTCTTGTTGTGCATTGTGTCAAGTAGATAACACACAGATTTGTGTGTTCTTGAGCTTGTTATTTGTGCTTGTGGTCTTCTTCGTCATCCACAAGACAAGGATTATTTACAATCTTTCTACCATTCAATACCAAGAGGAAATAAATGGCAACAGTAATAGCAAGATAGAAAATGACAGAGAGTAAACCAGTGGTTAAACTTTCTAAGGGTAGAGGATAATCACGACGAAAAGTGAACATTCCAAAAGATAGTTGTGTGTGAATAATAGAAATATGTGTTTTTGAGATTCTATTTAAACGTTACATACCCGATGATGGTACTTTGGAAGCGCTGGCAGCAAGCATGAACAATGAAACGAAAAATCCATATTTCAAAACTGAGAAGAAAACATTGGATTGGTTTTCTTGCTCGAATGGAGATTTTCCTGAAGGCTTGACAATGTACTTTCCTAAAAGCAAATTGACAGAATCTTGCTTAATTCCGTCCTTGAAATTGTTCAAGTAGTATCTGGTAATAGAATTCACACCATCATTCAGCAATCCAGACCATGTTCTTGTACCAGTTCTGGTGAAATCAGCCTTAATAGCACCGGTTCCTGCATAAATAAGACTAATCCTATCTCCATTATCAGCCCAAACTATAATTTTCAATTCAGGTGTTTGTGAACATGCTGTCAAAGATCATTGGAGTAATACTTACTGTTTTGGAAGGTATGGTTCAATGCCTTGTAGTCAGTAACTTTCTGTTCGTTTGGTAACAATTTCAAAGTATGTAATTGCTCAGTTAACATAATTTTAGCAAAAACACTCTGGCAAACGTTGGTTCTATCCAAGCAGTCAATACAGTTGGAACGAATGATACCTGTTTGGTATTTCAAAATTTTACCGTCAGTAGTGTTCATATGGAAATATTGGTGCTCCTTCATGAGTGGTTCAACTTGGTCTGTCAATTCAGAGATAGCACTATAATTCATTGATTTACATTTGTGGTGGAAATCAAATGCAATATACTTAATCTTGTCTTTCTTGGTGTAATCATTACAGAGATTACGATATTCATCAGCCAATTTCTTTTCAGATCCTTTTTGATTAACTAAATTAACCATTACAATATTGGAGTAACGATCCAAAATATGGTCGAAATGCTTTTCGAATGGTTTTCCTGAAGCTTCTTTCTTCATCACAAAAGGTGGCTTGTATTGGATATTGGCTTTTTGGGACCAAATCAATGGAATACTACCACGGACTTGAATGTATGAAATAAAGTGGTTGCCATATTCAACAATCTGTTCAGTCTCAACAAAGTTTGCAACGTTTCCAAGCATGTCAGCACCTCTGATGTTGTATCTTGTTCCAACTCTCTTGCAACCCTTTCTCGATATGAGAGTTAGACTGAAGGTGCTATCGCCAACCTTGGCCTCCTTTGTTTCTACGACTGTTAATTAAAATCGGAAAATTTAATTCTCACTCGTAAAACATTTTCTGAATGAACTGTAGTACAACTTACATCCACGAATAAGTGGCACAAACCAGCCCTGAGCAACTTCTCCTTGTCTTGTAAAATCCGATGCCAAATATCCATTCCACAAGAAGTGTTCATCGGACTGTTATCCATCATCGTTGAAATTTAATTAGATCATCATATCCATTAAATTTAATTTCAATAGAAGCTGATTGAACAAACGAGTACTTACCTTTTCTCCAACATAATTCATTGATGGTGCCTGTTGGAACCAATTTTGAGTTGAAATGGTGGCATCATAGGTGTATGAAAAGTAAAAAGTTCCGTCATTCAAAATTGTAGTGAGGAGTTCCAAATACTTGCTCTCGTCAACAGCGTGCTGAGGAGCCACTGGTTTTTGATAATATGGAATGATCTTCACCTCGGAAACACAATAGATGGTATGGATTTTATCAATCTTGGCCACAGGTACACTCTCTTTTGCCACAACCAAGTAACGACCAGCCAACAATTGAATAGAACCTAAAACAGCACTCACCCGATGTAAAGGTTTAACGTCTACGGACTGTACATCCTTTGAATTGATCAAGCTCAACTTGTTGTTTGAGCGATTGATTTGAAGAGAGGCTTCTTTACCTCGAAGAATAAAACTCTCGGATGTTTCGAGCAAGTCAATTTGTTGTTCGCAAACTTTCATTTTTTTAGGTGTTGTTGATGATGTTTGCGGAATTAAAATATAACATGGCCAACAAACACTCGCGACATATTATGATTGACACTAGAGATTATCAGTCCGTCTGGGAATTGACTGGATCAAGCGAAGGTATAAGGAAAATGATGTTTTGTAAACTGATGCACACCAAGTTTTTGTAAAGACATGTCATTTTCGGTACTTTGTAATCAAAGATTAAAATCATACTTCCACAAAAATTTGTCGTCTTTACACATGATGAACGCACAACAGTGGGTCTCAAAAATTGAGAGCTCTCTTCCGTACTCTGCGAATGTCTTTCTTTACATCAACAATAAGAAACTGATCGAGACAGATTTTGCAGGAGATCGGGATCTTTTGTCTTTGGTTGCTCGTGAATTATTAGACGCCAACAAAACACCAAAAATTAGACATCAACGATTGGGTGTATGGTTGAGCATTGCGTATGGTATCCATAAAGACTTGCTGATCAAGTTGCTGCTCTCTCCCTGTGCTACTCTTTCCAAGTTGATCGCCTCTCATATTCATACGATATTGGATGAAAATGAAATATTGGATTTGTTTGATCATGAAGAGAAATTTATGGAAATGAATGAACGTACAAGATTGAATATCGAGAGGTGTATTCGTAAGAATTGTAAAGGTCTTATTGTAAGACTTGTAAAGAAATTAATGAATCGGGTTCAACCACGAGAATGTGTTCATTTGTTAGCTCATCTTCCATCCTTCACTCCGGATCAAGATTTACTCAAAGAATTGCAACCCATGAGAGTGCAAACTAGTGTATTGGTGAGAAAACATCCCAATGTAGTGGTCAAGCTATTGAGAGGCTATTTGGATGAGGTCGTGAATGCTTCTCCTAAGAATTTGAGAACCAAACGAGCGAGCAGTCTTCTTGGCACTCATTCATTCCTATTCTCTCAATTGATCAAGTATCGTTCTGAGGAGGCATGGAACATTGTGAATGAGTATTTGATTGAGCCAAGTGTACAAGAACAGCTTCCACCTTTGGATGGCTCTTCTTACTTGCAAGAACCTACTTTTTACAAACTTCCATCATTTACAGAAACTTTTGTAAGATGCATTCCATTGTTTACGAATCCACCAGTGTTACATTGCAACAAGTGGAATAGGATGACAGCCAATCAGATTGCAAGAATTGGCTGTTCTATTATTGAACACTTCAAATTTGAGCCCTCTCAACATGCCCAATCATTCATTGCCGATTTCTTTGAAGTGAATTCCAATAAGCAATTTCGAAAACGACGACTTGTATTTGAAAAGATGTTCTCAAATGGATTATCCAAAGAAAAGCTTGCTTATTGGATTTACGCGAATTGTGAGAATGAAAAAACTCCTCCAGAGTATCTCGCCAATTATCCTCCTGAAATTTCGAGTCAAGTCTCGAAAAAGATGTACGAAATTAGAAAAACTCAAACCTTTCAAAATGCAAGTGAAGAATCAGTGCATTGGAAGTATTTTTATGATCTAAATGATGAGACATTGTACAAACAATTCAAATCTGTCACTTCCAGTCCACAACCTGCAGAAAGATCACAGGTCATTCAAGATTTACTGTTTTGCGCCTTGTACTCTGGCGTGAAGGTGAAGGAAACACTCGAATGGTTGGAGACGAGACTCAAGAATGATGATGATACATGTCAAAATCTACTTTTTGTTATGAATTATTCCAACGTTCTCAATCAATTAGTAGTTCAAGCATTTAGAGACAAAGAATGCATCCAGAATTTCATCTCAATTTTTGAAAATAGTGTAACAAGAAAACCGAATCTTGCTGGAAGTGTGCAAAGATTTTACTCAACCCTCGTCAACCAATTGGCGTATGATATTGAGGTTGTGAAACCAGTCGTAGAGAGCAGCTTTTTGAAATCAATATTTAAAGATGCAACCGTTATCTTTAGTACCCTCTTAAAACCAGAAATTCACAAAACTTTATGGAATGTCATTTTACCGTCAGTCAAGAATCAGATCACAACGTCTGGTGACGTCGAAGCATTTAGCTCCTTTATAACCAACGTGGTTTCTCTAAAGAAACAAGAACACGTAAAGAAGGCATTCTCCACATTTTTCGATGAATGGTTCCATGAATGTGTGAAAAACATTTCGCACTTTCATAGGTTGGAGGATTTGATAGATATTTACATTTTCAAGCTCGATCCTAGCCCTTCAACAATCACCTCCAAAGTTCAACACTTGCTTAACGTGGACAGCAGATTAATAAGTATCAGCGCCATTCAGAGAGCCTTGTTAGGAAGAAACACTCACTTTGAGACCAATTTCCTTTACCAATACCTTAGAGATCACGCCATGAGTGTAGAAGAATTTGAAAATTTAACACCATTTTCTTCACAGACGGTAATGACTGTTTTCTCTGAATCTTGCATTACATTCCATCCAATTGTACTGAATGGCTTAAGACTTTATGAATATTCAACAAGGGAAGTCACACATCGATTGTTAAGCACATTTAAGGATCTATTAAGAAAGGTGGTGAAAACATCAGAAATTGAAAACATTTACCATCGACACTATCTTTCTCAGATTTCTCTAGTGAAGAAAACAATCAAAATGTTACGACACTTATGCGTTGAACAAGATGAGATGGACGATTTTTCTCAATTCCTGCAAGATCACATCTTGAAAAGAGACAAATATGAACAAACTAATGAGGACGAGACAGAAATATCCAATCTTGAAGACAATGCTGCGCGCTGCCTGGCAGAATTAGTAAGAGTCTATTCACAAGACCCAACACAATATTTTGATTGGATTCTTGAAAACATCAGCTCAGAAAACGTTCTCTATTATTCTTCATCTCTTTATAGAATATCTACATTCATGAATGCACAACCGTTCATACAGAAATACTGTGTCATGTTGAAAGAAAAATTCGACTCACTGTCACAGTCTTCTTCACAACAAGCTCCAAAGAACTTTTCAATTTCCATTCAAAAATTATTCATTTCTCTATTGAAGAATTATATTGAATATCCTGTGAAACATCCAATCATGGACTCTATTTCGAATTTATTGATTTATTTATGGGAGAAAAATCTTCACAAGGATGTACAAGTGAAACTCGTAGAAACAGCACTCAAGGCAACAAAATATTGCCAAACACAAGATTTATTCAATACATTCAAAAAGATCTTCCAAGATGCCCTCTCTCACAAGTATTCTGAAGTTGTGACTCATCAAGTATCCTATTCCAGATCAAACAATTTACAAGTTGCCCGTGATCTCTTCACTCTCAATTTGAATGCTCTCAACCACACAGATGCAGCCATTCAGACCAAAGTATGGGCTCTCACATCCAATGCAGTTTCAGCATTTGATGTCTCTGCCATTACACCAACGTTCCATCCATTTGATGTGTTTCAAAATTATATCATTTCTGCTGCATTAACTTTCAATATGGCTCAAAAACACGACATTTCCAACACTGCCATCGATGTGTTGCTCAATGAACTTGATGGTAACAATCCAGGAGATATTTGTCAAATACTATTTGAGAAGATTATTACACCTTTAATGACAGAGGAACAATTCCAAGTATTGGATCGTGAAACCTACAATGCAACCACTCCCGTGTGGGATAGACCTGTCTCTCAGCGTGTGCAACATTTGGCACATTCCATTGCTCATCGTCTGGCTAGCAAATTTGATGCGATTCATCCTGACACTTTAAAAGATATTCAAAACAAACTCGTCTTGCCATGGATTGAACTCTGTAAGAAGAGTCCCTTTGTAGAGAATCGAATTCCATATGTTTCTTTAATTTCCAGTGCCACTAATTGGAAGAGCAAAGATTCCGTTATTGAAAATTGCGTAAAACGTGTCGTTGATTATTTGAAGGATGTGAAAGAGCCACTTCGTTCAGTGTATCTTGTTCAAATTGCCTCAAATGTTTCAACTTGCATTTTCCATGATGAGATGGAAATGTTCTCACAAACAATGACTATTCTTGAAGCTATTGGTGATGTGATTGAGAATGAAATACATTATAGTGATGAAGAAGTTTTAATGGCGAGTGGAATTCTCGTAACGTTGAGTCCCAATGATCGTACACGGGACTTGTTGAGAAAGGTGAGAAGAAAGCAGAATGCCCTTATTAAGATTTTGGTTCTCTAATTAAATGATTGATCAACGAGCTGAGTGTTCCTGTTGTTGTTACGGAGCTACGATCAGCCATGGTTGTCAGCAATCAAAAAAATCGTTTTTTGTCATCACCACCTCCTCCATCCTTTTCACACAAAACAGGCCAACAACCTTTCCGACAAAAAAACAGATCCTTTCTTCAGAATCTCCTTCCCCCTATCTTCGGTTGAAACCGATCAGTTCCATCAGTATACTCCTCTCTCGTTTCTCATCACGCCTCCCTCGAATTTCAATGAACAATCCTCATCATCAGCCGCCATTATCATCACATCCTTCTCCTACTCAGCCATTGATGACACCGTCATCATTTCATCATCATCAACACCACCACCACTTGGTGGATGAAGATGATCTTTCCTCATTATTTCCAACACTCAATACGGAAGAAGAAAACACAACAACAGCATTGGTGTCATTGTCAAACACAACGTCAAAATCAAATTTACAGAAAGCAGCAACTGCACAGACATCCACGTTCGATACATCTGCCTCGGAAGAATTGAACAACAAGCAAACAGCAGCGATGGATTCTTCCCATGTACCCATTTCATGTCATGAAGAAGATACTTTCTTAATTCCTCAAATACCGATGAATAATATGACTACTACTACTTCACGGAAACAGCAACAACAAGCAATATCATCAACGAATGTGACGAAGACGACGACGACGATGAAGACTCATCCCTCTTCTTCTTCTTTCTCTTCTCAACAACACCATCAAGACACTAATAATAATCGAGGCAAGTCAAGTTCTTGCACACAATCCAATCATGTCAATTCAGTCTCTTCTTCTTCTTCGACACGTCCACTCACACTCATGGTGAAATATATAAATTCTAATAATGGGAAAGAATTGTACAGTACATTAATAAGAATGGAGAAATATCCTGAATCGTTGGAGTTGGTGCAACAAGTCACATTGAAAAGGTGGAATGATAAGTGTGAAATTGTGAATTCAAATTTACAGAGTCATCTCAACAAACACCAAACTTCTTCTCAACCCTCAACGACCTTAACAACAAGCTCGTCATCAATTTGGAAAAAGCGAGAAGAACCATTTTCAAGAATTAGAGTTCAATGCACGGATCGATTTAATTCCAGAATTCAACTGGATTTAGACAATATGTTTTTGAAAGATTTTAATCTGAAAGAGAATGATTTACTGTGGGTCCTTGTTTGAGTACTATTGTTGATGTTCATCAATAAACTCGCTGGCAAATTTTGGCTCGAGTTAAACCACTGTGTGTCACTCTTAATTTCGTAACATTTTGAAAAGGGGATTATAACATATAAACACCAAGTTCAACTTTTGCTTGAACCTGTTGAAATCTTTTTTCTCCGAGATAGAACATGAAGGATGCTTTTGAATTAATTTATGAAATTTATTGTTGTTTTATTTATGCAGTAAGGATCAACTTTGGCTTGGCAGCAGTGAATCTGGTCTTGTTTTGCTTTTCAATCTTCTTCTTCTTCCAGATAGGTGGGAACTTAACCTCTGGATCGGAGAAGGTTTGAATGTGAGCTCTCTTTGGCTCTTGGATGAGTTCAGCCTTTCTGACGTGGATAGAGAAGAATCTGGCCATGTGTCTGGAAGCCATCTCGTCGTACATTTGCTTGACAGCACCAGAGACAGATGTATCACGGTATTCCTTGTACATGTTTCTAATGTTAGATCTGCTGTTGTATCTGATCCAAACACCAAAGTTCTTGACAGTACCTGGTTGAGCTTCCTTAACTTCCTTCAAGGAAACAATTTCACCGTTGGCCTTCTTCAACTTATTGATTCTGCTCATGAAATACCAGAAACGAGATCTAGCAATGACCTTGTTTGGAGCAAAGATTTGCATTCTGAAGAGTGGTGGTCTCTCATCAGAGCTTCCTGGAAGCTTTCTAGCAATGATTTCGTAGTGATGGATTTGGTTCTTGGCTCCAGTATTGCTGACTTGAGTAGTTTGTTTAGCCATGATGAAATGATGTGGGTTTTTGGCGTATTTTTTTTCAACAAAATTTTCAAAAAATATTGGTCAACCAAATAATATTTTTTACAACGCGAGCCAAAAAGTAGTCTTTTTCTGAGGACACAAAGAAAATCACCCTTTTGACCTCAGAAAATTCTGTCTTCTGGATCAATAAAGTTCGTTTAGTTTTGTAACACGTTTTCAATACGAAACATGCTAAAGTAATTGGATGTCAAAATCATGAAGGTGTGTTGTCAAAGGAAAGACAGAAAAAAATGCCACGAACTGCACAACCTCCTACCGACAGTGTTGTGGAGGTTATTATCGTGAATGATGACTCACAAACTCCGACAACCCCTTCAAACCGAAATAATTTCAACAAGGACAATGAAATTACAGAAAATATTGAGAATCGTATGGATTCGAGCGTGATAGAATTATCTCTTGAACGAGAGCAAAAAGTTATTGATTTAGAAGCTAGTGACGATCCGAACGATCACCAATTAGTGGATAAAAGTAACGAAAATGTATCCAAAGAAAACCATCAAGAAAACACAAGCCCTATTCTTGCAACAAGAAGAATTCCTACGCCAAGCATAATACCCGATGAAACTATTGAAATGACAAATTCTCAAGAACCATCTCTCCAATCAATGAAATTACAAACGGAGCAGCCAACATCAACTACTGATTTAGTTAATTTATTACAAATGACCAACTCTGCAGTTAACTCTAAAGAAACGCCTGGAGAGTTGGAAAAATTGAAACTCGAGAAGGGAAGCAAGAAAAAACCAAAACCTTCACGCCCTTCCATTCGTTCAACAAATAGCTCCGAAGAGAATTCTAACATTAAGATCACCTTCTCAAATATTGGAGTTCACGTTGTGGAAAAAATTCAAAAATTACTTGAAGAAGAATATGTGAAAAACGATTCAAAAAAGCCAAAACGTAAAACGAAATCATTATGCTCTGGAACAATTGAAGCAAATCCGTTGTTTATTACTGAAAAGATTAATTTTGATGAAAAATATTTGAAACACTTAAATATTCAAGTAGAAGAGAGTTCCTCAGAGGAAGAATCAACACTCAACTCTAATTCTAACCAAACAAACAAAACCTGTTACAATTGTTTGGGATTTGGACATATTTTAGCAGATTGTCCCTATGAGCTCGATTTTGAAGAAATTGATAAAAACAGGGATACATTTAGGAAAAAACCTGAACGTCGAATATTCGAAGTATTTGGCCAATCATCTAAACGAAATGAAAAAAAGACGCCTCTAGACATCAAGAATTTTGCTGTAAAGTTATCAGAAAAAGCGAAAAAGAAAACTTCTCCGTCAGTATTGGAATCATACAAAGGCGACACTCCTCAGAATAAGATTCATGAGAAAGATGTTGGAACTGTGAGTGAGGAATTCCTATATGGAGGAAATCCAATTGAAGCCAGCAATTTTGAAGAGAAGAAACAAAAATTATCTAAAGTTTTTACACGCTTAAAAGAACATAAGGAATTTGAAAAGAAGAGAAAATTCGACCAATTCTCCAAAGATGATCATGACTATATTCACATTCACGACTCACAAGACAAGTATCCTTCACAGGGCAAATCAAAAAAGAGCAAAGAACAATATCACAAGAAAAGAAAGCAGTCTTATGATAAGAGTGATGATGATGGTGAAAATTTGGATGTTCGAAAAAGGTATGATTTCAGAGAAAGCAGTGGAGGAGGAGGTAGAGGTGGAAACATCAATTCTCGCAATAGATATTCTGGTTCATCAGACAGAGATCGATATTACTATGAGGACAATCCTAACGACTATTATTATGGTGATGATTATGAACGCCGTTATGACGACCAACGAAGATATTACGGTAATGACAACTCTTCACGGAATAGTCCATCTAAGAAATATAACGACTCAAAGAATCAATCAAACAATCAGAAACAAAATTCTAAAAATCAATCGAACAAAAAGAATCAAAAAAGAAAATAATGCACAACGAGGTATCAGTGAAAATGACGTTTTTACAGTAAGGAACATCATTGGTTCATTGCTACTGAGTTCTATCTTATGATCATCATCATGATGTTTATTTTCAGACATTTCCCTTATTAGTAGACAAGTTACTGCCAAGTCAAAACTCTCTTCATATCGATCTGAATTTTCAAAATAAGGTATTCCTAACGAACGGGCATAATTCTCAGCCTGGCTTTGACACTTTTATGAGTTAAATCACATTTGGTCTCCAATATTATGCATTTCACATTTGGAATACAGAATTCTTTGATCTTGTTGAGCTGTTTGTGTAAATTATCAAATGTACATTTTGAATCGACATTGGAATATGCAGATTCATATATTACATACCCAAACACATGAATTGAAAATAATATTGTTATGAAAACAAGGTTCTATTCACAAAGAGCCACCCCAAAGTAGTAATCAGAGTCTGCCATAATGACACGGTTTCCCAAGACTTCAATTTTCCTTGGTTCTAACTCCTTGTACAAATATCGATAATTTTCAGACTCTTGATGTCCAAGTCTGCCATCACTTCCACATCCAAAGCTCAACAAGGAATTATCAGCCGTTTGTGCGAAATTATGGATTCCTCCTGGAACCAAGTGCTTGATTTTTACTCCATTCTCCAATTCAATTTTAACAGGAACTGGTTGATCATCAGTGGTATGGGTACCCAGCTTGTATTTGTAGCCAGAACCAAAGGTATGCATGAAACCATTCGAGTCCAACACCATGCCGTGACAATGATGTGACGAGCCTCTAGAACATGCGACTTGAACTGCCTCTATTGGTTGAGAAAAAGAAAGTTTCGTTGGCATGTGTCCATTCTTGTTTCTCACATTCCCAATCCCGAGTTGATAACATGCATTTGATCCAAATCCGAAGACATCTCCGTTAGATGCAATCGCCAACGTTGAGTCATATCCCAAATCAATGTCTTTAAACTCAGAAATTGTTTCAGATCCATTCGAAATCACTAATTGAGTGAATTCGTTCAAATCACAATTTTCTTCTTGGAAACCACATTTATGGAACGTGTTCTTTCCGATCATGAAAGCATGACCTTTTCTTGTCAAAGCACACGAGTAACCATTTCCAGCACGAATGGAAACCACCTCGTCATCACTCGCACAAGGCACTTGAAATGGTGTTGGTTTTGTCAAGTTCAAACTCTGACTCAATTTTCCCCACAATAGGACAGAAGAATTCGATTCTCCATTCCTAACCAAACATGAGCCATGCCTATAACCAGCAGCAATTGAAATTGCGTTTGAAATGCAAGTAATCTTTACAGGAGTACTCAGCCGATCCTTCTCATCGCCCATTCCGAGACGAAAATCCTGACCCTTTCCCAAGGCATAGACCTTTCCCCGATCGTCCATCAATAGCAAAAAGCTTCCACCAGCACTCACTTGGATGACTCTTGTATGGAAGAGAGGTGATGGAGATATGGTTAGACCCGAAGAAGAGGAAGCCTTCTTCTCACTGCTAGTGGCTATCAAGTGGGGTGTGTTGGATTGAATACGATCTTTGACTCCGATCGCTCCCCAAAAGTAGACGTGAGAAATCAAGCCTGAAGAAGTTGTAGTGTTGTTGGTGGAGATTGACATTTTTTGTTGTTGGCGCCAATATCTTTGGAGATGGAATTTGGATCAACTTGAAATGATTGAACCTTAATCCACATGAAAGACTGAAGATTATTCTATTGCACGCGAGTATAATGTGGTAATGACAAATGAATAACAGATCGATCAAGTGAAACCGTGCGAAATGATGAACAAACAAAACCGAATTAATGTATATTATTTTTAATTTCCTCCAACAACTCGCGCAACACGTTCAACAACACCTTCTGATGCTCATCCGACTTGCGTTGCTGTTCCTGCAACACATTCAACATTTCCTGTTGCCGTTCGTCTGACTTTTTGGCAAAATTGTTAAGGTCCAAAAGAGCCTTTTGAATGATGATAAGGCTCGACATTGGTTAGGGCGGATTCTATCTCATCAAACTCAGCTCATCACATCTCCTGGTGAGAGTTCTTTCTTGTTTGTGGTTGATGAAGTTCCTTTTTGTTTGAATTCTTTCTTTTAAAACAAAAGTTGAAAAAAATGTTCAAACGAAATATGGGAGCAAAGGCACCACAAAAAGAACAACAACCTGCAGCTCAGACAACCTTGAGTGTCATGGAAGGATTTTTGTGTCGATTTTTGGAAGGTTGTGTGAGAGGAATTTGTGATGTTTTTATTGAAACAATTTCTCATCCGGTTTTGGCTGGCTTGTTGCGATATATCAAGTAAGTGAGAGATTAATATGACGGAATATTGAACACATGATCGGAACAATATGAACAAAATATTATTCTAAATTTGATGACGGTACCATGTGATGATGACAATTGGAAATTTTCCAATCAACTTGCAAAACACATTCTTTCATTATATTGTATTATTAATAATTATAATAATAATTGGTAGAATTATTGGACCAGTTTATGTACCAAAGATTTATGCTCACTACCGACATCCTCAACCAACAAATCAATAATTCCAAAAAATATGATAATAATTTATTGTTGTTGTCTCTTACACAAAAAAGCATTCCATCCAAGTGCTACTGTATTTACAAATAAAACTCGATAAATAGGAGGTATTACTAATGTATCAATGGATTCCATCATTCACAAATATGACAATTTTGGAAATTACTAGTTCACATACAGTATACCTGAAAACAAGTCAATACTTACAATAATAATTAATAGCTTGAGCAAAAGGCCACATTTTCAAGCTAACACTGTAGGAGGCCAGAAAATCTTTTTGAAATTTAAATGTTAACACTTGCCACAAGGACATTCCATTCTTTCGGAACTCATCAAAATAAGACGGTGTTTTAGAATCTGGCATGTAATAATCCACAGTCGTATTTACGAGATAAAACGTTGAAATAATTGCAGGTGAGTATGAAAAAGCTTCAGTCACCACTCTCTTGAGAACAGTGTGAGCTCGTTCTTTGGCTGTCATGGTTGCTTGAAACGGGAAAGCATGTTCCATAATACGAAACCAATTGTGCAAAATTGGTCCCAAGACAATAGTTCCATAGGCAAACATCTTTAGAGACCGAATGAGGGAATGTTGTGTTGCATCGTTTTTGGATGATGAATTATGCACAATCAGGTTTTGAGTAATGGCATCTCCTAAACAAGTGATAACACCACAGGATATCGATTTTGTTTTCACTGGATGCTCTATTAATAATTCCGAATATCGTCGGATTAGATACATGATAACGTTAAAGATTACACACAGAAAGAGAGAAGGGAAAAGCTCTCTAGTGTTGTCTCAATTTTTTTATTGTTTCACGACAATACCACCGAAATGCGAGGAGTCTCGAGATCCTCAGAATTCCAACGTCTGCGGTTTGTATCCTCCTGATAATCGGATTTAGTGAAGACAAGCAACGTACGTGAGATGAGCGGTAAAGGTTGTGGTGACGTTTATTCAAATAAGGTGGTTTACAACTGAACGCAGTGTGTGTGACATGTGCATGATCATTCCATGCCTTGATAGACTAATTTAATGATCGATCAGAGATGCTTATTGATTCTCAGAAGGTGAAAAACTATTCTGAATTCTTTCTTGATTGGTATCATCTGGAGAGGATTGATCTTCTTCCTCTTGTTGATTGCAAGAAAATACTTGTTCTTTTCCCTTAATCACATCATACAGATAAGAGGTTGCACTCAAAAACTCTCTTAAACTCAATTGTTGTTGTTCTGAAGATCCAACAATAGGTGCTATTTGCAATAAGGCTTCAACCAAAATCTGTGTACCTTCCATTCGATAGCCTCGAATAATTTGTTCCTTCTCGACACGCATATACCAACACAAGGCTATTAATTCATGTTTTGGGACATATTTCAAGTATTCCGAAGTTCCACATCCCATTAATTGTCTAATCGTGTATTCCATACCACATGTTGTAATCAGAGCCTTCAAAGCATCTTTGAGCGATGGGTGGTGCATGTGTTGATTCATGGAGTGATTATTGTTGATATCGCAGTGGTTGTTGCTGTTGTCTGAAGAAATCCATTCTGGAGAGGACGATGCAATGAAGGAGGTGTTAGGACTCATGAGGATGCGGTTATTATGTATTGATTTTCAAATCAAGTGTATGAAACAATTTGAAGGTTTGTAGGGTTTGAAAAGGCTTGTGAGTATATTGTGGTGGTGGTGGTGGTGGTGGTGGTGACAAGACTATTTGAATGATGATGGTTGAGTGTTTTTTTTTGAATGTCATGCCATTTGGTTGCCGCCTTTGCTCGTTTCCTTAATAAACGGAACAACAGAGGTTGTAAAAGAAGAGTACTGACAAGCCTTTTCAAACACTTGTTCAAGGGTCTTGAATTCTCCATACTCTCGAGAGGGTGACCATATTCGACAACAAATATCATGTATGAACAAATAGCATTCTGACAAAATGTAAATGATATAAAGTTTGCAAAAGCCTACAAGGAGGATTGAAGACTTGAACAATGGGGAACATGTTCTTTGGGATGTGTTGTTGGAACCTTCTACTGGACAACAAATTTGGTCAAAGTCAGCAATTTCCAAATTAGAACTTCACTTCTTGTTTGAGGTAGCCAACCAACTAAACTTTTTCAATTTTGGGCCATCAAAAAAAGAGAACACACATCGTGAGTGCTACTACTCTTTGTTCAAGCAATGATCATTCGTGTTATTGTGATTTCAACGAGTAGAAATCAGTATCCACGTGTTTTGTTTTCTACTTGAACATCAAGATGTGAAGTGAATATAGTTAAACACAACATTTGCAGATTATCAAAAATGTTTACCATTCCGTTCACGAGTTGTTGAAAATCATATGTTGAATGGTTGTCATGGTAGAGTGCCTCACGAGAGAAGATTGGAAACTCTTTCTTGAGGTTCCTACAATGACAACCATTCACTGAACTCTTCATCGAAGTTTTGATGGTTATGCTCTGAGAAATTTCTTCATTTCAGTAATGACCAAGTTGGAAGCTTTTCGATGTAATTCATAAATTGCAATGCTTGATCACTCAAGGGAGGAGGAGTGTTGGTATTTGGTTGTTGTTGTTGTTGATGGTGTAACATACGTGTCGTTTGTGGTTTCAATTTGAGTATTTTAGCTTTCTCGTTCTTTAAGAAAAAGTTATAGACACAAACGGGACATGCTTGATTTGTGTAAAGACTTCTTTCTTCTGTCATGTTTTGATAATCTTTCATAATGATATCTGTGGCTGTGTTCAATATATTTTTGTTCACATCGGAAGGCATGGCTGAAACGAGTTGATTCACACGGTTTTTAAATTCGATAAGAATATTAGAAGTGAAATTGGATCGTGTATAATGATCGCCACAAGTAAAAACAACAATTCTATCGTCTTGGCTTTGCTGTGAAAGCTTTGCAATGTCAGAGGTTGGAACTGTAATATGATTTCTCCTGTAAATATCCTTCTCCATATTTCTTAGTATTTGTTGTGTGAGATTTCTGATCGATCTTTCTTCATCTCGCTCATTTCTCTTGACATTTCTCACGTAGCTTTGCGTAATTTTAAGATAAAAATGATGCGAAAATTTAAGGTTCTTTTTGAGAGCTTGAGAGTTCACACTTGAATGGTTTTGCAACAGTAATAATATTGATAGAATGTCCCCTATGACATGTATGTTTTTGATACAGTGTTCTTCAAGTTTGGATGTTGGAAACTGCATGTTATGATAGAAGGTGAATAATTTTTCAAGTATTTTGAGTTTTGATTCTTCATCAAGATCATTGGTTTTGTTGGTAAGATATCTGTCGAAAATTGTAAAGTAGTATTTCAAAGTGTTGTCCATGATTGATGTTGCATTATTTTCGTTGTTGGTATGTTTCATAAATTCTGTATAATTTTCTTTGATTTGCACAAGCTTGCAGCACAGTGCGTCAATCCACATCTCATCCTTTTCATAAATTAACGCTAAGGCCGACTTATTGTTGAATTTCAAGCAGCATGAGACGATGAATTGTTTTCTGTACATGTTGTAACATTTCACACACTGTTCTAGCTTCTCTTGTGTATGAGTATAGAGGCTATTCGAAGACAAGTTTGTTACTAAATAATTCGATTTCGAAGAGTTTTGGTTCTCCACGAAAGCATCTGACAATTTGCGTTTCAACCTTACTAGACACAACATTGCTATAATAAAAATCTCCAAATGTTGCTCCAGATGGATATATGGATAGTGGAAATATCTGCTATATGTTGGTTCTCTTACTAAGCTAGATGCACTTTGTCTTGTTTCTTTGGAAATGTTTGGGTTTTCTTCGGGATTAAATCTATTACAAATTGTAGTGAGAATGGAAATGTCGTCGATGTGAGGAAGGAGATTAATCATCATATCAAAAAGTTTTGAGTTGTACTGAATGGCTTCGAGTGGGTCTTCAAAGAACAACTGTTGTTTGATGAGTGAGGAGCTACCTGTCTGAGATGTTGCCTCTTGCTTAACTTGTTGTTTTTGTGATTTAAAATCCATGCTAAAGAAGTCATCAGATGACTCTCGTTGGATGGTCTCAACGTTCATGAACGTTTTGAGTCTGATCGTGCGCATTTGCTCTAAATATTCCAATAAAAACTTGGCTTTAGTGTTTGCTGTGCAGTGGTGTAGCAACACACCACAGCCAATGCTTTGAGTCAAATAACCATATTCATTGTCATAAAGATATTTGATTGCTCCTTTTTCTGAGAGTACTGAAATATATCCTCGAGAAACTAAAAATTGAAGTGTAAATTTCATCAAATTGTGCTTGTGAGCTATTTCTAAAATGAGTTCCATATTAATCAACGATGTCTCTTGTTCATTATTGAGCTTGATATCATTGCAACAGCAATACTGGACGAGTTGAGAAATCACAGCTTGTGGATTAATGTCAGTATTGGTCAATAAATATTGTCTAAATTGTTTCAAAATATCAGTGTTAACCTCTGATGTTGAAATTAGTTTTTGCATAAAGCATTCAAACAATAGATTGGAGAGTTGTTTTCGTTTCATTAACGAAATACCGCTAGAATTTTCCAAAACTGATAGTAAATATTTAAATGCCTCTTCAGACCTCTCTGCCTGTAATAATCTATTCACATATTTCACTTCACTAACATTCGAAAGTTTGTATAATGTGAATGCGAAATCATAATCTTCCTGTTCAAATCGCTCATCAGCATACTGCTCGTAAAGTGAAAAGAGATCCAGCTCAAAGGTTTGCCCAAATTGATCCACCAAATTGCCGTCCTTGATAATATTTTGTTTGTTGGAAATAATGTATTCAAAAATTCTGAGAGGAGAGTATTTCTGTCTAAGTTCATAAATTCCTGTCTGTGTCCAAAAGATTACTCCTTCCATTTCATAGCTGTGGTCAGATTTAAATTTTCCTTGATTTGACGAGTCGTCTCGATACAAAAATCCACTCATCATTCCTTTCACCATTTCATTTGTGGGTAACAAAAATTCTTGAAGAACACCACCATGTCTACGTCCATTGTTCATGAGAAGTAGAGATCTACCTATAACAAATAGCCTTTCTTGGTACTCTGTATCATCTGCAGAAGGGGATCCAAGAAGTCCTCTTTTGGAGGCACTTCCTTCCCCTCTTTGCACAGAAAATAACAATCGATTGGTTGGATGGACAATGCTTGTAGACTCACCAAGATGGTATTGGAAAAGAGGATATACCTCGTCTCTCTTACTTCTTGTCGATTGATCTCCGATTTGAGATATGGTTTGAACATCGAAGAGAGAAAAGATATTTTTCTCCTTATTCAGGCATGAAATTAAGTTTGCTTGTTTTTCTTCAAACCACTTGGCGTTCATGTAGCAGGGAGAACCTTCGTTGTTAAATTGTTCCAATCTTCTAAGCTTGAAAACTTCTGAGTCATTATGCATTTCTCGTTTCACATCCTTATTTCCACCCACGTTTACGACGGAGTTTTGTGTTTGATAATAGTCACAGACGTTTCTGAATGTTTGGAAGCTGAGATCTAAATGTTCCAGAATTTGTTTGTAGTGTGATCCTTTGCCGCATGTCACCAATGAAAACGAAACAGACTTTCCGTCAGAAACAATTTTGATACTCTTGATACCATATTTGAAGCCACCGATCACAGCATCCTCCTTCAATGTATGTAAATTCAGGAATATCAGGAATCCTTTGTCTGTACCATAAATTAAGTAGTACTTCTTCAATGGATGATTTGAGAAAGTGACCCACCATGCGCTACATGTCACTTGTCCATGCTTTACAGGTTGATACTGGCGTTTTGCCTTTGTATTGGTGGTTAATACGGTTCTTTCAATTGAGTCTAAAAGAGATTGCGAGCCTGTCAGATGTTTCTGTTGATATTTTTGGATTTGTTGGTGCTTCTTGATTGAACTAGATGAATTTGTGATTACCAGTTCAATATTTTTCATCATGTTCAAATTTAAAGCTTCCGTTGCTAGCACTGTTGTTGCTTGAGAAGCTTCTAAAGGAGATTCCAGCTTAAATAGAGTGTAATCAAATAGAGATGGATATTGATTGGAACCTTTTCCTTCATCTCCATCTAGATTCTTTTTGAAAGGATAACTGTTGTCAGAATTGTAGGGGAAGAACAATCTACAAATTGGCACTATATACACGTCAGCATCAGCTGTAATGCAACTAAGCCAACGAGCAGTTTCGTCCATAGCAATAGTTTCTAGTTCAATACCATTTTCATGAAAATAACTCAAGCACCTCACAATTGGTGAACATAATTTGTTGTTCGAATAATCTTCATCTTCATATCGAAAATGAGCATTATTTTGCATGTCATTGCTCGTAGAGCCTATGGACGCAACACTTTCAGTCTCAGATATTTCATCATCGTCATGACCCTTCACAATTTTATATTTTTCGTCGTCTCTATCAAGATATTTGACAGTACCAAAAAATCTCAATACAATGACATTATTCGAGCACAAACTGGCAATAACATTATACAGGGAGTTGGTACCACCTGAAATTACGTTTTTAAAAGTTACTGGTTTAGCAATATTGTTAATACCGAGTACAGGAGAAGAATAATTACTAGAGCTGTCTTGTGATTTTTTCGAACTTCCGCTTCGAGGTGACATTTTTGAATTAGTTTTGAGAGCATTACTAAAAAACGATTCATCACCAATTCCGCTTTGTGTATTCGCCAAAATTACAGACATATCTAGCCCTTGTCCATTTCCGATACTATCACCTGATGATGATTGCTTGTCAAAGTCAATATCATTTGTTTTTTTTTCTTTCATAATATATTTGTTCCAATACGATTGACTCATTGAAATCTCTTCCCATTGGGAGGTATCAATCGTATAATCATTGGAATTCATAGGATAAGTGCCGGTAGATAATGAAATAATTCTCTTTAAAGAAAATAATTCATAATTTATGGTACTTGTTTCATGAGCAATGGCTCTACTATTACTCCGAGATCGTCCAGCAGCAACCAAGTCTAATCTCAATGGCAAAATCATTCCACTATTCATAATGTTGGATGAATCTAAATAACTACCTTCTAAATTATTTCCGATCAGTCCTAATTTTTGATGAGAACTGAGAAGAAGCCTCGACGGGGCTGTGGAAGAACGGGCAAGTGGTGGTTGTGAGGGTGAGGAAGGCATTATTTTTTGTTGTTAGATTTTTTTCACAAAACACACGCGATCAGCTGATGAGAAGATTGTGAGAGAGAAGAAATGGAGAGGAGGATTCGATGGAATTTATTATGGGTGAGAAGAGAACATGGAATGAATGGATGAGACCAACAGGATTGCGTTTGAAGACAAACGATCAAACGAAATTAAATGTGGGACAAAATATCAAATCAGGAAATATACATATGGACCTGCCTTCAAATGTCACCAGAATCAAAAAAATGGCCTCTGCCAACAATCATCCTGCTGTGGGTGTGTTTTTCACATCCTTCTTGTCACTATTTGTTTTATTGTACGTGTTGTTAAGTTATGAACTCATCTATTGATCATCCGACATCAAAACTTTTTTAAAACTGTTATGGAATCATTCTCGCTCAACCATCACATCGATACCAAACAAAATCATGACCCGATGTTGCGATTATTACTATGAAACATTATCATCATGAACCGAACTATCACACATTATGAAAACACAAAATTTAAAACAGATTGATGGGAGGTTTTATTGTTTTATATTATTTCAACAAGACAGTTTGGATGGGTAACAAACTGCCAACGACCTATGTGTATCCTGATGAAATTTTGAACTGGTTCCTCTTCGGAGCTATTACTGTGGGCTGCTGTTGGTTAGCCTCTCTCATCATTGTTTACAAGAATTTAAGATCGTGTTGCACTTATATGAAGAGCGAAAGAGTATAGATCACCACATCTTTCCCTCTAAATATGTTGTAAAATTAATGTGGATCTCAAATCACACACACCATCGATCGATCTGCATACAGGTCTGTAGGCAGCACTTGTCAATAATAAATACGACTAGAGTATGTACACTCAGTTGCAATCACGTCGAGTTTTGCTTTCTATGTATATGGTTGAAGCAATGAAGCCGTTTGAATTTCATGAAATTTATTGTTTCTTTCTTTCTTCAATTCTCTTCTTGAAAGCCTTCAAAGTGCGAGGCAAGCCTGTTCCGATTAAGAAATCTCGCAACAAGCTGGGAACCCAAATATTGAGCTCCATATTCACTGAATAGGTGGCTTCAACGTTACCATTACCTAGGTCCACTAGTTTCCAGTTACCTCGGTTTAATTTGAATGGACCATGGGATGTTTCGACCCATCCGAAACCATCATTTCCTTCTTTCTTTAATCTTAGAGTGTATTCAGTGTTAATAATTCCACCAACGGAAGCCTTCCAGAAAACATCAAAAGATCCATCTTCATATACTTTGGTTGTTTTTGCTTCCACACATCCTTCAATACTTTAATTTGGGAAATAGGATGACGACAATAATTTTAAGCAATCACGATGATGATGAAGAATTTTGACCAAATTCAAACAAGTTCATAATTTGAAGGAATCGGAGCAGCAAATGATTCGTACCCTTTCAACATTTCAACATTCAAACTTACAACTCGGTGTACTTTTCACAATCACAAATAACCTCCAAACATTCTTCAACAGTTACACCTTCGAAAATGATTTTTTCGGTTGCTCCTCCACCCAAGGGATTCTCTTCTTTTGTCTCGCTGCCGCCCCATAACCAATTCAACATTTTTTATGCGATTCGAATCACAACTTTTGTTTTGTTGGTGAAAATCGACACGTTGCTTTGTTGCTTCAACCCCTTCCAGACTTCCATTTCCCACTTTCTTTTTCGGATTTCCAAATATTTGGAAAATGGGTTTATAATGACACTCCGATGTGAGAAAGACTTGATTGACTCTGAGAGGTAATTTTATATTTATTGGTTACACCTTAAGATTAAGCTCAAACGCTGATATTAAGTCATCAGCAAGGTCCTTAATAAGAATTGAACTTTCCGTCTCTCTGATACGGAAAATAACAGAATAAAGCTCTGTTGTCATTACTTTTGGATTGTCACACCACTTGTACAAGCTTTGTACTATTTTAAGTTGATCCGATCTTACTTTCTTATCTGAGTGAGGTTGAAGTAAAGCGTGCTTTACAACTTTGGTAATAAATTCATGGGACTGACTTAAAGCTTTGCTTAGCTTTACGGAGGTAGAGATTATACTGAGAAGAGGAGATGAAACAAATCTAGATGGAGCACTGCAGAACATTTCGACAAGCTTGTTGATATTTTCAGGTTTGGCTAAAACTGTTTCCACACCTTCCTTGTCTTCGTTTAGCCATTTGCTGAGAGATTCCATGGCCTTGAGCTGCCAGTTTTGAACACCTAACACATTAATATAAAATTCTAACATTTTGTGTTCCTTCAACTCCTTTCTGACACTGGGTACATTCACTCTTACAATTTCACAAAGCATATCTACAGCGAACGTCTTTAAAATGCTGTCATTGGAAATCAAGTATTGAATTTCTGGAACGATTCCTGCTTCAACAGCAATAATTTGTCTTTTCTTATTGAATCGAGTGAGATGGAGAAGAGCGGTGATCATTTGATTCCCAATGTCAGCATCTCTCAATGCCAATGTCTTTACAAGTACAGGAATACCATCTGCCTTCTCGAATGATTCGAATGTTACAGGATAGGTAGCCAAGTTCTTTGTAATTATTGCCATAGTAAGTTTGAATTTTCTTTGAGCGTCTTGATTAATGTTTAGAATAGAAAAGGCCTCAAGGATACGTTTTAGGGAGGCAACTTCTGCAATATGTGCTCTAACAACGGAGTCCATGCTAGAGAAGAGTAAAAGTAGAGAAATAGTCTTATCTAGATATTTCTTAATGGTCTTATCTTCCATGCTAGCTGTAAACTTGCGTACCAAAAGTAATAGTACTTCGCTAAGACGAAGCATCAAACCGTTCTTAGCAAATAATCTACAAAAGTCATTCTTAGGAGTTTTGATCGCTTCTTGTGGCAAGTCGAAAACTTGCTCAATATTTTCAATTGTCTCAAAGACTAACGCAAGACCAGATTCTAATGCGTCGTTGTCATGGGCCAACAGATCTACAAGAACTCTTATACCTTGACACCCAATAAACATTCTCACAGTGAAGTGACTTGTTTTAAAAATGCTTCTAATAAAGGACCCAGCTTGATATCTCACAGCATATGGATAGTTTTTGTGACAAAATTGCATAATGTTTGGCAAAATACCAACTAAACAAAGAGTTTCCTTAAAATGAACGTTTTCCTGTACCCAAGCAATGTCATCATCAGCAATGAATTGATTAATTAGTTTCAGTGCTGCTTCGATGGTTTTAAACGAGGGAGTATACTGTTGAGACATGGAAATCAATTCCACAAATGGAATTGGAACAAGAGATTTCACTCTGCATTTTAACCTAGCAAACTCTGAAAGTAAGAGAATTATTTTTTCACATTGAGCTACAAAGAGATCCTCTGTCAAGCCATCTTGTTGGAATCTTTCTAATAAGGCATTAAAATCCTTTTCAGGCTTCATTAGCTCGTCATCTGAATTCTTGTCCATATCGTCAAATGCATCTTCAAAAGTGTCTTGGAAAAAGGGATCATCGTCACCAATTTCATCAACTGGTCTTCCTTGAAGTTTTTGCATTTTAGCAAATAAATCCTCTCCTTTATCATTCTTATCATTGTCCCACTCTTCATCCTCGTCCCATACTCCATCTTCATCATCATCCTCTTTGTAAAGAGCCAGATTCTTTTTGGTTGTCGGCCCTCCGAAGAAAGATTGATTGGGAAAGAATTTTTCCTTATTTTCAGGTCTAATATTGACAACATTAGAAAATGGATTTTTGTCCTCTTCATCAGAATCGCCAAATGGATCATCTTTAACTGGTGATTTTAGCTTGTCACCAATTTTCAATGCCAATCCATCATCATCTTCACCAAAATCGAAATCGTCTTCCTCCTCGTCTTCATTATATTTCTTTAACTGAGTGGTTTTCTTTTCTCCTTCCTTATCATTATTTGCGGAAGGCTTATTTTGTGTTTGTGCATTCTTTTTGGCTTGTAGAATCCATGGATGTTGTAACAGTTGTTCTGCAGTTTTTCTTGATCCAGGATGCTTCTTAAAACACTCCATCAAAAAGTCTTCACATTCACTGGAAATACCTGAAGGAAGTGGTGGATGTGGATCTTGAACAATTCTATATAAAGCAGGCATGGCATCTAATGAAAAATATGGAGGTTCTCCGTTTAAAAGTTCAATTACAGTTGCTCCCAAACTCCAAATGTCAGAAGCAGGTGTAGAAGGATTCATTTCAATAATCTCAGGAGCCACTATTTTACATTTAGTAAAACATTGTCATGTCAATACTTACTCCAATACGGTGTTCCTACAGGATTGTCGTCAACATCAGCCAATGTCGCTGCAACACCACTGTTTAGAGTGTGTAATTTCAAGTGCATTTGTCAAATAATATTACTTACAAGTCTGCCAATTTGATGTCACCTTCTTTTGTTGTTAAAATGTTTGCGCCTTTGATGTCTCTGTGAATGACACCTTCCGAGTGAAGATACTGCAATCCCTCCAAAACTTGAGCTACATATTTGCAAACTACATTTTCTTTCATGTTACCGTATTTCTGTACAATGTCTAAAAGGGATCCTGTTTCCACAAACTCTATCACAATATATAATTTGCTTTTAGAGGGAATATGATCGATATAGCGAACTATTCTATTGTGCTTTAGTTTTTTTAGCAAATTGATTTCGGTCTTTGATGTCAACGTTTCGTCAAATTTACCAGTGATGATCATGAACAACCATTTGCATTAATTGATGAGATGATTCGGCATTCAATATTCATCAACAACTACTAGTACATACATGAATGGTTTCAATCTGTTCTTTGGAACATTTCTTAACAGTGATCCTTTTTACAGCAACAAATTCACCGGTGTCCATGTTATAGGCTTTATAGACAACACCAAAACCACCCCTACCGAGGGTTTCTCCCAATCTCTATTTAACAACATCATGATCAGAATATATCTGATAACAAAAAACTACTCACATATTTGTTTCCAATGGTTTTTACTTTATCTTTCTTGTCCTTCTTTTTCTTTGATTTCTTTTCCGAACTATCGCTCATCATTTTCTATCATTAATAAATAAATAAAATTGGTTTAAAAGAAAATATGATGTGATGATGATCCGATAAATTGTTGTTGTATACTCTATCAATGATGATGATGACTCAATGATGCGTTGTGGATGATGACAAAGTTGCTGAGCGATGCCCAGTTACTCTTTTGGAAGGAGCGGTATTTTTTTTGTGATTTATTTTTCTGAGATGATGAACAAATCGCGGATTGAGTTGACTTGCCATGCAGAGAGAACAGCTGCTCTCAGTGGATGTTCGAAACCTCTCAGAGAGTTCCATAATATTTCTTTCGTAATAGTTTAAAGTCCAAAAGATTGTGAACAAGGACTTTCTTGTAAGTTGTTTTTTGGTTTAGACAGGTCGGATGCATCATGTGCAAGTAGTCATTGATTTGCGATTCCAATAATTGGTGTTGATACTAGTTGAGTAGCATCATTTTCCAAACAGAATCCAGTGTCAATATGAATCGTAGAGATCGACATGTTGAGGATGAATGCAATACATCTTTTGGCGACAAAATATGGGCAAAATAGTCTTTATCACATCCAAGTTGTGTTTGATTGCAATCCGTAAAGGATGACATTTTTTTGATTCCAGAACTTGAATTTGTGATCTATTCAAAAAAGGACTGACATTACACTCAAGCAATGCTCTTCACAAGTCCATAAATTTCAAAACCTCCCAAGCTCAAATAGTTGTTGGAGCTGCTGTTAAGGCCATCTTGTAAAATTCTGAAATATCTGAAATATTCATTACATTCGACAGAGAATGTTGCAGATTGAGATTTTGTGGTAATGGTTTGGTCGTTGGTATGAACTTTGATATCTACAAAATGATTTCCATCAATAGAGCCTTGGAATTTCCAGTTTCTTAAACACTCCGTGTCGCGTGCAGAGGTGTGTCGAATTGTGTAAGCGGAAGGTGAAATTATGAGCTGTAAAAAGTCAAAGGTAATGGTGGTACCAGGATTGTTGACCAAGTTACAGGAAACAGGATTTCTAGAAATAATGTCGTCCTCTGATCCAGCCTCAAAAGAGCACGAACATGAAATTTTGAGAAGTCCTCTTGTTGTTGGAGCGACATAATTCTCAGATAAATACAAAGTTCCTAACCAATATATAATGCCACACTCATCAAAGTCAAATGTATGCGTGAACATTCTTGTTGTTCGTGGTTTCAAGAACAGTGGACCTTCCTCTTCATCATTAACTTTGTAGGATCCTTTTTTTTCCAACTTTTTAATTCGCTCCAGTAATGATAGAGCCAAATTCTCCTCCAAGACAACACTTGCTATTAATGGTTCTGTTTTCTCTACAATTTTTTGAAGATATGAATAAGAAAGAAAAGGAAATCTGATGGTGTTCGCTATTTTCTGTCGTTGATCTTCCGTTACATCTTCTCGATGCTTGAAATAGGATAGAATCACTTCCTAAATTCAATTTGAAAAATTATCATGTTAAAATCGCTATTGTATGTACTTACAAAGGCATTATCTTCACGACCAATGTATAATTCATCGGATGAGATCAACTCATAAAATGTTTCAGGTTTGAATTGATAAATAATTGACAAGTCTTTGAGATCATTAAAATTGAGAGCCAAAATTCTTGTACAAGCAGAAATGTGCTCCTTTAAATCGTGTTTTTGGCATTGAATAAGATAAAAAGCAGCAGAGTCTGGTGTGATCGTTTCAGAAGCTGAGAGAGCATCAATACACAGCTGAAGCAGTTCCACATTTTCTAAAACATTATTCTTTTTGCAATAGTCGTCCACACACTGACTAATCAGCTTACTTTTAACGGCTTTAGTACCACTTCCTTTTGCAATATTTTCATGGGCAATAATTCCAAAGAAAACTGTGAGTATCAAAAATTTGAAATTTTGGATTCATCTCACCTATCTCTCTGAGGAATCAAAACATACCTTGGGAAGGCAAATCTGAATATATTAAATTGAACTCATCATATAAGGAAACAAAATGCATGGCAATGTATGTGCATGCTTTCTCCAAAATAGCATCATCGTATTGTCTCAGCGAAGAGTTTAAAATCTGAAAAACGTTTTTCTCGGAAAGGAATTGATCTAGGAATACCATCACACTGTTCGATAAATCGTTACAAATTAATTGATCTGCTGCAACATGTAGTCCTACAATAGAGGTTGCTGGAATTGTGATATTTCCTGTATATAAATACTCGAGCACCTTCTCAAAAACACCATCCATGTCTTCAAAGTGTACATCCACACAATCTCCCGAATCTTTAAACGGACCTGTAAAAAGACTTTCAAAAAACTGAGATTGGTGAGCTAGAATTATTCGATGACATCTGTAAGTTGTTTTTGTTGGAACATGATTAACCGTTACATCGGAGAACAGATCACTCCGAAAATATTTTGAAAATCCTTGAGAAAACAAATCTTTGGAAACTAAATGTATTTTGTTTTCAAAGTTGTAGCTATGGTCAAAGGATTCTTCAGTTTTGCATTCGGGGACAATCACATCATCGAGTACCTCCTTCTCAGTTTGTGTTGTTCTTGAAAAAGCGATTTGTGCCATTTTTTTGATGTTTGTTTCATCAAACGTGTCTCTTTATTCAGAGTCGTCACACTTACTACTAACACCATAATATGAAAAGAGAGTGTTTTTCTGTTGAGGAAACGAATGTTTCTTCTTTTTGGAAGAAGGTTGTGTCTTTGATTTGGGGCTGTTGTTGTTATTGGAAGGAGAGGTAGAGGGTGGACGTTTTGATGAAGGCACTTTGCTTTTCGATTGTTGTGCGATAGGAACAGTATGATTCAAATCAATTTCAACCACGTCATCATCGGTGTCATGACTGTTAGATGGATGCGGTGGAGTACTGCTCGGTGAAGTAGAAGTGGTTGACTCTGAGGATGTGCAGGTTGCGGGGGAGGGTTTGTTGAGATACTTCTCAATTGAGCCACTACCAAAAGAAAGCGGCTTTTTCTTTGGAGTAGTAATGTCTTCAACGCTTCTTGTCAAGTGATTCGATTTCTCCTCTTTTTGTCCGTTCAGAGCTAGATCTGTAATGTCTGCCTTCTTTGTCAATAAGTTCCACATAAAATCATCCAATGTCTTTTTTGCTAATAGGTAAGTAATGTCAACAAATGCTCCTCTCTGACCGATTCTGTGACATCTATCCTCACATTGGTTCAATAAGGCAGGGTTCCAACTTAGTTCTGCGAATACAACATGACTACAAGGAACAAAATTCAGACCACACCCAGCAACATTCATTGATAGAATGGCAACAAGACAATTGTCAGTAGACCGAAAATGATGAGTTAATGCTTCTCTATCTTTTGTGTCTCCATCGATTCTAATATAATCAAACGATATGCCTTCATCCTGTAAATCAACATCAATGTCATCATCAAAACTAGATTTCTTTGTTTGAGAACTATTGCTTGCTTTAAAAGGATCAGCATCTAAAATATCATCACTAACTCGAGATGAAAATGTCTTGGTCAATTTTGCAAGCTCTGATTTAACAGTCTCTTCGATGGCGTCCATCACGCATCGATGATGTGCAAAAATCAAAAACTTCTCTCGTCTTGGAATTAATTTTCTAAGGTATTGCTTGATTCCATCTATTTTCGCCTCGGCGGTTTTCATATACTTTGCAACTATATCTCTATCTCGCTGAAGCTTTTGCCAATCACCTCCAAAATATGAGTGTTTCTTTTGTTGTCCACTTGATTCTCCAATAGAGTTGAGCTTCTTTAAATACTCTTCCTTGACTTGCAAATAATATTTCGATCTTTTCTTTGGTGGCAAATCGCCAAGGACGTCCCTCTTTAATCTTCGTATCATGATGGTGTTGACAAGGAGACAAAATAGCTCTGAAAGTCGGCTTGATCCCTTATAATCTGAATCATTTCTTGGCTGTTGATGGAGACCACAATATCTATAACCAAAGTCCAACTTGGTAATTTTGTGATCAGGTAAAATTGCCTTAATTTGTGAATAAAGCTCAATGGGTCTAGACATGCAGCTTGTACCACTCGCTAAAATCACTCTTTTTGCTCTCTCGATCAAGGGTACAAGATTTTGTGAACGCTTGCTTGATAAACTTTTCAACAGGTGAGATTCGTCGCAAATGATCATTCCAGTTTTGTTTTCCTTAAACTCATTTTCAACCACAGATATAACATTGTCTTTGGCAAGTAAATCATAAGAAATGATATTAATAAGTGATGTTCCGTCATCAATTTGGTTAGAGGTGTCAATAACATTAATTTGACTACTTGTTATCAATTCATTGCTTCCATTAATATACAAAGTATTTCCTCCAATCCACTTGAGAATTTCTTTTTTCCAGTTTGCCTTTAATGAGCCGGGACAAACAATCCAAAGCGGCCAGTCATTCGAAAAATGACATGCAATTGCAATACACTGGATAGTTTTTCCAAGACCCTGAGCAAGATACGGTTAAGAAAAATAATAATTTTAAATGATGTAAACATACCATCTCATCTGCAATCATTATTCTTCCTTGTCGTTTGATTCCAAATTCTACACCTGTTTTCTGAAATGGAAGCAAAGAGTCTTGAAGTTTTTGAGGTATTCTATTCCACACATCCATGGAACTATTTTGTTTGGCCAAATTTTGGTACTTTTCTATCAGATTTTGTACAAAGGAAGGTATCTCAATAACATTGTACTTTGATGATATTTCATTTGAGTTCTTGAGAGTTTTCAAAATTGAGTTGTAATTCGAGTATTCATAAAATAGATTGGCTACTCTAGCATTGGACTCTTCATCCTCTTCTTTTTCTTCTTTGTCGTTTAGGCACTTGTATTGAGATAGAATTGTTTTAAGTGTTAAACAATCAGTTATTGGTACAATGAGTCTAAGGGCAATTGAGTTTTTCATATGTTTAGACAGTATTTCTTCATCAATAGTATTGTCTGTGTCAAATTGTCTCATTGATAATTCGTTGTTGTCATTCATCTCTAGTGTACAAATTTCCATTTCAATTTTTTTCTTTGATTTCTTTGGATCTGTTTCATCTAGACTTGATGAACTATTCTTTTTCTTGTTTGGATTAACATTAATTAAATGTTCATAATCAGAATGATTTCCCTTAAACCACTCAAAAAATTTACAAGAATCATTTTGCTCCGTACAAGACCAAAACAACTTATTCTGATTCGGTCCTTCCTTTTTAACTTTTAACAAAATTGCATCCAGGCCATGTTTGCATTTTGGTATTGTGAGTCCAAAAGACCCTGAAGTAGTATTTGAATTCCTTATTTTATCTACGTGTTGCTGTGATGATGACTCCGCACTCGTGTTTCTCGGAGGAGGTTGAAATTTTTGTCTTGTGTGAATATTATTATTATTATTAATATTATTATTCGAATTACTATTGAATTCCTGACTGCTTGATGATGAATCTTTCTGAGTAGAGGCAACAACAGCAGCATCTTCCGAACCACTACTTCCCCACTTGAAAAATTTACAACTACGACTTGCACACGAAAAGAAGACTCTTCCTTGGTTGGGTCCTTGTTTTTTCACGACATTCCGAGAGGCCATCACTCCACACGAACATTGCATTTTTTTTAAACAAAAAACGTCCAAAAGGTTCCAGCATCAGCAGGAAGTCATACAGCACACAACAGACCACTGAACCCGTTCATCGACTTTCTGAAATTCATTGATTGCGTATCGCAATTTGGTTCACCCAATGTTTCCCTCACGTTCCGAAAGTTCATTGAATTGCGATGTGGTTTTCCCAATTTTTCATGTCGGAATGAAATAATCAATTGATTACGATGCGAAATTCGAGAGTGGTCTCACACGGGTTTCTTTCTGTTTCCATTTTCGTCGACGAACGATAATTGATGCAAAACAAAAATGATGAAAGAAGTGGCCACAGAGAAGCAAGACGATCATTGCTTTTCTCCAAACACCACCATGCAAAACAACAGTGCGGGATCATCGGTTGGTAAAATTGTGAGTGTTTCGGTGGTAGATCCCATGAAAGAGGGTAAGTGAGAGGATACATGATGTCCGTAATAATAACCATCCTAATAATGATGGTGATGATACATGATGGTGGCTGTTGGGGTTTTATTTGATGGTATCCTCATCATCATTTTCAATATCAATCAATCACCCGTTGATGAACATTAATCGTGCCTATCATTAATATATGACTGGGTTATATATCTTGGAAAATCATGTTATATAATAGGAAAAGGACTCAGTGCCAAAACAACCTATCTCATTCAAACGGAGGTTGCTCTGGCCGGGTTTCCAGAGCAAAGGATGATTTATAACTCTCGGAAGAGGTATACTGAATTCAAGTCTCTCTATGACGAGTGCAAAAAATTGGTGAATTCAAATCTCAAGTCCACATTTCCACCAAAGAGTTTCAAAAGTAAGTGTTGCTTGTGTGACCGATCACATGAAAATCGTTTAAATGCATTCCACATCTTGTCCATATTTAGAGTTTAATGAAAAGCTAATTGAAGAACGACGACAAATATTTGAATCGATTATTACTGAGATTGTGGATAATCCTGTACTTTTAAACAATTCATTACTTAAGAATTTTCTGGCAATACCAACTCATGTTCAACTCGTTCATAAAACACCTCTAACACAAAATCATCGTAAATTCAAGTTTTCAACAGTATTGAAGGTTGAGGAAATTAAGTTTTCATTTAAACAATTTTTAATCGAAGAACATAATATTGAACCGTTTGAATTTTTGGAGTCAATTCATCAAATTCAAACGAATGGTAGTATATTAGTGGACGAGTTTGATAGACTCGTCATTCAAGAATTTGTGGAGATTGGTAGTGTCCGAGAAATTAATATTGACAACAAGACTAGAAATAACCTGTTAAACGACTGGAACAACCTTAAAGAATCGCTGAATAAGAATTCAATTAATGTTGTTATATGGGATGGTCAATTGGAGCCAATTTTAGCTCCTGTTTGCAATTCAGTGAAGCTTCATTTGAAAAACGATTCGTTTTCTAGATTTTCACAACTTCAGCTTTCTGCATGATTACGACCGTAGTCACCAACTGACGCGCCTCTTCTAATTTTGCAATTTTGTGATTTGATTTTGTTCACTTACAAGTATTTCTTCATGACGACTTTGGAAGTCTGATGAACAAATCCATTGTTAACTTTGTTCATAATTTATTACTTTAATTACAATTTATAGTGTCTGATTTCTCTTTCTATCAACATTGACATTTATCTTAATTCGCATAGCTTTACCATGCTTGGGATGTTGAATATTTGGAGTTCCTCCGAGGGACAGACAAAGATCTTCATAATGGTGACACACCCAATTCGTGATGGCAGGTTTTGGTACAGGACCAATTTGAAATCCTCGTTCAATGTCCACAAGTTTTGGAAAATTCTTCTCAAACAATGGTTTTGAATCACTCATACACACATCCATCATTTGACGAATCTTTTCAGGCAATACATGAGTGTTGAGGAATGTGGTTTGGAATACTTTGAGGAATATCTTGTCATTCACTAATTGTTGCGGTCTCTTTGCCAATTCTGCACTAATTTCCAACAGGACGACCTTCTTCTTGAAAACATTTGCTTCCACATCGACTCTTCCCATGAGAACAAAATCAAAATATCGTTGCTCTTGATTGCAAACAAAGGATGCTCCCGAGTAGAAGAGAGCTCCACAATAGAGATTGATGGAATTACTTCCTACCAATTTCTCAAATGAAAAGTGTTTTGCTCTTTGAATGGTTGATAAATCACCTTGTCTTTTAACAAAGTCAATCATGTGTGAATTGAACAAGCAAATTTGATCTCCTGCCATGGCACTTGCTGGTAAACATGCTTGTTGATTTTCGAATTTGGCTTGTCCAAATTTTTCTTTCAAACGATCCACAAGACGTTTGACAGCATGGATGGCTGACAGTGCCTTTTCTTTGACCCAATTTGCAGCCTTCTTCAAACCTTTGCCGACTGCCTTGGCAGCATTACCAAGTTTTTGACCAACCTTCTTGAAGGCATTCCCAATCTTACTTCCAATTCTTCTCTTTCTACCTCTGGATGATGGTGCTCTTTGAGCTCTCAATTTGGAAATTCCTTTTCTTGGATTAGCTTTTTTACCTCTTGATGTGACACCGTTCTTACGTAAGAGAGCTCTTGAACGACTTGAACCTCTTCTTCCAAGAACATTTTGTGCATCCTCCAATAGTTGCATGTCATCCAATGACAATAACGTTGACTGGTATCTCTTTTTATGCTTTCTCTTTTTGGTCATTTTCATGGCTTTGGCTAACTCTCTTCCTGCCTTCTCATTACCAACTGTGTAGAGATAGTTCTTGATCGAAGATCGTAGCTCTTCATTCCTGGTACGACGATGCAATCGAGATGCATGAACCACAGAGGCACCTGATCTTAAATGTTTCTCTCTGACAGCTTGGGCATTGATGACAGATGCTTTCACACGTGGCGAGATGTTTCCAATTCTTGATTCTAGAATTGCATTCACCAACTGGTCCACATTGGGATCATCCTTTAACCTCTTTTCAAGGTTTCTAGCGAGTAGAATTTTGATTGAGTCAGCAATACTTTTGTCGTGGAAGAAGGCAAACAAAATTCTTGGATCCACCGCTGATCCTGCATTGTTGAGAGCATGAACATAGGTTTCCAGTTCAGTCACAGTTTTGGAAGATGAAGTTCTCGACAAAATCTCCTTGACGATTTCTGTTTGGAGCTTTTTATCCTTGAGACGAGATGCTAAATCCGCAAAAGCCATGAATGCATTCATTTTGACTTGATCTTCCTTTGATTTCTTAATACCTCGATTCTTGAGAGATTTGAGGAATGAATAGACACTTCTTGTTGGGAATGGAATCACAATAGAAGCATAAATATAGTTATTGGCAAGCATTGGATGAGACGATGAGAGAGAAACTAAACGATCCTGAATGGTACTTGATTTGATCGATGCCACCAAGTTTTGAAGACTTTCCAAGTAACAACTTTTCAACTTGTTTCTCTTTGATCCGATACGAGAGGATGATTGATTCATCTCAGACACTCCTTTCTTGATTTCAGAGGGCAATAGACGACCTGCCTTCACTGCATGCTTTTGACCATATTTGGCTAATTCATCAAGCTTCTTGTTCATGTCCACAGAGAAGGATGCAGGCATTTCCTTGATACTTTTCAACATGTTCTTGAAGGTTCTTGAGGAGAAACTCTTACGTTGTAATCTTTTCATTTCTCTCTTGTCATGCTTGGTGACAGAAAAGGTATTTTCAAATTCAAACTCATTGCCTAATGATGACTCTTTTCCGAATTGTCTTAAATTTTGAACCATTTCGTCTAAACCTCTGCCTTGTGGTTGAAACGATGTTTCAGTACGTTGAATTCTTTCCAACTTGATACTTCCAAAGTAAAAAGTTTCAAGATCTGCTGATGGTGTTGCTGAATCACGAGTCAAAAAAGAGGTTTGTGGATCTCGTTGTTCTTGTTGTTCTTGTTGATACAATCTCTTTTTGGTCAACTGTTCCAACTTTTTGAAGGCCACATGAGGATGCTTTCGTACACCAAATTCCATCTGAACACTCATGGCACCCTTCTGAATGACCTGTTTCTTGACATTCACAAAGGCCACATGTTTACCTTCATAGTGGATTTGTCTCTTGTCCAAAGGTATTACTGAAAAGTCATGATGAGCGTAGGTTTGAGTAATTCTTAACAAGTTTTTTCTTCTTGAAGAATGGATTCCTCCTCCCTCTCCTCCTTGGACCATTCTTCGAGGATAGGATGTGAAATATTTACCTCCAAAGCCATCGGTTTGAGGACGAGCCTTTCTTCGAGTCTCACTTGTCAATAATCTTAAAAGTCCTTTCTTAATGCCTCTCACATAACGACTCTCTGATTTGTGAAAGATGAGTTTGTGGATATGAGCACTCTTGGATTGAATGACAAGCATGGGGTTCTTGTTTAGCCTTTCAGTTAAATCACTTCGAGTAATGAGCTTTCGATACTTCATGCCAGCTTTTCCCTTATTCAGGCCTTGATATTGAGCAAACACGGTGTTCCTGAAAGAGACCAACATGATATTATCCTTAGAAGAAGAAGTAGACCCATAACAAGTCAACACTAAATGTCCAGAAAGTATAGTCTCAGCATTGCCTGCTTTTGGATGCCCCTCATAACGACGAGGAGTGTGAGCATCACCATGAAGAATGGTGTCACGAGTTCCTACGAATGTGGTGGTTTTGAATCGGTAAACCAAACTGTGATCGAGAGGACACGACACCATATAGTAGGTACCATGAGTGTTGGTGAGGTTATGAGTTAAGGTGACACCAAAAGAACAACAACAACTCTGGATCACTAAAAGTACAATGAAAAAAACAATAAGGAGATCACTCTTTCTTCTTGTTGGTGATGATGGATGCTGCTGTTTCTTCCGAAACATGTTGTTGTTGAAGGGAAGAACGAGGTCGCATCCTTTTGTTTTTGTTTGATAATAATGGTTATTGTTGTTGTTGTTGTTTGTATGATAGTATTATCTGCTCGTTTTTGTTGAGCTTCTACTACAACGTTTTTGATGCCAAGTGTTGTTTCCATTTAAGATCATCACGGACGATGTATATCCAAAGGGCGATACAGATTTCCATGAACAGCTATCATAGTAGAAGAAGGCGCCAAAAGTACTATTCGTCAAGAATCAATTTCTGGAACCGAGAACCAGAAAGACAAATACATACAAATCGGTAAATCCTCTCTCCAATTCGATCCCACTAATCATGATCCTCAATATGGGAGTAGTGCATCTTTAGTCGATTCGTTTTGTTAATAAATACTTACAAAGTTTTTAATAAATTAATTGGTTATTTCTTGTTGGTTAATATTGTGAGTTGGTGTTTCACTTTTCCAACCTTTGTCAATTCGACCGTCTCTCTAATGTCTTCACGATGAGGGAATTTGATGAAAAATCCTTCTTCTAGCGGCGTACCAACAACATTTTGGACACTCAATGAAGGACAGTCGATCACTGTATGCTTGGTCAAATTATTGCTATTAGTTAATTTCAAGATCTCAAGCTTATCGTGAACAATGTGTGGGCTCTTGAGTTTGTAACATTTGATGACATAGAGCTCACGCAGTTCTGGAGACTCTTCCAGCACTTCAGCTAGAGCCTTATCATCTACAAGTGTTTTTGAAATATCCAAATAGGTGATGTTTTTACATTGATACAACCAGATTTCCTTCAAGCTTGTATTTCCATCGAGATCTAATTTTTCAAGGCTGGGTAACTTGTGGAAACTTGATGTTTGAATATTTGAATTAAAATTACAGAGAATGCTCACAACAGAGGGAAGTTCCTTGAATACTGGATTTACAAGATGCATGCATGTTCTAACTTTAAGTTCCACTAAAATCAATGCGCTACCAGAGCATATGTGTTCAATGCACGAATCAACAATATTAGTCGCTGATAAATCCAATGTTTTGAGCGCTGATATGCTGACATCTTTGAATGGAGATTGTATTGCGCTAGCTCCCACAAGAATGAGCTTTTCAAGGTTTGGACAATTAGACACAAGTTGGTTTACAATCTCGTCATTCACTGCCTTGTTGTGACTCAAGTTTAACACTCTCAGATTTTTCAATTCATTCCATTCGATTGCAGGAAAGAAAGAGGCCCATGAAATACTCAATTGGGTAAGATTGTTGCATCCCTTGATTGACAAGTTGTCACAGTGTTTGCAATTAATAATGGCAAGTTCTCGTAACTGCTTGTCTTCTGGAATTATCAACTCAAAGCTCTTGGTTGATAATCCACAAGCAAAATGTGAAAAAGAAAAGCTCTTTAACGATGATGGAAGAATTTTCAACAAAAATTGAATCAAATCCATTGAAAATCGCAAAGTGAGATCTGCTTTTGAAGCCGATCGCATACCCTCAGCAGGTGCTTCAAAGTTCATCAATTGTATTTCCGGAAATCGCATGACAAATGTTTTCAACAACTTTTGATGTTTGAGCCAATAATCAGATTTCATTTTAGATAGACTCAACTGCTTAATGCTCTTCTCAAATGCTCTATTCCAATCTGAAGAAACCAAAGAAAGTGCAAGTCTCTCTTTCATCCTAAAAAAGCTTAAAATATGCTCGATACAATCTATTGGTAGTGTGAAAGAGGAAGAATAATTGTCGTGGACATGACGTGAGGCGCACGAATCAATGTGTGGCTCGTTCATGTCGTAGCACAACATGTTATAGTTGATCGGAGTGTATTCTTCTTCATTATTTTGTATCTGTTGTTCATCACTAACAAGATCGTCATTAATGGAAACCTCTTCTTGCTGTTCATTTGTCACTTCGTTACTCATCATACCATGGTGATGTTGTAAAAGTTCTTCAGACATTTTTTCTTCTTGGATAATAATTGTTGCGACTCGGTGCTTCAGCAGTCTTTGAGCAGATTGAACGTCCGATACAAAAGTAGGAACTAATCATGCACGAGGAACTTGAAGATGGTCCATGAAAGATAGGTGTGAATACAACCAATCGAAATCGATTGTCTGAAAGATAGGTGCCATGTAGTTCCGAGTTCCTTGAGGTCAAAGTCAAGTCAGACAAATCGGGATGTTCTGTGTAACGCTTCCGTCCTCAATTTTTGCAGCAGTTTCCATTTTGAATGGATTGTTTTTGTATTAAGTGAGGTATTTCTCATTCAGAATCGATGTGTTCTTGAGATTTCTTTGAGATTGTGAATTCAGAGAGGAGCCATTTCCATGCCAATTGGTCGACATTCCCATCTTGCACATCCTCACTATTGTTGTTATTTCTTGTACTTGGCTTGAATAAAGTATTTGGCAGATCGTCATTGAAGAAGACCTTGAATATGGATGATAGATATAATTTGTTACATGTTGTACTACCACTTGCATTGGCTAGTGCAATTTTCTTTAGAGTCTCATGCTCTGTAGTTGTCAAATCATATTCTCGGAGATGACACTCTGCCCGTAATTGCAAAATTGAGTTGAGTATGAAGACTTGAAGACAAAGCCTTTCATACATTTGCAAATTCTTTGATTTTATAACCTTCCGCGTATTATTCTCAAGCATTTGAAGAGACAAGTTAAGATAATCTGAAGTTTTTTCATGTGGACAATTCCAAAAACGCTCAATAGTTTCAAAAATTATGGCAGAGTTTGGAAATAAAGACATGTTCGATTCTGGGCGACGTTGCTGTTCGGATGGCTTTAAAAGAAATTCTGAAAATTGAGCTTGAGATTTCAGTAGGTTTTGAGTTTCCTCTTCACTTTCAATATCGCTCATGTATGCATTATCTTCATCATCATCTTTTTCAGAAAGTAAAGGTAAATTATCATCATTGTTTTGTCCCATCGTTGCATCTATTGAACTCCGATTCGTGTGATTATGGCTTTCATCATTAGTGCTCATTGAGTTAATGTTAGGTGTAATTTCAGTGTCTATTGTTTGGTTGTTGTTAAGATTGGGTATTGTTGATGAACTTGAATTACTGTTCAACTGTTGTTCAATCTCTTCTGCCTCACTACAATCACTTTCATCTCTCCATGTAATTTCATCAAAATCTAAATAATAGATGGCTCTAAAATAGGCAGGATCGAATATGGTTTCATTCATTTCATACCCGAACGGAGCAAATAAATCCCTCACACCCTCCATATCACACGAAAGTGCTGCTTTTGCAAATATAAAAAAATCAATCAAAGACAGCGAAAAGTATTTGGTGTTGGGCTTGATTTTCAATTTTGTTCCAAATTTGGCAATCATGTTTTTCAATCGTTTTGCTTGCGAAGGAACCAAGCTTTTTCTTCCAGATGTTTTGGTGATCCTTTTGAAAAAGGGATGAGATTGATCCAAAGCACAAAAGCTACCACTAAGAACGTAATATTTACTTTCAAATCTCACCAACAAAGCTCCCGATAGCCCTACGAAATGATGTTCGTCGGGCTTTTGGCATTTTTTGCTTGAAAGGCTGATCACGAAAACGATTGTATTACATTCTATCGCCTTTGTTTTGATTCTAAATTGGGTGGTTTTGTGTTTGCATGGTTGTTGTGTTTTGTTTATTGATCCAAGGTGACAAATGAGAGTAAAGTTTTGATAGAAGGGAGAGTAACGCTTTGTGGTGGGGACTGTTGTTGTTGATGGGGATCACTTGATTCTGTTTTTGGAGAGTGAGCAGAGTTTGTTTGAGAATTCCAATTCACATTCAAGTATTGATGTGTTGAGGGATGAGGCGTTACGCTCGTCAAGCCGCCAATACGGTGGTGGTGATGAAAAGTAGGAATCGGTGGAATCATGCAATCACTGCTAATTCCATGAGAACGGTTTATGTCAACCAGAGAAGAAGAATTAGACGCAAATGCTTCTTGTGGAGAATTGAAAGAGATCAACGGACTTTGGTTAGGGTGAGGAGCAGTGAGTGGAAGTTTTGGGTTCTGTGGGCCATGAGTCTGTGCTGTGTGTTTCAAATGTGGAGATTGTTGTTGGTGGAAAGGAACAACCGATGAAGAATAGCAAGTGGTCATGTCAAAGTGGTAATAGTTGCAGTAGTGTGAAACGTATGATGGAAGTGACGTGTACGGTTGGTTGTTGTTGCATCCAGTACTAACAGTTTGTGTGCCTTGTCCTTCCTTTCTAACTGGTTGTTCCCTGGTTTCAGAAAAACCAGAATTACGGTTGTTCTCTTTAATTGAGAGGGGATGCATTGCAGAGAGAGGTACTAACAACTTGTCTTGTTCAAGAAGCCTCTTGACCATCGATGAGGTGGTCGACGCACATGTGCGAGTGTTGTGCTGCTTGTTCTTTTTTTCACACGATGGACTGTTTAACACACAAAACTTGGCACTCATGCTTTCCTTATGGTTTGGATTATAATTCATGATCTTGATATTCTTTCGTTTTCGTACAAGTCCCGTTTCATGATTCTTCTTTTTAATGGCCACATGGTTGTGAGGTTTTGAAAGGACACATGAAGGAAGAGTGGTTGTGCTGGAAGAAACAGAAGCTGGAGCTGAAGCAAACTCATTCATGATTGAGGAGGAGGACGAACAACAGAAGGTATTGTGGCCACTATTAGTGCCTGTCAAAGAGTTATCTAGTTCAATGTGCAATGAAGGTGAAGCAGTGGTAGTGGTAGTGGTGGTTGTAATGGCATCATTCGAACCCAACTCTTCCTCTTGGTTCTTTTCAGAGGTCCATTTGCGTGGACGACCTCTTTTTCTCTCTGGAGTATCACAACATTGCTGTGGGCATCCACGACGTACACATCGGGAGCAAGGTCTCTGTCTATCACATGCTTTGTGAGAGAGTCGACATGAAAGACAAGCCTTGTTTAGTGTGGAAAAAGTGGGAGACATGGAAGTGTTTGGAAAGGATGTCGTCATAGTGGTTGTTGTTGAGTTGAGGTTTTCTTTTGAATATGCTCTCTGAATTGTTTCTTCCTCACACACTCACACACTCGGCTCTTTTCTCTCAAAATTTCATATCAAAAACGGAAAGTTTTTTCAATAACGACATCGGAAACGGTAGGCGTGAATTTGGAAAAGTGCATCGTTTGCGTGCTTGGATGGTCGTGAAATTCTTTGACTTTGAGGTTGCCTCTTCCGAGAGAGCGGTTTGTTTGAATTGGTTATGAGGAGGCAATTGGGTGTCCTTGTCAAAAAGGAAACGAGTCGTTTGGCACCAGGTGAGGCTCTACACTTCTGCTACTACTAACACTGTTTACCCGAAACTAATACTAATAGAGGAGGATAACAAGGATAACGAGTGTTTGTTGAAGGAGGAAGCTGATGATTGAGAGTCTTCATGTTGTTCGTTCAAGAGAATAAACACACCACCTCGGACAGTTATGAGAATTCAAATTGAGAAAGAGATAAAAGTGATACAAACTTGAACAAGAATTGATGAAAGATTTGATTGGGCTCGCACGCTATGAGTTGCCCATCACGTGATTCTTGCTCTTTTCAACAAATTGGCTCTTGATGCATCTCCACATTTTTGAACATGAATTTCTTTTTCAACCAAAATGCAAAAGTTGAAGAATTCAGAATGGCAATGTTTCACTTCGATTTGACGTGAGCTCATGTTCATGGTTGAGAAAAAAGTGAATCTCACAGAAATGGAGTTGTTAAATAAATTTAAGAATTGTATTCAAAACAATATAATAACATTCCAATCGATTTAAATTCGTTCAACCTACATTCAAAAAAATGCAACAACCAACTTCCGTTTCGTCATCATCTGATCCGAAAATTGCTTGGGATAAAGTGGCACACAATGACAATATCGTGTACAAGTGCAAGATTTTTATTTCTCTAGTGTTTGGAATTGTAGCTGGAATTTTTGGATTAACTGGTTTATCGGGATTTTTATTTTATGTGGTCGTTTCTTTGGTAATTTCATCGGTTCTGATTGGATTTTGCCTTCCGAGACCATATAGTGTTGAAAGCGTGTTTCCAAATTGGACCAATATTATTTTCGGAGGATTCACACAAGGACTTTTAACTTATATTTTGTTTTGGACGATATCGTATGACATTGTTTATATTTTCTTTTAAAAAAGAAATGGATTATTAAATTGAATATTTTTGAATATAATTAGTCGAATCTCCAACAAATCGAGATTGTTACACAACTGAATACATGCTATTCTTTGATAATTTATTGGATGCAATAATGATGGATGTGACTCGTGATGACCTGAATGTTTTAAATACATGTGTCATCTTAATATTCATCCTCGCTGTCGTGATACGGGTCTTCAATGTCATCACCTGTTTGTCGTGGTGTCAATCTTCGTTTCCAGTGGATCAATTGAATAGCAACATTGATCACATACTTGCTGTAAATTTTGCCATTTTCTTCATAGGTGACTGGAGCATACAAATCTTTGCCATAAACCGAGTTACCTGCACATGAAAGAGAATTGTAGGTCGATCCTCCAATGTAAATTGAGTCTGGATCATAATTCTCGTTGGCAAACAAAAATCGAACTTTGACATATTCCAACTCGTCTCTCAAAATTCCCTCTTCTTTGGAATTGATGTCAAAGCTTAGCAATGCCAAAAAGAGTGAACATTCATCGGAAGTATCGGCCTTTGTCGACTTGGTTTCTCCTTTCGGGTAGAAGCATATGCCCCATTTAAAGCCAAAGGCCTCAAATGGATCCGAGTAACAGTCATCTCCATTTTCAACAGGCCCTGAAGACAATATTGTCACAGTGTGAATCGATAAAGGATTTTGTGCCTTTAGATTGTTCAGTATCCATGGTGGCAGCTTTGGGTTCAGCTCATTGGGAATTGCAAGTTTGATATCTACAATTTTCATACAAACAATAAACTTGTAAATATCATACTCTTCAGTTATACTGTAATACTTGACGTCTCTCTTATCAAAGAAGTCTCCATAAGAGGATGAAGCCATTTTGTAGTTTTTGGTATAAACTAAATAAGATCCAGGCGTAAAATCGTGATTGCACAGCATGTAGTGCACTTTGATATGGTCAAAGAGAAGTGTTGTCTCTTGTGTTGGCTTGGCCGACAGAAGAGTAAGGTACAAAGAGCATTGTCCAACTTCGTCATCTTCAGAACTCGAATCATTTGGGCCAAACTCGATAGTCCACAAATATCTTCACAAGTTATATTGAAAATATATTCAGGGGATTATAAAGACGACTATCTCCAAAATTTGTTACTTACCCAAATGCCTCAAATGCTTCCGATCTGTAGTGCTTAATAAGTACATGAGAGGGGTCTTTTGGAACCTTCACAGTCGCCACGTAGGTAAAATGGTCTTTGAACTGAGGGGGAACTAACTTTTTTACACTCTCTATAGAATCAATATTATCAATTTGCACGTTTTGAGGTTGAAGAGAGGCAGCAAAGTTGTCAGTTGGTTGTACTCTTTTTGCCATATTATCTAACGTCCCCAAAAACGCAGAATTGTTTCTAAACATTGGCACTTTCATGATGTGGTGTATAAGCTCTAATGTTTTTCCGATATGTGAAAAATGTTGAACGAGACTATCCAAAGTCTGAACAATATAAAAAGTGGGATAATTTTCAAACAAATCAAATGTTCCATTCAAACATATTTCAATAATTTTTGAAATTATGATATTCAATCCTCCGGTGGGAGCCAGTTCATCAAGTTTAAAGACACCATCCATCACTGATTTATATTTCTTGTACTTCAATAATATCTCACATGCAGTTGCAAACTGTTGTCCCGTAACGAGGAATTCCAAACATTTGCTGACACAACTTATCGTCTTTTCTTTTTCCTCGTCAGAAAAGTTATGTTCATTTTCTAACAACTCATAAAGGCAATTCAGAACTCGAATGGTTGTGTCATCTGAGTTGTCAATATAGTTTTGAAGGGTGTCTAAATAGTTGTAACATAAAAAGAGTAAACTTGGAGCAGAAAGATGATCCTTAACTTCGAACATTGTGAAATAGGCCTTCACGTAACAATGAACTAAAAATAATTGTCTTGAGCTTCTTAAGTCTTTCACCATTATTTCCAATCTATTAAAAACATCTATCGCGTTTCCCTTTAGCCAGTCTTCTTCACATAAATCATCATATTCTTGCAAAATATCTGTTTGCTCATTTTCAGTTTCACTAAAGATGACCGTTATATGGGGATATTCTTGCTTGATTATAGAGTAGTCCATATTGGTAATAATGTTTGGACAATGTTTTAACACTATTACTTCGCAATTTGTGAAACGAGTCAAATGGTGCAAAGCATGATTTGTCATCTGCTCAATCTCTTCAAAGAAGATAGATCTGAGCTCATAATCATTCAAGGGAAGAATTTTCTCTACGAACTCGTCACAAATCAATTTACATTCAATAAAATGGAGATCTGTTAATCTTGTCAGAGAGAGAAGATTATCAACAAATCCTTGTTCTAACCCTGTGATATGCGGGCATAAATCAAAGAATAGCTTCTTTAAACTTTCTGGAAAACGAATGTTCTTAAAGTTGTCAATCTTTTCAGAGATGTTCATACGAAGGCTGGTAAGCTTTTTAAACTCGCTTAAAATCATTAAATCTTTACATTTAACCTGAAATAAGCTCAATTTTGTAATATTTGTTCGAGGAAAGTACGGCACCAAACCTCCCACCATTGTAGCACCTGAAATTTTGCTCAATGGTAGCTCCAGCTTGCCTCCTTTCTGTTCAATAAGCTTGGCTTGAGTCTGGAATTCTCTGAAAATATTCTTGAGAGATCTTTCTGAACCCACAACATCGACTCGGAGTTTTATCAACTTTAGACACTTCTTCAAAAAAGAAAAATCAAGAGACACCATATCGGTTACAGCAAGGATAAGAGTTTCCAGAGAGCCTCCTACAAGAGATGATAGGAAATCTTGGGCAATGTCAGTGTTAAGACCTTCAATAAATTCGAGAGTTTTGAGTTTTGCCAAGTTTGAAGGCAAAGATCTGAGTAAGTTCTTGTTTGTCATTTCCAATTTCATAAATGATTTAAACAACAAGGAAAGACTGGTTAAGGTGGTTAAGCTGGCCAATGTTGTGACAAGTGTGTCAATGTTGCATTCAGGAGTTCCTTGCATAATTAGTTTAAGTGTTTCAAGGGATGGAAGTAATCCGAGACTCTTTTGACCTGTCATCACCTTAGTGTCTGTACCATAATTCCAACATAAAGATAAGTACTTGAGATTCTTAAAGGTGTTGAACTTGAAGGTTGAATAAAACTTTCCTCTAAGATGACTTTCTTCGCTTTCCTCGTCTGTTACATCAATAATTTTAAACTTTTCCAACTTTGGTAGTCCTTTCAAAATTGCACTAACATCCTTGTCTCTTAAATATTCATTGCAAACTGCAAGACTTGTCAAGTTTGGACATTGTTGAATTATACTATTGATATGCTCTGATACTAATGCATGATCAATGGAGAGTGTTGTAAGCGACTCTGGAAGTTCTATTGGTAAGTGTTGAATTTCTTCTTCGTAATAATCCACTCTTTCAATGCTTCGAAATAATTGTAGCTCTTGCAAGTTCTTAAAGTGTTTAAAATGTGTAAAGAAAGGAAACTCTGTGTTAAACAATTTTAACACTCGAAGAGATTGTGTCAACACACTGTTCATCTTGGCCCATGAACCCAAAAACGATCCATTAATATCTTCAACATCAGACAAGTCAAGAGTTTCAATTGGTATCGTGATTCTTCCCAAATCTGTAAATCCAAAATCTGTTAAAGAGAGAGTGGTGACCAAGTTGTAATCTTCATAGCGAATATGTCTCAATTTCTTGAGATTCATCAAGAAATGATCCACAATATTCGAAAATTTACCATTCGATGTCCCTACTCGAATGGAGTATGTTGTTTTGAAATTTCTGAAATAATACCATACAAGCCTGTTTCACCAATAGGAAAACGTTAAATGTATATGATCATGATGATGGCAATGATAGTCATTAATGTTTATGATTTTTATAATTATTTAACAGTTGTGCGTAATTGCAATGAATGAAACCCCCAACAACAACAAGACTTACTTTGAAAGACTTTTAGTGATAAGTCTCACCTTCAACAATTGATTGGTGGTCAGAAAGCAGAACAAATGATCAATCCAAACATCATTGGGTACACCCAAAAAGTGATCAATATGATGCAATAATTCTTCTTCTTCGGGATGATCCTCCTCACGGTTATTTTCCTTTAAATTCAAAGCCTCAAGTTTTGTTTCTAATTGGCCTTCCTCAGCCTCGGAGGAAGAAGACTGTTCTTCTTTCTCGGACGATGATGTTTGCGTATGATGAGGGTCAATCTTCATGAAGGCAACAAGACAACTACTGTTTGTTTGAAACAATTTTTTCTGATCAAAAGAAGAATTGTAATGTCAAGGTACTATTGTTGTCTCATCTTGTTCATTTGGTTTGTTGGTCCAACCAAACAGTGTGTTGTTGTTCATTCATCATCACCTCATGGCATTGAAAAAAGTTCTACCTTCTTTATTTAGTGACTTTTTCGATGATACCAAGGTGCTATTCAAAGTAATCACATTTGGAAACATACGTAATTGTTGTTCTTGTTGCAATGTGGAAAGAAAGGAATGGTCAATGTAATTGAAAGTAGAAAGTCGCAGAATTTGTGAAATTCGGTTCACATTACACACTCAGTAAAAGACAGGCGCATCCAAACACGTCAACCAAATGGTTCACAATTTGTCGGCAAAGTGAAAAAAACCATTCATCATCTCTCAGTCTTCAATATTACCATCAACCTCATCATCATATAATAACAAACACAAGAGAGGACACTCATGACACTCATCACATCATTATTCATTGGTTCGCTCTTTCTTTTAGTTCTTCTTCTTCCGAATCGAGTTGTTGCTCAAAGCACTCCCACCACTCCGACAATCACCACCTCTTCCACAACAACGACAACACTCTCCGCTACCGATGTTGATATTGGTTGGACTCTAATTAACGGAGCTCTTGTGATGTGTAAGTAAATGAATTTCACTTTCGAATTTTCTCTCTCATCATGTACATGTGTAAAAATCAATAGTTATGCAAGCAGGGTAAGCAAATTCAACACATTGATTCAACTTTTATGAGAACAAACTTTAATTTCATTCAATTCGAATAGATTTGCCTTCTTGGAAGCTGGAAGTATTCGTTCTAAAAATGTGGCTAACATTTTACTGAAAATTGTCATGTCAGTTGCCATTTCAACTATGGCTTGGTTTTGCATTGGTTATGGTTTTGCATATGGTGACAATCAATTGACAGATACAAGAAATGGATTCTTTGGAAATTCAGGATTTTTCTTATTGGGAGGAGATGAACCTCAACATGTCTTCTTTTTTCAATGGGCCTTTGCTGCTGTTGCCAGTTCAAGTAGGTTTTGGAATTTGATTTGACGATTCACACGTTTTCTCTCTCTTACTTTTTTGTTTCACACATTGTTTACTAATTATTGAACTCTTTAAATCAATTGATCAACTCATAACATTTTTCAACAGTTGTGAGTGGAGCCGTTGCTGAAAGAATGAATTTATCTGCCTTCTTTATGTGTTCCTTCATTATGACTGCTTTTATTTATGCTCCTGTTGCTCACTGGATTTGGTCCTCTGCTGGTTGGCTTTCTGGATTCAATAAGACCATGTTTAGAGTTGGAAATGTTGGAGTGACTGATTATGCTGGAGGAATTGTGGTCCATGTAGGTTGTTAATGTTTTGTTTTTATTAATCCTATTATATAATTTGACATACTGTTTGTGACAACCTTGTAAATTCCATGACCATTTTATTGATGTGACATTATGAATCAATAATTCATGAAAATGGTTCACGATGGTGTGAACACAACATATACAATGACGTATTGTTGAATGAACACAAATGATCATGTCTTGGACAACAATAGCTTGTGGGTGGAGTTTGTGGACTTGTTGGTTCCATCATGGTTGGTCCAAGAATTGGTCGATTTGTGAATGGAAGAGCAGTTAAAATTGCTGGTCACAACAAGACACTTGTGTTGTTGGGTGGTTTAATTTTGTGGTTTGGTTGGGTATGTTGTGAATTCTGATTTCTTCTTGTCATCATTTTCAAACATTCCTCATCATTGACATTCATTCAAATGTCACATTCACACAACATCATTTACCGGAAATCTTTATTCACATACTTTTCATAATAGTATGGTTTTAACAGCGGCTCCACACAAGCTCTCTCAGGAGGAATGTCAACCATCACAGCTTTTGCCAGTGCTAACACAACCATTGCAGGTGCTGCTGGTGCCATGATGTGTATGTTGTGGAGTTGTCTCCAAAGTGGACAGTATGTAGTCTTATTAATTTGAATGTTAATCTAGTTGTTGTTCATGTTGAAATAATGTAATTGTTGATCACCTTAACACGTGACTTGGAATTTTCATGAAACAAAATGTTCATGAAATTTTTCAAAGATATGACTTGACAGAGAGTTTGAACGGTTGTTTGGCTGGATGTGTTTCCATTACTCCTGTTTGTGCCTTTGTTGAGGGATGGGCTGCTGTATTGATTGGAGCTAGTGGTGCCTTAGTTTATATCGCAAGTAATTGGCTTTTGGAAGCTTTGAGAATTGACGATCCTGTGTCAGCTGTACCTGTAAGTAGAAGATGATTTCAATCGAGTTGCATGGAATTGTGAACATTTGGAACATGGCAAAATTTTTTAAACTTTCATGTATTCAGATTCACGCTTTTTGTGGAGCATGGGGATTAATTACTGGTGGATTATTTGCTACACAAAAACAGTAAGTTATTGTGAAAATTTAATAATGACATGATGATTCTGTAATTTTCAAAAATCATTATGTAATGAATGACCGTCCTCAAATTTCACAAACACACAAATATGGATCAAAATTCTAGGATTGCTACCTATTATGGATTAGATTCGAATATTGAAATGTATGGCCTCTTTTACAGCTTGAACTGGGAGTTATTGGGTGTTAATTTATTAGGTATTGCCATTGTGTTGATATGGACTGCCTTCTCTTCTGTGATTATGTTCTTTATCATTGATATTACAATTGGTTTGAGAGTTCCTCCAGAAGATGAATTGATTGGTCTCGATCACAAGTATGGTGGTCATGCATATACACTGGACGACCCACATCAATATGGATTTGGAAACTCTACTTCTGAAAATACGGCTGCAAGATCTGCATTAAAGACTGCCAGAACTGTGAATTCACATCGAACACATCGCAGTGGTAAATCAAGTAGAAGAATGTAAGAGATGTGACATCTTCATGCCTTAATTGTAACAATATACAATTTACACGCTTCCAAACAATTGTAATTACAACTTTGCATCCTGATGGCATTATCTCATATCTTAAATGTGCGCATGTCTTACTGAGCTATCCATCTTCCATTTCGTCTTTGAATGAAATAACTGCGTCATACAGCTGACTGGTGTTGGGGTTTGTCAAATTGTCCACAAACTTTTTTACATGACCTGTTGCTCCTCTGAATTGGTTATACATGACTTCGTGCCACAGTCCTTTCTGTTTAATCATTTCTTCGTAGCAATCACCTGTTTCTTTGGCTCGGCAAGCTCGAACAATATTTGAAAGTGCTTTCAGTGCATCGTGTTTCATTTTCTGTTTGTCATTCAATATAATGTCACAAAAGAGACCCACACAATTTGATCCTATCTCGATAATATACATAATTTGATCGTTATTTCCACCAATGATTGCATTTAGAATTCCCCAAATTGATTCTTTTTTTATGTCATTTTGGGTTGTTTCAATATTTCTTATTAATGACGGAATTATATTTGCATCAATGACTTCTTGTATTTGTTTCTCATTTCCTGCCAAGATATTTGAAATGGTCCAACAAGCTTCCCTTCTAATTTTGGGAGTTGCATTCAAAATCAATTTACCCAAAGGAAATAAAGGATTACAATTAAGAACTACTTGAACATGATCATCATTTCCAGTCACAATATTTCCAATTGCTCTCAAAGCAGGAGATAATATTTTGGGAGATACAATAAATTGATACATCAATTCCACCAATCTCCTTACCACACAGGCCTTTATCACTTGATCAATCTGTTCCACCCCAGCGCCATCACATAAATATGCGAGTGCCCAACAAGCATTCATCAAAACTGTCTCATCTCTATGGTAAAGAAAATGTGCCAATGTAGGAATTGCAGGTGAAATCAACTCAAAATTTGTCAATGGTTTTGGCCTGCAAATATTCGAAAGAGCCCAAGTGACATTTCGCAAGATGGATAACCCGGGAGGATTCTCCGCTATAATTTTCAAGAGAGGAGCCAAAGCACCCTCACGCAATATCAAGTCCCGTGGTTTGGCTCCATCACCAGCAATATTTCCGAGAGCCGAAATCGCCTGTTCTTGAATATCATCATTCCGATTCATTATTAATAATTTGATGAAAATTGGCACCGCTCCAAGCTGTATCACTAATTGTGTATGTTCCGATGTGCCCGATGCAAAACAAGTGAGAATCCAAGCAGATTCAAATTGTAGTTCGTGCTCCTTTTCATTCTGAAGAAATTCCACAAATATTGGCACCACACCCTGTTCAATAATACGATCAAAAATAGAGGAAGAATTCTCTGCATTTGAAACTAATTTTCGGAAAAACCGAGTAGCATTCAGACGAAGCGTTGGATTCGAGGAATGTAAATGTTTTGCTTCTTCTTGCATCGTGGATGATGTTGGTTCGCTATCAGTGGACATTTTTTTGGATAAAAGATTTCCTTTCATTTCTGGAATGGTTGTAATCAAGGTTCAAAGAACAAAAGAAAACAAAATCATGCGAAAAGTAAGACCCATCTTAGTCCAGAGCAAAAGATGAATCACCAACTAATTTTTTTTGTAAATGTTTAGCCATTCAGCTT